GACATTAAGTCGGTAGAGATAATCCAGTGGGGACTCATCGGATCGCTTGCGCGCGTGGTAATACTGGCAAGCAACGAAGATCCCCAATCCACAGTACTGGGTTTGGAAACTGCGGAGCAGATCCGACCGCTTGTTGCGTGTGGATCGAGGTAGTTGGTGATACCAGTTCCTCGCGGATCCGGATAGAAGGTCCGCGAAGGTCAAGCACTTCTCCTCGTCAGGAGCTTGGTCCCGGAGGAACGCAGACTTCACCTTACTGATCCATGCTCTCGCCCGATCCTCATCCTGGTCCTCCCTGAGAACTCCTTCAGATCCGAGACCGCTGAGATCCGGACTCGTTGGATCAGGGCTGAACCTGTGGATCCGGTCGCGGTGGTAGCCACTGTAGCGCGAGCTGGGACCGGGAAGTCGATGTCATCTGGATCGTACTCCCAGTGTTGATCTGGATCGGACGAACCAGTGGACTCCATTTCCACGTCCTGGGATCCGGGGTTCTGCGTCGCCTCCTGCGCCTGTGTCGGGGTCAACACGCCTTGCTCCTTCAAGAACCTGCCCATGGCTGCCTGAAAGTACGACTCAAGCCTGCCAGCCGATATGTTCGATCCTGATGCCGTAGCTGTTGGATCCACCGAAGGAGTTGACGGCTTCTTGTATCGGGGCTGGGATCGGGACTGAGTCCTTGCTTCACGTTGGATCTGGGCTCGGGCGCGTAGCATCGAGGCCCCCGAGGGTCCAAGCGACATACGCCGCGGCTCCGAAGATGTATCCGACCCAAGCTCCGCGGCAGACACGTATGGTGACGACGTTCGGCATACTGTGGATCCAGCTTGAGGTGAACTTGGATCCGGGACTTCTGGATCCGGCTTCAGCTGGATCTCACCTACCAACGCCTTCAGCCTGTTGAACAGCATGTCCGTCGTCGCGTGGATCTGGATTGGGTCGACGTCGTAGATCGCTCGCGCGTCGAAGGCGCCAGCTACGAGGCTGGCCTCCTTCAGCAGCTGCATGAGTCGCTCCATCTCGGCCAGGATCCCTTCACGCTTGGCGGGTGCTGGGAGTGCCACAGGCCCCTGCAGGTCTCCGATCGGCTTCACGCCAAGCAGCCGCATCATGGGATCCCAAGCCAGGAAGTCACGTAGCTGCTTCTCGTGGTAGCGTCTCCAGCCTGCCTCCTCGGATTCTTCGTGGGATGACGTTTTTGGATCTTCGTCATCCAGATCCGGGGCCTTCATCTTCGCTCGTGTCATCGACTTGGTCTTGTCGGGAGGCATCCGGTTTAACTGGTGAATCAGCAAATGCATACCTATCCTTGCCAGCCTTGGTTTGTTTTGTTGGTGGATCTTGACTCGCGTTGCGATCCACCGGGGTCCCGAAGGGACCTGTGGAGGAGGTTGAGGTTTCTCTTCTGGATCCATGTCTGGAACCACTTCGGTTCTGCCGGCAGAGGTCCTCCTTGCACTCTGTCGATCCGTGGATCTTGGTTCATTCAGCAGCGTCGTCGCCGATCCCGACTCCGATGACGCTTGATCCCCTTGTTCCTTCTTCGCTCGAACTTCTTCTTGGGACTCACGGTGAAAGCCCGAGTCACCAGAAGATCCGGGCACGCGCATCATTGTGATGTAGCGGGATCAGCAAAATCTGCGAGATTGCCAATCCAACTTACCAACTGCGCCCGAACACCGACTTACGGAGGGGGTCCCCCTATGATCCGTGATCTGTGTGCTGAACTGGTCACCTTGTGTGCCCGTCGGTAGGGCTGGATCTGCTCCTCTGGTGTCTGCTGAAGCGTCCGAGCCTTGAAGACAGAACAGTCGGGGCGAGACGCGGGGATGTGGGTGGAGCAGCGCGGAAATCTTCACTCTGCTCGCGGTAGTTATTCCCAATCCAGTGGTAGTCGACTTGGATCGGGCGGCCTGGATCTGGATCCGGCCGTGGGGTGGCCTTTGGGTTGTTGTTCCTTTCCTTTGCCTTCGTAGGTCTTCCTTTGTTGTACTTGCCGCTTCCTATAGCGGGATCCGTAGAGGTTGAGAGTTGAGGATGCACCCGGCCAAGTAGTAACTCCGGGTGGATCGGGGATCTGCACTTGCAAGTAGGTCACTAGTCAGGTTGCAGAACTGGCCAATGTATTATCCAGTCTTAACCAACGCTAGACCCACTACCAGAACCTTGCTAAGCCGTGGGGCCAATGTACTTCCCGTTTTCAGGCGAAGGCGAAGGCACTTGCGATGTATAAGGCAAATCCAACACTGATTTATGCTTTAGTCCAATCCCATCCCAAAGCCCTATCTTCCTATGGATCCTGTCATCCCATCTGTACCTACTGAAGCTATGGAGCTTGTTCACCTTCCTTGCGTGTCGCTTGATTACCTTCGCTGCGCCATGACCTTAGATCCACCGCTCACTTCCATCTGAGTCCGAATCAGAATCAGATCTGGATTGGATCGGATCGCCGATCCACTTGACAGCTGCATCTCTTGGATCTTGGGTCTCGAGGCATGGCGTTGCTTGGGCACACATTCGTGACGTCCGGTCGTATTCGTAGTGTCTTCCGTTGCAATCTCTAACACCTGGTACGGGGCCCGATCCGCCGGTCTGGTGGATACGTCGCGGAGTCTGGATCCATCATTCTGCCGATCACCCTTTGTCCCAATTTCTTGGATCCTGCTTCTCCACAAAAGCACGAAGAGAGTTGCTCTCTCTCTTCGAAGACACGTCCAAGATGACAAGGTTCGGTTTGTCATCATGCATTTTACAGTGAGAATGATCCTCACTGGGGGCTGCAGTCCTCAGTGTCGCATGTCCGAGTTGGACACGCGTGACTGCTTCACCAGTAGGGCTCCCCGCGCCTACTGGGTTCCAGCGTTTTTTGTTTGTCTGCGGTGATGCCCGGCATCGCCGCATCGACCACCATCTCGGAGCACGGGTGCCGTGCACTCTCGGGCATACGGACCGGTTCTTCCGCAACGGAAGCATTGTACATTACTTCCTTGTTGCTGTTGATAACTAACAGCCGTTGCATTCGAGAGGTCCACTGGTTCTGGACCTCCCGCTATCGCGACCGGAGGCGGTTGCAGCCTCGGCGCATTCGTATGGAGTTTCGCCTGCCTCAGACTAAACTCCTCCTGCATCGTCAGAGTAATCGCAACTTCGAGAGTATCTGGGTACTCACGGAAGAGATAGGTCTTTACAGGCCCATCTCTCAGACCCTTCATGAACGTGACGACCTTGGTCGCCTCGTCTATCGGTTGGTCACAATGTTCGAGACCAAGTGCCGTGCTCTCTGCGCGTAAGCATGAACATCATGCTTACCCTGTTGTAGGTCGAGGAACTCTGCCCTCGACCGAAACTCATTTTGCGGGGGCTCAAACGCTTGCCTGAGCTTCTCCTTGAAACCCTCGTACGTGCTGAAGCACGTAGGATCAGAGAGTCGGCGTCCATACGCCCAACTTCTCGCTCGTCCGCCAAGACATGACATGGCGAACGCAACCTTGGACAATGCGATGGCAGTGTCGAGTTCGACAAGCCAACGGTGGAGAGGCTCGCCCTCTCTTCCGACATAGTCACTCACGTTTAGCTTCAACGATTGTCCACGCGGTGACGTCTCCGACGCCATCGTGGTAGAGGAAGCAGCATCACGCTGCTCCTTCATGATGAATCCCAGAGCAACACCATGTTGCTCTGTCGGCGATAGCGTACGCAGCATCGCAGCTACTGCCGCCTCCCCCTAGACTGTTGACAGTCGTTGGAGTACCTCCCACTCTGGACCCGACAGGTGGAGGCAGTCAGTGCGTGCAACATGAGTTGCACGCGAAGTGGAGCTTTCCTTGGGCACCTCCGCGCTTATGAAAAGGTTCTCGGCTCCTCGTTCGTACAGCTCCGTACGAACGTTCAGGTAGTCGGTCGTTGGACGGACTACAAAGTGCTACCAGGTGTAGTGGGCCTACTTTGGCTCACTACTACGGCTTGCACGTGTGCGCACGTGTATGAGGAAGCGTAGGTTTCTTTTACTTGAGTTAAGTATACTCGAGATCCACGAGTATACTTTAAACAAGATAAGACTCTAAGTAGCGGATTTTGGTAAAGATGAGAACTTTGACTTCCCCTAAATGTAATGTAATATTCTAAACTAGGAATCTGCCAACGGCTGGTTGGCAGGATTCCGCTAGCATGCAAGTCGCTCATTGGCTAAAAGATGCTGCTTTCAGCCAATAGGAATCCTAAATGTGTATGAACCTCCCGTCGTGGTGGTCCCAAATGTATGTAGCCGTTGGTGTACCTTACACCAAGGTCGAGAAAGTCTTTCGAACCTCTAACAGACGTCGTTATAAGTCCCATGTCCTGCAGAGCTGCGCTTAGTTCCACCTTCTTATCGCTGGTGGGCGGAACATCGTCTCGCTGTCGGTGAGTCAACCCCTTCTTCTTCAGTACGTCCGTGGTGCTTGGAGCTAAGCCTAGGGCCTCCCTCAGCCTAGGGCCTCCCTCAGTTGCACCTTGGCCGCATCTTCTGCGACGAGCAGCTCCGCGTGTACCTGCTGCATCTCTTTGGTATTCAGTCGGTGCGTGTCGGCAGCTGCATCTTTCGTGTCCGTGTCCTGTTGAGTGGCTTCCTCCGACGAGTCGATCACGAGTGGGTTGCTCCTAGACCCTGCTTTCGGCTGCTTGGTGCGCCCCCCCCCCCCCCGGGTGGGAGGATTACTGGCGGTATTGGCCTGTGGGTGAGCTGGACTGGGGTTGGGTACACTCGATCCAGTTGCAGTCGACCGCTCGACTTTGCTGCTACCCCGAGAATTCTTCGAGTCGCCATCAAACCATTCGGCTTCCTGATTTCCTTGCTCATCATGGGTTCTGTCACTGCTTGGGCGCATAGGCTTCGATGTACCGCTTTGGCCTTGGTCTGCTTGCGGGTTCCGCTCGGGAAACTTCTGCTCGTCGTGCTTCAGATGGCAGTTGGCCATAGCTTCTTGTAGCTCAGCCAGACTTGTGACGGTGGCAGGTTGGGCTTACAGTTGGGCCAACGTTGCTTCCGCTGCGACGATGCTCCCGTTGCCTTTCAACGCTGCAGCTGACAAGTTGCAGAGTCTCATCGGATGGCCTAGTCCTCCGCATCGATGACATTGCTGTCGGCCGTGCATGGTCGGATGCTGGACAACGATGACATAGTTGAACCACATAATCCGTTTAATGCCCAATAGCGCATCTGGGCAGCCATCTTGGCTAAAGCTGAGCTCCCAGGCTGTCGAAGTCCATGAGTTGGGTCCACCAAGGTCCAGATCGTTAAGATCGAAAGGAACCGAAAGCGCATATTGTAGGAAAGAGTGGAAGTGGCTCAGGTCCATCGACCTCGCGACATTGCGGAGAATTACAACGTACGCAGCTTCCTGCACCAGATCGCTCGATCGGATCCAAGTTGCCGATAAGAGCTTTGAGGCTCTCAGCAGCACGCAGTCCTTGTGGTTGTCATCCGAAGTCAGGACGCAGTACAACACCAAGGCGCCGAAGAGCTCGTCTTAGCGTAGAAGTAGCCGTATGAGACGAACTGACGAAAGCCGACTTGCGTAGTTTGAGTGGGAATTGACAATGATCGTGTTCATCAAGTGTTGTTGTGTAGGGGAAAGCTTCGCAAGCCTCAAAAACCCCGCAGACCTACTTTGACTATACAGGTCCCCGTTGAGGGGAGTGCACGCATGCATGAGTAATTCCGTGAAGTCCGCGGACCTCTCTCCGGAACTCTTCCTCGCAGCCACCGTCACTCACAACCACCACTTCAACCTCACTGCAGGACACACACTCCTCAAGTGAGTTCCTGCAGCGATCGCAGCCTGACCGCAGTCAAGTCTCGTAGCCGATCCCAGACCGACGCTTCCGGCTTCAGCAGAACTGGTGCATGCGCATTGTTCAGTGCGTGCACATGCCTATGGAACGGGATTGCCAGACCCTCAAAGCGCTGAGCCTCCGCCCTGGTGAAGAGATGTAGGTGGATTACGTGTCGCGCTGCGTTGTAGCTGATAGTCTTCGCCGCCGCTAGCATGCTCCAGATGGCCGGATAGGCGATGCCTCTATTGGTCACCGCAGTTGAGTTGCTCTCCTGGAGGTTGTTGGTACTCTGGAAGGCCTCCGGGATCGGTAACTCCCCTTCGAGGTCCATAATTAGTTTTCCTTCGACCTGGGCCCTGGTGGCACCGATGATGCGAAGTTTGAACTCCGTCGCCATAATACGGTTGATGAATTGGGGTAGTCGTCGACACAGTATCGTACCTTCTACGAGGCCTTGGACAATCCCTTCTCGGAACGCCGAGTCGGTGTGTTTGCCATACGTGGTTTCGCAAATCCGTCGTAGTCGCGTCGTCTCCTCCGTCGAATACACCCCTTGGTGAAACAAGAAGGCCTTCGGTACTGCCCCCCAGGGGACTTTCTGGTATCTTGGTCTGTAACCTTTTGAGCCCACTGCGTTAGCACGGGCACATTCTTGGCGGCTTCTTGAACGGCGAACTTGCCCACTTGCTTACTCAGAACGTACTCTAGAGATTGGCGCGACTTGAAGACTGTAAGACATGCTGCCTCGACAAGCTTTTATCCATCGGTCCACTCCCGTTTTTGCTTAACAATAGGGGTGGGTAATCGATTCAATCGGATTGATCGAGATGTACTTTCTGACCGATCGAATCAGCCTGTGCCGATTCTCGATTCATTTCGATCAGATCCGATTGAGCGGTCGATCCAATCCGACTATCAAGATATAAAAAACAGCAGTAATACCTCCAGAAAATGTTTCTCTAGATATCGCATTTACGTGTGAATAACTTTTAGGCGACCCCCGAAATGACCAATAGCATATGTCCACTCTGATCGCTTATACATGCGATCATGTCCGAAGCTATACAATACCACAGGTTTCGGTGCTTCCGACTTTTTACCGCAGCAAGAAAATGTTTGGCTTTAGATACTGGTGTTACCTATAACAGTGACTTGAAGGCGCTAGATTCGCGCTAAAATCGAGCGCTGTAACAATGATATCGACGCGGTGCCAGTTCCGTATATGATTAAGGCTTAAGGCCTGAGACTTAATCATATACGGAACTGGCACCGCGTCGGTATCATTGCTACAGCGCTCGTAAGCCTACTTGTGTTGTCTACCAACTCGCCCAGCCCATTTAATGCGCTCAGTGGCAGCAGTGTCTGCGACGTAGCGTGCGCAGCGCTAACATCACCTCGGCTATCTTCAGCCAGCTCACGTTGCTCGACTGCAACTCGCCAGCCACCTCCCACGCATCGCTTCCGCTGTTGCAGCTCGACACGCGCTTCAGCAACACGAAGTCGCTCCAGCGCCGACTGCATGGACTCTGTGGCCTTGGATATCATCTTGGTTGGGAGGAGCCAACCGCGTAGTCGCCCCGCACGAAGGGCACACACAGGGCCAGCACACCCACGACGCCGAACTTGAGCGTGGACTCGTTCGGGTCGCCCGAAACGAGCATGTCCAAGGCGTCCGAGGGCTTGGCCAGGAAGATGGTGAGTGCCGGGCTCACGGACGCGTTGATGCAGATCACGAAGAAGCAGAAGACGAGGTCGGTCATCTGGTTGGACCAGTGCCACATCGTGCTGCGCACGACGTCCACGATGCCGTAGACCAGCGTGGACGAGGACGCGTCGATGGCGTGCAGGCACGACAGGAACCAGGCAGCCGAGAGGTTGTGTAGGCGGTAGTGCAGTGCGCGCTCCAGAAAGTCCGTGCGCGCTCCGGAAGTCCATGGGCTTGTCGCGCGTCATGTCGCCCACAGATGATGTGGCCGTACTCGCTGTAGCAGTCGCCCGCGTACAGCACCTTCTTGTCGTCGAGTCAGGACTCGCACGTAGATGGGGCCGCGAGTCTCTCGCGGCGAGAGAAGGTGGGGCTGCGGCTTGCCGTTCGGGTCGGTGAAGCCGCAGTCCGGGTCTGTTGGCCGTCTTGCGGCCTCGCACGTACTCTTCGCGCCAAGAGCGGACGTGGCCTTTTGTTTGACGTGTCCTTTTGTTTTTATTCTGTGATATCGGTTATACAGCATCACCTCTGTGAGGCACAATATCATCGCAATTTCAGCCAACTATCCGTGTTTCACCAGCGTTGTCGAATCGATCCGATTCGATCCGATCCAATCGGATCGAGTCGGAATTGATCTATAGATCATCCAATCCGATTAAATTCGATCACGATCTGTCTTGATCCAATCGATCGAATCGGATTGTAGTTTTGCGACCCATCCCTACTTATGAACAATGTCCTCAAACAAATCGATGAGTCGCTCCTGCTCCAGCTTTTTCAACTTCGGCAAGCGCTGGGCGGCAGCCGTCATGGTAGTTCTCTTGACCGGGCTCCTCGGGCATACGTGGGCAAAGAGCTGCTGCATGAGGTCCAGCAATGCCTGGAGACGCAGTTTCCTGGTACTGGTAGCTTGCAGTGAGTTGAACAAAGCAATTGCAAGCTAGTCCGGCGTGGCTCTTGGTTTCTCCTCAGTGGTTTCGTCCCCCTTCTCGGCTCCGTCAATACTAGCGCTTGACTCCGAAGCCGGTGCCTGCGGTGGAGTCGTGTCCTGTGTCTCGAGGGAGGGATCTGCGGCCGTGTTACCTTCGTCTCTTGTTGCCCCTTCCGCACTCTCATCGGCTGGCGCTGGAGCAGATTGCTCGTGGATTGCGTGTGAGGGCGCAGACTCCCCCAAACCGCTCCTCCCGTCCTCTTCCTCCTCCTGCTGCGTCTCCGGTACAATCTCGTCGCTGTCCTTGTGCTTGCTCTCCGTCGTTCTCTCCGAGCCGGCTGCTGCCTCTGGTTCTGGCTCCCTACGGTCCGGGGGGGGGGGGGGTCCTCCCGGGTCCGGGGCAAGGGAACTCATGGACAGGGTGAAACTACTTGGTTTAAGTATACCTTACTGGCACTGTGCACTTCCAATCCCAGGCCGGGTTGCTGGGGCTTGTCGCAAAATCGAAAGTGGGCTATCAGCACTTCGTCGCTTCCTATCCCAGTATCATTGAGACATCCCCGATTTAGCAGCCTCCAAATCCTCTGTGAGCGATGCTTTAATGGCCAATTTAACAGGACAAACTAATCGGTTTTCACAATAAATCGTGTGACTTTAATTAAATTAGTCAATAGAGAAAACACTGACATGGGAGTAAATATAAAAACGTCGATATCTCAGATAATTGATAAACTCCGGCGAAAGGCTGATGCGGCTAACTGTAAGGAAGGCGATGTAGAGATAAGTAGGCTTGTGTTTGTTTTTGTTTTTGAATTGAGGTTCCATTGGCGTCACTTAGCTAATACGATCGTTGTAAGCTTGTGAACCGGTAGTGAAACCAAGTATGAGGAAAAATGCTTACAGTGATGCGATAGGGCTACTCAATGAGTTGATTGCCATACACTTGTATATTAACCCGACTAGTGGGTATATTAACCCGGCTAGTGGGAGCATTTGTATGTGTAGTATTTTAACCCGCCAGTCTAGTGGGAGCATTAATACGTCTAGTATATTGCTGAACAAAGAAAACAGTTCTGTGTGGAAGGAGAGAAGTGGATAGTTTCCGATCGGTGGTCGCTTAAGAAAATGCTTTCTGACTTTTTTGTTGTAATACTGATTTTGTGCGTTCGTCTTGCTCTGTTGCTACACCCACTGGCCCACGGCTCTGCGGCCTCCGTTGTACGTGCATTCTGTGACAACAGACCTTGCACGCTGCATAGCATAAGCAAGGATCATGTTGTGGTCGCAAGAACAGCGTATCAGCACAAGCACTGACATGCATTGTTTGCCTAGAGCTCAGTAGATGCAAAGCATTGGCCTGAGGCTCACGCTATCCATACTTATGTACCAGCCTCCGCTTCGCTCAGTCTCCGAGCCACAACGCTCTGCGTTGAGCTCGACATATCAGTAAGGATTATTGCTAACTTACTGCGGAGACGGCTATAGCTAGAAACCTGCCATAGCTGGAAACCTGCCAGCTATAGCTGTCTCCGCAGTAGCAATAATCCTGGTAAAATCTTACCCACAACTTACATTCCTGATATTATTGCTATACATGATACGACTGTCGTCCACGGGTCGTATCAGGTATGCAAGGTTTATCTGTAAAAAATAACTTCCAAAATACAGTACAGACAATCCTCTTTGGAGTGATATCCTGAATAGGGATACCCCTCTGGTTAGCACTAATGGAGGCTCGACGACATACAAATTCAAGTCAAACATTCTCTAACCTCCGGATAGTGCTTAGTGATACGAGATTGGGCATTAGCTCTATTAAGAGACCATTAACTATGAGGATGTCCATTTCGTAAAGCATGTCCGACGTGGGTCGCTTGCGACCTTGAATGGACTTGGATTCTCCGAGTTAGCGGACATATTATTTTAATAAACTTAAAAGTTTTGCATGATGAGATTCTGGAACGTGCATTTATCGTTTTTGCATGGGCGCTAGACTAGATTTCGCGTTGTAGCTACCTGTTCAGTCCTCCCAGTTCCATCTGAATAGTGCCCAGTGTCTCACCACTTCTCGCGCCATATAGTAGATATATTATAATGTCCAGCGCAACAACTACTTGTATCTAGCGATTCGACCACGTATCGAGTGCAATACAACGTCACCATGTGCCTGAATGGTGGCAATCTCACTTGAACGACAATGTACAGCCAATATGGTACAGATCTAGATAGTGATGCCTCTGCATAGTGATAAAAAGTGGTCTCCCGAGGCTATCACTACAAAGAGGATCATGAAATGAAATGAAATGAGTTGCGTGTTTCGCGTAAGTTAGCCTAGTTACAGTGCTCCGTCCCAGACTCTATATTACTAGGTAAGAGGATTATCTGTGCTGTAATTCAGTCCATACCGTCAAATTCCAACGGGGTTGGACTGCTTCCAACCAAAACCGGTCTAGCAACGGTATTAGGTTTTTTGTTCAGCTGATATTTAACCTCACGAACGCCGATTGGATTCTCGGCCAACAGTCCAGAAGCTTCCAGGTTAGTGCTGCGAGTCGTGCAACACTGCTTGTGCTACCTGTGCTGACTGTGCTGCTGTTGTCTCTGCGTGTACACAGGCGCTGCTGGCCGCTGGGCCGTGTGTGCTGCTGGGCCGTCTGCGCTGCTGGGCTGCGTGTGCTGCTGGGCCGTGTGTGCTGCTGGGCCGTGTGTGCTGCTGGGCCGTGTGTGCTGCTGGGCCGTGTGTGCCGCTGGGCTATGTGCGCTGCTGGGACGTGTGTTGGGTTGCGCCTGTGCGCTCTCGTGGCGTGTGGCTCAAGTGGCCGAGGGTTTGGACGAGTATGGTGCTGTTGATGGATGCGACTTACCCGCGCCCATGGAGCTCGTGAGGTTGAGCGCCAGGCCTTCGGGCCTGGAGGATCGGGTTCAAACCCCGACATGGGCATCAAATATTATGTGTTTTTGCTTTCTTTTTGGACAGGTCGGCTAAGAGAGTGCGTGCTACTCCTGCTGTACGTATTGTGTATCTTATTGACTGTTTAGTGTGCTGCGTGTGCATTTAGGTGAAGCGCAGGAATGGCGGAAGGGCAGAATTGGGTGTCGGGTCGACGACTTCGCCTTCATAGTAGCGCTCGCGAAACTGGTCAAGGAGGACGGAAAGGTGGCCTGCTTTGTGAAGCGCACGCATGGCTTTGACGACCGAGCCAACGGCTACAGCCTGTGAGCCTTGTGCAGCCAAGTATTCAAGGGTCTTCTTCTCGGCTTCGACTCCAACAGCGTGTACCTCCGCCTTGTACGCTGGCGAGGCCGGATCCAGCTTGAACCCAGAAGGTGAGTAGAGCATCATGAATGCAACTGCGTGTCGTGACTCGTGAAGGATGGCTTTGCTAACTGTTGTTGATTCGTACATGCGTGGTACAGCAGTGAACCACTCGAACCACACTGTCGATAGCGCTTTGGAGGCACGTTTGCGCGCGCGCTTTGGCTGCGACTGCTCAACGTCTTCGTGCTGCTGCTCGGTAGTGTTTGTTTTCTTGTCAATAGATTCTGCGTTCGCCCCCAAAACAGCCAGCCTTTCCTCTACGCGTGTTTGGCGGAGCAATAGCTCGTCGAGCTGCTGCGACAGCTTTTCGAGAACACGGATCATGTTTTGAGAGGACTCGGTTGCTGTTTCTTGTTTCTCTTCTGCAGGTGGATTAAATGCAGCTCGGAGGGTGATCGACCATGCCAACAGCTCGGAGGTCTGTATGTTGAGGACACCAAGGGCTTCATGAATGCGACGGACGTACGGGCTGTCCAAGCGATGGCGTTCCATCTCGGGGAAGGGAAGGATCAAGGTCGCCATCAACACTTCGAGCACCTGAGGATCCAAGTTCCAAGACACTGTCGGAAAACCAGTGACAGCAGCGAAGAGTAGATCCTGCAGCTTCTCCACGCGCGCTCGGACGACTCCGTCCAGGGCGGTAAGGTCTGGAAGTCGGGCGCCCGCTTGCGCGTTCCACCTGCTCAATTGGCGCGCAACTTGTTGATCTTCGTGTGTTGTGTTCAGCATGTAGGAAAACGCCTTGCTCACGCGCGACATATTCCAGCCCCCGCGTTCAACAACCCAGTTCGGGCTAATGCGCCTGTCGGCGTTGGCGTGCATGGCCCCACCTCTTCTGAAGGAGTGCGAGGTAAGTCCCTTCGTGAGTCCACTCTCCTTTGCTGCTGGCAGTCCACTAACCGTGACTAATAGTCTATTGATATAAGCGTGGGCACCAGGGGCCGAGTTGGCTCGACGTGGCTGTGGAGTCTTGCATGTAGGTGCTTCCGCAAGCTCGCGGTCTAGCTGCGCAATCAGCCCCAGCTCGCCATCGTCATCTTGGTCGTCGGACGCGGACAGCGCAGGTACGGCAGCAAATTGCGGGAAGATGCGAGTTTCTGGAGCGGGTTGAAGGGCGAGAGCGACAGCTAGCACGTGTAACGGGCACGTGAAGGGATCGTTAGGATCCTTAAACAGGGAGATTCCCTGTTGCGAAGCAGTCTTCACACGCTTAAAGCGGAGAAATATCATACCGCCTAGCATATACGCACAGAATTGTCAGCATAATTCGTGGGGTTAATTAATACAAAAATTCAAAATCCTGCACGGGTATACACACAGCTGCGCTTTCTCCAATTGCTTAGCCTCAGAACCACGACCGTAGAGGTACCACCTCAACGCCACTAGCGCCGCATCCAGGTAGTCGGAGTTGGCGGGAGCGTGCATGTAGGGAGCCGAGATGATAGTCTTTATATCTTTCTTAGTACATGGTGGCGCTTGTTTCGTGACACCTTGCTCCGGCCTCTTTTCACAGTACCGATCTAGAGTTGATAGCATCTTTTGCAGCTTCTTAGCTACACATTGGCTCTGTTGCGGGTACAGATCCGCCAGCCAGTTCTTAACATTACCAAAATAAGATAGCACAGTGTTCTTGAACAGAGCTACTCCTTGCCTTCCTATTTTTTTCACTAAGAACCACCCATACTTATCCAGAATGACAAACAAACTCTTACCTGTGCTGTCCTTAGAAATACGATCATGCACTTCTGTGAGCGTCACCTCCTTCTTCGCAAGGAAGTCTTCGAAAGACTTCACAGCCGTCGCTCTGCTTCTCTGGCTGTTCGCAGGAACTAGCGATGCCACCGACATGCCTGTGTGCGTCGGAACGCAGAATGGAGTCGGAGATGAGCTGGCAGGGGTTGGAAACCTATGAATATTTATTCTATTTGTAGTTCACTTGATATTTGTATGGCATACTCGATATCAAATCGCGTTTCCAACCAGATATTGTTGGAATGTTCAGATCAGCGGTTGGCAGTCATTCCCTCGATTTAATTGGTCGAAATTTTAAGCAACGGTAGTGTCTATTGGTTGTAAATGCTAAGAATCGCAGATGACACACTCCTATTGGCTGGAAGCACCATACAAACTTTAAGGTATTTTTCAGGGGTTAGAATCGCAGCGATATGCTACCGTACCCTGTTAGTAACAGGAAGTCGGTAACAGGCTGTTACCGACTTCCTCCGCTTGTAGTGGACAGTCTTATATACGAGCGCCCAATCATATCACAGGATTTGGAGGGCCTTCTCGACTCCGATCACAACTTGTGAGTCACAAGTTCCGCACAAATCATTTCGATACGTTTCCACCGGTAATGTATCGGTGCGATGGAGCTTCCATTCATTTCACGCAGCTACGGATGCAGCCTAGAGCTACCTGGACGCGGTACCACTACCTATGCTAGTGTTAAGCGCTGCTGCGGCACACGTAGACTATACAGACGTTCGGAGAGTGGTTTGCTTGCATCATCCTTACTTACTCGACGCTGTTCCCATCAACCAATGTCACATGTTACCGAGTTAAGACTTTAATAAAAAATTTACCTCAAAAATGGTCTGAAGGCAGGGCAAAGCATTGCAACGGCACTAGCCTCACGCGGGCGCGTGCCGCTCAAGACTTTGCAGTGGCAGCCTGTTGCCTGCGGCGTGGTGTCAAGCGCGACAGGCTCGCTCAGCGGCGTTGTGCATGACCACCAATAAAGTGAGCAAAGCGCAAAAAAGTGGCAGCTAATCGACTACTGGTACCGGTACCGGTTGCCAGATTCGGCATATCATTTTTGACGGGTGGTACAGTGTGCCGGTATATACCCTGTCCACTACACTGTAAACAAGCAGAGGCGGAGGAAGTCGGTAGCGTTTACGATGAGCGAGAATGCACATGTCAAGCCACTGGTTTGAACGGAAGCCAGCCTCCGTCTGTGCCTCCGTCTGCTTGATCAATTTATAGATGGGACACACTCGTTAAATTTCGTCTATACTACTGCCTCGGTTTACCAAAATGCGCATGGTTAATTATCTGCGTACTCTTTCCCACAATCATTGCCCTAGATCATCAGGATACGAAGTAAGCTTTGCTCTTCCCAATAATTTGTGGATAATCCACTGGCTCCAGCTCTAATTAATATCTGTTGTCGCTCTTCATTTCGCGATTCGCCCCCCAGCACTCAGACCAACAAAGCGACAGCTACCGACGGAACCATGCGTCTGTTGTTGTGGGTGCTGCTCGCGACTTTGGTCACCTTGCTCTCCTCTGCTGATGCCTTGAGTATCACCAATTCCGACAAGAAGCAAGTGTCTGTGCTCGACTCTGGCAAGGATGCGACGTCACGTATGCTCACTGCGGACTACGAGCTCACCAACGTCAAGCGGTCTCTGAGAGGCGAGAGCGAGAAGACCAAACAGGATGAAGAGCGCATGGGAAATTTTTTGGTCAAGATCAAGGGATCGATCCAGAAACTGAAGGATGCATACCGCGCTCATATTGAGAAGCAGTTCGTGAAATTGGATCTCATAGACAAGAAAACTCCGGACGACCTTTACAAAGAGTACAGAAGGGCACCGTGGGGAGTGAGCAAGTTGAAGAAGAAGGCCTACAAGGGGTACGCGGCGTACTACAAGCGTGAGCATCCAAATTGGGTCTCGTCGATCCCAAAAAAGTGAGGCGTCCCCAAGGGATTCTAACGTTGGTTACAAGTGCAAGAGGTTCTAGTCGAGTCATGATGGACAGGGCATAATTTCTATGACAAACCATACTTTTTCTTAACGATTTTCTTGTTGAGCAAAAGTAACGCGCTGATTTTGCGTTCTTCATGGAAACTAAACACACACAGGTACCAGTAGTATTATGCAACTTACCTTGCTCCCCCTGAGCGATGCACTTTTAGGAGTATTACTAGTAAAATACTCTTGTTGCGTATGAAGCAGTTGTCACTGTAATGTTGATAAATCTCGTGGCGAAACGCATTTAGGATATACTTTTAGGTATTTAAAAATACATGTACTTCGAACGAAAAGTAGATACCTCAAATATTACGTAGTGTCATCGAATACGTCTTGGTGACTTCGGAGCTCCCTCAAAAAGTATCTCAAAGAGAGCGATCCTAAAATTGAAAGAGAACAGCTACTAGTAACTCGTCACAGCAACTACTTAAAGCAAGCTACTTCGAAGTGCAAATTTCTTTCTCCTCTAACGTTCAAGCTATCTTATCCTGTGACTTATTATCTATTATTATTGCCGCTGCGCGCTTGTTGTTCTACTGTACGTGCCCTATTGCACGATGCCGCATTTGCATCATTACTCAACACGCGTCTCCAGTTCCAAGTCTCGTCTTCCAACAATCGACTATGAACCCTGGATGCAGTGCGACCTCAATAGTTACTGCTGCTGATTTCAAGGAGAAGATTGAAGTATATCAAGAAGTTCGCCAAGAAGCAGCAGAAGACAGCGCGCCACAACTTATTCCCGTGTCACGACAAGGAAGTCGCATAGATCTGCGTTCGACACTGAAGCAATCCGGTCAGGATGACAAGACAAATTCTTCACACGTTGACGCGCTGCCCGCTGAAGAAATAAATGGCGTAGTGGGTCGATGTGAACAACACGAAGCAGGAGTACGCGAAGAGAAGGACGTATTCCGTGCACAAAAGATCGACATCCAGAAACTCATTTGCCACCTGAAGCCGCGAAATGATAACCTGATGGACCCTTCAATTCGTGCGTTGTGGAGTGCGTGTATCGGTAGCAAGACTGCCCGTCTGCAACTTCTCGATTTGTTACGAGAGGGGTCCGATGATCAAAAGGAGATCACAATGGACGTTCTGACACTCCTTACCGACGACGGCTACGGCGAGAGTATCATGCGCGCTGGAGTGATTCCTCACCTCATCGATCAGTTGAAATCGGACCGACGTAGCCTGAAGGAAAGTGCTGCGTACGCTCTCTCAGCACTTGTGGAGCATAACGATCACATCGCTGCTGAAGTAGTTCTTGTTGGCGCTATTGCACCCCTCGCAGCACTTTTCCAGTCCGGATTCGACTATGGAGTGTACGCACTGGCGAAGTTTGCAAGCCTCAGCACAATCAACGCAGGTGCAATAGCGGATGAAGCGGCAATTGCTTCGTTTGTTGTTCTGCTGAAACACGGAACAGATGAACAGCAGAAAGCAGCAGCACTCGGGCTGCAGCATTCTGCCTCCACCAGTGACGAGATCCGGATTGAAATTGCTCGAGAAGCAGGGACGGCGTCGCTCCTTTCGCCTTCTCAACACCCGGATGTGGAGAGTTGTAGGCTTTGGCCTTCAAGGTTTGCGCATAAATCTTCCAGTATGAAGGCTCTGAAGGCAAACCTAAGGCACAATGCCCGGCGAGATTTCTCGAGCAACCACAGTTTGGGCTGATACTTCCCGTGTTGCAAAATCAGCAATCGACAGAGTATTAAATCTCATTTTTTATTCGTATCATCACGGACACTGACAACAGTCGAAGATGTTTTATCCAGCTAGTCCATTTATTGTAGATCATTGCAATGTCCATTCCAACTTCTAAAAACCTTACCCAGAAACATTATCCGGTCCTAGCTAAGATTGTGGGATGATACGTTCGCTAACCGAAGAAACTGTACTAAGAGTACTTCGAAGCAGGAGCAGGACTGTACGGTCCGTCTTCGTCGAAGCGTTGGATCTTAAAAAGCAACTCCATAGGACCTAAATGCTACTACCTTATCTTATCGAAATCTTGTGCAGTTTATTTTGGTCTCGTCCTGTGCAACATGTACCTTGAGCTCTTATCGCTTCGAGGCTTCTGGGATCACTGTCCTGGTGTTTGATGACCATTCCCGAATTCGATCAAGTCCTGCCAGTTTGTGAACTCCCAGTCTGACGATGGATACCCGACTCAAGCAACTCGCAGAGAACGCGTCTGTAAAACTGGAGGAGGCCTTCGCCTCGACAGTCACGTTTTGCTGCGATCTCAAGGAAGACTTGACAGTCCACCACTATATCACTCGCCTGGACGACACCTTCGAGCGCGACAAAGTGTCGGCAGCCCGCGAGCTGGGAAATCTCGCCAAGAGCAGCAGTAAGGCCCGCGCCGAGGTGACGTCCAACGCCGGTTGCTGCTCGCTGCTGCGGCTGCTGCGTTTCGGCGACGACGAAGGGAAACAATGGGCCGCGTACGCTCTTGCATACACGGCACTCGACAACGAAGAGAATGCAGCTACAATCGCAGAAGACGGTGCTATCGAGCCACTCGTGGGACTTCTCTCTGGCACTGACGGGCAAAAGGAATATGCAGCTCTGGCGCTGTGGATTCTCGCCAAGGACAGCTCCGCCAACCGTGAAGCGATCGCCATGGCTGGTGCCATCAAACTGCTCGTCGCACTTCTGCAAGATGGAGCCGACAATCTCTTGGAAAGCGTTTCGAATGCACTGGGGAGTCTCGCGACCGACTCGGACACCAACTGCGCTGAGATCGTTCACGAAGGAGCGATCGCTGCTCTTGTGGCTCTTTTGAGGAGAGATTCACCCACATTGACGGAATCTGCGGTGTGCGCATTGTGGAGGGTTGTGCAGAGCAACAAGGCGTGTGCAGCTGAGGTCGTCGCAGCTGGAGCGATTCCCCTTCTTGGTGCACTCCTCCGCGGTGCTAGCAAGCACTGGGCCATGAAACTTCTCGCTGCTGTGTCGGGCAATATTGACGCAAACTCCGCCGAAATCGTTCGCGCAACTGCGATTGCCCCTTCAATCGAGCTTCTCCAGTCCGGAACCGACGAAGAGAAGGAAGCTGCCGCTGAGCTGCTCGCTGCTGTCGCTGGTGTCAGCGCTGTTATCCGTACGGACATTTCAAGTGCAGGCGCCATCCTGACTTTCGTCGGATTGATTCGTGAAGGATCGGAGCGTCAGAAGGAATACGCCGTGCGTGCGCTAGCGAATCTGGCAATGGGCAATGAATCCATCAGCTCTGAGATCGCATGCGAAGAGGTGATCGTTTTGGTGGTGAAGCTGCTGAATTTCGGGACGGAAGGGCAGCAGGAAGCTGCAGCACGGTTCGTGCAGAGTCTCGCCAAGGATAACCCTTCCAACCGTGCTGTGATAGTCGAGCACGGAGCGATTGCTCCGCTTGTGTCGCTGGTCCGACATGGAACGGACCAGCAGAAAAGTTCCGCTGCGCTTGCGCTCGGGAGTCTGGCGGAGAAGAACGAGGCCAACAGCTTGGAGATTGCGCGTCAAGAAGCCATCAAGCCGCTGGTGGAGCTGGGTAAATCAGGCTCTGAAGAACTGAAGACGAGCGCTGGGTACGCGCTTCGAAGCCTCGCCGGCAGCAACAACAAACTTCGAGCTGAGATTACTCGTGAGGGAGGAAAGGCGGCGCTAACGGTGGTGAAACCTGGATCGGACGAGCAGAAGGCGGGGTCGGCGAAGATAGCGGAAAAGCGTTCGAGCTCCAAGCTGCACAAGTCTCGTAGTTTCAGCCAACGCGTCCGCGCAATTTTCTCAAGCAAGGCTTAAGGCGAATGATCTTGGTAGCAGATGAAGTGACGACATAAGTATCAATAATGTATCGTATTCTCTTCTTTCTTTCTTTCTTTCTTTCTTCTTCTTCTTCTTATCCTTTTAACTAAACTAATAGGCAGTCTCTGCTACAGTTGAGAGAAGCGTTGCACCGCCAGCCAGTAGCAGGATTCGTCCAGAAGCACAGGCTTCTTATTCTTCTGCTGCTGTTTGTGCTGCTTCTGATGTCCCGAGTGTTTCCCTGTTCGCACTGCGATGACATTAGACTGAGACCCATCACCACGATTTCTCTTCTCCTTCCTTATAGGCGTCTCCTCTGTCTCCTCTAGTCGCCGCTTGAGCGACCGCAGTGCCGGCAGCTTGGAGACGTCAGACTCCCGCGGTCTCTTTCTGGTCGTGGCAGAGGCCTCGGGTGCGGCGTTTTCTTGTGTTTTCTCTGGCGTCTTGCATGAGCCTTCTTCTTTTTCCTTATCAGCTGGAGAGACCAACCTCGCACGGGTCCGCGGCAGCTTGAACTCGCGCTTGTTCAGCCAGGAGGAGTAGGCGCTGGTCGTCATTTTCAGAAGATTAACGACGGTTCAAAATGCTCGTTTTTCCCGCCAAACAAAGAAACTATTTAAAGTCATGGGCATGCTCTTGTGAAGGCTCTCTCTAAAAGGACAACTTCAACGTATCCTGTGATATGATTGGTCAGCAGAGTTATAGTGCTGCATCATTCTCGCATCATTCTCATCCTTCCTGTGATAATATTGGGAGTGGCGTCTTCCACCTATTTATTCTTGGCTGCGATGAGCCTGGTCAGGTGGGGTTCTATTACTGTTTGAGCTAGCTACCTCAGTCGCTCAACACCCCGCTAGCCTCTTCGCTCTCTCTTTCTGCCCATAGCTATGAGCTTCATCCTCGACCTGGTGATCCCTGGGGCGGGGGTGGTGCTCTCGTCCATCCTGGATCTCTGCTCCGAAGTGACCGAAGGGCAGGAAGAATGCAAGAAGCTGTACGACCGGCTCAAGACCATCTTCAACGAGTTGTCGAAAATGGAGGAGCACGGCCAGCTGCCCTCGAGTGAGCCGGTGGACAAGTACAAGAAGGTGCTGGCCGAGTACCTGCTCTACTTGCAGCACTACCGCGAGCAGAAGCTGGTGAATCGCCTGATCGACCATCGCACGATGGTGGACGAGCTCGCGCCCATCTACGAGGAGATCGACAACCTCTTCCGGATGCTGAATCTGGCCACGACAGCGAGTATGATGGAGTGGAAGCACGAGTGGAAAGCAGATCGACAAGTGAGCCAAGAGATGATGGTGGCCATTTTTGCTAATACTCAGGCTCTACTCGAGAAGTTTCAGAGACAGGGACAACGAGATGAGGTGTTGCAGTCACAGTCGGGTGGTCCTCTCTCGTATGATCAAGTATCTGACCGTCCGCTACTAAGCACCACCAATGTGGTTGCGGATCTCTTGAACAAGCTCACGGGTGGAGATCCTGCGGACTGGGAGCGAACGATGTTTCTACTTGTTCAAGCCTGCGTTGAAGAGGAGAATCGGCTGCTGCTGTACAAGTTCAATGGCGTGCAGGTGCTTACCAGCTTGGTGCGGAATGGGCGCACCTATTTCACGAAGGTGTATGCATTGGAGTGTCTGGCGTGGTCAGCAGTTGCCGACTCGCAGTTGACTGAAGTGGAGTTGAACGCGCTTCGAGATTGTGTTGGAGATGCTGCATCGGAAGAGCTGACACAAGTTGTGGACATGTTGCAAAGTGGAACTGGCAGTGAAAAGACTGAAGCGGTGGTCCGGTGCGCATGCATTTGTACTGCAAGACACCCGAGTGAGCAGACATCGTCTACTACTACAGCTTACTTGGTCGCGCTGTTGAGAAATGGGAGCGATACGCAGAAGTTGTGGGCAGCTGAAGCGATAAGAAATATTACGGCGGAGAAGGAGTTGGTCAGCAACGATTTCGTCGAGCAAGATGCTATCGGGCCGCTCACAGCTCTTCTCTTGGTTGGTACGAAGGAGCAAAAGCATCGAGCGGCATACGCACTGGGTCACCTTACTGCAAACAATGCGAATGCAGGAGCGTTGCTAGCTGGAAAGGGAGTAAGCTCACCATTGATGGAGCTTTTCCGAACGGGATCCGAAATTCAAAAACATGCGTCACTATACCTGCTTGGGTACCTTTCCACTAACGCTAGCGCGGTCTGTGCGGATATCGTACGCGAAGGAGTTGTCGGATTACTTGTTGCATACTTGCGCGAGGAAACCAATTCCCTCACGAGTTACGTGGTCTGCATTTTGGGGAATCTAGCTGCTGAAAGCGTCACAAGCTGCATGGAGATTGCACGCGAAGGCGCCGTAGTACCGCTTGTCAAGCTCCTGCAATCTGGAAATGTTGGCCAAAACGTGTATGCTCCACGCGCACTGGCGAAACTCGCGAGTAAAAGCGTTGAAATATGTGGAGCCATTGCTCGTGAGGGCGCCATTGCGCCGTTTGTTGCTCTATTGCGAAGCGGCATTGAAGATAAAGCGTGTTGTGCAGCGGATGCACTAGGAAGTATCGCCCAGAGCAGTGAAGCATATTGTGCCGAAGTCGTGCAAGCGGGAGTTTTCGCGCCACTTACTTTGCTTTTAGGTGCAAAGTCGAATGACGAGAAGTTCTTTGCTGCGCGGGCGCTGGCAAATATTGTCGAGGTGGATAAAGCGTATGGCCCTGATATCACGCGTGAAGGCGCTATTGCTGCGCTCACGACTCTCGTTCGAGACGGCACCGAAGACCAGAAACATTATGCAGCGCGTGTGATAGGGAAACTGGCAGAAGACGACCTCGCAACCAGCGCAGAAATCGCTCGTGAAGGAGCGATTCCACCACTTGTTGCACTGTTGCAGCTTGGCACTGATGAACAGAAGTACAGTGCAGCATTCGCACTTGGGAATCTCGCGAATGAAAATGACGTCCGTTGTAGAGAAATCCTGCGTGAAGGAGTTGTTCCGTCCCTCGTTGCACTGCTGAAGAAGGGAAGTGGCGGCCAAACGAGCCACGCTGTGTTTGCACTGTGGAGTATGATTAATGTCAGCCAAGAAGCTGCGACGGAGGCTGTAAAAGCTGGAGTTATCCCTGATCTGATGGTTATCCTACGTTGTGGCAACAAGAAAGGCAAGGCTCGAGCAAGGGAAATCATCAAGATTCTGGCGTACGACCAGACCGATTATGCTGCTGAAGTTGCGCGTGAAGGGGGGATCGTGCAGTTCGTTTCGCTCCTTAACTCACAAGACGATGAAGAGAAAGAAGACGCAGCTCATGTCCTGGGATATCTCGCCAATAGCAAGACAAACCGCGATGATATCGCCCGCGAAGGCGCGATTAAACCCCTTGTAGCGCTTGCACGGAGTGGAACAGAGAAGCAAAAGGGTTTTTCGGTGAGAACACTAGGAAATTTGGCCTACGAGAACGAGGCGAACAGCGTCAAGATTGCGCAGGAGGGAGCGATTGCACCACTGGTAACACTACTTCGTACGGGCACTGACGATCACAAGGAGTTTGCGTCCTACACCCTAAGACAACTTGCTCTGAACAACGACGCCAACGGCGACAAGATCGTGGCCGAGGGTGCTGTCATTCCTCTTATCGAGCTGCTTAGTACGGGGACGGACGCACAAAAGAAAGACGCAGCTTGTGCACTAGGGAGTATTATTAACGTCACGGACGAGAAGGACGGTGGCGGAAAAGAGAGTGGTGACCCGATTTCGCTCTTGCTCGGACTTCTGCAGTATGGGAATGAGGGGGAAAAGGAGAGTGCGGCGTATGCACTTGGAATAATTGCAAGTCGCAACACCACCAACGCCACCCGCGTCGCGGAAGCCGGAGCTATCAAACATCTCAGTGCGCTATTGCCCGCCGGAACAGAGGAGCAGAAGCATTGCGCCGCCTACGCTTTGGGGATGCTCGCGAACAACAACCGCGAAAACTGCATCGCGATCGCACGAGCGGGGGCTATCCCCCCACTCATCACGCTGCTGGGATCTGGGACGGATGGTCAGAAGGAGAGTGCTAACTACGCGATCTGGAGACTTGCGAGTGGCTATGATGAAAACGCTGTTGAAATCGTGCGTTCGGGGGCCATTGTACCTCTTGTTGCTGTTCTACAAAACGGCAGCAACGAACACGCGATTATTCGGTCGTTGAGAACGCTTTGTATTCTTGCTCAGGATAATGAGGCAAATTCCGCCGAAATCGCGCGTGAAGGAGCAATAAAGAGGCTGGTTGAGCTCCTTCAAACCGGAACAGAAGAGCAAAAGGAAGCTGCTAGCCGAACGCTAGGCTACCTTGCAAGCAGTAACGCGCCAAACCAAACCGAGATTGCTCGCGAGGGAGCCATCCCGCCATTAGTCCGATTTCTACAAGTTGGAACTTCTGAGCAGAAGGATGCTGCGGCTGATGCATTGGGGTATCTTGCCATGGGCAACGACGAAATCCGCATGGAGATTTCTGGAGCAGGTGCCATGGCGCCTTTGGTTACGCTCTTACGCACGGGAAATGACGACCAAAAGGGAAACGCCGCGAGTGCACTCGGAAGTCTGATCAGCTTCAATAGCGCATGTACAAGCTCGGCCGATATTGCACGCGAGGGAGGTATCACCCCGTTCGTTGAACTTTTGGAGTCGGGGACAGCTTACCAAAAGCGCTTGGCTGCTCACGTTATTGGCCACCTTGCCAATACGAACGCTGCAAATGCCGCCAAGATTACTCGAAAAGGAGCCATTCCACTCCTTATAAATCTTTTACGAGATGGCTCGGATGATCACAAGCAATGGTCGGTGTACGCTCTCGGAACCCTTGCGAAGAACTACGAGGCGAACCGCACGATGATTGCAAGTGAAGGCGCGATATCACTGCTCATTGGGCTACTACAAAACGGAACTGATGGCCAGAAGAAGTGGGTCGCATACACACTCGGGCATCTTACAAGAAACCACGATGAAAACTCGATGGAGATTGTCCGCGAAGGAGCCATTGAGCCGTTGGTGGTACTTCTTGAAGCTGGGACGGACGGCCAAATGGAGTTTGCGGCCACAGCACTGGGGAATCTTGCGTTTGGTAACGACGCGCATCGTGTTGAAATCTCGCGTGAAGGGGCCGTCAATCCGCTTATCGCGCTTGTGCGAAATGGAACAGAAGAGCAAAAAGAAAATGCAGTGTGTGCCTTAGTGCGGCTTTCCCGGAACCACGACGTCTGCGGTGAAATGGTAAGCAAAGGTGTTATCGCTCCCCTGGTGGATTTGCTTCGAAGTGGGACGAACGAACAGGCTGAATTTGCTGCAGACTTGGTCTGGAAGCTTGCAAGTAAAAGCGAAGAGTACGTGGCAGATATTGTTCGTGCTGGAGCCATTAAGCCCTTGATCGCACTTCTGAAAGCCGAAGCTCTAGGAGATAAACAGTGGGCGGTGTATGCACTGCGGACGCTCGCGAAATTCAGTGATGCGAACTCTGCTGAGATTGGACAAGAAGGAGCAATCGCCCCCATGGTTGCGCTTCTTCGAACAGGAACGGATGATGAAAAGGAGGCTGTAGCTGATGCGCTGGGGTACCTCGCCTCCAACTGTGCTGCCAACCGCGTTGAAATCGCGCGCAAAGGAGCCGTAGCTCCTCTTCTGAGTCTTCTACGAACAGGAACAGCACAGCAGAAGGAATGGACGGCGCATGCACTCGCGTACCTTGCCATGAACAACAACGAAAATCGCACTGAAATCTCAAGTGCTGGGGCAATATCACTGCTCGCAGATCTGGTGAAGAGGGGAAACAACAACCAGAAGGAGAACGCTGTGCACGCACTGGCAAACCTGATCAGCTACAAGGACACCAACTCGGCTGCGATCGCTCGAGAAGGAGCAATCGGGGCGTTCATTACGCTGCTTCAAGACGGAACGGACGAGCAAAAGCGACTGGCAGCCGGCGTGCTAGGACATCTCGCCAACACCAACGCTACGAACCGCGCCAAAATTGCTCGTGAAGGAGCCATTCCGCTGCTTGCTGCATTTCTTCGAGATGGAACTGACGACCAAAAGCAATGGGCGGCCTATGCTCTGGGCGCTATTGCCAAAGATAACGAAGCTAACCGCACTGCTACAGCGAAAGAAGGGGCCATCTCGTCACTAACTACTCTGCTGCGTGCTGGAACTGCTGCGCAACAGCAATGGGCTGCTTACGCACTGGGTTATCTTGCCAAGAACAATAAAGCCAACGCGGCTGACATTGCAAAGGAGGGGGCTATCGGACAGTTAATTGGCTTTGTGGAGTCTGGAACCGACGGTCAAATGGAATGTGCCGCTCGAGCATTGGGGCTGATTGCAGTGGGGAATGAAGACAATCAAGCCTTGATAGCGACCGAAGGAGCGATTGTACCGCTCGTTTCGCTATTGCAAGACGGAGCCGACGATGCGAAGGAAGCTGCTGTCGATGCACTGATGTTTTTGGTGACAAACCATGAAAAGAATTGCGCTGACATCGTTCGTGAAGGCGCCATTCCACCACTCGTCAAGATTCTAGAAGCTGGAACGGATGGTCAAAAAGAGAGCGCTACGAAGCTGTTGATCAAACTTGCCAGAACCAACAATTCATACCGCACGTTGGTCGCAAAGGACAAAGCGATTGCACCGCTTGTTACCCTGGTCAAAGGCGGCACCGACGAGCTAAAGTGGGACGCAGCAACAGCTCTAGGAAGTCTCGCGTACGGCCACGACGCTAACAGAGTTGAGATCGCTCAGAAAGGGGGTATTGCTCCTCTCATTGCCCTCGTTCAATCCGGAACTGACGACCAGAAATCCCAGGCAGCGCTCGCTCTCGGTAACCTCGCGAGTGACAACGACTCAAACCGAGCTCAGATCGCTCGTGAAGGAGGCGTACCCCCGCTTGTGACGTTGTTGAAAACTGGAACCGATGAGCAGAAATCCCACGCCGCTTTGGTGTTGGGCAATCTCGGCAGCGACAACCAAGCCAACCGCGTCGAAATCGGTCGTGAAGGAGGCGTCGCCCCTCTCGTCGCCCTCGTGAAAAGCGGAACCGAGGACCAGAAATGTTACGCGGCACTTGCGCTGGGGAATTTGGCGAGCAAGAACGACGCCAATCGAGCCGAAATCGCGAAGGAAGGAGGAATAGCGTCGCTGATGGTTCTCGCTCGATCCGGATCGGACGACCAGAAGCTGTGGGCGCAGAAGGCCGTCAAGAAACTTTCCAGCCCGAAAGTGCTCAAGTCCAAACTTCGACTAAGGCTACGATCCCTGTTTTCGTAAGTCGCATACGGGTAGTGTCACAATTTATTACAGTGACACCTCTATAAATGACACCCAGTTCGCTCGGTCTAAGACGCTGTTTCAGTTAAAGAATTGAGCAGATAAAGAAATGGCTACACTTCTAATGGCTACATTTTCATATGTTAGGTGCACAAGGGCTTTCTTTACCTGGTACCCCTCCAGCATTTTCGTACTCTTGTTTTGTTTCGTCTTCACACAATCAGAACTCAACCAATAACGGTAGGCGCGGTATTGTCTGTTCCTATTCCTTCTTATCATTGGTATTAGCAGAGTCGCATCCCCTCAGGTCGTACGTGAGTTTCAATACAGTGAGGTTATAGGAATATTTGTTGTCCCGATATCCTGCCACCATGCCTGCAGTTTTATCTTTTGCTTGGTATCTACTGCATAGCCCCTAGTTGTCTCGACATCATAATATTTTAGTTTTTCGTAAAATATATGTGTACGCTGCGCTGATTGTAAAATACTGTGGCTAGCTTATTTATCAGTATTTAGTCACTGCAAACTCTTTGTTCCAACTTAGCATCCCAAATAAAATTTCTCTCTTCGCTCGATTTGTTGTGGCGGGAGTAGTGGTAGCAATGGCATACGTGGGAGGAGGCAGGCAAGTGATTGAGAAAAAAATATATGAGTTTGGATCTATTACTACAGCGTCCATTTAGAGGGTTGAGACACCAATAATGGCGACCATTTAGAGAATAAAGAGGTTTTTGATCAGTTATAGAACACCTATAGTGAAATCCATATAATCCCGTTTGCAGTCGAGGAATCCTAACCGGATAGGGAGCACATGGTCAGTTAGAGGGGTTCATTTACGGAGGTGTCACTGTACTTACATATTTACATAATTCAATATATAATATACGCATTATGTCATTTACGGCCTCAAAGCTCGTGCAGCCACTCATGGTGTCGGTGGCGCACCTCCTTGTTCCTGGGAGGACCCTCTCAGTACCGCAAGCGCTGGCTACATGTGAGCAGCAATGCGCTCATATGAGAGAAGCCCAACCGGCCTGCCAGCACCTCCACTCTCGTCTGGTGGACATCTTTGACACCATCCACAGAAGAAGCAGCGTGGGAAACCCGCACCATCCCGAAGTTTTAATGAAATTCGCCATTCTCGTGTCCAGCTTTGTGGATTTCTTGGAGCGCTACGACGGACAGTCGCTGGTCTATCGCGTTATAAAGCAACCGTCGATTGTGGACGAGTTGCGCGAAATTAATGAAAAGATCGGCGAAGTGTTCAATTCGGTGGGAATGGTGACGACTATGAGCTGGAAGGAGCAGTTTGGAGAGGACATTGGCGTGCTGAAGGAGGTGCTCGCTGCCATGGCGAGGGATGGATCCGTGGTTTCTCGAGAGTTGAAGGGCGCTCGCGCTCGAGAAGAAGCGCTGCTGATGCTCAAGTTTGAGCTGGAGCAGCGAGAAGAGCAGCATGGTGAGGACCTTGTTCTCCTCATAAGGACCATGATGGAGACAGTCGGTGAAGCATCGAGCGCGACTTTATCAGCTTGGTTCGTTCCTTTGTACTGTTTGGAGGTGGAGGTTGATCCCTTCGCGCGTGGGAGTTTCGGCTCAGTGCATCGTGGTGTTTGGGGCTGGGGCGTTGCTGTTGTTGTGAAGCGTGTCCAGATCGACGACATGAAGATCGGCGAGGGCGTCCAGCGTAAGATTGCTAGAGAAGTGGGGAAAATGTATGAGCTGAACCACCCGAATCTCATCAAGATGCATGGCGCCTCACACGTTGGTTCACCGCCTTATCTAGTGAGTGAAAGGGCAACTAACGGGAATCTCGGTACGTATCTAGCTCGGTCGGCGGAGAACAGGCAGCAGATGTGGGTGCTCCTGTACCAAGCAGCTATCGGACTTGACCATCTCCACAAGGCAGGAATTGTGCACGAAGCGCTGACGTTGAACAACATTTTGGTGGGAGGTGATGGAAAAGCGAAGCTGACGGACTTCGGATTGAGCACGATGCGAGCGCACTCCAGTTTCTCGAGGTCTTCAACTTGTGGTTTGCGCTAGCGAGCTCCAGAATGTCTGAGGTGGCAACCTACATTTGCGTCTGACGTCTACAGCCTGGGCATGTGCATCATTGCAGCGGAGATCGGACAGTCTCCTTTTGCCCTCCTATCTGACGATGACGTTCGCGACAATTTGAGGAGGGGCGAAATCCCTGGTAAGCCAGACAGCATGGCAGCCAACGCGTGGGAGCTCGTGGTCTCTATGACGAAAGCTAATCCTACAGAACGAGTGTCGCTCGGAACGGTGATTGATCGGCTGCAGGTTCTTGCTCGCGTCAATTCTGCAGAGCTATCTCCGATGCAACCTGTGGTCCACTTGAGCGCTTCACAAGAAGGATCGCGGCTTGATGCTGATAGCGAAGACGACGAAGGCAGAGTGTCTTCAGACCAAGAATCATCGTCAAGTTTTGACTGGTCAGGGGCTCAAAGTCCAGTTAGCAGCCCCGTGCTACCGTCGGATAATTTCTCGGTCAGTACCGGTCTAAGCACACTGACCAAAGGCAGTTTTGAGGAACAAGAAAGCACGTTGATGCGTCTCATTCAAGCATGCCTCGATCCTGAACAACGGAGGGTGCTGGAGGAGTCTAATGGATTCCCAGTCTTGGTTGAGATGTGCAAATACGGCTCGACAGCCTTCATTCAAGTATGCGCTCTGGGCTGTCTCGGTTGGTGCACGGAGCTTGATTGCTCGTTCCCCGAGAGTGAGTTCGAAGATCTACAAGAACATGTCTGCAACTCGAATTCTCAGGACTATTCAGACTTTGCGGCTGATTTACGTCACACCAGTGCCAGCGCGAAACGCAAGGCCGTGATATACTGCGCATGTGTCGCTGAAGCCAGAGGCAGCGAGGCACTGCAAGACGCTGGCGTTGTGGCACCTCTTGTTGCTTTACTTTCGCACAGTGATGAAGCTGTAGCTTTGTGGGCGATGAATGCTGTGGGCAATATGGCTGACAATGACGCTATGAAAGATGCCTTCGCACGTGAAGGAGCTATCGCATCATTGCTGGAGTTAATAAAGACTGGTACGAATGATCAAGCGGCGCTAGCTGCGTATGCGTTGGGCCGTTTGGCTAGCGACCACGATGGTAATAATGCGGCAATCGTTGGTAGCGGAGCGATATCATGTCTGATCGAGCTGCTCAGTGGTGATACAGACACGCAGAAAAACTTCGCAGCTTTTGCGCTGGAGATACTTGCAGAGGGTGATAACGAAGCCAACTGGTCTCTAATGGCTAATGGAGGCGCTATTCCCGCCCTGATCGACCTTCTGCGCACTGGGACTAGCATCCAGAAGTCCCACGCGGCTAATACGTTGGGGTCACTGGCCAACAGCGACGAAAACTGCGTGAGAATCGCTCGTAAACGAGTTATCCCGGATCTCGTGTCACTGTTCCAACGAGGAACGCCAAATCAAAAGGAACGAGCGGTGGGGGCCTTGCATTTTCTATCGAGGAACGCCGAGGACAGTGAGCGCATGGTGGATAGTGGGGCTATCGCGGTATTAGTGGGGAGTCTTGAAAGTGGCACAGCGGAACAACGGGAACACGCACTTGTTGCTTTGGGGGGTCTCGCCTCAAACAAAACTGAGAATGGGGAGGCAATAGTGGAGAACGGCGCTATTCATCAGCTGAAAGAGATTCTTCGAACTGGAACTGAGGTCGAGCAAGGCATCGCAGCGTTCACGCTGGGGCTACTGAGCAACGTCAGTAACACGATACGGCAAACTATTGCTGATGCTGAAGCGATGAGGCGGCTTGCTCAGCTTCTTCCGACTGTTTCGGGGGAGGAGAAAGACCAAGTGATGAGTGCGGTGTGTTTTCTAACGGATCATGGCAATGGAGACCTGCAAGCGATCACGAGCGAAACGATCGTTCCGCATCTGGTTGAGTTCGTGAAGAAAAGGTGTCCAAACCACGAATCGTTTGCTGCGACCGTGCTGGGTCGCTTCGCTAGTGACGAATCCTTCAGGTCACTCATAGGCGCCGAAGGCGGAATTCCGCCCCTCGTAAAGCTGCTGAGGACTGGAAACGCCGCGAACAAAGAGAAAGCAGCAATTGCTCTGGGTCGTCTCGCGGTGGGGAATTCCATGAACAAGAGCGAGATGGCGATCTCGTTTTTGAAAAATCTTTGCAGGACTGGGTCGCGGCAGCTGAAGCGCAGTGCGGCGACTGCTTTGGCCGAATTGGAGGGTGGTAGTGAGCCACGACCGAGGCAAACGCGTCGACGTGTTGGAGCCTGAGTCTCAGTACTTGCGACAACAACGCCAACCCCGTCGCGACAATTCTAAATCTAGGAATTAGAACCGTCCAGATCCCATTTCACACATTACCCCCTATATATAATAATCGTTGTTCCCAAGGTAGAATATCCTCACATACAAATACCAAGACGACGTACAGTATCACTAAGAACCACAGCACTTCCATGGCGACGTCCGCGTACCAGTCGTGGCTCAAGAAGCGCGAGTTCAAGGCGCCGCGGCCGCCGCCCAGCCCTTCGTCTGGTCCGTCCGCCGCCCATGAGCCCGCTCCGTCCAAGGAATCGGCGCCAGACGCCGCCAAGTCGCAGCAAGTGCCGCGACGTCCGTCTCCTGCCAAGTCCGGCTCGTCCCGCGCCGTCTCCGCCGTGGAGCGGACCGCAGTGGCCGTGAAGCACGTCGCCCGACCGTCTGCAGTGGGGAAGCGCCCCCGGAGTAGCTGCGAGGACGCAGCAGGACGGCAAGATGGAGCTAAAGTTGCGGCAAGACAGAAGGAAGCTAAAGTTGCGGAAACTTCAGTTGCTGGAGGTAAGGTTGCTGCAAGACAGGGTGCAGTGCGGAAACGGCCGTGGAGCTGGAGCAACAGCGGAGGAGATGTGGAGACGACCAAGAAGAGACGGAGAAGTGGACAGGAGCAGGTGATGAAGGAGACGGCGCTGAAGCTGGCCAGTGCCTCCAAGGTGCTGAGACTTTCGTCGGCTAAACGGGGGCTGGAGAGGGCTGTGTGGAGTGGGAGGGTGGAGACGGACGCTAAAGTTGCTGCAAAGGTCACTGCAGAGGTGAAGAAGGTGCGAATCATGGGGCTGCAGAAGGAGAAGGAGGGGGTGATGAAAAGGAAGCGGGCAATTGTGGAGCAGAGTGATGAAAGTCGTGACTCGACGACCAAGAGACTGCGGTTTGATGTGGAGGACCAGGAGAGTGACGAGGAGAGGACACGAGGTGGATTGCCGCCGAAAAGCCCCATGCAGAAGAAACCGAGGAAGATGCGCACGGCAATGCTGGATGAGAGTCAGTACTGGATGGCGGTGGACAGGTTCTCGCACTTGACCTAGTTGTTGGCGCCTCAAGGAGGGCGTGAGAGCAGTTGTTGTTCTGACGTTGTGGGATGATTGGCGAAATTAATCGGGGGTCTTCAGAGTAGCGGGGGACATAACTGGAGAGAAACAAGCCTGACATCCTCTTTTTATCGAGCCGACATCTGCGTCATTGAAGTCGGTCGTTGAAGCCAAGTAAATCTCCTACTAATTCGGTAAACCTCCAATTTGAGCTGATGTGTCCAAGAGCGATGGCAGTCTACGAATAGACGCGCCATGGAAACTCCTGCGAAACCACCGCTCCCGTAAGAAGGCGATTCCAGTACCAAGCAACCAATATTTCAAACGTGCAAGCCCCCACGAAGTCACTCACACACGTTTCATTCAGCTAGCTGCTGGTAGTAGCGTCTGCAATGAGCGGGCTGCTTGATCTGGCTGTGCCTGGGGCGGGGTCAGCAGTCGACGTGCTGCTCAAGATCGTGCAGCTGGGCAACGAGATGAGGGAGGTCCAGCAGTCGTGTAAGAGGCTTCACGGCAGATTGGACGTTGTGTTTAATGAGCTGAAGATGATGGAGGAAAAGGGACAGCAGCCCCAAAGTTCCGCGGTGGACAAGTATGTGGACGTCCTGGCCAAGAGCTTGCAGTGCTTGGAGCACTATCGCGCCAAAAAGCTGGTGTTCCGCCTGCTTGGGTACCGGCAGATGATGGGGGAAATATACCAGATCAACGAAGACGTCGAAATGTTCTTCCGTGTATTTAATCTCGCCAGTACTGCTGCCGTTATGGACTGGAAGCAACAATATGAAGCGGACCAACGAGCTCAGAGGGAGTTCATAGCTTCTATGGTGCGAGACTAAACTGATCCTACAAGAAGACAGTAAGTCAATGCTGCCACTGGATACACGATCTCCTGTAGTTCCTGCGAGGATACGTGGTGGGGGAAGATGTGCGAGAACCGATGCGTGTCAGCGCACTGTCCTACTGGATCAGCTCACTGTGACGCGAAGAACGGGACTGTCAGTTCATGTGACCACTGTGACGATGGCTAGTGGGGAGAAACATGCAGTGCTCGTTGTTCTTCCCTCCATTGTCCTGTTGGGTCAGTCAGCAGTGACGCTGTGGACGGCACTGTGAAATCGTGCAGCCAATGCGACGATGGTTGGTGGGGCCGTTCTTCGCGTCACAGTGAGCTGATCCAGTAGGACAGTGCGCTGACACGCATCGGTTCTCGCACATCTTCCCCCACCACGTATCCTCGCAGGAACTACAGGAGATCGTGTATCCAGTGGCAGCATTGCAGCTCGTAGTTCCAGGCGGACAGTGCGGTGACGAACACTGAATTTCGCATTTCAACCCCCCCCACCCGTCGCTGCAGGCGCTGCAAGAGGTGACAGTACCACTACCGGCATTGCAGCTGACTGATCCAGTGGTGCAGTGAGGAGAATAGCACGGGTTCTGGCAAGTCGTCCCCCACCAGCCATCCTCGCACCGTTTGCACGAAGTAGCAGACCCCGTAGTTGCGTCACAACTGACTGAGCCAACAGGACAGTGATCCGACGAGCATTGAGTCTGACAGTAAGTTGAAGACACCTACCCGACAGACAGAATTCCTCTACGCGACTCGATACGAGCTAGAGAAGCAACCGGATGATGAAACGAAGCAAATACTGTGCTCGACAGTTATGCGTGTCCAAGGCAGCGGTGAAGAAACTTCCTCAATGGTATTTACCTGCTGATGTTATCGAGTTTGAACCGGAGGCATTTGCCTGCGGGTCTTTTGCTTCTGTGCATCGGGGCAAGTGGGGACATGGTACCAAAGTGGTCGTGAAGCGTTTTCTTGTTGATGGCATGGCAGTCGACGAACGGACAAAGCGCAAGATCGAAGCGGAAATGAACCTGTGGTACCAGTTTAAGCACCCTAACGTAATTCAGATGTTTGGCGCCTCGCACGTGAGCTCTCCTCCGTTCATTGTGTGCGAAGATGCGACTCACGGAGACCTTTGCTCCTTTCTCGCCGAATCGGAGACCAACAAGAGATACATGTGGCAGCTCTTGTACCAGGCAGCGCTTGGGCTAGACTACATTCACCAGGTGAAAGTAGTGCACGGGGATCTCAAGCTCAACAACATCCTTGTGGGCTCGGACGGGCTGGCAAAACTTTCAGACTTCGGACTCAGTACGATTCGAACTTGCTCGACACTGTCAAAGCCATCGGGGAGTCTAGAAGACAGTGCGGGTGCTTTGCGATGGAGAGCTCCAGAATGTTTGACGAAGGAGCCAACGTTCGCATCGGATGTATACTCTCTGGCGATGTGCATTCTTGAGGCCATAACTGATCAAGTTCCGTTTGGTAGACTGGACGACGAAGCTGTACGCGAGAATCTCCGGAATGGTAATATTCCGGTGCGCCCCGAAGGAATGGGCAATGAGTCGTGGGAACTCGTGGTAGCGATGACGCGCACCGATCCATCGAAGCGTATGCCCCTCGCACAGGTGATCGCGAAGATGAATAGCTTCAACGAGACTGAGCTGGAGCTCCAAGCTACAACAAGGCGATGCAGTGTTTGCGATTCAGAAATAGTCGGGTGGTCCGCAGCACAGGCACCAGCTTCAATCGACGGAGCGACGACTGCGACTCGTTTGTCTGACGTGACCGTTTCTGGAGTCGAGAACTTGGTTCAGACGGCACGTACCGGAAACGCTTTTACGACTCTCACTACAGAAATTGCGGCTGGTGATCCTGGGCGAATTGAACGTGCGCTATTGGTACTTCTTCAACAATGTGTCAATGAGGAACAACGCGAGTTCGTGCACAAGGAAGACAGAATTCCGATTCTTACTACACCTTTGTGCGGCTTACTTCGTACCAACGTGCAATCAAATCCGAAAGTCGCAAAATTCATATTGCAAATTTCTAGTTAGCAACTTCAATTACGCATTCAAAGATAGAATTACGGCAATCAAAGTTGGACCAGAGGTCCAAGATCTCCATGGCTACGTAAGCTGGCGTGCTGTGCTCACGCCAAAACGGAAGACGGAGCTGCGCTCGCGCCAAAAGCAAGGGCGCGCGGTTTGGCGCGCACTATAGCCGACGCCGACCGAGGGGAGCTCACTTCGCAATTCGCCTTCTTCTTCGCAGATGTCCCTCCAAGGCCGCGTTACTCGCCACACCGTCCTCGAGAAGCAGCGTCCTAAAATCCCGCATTAAGCGAGACTTGGCTACGCAATCTACGATCGCTCGCGTGAGCCAGACAGCAACGGTGAGATCCTCTCCATTTCGGAACGCCAGATGCACATCCTGGAGCGCGCCGCGACCGCTAACATGAACGTGATGACCCCAGCGCTGGTGGCCAGCATGGAGCTGCACTGTCGCGACTTCGTCACCAAGGCGAACAACGAGGACATAGTGTACGGCATGTAGCAGGGCTCGTCGGACCAGTAGTAGTAGCCTACTTTACTGTACGAATTTGATTGCCGTAATTCTATCTTTGAATGCGTAATTGAAGTTGCTAACTAGAAATTTGCAATATGAATTTTGCGACTTTCGGATTTGATTGCACGTTGGTACGAAGTAAGCCGCACAAAGGTGTAGTCTGGTGAGGAACGGACGCACATACTTTACCCAGCTATATGCTCTGGAGTGTCTGAAGTGGTTTGCGCTCTCTGCTGCGAGGGTGTCCAAACTGGAACTGAGTGCGCTACGAAATTGCATTAAGGATGCTTCGGCATCAGAGCTGGGAGCCGTGGTGTTCGCTCAGCAAGGTGATAGTGATGAACAAAAAGAAGAAGCAGCGGTTGTCGATGTGCATGCATGGCTCTACAAGGAAACTGCGACGGTTGCGAGAAGCTGGGGTAGTGGGTCCGCTGGTTTCCTTATTGAAAACGGGAAATGACACATTGAAGCTGTGGGCTGCTGAAGCAGTGAGAAACCTTACCATACATGTCAACCGGAATCGAGAGGAGATGATGAAATCGGATGCAATTGACCCGCTCATCGCACTATTGGTAGTTGGAACAGAGCCACAAAAGCTCGTAGCAGCTTTCGCCTTGGGAAATCTTGCAATAAGCAATGATGCGAGGGATGAAATCGCAGGAAAAGGAGCGATTGCACCGTTGGTTACACTTGTGCGTTCAGGAAGCGACTCACAGAAGTACGCAGCTGTTCAAGCACTGGGAAATATGGGCTCATCGAATTTACTACATGATGGATACGGGACGGAGATTACACGCAAAGGCGGAATCGCACCGATTGTGTCGCTGTTAAGAAGTGGAGCTGATGTTCTGAAGGAGGCCGCTGCGTACGCTTTAGGTTACCTTGCGTACAGCAGCGACGCAGAGGAAGTAATGGTTGAGGAAGGAGCCATTACGCTGCTTGTAGGACTCCTGAGCGAGGGGACAGACCAACAAAAGTATTTAGCCGCCAAGACATTCGGAGTTCTCGCAAAGTACGACCCTACCAGTAGCGACATCATTCGTGAGGGAGCTATTCCGGCATTAATCTCGCTTCTACGAGGAGGGACGGATGAGCAGACAGACGGTGCTTCCTACGCGCTAAGATTCCTCGTAATTTCGGATGAAAACCGAGCTGCAATCGCCCATGCAGGGGCAATTCCACCTTTAATCGCGCTTATTCGCAGCGGTTCCAACGAACAGAAGGAAAGCGCTGTGCGTGCATTGTTGAGCCTCGCTGAAGACAACGACGAGAACCGTATCGCGATCGGAAGCGAGCGAACTATCCCCCTACTCGTCGAGCTTCTTGGAAGTAGATCGGATACACTCAAGCGTCACGCGGCGACTCTGCTTGCAAGTTTATCTCGTGTCGAACAAAACCTGGAGGAAATCGTTCAAGAACGAGGTATTTCCCCGCTTATCTCCTACTTGGAAGCTGGAACAGAGGATCAAAAGCGTTTGGTAGCTCATGCGCTTGGGGATGTTGACGTGGAAGAAATTGCAAGCGAGCCTGACATAGTGAGCGAGAGCCCTATATCACCTCTGGTCGCGCTACTTCGAACCGGGACAGATGAACAAAAACGTTATGCTGCGACTGAACTAGGGAATCGAGCCTGCGACCCGGGCGGACGAGCTGAGATTGGACTCAATGACGCGATCCAACCTCTCATGAAGCTTTTACAAACGGGGAAAGATGAGCACCAGCGTTTGGCGTTGTTTGCCCTATCGAAGCTTGCTATCGGATTCTTTAGCCGAAGTGAAATTGTGAACTGTGGGGGCATCCCCATTTTCGTGAGGCTCCTGCGAAATGGAACAGACGAGCAAAAACAATATGCTGCCAGCGCTCTGGGGTACCTGCCCGAGCTAAGTGACGAAAGCCGCAGGCTGATTGCGAGCGAAGGTGCTATCGCACCACTAATTGCTCTACTACGAGGTGGAACTGACCCCCAAAAGGATGGTGCTGTGCATGCATTGGCAAACCTTACTAGACGCAACCCTGAAAATTGCACTGGGATCGCGCAAAGGGGGCTATTCCGTACCTGATCCCGCTGCTTCGAACAGGAACGGACGCTGGGAAGCGCTTGGCGGGCCTCGCACTTGGAAATCTTGCACTGATTGAGGAAAACCACGCGGAAATTATTCGCGAAGGAGCGATCGTGCCTCTCATCACTATCTTACGAGCTGATGTTGACGAACCGAAGGAATGTGCTGGGCAATCTTGCGGTTAATGATACGAACCGCGTTGAGATTGCTCGTGAAGGAGCCATCCAGCCTTTGACTGCGCTTCTTCAGGACGGCACTTTAAGTTCACTAAAGCGCTATTCCGTCCTGGCATTGGCCAATCTTGCCGACGGCAACGATAATAACTGTCGCGATCGTCCGTGCAGAAGCTATTCCGTCTCTTCTCACTCTTTTATCCGATGGGACAAAGGAGCAGAAGGACGAGGCAGTGCGGTTGCTTGTCCACCTTTCATTCGTTGGAGAAGTCGGCATGGAGATTATCAGCAAGGGAGGCATTCCACCTCTCTTAACTCTTCTACGAGCTGGATCAGAGGACCAAAAAGAAGCCGCAGCACGCGCACTGGGGAATCTCGCTCACGGCGGCGAAGCGAATGCTAAGGAGATCGCGCGTAAAGGGGCGATTCCGCACCTCATTACACTACTTCGAACTGGAACGCAAGACCAAAAGCGCTATTGTGCACTTGCGTTGGGGAATCTGGCGCGCACGGACGCCATCAGAGGCGAGATTCTAAGCAAAGAAGCTCTGAAGCCTCTTGTTGCACTACTGCGAGATGGAACCGATGCGCAGAGCTGTGCCGCGGCACTTGCAGTGGGAAATCTCGCTGATAGCAGTGGTGCCAATCATGGTGAATCGCGCGGGAAGGAGTTCTGTCATTACTCGTGACTCTAGTGCGCGACGGCACTTCTGAGCAGAAACGATGTGCCGCTGGTGCGTTGGCAGTGTTGTCGAGAAATAATGAATCAAACCGTTCCGAGATAAAGGGAGAAGGCGGCTGATGGAACTTGTTAGAAGTGGCACAGATGCCCAAAAGGAGCTGGCAAAGTCGGCATTGGGGAACTTAAACGCTGGTGGTTGCTGCGTTCTCTTGTGATCCAAACAAAGCCGTGCTTTGCACGGGGAAGCTCTGGATTTTCGAGTCTTTTTTCCATTTTTTATTTACATGCATTGTGCTTTGAAGACTTTTGGTACTTCGGACTGTAACTTGTACGACTTATTGATAAATCGTACTCGAGTACGAATTGCTGAAGTCGTGGATGGTCAATCAGCACTAAGTAGTGAGCATACGCCATCTCCTGCATGATTGAGCACATCAGCACCTTTTGGCAATTTTAGAAAGTGCCATTTCCGAACCAAACCGGGTTCGAGGCTCGACTTAGCAACTCGCATTCAAGGCCACTATGATTTACCGCTAAGTGCGAACACAAGTAGTGCACTACATACTGGATGCAAAGCACAATACTTGGGCTGTCTACAGGGCCGCTCGCTTGATATGGGTCGTGATGTTTTGATGAACGTTTACAGGTACAGTATTGCCCCACTTGTGTATTCACTAAACTTCGTCTTCAATATATTTAATAAAGTAAAAGGGATTGTAGGTTTCATCAAGCGCACGTACAGTTGGCGTTTGTAGTAGGTGGCGGCTTTCTTGATCGACGTCTTTGACAAAGACTCTGTGCTCAATGAAGCCACCCAGTTTCGCCGGTTGTGCCTTGTCGATCGTTTAGATTGCTCGTAGGTGATCCTCTTTCCGCGCAAACTGATTATCAAGCGGTGTTTGAGGTGTAAACCACTCACTACCAATAGGACACCGGAGAGCACGCCAAGCAAGGTATCATTAAACATGGTATTGAGTTGACATGGTGTTCCGCTGAGTTTCGACTCGTCGATCTTAATATTTAAAGGGTTAACGCGAGACTCTGATTTGTTTAACACACATGGTTATTTTTAATCTATTGGAAGGGTGGGGGGCGTCGGTCTGTATAGTACAGGTTGTAATGAAGGCTCCACTGCAGCGTGTTCATTTACAATACAACTCATCAGAGCAACGCGATTGAGATCCTCCAACACTAGTCATTGGGCGAAAGCCCCATGATGGCGAGCTTACTTGCAGTGTTTCCGGCGTCCTTGCCGCTCAAATATTTAAATGAGGGCACGCTAGCAAAGTATATATTGGTGTGCTGATGAGGCATTCATCTCACTTATATCACGTTCTACTATTTGCTTCCACAGTTTAGCAAAGATCCTGCTACGGTTTCCGAATACGGTAGCTTTGTTTCCTCTGGTAAGTATACCTCTAGTATTTAATACTCTGGTATATGATATTACAGGTACATATGGTTGTTGCTCGAGTGAGTGAGTTTCATGATCATCATTATGTTCGATATGTATTGGGGCACAAGCAACATTCAGTTTTGTCGTGAAATGATTGCGTCGGTTTAACGCAAACATAAATCTATTATGGTGCTATCATTTCAAAATTGGTAGGGTTTTTGGAGAATAGTCGAAAACTGGCAACGAGAAGAATACATTCATAGACTTCTAGAAGTATCAGTGTCGAACTTAAATTGGCTTGGCCGTCACTGACGCTTGTACAGCCATGTCTGACCGAGTTCTGTCATCCCCGATAATGGTTCGTTCCTGACCCAGTCCTGTCACTAGCTAGGGTCGCTACCTTCTCCCAATGTGTCTGATCATAATTGCGAGGCGTCATCTTCGCTATTCGCGGCAGAACTTTGGCACTGCATGAAGCGCTAAATAGGTGGGTGTCGGTTCTTTTACAATGCTATCCTCATCTTCTGAGCATGGTTGATGTTCAACATTGCACGAGATCCGCAGGATTTCCCGACGGCCATTTTCCTGCTCGCTCACTCCTGTTCAAGCCTTCAACAAGTCCCCGCGGTTCTCTTCAAAGTATGAACACCTCACTGTCGAAGATCCTGCAGTATGGCGACGACATGAAAGAGATCCGCCATGTATGCGTGAGACTGCACCTTCGCCTGGATCATGTCTTCAACGCGATAGGGAAAATCGAAGTCAGCGACCAAGTCCCCCAGCGTGAAGCGCTCGCCATTGTTCTGGCCAAATGTGTGAGCTGCTTCGAGCGCTACCACGACAAACGTCTAGTGCGACATCTTTCCAAGTACCAAACGCTGATGGACGACTTACGCGCGGTCAACGAAGATATCGACGGGCTCTACACCGTGCTCAAGGTGAATCCTCCTGCTGCGATCGCAGACTGGAAGCAGCAGTGGGAAGCTGACCGACGCGCCCAACAGGAAGTCATGGAGCCCATCGTGCTGCTCAATCGACTGGCAGTCGAGCCGATCCGTCCAGGTCTGGATCAGGAGGGGGAGGTTCAACCGGAAGCGAAATCCAAGAGCTGCAACGCTTGCAACGCCTCGATTCCTGGCGACCAACGAGTGTGCTCTAGCTGCGGCACCTACGTGTTTGACATCTTGGGTTCAAGTCTAGCCGCGTCTGAGAAGAAGGCAGACACTGAAAACCCTGTGGACAATTCCGAGACCAGTCCTCTTGAGAACAACGACGACCCGGAGAGTACGCAGGAAGACATCACGCAACTCTTGGAGCACGTGAGGACTGGAAATGAAGATGAGAAGCGAGTGGCAACGGAAGAACTCGCCAAACTCGTCGTCAGCCACGACGAGATCCGAGCTCACATCGTGGAAGAGGGCATCCTCCCCCCGCTGGTCCACCTTCTTCGCACCGGAACGGACAGGCAGAAGTCCTGGGCCACGAATGCTCTGGTGGAAGTCGCAGCTATGAACGACGGTACGCGTGCTGCAGTAGCGCGTGAAGGGGCCATCCCTCCCTTAGTCGCGCTAGTGCGGGATGGCACTGAGGAGCAGAAGCGATTGGCAACCAACGTCTTGGCGCATCTTTCGTCCAGCAACGCCGCCGTAAGAGTCGAGATCGTTCGTGAAGGTGCCATCCCGCCGTTGACAGCACTGGTACAGACCGGAACCGACGCTCAGAAGCAGTCGGCAGCGAATGTCTTGGCGCATCTGGCCAGCAGCAATTTGGCCTTCAAAGCCGATATCGCTAAGCAAGGAGTGATCGCACCGCTCGTCAGTCTGGTTCGCACTGGAACAGACGGACAGAAGATCTGGGGTGCTCATGCTCTGATGAACCTCGCATCTCGAAACGATGCCAACCGAGCGGAGATTCTTCGCCACGGAGCGAAAGCCCCACTGATGATGCTCGTGCGTTCGGGTACAGCGGAGCAGAAGGTCTGGGCGTCGAAAGCCATGGACAAACTGTCCAGCACGAAGGCCATCAAGGCGAAGCTTCGTCTTGGCATCCGCAACTTCTTCACCTGCAAGTAAGAGATAAAAAATAAGGTGGAGTCGGGGTAAGAGAAAACATTTAGTACACTAATAAATTATCTTTTCACATTGCACAAACAGAAGAGCTCCACAAATAACCGGCTATCTTAGCAAAGTTGTGCTTGTGGACGTGGAAGGCATTCCTTGTTTTAGCTAAGCTGTTAGACCTCAAGAAGTTCCACAACAAACGGGTTGAAATGAGCGTCCTGCTGGACTTGGCGGTCCCCGGCTTGGGGTCGGTGGTGGATGTTCTTCTCCTAATTGTGCAGATCGGGAAGGAGATGGTGGAGGTCCAGCACGCGTGCGCTCGCCTGCATCATCGACTGGAGCTGACGTTCAATGAGCTACTCAGCATGGAATGGAAAGGCCAGCTGCCTCAAAGCGACATGTTACACAGCTACGTGGGAATTCTAGCGCGAAGTTTGGGATGTCTTGAGCACTACCGATCCTAGAAGTTGGTCTACCGCCTCATCAAGCACCGACAGATGATGCACGAGCTTTTCGCGATCAACGAAGACATCGACGTGTTTTTCCAGATGTTTGCTCTAGCGACGACGGGTGCCGTGATGGACTGGAAGCGGCAGTAGACAGCTGAGGAGCACGCACAGCAGCAACTACTGTCTGTCACGGCTGACAACTCGGCGCTGATATTACGCGAACTCCAAGACAGTCGGGTCCAACCTGAAGCGCTGCTGGCACTAAAGTATGAACTGGAAAAGGGCAACCAACGGCAAGATCGAGGGATGATCCAGGTCATGAGCTCGATGAAGAACCTCATCACGCAGGCGGCCAATGTGTCTGATGAAAAGCTACCGCTGTGGTATCTTCCCTCTCATGAAGTAAAATTTGAGTCTGACGAATCCGATAGCAGACCTGTTTGTCCGGCCACGTGGGATGGAACGCACGTAGTCGTCAATTTCTTTGTCGACGAGGACAAGGAGGCAATTGAGAGAGAAATGGACATGTGGTACCAGCTAAACCACCCAAACATTGTGAACATGTTTGGAGCCTCCCACGTCAGCTCCCCCCCCCATTTATCGTTTGTGAGGACACGAAGAACGGCAATTTGTGCGAGTTTCTGGCCCGCTCAGAGCAGCATAAGCGACAAATATGGCGACTGCTGTACGACGCTGCGCTCGGGATAAAGCATCTCGACAAGAAGAATATCGTCCACGGTGATCTAAAGCTCGCAAATATTTTAGTGGGCGTTGATACGAAAGCCAAACTGGCGGAATTTGGTCTGAGTGCAGTGCAAAACACCTTCGTTCCATCTCAGATGACAGCATACGCAAAAGCGACGGAGACCTCTTTGCGCTGGCGAGCGCCTGAGGGTATGAGGAAGGCTCCGACTTTCGCCTCTGACGTGTATTCTTTCGCGATGTGTATGTATAATAGAAGCAGAGGCCAACCAGATCCATTGGATGATGAATCCATCCGCGAACGTCTCAGGAACGGCAAGCTTCCGGATCGACCAGATGAAATGACGGACGAAGTGTGGGAGCTCGTTCTCGCCATGACCAATGCGGATCCTTCAAAGCGCATGGGTCTCCAGCAAGTGATTGACAAACTAGCAGCACTGAAAGCCAACGCACCTGAAGTGCGCCTGGAAATGACAAGTCTAAACGTAAGTGAACGTGACCCAAGTGCCACTGCTGATCTTATGGCTAAACTCTCCACTGGACTTGACACGGAAAAAGAACGCGCTCTCTTGCTCCTTCTCCAGAACTGCGTCAACGCGACGTCATATGCAGCTTGAATGGTATCCAACTCCTGACTGCACTTGTAAGGAATGGACGTACCTATTTCACGCTCTCGAGTGTTTGAAGTGGTTAGCGATCTCGACTGAAAGAGTATCTAAACTAGAACTGAGTGCACTGCGAGATAGTATCCAAGATGTCCCCCACCAGGAGCTTGACGTAGACGCACTGAATCATGGCACAACAAGGAGAAAGAGAACGCAGCGCTACGGTGCGCCTGCATTGCACTAAAAGGAAGCTGTCGAGAACTTCAGAAGGCTGGGGTGATAGAGCCGCTTATTGGGCTACTTAAAAGTGGTGATGATACGATTAAGCTTTGAACAGCAGAGGCACTGAGAAACCTCACTATCGACGATGAGACCTGCAGATCTGCGGTCGTGGACAACGGAGGTATCAGCCCACTTCAAGCGCTTCTGATACTTGGTACGGATTCACAAAAGTTGGTCGCGGCTTCGGCGTTCGGGAATCTGGGCCTGAGTGCCGATGCTAGTGAAGCCATTGCTCGGAAAGGGGCGATCGCTTAGTGGCTCTTGTGCGTTCGGGAAACGATTACCAAAAGTACGCCGCGGCGCAAGCTCTAGGGAATATCAGTAACGAGACCGATGCGTACAGCGCTGACATCATACGCAAGGGTGGTATTCCGGTGCTTGTCGAACTCTTACGAGATGGGAACCATTATTTAAAAGAATGCGCAGCGCATGCGTTGGCTCGCATTGCATGCAGTGAACACGTCTCGAAGGTTATTGTCAGCGAAAGGGCTGTCACTCCACTTGGTGTGCTGATGCGCGAGGGCAGCGGTGTTCAAAGGCACAAAGCTGCGTTTGCATTGGCGAAACTTGCCAGCGACAGCAACGAGCTTCGTGTGGAAGTCGGAGCAGAAAATCCGATCGAGACACTCGTTGGTCTTCTGCAGAATGAAGACGACGAGCATGTTTGTGAAGTGCTCACCGCTCTGCGGGAACTATCTCGCCGGAACGACAAGAATCGCGACGAGATAGTGCGCCAAGGAGCCATCCCCTCGCTTATTTTGCTCATGAAAGGAGGAACCGACGAGCAGAAGGTGGGCGCACTGCGGACGCTTGGTAACCTAGCTCGTGCAAATGACGCTAATGGGGTGGAGATCGCTCGCGCGGGTGGTATCGCTCCACTGGTAGAGATCCTTCGAAACGGAGCAGACCAAGAAAAAGAGCAAGCAGCTATTACACTGGGAATTCTGTCCAGCAACGATAACGGCACCATTCGCATCGAAATCGTACGGGAGCGAGGCGTTCTGGCATTGATCGGGCTACTACGTTCCGGAACGGATGCGCAAAAGTGTGGAGCTTCAAGTGCGATAGCCAATCTCGCTCGCAATGAGGGAATGGGATCGACATCGCACGGGATGGCGGGATCCCGCTGCTGGTGTCACAGGTTCGAGACGGAACCGATGAACTAAAGCACTTTGCAGCCTGCGCATTGAGGATCCTCGCGTGTAATTCTGACGCAAACCGCATCGAGATTGCACGAGAAGGAGGGATTCGACTCTTGTGGATCTTCTTCGAACTGGGACAAACAACCAGATATGCAATGCTGCGAACGCGCTGGGGAACCTTGCAGCTAACAGCGCCAATGGGGTCGAGATTGCTCGTGAGGGGGCCATTCCGCTGCTCATATCACTCGTCCGAGTTGGAACGAACCTTCAAAAGTACTATGCTTCGCACGCCCTCGCAGGACTTGCATGCCATAGTGATGACGCGTGCGCTGAGATTGTACCCCAGCGAGCGATTCCACTGCTGGTCGACGTGGTTAAAACTGGCACTGAGGAATCCAAGGAGGGCGCTTTGACTGCCTTAACCTCTCCAGACCGGGGGCCGAAAAGAACATATGCAGCGTAATTAGACTTGATGTTTGTATACAAGAATGGTTAGGGAAGATAGGATGCACGATGAGCACTAACAAGGCCATGCTAATACTGAATATAATCTGCATATTGGCTCTAGTGTGACATACCCATGCTGAATAATGCTACTTACCACGGATAGTGACAGGGTGCCTGCCGAACAGAAACTAGTGTCTAGGGAGTCCCGATTTTCAAAAAATCGGAATTTGAAACTTCCCATACAAAAACATAAATACAATGTAGGTGTGTCACCTCTAGGCGTTCTGTAAGCTTGTGGTACGTCCGGGGGCATTCTATGCACTATACAAACATCAAATGAAATAGACATTCAGAAACATATCCAGGGGGGCAATCAGGTACCATTTCGTACATAAGACAATACCTAAGATGCAAGTTAGGATGTGTTGTTGCAGACAGGAGCATGTCATTCTGTAGTTGAAGCAGCAGCAAAGATCACCAAGTTTGATCACCAAGTCAAATTCGACTGACTTCAACACCGAAGTAGTTCGTTGCATGGATCCTTCACAACTAACTACACACACTAAACAAGTGCTACGTCTGCATTCATGCATATGATATATAATGATCGGATGTAATTTACCGCAGTGTTGGTGTAGGGAAGCTAGTAGTTCTACAGTTGGGTACTCCAATTAGCTGGTGCTTAGATTGATTGATGTCAATGACATGCAGTCAACCGGAAAGCAACGATTACCAGCACGTCTCGCTAATGGGAGAGCCACGTTGCACCCACGACTATGCGTGTGGGTATCCATAGCATCACACTAGGAACCGCATCGACTGCAATTGTGTTTCTCCAAATTGCTTATATTAGTTTACATACTTTCACGTTACTACCACTCGACCTTGTCATTACGAGTGCAAGCCAAGTCAGTTTTCCTCTCGTTCGCCCGTCGGTCAGATCAATGGATCCCAAAGCGGCATCTCTGGCTTCGCCGGAGTTCTTCTCAGCTCGTCTATTTCGCTACAATTTCATTCGAGTCGTCGTCTTCACGCAGGCGGGCTCGTTTTCGGGCTGATCATGGCTGCTTGGTCACCGAAGTCTCCTTCAACAACACCAATATTGCTCAGGTTAGGTCATGTAGGCTACGAGGCAGCATAAATATGTAATACTGCATACAATGCAGTATACAGGACAGCATGCTATACAACGTACCATTGTTCGGAGCACGCCATTTCCCTTCAAGCCCTGGCGTCGTCGTCGTCGTCGTTTGCATCGACGCGAGGAAGCAGTCACAACAGGTGTGAATGCGGGTAGACTTGAGCACCGGGATATCGAGGAGTTCTTCCGCAAGCGCTCGGAACGGTAGGCACGGATGCAGCGGGTTGAGCAGCTCGACCGAAGCTCGACAGTTTGACTGAGTGCGATAGCTTGGACAGCTACAGCAGCAGACGCTCGCCTGGAAGCGGTAAACACAACTGGAATAAGAATAATGGAAATTTTTTTGTTAGGAAGCATGAATTTCGTAGACATCTCTGAACAAACCTTACCAAGCGCTAGAGGAGCACCGCACGGAGGAGGGTGTTATCCTTCTACATAACAAAACGTGCCAAATGAAACAGGTTAGCAATAAGGTATAGCATGCGCTTGCTATGAGCGTACCATTAGCGTCGTATTCGAGCGTCGATGTCTCGCATGAATATCTGTGACTCATGTTGATTCTCCCGCCGACTTGAGCCCTGGCCGCGCAAATTCTCGAATGAGGGCGATTTTGCAAAAGCGGCAAATGGAAGCCGCTGTGAGGCACCCAGTCCGATACCTCGCAGATTTTGTCCAAATCAGACAGTGGGTCCCGTGCCCTTGCCAAACATTATATTCCGAATTTTGACAAATGCCGGTCTTTGACATCTGGAAAAATAAAAAGGCGCGAACAGAAACTAAACGTAATTTTATCTTGACGTTTGGATAGTGGTGTGTCGGGGGAAAGGACAGTCATACAGATTTCAAGTCATAATTGGCTTAAACTGCATATATGCAGTTTAAGCTATCAAATCTAAGCTGCATTATGCAGCATCCGGTTTGGAGGGGTTAAACAACATTGCATATGAAAAAAGTTCAAACTGCGCTGACATTGAGCGTGAAGGAGTTATCCCCGACCTCGTGCGACATCTTTCCGATGGAGTCGAAGAAAATAAGCGTTTGGCGACGCTCATCCTGGGAAGTTTGGCTGAAGAGAGCGAGGAACATAGAAGCCTGCTCGTGGAAAAGGGAATCGGCTCTTTAATTATCCCCTTCATACCATCAGGTAATATTGGTTTAACTACTGCTGCCATTCGTACACTGGCAATTCTCCTGGAATCTAAAGATGCAACTAGCGCCAAACTAGCACGTGATGACGCTATTCCGCTGCTAGTTTCTCTCGTCGAGACTGGCATAGAAGCCCAGAAGTTTTATGCGGCGTTGGCGTTGGGGACACTTGCTGAAGATATCGAGAACAGCACTTTGATTGCCGCAGAAGGAGCAATTCCTCTATATTTGGTCCGCGACGGAGACGAAGATGAAAAGGAACATGCAGCGTATGCGTTGGCACAGCTCGCAAACAGTGCTACAAACGGCCCCTTGATCGTCGCCTCTTGTTGCTCTTGTAAGAGAAGGAAGTGACGGCGGGAAGGAAGAGGCAGTTTCGGCTCTAGCAAACCTTGTACGAGGCGCGCCACGTGAACGGCACAATGGTTGCCGAAGCGGGTGGGAAGGAACCGCTCCGATTGCTCTTGCGGAAAGGAACGGAGGAAGAGCGAGACAATGCGGCGATCGTATTAAGCAGCATGCCAACCGAAAGTTGTTGTGCTCTGCAGTAGAGAGGTTCCGGCTGCTATCTGAACAGAGCCAAAGTCATGAACAAACTCTCCAGCGCCAAGGCCTTTCATGACCAAAACCTGTGCATCTACAACTTCTTAATTAAGCGAAGACGAGATGGAGCTTCGGGTAGGTGCATTTAGCGGGGTGAATATATTGTTAAGCCGACAATCCACATTGCACTGAAAACGAGGGAGACACTTCAAACTTTGATGATAATGCTCGATCGACGGGAGTCTTGACTGCAGTGCTTGGGGTTGATTGGCAGCAGTTGGAGCTTCAGCGTGGTCAATTCTTGACGGCGACAAGGCAATTCTTGGTTGCAACTGGAAGGAGGGGCTGGGCCTCTCCGGTGCCAGATCTGTCTTCTCGAAGCTTAGATCCTCGTCGATGCCCGTGCACCAGATGAGTCGTTCTTGACACTCGCACAGGTTGCGCGTGTTGGGGCGAATTTGGCCGCAGTCCTGGCAGAAGCGATACTCCAGTCCGGGCTCGGATACGACGAACCGCGGGGTCTCGGGCTCATGCTCGTACTCGGGCTCAGCGGTCTCCACGCCCTTCAGTGTGTAGTCGCATTAGCGAAATGGGTTCGAAAAAAAATACTCAAGTACTTAAGTACTTAAGTAGATGCATACAAATATAGAGATACAAAAATAGATTGGCTTTTGGAAGTTTGATCCTTATTTGGATGGTCTAAATTTGGTCTAGACTGGATAGACTATTTCAGCACTACATTCCGTTATTCTTGGATTTGGTTACCCACAATTGAGCCAAACTCGACTTCGTATGCAAGCAAGGAATTATCATGGGTAACTCAGACGTTATTTTAGCATATTTATGCTTGAAATTCTACTTTGTAGTTCAGGAGAGCATCACCCGGTACCCATGAAAGTGTCTGCTCCAGTAAAAAGGGGTGTACAGGGTCATTAACAGGCCTTGCCTTCCGAACCGTCAGTGGGGATGTACCAGCAGTGCTTAGTCGCGACACCACCGACCTTCATGTCCTTGATGTTCTCCGTGAAGTTCCAGTTCTTGTCCGCCGTGTGGTACTGCAGCTTGAGCCAGTCCTTGGACGCCGACAGAGACATAAATCCGTACTCGTCACCGGTGTAGGCCCACTCCTTCTTGACGTACTTGGCCGCGAAGTCAGGGATCGTGCTCGCGAACTCCTTCTTCATACCGCCGCCAGCTCCGGTCTCCACGAAGTGCATCTTGAGCGTGTCCGCGTAGTCGTGCTTCTCGCCGTGGGTGTGGCCGTAGACGAAGGCCTGGATGCCCGTGCCACGGAGCGCGTCGAACCAGCGGTTCATGCCGTCCTCGTGGTAGTGCTGGACCGGGGAGAAGTGACTACTGACAATCTTAAACGTCGCCTTGGACGCCTTGGCCTTGGCCGCAAGCTGCTTGCGAGAATCCTCGGCCCACTCCGAGAACTTGGCCATGCACGTGTCATACATGGCGGTATCGCCTCCGCAGCAGTACTTGTCACCTCGGGCGATGCTGCCACAGCCACCGTTATCGTTGCCCGCGTAGCCGTAGCACTGGCAGCAGACGCCGTGGGCGCCAGCGATATCGGCGTCGTTCATGTCAACGTTGAAAATGTCGATGCTCACACCAGTGGCTGGATCTTCGATGTGGTGAACGTAGAAGCGGTCGTCCATGTGCCAGCGGTTGTTGTTGGGGCTCTTGTACGACGACTGGTACCGGAGCTTGTTGTCCAGACCCTGGAGCATTTCCTGCGTGCTGTTGCACCTGACGAGCTGCTCGCCGACGTTGCAGACGTAGTTGGCGCCACCGTAGTCGTGGTTGCCCATGACGTTCACCCAGGGGACGTTCTTGATGTTGGCTCCATTGTACTTGGACTCGTACGACGTCTGGAAGCGTGCGACTTGCCCCTCCATACTGTCGATACCCGTCCAGTAAAAACTGTCTCCGAGACCGCAGACCGCATCAGGCTTCTGAACAGCAGCCTGCTGGTCCATCAACATACCCACGATCTCCTGGGCGTGGAGGTCGAAGTTGTTAAACGTGCCTCCGCAACACGAACCCCTGTCCGTAGTGGACCCCCAGTCACCGATAGCGAAGATAGACACAGGGTACTTGGCCGTGGCAGGGTCCGACGTCGCGCCATTGGTAGCGCCCACCATGGCGAGCAGCACGGCAGCGTTGGTCAAGGCCTTGGGGCTCAGCATAGCTTTCAGGCTTGGCGGGTTGAGCTCCTCTAAGCGAAACGAAGAATGAGCAGTGGTGCCACCGGCACACTGAGTCTACCGATGCTTTGGCAGGTGGCTGGACCAACGGGATACATGGCACTGAAGCGATATCGTCATATGGTGCGACGAGAAAGTCTGTCCCATCCCTTCGCGATTCATGGCCCGGATAGTTTTTTTTGCTGTTTGTGGCAGGATTTGTTGCAGGCGATTAATACCCCAAACCAATACACTAAATTACCAGGTTTTACTAAGTGCAAGAACAGTATTAATGCATGTTTTGTAAACGTGTACATGAAGTGCACTACATAATGTTGTGTATAGTCCGCTGTGTTTCAGGAGGGGAACACGCTAGGAATTGGGATTTGTTTTTGGTGCCTTGTGTGTCTGATAGAACTTGATTTCACGTTTGACAACTCTACTCGTGGCTAACAGCATGCACTGTATTTTGTACTGTATGGTTAAGATGACAGTACCATACATAATCCAGTCAAAGACGTTAACACCCTCGGGGTGTTGATGCAGCTAAACACGACTCCAGCATCAAGGAACTCGCATGGAAGCACCGAAAGCTGTGCAGAGGGAGATGTGCGGTGATGTCAGCAACACTGTTGGAAGCTGCAACGTTGATGATGGCTATTGTCGCAGCCATTCGTTTCTGGAATCATAGCCTGCGTAGGGTTACACTTGCTTTTTGCGTGATTAAATGCACGAACTCGGGTTTGCGGGGTGTCCCTGCCATGCTTCATATATGTCGGCTAATTGAGTGTGGGGGAATAGCCTATTTCCCTCAAGTTTCCCAGTTGAAATAGCGCGAGAAGAATTTAACTAGTTATCTCTTCATTACTTTCAGCGACTCCGACAACGGAATCTGCCAACCAAAGCTGATGGGGTTCTTAGCATCGCTGTACTAATATTTCTGCAACTTCTAAATACTTCAACTTTCTCATGGCTACTGTACTGTACTGATGCCCGCCTATCTCAAAAAGGGATCACTTGGCCTGATGAAACCCTGTTGCCACGTCGATCTAAAGGCATATGGGAGAGCCGATGGAAACCCCATAAAATCTGGTCTAAATCAACAGGCTTCTATTAAAAGCATTCTGGGGGTGCAACCCCCAGACCCCCGCAGTAGAAAAACTACCTCCGACTGTGCGGCAACGGGTCCGTTCGCTGGAATGCTCGTCGCTGGGCCCGCCTCCGCAAATACCGCGCGGGTTTGCTGTGGCTACGCTCCTCGCAACCGCTCACTACAGCTCTCGAATATGGTCGACCTAACCCGTATACTGTGGACTTTTCAATATTTTTGTGGATTTTATATATTATGTCAGGCATATTGTGACCCCTATCCTATCCTTGCTCTTATTGACGATAACACGATAAGTTATCGTGCGCTCGGCGGTGAAAAGATTTGCGATCGGATGGCTTGACGCTTCTGGGACGAAAGCAATCTCTGATAGCGCTACAGTACACCCCTCTACACACTCGTACGATATTGTAGTTCCAAGCCGCCACCTTCAACCTTAGTTAATGTGTTTCTATACAGACAATGACGATAAAAGACCCCCGACAGAAAACACGCCATCGTCGGCGACTCAAAAGACGCCATCAAATCAATTCTGCTACCAATCAGAACAGGGTTTGTTCCAAAAGTTTGCTCAGATGTGTATTTTATACACCAAACGTTCAGGTTTTGTACAGATGTAAGTTGTTCAGCTTAGCCGAGAACTCTGCCGAAATAGTCACGCGGGGTTTTTACTATGGAGACTCCCCACCAAGTGGTGGCGTCTTTCACCGTCGTTGCCTGTAGTCCTACAGTACATAGGAACTGTGTCGGTATTATATAATAGTAAGTCCTATCCTACCTATAATACAGTATCTGGCACAAACCATCAGACTCCATGTTTGCGCGCATGCTTTCGGCAGGAGAAGAAATCGGGATGCTACATGTACATATAATGAACAGTTCATCAACATCTGAATACGTTGGACTTGTTTTATGATCAGCCCTCGTTCGTCGCTCGCAACTTGCACAGAACGGCAGCCAGCAGCGACGCTGCCAGCGTGGCTGTGCTGCAAATGAGTAAAGTCCCTTTTTGCAGCAAGGTTGCCCGGTCTGTTTCACAGTACAAACTCTCCAATACTGTGCTGCGTAGTCGAGCTCTTGTTCTGTGATTCCCAGAACGGATTTCTATGTATTTACTTTAGAGCGTGTACTGGTAACAACAGTACCTACGTAGCGTAGTCGCATGAACCATGAGCACCTTTTTGACAAGGGTTTTGACAATAGAAAACAGACGGCGGATTTCAGGCGGAAACCGTCTGCCAAAATCCACCAGACGGCTGCGACATAGCGGCAATCAACAGTGATGAGCATAACGCAAAATTTGATGACCTACTGGCTTCAAGGAACGCCATTGAAGATGACGACCGTTGCAGGCAGAAGGTGAATGAGCCAGCACATGCGGACACTAAACTAAACCTGTATTTGCCTTCACCAGCCATGCGTACGGGCTCAGTATCCAAGACGAGATGAGTATAGCTTTCTACGCAAACGACTGCACTTCACGAGTCAGGAATATACGAATTCGTGTGTGCAGATTGCGCAGTTATTATAGATTAGTCTGGCATCACTAATTTATATAGTAGTACGTTAATTATGAATGGTTCTAAATAAGTATTTCATATACTTGTACTAATGTAAATAATATTTACTATTGCATATTATGCACTCACAGTATGGACATTTAAATTAGTACCCAAATTAGTACTAGTATACTCTAGTCTGAGCAGAATACTCCTATTACAGAATTCTGCCCGAATAAGGAACGGGTGTATAACTAATAGCCTCACATATTTAATATTATTTTCCATTCGATGTGGCGATAGGGGGATGTGCAAGGTACTGCAAGGTACTGAGGTGAAAAATCCAGTGCCAATCATCCACCCTCGTTTGAAAAATGGCGCGCATTTAGCGATCTTACTAGACTTCAAACTACATGTATCGTAGTGGTAGACTCGCACTTTTTCTTTTGCACCTCGCCCCACAAGCCCACCTCCTCCCCCACTCCACCCATGAAGTCCACACCGTCCAAGCGTCTGCGCCTCACTTGGTCTGAGAAAGTGGGCATCCTCGACAAGGTGAAGGGCTAGATAATCCCTACGAGGTCGACCAGTTGACAGCGCTGTTGTGGTGCGAGGATGCCTGGTCAAAAGTTAGTGCTTCGACCATACATCACTGTTGGAATCATTCCGGACTCGTTGCTCTTCAGTTCATTTTGAAATTACTAAATCAGTACATTGGAAAAGCATACTCCACTTCACATCAATTTATATATTCTGCGTCTTTATATATATCCGGCGTTCCTTACTCGGGCAGATTACTGTAGTTGTTGTGCAACAAGATGCTGCAATACTCCACCATCGTCACTGTCTGTCTTTTTACACTCCAAGACAAAAAGATATGGACACCACCAAAAGTGGCTGTAACTTCGTCATTTTTTATCGTTTTAAGGTGCGGTTTGGACTAGAGTTGCAGAACACGCTGAAAAAGATCTGCACGCTGCTAACACGCGCGCTTTTGCGCTTCTTCAGGTAGCTCACATACAAATCACTGGTTCTGCCCAGGTGACAAAACTTATGGACAGCTAATCCCCATACAAAATGCTATATTAACCAAAACCCCTTACAAATGATACAACTTGGACTTTGTATGGGGCGACAATGGAACCAGCCTCACGACGATACTCGTGACGTTAGTCACATATCTGATGGTATTATCGTGTACTAGAAGGTGTGTTAAGTAGCCTGTAATAAATTCATCGACCATCGCACAAAAATGAGCAAGTAGTAAGCAATTGAAATTTCGAGTGGTGGCTACCATGTATTATCTGATGATTTGCGAGGCACGTTCAGTTGCATCCTAGTTAGTGCCAATTTGTAGCTCTGTATGCTGCTATCTGCTGGATATACGATTGTCTTCTTCATTCTAAACTGTTGGTCGATGATATATGGCTCAGTACTAAGGTAGAGTTGAGAAATCATGGGTTCCTTTGTCGCCCCATACAAAGTCCAAGTCGTGTCATTTGTAAGGGGTTTTGGTTAATATAGCATTTTGTATGGGGATTAGCTGTCCATAAGTTTTGTCACCTGGGCAGAACCAGTGATTTGTATGTGAGCTACCTGAAGAAGCGCAAAAGCGCGCGTGTTAGCAGCGTGCAGATCTTTTTCAGCGTGTTCTGCAACTCTAGTCCAAACCGCACCTTAAAACGATAAAAAATGACGAAGTTACAGCCACTTTTGGTGGTGTCCATATCTTTTTGTCGTGGAGTGTACTGGAGTGGTCAGCTGTCGACCGACTCGTGATCGAGATCAATTGGCTACAACTCTTTACTTAGTATGGGCTAATCATGAAAATGGTAATTTGATTCAGCAAAATCAACTCATTCTTGGTGTGAGAAGTAAGCCAGGGTCCGCATCATCACCTTGCTAGCAGCATGCGCCTTTAAACGGAGAGAAACCTCTAGCAGGCCTTGCCTTCCGAACCATCGACAGGGATGTACCAGCAGTGCTTGGTCGCGACACCACCGACCTTCATGTCCTTGATGTTCTCCGTGAAGTTCCAGTTCTTGTCCGCCGTGTGGTACTGCAGCTTGAGCCAGTCCTTGGACGCCGACAGAGACATAAATCCGTACTCGTCACCGGTGTAGGCCCACTCCTTCTTGACGTACTTGGCCGCGAAGTCAGGGATCGTGCTCGCGAACTCCTTCTTCATACCGCCGCCAGCTCCGGTCTCCACGAAGTGCATCTTGAGCGTGTCCGAGTAGTCGTGCTTCTCGCCGTGGGTGTGGCCGTAGACGAAGGCCTGGATGCCCGTGCCACGGAGCGCGTCGAACCAGCGGTTCATGCCGTCCACGTGGTAGTGCTGGACCGGGGAGAAGTGACTACTGACAATCTTAAACGTCGCCTTGGACGCCTTGGCCTTGGCCGCAAGCTGCTTGCGAGAATCCTCGGCCCACTCCGAGAACTTGGCCATGCACGTGTCATACATGGCGGTATCGCCTCCGCAGCAGTACTTGTCACCTCGGGCGATGCTGCCACAGCCACCGTTATCGTTGCCCGCGTAGCCGTAGCACTGGCAGCAGACGCCGTGGGCGCCAGCGATATCGGCGTCGTTCATGTCAACGTTGAAAATGTCGATGCTCACACCAGTGGCGCGGTCCTCGATGCGGTGAACGTAGAAGCGGTTGTCCATGTGCCAGCGGTTGTTGTTGGGGCTCTTGTACGACGACTGGTACCGGAGCTTGTTGTCCAGACCCTGGAGCATTTCCTGCGTGCTGTTGCACCTGACGAGCTGCTCGCCGACGTTGCAGACGTAGTTGGCGCCACCGTAGTCGTGGTTGCCCATGACGTTCACCCAGGGGACGTTCTTGATGTTGGCTCCATTGTACTTGGACTCGTACGACGTCTGGAAGCGTGCGACTTGCCCCTCCATACTGTCGATACCCGTCCAGTAAAAGCTGTCGCCGAGACCGCAGACCACCTTGGGCTTCATGACCGCAGCCTGCTGGTCCATCAACATACCCACGATCTCCTGGGCGTGGAGGTCGAAGTTGTTGAACGTGCCTCCGCAACACGAACCCCTGTCCGTAGTGGACCCCCAGTCACCGATGGCGAAGGCCGACACGGAGTACTTGGCCGTCGCAGGGTTTGGCACCGCCACTGCGTTGTTGGTAGCGCCCACGATGGTTAGCAGCACAGCAGCGGTGGTTAACGCCTTGAAACTCAGCATAGTTCTAGAATGCTTGGTGCTTCTGGGTTGTGCTCGTCAAGGCAAAATGAAGAATGATGAGATTGGCTAGCGGTGTCAACGCGGACCGTGAGTCAATTATTTGTAGCTGGTGGCTGGCGGCGGCCAAGGGATACTGCACCATGTACACCGCGAGAGACAAGGGCATATGTTGCAACGAAGAAACGTCGGTCCCCATCGAGAACTTGATCCGTAGCCTGGATGTATTCTGCGGTTTGTTGCGGGATTTGACCGGATTAATTCGCCACATGAACGAACTAAAAACAGTCAGCCCTTGAAGAGCTACGGTACTTGCAGTTCACCAAACTTCCAGAGGAAATATGACAACCTGGATGTTTGTTGCCGTATTGGTACTCATACTCATGCAGCTGTGCCTAGACACTAAACTGAAATTCACACCACTTCCATATTTACAGTGCATACAATCAATTGGCACCTCTCATGATTTCGTGAGGGCAACGCGTTGGGTACACGCGAATCCAGCGGTCAATACGCCTTAAGCCATGGCAGCCCCGAAGCAAAGATGCAGAAAGCAAGACTTCGGTTTCGGAAATGGATTGCTACCAGATCTGGTATGTACAGCACATACGTACCTGCATGTTAACATTAACATTAATGTGTCACAGCCATCATGGGACATACGGGGGATGCGCCTGCATTCGATTACGCTTGATGCGTAGACACAAGAGCAATCGGTCGATGCTCAAAAGGGCCATTGACCGAACGAGCTTGCATCTATAATACAGTCGTGCACCTCTAATTCGGCACCTGTAATACGACAGGAAAGGCAAACATTGACGAAAACAGCGTCAACTCTGGTGCGACCTAGTACAAGCCGTTGAGCTGTTCGATAGCTGAGTGGAATCATTGGGTTCAGCTTTTTTAATGTTATCCCGATTTCCAATGATAAGTACCAATACTGTGGTAAGCTTACTTCAACCCTGGGATCACGTTGGTTTGATGTAACCCTGTCGCCGGATCGATCGAGTGGCATATGGTGACCCCATCCAGTTCTTGCAATCGCAATTTTCGTGCGCAATAAATTTAAGATCCGATGACCTGGTGCTGTACATCTAGGAGGATCCAATCCATGATAGCGCTATGCTGCTGTGGTACTACACTCCACGACAAAAAGATATGGACACCACCAAAAGTGGCTGTAACTTCGTCATTTTTTATCGTTTTAAGGTGCGGTTTGGACTAGAGTTGCAGAACACGCTGAAAAAGATCTGCACGCTGCTAACACGCGCGCTTTTGCGCTTCTTCAGGTAGCTCACATACAAATCACTGGTTCTGCCCAGGTGACAAAACTTATGGACAGCTAATCCCCATACAAAATGCTATATTAACCAAAACCCCTTACAAATGATACGACTTGGACTTTGTATGGGGCGACAATGGAACCAGCCTCACGGCGATACTCGTGACGTTAGTCACATATCTGATGGTATTATCGTGTACTAGAAGGTGTGTTTAGTAACCGGTAATAAATTCATCGACCATCGCACAAAAATGAGCAAGTAGTAAGCAATTGAAATTTCGAGTGGTGGCTACCATGTATTATCTGATGATTTGCGAGGCACGTTCAGTTGCATCCTAGTTAGTGCCAATTTGTAGCTCTGTATGCTGCTATCTGCTGGATATACGATTGTCTTCTTCATTCTAAACTGTTGGTCGATGATATATGGCTCAGTACTAAGGTAGAGTTGAGAAATCATGGGTTCCTTTGTCGCCCCATACAAAGTCCAAGTCGTGTCATTTGTAAGGGGTTTTGGTTAATATAGCATTTTGTATGGGGATTAGCTGTCCATAAGTTTTGTCACCTGGGCAGAACCAGTGATTTGTATGTGAGCTACCTGAAGAAGCGCAAAAGCGCGCGTGTTAGCAGCGTGCAGATCTTTTTCAGCGTGTTCTGCAACTCTAGTCCAAACCGCACCTTAAAACGATAAAAAAATGACGAAGTTACAGCCACTTTTGGTGGTGTCCATATCTTTTTGTCGTGGAGTGTACGCTGTACTGTGATGGGCTACAGGCTGTAGCTCACCACTAGATCGAGATGCAGGCACCTTCCAAAGTCGGCGAGTTCTGGTGCTGTCGCTAACACAAACGAACCTGCATAGAGCATGATTGCGCGCATAATGCATTGTGCCATTTTCTGCAGAAAAAAAGAAGAATGACGACGAGCTCTTCATCTATATGTACGCTCAACACGGCCTGTAGACATCGTCCGGCTGTCAATTGCAACTGTACAGCATGGAGTTGAATCGTTTTTCTTTTCGGAAAAGATAGCGCCCATGTTTTCGGTTGGAGGGGGTGAAATTGACTCAAATATATCGGGAGTGTCTGAGCAAAATGGACACCAGTGACATATGAGAGGCACGAAGAGCCTGCAAACTTCATCCCAGTGCCGTGGCTGGCCATGGTATTCCCTGCTCAACGCTGGGTTGGTCTTCTGAGTGTTCTTAGCGCCCGCAGAGCGACGTTTGGCAGCTTAAGGTCACCTTAGCCCATGGGCTTTGCAGCATGTTTGCCGGCCATGACACCCGTCCCACAAGCCGAACATGTTTGGCCATGCTTGAACATGTTTGACCATGTTTGGAATTTCTTACTTGTTTTCAGTATGTTGACTACCCTAACCCGTTTAGAAAACATGGGCTGTATCAACGGCCTTTTCTTTTTTGCTATCCGATCTGTCAATTGGGGACGAAGTCCCCCCCCCTTACATTGATGCACTCACTGTTACTTAGCTTTTTCAAGGGTCCATACCCGCATTTACTTACCTGATATCAGTTTAGAAGGAACGGGTTAGGGCTGACATTCTGATTGAGTCGCCCAGGGCAATTTTTGACCAAAAAATCCTGTGTTTACTGACAATTCTGAAATTGTGACATTGATAGGATTTGAGCTCTCACTGCATAAAAATTCGTATTTTAGTGACCATATGTCATTAGATCGGAGGTACACGATTTAGAGGGCCCTATCCAAACAGAGAAATGCTGATCTGGCTCAGCAACAGGACGACGGGTGCGAGTCGAATGGGTCGGGCACGGTCGCCGCCGTGAGTAGCGAGACACGAACGGTTGAGGAGGATTAGACGGACAAGCAGAAGCAGCTAAGCACGGTTCAATATGCAAAGCGTTCTGACTTGTTAGACCCAAAGCAAATTCGCGACTGTACTGACTAAACTGGCACGGAGCGCTCGCTCCGCTCTCTCTCGCTAAGTCCGCCGCCGGCACCCTCGCCGACTTCAACCGCTCCATCTCGTCCTTGGCTACACTTCACCCCTTCGTCCTTGGCTCGCATCGCACGCTTGGCCCGAGCCACGCCGACCGCCGTGACATCCGTCCTGCTCCACACGTCGGCGCGCGTTCGGCGCATGCGCCACAGCTTCCACGGCGGCTGGGCACGCCGCGGGGCCACCCGTTCGCCTGGTCGTACCGAATGAGATCTGACACAGCAGCACCCAGTTGCGATGACTGCTCGTCCCGCCCCCGTTCGCTCATTTGTTCAATCCCATGAAGGTCGCATATGGGACGAGGCGCCGGGGCCAACGGTCCCAACCGTTCACAACACGGTCGGCCACCGTTCCTACTCGGGACGGAGTGCGGTCAGCTCTAGAAGCGAAAGTGAGCAGTTGCGAGGAGTGTGGCCGCAGCAAACCCGCGCGGGGTGCCCAGGGCTGCGTGGTAGGTATTTGCGTAGGCGGGCCCAGTGACGAGCATTCCAGCGAACGGACCCGTCGCTGCAACTGGGGCTTAGTTTTCTATTGCGGGGGTCTGGGGGTGCAACCCCCAGCATGAAAAGCTCGCAATGCACTTCTTACATGCAATTATGACCTCTTAATGCATTTCTATGATAAAAGTGTTCCTAATTGAAGATGCGATGTCAGCTGCACTGATCTGCACGAGATGTCTTAGACCCCATTAATTAACAGATTTTATGAGATCCATTGGAAGAGCGGGGACATCGGCCCCCTCAGCAACTCAACGGAGCAACGCAACTGAGATGCTCCCTATTAATAATGATAGTGGAATTTGTGCCTTCAAAAACTAATCTGGATTAGAACATTCTGAATCAGACTGTCCAAATTTAAAATAGTTTATTAAAGTGTGTATCTTTCAAATTACAGGTTTAATCTAGATTTGACACGTGTTTATGTGTCACGGATTTGCAACTAAGGTAGCGAACTAGGACAAAAAGTACACAGTAAATAGAAAAAAGTAAGTATTATTGTAATTCTTGCGTTTCGCTTTGAAAAAAAATCGATGCGAGTCGGCATCCTTTTACTATCTCCCGCGAAGCAGAAGAGCAAGAGTTTCTCCTGTCTGCCCTGCGACAAAGCTTCGCCTAAAATGGGTTTACTGTACGGTTCACGCAAGTTTTGCCCTGCTGGCTCCATGAACGGCATATCGGATGACTGCTTGAAGAATCACACGGCGCTATACTGTAAACTGTTCAAGGCGGACACCTCGGTCTTCGCCATTGATGCCAACTCCCTGGTCACAGCTTGAATATTGTACATCGCATCGCACCTGGTGAGGGCTCGACGGGCCCACGGATTTGTATTTGAGAAAGTTTCTACATAGCCATAGTATTTTGTACTGTTTGAAAAGAGAAGCGTCCCCTTCCTCCGAGTAAAGGACGATAACAACCTCAGATTTGTACAACAGCAACCACACCAAATGGGCACGAGCAACCATAGCACGATCGACGATTGGGAAATGGACAGGTCGGTAGCTACATGCAGAGCGACTCGCTCTGGGAAATGGACTGGTCAAAAGCTAGAGCGACTCGCTCTGAGCGAGACAACTGAGAGCATGCGCGCAGGTACATGTAACACCTGCGCAAGAAATGTAATTAGGATGCCACGGTACTTATATTTATAGGATTTTACTCTTCTTATTTGCTACGTTGGCCGCGCGGATAATACGCTGGTGTAGAAGCGCACGGTAGTTCTCGACATTGAATTTGTCGGAGCACAACTTATCCATTGATCCACGTAGCGTATGCGGGCGATCTTTCATGATCGCTGTAGATATCTTTTCGATGAAGTAGAGCAGATAAATTCCACAATCAACAGAGTTTTGCTGCTGAGGCTTGGTAGGGCAGGCGTGAAAACTCCATTTAGCCGACCCCACCGAAGCTGTTTCTGGGACCCGCTCTTTCGCCAACCACCACTGCATCAAGGAAAACACGTTTGCCGTGTCGTGCGCTTCTGTAACAGAATTAACGTGATACAGCCGAATGACGCCCCCCTGCAGGGGATTCTCAACCACAAGAAAGCTCCAGTGACTATTACCGTTGACTGGAAGAATAACAAACCGGTACGACACCCAGTCAAATTTCCCTATGTGACCAGCGAGGCGCTCGTCCCTTGCAGCTTTCTCCTTCGTTCTTTTCACGGCTTGCATCGTTCGGAAAAGAAACCATGCACAAAATAATCAACGGCGGACTCTGTCAAAGTCTGATGCGGCATTAGGCTGTCCAGGCCCTCGCGATAGATCCAACTCGTATCATCACCACGCGTCCACTCCAATATTGGCTTCTGCTTCCGCGACCTGGTAGGAGACTGCCTCCGAGGCAATGAAGTCTTCTTAGCAGCTGTAGGCACCTCATACTCGCTCTCTTCGGACTCGTTACAATCCATACTCTCGCTACTGCTATCGCTTTCATCCGATCCAGCGCTATCGTAGCTGTCTTCATCGCTGTCTTCATCTCCACAGCCATCGAAGGGTACAGCGCCGTCACCGGGGGTTACACTATTATCTTGCTTGTGCTCACTGTCCTCACCAGGGGTTACGCCGCCATCACGAGGGGTTACTCTATCATCAGTAGCGGTTACTCCATCATTTTGACCGCGCTCACTGTCGACACCAGGGGTTACGCCGCCAGCACCTCCATTCTCCTCGTGCTCACTGTCATCGCCACGGGTTACACCGCCGTCAGTAGAGGGTACACCGCCATCGTCAGGGGGGACACGTGCTGCGTAGCGCTGTATAAACCGTTTTACCCATGCTACTTGGGACTTTGGAATATCAAAATCCGAGTTGAACTCTTCCAGGCTCCGGCAATAAAACATCACATCGTCAAACGTCCAGTTGTCCTCCATAAGCTCATCAAGGTATTCGATTACTCTACATTCGTACGGCTTCATCTTGTGTTTTCGTCCTCCGCCTTCGTTGCGCTTGCGATCTGAGCCAACCTCTTTGTCACAAACATCCCAGTAGCGCTTCACCCAGCCTCTCAAAGTCGATTCCTCAAGCTCTACAGCGGCTTCTTCTAAAGTCCAATCTGGGTTATCTACTTTCCAGCGCCTAAGATGCGCAAGCTTCTCCTTCTCAGTGCGATTCACACACACACGCCTCTTCATTCGGAAAAGGGGGGAAGGGAGGGGGAATTCTCGAATGATAGTCAGCCGTATATGGTCAATCATTTTAGGTATCAGATTTAATCAGATCAAGAGTAAATATCAAATTAACTGGCGCGAGTTATTCTGAATCCAGCATTTCAGATTAACTGGCGCGAGTCATTCTGAATCCAGCACTTTGAGGTTAGTATGAAGTACTTCGGGGTTAGTATGAAGTAGTGCGTAACCGACCTACAGCAGGCCAGGGGGCTGTATGAGGTTCGAACTGCAGTGCTTACATTCCTTAAGCCCGCATTTGTGGCGATACGCTTATACTTGAGCAGTGGTCGTGAACTTATCCGGTTAACACGAACGCCTACTCAGCCAAGTTGCCTTTCCGTCCATTGTAGCTAGTAGGGGGTTGCTTGTACAGGATGACAGCAGCGAGGCCCAAGATTTATGGACGCCTGAACAGGACAAGCGCGAAGCGACAAGTGCCGAGCACGAACTAAGTCAAGGGATGATCCAAACTACACATGTGGGCTTTATATAACTCAATGGAAACCTCCATTTTTATATATGGAGAGTAGCACATAGTGACCATGTTGCGTTGGCGGCACCAAGTGCTAATAGTTAGCAAGTGATTCCAAGCCGATGAATTCTAAATTATTAACACGGAAAACGCTGTTGAGAAATCAAGATAGATTCCGGGAGAGCTCGAAAGTGGTTTCGTTACGCGAGCCTGATTGTTCTACTCACAAAACCAGAAACACCTACAGAGTGGCATTCGAATACATACTATGTGATTCATCAATTATATCGCTTTGTGACGTAGATGTTTGTAGATCTTGCGATATAAGCAAGGTCCAGGAAACAACTACATGGTATCGGTGGCAACAACCAGCGTCCATTTCAACATTACCGACCTTTCGAGAAGTACTTCAGTCGTAAAATATGTAATATTCCTATAGACACGCAGGTAGCCTCTTGCCGGGAACTAATCTAACAAAAATTGCATGTCGAGGGCCGCCGTGGCCAGGGGGGACGGCCAATTTGGCGTCTGATGGGGACGGGCTCGGTTGAAGGTGGCAAATTCTCAGATGTGGTTGACGTAGACCATACATATAACGGGGTTACACGCACAAGTAGCTACAGTCACTTGTTACTCTAGCAGATGCGATGTCTGTTAGAGGTTTGAACACTTCCACGACCTTGGTGTAAGGTACACCAATAGCTACTTACATTTACGACCACCACGACAGGTGGTCCATAGAGATTTAGGATTCCTATTGGCTGAGAGCAGCATCTTTTAGCCAATGAGCGACATGCATAGCATTGGAATTCTGCCAACCAGCCGTTGGCAGATTCCTATCTTAGAATATTACATTTAGAGGAAGTCAGAAACATAAAACAAAAATAGCAGTTCTCATCTTTTACCAAAACCCGCTACTTGGAGTCTTTATCTTGTTTAAAGTATACTCGTGGGTCTCGAATATACTTAACTCAAGTAAAAGAAACCTACGCTTCCTCATACACGTGCGCATACGTGTAAGCCGTAGTAGTGAGCCAAGGTAGGCCCCCTACAATACATATGGCCCAGAACTGGTAAATGTTTCTTGCCAAGTCACCAAACCAGTCTGAAATGAATATGGGGGAGCTGCAGGACTTGGCTGTGCAATCGGCGGGTAGAGAGGCTGGAAATGGTGTGGATCGAGCTGGAAAGCCACCGGGTCTGGTAAAGTCGCCGTGTAACCAGTTGGTCTGTAGGCATATGCTGTGTATCTGGGGTGATCTTGCGGACAAAGGTTGAAACCAGGCGCGAAGCCAATATCGAACCCGACTTCTGCCCCGACTACACCAAGACTTTGAGCTGGGAAGTTATGCGCATGTCTCCTGAGATCGGACCCGGTGTGATTGCCAAGCAGCGACACTTCGTTAGCTGCCAGCAGTAAACCGGTAGCTGAATCATCTACATGCACTGTAGCCGCACTGCTTACTTGTGGACGCTTCTGGCGCACACGCCTATCCTTGAATCTTAAATTGGATCCATTAACTCCAGGCACGCTGAGTCCGTAAGCCGCACGTCCACAGATTATGTGGACACAAGACAGGAACTTCTTATAGAAAAGACACGAGCACTCAAACGTACTCAGGTGCACCGCCCACCCGCCTCGTGGCATGCCAACGTGGTGCGCGCGGTGTACAGACCATTTCACAGCTTCCCGATAGAACTTGGCAGCGGTAGCCTTTTCTGCATCTGTTAAACACTCTGGTGATATGATGACAGGTGTTTTGGCGTTGCTGGGGGCCTCCAACTCGTCAAGATCTGACAGTTCGGGGAGGTCTTCCAAATGATCACCGCAATGATATAGCACGCGAACAACCGACTTCTCGGTCGTAGCGTAAACGACGACTCGGTTGGTCGACACTAACGTTCGGGCCAGCTGCTTTGCAACTTGAGGCGGGGCGTTTGGTCCAGATGCCATGGGAGGTGGTACACACAGCGAATAATCTTCTGCAATCGTCAGTAGCTTCATCAACAAACGGCGCGTATCCGCTGCCTTCCGCTGCGTATAGCGCTTGATGCTGGCATTGAACACTTCACATGATTTGTTGGTTGTAGCGCACCCCCCTGGAGAGTGATAAATCTGCCATCTCCAGAAGCGGCTATGAATCCATTGTGCCGCGAAATATGCCAAAAAGACGTGCAGCCTTCTATCGCATTGCCACTCTTGAGATACACGCCCCCACACCTCCCAAAATTCGGTTTGGTTGAGTGTGTAGTGCATGTCAAGAATACCACGATACACCATAGCTCGCACAGAATCTGGTAAGTGTCGCACTCGCTTGCGTACATTGTACATCACGTGGAAGAAACACATTAGGTACGGACAGGTTGCACATTCTGCAACATCCCGCAGTCCGTTCAATTGGGCCTCTTCGGCGCCGCCCATTATCACGTCAACTCGAAGTGGTCTTTTCATGTGGGTCCTGAAATTTCGTGCGAAAGCTCCAATCGATTCGTAATATTCGCGTCGAGTCCTTTGGCTAACAATGAAAAGCGCGGCTAGGTGATAGCTTCGGTGGCAGTCGGTGAAACCACACGTAACAACAGGGTAACCGATGTCGCTCAGCTTGAAAGTAGCATCCAAGTGAAAAGTGAGAAATTCTTCGCGATCCTGTAGCGAGCTGATGTTTTGCGTTAGCTTCAAGCTCGTGATTCCAAGTATCAACGGTTCACCATCTTCCCCGTTCCTGACAAAAGGGAAGCCGTGCTCATCTTCACGATTTCCAAACACAAACGCGGTGTCGGGATCCACTCCAGCAACGAAGGCCTTCGCCTTCACTAACTCCTTCGTCCTGACAATAGAGTTCTTAGACCCCTGCAGCCATCGATTGTGCTTGACACTACGCAGAACTTGAGGGCACGTCGGAAACCCAAGCACTGGAGTCGGTATTTCAGGTGCACGAAGCATGTTGCTCCAGATTAAGCGTGGTGGTACCGCGTTTTCGTCCATTCGCTGGATGTAGTCGCGCATTTCACGTGTCACCTTGGCGCGAGGAGGTAACGAACACGCTATGTTTCCACGCGCGTGTGGCTGACCATTTGTGTACGCAATCCACCGCTTCGAAGTCGGGCACTCATGCCCTTTCCAGAGCGTTGCACATTTAACATTTCCTTTGCAGTCTGGACTCTGACAGTGAAGGCGCCGCTCAGCCATCCAGTGGTCCCCGGGGCAAATCATACACCAGCGCGTCATCACCCAAAATATGGCAGAACAGCAAAATCGCTCCCAGCGAAACTTGACGAACGCATCTTCGCCTTAGAACTCGGCTAACTTCGACCAGGTGTGGTTTGGAGACATCTGAGGTGGGGACAGCTGCAGCTAGGTTCTCCGCAAACTCTCGAAAGGTACTGGCTTGTTGAGTTGTGTGGGGAGCTGTTGGCCGACAGCAATCTCGTGTAGATTACACCAAGGTTGTGTATTTTGAATATTTGAAAGTCTGAGCGTCAGATTAACTCGCGCGAGTTATTGTGAATCAAGAAATTCAGATTAACTTGCGCGAGTTATTGTGAATCAAGAAATTCAGATTAACTTGCGCGAGTTATTGTGAATCAAGGAATTCAGATTAACTCGCACGAGTTATTGTGAATCAAGGGGTGTAAGCTGCGCCACCTACACGTTAGCGCTGGTCATCGCCGCGGTCAACGCTTTGTATGGTTGCCGTGCTTTGGAATACTGTACCGGTAACAGCTCTGGCAATGAGGCAGAACAACAGATCAGGCTTGGGAACTGACAATCTGGCTACCGGTACCGGTACCGGTACGATGCTTGAGAAAGTACAGTTAGAAAGTGCAGGTTGCTAGTGACCGGAAAAGTGGTTGTTGACGATCACTTTCCAGCTGTTGTGGTTGTTCTCGTCTTTTTTAGGTTGCCATGTCCCAAAGAAGGTTGTTTGTGGTCCAAAGTTGGCACACTAGCGAGTCGCCAGTGGCGACCCGGACTCCCTTCCTCCCTCAAATATTGCGGTGCGGGGCAAGTTCTGCATCGATCGAACGTGCTCGTCTCAGTGTATGACCGACAGCACCTGGCTCAAAAAATGATTTCTGGGTGACTGGCACTCAAACTCCATGGTTTATCCACGTACTGGTACACATGTACGTACATTTACTGGTTGCGTCTGACGAACCAGGGCACCGAGATGGCTTACAGGTCCGAACCAGTTAAAAGGGGTGTCTCTGCGTCCGTCACCACTATTGGTTGTTCAGGCAGCGGGCGGCCGCGTCTGACGGGTTGCCGCTGTGGCTGGGGCTTCAACCGGGCGAAATACCAGCGCACCTAGACTTCCAGCGAGTGCATGAACGGCTCTGTAACGGCGAGGACTGCCGAGGACTGGTTGCGTCTGACGAACCAAGCAAAGGAGCAGGGGATTGACGCAGGGAACGACGAGAAGGCTGGCGACAAGAACGACTAGAACAGTGGCGAAGAGAACGCCGAGATGAGATGGAGTAGGTGCTAGGATGTGGACGATTCTGCGGATCCTAGTTTGCATATTGTTTTTCCTTTTTTGTGGGGCCTTTTGGCTCCTTGGGCTGCTACCGCGGGAGATCCCCGTGTGCGGAGCTGCTGTCGTACGCGGCTCCGGGCGTAGCTAGTCGCCATAACCGCTTATTTCATTTCATTTCATGGTACACATGTACGTACTTCTCGTGCCTTCATTTCGCATTCGACGCAACAGAACACACTTGGGGCGTACAGATTTCACTTGCTAGCATGTTCAACGGCGGGGAGCGGATCAGCGCTGCGGTGCTCTTCGCAACGGTGGGCGTTTCGAGCCCAGGGAGTGTGTCATCGGATCCGGCGTCTGCCAAATATTCCGTGTCGGCTTTCACTATCGGCGACTGGGGCACAACAACGGATCCGGGCTCGTGCCGCTCGAGCACGTTCAGCAACTACGACCTCAATGCTGAGGCTATTGTGGGGGGCTTTGATGAACACCCAAGCCGGAAACGCGGATGTTAAGCCAAACGTCATCATCCGCACTACGGAGATGCTCCAAGCGCTCGACAACAAGCTCAACTGGCAAGCGAGTGACACGAGCCCCAACGACGACCGCTGGATTCTAAAGGATTATTTCTACGTTCACACCATCGAAGACGCGGAGTCGGGCGTGAGTATTGATATCTTTAATGTCGATGGTAACGATGCCGATGTCCACGGTGCCGCTGTTACCTGCTGTCAGTGCTACGGCTACGCGTCGAGCAACGACAATAGCGGATGCAACGACGTTGTCCGAGTAGATAGGTACTGCTGTGGCGGTTATACGGGTCTCTATTATGCTTGTCTTGTCAAATTCGAGCAATGGGGCAACGATTCGCGTGCCCAACTGAAGGACAAGGTGGCGGCGTCGAACGCGACATGGAAGCTCATTAATAACCATTATAGTCCGTACGAGATCCTGGTACGGTTTGGGGTGACGCCCTCCCGGGGAGCGGCGCCGCGGCATCGTTCTCGGGGGCGCTAATGCGGCTCCGCCGCGGGCGCCCTCAGTTCTTAGACGGACAAGGATGTGAGGCTAGTGTCTCTGGGCTGAGAACTCGACGCGGGTACGACTCGCGGCGGCGGTAGCGGACAAACCAAGCGCGCTCAGTGCTCAGCCACCGACTTCCTGTGCGTTGATGACTACGGCATCGCCCAGGAAGCTGATTCGGCGGCGAGGCGCGAGCGCCCGCGAGGGGGGGGGGCTGTTGCAGCCGTCAACCGTCAAGGGAAGGTGCTCAAGGGGATCAGTATAAGGCGCAGGAACAACACAAGACCGAAGAACAAGGGCGTGCTGGCTGAGACTGCGTGGTTTGTTGCGGCCACGACAGCAGTTGCCGGGGAAAGGAGTTGTGACCCAAGTACCTAGCTGAACCAAGACTACAAGACCGATACGGGCGACGGAAGCAGCGGACATGCCGCCACCAAGGCCTAGCGCGTCTCCGCGAAGGGGGAGCCATTCATTGCCGACGTATGCTGATCGTGCCGGAGAAGACAGTAGGAACTCAATTAGTGGCCGCCCACTATTGGAGTTAGTGGTGTGGACCACGCTTGGAGAGTGTAGATCACTTTTTCCCTAAAGCGTAAGGCGCACCAACGTTTACAAGTACAAGTAGAAAGTCCGTACGAGCACTACAGCGAAGTCGATATGAACAAGTGGTTCGACGCGTTACAGGGATCCGGCATCCAAGTTTGCATATACGACCATACGCACGGTGAGAAGCACGACTACGCGGCGTCGCATTTCGTGGAGAACGGGGCGGGTGGCGGCATCAAAAAGGAAGCGGCCAGCGAGATTCCGTCATATGCTACCGCGTACGTGAAGAGAGAGTGACGAGTACGGCTTCTTCTCGTTGGAGGCGTCTAATGTCACGTCGTAGGCTTTCCTCTCTTGAAAGCGGAATGAAAAGTGTATTTAGTTTGGCTTAGTTCGGGATTTCCTTCTTTGTTGCTGCTCTTTTGCAGCCAGTCATTCTAAGAGTAAACCTAGCGTCATCTTAACCTGAACTAAAGTAAACACAGAGTAATTCTTCTAGGTGTCATCAACGGAGTTGTACTCCGTTACACGACCCCACTTTAAAAACACGCTTACCCCTTGACCGAAGGGCAGTTGGAAGCGATATGCCCAACTTGCTTGCAACGATGACACGTCGCGGTTTCCATCCACTTGGCCGTGGTTGCTGGCGTGCTTCCTCCAGTGACCCCATGATCAAAGCGCAACGTGAGCTCGGTGGTCTCTTCCAGCGTAGCGGGGTGATGTTCTCGGAGATGGTGGGACATCTCCGATCGAAGCCCCTGTTGAAAGTAGAACCGCAATTCCATGGGGGTGATGGCCACTTGGCATTGAATCAGGATATCTTAAAAGGCGCTCAGGTAGCCGTGCAGGGAGCCAATTTGCGTGAGTTTGCAGAGTTTCTCGCGCAGCATATACTCATTGTCCGGTGGCAGAAAACGTTTGCGCATAGCACCCTTGAACGTCTCCCAGGTTCGGACAATTTGGGCTCGATCACACTCGGCCACAAACTGCCGATACCAATTCATAGGCGTGGGTGCCAGGTAGCACGACACCATGGTGACGAACGCGGGGCTGTTCTCCACCATGATCGGGTGATAGTCGGCGTAGTATTGTTCGATCATGAAAAACCACAGCTCTAGGTCCTCATTGAGCGTACCGTGGTACTTGGGCGGCTCCGCCTTCCGGGCAGCAGGTGGCTTGCTAGTAATTGCTTCAAGACGCACAGCTTGAGCAGCTATTTGCTCATTCATTCGTGCGTGAAATTGTTCTTGTTGTTGTGCAAAAAACTGCAACATCTCACTAAACATTTGTGGCGCGTTGCTGGCGTCCATATTGGTGCGGCTCGATGGCTTCGTGACTCGATGGTCTGGACTCGGACTCGATGGTCTGGAACTTGGACTCGATGGTATGGAACTTGGACTCGGTAGCTCGATGGCGCCGAGGACTTGACAACGACAAGTGCTACTATGTAACGTCGTAGGCAGGCTTTCCTCTCTTGAAAGCGGAATGAAAAGTGTATTTAGTTTGGCTTAGTTCGGGATTTCCTTCTTTGTTGCTGCTCTTTTGCAGCCAGTCATTCTAAGAGTAAACCTAGCGTCATCTTAACCTGAACTAAAGTAAACACAGAGTAATTCTTCTAGGTGTCATCAACGGAGTTGTACTCCGTTACAGGACCCCACTTTAAAAACACGCTTACCCCTTGACCGAAGGGCAGTTGGAAGCGATATGCCCAACTTGCTTGCAACGATGACACGTCGCGGTTTCCATCCACTTGGCCGTGGTTGCTGGCGTGCTTCCTCCAGTGACCCCATGATCAAAGCGCAACGTGAGCTCGGTGGTCTCTTCCAGCGTAGCGGGGTGATGTTCTCGGAGATGGTGGGACATCTCCGATCGAAGCCCCTGTTGAAAGTAGAACCGCAATTCCATGGGGGTGATGGCCACTTGGCATTGGATCAGGATATCTTAAAAGGCGCTCAGGTAGTCGTGCAGGGAGCCAATTTGCGTGAGTTTGCAGAGTTTCTCGCGCAGCATATACTCATTGTCCGGTGGCAGAAAACGTTTGCGCATAGCACCCTTGAACGTCTCCCAGGTTCGGACAATTTGGGCTCGATCACACTCGGCCACAAACTGCCGATACCAATTCATAGGCGTGGGTGCCAGGTAGCACGACACCATGGTGACGAACGCGGGGCTGTTCTCCACCATGATCGGGTGATAGTCGGCGTAGTATTGTTCGATCATGAAAAACCACAGCTCTAGGTCCTCATTGAGCGTACCGTGGTACTTGGGCGGCTCCGCCTTCCGGGCAGCAGGTGGCTTGCTAGTAATTGCTTCAAGACGCACAGCTTGAGCAGCTATTTGCTCATTCATTCGTGCGTGAAATTGTTCTTGTTGTTGTGCAAAAAACTGCAACATCTCACTAAACATTTGTGGCGCGTTGCTGGCGTCCATATTGGTGCGGCTCGATGGCTTCGTGACTCGATGGTCTGGACTCGGACTCGATGGTCTGGAACTTGGACTCGATGGTATGGAACTTGGACTCGGTAGCTCGATGGCGCCGAGGACTTGACAACGACAAGTGCTACTATGTAACGTCGTAGGCAGGCTTTCCTCTCTAGAAAGCGGAATGAAAAGTGTATTTAGTTTGGCTTAGTTCGGGATTTCCTTCTTTGTTGCTGCTCTTTTGCAGCCAGTCATTCTAAGAGTAAACCTAGCGTCATCTTAACCTGAACTAAAGTAAACACAGAGTAATTCTTCTAGGTGTCATCAACGGAGTTGTACTCCGTTACACGACCCCACTTTAAAAACACGCTTACCCCTTGACCGAAGGGCAGTTGGAAGCGATATGCCCAACTTGCTTGCAACGATGACACGTCGCGGTTTCCATCCACTTGGCCGTGGTTGCTGGCGTGCTTCCTCCAGTGACCCCATGATCAAAGCGCAACGTGAGCTCGGTGGTCTCTTCCAGCGTAGCGGGGTGATGTTCTCGGAGATGGTGGGACATCTCCGATCGAAGCCCCTGTTGAAAGTAGAACCGCAATTCCATGGGGGTGATGGCCACTTGGCATTGAATCAGGATATCTTAAAAGGCGCTCAGGTAGCCGTGCAGGGAGCCAATTTGCGTGAGTTTGCAGAGTTTCTCGCGCAGCATATACTCATTGTCCGGTGGCAGAAAACGTTTGCGCATAGCACCCTTGAACGTCTCCCAGGTTCGGACAATTTGGGCTCGATCACACTCGGCCACAAACTGCCGATACCAATTCATAGGCGTGGGTGCCAGGTAGCACGACACCATGGTGACGAACGCGGGGCTGTTCTCCACCATGATCGGGTGATAGTCGGCGTAGTATTGTTCGATCATGAAAAACCACAGCTCTAGGTCCTCATTGAGCGTACCGTGGTACTTGGGCGGCTCCGCCTTCCGGGCAGCAGGTGGCTTGCTAGTAATTGCTTCAAGACGCACAGCTTGAGCAGCTATTTGCTCATTCATTCGTGCGTGAAATTGTTCTTGTTGTTGTGCAAAAAACTGCAACATCTCACTAAACATTTGTGGCGCGTTGCTGGCGTCCATATTGGTGCGGCTCGATGGCTTCGTGACTCGATGGTCTGGACTCGGACTCGATGGTCTGGAACTTGGACTCGATGGTATGGAACTTGGACTCGGTAGCTCGATGGCGCCGAGGACTTGACAACGACAAGTGCTACTATGTAACGTCGTAGGCAGGCTTTCCTCTCTTGAAAGCGGAATGAAAAGTGTATTTAGTTTGGCTTAGTTCGGGATTTCCTTCTTTGTTGCTGCTCTTTTGCAGCCAGTCATTCTAAGAGTAAACCTAGCGTCATCTTAACCTGAACTAAAGTAAACACAGAGTAATTCTTCTAGGCGTCATCAACGGAGTTGTACTCCGTTACACGACCCCACTTTAAAAACACGCTTACCCCTTGACCGAAGGGCAGTTGGAAGCGATATGCCCAACTTGCTTGCAACGATGACACGTCGCGGTTTCCATCCACTTGGCCGTGGTTGCTGGCGTGCTTCCTCCAGTGACCCCATGATCAAAGCGCAACGTGAGCTCGGTGGTCTCTTCCAGCGTAGCGGGGTGATGTTCTCGGAGATGGTGGGACATCTCCGATCGAAGCCCCTGTTGAAAGTAGAACCGCAATTCCATGGGGGTGATGGCCACTTGGCATTGGATCAGGATATCTTAAAAGGCGCTCAGGTAGTCGTGCAGGGAGCCAATTTGCGTGAGTTTGCAGAGTTTCTCGCGCAGCATATACTCATTGTCCGGTGGCAGAAAACGTTTGCGCATAGCACCCTTGAACGTCTCCCAGGTTCGGACAATTTGGGCTCGATCACACTCGGCCACAAACTGCCGATACCAATTCATAGGCGTGGGTGCCAGGTAGCACGACACCATGGTGACGAACGCGGGGCTGTTCTCCACCATGATCGGGTGATAGTCGGCGTAGTATTGTTCGATCATGAAACCCCCCAGCTCTAGGTCCTCATTGAGCGTACCGTGGTACTTGGGCGGCTCCGCCTTCCGGGCAGCAGGTGGCTTGCTAGTAATTGCTTCAAGACGCACAGCTTGAGCAGCTATTTGCTCATTCATTCGTGCGTGAAATTGTTCTTGTTGTTGTGCAAAAAACTGCAACATCTCACTAAACATTTGTGGCGCGTTGCTGGCGTCCATATTGGTGCGGCTCGATGGCTTCGTGACTCGATGGTCTGGACTCGGACTCGATGGTCTGGAACTTGGACTCGATGGTATGGAACTTGGACTCGGTAGCTCGATGGCGCCGAGGACTTGACAACGACAAGTGCTACTGTGTAACGTCGTAGGCAGGCTTTCCTCTCTTGAAAGCGGAATGAAAAGTGTATTTAGTTTGGCTTAGTTCGGGATTTCCTTCTTTGTTGCTGCTCTTTTGCAGCCAGTCATTCTAAGAGTAAACCTAGCGTCATCTTAACCTGAACTAAAGTAAACACAGAGTAATTCTTCTAGGTGTCATCAACGGAGTTGTACTCCGTTACACGACCCCACTTTAAAAACACGCTTACCCCTTGACCGAAGGGCAGTTGGAAGCGATATGCCCAACTTGCTTGCAACGATGACACGTCGCGGTTTCCATCCACTTGGCCGTGGTTGCTGGCGTGCTTCCTCCAGTGACCCCATGATCAAAGCGCAACGTGAGCTCGGTGGTCTCTTCCAGCGTAGCGGGGTGATGTTCTCGGAGATGGTGGGACATCTCCGATCGAAGCCCCTGTTGAAAGTAGAACCGCAATTCCATGGGGGTGATGGCCACTTGGCATTGGATCAGGATATCTTAAAAGGCGCTCAGGTAGTCGTGCAGGGAGCCAATTTGCGTGAGTTTGCAGAGTTTCTCGCGCAGCATATACTCATTGTCCGGTGGCAGAAAACGTTTGCGCATAGCACCCTTGAACGTCTCCCAGGTTCGGACAATTTGGGCTCGATCACACTCGGCCACAAACTGCCGATACCAATTCATAGGCGTGGGTGCCAGGTAGCACGACACCATGGTGACGAACGCGGGGCTGTTCTCCACCATGATCGGGTGATAGTCGGCGTAGTATTGTTCGATCATGAAACACCACAGCTCTAGGTCCTCATTGAGCGTACCGTGGTACTTGGGCGGCTCCGCCTTCCGGGCAGCAGGTGGCTTGCTAGTAATTGCTTCAAGACGCACAGCTTGAGCAGCTATTTGCTCATTCATTCGTGCGTGAAATTGTTCTTGTTGTTGTGCAAAAAACTGCAACATCTCACTAAATATTTGTGGCGCGTTGCTGGCGTCCATATTGGTGCGGCTCGATGGCTTCGTGACTCGATGGTCTGGACTCGGACTCGATGGTCTGGAACTTGGACTCGATGGTATGGAACTTGGACTCGGTAGCTCGATGGCGCCGAGGACTTGACAACGACAAGTGCTACTATGTAACGTCGTAGGCAGGCTTTCCTCTCTTGAAAGCGGAATGAAAAGTGTATTTAGTTTGGCTTAGTTCGGGATTTCCTTCTTTGTTGCTGCTCTTTTGCAGCCAGTCATTCTAAGAGTAAACCTAGCGTCATCTTAACCTGAACTAAAGTAAACACAGAGTAATCCTTCTAGGTGTCATCAACGGAGTTGTACTCCGTTACATCTAAGGACTGGCTCAAGCTGCAGTACCACACGACCGACAATCAGTGGAATTGCACCGAGAGCATCGGCAACACGACGGTCGGTGGCGTAGCGACTAAGCACTGCTGGTACATTCCTGCGGACGGCTCGGAGGGCAAGGTCTGCTAGAAGCACCGTTGTTGTTCTGTTTCGGTGGACAGCAACGACCTAGTCAAGCTGACCATTTCAGTTTCTGTCGATCTCATGGATTTCTCGAACACCACAGCGTCGCAGCTTTCTTCACAACTAAAGTACATATAGTGCCTCTGACTCTAATTCGTAAGATTGCTCCCTTGGCTTTCGTCTTTAACTTTCCTGTACAGTTCAGATTCCTCGAATCAACACGATCAGCCGAAATATATGGCCTGCAGTGGTTTTATCCACTGAAATTCTATTCTACATACGAGTCTGGGCCAGGGAGCTCCCTTCTCAGCAAGCTGCAAACTGCGCGCCAGTCTTCATTCTTCGTTTTTGAGGGGAACGCCTCAACCCAACCGTCGGATGATCAAGCACGGTATAAGCAAGGTGCTGGCCACCGTCGCTGTGCTGTTCACTGCGGTGGCGGCTGCAAGCGGCTCCACAGTGACGTCAGACCCGACCACCGCGACATACTCGCTCTCAGCGTTCGCGATTGGAGACTGGGGGACCACCGTTGCCAAGGACTCGTGCTGCTCGCGCTCGTCCGGATACAACAACTATGATGTCAATGCGGAGGACGTCGTGGCCAGTCTGATGAACACTCAAGCGGGGGACGCCAAGGTGAAGCCCAAGGTCATCATTGGACACGGCGACAACTTTTACTGGACGGGAATCAACAGCCTGGAGGGCCGTGACTCGCGCTTCACGACGACGTTCGAGGACAAGTACGACGGGAAGAACCTGAAGGGGATCCCATGGGTGAACGTACTGGGCAACCACGACTACGGCGGTGCCAGTTATATCTGCAACAGCGGAGACAACAATGCCAAGTGTGAGAGCACCGAGGCGCTGATCCAGGGGCTGGAGAACAAGTTCAAGTGGCAGGCGGGGTACACCAGTCCCAATGACAACCGGTGGATCCTGGAGGACCATTTCTACGTCCACCGCATTGAGGACGCGGCAACGGGGGTCAGTATTGACATCTTCAACGTGGACACGAACGACGCAGACGTTCACGGCGCCATGCAGATCTGCTGCCAGTGCTACGGTTACGCAGAAGGTGACGATGCTGGATGCAGCAACGTTGGCCGTGGCCACCAGTATTGCGCCGGAGGGAGCACTACAGCTTACGATACGTGCATGGCTAAGTTCGCGGAATGGGGCGAGGATTCACGCACTCAGCTCAAGGCGAAGGTGGCAGCGTCGACCGCGACCTGGAAGCTCGTCAACAGTCATTACGGACCATACGACCACTATGCTCAGGCCGGCATGAACAAGTGGTTCGACGTCCTGAGAGGCTCCGGGATCCACGCGTTTCTGTATGGCCACACGCACGGAGAGAAGCACGACTACTCGGCGTCGCTTGGAATGCATTTCGTGGAGAATGGCGCTGGCGGTGGCATTCAGAAGGAGTCTGCGAGTGGAGTCCCGGACTTTGCAGCCCAGTACGCAAAGAACGAGTGGGCGTACACCGGGGACGAGTACGGCTTCTTCTCGTTGGAGGCGTCCAAGGACTGGCTGAAGCTGCAGTACCACACGACGGACAAGAAGTGGGCATTCACGGAGAAGTTTGGTAACACCACGGTTGGTGGTGTCGCCACGAAGCACTGCTGGTACATTCCTGCGGATGGCTTGGAAGGCAAAGCGTGCTAAGCCGGACGAAACCTGAGATGCTGCGAACCAAGTCGACAAGTGCGTTTTCTAATCTGAAGCAGCGTTTGTTTTCTATTCTGAAATTCATTGCATCACGTACTAGCATTGATCTACAGACCGTATTCGCATTAGCACCCCCGGCCTTCCGTGCCGTCAGCAGGGATGTACCAGCAGTGCTTGGTGGCGACGCCGCCCACCTTCGTGCCGTTGAAGCTCTCTCCGAACTCCCAAGACTGGTCCGCCGTGTGATACTGCAGCTTGATCCACTCCTTGGACGCCTGGAGCGACATGAAGCCGTACTCGTCGCTCGAGTAGGTCCACTCGTTCTTGACGAACGGAGCCGCGTAAGGCGGGATGCCGCTCGCAGACTCCTTCTGGATACCACCGCCGGCACCGTTCTCCACGAAGTGGATACCCAGCGACTCGGAGTAGTCGTGCTTTTCACCGTGATTGTGGCCATTAATCCACACGTGGACGCCCGAGTCTCGGAGTACGTCGAACCACTTGTTCATGCCCGCCTCGTCATAGTCGGTGTATATGCTGTAGTGCGAGTTAATAACCTTCCAGGTCGCGGTGGACTGCTTGACCTTGTCCGCGATCTGCGCGCGTGAGTCTTCGCCCCATTCCGCGAACCTATTGTAACAAGCCTCGTACTCAGCGGTATTCCCACCAGCACAGTACTTGTGTCCAGGGCCAACACTCTTACAGGCCGCGCTATCGCCGTTCGAGTAGCCGTAGCACTGGCAGCAGATCTGCATGGCTCCGTGGTTATCCGCGTCGTTCGTGTCCACGTTGAAGATGTCAATACTGACCCCCGTTGCCGCGTCTTCAATGCGGTGGACGTAGAAATGGTCCTCCAGGATCCACCGGTTGTCATTGGGACTGGTGTACTCCGCCTGCCACTTGAATTTGTTCTCCAGCCCCTGGATCAGCGCCTCGGTGCTCTCGCACTTGGCATTGTTGTCTCCGCTGTTGCAGATGTAGCTCGAGCCGCCGTAGTCGTGGTTGCCCATAACGTTTACCCATGGAATGGTCTTGATATTGTCACCTTTGAACTTGTCCTCAAACGTCGTGGTGAAGCGCGAGTCGCGGCCCTCAAGGCTGTTGATACCCGTCCAATAGAAGTTGTCGCCGTGTCCGATGATGACCTTGGGTTTGACGGCTGCATTACCAGCTTCAGTGTTCATCAAGCTGGCCACGACATCCTCCGCGACAATGTCGTAGTTGCTGTAAGTGTCGGAGCGGGAGCAGCACGAGCCCTTGAACGTCGTAGTTCCCCAGTCACCGATGGCAAACGTGGACAACGAGTACACTACAGTTGCCGGGTCAGACGTCACCAACGCCTCAGTGACGGCGCCAACTGGGTCGAGCATTCCTGGTCGTTGTCTCAGGTTCTGCTGGCAAATTCAAGAATGAACGCAGTCGACGACTGAAAGGCAAAGAGCCAGCACCGTCTTGGTGCTACATGGGCTCGTCTAGGAAGAGGCACAGTGAGGCGAGGAAAAACATCAGGGAGTTAATAGAACATCGCTCCCATGTGACGAATTTCAGCATTTTTGTAGGGGCTATTACTGTATAATACAGTTACTGGGGTTATGCTTAGCATAGCGGGGGGGGGGGCAACGCTAAGACAGAATGACAATTAATGCGTGCTCGTTGTCCTTACATGTTAGTACGCGCAAGCGCTAGAAATTCGTCCGGGAGTCCTACACGTACTGTGACTGAAGAATACGATGGTGATTGGTTGTAGATACGCGTTGCTAGAGTATTACGTCTTCCACCTGTTTGCACTTTTTGCGCTTCAATTCTGAAGATTTCTTTGGTGAACCGACTCCGGTCACGTTTGTGGCTGGTTTCAACGGTTAATCAGGGTTTCAAATGCACGATGTGATGTGAGGAATGCGGCTCATGGAGCCACACGTTCAAACATTGCCACTAGAACCCACCAGTTGTGCTCTTCGAGACCAGCTTCCTATGATCGTTAAGTCGTGTCCTCTTGTCTGCGGGCCTAGTCCAACCGATGCTGCATCACGACGCGGCATGTGTCTATAGGGCATCAGGCCAGCAAGCAACGTGTGGTACGTGGCGTTCAAGAGAACTCAGTTTTACCGCATTGGCGCCCAACAAGAACAAGCTTTCTGGCGGTTGAAAAGCATCAGCGTTAGAGCATACATGTAGTAATGGATCACCAGGCTGGGCGCTTGATTGTTGCCAGTATTGTATTCTGCTCGTAAACAAATCTGCGAGCGGAACATTCGTGTGTGCAATGCAGAGTCAGAGTCTACAAATACAATAGAACTGTAGACAGTACTATTTTACGATAGGTAGAGTCTACAAATATTATAGTACTGTAGAAAGTACTATTTTACTATAGGTAGAGTATACAAATACAATAGTATTGTAGGCACTACTATAATACTACATGTACAAATACATCATTAATTTTTGCAGTACTTTATCAGTAGTATTAATATTACTGCAGTATGCATGATTTTAAACATGAATACTACAGTAATATTATTTGTTGAAAAGTACTTTTTCAACAAATAGTATCCTAATAAATTATAATATTTTTACTCTTTGAAGTAAAGGAAAGAACTCAATCACAGCTCGAAGACTCGTATTTGTCTGCATTGGGAAAACTGATTATCCACTCGTTCTACATTATGCTCCGCCATTGCACCTCCGGATACCTTACATGTTGTGCCTTGTTCGAAATGTTTTTTTTATATATTAAACTATTTCGATGATATATTCGATGCATTTCGGTATTTTAAAGCGAGAAAGCTAGCACTAGGCATGCAAGTAAAGCAGCATGAACGCTGTGGAGGTTTGCATTCTGTCACTTATAACGAGATAACACCAACCAGCAAACTTTGTAGAAGTATACAGTGTTCCTGCAAAAAATATTTTAAACCAAGAGGGCTGGAGGGCAACTTCTCTCTGTCAGATTGAGAATGTTTTCTGCTGGCAAACAGCGAAGCTAAACGGACGCTGGAGGCTGAAGATACACAGCATAAGAAGAATTCCGTATATGTATATAGTGCAGCGCATAGAAGAAGAAGTTGATTATCTGGTTAAATTAATGGATGTCTCGTTTTGCTAGCTACCACAGTGTAAATTGACTAAGGTTGCTCACACATGAACTCCGCATGGTCTAACATATCATCTTACTTTATGCGCTGCATTATCCTGGGCTCAAGACTGAGATGCAACTAAGTCCACAATGTGTATTTTTCTAATTTGGAACAGCGTAACTAATTTTTCTAATATGAGTCATTGCTCATGACATCTCCTCATTCTAATGCCATTTGCAGTAATTTACTGTAAACCACTGCACACAACGCCACTACATTAGCACCCCCGGCCTTCCGTGCCGTCAGCAGGGATGTACCAGCAGTGCTTGGTGGCGACGCCGCCCACCTTCGTGCCGTTGAAGCTCTCTCCGAACTCCCAAGACTGGTCCGCCGTGTGATACTGCAGCTTGATCCACTCCTTGGACGCCTGGAGCGACATGAAGCCGTACTCGTCGCTCGAGTAGGTCCACTCGTTCTTGACGAACGGAGCCGCGTAAGCCGGGATGCCGCTCGCAGACTCCTTCTGGATACCACCGCCGGCACCGTTCTCCACGAAGTGGATACCCAGCGACTCGGAGTAGTCGTGCTTTTCACCGTGCGTGTGGCCGTTAAGCCACACGTGGATTCCGGAGTCCCGGAGAACGTCGAACCACTTGTTCATGCCCGCTTCGACGTAGTGGTTGTACACACTGTAATGGCTGTTGACGATCTTCCAGGTCGCGGTGGACTGCTTGACCTTGTCCGCGATCTGCGCGCGTGAGTCTTCGCCCCATTCCGCGAACCTATTGTAACAAGCCTCGTACTCAGCGGTATTCCCACCAGCACAGTACTTGTGTCCAGGGCCAACACTCTTACAGGTGGCGCTGTCACCGTTCGAGTAGCCGTAGCACTGGCAGCAGATCTGCATGGCGCCGTGGATATCGGCGTCGTTCGTGTCCACGTTGAAGATGTCAATACTGACCCCCGTTGCCGCGTCCTCAATGCGGTGGACGTAGAAATGGTCCTCCAGGATCCACCGGTTGTCATTGGGACTGGTGTACTCCGCCTGCCACTTGAATTTGTTCTCCAGCCCCTGGATCAGCGCCTCGGTGCTCTCGCACTTGGCATTGTTGTCCCCGCTGCTGCAGATGTAGCTCGAGCCGCCGTAGTCGTGGTTGCCCATAACGTTTACCCATGGAATGGTCTTGATATTGTCACCTTTGAACTTGTCCTCAAACGTCGTGGTGAAGCGCGAGTCGCGGCCCTCAAGGCTGTTGATACCCGTCCAATAGAAGTTGTCGCCGTGTCCGATGATGACCTTGGGTTTGACGGCTGCATTACCAGCTTCAGTGTTCATCAAGCTGGCCACGACATCCTCCGCGACAATGTCGTAGTTGCTGTAAGTGTCGGAGCGGGAGCAGCACGAGCCCTTGAACGTCGTAGTTCCCCAGTCACCGATGGCAAACGTGGACAACGAGTACACTACAGTTGCCGGGTCAGACGTCACCAACGCCTCAGTGACGGCGCCAACCACGGCGGCGTAGACAGCCAGTAGCTTGGGGTTGAGCATTCTTGGTTGTCTTCTCGGGTTCTGCTGGTAAATTCAGGAGTGAATAGACGTCTGCGCGCAGGATCAGAGGAGACCAGCCCACGCAGTGAGTGGGCTGGTCTAGGACGAGACACGGCGGGGCGAGAAAAAACATCCGGGAGCCTCCATGGGTCAGACTTTCCCCTGTGGTGAATTTCAACATCTTTGTGTTGGTATGCAGGAAGGCTATCCATGGGGCTGCTGGAGTTTATTGTCCCGGCCAGAATTGAGTTTATAATAGTTGAGCACAATGGAGAGGCGACGCTAAGGGAGAACGACAACTGCAAGCGTGTCTATTGTTTTCAGTGCAGGCAAGCGCTAGAAGTCCGTCCTGGAGTCCTTCAATATGGATAGAAGGCGCCGTCCGCGTTACTGTTGCATTACGTTTTGCGCCTGTTTGCACTTTTCGCGTTTCATTCCTGAAGATATATTTGGCGAAGTGACTGCGGTCACGTCTGTAGCTGGCTTCAGCGCTTGATCAGGGTTTCAAATGCACGACGCGGCTCACGGAGCCGCACACGAATGGCAACCCGATCGAGGCATTGCACGCGTACAGTGTGGTGTTGCAGGATCCGTGCCACCAGAATCTACCAGTTGTGCTCGCCCGCCTCCTGTGATCGTTGAGTTGAATAAGCGTTGTCAAGACTCCCGATACTGCATTACGACGTGCATGAACGGATCTACAGTCTGTACAAGGGTCCAAGCTAGCAAATAAAACTTGCTGTGCGGATAAGCAGCTTCGGGTTTACCAGTGTGACCATGAATTACCTGAATAATTGAACAAGCTACCTCGCGACTGAGGAGACTCAGCTCTAATAAGTACTGTAACAGGACACAACGACGATGTTTAGCGACAAGTACTATTATACCGTGAGCAACAAATACCCTGGCAGGCCGTTCATCGTAAAATATCCATTATAGCAACGTTTGTATGGGTCCGAAGACGCTGTACGTGACGGACGCGTTGATGTGGTGTCGTTGAAAATCGCTATAAAGCAACAGCTTCAGCAGCATCGCATGAATGTCTTTCCACTTCAACGGCACAAGGCTGGCAACAATAGGTACAATCGACTTTGTGGACGACAGTTATGATGACCAGTTTCCTGTGAGCATCGATATAGAGATTCTCTATTAGAGAATGTCAAGTTCACCAGAAGCGCGAACACTATTTGTCTCTGCCATCCTTGAGTCGGTGCTTGTCCTGTATCTGGGGCTTCCGTACGAAGGCGATTACGAGAGAGAGAGAGAGATGAAGGAGTCTGTTCGTTGACTGAAGATGCACTGTTAAGGGGAAATAAGCAAAACAAAATAACCCGAGTATTGCAAAATACAATTAAGCCTCTAGCTCGACTTCGCCCTTGGTGAGCAGCTTCGAAAGCGCCGACTTCTTGGCGCTGCGCTTCGCACGGCGCTCGTTTTTCAGCTTCTCGCGGTTCGCACGCAACGTCTCCTTGTCTACCTTGCGCTTCTTGGCACCACGAACAGGGCCGGATTCATCGTCCGAGATGCCGTCGAACGCAGCGCCCATGTCGATCTTCTCCTTCTTCACCTTCTGGACGGGTCGCGACTGCACTTCCTGCTCCTGCTCCTCAACCTGCTGCTGCTTCTGGCTGCTAATCTGCGCCTTGGCCTTCCACTCGAACTTCTTGGGACCTGCGCTCTGCTGCTTCGGCTGCTGCTGCAGTTTCTTGCTCGCCGGCTTCTGAGCCGCCATGAAGCTGTTCACGTGCGCCGCGAGTCCAGCCGCAGCAGGCGCCTTCTCCACCTTCGCCTTTTTGGGCTTGACATCGACGACCACCTCGTCGTCGCTGTCGCTCTCCTGCTCCTGCTCCTCCGGTCGTCTCCTCTTCTTGCCCGCCTCCGCCTTCTTGTCCACCACCTCGAACTGCTCCTTCTTCACCTCCACCTTCTTCTCCTTCTTCTTGTCCTTGGCGGCCGGGGTCTCGGTCTCCAGCAGCTCGTGGCGGTACAGACACTTCTTGCCTCTGTGGCAGCGGCCGTTCTGGAAGCCGTAGCACACGCGCTTCTCCGCGGGCTTGTTCTCCTTCTTCTTCTTCTTCTCCTCCTTCGCTTGTTTTTCTTCCTCTTCATCCTCCGTCTCGTCGTCGTCGTCGTTCTTCTCCTTCTTGGGGTGCGAGAACTTGCAGTCGTCGCCGCGCTTGCACTCACCCGTCTGCACGAACTCGAAGCAGTTGCCGTACTCGCCGTCCTTGATGTCGTGCGAGAAGGGGCAGTTGGCGCCCTTGGTGCACTTGCCCTTGCGCAGCAGCCAGCACGGGCGCTGCGAGGCGTCGGGCGTCTCCTTCTTCTGCGCCTGGAACTTGTCCTTGGGCACGAGCTGCCGCACGTTGAGCGTGCGGCCCTGCACCACCTTCTTGTCCATGGCCTTGATGGCCGCGCGCATGGCCGACCCGGCCGTGAACGTCACGAAGCCGAAGCCGCGCGACGCGTTCGAGGCCGCGTCCAGCACCACCTTGGCCTCGGCCACGGCGCCGAAGTCGCTGAACAGGTCCGACAGCTGCGCGTCGTCCAGCGTCTTGGGGATGCCAACCACGATGATCTTCTGGCTGTCGTTGGACCTCGTCATCGCTGCAGGTGTGTGTGTGTGTATGTATGTAGGTATATGGACTTGGTCTTGCCAGGAACAGTTTAGCTGATACCCTGGAATTCAAGACTGAGAGGGAACTGCTGGTTGGTGATGCATGTAGCCATCTTCTTTAATTAGGTCATCGGATAAGTTTCCAATGTAGCCATCGGACTTGAAAAGGTATACGATTGTAGTGCTCAGTCAACGACGACGTTATCATTATCTTGATGTCCAAGAGTGTGCATAAGCTTACTGTAGAGGCGCATGCCTCGTTACCGCCACTGGTGAAGTGGATGCGTAGCAGGAAGGCTTCCACGCAAGTGTGATGTCCCCGCGGTACACATCGTTGGTCATGAGATTGAGAAGTGCCCCGACTGCGATGGTCTTGTGGTCGTCACTTCCTCAACTGCAGCTCGTGCTGTATCAGCTCCACACGTTACGCGCAAGCACAGCATCAATACCAACCACAGGAAGAACTCGACGATTGACCGTTAGTTTGCTGCGAACTAACACCTTCATGTCTGTCGACACCTGAATAGCCGCTCCTATTTTTGTCGAATGGACTCCTGCGGTAGTAATGGTAAAATGAATGCGTGCTGCTAGCAGGAAAAAATAGTGTGTACATACGAAAGCGGTTTCGAAATAGCCTGGGTTCCGAAACTCAAAACCCAAATGCTATTTAGCTTCAGCTAGTGTACGTCATCCGCGCATTGCGAAATCGAGGCGAGACCGATGGACCTTCTCGTGCTATCGCTGTTGTTATTCTTCGGCGTTTGTGCAGGTCAAGAAAATAGCGACGCTGAGGCTTGCAGTACGTGCAGCGGCGGCGCGTCAATCGTTGACGCTACCGCTCGGGGCAGCGCTACGACAGTATACTTGCCCACAAATGCTGTACTTCACCAGTTCCTGAATACTACCGGAATGGACCCCGACTCTCTTGTGGCGGTGAGCTCCAGCTACAGTGTTTTGCAGGCGGAGAGTGAGGGCCTGGCTGCCATTACTAGCCCCGACACCAACGTATTTGCGTCAGTCCTCATCGTGCCGGGCAGTACTGACAACTCGGTCATGAGTATGATAAACCAGTCCGAATCAAACCTCCGTGGCGAGTTATCTGGTCGCACGCAGCTCATGTACAATTGTACGTCAGCTCCAACACTTTGGAATTTACTCGAGGACGTGAACGTGTTGAACCTGACCAGCTTGCAGCTTTTTGATAACGATGCAACCGCTGATAAAATCCTCAATTTTCGTGATGGAGACAAAAATCTGGTGGAGGAACAGCGTGACATCGTCGCACTTATCTCTATCCAAGTTGCAGATTGCTTGGCGATGCAAAAGTCGTCAATTGGAAGACCAGTGTTGGGAAACTCGTTCTTTGGCGCCATTTTTGACAGCTCTCCAACATATTTTTACAGTTTGAGCAGCACGGTCCTGAAAGCCAACAGCAGCTTCGAAGGTATGGACCAGTGTGTGCTGCAGCTTGAGATGGCCCGAGCATCCTTAGCAGAGGTCTATCCAGATTGCAAGATTAAATTCCACGCGACAGACCTAAATAACTTCGTTGGTGTGTACTTCAGGGCTAAGTGATCCGCAAACCAATCGTCGGCTAGCTGTTTCCAGTTTTGGGTTTGTGAAGGATCCGTCATGTACGTACAAGTGTGGATCTTCCGGGGCGGATGTCGACCAGTGCTTGGCGTCCAATGGAAAGGGTGGATGGAATGTAGTGCAGTGTCAAATGCAATTCTATGAGTTGCACAGTGATTTCGACTTTGAATGTGGCGACAAAACTGGTCCACCGTACAATATGGTTGCACCCCTCGCTAGCCAATGCTACGATTGCTACGAAACGACGTCGAGCTGTACGTCTGGCTATACTACTATCTCGGGTGTGGGTTGCTGTCGGAAATTGAGTTGTGTGGCGATGGATTCGACACAATTGGCAGCACCACCGCTTCTAACTTGGAATTTGGAGGCTGACGCACGCACGATTACTAACCCAGCTTTCCCAATTTTCGATAATGGATACTGCTCCGATGATACGGACCCATCAAGTAGTTGCTGTCGTATCACGTGCATTAATTGCTTTCTCAACATCTCGGTTCTATCGTTTTCTGCTGACTTGGACTCATACTCTTCCCCTAAAGAGTATTCTACGACAACCGAGGTGCAGTTAGCAGGCACTTCGGAGATGATATTAAAGGTTTTTGCGCCAAACGGGTGCGTGGTGGAAACTAGCGACACTGTTGCAACCATCGCTCTCAGCTCGTCTCTTGGCAGCGGAATGCCTTTAGAAGCCCAGCTTACTTTGGATATTCTCAAAAAGCTCAACATGCAGCCTCATCGGTCCGATATTGAGTTCGGTGCCACTAACGAGATCCGAAGTCTCTCAACAGGGTCCGTACGTTCCGACCAAAAGTTCTTTGATATTCAAGTAAACAGTAAAACTTCTCAAGATCCGACGCCAACCGGTGTTGACATCGACCTGGAGGTCGACGTGATCCCTACTGTGACAGTGGCAATCAACTTCTTTAATGCTGTAGCAAAAATTGGGGTCACGACGAAACTCTCTCTCTTCACACAACTACAATCTAACATCGGTTTCCCCGATTCACGTACAAATTTGTCGACGAAGTATCTGAATGAAGCCTCAATGTTTCAGGGAGGAGACTGTCGATTGGAGCATTTCATGGAGTACAATGGATTTGCTGGGTATAAAGACATCACAGTTACATTACCGACATCGCTTAATGTCCCCGATGTTGCTACAGCAGATTCTGAACCTATGCTACTGTCATCTTCCGATAGTACAAGCACAAACCTGGTCAGTGGTTGTATTTCCGCCGTCTACAACGCCCAGGTCAAACTGTTTACAAGGCTGGACGGCGCAACATTACTATCCGACAAAAAACAAACTGCACTCAAGAATATCCTGACGTGGGCGCTTGGTATTCCCGAAGTTGATCCGATCTTCGTTTCTATCGTCGCGGTTTCTAGTGCAACAGGTGAAATATCGGTACAGATTGCCATACCACCCTCACTTTCGGCCACCTACCCGACAGCATCGCTCCTCGAGACGCAGCTCTACAAAACGGCAAGGAGTTCCAACTTTTCAGCTCTTGTTAGTTCGTACGTGGGTCTTGATCTTGCCTCACGCTGTGAAAGTGGCTGGAAAGGCACGAGTTGCACGAGGGAGTGCTCCTTATCGCACTGCGCCGTCAATTCTACTGTCTGCAATCCCCTCAGCGGCGCTGTGCTCTCGTGCGATACTTGTGATGACGGATGGTGGGGGGCTCTTTGCCAAACTCAATGCTCATCGACAAACTGCTCAGTCGGATCTGTAAGCTGCAACGTTGTCACTGGAGCCGCTATTTCGTGCCGCGATTGCAACGATCGCTGGTGGCCGTGGCCTCTATGTGAGAACCAGTGCTCGTCACGGCAGTGTCCTATCGGCTCAGTCAGTTGCCACAGCTCTAACGGCACAGCTTTATCTTGCAGTTCCTGCTACGACGGATGGTGGGGAACAACTTGTCAAACTCGATGTACTTCTGCTAATTGTCCGATAGGCTCGGTGAGTTGCGACGCTGTGAGCGGAAAGCCGACCTTGTGCAGCTCTTGCGATCGCGGGTGGTGGCGACCGACTTGTCAAAATCAATGCGCGTTTGCACACTGCAGCGTTGGGTCCGTTAGCTGCGACTCGAACAATGGCTCTGTCATCTCGTGTAGTTCCTGTGATGACGGATGGTGGGGACCAACTTGCGAGAATCGGTGCTCCTCAACGCATTGCCCAACTGGCACTGTAAGTTGCGACTCTGCCACCGGTGAAGCCATTTCGTGCAGTACCTGCAACGATGGATCGTGGGGTGAAAAGTGCGAAAAGCAATGTTCTTCGCCGCACTGTCCGGTCGGTTCTGTAAGTTGCGATTCGGTGAGTGGAGTTGCTTCTTCTTGCAAGGATTGCAACCATGGCTGGTGGGGGACAACATGTCAAACTCAGTGTGCATCAGAGCACTGTCTGGTTGGCTCTGTTAACTGTAACGCTATGGAGGGCTCAGTCAGTTACTGCGATCAGTGCGAAGAAGGTTGGTGGGGCAACTCCTGCGAGTCACAATGCAGTTCAGACCACTGTCCTGTTGGGTCGGAAGTTGTGACGCAACTAACGGAGACGCGGTCGCATGCAATAGCTGCGAAGATGGCTGGTGGGGAAGTCTGTGCACGAAACGCTGCTCTTCAGATTACTGCACAGACCACGCCATAACTTGCGATGCTGTTAGCGGCGAAGCTATTTCTTGCGGCTTTTGCGAGGAAACCTGGTGGGGTAAGACGTGCGATCAGCGGTGTGCTTCGGACCACTGTTCAGTCGGCTCTGTCAGCTGTGACTATGCAACTGGAGTTGCCTCCTCTTGCAGCGACTGCGAGGACGGGTATTGGGGGGACATGTGCGAAAATGAAATTGCCCTCCCGGATCACTGCACCAGAGCCAGAAGCCGGCAGGACGATGGATCTCCCTTCAGGTGCTTGGCGTGCGAGCACGGCTACTGGGGGCCGATGTGCGAGTATTCGTGCGAGATCCCGCTGCGGTGCAGAACCTCCCGCTGCGTGCAAGATACGGGAGAAATTACGATGTGTCTGTTATGCAACTACGGGTGGCATGGGCGGTTCTGTGGCAGCAAGCTCGGGAAGCCTTGGCCGTAGTTTGGTTGGATAAATTCCAGCTCACCAAAAAATCACTTCGTATTGCCCTCTTCGTACTTTCCGCAATAGTCAAAATCAAAGTTAGCAGCTGCGAGCTCCAGCTCTTACTCTCCCCAAAGCTGTCCCGGAGGATAAATAACTGTATGAACTCGATACTCGTTGTATATTGCTGCTTACCGGCGGTGGTCATCCCTGCATGTCGGTTGGTTGTGTCGGTAGTGCACGCGATAATACAACCATGCAAACTACTAGTATTCGTAGAGCAAGCAACTACACCATTTCCGGGTCGTTCTTCCCAAATGCTCGATATACTCATGGATGGTTATGTGGACGTCGCATACGCAAAAGACAGGCTTGGCCATTGAAGGTCCAAGCCTGTATTAATAAGCCTGTGCCGACTAGGTGAATTCGCGAACTTCTTCCCTGCGTTCCATAGGTCGTGGCACCATCCTCGCCGAGTCTTTGCTTAGAAGTCTTTTGAATACTTGGCCTGAATCACCCTTCGACACCCACCTTGCATTAAAACTTTTAATTTAAAAGACCTCAACGGCAACTTGACATACACACAAGTTAACTGCTATGATAACGCCATTGGACGCACGATATTGCAGTGTCACCAAATTCCTCTCGACGACGCGTCGGCGGGTAACATCAAGCCAATGTGATCCGATTCAGAGCAACACGTCTGATTGCTCCGTTATATACTCAACAAGCGTAATCACAGAGGCCGCCAGTATTACGGTGACAATTGTGGCAGCACCATACAACAACATTTACTGGACACTTCTCGTCCCCACGCTTCCGGCATAATTCGAACATCTGAGCGATACGGTATTGAAGTCATGGCATTAAACGCCTGTCTTCGCCGCTGTTGGAAGTGGGGCCGCAAGTACCAAGGTACAGCCCAATGCGTATGCACAATGCTACCGTAAACGTAAACTGAGACCTGGCTTCCAGCCCAAATTCGTCAAGGAATGGGGCAAATTTACCCAATTTTTCAGCAAACTGCTAAAATACGAATCGAGTTATCATACCGATGGGACCGACGTTTCTTCGTCATAACATGTGATCATATCAGGCGCAGGACTTTTAAGTATTTAAAAATACTTAGCAATAAACCCACTCCGTGTTGCCACCACGGCTTGAGCTCGTCACTTCCAATTTTTCTATAACAAGCTCAAGCCAGAAGCGGTAAGCGAAACAATGCTAACCTTCAAGGCACTGGCCAACACTGTGGTACTGCTCGTCATGGTAGGGGCCTCAACTGTTACGGTCGCAACGACGAACCCTGCCACGGCCAATTACACGGTATCAGCCTTCGCCGTCGGTGACTGGGGGTCAACTACTGCTAAGCTGCTGGGGCAAGTACGACAACTTCGATCTACACGCACAGGAAGTCGTGGGCATGTTGATGGACCAACAGGCTGCGACCTCGAAGCCCAAGGCGGTGCTCGGCCACGGCGACAGCTTCTACTGGACCGGTATTGACAGTCTCGAGAGCCGTGACGCTCGCTTTCATGCGACATACGAGGCCAAGTACCCCGGAGCCAACATCAAGAACGTCACTTGGGTGAATGTCATGGGCAACCACGACTACGGCGGTGCGAACTACATCTGCAACGTCGGTGATCGGCTGGTCCGTTGCAACACCACGCAGCAACTGCTCCAAGGTCTGGAGAACAAGTTCAGCTACCAGTCGACGTACCAGAGCCCCAATAAAAACCGCTGGCACTTAGACGACCGCTTCTACACCCGTGGCGGCACACGTGTCCACTCACTTTGCCGGATCGCACGGTGGAGACACGGTGGTAATCGACCTGGCGCTCCCTTTCGGGTGGACGGGATCGCCGGCGTACTACGGACTGTTCGGCGGAGCGATCTCCTTCTTGGTCTCCCGCGAGAGCCCCCACTCGCTGGACCCCAAGGAGACCGACACGGAACCGTTCTTCTCGTACGTCTGGGTGGACGATCATCTCCTGGTTGAAATCGAGCGAGAACACCGCTGAAGCGGCTCTACGACTTAGTATGCTGGCGACGCTCGGTCCAGACGCTATCAGAGGCGAAGTTCTCGACGTGGTCCACCAAGCTCGTGGTGCTCGGCCTGCTTTGGGACACCAAGTCAAGAACAGTGTCTATGCCTAGCGACCAGGTTGCCAAGGCGCTATCGCGTCTCCGGGAGGTCATTGTGGCAGCTCGGGCTACTCGCCACCAGCTTGAAAAACTCTTGGGCTCCCTGCGTCACATCAGCCTGTGCTACCGGTCGGCTCGGGCTTTCTTCCAGCGTCCTGGCGCCGGTTCGTATATCTACCAGTGTTCTCCAAGACCTGCTGTGGGTGGAATCCCTCCTACAGCACGACGCCATGAACGGAATTTCAACGAGCCTGCTTGCTGGAACGTCGGAGCCCTGCGTGCACCTGTTCATGGACGCGAGCGACTCTGTCCTTGCGGTGCTCTATCCAGCGATTCGCGAGTACATTCGGGTGCGGTTTGACTCCGCCGAAACTCAAGCTCTCCGCGCGACCACAGAGTTCAGCATCAACACGCGCGAGCTGCTCAGCGCCGTGCTCGCCGTCCTGGTGTGGGGGCCTATGTGGAAGCGTGTGCCGGCCGATATCAAGCGCCCTATTCACGTTCGGTGCTGGATCGACAATTTATCTGCTACGGCGTGGATCGCCCGTCATCGAGCATGCCACCCGGCGGGACAGGAACTGCTCCGTGTACTCTCCTGCGCAGAGGTTGAATTTGGGCTGCACGTTTCCGCTGCTCACATCCCCGGGGCGCGGAACACGCTTGCCGACATGGGGTCTCGAGCTTGGTCCAGCACAGGACTTCGTGATTGGTCTAACAAGATGTCGTCGTGGTGCGAGCAGGTCGTACCCCCGCGTTTTCGCAAGATTTACAACGGGACTTGGTCTTCCTACAATGGAGGTCACTCGCCGACACATCACGACGACACGTGGCGCCGCTGGATCGCCTTCTGCGCGCGGGCCCGACTGCCCCGCTGGCTTTCCCCCGACGACCTCAACGGACAATCCCTACAACTTGTTGTTTTCGCAATTAGCTGCTGGAACAAGCGCAACGCGGCAGCCCCTCTCCGTTTTGGTACCATTCGGGCTCTCATCAGCCATATCCAATGGTGTCATCAGCTCGCCGTCGGCTTCCGTCCACGTCTCCAGCGACAACACGAGCTCGTCTTACAAGGGATGCGTCGGCTCAGCCCGCCTCGCAACCACCACGGAGCCGTCTCCGTCGACATGCTTCGGACCATCGCCTCCTCCGCGAACATGTCCAGCGCCCAGCACCGCGTCATTTGTGGGGCTGCGGTGCTGGGCTTCTACTTCTGTCTACGGGGAGCAGAATATCTATCTTCGCGAGGAAAAAGACACGGCTACTGCCTGCAAGTCCAAGATGTAATCGTCGGTGACGCTCATGGTGCAAGTACAACGAGCTTCGTGGCCGCTGTATCGGTGTGTATCACGATGAGGGGTAGCAAAACAGACCAATCAGGACAATCAACAAGACGGACGCTACTCAAGAACGACCAGGCCCCGGTTTGCCCACGCGGCATTGCTGCTGCTACGAAATGCTGCCACTCTCAACCTGCCCAAGGACGCACCTCTCTGTTCAACTAGCCGCAGCAAGACCCTGTCAGCCGAAACTATGACAGTCGTGCTCCGAAGAGCAGCTACACGATGCCATGTGGACCCGCAGCACATATCGGCGCACTCGCTACGAGCAGGAGGTGCTACCGCGCTTCATGGTGCTGGGGTTGACACGGGCACCATCCGAATGCACGGAAGATGGGCTTCAGACGCGTATCGTGCCTACATTCACGAAGCACCCGCCGACCAGCTTCAACTTTCACGACACATGGGGTCTCAGCGCCACTCGTAGCCGCATCAGCTCGGTCTACCAGAATATTGGGGCAGCAATGGTGCAAGCACCAGTGCGGTCGACCGATAATGAATGCAGCTACGTGTGACCCCTCTACGATGACGAGATGTGAAGGAAATGGGTATCTTTTGGCAAAAGGCCAAATATCCGGTTTTCTCAGCACGAGGAATAAGTACACGGCGAAGACAGGATCAGGCCCCCATCGCGCGACACGTGGAACCGCCAGCTGCAGCTGCACATAGGTTAGTTTCAGGGATGTTAAAAGAAAGCCCATCAAAAATGAGATTTTTTCTCAAGGATATAAGAATATAAAAGAAGATTTTCGGGTTCTCAAATTACAGCGAGCATATGTGTGTGTATACCTACCTAACCCACGCCCCTACCACTTTGTCTATTTGCTTCGCCGTTGAAGTTGACGTTGCTACACTAACACTGTTGCCTTCACTTTGGATATAGATATACGACGCAGACAGAGTCGGCAGCATACCTGAAAATATAGCAGGCATTTTGTTGAATATATTGGACATGAAGGGATGACAAGGATGTAGTCGTCACTTTGTTGGAGTGACCTATGACTTCAAAATTCCGTGAATAGACAACAAATGAACTACTTCGAAGTATTATACCGTAGTTACTGCTCCTTTCTAGCTCGTTTTGGACCTTTCCCATCGTATCAACTAACAGCTTGAAAATTGGCTACAATATAAGAAAAAAGAAAAAAAATCGGCCTCTGACACCAATCTTCTTTTTCAATAGAAGAAGATATAAGAAAAATCAATAAAAGAAAATTTACCATCCCTGGTTAGTTTATCATTCTCCAATCTGCTCCGTCGAGCAACGACCCACCGCACCTCACCCTAGCAATGGTGCAAGCACCAGTGCGGTCGACCGATAATGAATGCAGCTACGTGTGACCCCTCTACGATGACGAGATGTGAAGGAAAATCGACATCTTCAACGTCGATATGAACGATGCGGATATTGCTGGCGCTCACGGAGTCTGCTGTCAGTGCTACGGCTACGCGCCAAGTAATGACACTGGTGGGTGTGGTAGAATTGCCCGTGGCGACAAGTACTGCTGCGGGGGCGAGACTGCGATGTATGATACATGCATGACCACGTTCTCTGAGTGGGCCGAGGATTCTCGTAAGCAGCTTGCAGCCAAGGCCAAGGCGTCCACCGCGACCTGGAAGATCGTGAATAGTCACTACTCTCCTGTCCAGCACTACAAGGTGGACGGCATGAACCGCTGGTTCGACGCGCTTCGTGGCTCGGGCATTCACGCCTTCATCTACGGTCACACGCACGGCGAGAAGCACGACTACTCGGCGTCGCTCAAGATGCACTTCGTAGAGAACGGAGCTGGCGGCGGCATGAAGAAGGAGTTCGCGAGCACGATCCCAGATGTTGCTGCCAAGTACGTGAAGAAGATGTGGGCCTACACTGGCGACGAGTACGGATTCATGTCGGTATCCAAGAAGTGGCTCAAGCTGCAGTACCACACGGCGGACAACAAGTGGAACTTCACCGAAAACAGCACGGACCTAACGGTCGGTGGTATTTAAAGACGCGATATCCGGAGTGGAAGGTGGCGCAACGGATGCAAGCCGCGCTGCGGACAACAATACAACTTGCCCCTTGCATCCCAACAGCTACAGTGCGGCAGCCCGTGGGATTCATTCATGGCCGGTCATCGCACCCCAAGCGGCATGGGGGATTTGGTTACGTGCTGGTGGACACGAATACGCCAGACAACAACGGCATACTAGCAGGTGGAGGCAGCAGAGTGCAACCACCGGATAACTGCACAGCGAACACGGCTGCTCTACACTCGCTACTCCAACTACTTAATCGAGCATATGAGTTAAATCTCCGCGGGATTCATGTGGCAGGAGACTCAACAGTGGTGGTCCGCTACCTTCGCGACAGACGCCAACCCAAGAAGGAGAACCTGAAGCGTTTGTATCTCAAGTGCAGACGGCTAGCAGATCGGATACGGGTAGATGCATGGCATCACATTCACCCAAGCGCCAACACAGGTTGTGTACTACTTGCTACGACTGGGTCGCCACTCGACTCCGACGACAATCCCGGGGTCGACCCACTTACGAAAAGCTTCCCCTCACTGGAGCAGGCTATACGACAAGACATCTACATGCTTGCGCAGACGCAACTAGACACGGGCATGGCCCAAAGCCAGGGTGGCAGACATCAGCAGATCTAGATCACCAAGTTGCTGGTCTTTTGATCGGCTCAGTGTTTGGATTCTTTTAAGTAATCCAATATACCTCATCATCATCTAACGGTCGGCGGTGTCGCGACTAAGCACTGCTGGTACATCCCTGTCGACGGCGCGGAAGGCAAGGCATGCTAATGAATGTCCTTTAACAAGCATTAGTTGCAAAATAGATGCTTACTCAAAAGGATTCGCATCTCGATTATACAGGATGTATGCCTTGATTGAAGATTCAGAGGTCCGAAAATACAGTACTATATTGAATTGAGTACGAGATCAGACCGTAATATAAATTACAATTCAGCAAGGAGAAATAATAAAAATTGCCGCAATATAAATATACTGCTCTTCAATTTGAGGCATTTCTAGAGTCGTTTAGAAACACTTTTTTGGGTGTTGCTTTAGAAAACTTTGCATAGTGGATGCTTAAACAACCTACCGGTAGTAATACGTGAGCGAGATATATCTGGATCTTGCTATATATCGTTAATCTGGTGTAGTAGATTCCAGGGTTTCACCTTGGTATCACTGCAGTTAAGGGCTCGATAGCATGTCGCGGCGGTGACCCACGCCAGCCACAGATAATGGGTTCACCGCATCATGACCAGTCAAGCTTCACACAGACACACTTCATAGTGTGTGCACCTGATATGAGGTTACAGACTAAGCATTTTGTATGATCAACTGCTTCGCGGACCCACTTCGCTTTTTCTCCTATAATTGCCTCAAAAGGCGTACACACTATATCAAAACATAAAGCTCAAGTCCCTAGTGGATTGCCATCCGCTGCCGTCCCCTGATGTGATGTGTTCGGCGGGATTCACTACATCTGGACGTCATTGATGTTCTGACTTGCGTACATATTGGTTTCTAAAGATGTTGATTGCCCATTATGGCTTTTACTGCACCTTAATCGTTGCGTATGTAGACCTAACTATCATTTTATGACGTACTTTGCTATGTTTGGCGCCCGTGCAACCTTTTTTCATATTAATTGTCAATAATTGGTATAATACTGTATTGTATTGGAATCGTTGATCTCCAATAATATAAAATAGTATTGCAAAATCCAATTATTTATTGGATCGCAATTATTATTTCGGACCTCTGGTGCTCGGGTAAGCAAATATTGGGTTTGCAGATTAATGGTCAACCCCTGGAATGCGTGGGCCGCCATATTGTCTGATCGTTTTTTATCGAGTTTACAAATATAGGTAAGAGAACACTGGCAGGCACCTCGTGCTCGGACGCGTTATTTCGACACGAATAGTCCGCGCAAGGAGTTTTACCTTTTGGGACAACACTGAGGTGAACCTCCAATAGGACCAAACGCACCGTTGGGTACAAGACGTCAAGCCCCGCTGTATAGAGATCGACAGACGACTCTGGAGCTTATTTACTTCATAATTGTTTTCTGTCGGCATCATGAGCTCTGTGATGAACGTCTTGGCCATACCTGAGGCCGGTAAGCTCGTGGACGTGCTCTCCAGAACCATGCAGTTTTCAGCCGAGATGAACGAAGCGAAAGACGCCTGCCAGCGCCTCCATCTCCGTCTAAAGGACATTTTCGACGAGCTCGTGAAGATGGCGCGCAACAATTCCCTCCCTGAAAACGACGAGCTCAACAAGTTAGTGGTTACGATGACAAAGTATCTGCGATTCCTGGAGCAACACCGGTCTTTTTCATCACGCTAAAATGATGCGCGAGCTCGACTTGATCAACCAAGACGTGGACATGCTGTTCAAACTGTACAGTATCGCCAACACTGCTACTGTCAAGGAATGGAAAAAGCAGTGGGAAGAAGACATGCAAAGGCAGAAGGAGGCTATGGCATCTATCGTGGCTAGCAATGAGATTGCCCTGCGTGAATGCCCATACAAGCGCTCTCAGCTGGAAGCTGTGCTTAACATAAAGTTTGAGTTAGAGCAGCACGCCGACCGTCACGACAAGCAAGTCACGCGTCTGATGCGGACGCTGGTATCGACGATTCTCCGCGTATCCAAGATGAAAGTGGACAAGCTGCCGCGGTGGTTCCTGCCTCTCGATGGGCTGAAATCTGAGCCAGGACCGTTCGCTCGTGGCTCCTTCGGTGCGGTTCACCGTGGCGTCTGGAAGTCTGAGGACGTGGTGGTGAAACGATGTTTTGTTGCGGACCTAGCAGATGATGACGTTGCGATACAGAAGTTAGAAGCGGAATTGAATCTGTGGCATCAGTTTGACAACAAGAATGTCGTCAAACTATTTGCCGCGTCACACGTCAGCACACCGCCGTTCATCATCAGCGAGTACGCGGCGAAAGGCGATCTAGGAGCGTTTCTCGCGCGCTCAAAGAAGAACAAGAAGTACATGTGGAGACTGTTGCATGAAGCAGCGCAAGGGTTGGATTTCATCCACAAGAAAAGCGTAGTACACGGCAGCCTAAAGCTGAGCAATATCCTCGTAGATTTCGACCGTACTGCGAAACTTTCGGACTTTGGTCTGAGTGCTCTTCGACCTCCACCAAGAGGCGTGAGCGACACTGACGGCTTGCGTCGGCGGGCACCCGAGTGTTTAAAGAACAAAGCGACCTTCGCTTCTGACGTTTACTCGTTCGCGATGTGTATTATCGAGGCGGTGACGGGTAAAATCCCTTTTAGTACCTTCGATGAAGACGGCGTTCTCAAACGCTGCAAAATGGAGAGATGCCGGACACGCCCAAGCGGATGCCGGAGGAAGCGTGGGAACTGATCGTAGCGATGACAAATAGCACTCCGAATCAACGTCCTCTGTTGGAAGGGATACTTGAGAAATTAAAGGCGTTTGCAGCGAAAGAATCGAGCATGAACCCAAAGAAGGAGAAAAGTGATACCTCAGTCAAAATCTCAAAGCCTGAAGAACCCGTTCTCACGACTCCTGTTCTGAAGTTTGCTTCTTCCAGTTCTGCGGCGGATTTGATGAACACAATAGCGTCCGGTAACGAAGGGGAGAGAAATGAAGCACTACTCGTTCTCGTTCAAAGATGTGTCGATGATAACCAGCGCGATATCGTAGTGGGATGCAACGGTGTTGAAGTGCTAACTGGGCTAGTGAGGAATGAACGCAACTACTTCGCGCAACTTTACGCTTTGGAATGTCTGAAATGGTGTGCTCCCACCGCAGTTGGCGAGCTGGAAAAGCAGCTTCGGGGGGCATCGGAGCAGGAACTCACATCTGTCGTGAACGGACTGAAGGCGGACAGTGACGAAGAGAAGCTTGCAGCAGTGGTTCGTTGCCCTTGTATGGCGATTCCAGACAACTGCGAGAAGTTGCAACGGGTCGGCGTAATTCCTCTCCTCGTCAAGCTGGTGCGAAATGGAAATGATTCCATGAAACTCTGGGCGGCTGAAGCGCTACGATATCTTGCAGCAGGAAGCGAGAAGTGCAGGCCCGCGATTGCAATGAATGGGGGCGTTGAGTCGCTGGTTACGCTCGTAACATCTGGAACGGCACAGCAGACGCTCGTAGCAGTGCTCGCTTTGGGGAATCTCGCACGCAGCAAAGTTGTGAGTGAAGCGGTCGTACGGAAAGGAGGCATTTCACCCCTGATCGAGCTTTTGCAGTCGGGTACTGACAGTCAAAAGCACGCAGCCGTGAACACTCTCGGGGCCATTGGATCCACTAACAGCGCTGATATTATTCGGCACAACGGCGTTGCACCTCTCATCGCCATAATGCGAGAGGGAAGCGACGAATTGAAGGAGTCAGCAGCCTCTGCTTTGGAACTTCTCAGTGAGAATAAAGATGCAGCGGATGTTATGACCCGAGAAGGAGCGATAAAGCAGCTCGTCACACTGCTGCGTGAAGGATCCGACAACATGAAAACAATTGCCGTGCGAGTCGTGGCAAAACTCACGAGCCGTGGTGAAAGCCGAGTGGAGATGATGCGTGTAGATCATCCCCCCTCTTATCGCCTTACTAAAGGGTGTAAACACCGAGCAGAAGACACATTCGGTCGAGATACTTGATGCTTTGGCCAATTATGAGTCCGTTAGAGCTGAACTGGTGCGTGAAGGAATCATCCCCCCGCTTATTGCCCTGATACAGTCAGCAACAAAGATGGGAATCGGAATATTGGAAAAGCTGGCGCATTCGCCTGAGACCCACGCCGCAATTGTCAGTGGAGGTGCCATCCCAGTGCTAACCGAAATTTTAAGAGCTGGAACAGATGATGCCAAATCTGCTCCAATTCGCGTGTTGGGCGGTATTTCTGCTACCGGCGCATGCTGTGACGAAATGATTCAAGCGGGGGTCATTCCCCAACTCGTGAGCCTCCTGCAGGCTCAAACTGAGAGCCATAGGGAGCTGGCAATGAACACGTTAAGCAGACTGGCAGGCAACGACAGCGTCTTAAATGAGATCGCTCGCTACGGTGCCATCCCAGCATTAATTGGAGAATTAAATGGTGCATCGGATTCGCGGAAGACGTGCGCTGCTGGGTTACTTGACAGTCTTGCTAGTAATCGTAACAACGGGCTCGAAATTACTCGTGAAGGTGCAATTCCGCCACTAATCCAGCTCTTACATGCCGAAAGTGAACGGCAGAAGACAGCCGCAACGAGTTTATTGAACAAGCTCGCGATGACTTTAGGAAATCGCGATGGAATCGTTCGCCAAGGCGCAATCCCACCACTTGTAGCGCTTCTGCAGAACGGCAACGTAGAGCAACAAGCCAGTGCTTTGGGAGCGTTAACAAGCCTCGCTGCAACAGGTTCTCATGCCGTAGAAATTATCGACAAGGGAGCGAGTCGGCCACTACTTGCAATACTGCAGACGAGGGCAGAGGATCAAAAGTCCATGGCGTTGAACCTCCTGTTGGCTCTGAGCACGAATCATGAAAAGAGCTCTGAAATCGTCCGAGAAGGAGCGATCCCACCGCTAATCAAGATGCTGCAAAGTGGGTTGGACGGACAAAAGAACATGGCCTTAAGTGTCCTAAAGAATTTCTCCCAGACGGAAGCTAACTGCAAGGAACTTCTCCGCGACAAGACCACACCACTACTTGTTGATCTGGTTCAGAACGGGGCAGAGGGGATGAAGCAAACGGCAGCGATGTTGCTTGATAAGATCGCGCAGTGCAAAGGCGTCGATGGATCTGCTCCGAACGCAGAGAAAATCACTTCTCTTGTGACTCTCTTACAGATCGGCACTGACGAACAGAAGGCGCGTGTTGCATGGGAGCTAAATAGCGTTGTTACTGATGACAATGCGTGCAGTGCTGCGATCGTACAAGGGAACGCCATCTCCCCGCTTGTTAATTTGCTGAAACTGGATCCAATGACGAAAAACTGGCTGCAGTCTCTGTTCTCAACAAACTTGCCGCAAACAATTCTGCCCACGCCAATATTACTCGTGAGAAGGCAATTCCGTCGCTTGTTGGCCTTCTACAGACTGGGTCGGATGAACTGAAAGACGTGGCTAGCGAGCTATTGCAGAATTTGGCCTCTGATGATTCCAATCGCGACGAAATTGTACGCGAAGGTGCCATTCCTCAATTTTTGGCTCAAATACGGCATGGTAGTGAAGAGCAGATGACAAATGCTGTTCGTGTTATTGGAAAACTCGCTTCTAACAATGATACATGTCGAGAATTGATCGACCGTGAGGACACAGTCACTCCTCTAATCGCCGTACTAATGGACGGAAATGACGAGCAAAAGCGTGTCACGGCCCTTACACTCGACAAGCTTACTCTTAATGGCTCAGCATTTACCAAAATGGCGACTAAAGGCGTCGTCGGCTCCTTGGCTGGGGTATTGCGAGGCGGAACGGAAGAGCAACAGACAAGCGCACTTCGATTATTGAATGGTATTGCCGCTGCTGACCCTACTAATGCCACGACCATAGCTCAAGAAGGGGCTATCCCACAATTACTGCCGTTGCTTCGAGCTGGCACCAAGGAACAAACGACGTTAGCCGTTCAAACTGTGTCGCTACTTACAAGCAACAACATTATTTGCTCGAAATTTGCCGGTCAGGGCTCTGTTCCGCCATTAATTGCACTGCTACGAGAAGGGTCGGAAGAGCAAGCGATACACGCCGGGCGGGCCTTAGAGAAGCTTGTTGGTAGTGATTCATATTGCTCGGACCTTGTTCAAGAAGGAGCGATTCCAGTTTTTGTAGATCTGGCGAGAAGTGGGGATGAAAACCAAAAGGATTTGGCTGTTCGTGCGCTCGCGAGGTTGGCTCGTGATGATTGTCATGGGGCCGCAATTGTCCAGGAAGGAGCCTTACCGGTGCTTATTGGAATGATGCAGTCTGGAACAGAAAAACAACAGGCAGGGGCCATGAAAACACTGTTAGTGCTATCTCGAAGTGAAGCTTGCTGCGCTGAACTCGTGCGTGGAGATGCCCTTCCGTCAATCGCCAAGTTTGTACAGACTCAAAGTGGAAATGCTGCGCAGAGAGAAATTGCAGCAGGTTAGCTAAATAACCTTACGCTTGTAGGAGGCGACAACGGAATAGTTACGAGCGAGAAGGCTATCGCACCGCTGGTGGCACTTCTAGATGTGGGGAATATCAGAAAAGGCGAGTGATTCAACAACTGAATAATCTTGCAGATGATAATGGAAGTATTGCGGCTATCACGAAGGAAGGGGTCATTCCGTCCCTGGTTAAGTTGCTACAATCCGGAGGCGAAGATCAGCAGCTCTCGGCAGTCTCTGTGCTGAATAAGCTCGCTGTCAATAACGCCAGCAGTGCTGAAATTGTCCGTGAAAACGCGATCCCGTCATTTCTTGGTCTTTTACAAGCTGAATCTGAGGAACTAAGTGATGCGGCTGGGAGTTTACTGGAACAACTTGCTGTCTGCGATGCTAACCACTCTACCATTTTTTTAATAAGGTTGAGGTGTATTGTGTTACTTTCAAGTTTTGCAACCTGAGGAACTTCTAATGCCCGTCCCACCCGGGCGATCGCCAGGTAGCCTGCAGCATTATCCGCACTATTCAACCCCCAAGGGGGACTGCTAAGAAAAGTACGCTGCTGCGTACACATAGAACTTGCCAATATGCATCGGGGACCTCGATAGCTGACGTAGTAAGCCATCGCCATTACCCTTCGTCCACCCAACAGGCTGCGCATGCGCAATTGTCTTCACAATCGGGCGAACACCAGTGGGCACCCGCCGTCCACGCAGCCGTCCCACCGCGTCTTCAGTCTTCAGGGAGGTCACACCGATCTTGTAGCGGCTGGACGAGGCCAGATCGTCGGAGCCGATGCTCCACTTCTTCATCATCTTCTTCTGCTACTTGCTCTTCTTCTCGGGCGGACACCAGTTGGCACCCGCCCTCTGTCTCCGTCTCCATCCAGGGCCCTTGGGGGGATTCCCTCCCTGGAAGGCCAAGACCTTAGAGATCGTGGAGGCGACTCTTGAGCTCGAAGCGGTAGTTTCGGGAATTAAACCACCACTCTACCATTGCTCGTCAGGGCGTTATCCCTCAGGTCGTGGCTCTTGTAAACGATGGAAACGAGAGGCAAAAGAGTAGAGCAGTCAGGATCATGGGAAAACTAGCTACGACTAGTGAGATGTACCGCGATACTCTGTCCGGTGAAGACGCTGTGAGACCGCTTGTCAATCTTCTCAAAACTGGAAATGACGAGCAGAAGACTGTCAGCGTACTTGCACTCGAGAAGCTTGCTAACAGTGCGTCAGAATGCAGCAAAATCACAGACGCCATCCCATCATTTATCAACATGCTGGAACGTGGCTCTGAAGCGCAACAGACGAGCGGGCTTCGACTCTTAGAAGCCTTTGTGTCCAATGACGCTGCTGTTGGCGTCGCGCTGGGTCGACAGGAGGCAATTCCACCACTCCTGCGTTTGATACAAGCCGGAAACGAGGAGCAGAAGACTCGTGCACTGCTCATTCTATGCGGGCTTACCAGCGTTATTGAATCGTGCACTGAAATTGCTCGAGTGGGCTCCGTTCCCGTACTCGTTGATGTTTTGCGTGGTGGAACAGAGGAACAAAAGGGATATGCTGGATGCGTGTTAGAGAGAATCCTTACGAGCGACGAAAGCTGCAATGATGTTCGCGACGGGACCATCCCGCACCTTGCTGCGCTCGTAACAACCGGGACCGACAGTTTAAAGATATTCGGATTGCGCACATTAGCCAAACTCGCCTGTGTTGATACGAGCCGTCAAGAAATCGTCTGAGAAGGGGTTGGCTCAGAGCTCGCCCTGTTACTAAAGTCGGGAACCGAGGAGCAAAAGACACTGGCGGTGACCATCTTGGAAAAGCTTACAGTTGACGGTGGATCTTCAAGCGAAGCTGCTAGTGAAGGATCTGCGTCACTTGTTGCTCTCCTGCGAGATGGTTCTGAAGAGCGAAGGTTGCACGCGGGGCGGGTATTGGCAAAACTTGCAGGTGACGATGCTTGCAGTGCTCGAGCCGTTCGAGATGGGGCTATCCCTGTTTTCACTACACTGGCAAAGACCGGAACTGAAGAGGAGAAAGCACTTGCAGTGGAAGATTTTTAAATGGGTCTTATGCAGAACAGGTCTTGGATTTGATCATACCGTACTTTTTCTTTGATCCAGTGATTGGATCACATTTGTTTGTGAACTGGCGACGTAGGCCCTAAAGTCCTGCCTCACTCTGCTACGCGAGCTTCAGTGGAGGAATGTCCAGCACCCTACGGCTCCGTGATTCCGAGCCTTCAAGCTCAAGCCAAACTAGCACCGCCATGGACTGAGCCTCCTCTCGTCACTGCTGCGCTGAGCACGTTAGGGACCCCGAGCGTCTACTTCAGCGTGAAGGCTGTGCTACGTCTCCTATCCAACGCGCACGAGGGGGCCAACCCTGAGGTGGCTCGGATGCTTCGACATGATCATGCCCGTGTGGAGCAAGAAGATCTACGTGCGCGGCGCGGCGTGGTGCTTCTGGTGGACAAAGATACCGACAGCGACGGCGTGCTGGGCCAGACACAAGGCCTGCACGATAATAGGCGACGAGCGACGACGATGTCGATGCGGTGTACATGTTGTAAGCAAGGTCCAGATCTCCGGCGTGTCGAAGAGAAGCGAGGCACGAGAAGCGGCTGCAGATTGTGGTATGGCCGTTCAATACGGCAGCGGGGCGGATGTGGCCAGCGGAACAGTGCTGGTGTTGTGTTTCGCGCAGCACAGCGCTGGCAACGTGTCAAGGGTTGGCATACAGGCGAGCGGGCCCATTGCGTCGTCTACAGATGAAAACTTCAGGGCAGTCGACACCGCGCGGTGGGCAGCCACGTCCTCATGGCTGCAGCATCAGCAATGTGACCAACAGTGACGTGCTTGGCGGCATGGGTGTGAAGACCGGTGGTAAGGGCGGATGCGTCGGTAGTGTAGACATCTCGGAGCGAGTGTAATAGGGACGGCGCTGGAATTTCCTGCGAGCGCCGAAGCAAGTCAATTTCACGTTTATTTTTGCGGCAACAGGCTGAATTGGAGCCGATCGAGATGCGCAAGCACTCAGTTCTGGCGATTGAAGCGCTACGGAAAACAAATGATCAACTACTTAGGTTATATTTTTGATTTTTAAACGCAGTTTCTACAGCTACGGCTTAAGGACTACTTCTTGCTCTAGGAAGTAGTATATCGTTTACTATCAGTACGAAGCACATGCCCCAGCATGCTGAAGCACACGTCCAGTATGGTCAAAGGATGTGTATTCGCTTCTTGCAGCCGCAAACTATCGGCAACAAACTCAATGGAAAACTAATACAAATAACATATTTGCAAGTACTTAGTTAGATGCCAGCAATGATGATCGACTGAGGTGAGCCAGCGTTGAGCTGCTGCATTGGTTTGCTAAAAATGCGTAGTACTGCACTCTTTAGAAAACGTGTAAGTCCATCGTCTTTATTAATTGGACTGAGCAAACGCCTTCCGTCGCGGCTTAGGTAGCCACCATCTCACCACGGTACACATTGAAGCGACTAATGCAATGCTAGGCTCCGCTCATTGCACCATGCCTTCTCATTTAAAGCAGTGGGTCCAAATGCTCAGCCTTCATGTACAAGTAGCATTATGAATGCTTGCTAGGGCAGGAAAGCCGAACGGAGCTCGTACAAATGGTGACAAGTAGTACCATGTTCCACTACTGTGGCTGTTTGGTTCAGGTCTACCGATTCGGTCTCATAATCAGCATGTTCAAATCCTAGACCTGATCTGCATAAGAACCAAAATAAAGGCAACCCTTGCAGTGTCGACACTGAACAAGCTGGTGATACAAAACGCGACGGATGTTGCTCCAGAAGAAGCAATCCCATCTCTTATCACACTACTCGACTCCGGAACCGATGAAAGTATCCAGACCAGTGCCATGCAAGTGCTCATCAAGTATGCCGATAGCGAAGAGTATCTCTCTGAAATGGCGCGCTTAGGTGCAGTCGCTGTGTTGGTTTTGCTACTGATGCGAGCCCAGTCCGAGCAGCAGAAGACGAACGCTGTTCGAATGCTCGGAAATCTTGCGATCGATGATATTCAGTCTAAGCAAATTACCGAGCAAGGATCCATCCCGTACCTTGTATCTCTACTGAAAAGCGGGACTGAGGAACAAAAGTGCTGGGCAGCATTCACACTCTGGAAAATTACAGCTTGTGAGGCGAACCGTGACGAAATTGTCCGGGAAGGAGCTATACCGCCCTTGGTCGAGTCGCAACGTAGTTCAAACGACGGGCTCAAGCTGAACGCGGTCCGTGCACCAGGAAACCTTACTGTTAATGATGATCATCGGGCAGAACTTTCGCGAGAGGGAGCCATCCCCCCACTAGTTGAGCTGCTGCGGACTGGAACTGAGGAGCACAAAAAGAATGCGCTGCGTGCGTAGGGAAACCTCGCCACTAACGATGCCAATCGAGGTCAAATGGGCCAAGAACGCGCTATATCAGCGCTGATTCCACTTCTCCAGACCGGAGGCGAAGAAATCAAAGCAAATGCTGCTCGAACGCTGGGTAATCTTGCCACCAACGATGCGTGCCGAGCTGAAATTATGCGGGAAGGAGCTGTTCCGCGTCTCATGGAGCTGCTCAAAGGTGGCACAGAGCACGAGAAGACCAACGCACTTCGAGTAATCGGTAATTTGTCCACTGACGACTCGTACCGAGCTGAGATCGCGCGGGAAGAGGCTGTCAACGCTCTCATCACCTTAGTGCAAAGCGGGACTCCGGAACAGAAGCGGCTAGCGGCGTACGCGCTCGCTCGTCTCAGCAACACGCACGCCATTTGCGCCGAGGTATTCCGTAGTGGGGCAGTGCCGCCGCTTGTGACGCTGCTGCAGCTTGGAACCGACGAGCAGAAGACCAACGCAATCAGGGCACTTGGCAACCTCGCGACCACCGACGCACACCGCGTGGAGATCACCCGGGCTGGAGCTGTCCCGCTGCTCATCGCCCTCACGAGCAGCGGTAACGACGAGCAGAAGATGAGCGCTGCAAAAGCCCTCAAACACTTGGACACAGGCTGCTGCTGCATCTCTTAGACAACGATAACGTCATCGGTGACTAGCCCCAAAACGTATACACATTCGGTTCATTTGGATACTTAATTGCTATGAGCGACACTTAATCAAGAGTTTAAATAACATGCCGACGGTGGGTACCGAGTAGGAAAGTGTAAAGCGGACTCATAACGCGCAGTCCCGGGACTGAGAAAGATAAATGCATTTTTTTAAGCCTGATCTCGTCCAACTGATGTCTCGCACGTAGCCTACGGCCAAGCTCTCCCGAGTTTACTGCGCCCTTGCCACCCGTAGTTGCAAGACAAACCCTTCCCACTTCCTTGAGCGCAGCGGGAGGTTCTGCATCGCAGCGGTACCTCGCAAGAATGCTCGCACATCGGCCCCCAGTAGCCGTGTTCACAGGCCAAGCACCAGAAGGAAGACCCGTCGTCCTGCTGACTTCTAGCTTTGGTGCAATGAGTTGGCAGGCTAATTTCATATTCGCACTTGTGCCCCCAGAATCCGTTATCGCATTGGCTGCAGGATGTTGCGATTCCACTCGCGTGGTCGCAGCTGACAGAGCCAACGGGGCAGTGATCCGAAGAGCATCGATTCTCGCACGCCGTGCCCCACCACCCGTCGTCGCATTGCATGAAGAAACCCCACCGTCGGCCGAGCGACAGCTAACGGAGCCAACGGGGCAGTGCAACGAAGAAACACTGCGTCTCGCACATGGGTCCACACCAGCCATCTTCACATTTATCACACGATGTGGTGACTCCGTTTCAATGGGGCACGATAAGCACTGACGCAAATACGTTCGTGTCAGGAGTCGTGATGGCTGCCAGTCGTTTGCAAAAAAAACACTGTAGCTGGAACTCACAGCCACAAGAGAGTCTGGTTCCATCCCGGTAGCATTCAGAAACTGGTGCAAAACCGAGTTTGTCGGGATGTATACGGTCATAGCGCTGTCGCCAACTTTGGTAACAGGGCTTGACACGCCACTACCACTGCCACCGCTGCCACTGCTAGCCTCAGTCCCGCCACTTTCTTGGCCTGCACATACAGCGGTGAAGACTAGCAGCAGTAGAGTCAGGAGCTTCATCAGTCTTGCGTTTTTGTCTCGATATTCACTATACGAGGACGAGAAAACACGTACAGTGGCGCATGTTGGGAGGTTTTCACTTCCGTTTTTCAGTTTGAACATCATGAGCGGAGTGGAAAGACTCTAATAGTATCTAACGCTGTTTCGAAACCGTTGTCGTAAGTTTACACTATTCGTTTTCTATTAGCAAACAAGCTCTCACTTCTATCTGTGGTTGCTTGCGAGTTAATCGTAAATGTAAACCCTTAACTCTTATCATACGCGAAGGATAATCAATCGTACGCTCACTATTAACCCCACTTGAAGTAAGTGGGGCTCAAGCAAGTGCATTTTTTTCTGTTATGAAGCAGAAGGATGCCGATCAGCATTTGCCGATTTCTGTGGTATGAATTTGGTGCGAGCTGTCAGTACCATCTCTTGGTAGATGTGGCTTACAGCTGAAGGAACGCTGCGATGGCCGCCGCCGCCAAGCCGGCGAGACCAGCGCCAGTCTCCACCCACGCACTGTTCGCAACGGTGGTGGTCGAGTTCGTGGTCGACGGAGCTGTCGTTGGTGCTGTCGTTGGTGCTGTCGTTGCCGACGTTGCCGTTGTGGTGGTGGTGGTGGTTGCGCTCGTAGTTGTCGTGCTTGTCGCGTTCGGATTCGTGGCGTCGTCGCAAGCCCACGTGACGTAGTAGTTGATGTTGCACTCGTCTGAGTCGCATGTGACGGAAACAACCGAGTCCTCGTTAGTCGCCCCTCGCCGCATCTGATCGGAAAATCATTTCGGCAGGACTCGCTGGTCTTAGTGCAGACCCCCACGTCGTTCGAACCAAGCTCGGGGGTGGTCGTGTAACTATAGAAGCTTGTACTGTCGGTTCTCGCAATGTTGATTCCCATCACGTAGGCATACTGGTCGTCGTCACAACCAGGATCTTTAGTGGAAGGGTCGATGTTGAACGTTTCCCCCTTGGTAAACGTGTGTTGTGCAACCCTCGTGCTTGCATCCCTTGTCGTCGCCCTCTTCGTCGTTGGTGGTTGCACAGGATTCACTTCGCATGGACTCCAGATTACGAGTGACTTGGTCAGGGCCAGCATCGTCTCAAATCGAGGTGTCGGGGATGGGAGGGGGTCGAGTGCCACGGATGGAGGAATTTGAAGAATGACCAGTGCGTTCACTGCAGAGTCAAGAACGCTCGGGTCGGGTGGAGAACGATAAGGTCTAGTAACATCTCATAAAACAACTGCTCGGGCTCTCAAGGCGCAAGGTAGGTACTCTATCCGTTGCAGCTTCACCCGATAGAGTAAACTACAACCGTGCTGGGCCAACGCTACTGGCGGTTTTGTAAGGAAAGCGCGGCGTTGCTTGCTTGAAACCAACGTCTGTTTTTGAGAGCCACTGAGCGGTTTGGCTAGTTAGCGTCCACTGGTTAACGTTGATTCGATACAACGGCCAATAAGGTACGGAGTCAATTGTTGCGTCTAGCTGAGCATTGACTCCCCGAAATCGAATCAGCCAACTTAAGAAATCGAATGGGGCATCTGAAGCATTACTCAATACCCCCCCCCCCTCCTTCTTCCTCAACACGCCCCAGTCAAAGGGCATCCTCGTTCGGAGAAGCAGGATCTATAATTGTCGTCTTGCGACAATTTTTGTAGTCATTGCAAGAACGACGACCGTGTGTAAAGCAAAGGTACCGACAGTTATCGTCAGACAGATCGCTACGAAGTCGAGGGAGCTTGGTTCTTTTAAAGTTGTTTTCACTGTCAAGCTTGGCCATCATGTATGGACTGTAGTTGCTATTCCTCTGGAAGGTAGAATGCCTGGATTTCGATCATCTCGAGTATATAAGACAAAAAATCGAGCATCGTTGGTCTTAATCAGCTTCAACGCAGTAACGGGTTACGTACCAAAATAAGTGGTGCACAACTGCGAAGGATTTAGAGCCCGGGTGGTTTCATTTCCATGGCTTGGAGGTGTCAGTGAAGAAGCGACGGCGATAACCGTCACTGGTGTACAGCAGTTAACGGCTCAGGATCCAAGCATAACACCCTGCCCAAGCATGGCGATCCTGTTCGGTATGAGTTGTAGCACCGTGAATCAGCGTACACAAACGAATGAAACACCCCCGCGGCCGTTCAGGACATGGGCAGTGCCCATGAAGCAGCTAAAAGTGTGATATGGCTACATATGAAATTTAATATAGTTGACTTTCATTTGTAGCCCTACTACTCGAATATCTTAATTAAGTATATACGGCCGAGCACGCACAACGGTAAGCTACCGGTGTGGTGCATACTAACCCTGAGAGGAACGTGAAAATATTTATCAACCGGGCGCCAACGCTACTGCCAAGCTCTCCCGAGCTTGCTCCTACAGAATCGTCCTTGCCATCCGTAGTTGCAGGACAAACACATCGTGACCTTCCCACTGTCTTGAGCGCACCGGGAGGTTCGGCAGCGCAGTGGCACCTCGCACGAGTGTTCGCACCTCGACCCCCAATAGCCGTGCTCGCAGGCTAAACACTCGAAGGAATCTCCGTCGTTCTGTGGGCACTTTGTGCCGATGCAGTGTGCTGGAATGTCGATCTCGTTCTCACATCTGGATCCCCAGTAGCCGTCGTTGCACTGGCCGCACGAAGTGACAGCCCCACTTGTGTGATCGCAGCTGACGGAGCCAACGGGGCAGCTATCGGAAGAGCATTTGGTCTGACAGCGCACACCCCACCACCCGTCGTCGCATTGACTGCATGAAGTAGCCGCTCCACACACGGCATCGCAACTCACCGAGCCAGTCGGGCAGTGCGTATACGTGCAGCGATTCTTACACGTCGGGCCCCACCACCCGTCCTGGCAGGCGTCACACGAGATCGTTTCCCCACTGTCATGGTCGCAATGCACGGACCCGCCAACGCAGTGCTCGGACGTACATTTCTTGCTGCAAGTAGTGCCCCACCACCCTGATTCGCACTTATCACACAAAATGGCGGCTCCACTGACGGCGTTGCAGATGATCGAACCCTCGATACAATGACCCAAGGCGCATTCGTTCTGGCAAATCTCCCCCCATCAGCCATCCTCGCACCGTTTGCACGAAGTAGCAGACCCCGTAGTTGCGTCACAACTGACTGAGTCAACAGGACAGTGATCCGACGAACATTGAGTCTGACAGTAAGTGCCCGACCAACCATCGTCGCATTGGCTGCACGATTTCACAGTGCCGTCCACAGCGTCACAGCTGACTGATCCAACAGGACAATGGAGGGAAGAACAACGAGCACTGCATGTTTCTCCCCACCAGCCATCGTCACAGTGGTCACATGAACTGACAGTCCCGTTCTTCGCGTCACAGTGAGCTGATCCAGTAGGACAGTGCGCTGACACGCATCGGTTCTCGCACATTGTCCCCCACCACGTATCCTCGCAGGAACTACAGGAGATCGTATAGCCAGTGGCAGCATTGCAGCTCGTAGTTCCAGGCGGACAGTGCGGCGACGAACATTGAGTCTCACATGTGGAGCCCCCCCACCCGTCATCACAGGAACTACACGAGGTGACTGGTATTGCAACTTACTGATCCAGCGGTGCAGTGTGGTGAATAGCACTGGTTCTGGCAAGTCGTCCCCCACCAGCCAGAGTTGCAGGCACTACACGAAATCGCTTCGCCACTAACCGAGTCGCAGCTAACGGATCCTGTTGGGCAGTGAGGCGAAGAGCATTGATTCTGACAAGTCGTTCCCAACCATCCATTGTCACAAGAGCTACACGAGGACGGGACCCCGCTAGTTGCATCGCAGCGTACAGAACCAACTGGACAGTGAATCGAAGAGCATTGTTTCTCGCACCTGGTACCCCACCATCCAGTCTCACAGGCATTGCACGAGATGACGGACCCCGTGACGATGTTGCAAGTGGCTGATCCAAGCGGACAGTGCGCAAAAGAGCACTGATAACGACAAAGAGAGCACTGATAACGACAAAGAGATCCCCACCAACTGGTGTCGCACGGGCTGCACGAAAGCACGTCTCCAGTGAGCGAATTGCAATCCGCAGAGTTGAGCGAACAGTGGGGGGCAGAGCACACATTTGCACAACTAGTCCCCGACCATCCGCTATCGCAACGAGATGCGAAGTTTAACCCGACGTAGGAGCTTACAGTTGCTGCGAAGGAGGCAGTTCTGGCGGTCTGGTACAATTGGGTCACAAGCTGAGACGCTATCGGGTAGACGGCGGAGACTGAAGGGGGCACGCTGATCTGAGTTACGACTTCACCGGTATATATCGACAGAGATATTGGTGATGAAGGTCGGATCGATCTCGGGGACGCCTAGAGCCCACGTGAGGATGCTCTTGAGCGCTGTTTGCTTCTTGTCTGTCATCAAAGTTGCGTCATCCGGTGTCATGAACAAATTAATCTGGACACTGTACGCTTCAGCAATACAGCCACTAATTAAGTTTGTGCTGAAGCGATCTGTAGATATCAACACCACTGGCTCGTTGTTTTTTGTAATAATGTCTTTGACGTTAAGCGAAGTAGGCAGCGTGGCTAGGAGGTTGGCGTATCCGGCATAACCATTATATTCCACGAAATGCGGTACTCTGCAATCCCCTCCATGGAACATCGATGCATCGTTCAAGTACTTCGACGTCAGCTTCGGGTACAGAGTTGGGAAGTTAGTGGCGGGTAAAGAGAGTGAATCGTGTCTTGACAGCTATTTTCGCAATGCTCGTTAACAGGTTGATACCACCAGTTACCGTCGGAATGACGCCAACTTCCACGTCAATGCCAACTCCGGTAGGAGCGAGATCTTGCGAGGTCTTGCTCGTCACTTGCATCTTGGCGAAATTCTGACTGGAATGGACAGTTCCGGCGGAGAAACTCTGGATCGTATTAGTGGATCCAAACTCGATATTTGATCGATGACTCAGTGCATTGAGTTTTTTCTGGATGTCCAACGCGAACTTGAGCTCCAACTCGATGCCGCTGCCGAGAGACGTCGTGCGAGTAAAACTTACCACAGTTTCTTTATTATCCACCACACACCCGTTTGGAGCGAAGATTTTCAGCTTCATCTCCGAAGTCCCGGTCAGCTGCATCTCCGACGTGGTTGAGTATTTTTTCGTATCTGAATACGTATCCAGGTCCACGTATAGCGAAACAATAGCGATGCTCGTATAGCAGTTCGTACACGTAATGAGGCAACAGCTCGTGGAAGGACTGGGTGCGTCAGAACAGCGCCCGTTATTGTAAATCGGGAAGGCCGAGTCGCTGATAGTGCGTCCGTCCGCCTCCAGATTCCACGTAAGCAGTGACGGCGACAGCATTGAAGTGTCTGGAGTCGCGGGGCAAGTCAACTTTTGACAACACCCACGCTGTAGTAGCCAGATTTACACGCTGATGTGGTTTTATAGCAGTCGTAGCACTGGTTCGCGGCAGGTTCGGGCTGATTATATGGCGATCACGTCTCGTCGCCACACTCGAAGCCACAGCCAACACCTTTCTGGTAGAATTCCATTGTGCACTGGACGTTTACCCACCCTCCTTTCCCGTTTGATGCCAAACACTGGTCTACTGGAGCGCCACTCTTACCGCATGCGTAAGTACATGATGGGTCTTTCACAAACCCGAATGTGCTCGCAAGGCGACGAGTAGTGGGGAGCGCTTCATCCGAAGATGTTGTTGTTGTATCGGAGCTGATGAGATTACTCAAGTCTGTCGACTGGAACTTGATCTTGCAGTTTGGATAAACATCGATCAACGAGGCACGCGCCATTTCCAGTCGCAGAAAGCAACTCTCAGGTGACGGAGTAAAGTCGACCAGGCCTTGGATGGAGCTGTTTAATTCGTAAAAGTAGGTGGACGAGTCGATAAATTCCGCGCCAAAAAATGAATTTCCGAGTACAGGTCGTTCGCTGGACGCGCTCAGGATATTCGAGCAATTCGCCACTTTATCAAAGCCACCACGACAATCTCGCGGGGGATCTCCGTCGTGTTGCCAGCAGCAGACGTGTTGGCTCCTACATCTGCCCATAACATCCCGTCAGAACCCGAGTCGTCCTCATTTGTGTCGTTTCCAAATAGTTCGATATCCTCCAGCATCACAACATTTGGGTCTTCCAGTAGGTTCCAGAGGTTGGCTGCCGAGGTGCAGTTGTACATGAGCTGCGTGCGACCAGATAGGTCGTCCGTCGAGTTGGTCTGCGGTTGCTCTAAGATGGACGTGATGTCAGCTTCCGTGTTGTTGCTGGCGATTGCTGGAACGATGAGGACGGATGTGAAGATGTTGGTGTTGGGAGCCGCGACGTCCGCCAATCCTGGAGATCCGTCTTGCAGCACACTGTAGCTGGACGCCACCTCTACGAGAGAGTCTGGCTCCATACCGGTCGCGTTCAGGAGCTGGTTCTGCAGAACTTCGGTCGGCAGATAAATCGATGTAGCGCTACCGCCAACGGTATCACCATCGGCTGTTGCATCGCCGCTGCCACTGCTGCTCGTACTTCCCAGCCCGCTGTTGTTTTCTTGAAGAGCGCTGATGCCCACCGTCCACAGAGGCCCCAGAGTAAGGGCTAGTAGCCTTTTCATTGTTCTTGTGAACACGTCGTGTATACCTTCTCTAAGGTTTGCTTTGCAGATTGTTGCTTCGGGCATACTATAAGTAAAGATAAGAAGAAGTAACGACCACCGTTTACGAAACTAATAAGGACGCCGTGGGTGGTTTTAAAACCTACGCCAAATATACAGCCAGTCATGCGTGCTGATAAGGTCGTGGTCAACAGTCTCCTGCGTCTGTAAAGCAATGCAGGACGATTGCTATCACCCTATCGCAGTGACAACTTTATAGACGTATACTACAATCAGTCGTTTCCACAAGGCACGATCGCAGGAAACCTGTTTCGATCTGATCTCTTGGGATCTTGTCCGCCCCAGTAATAACTGGTTGTTTCGTGAGAAGTAGCGATACGAGTCAATAGTCACATGAGCCAGTTAGGTGCCCTAAAGAGCCCACTTTTCAAAATCCTCTCTCCTCTCTTCCAATACAGCGCCCAAGCCACTCAAGTGCCAGCCAGTCTCGTAAACATGCTAGGTTTCACCAAAACGCTCTCGTTGCTTGCGTTGATGGCTGCCGGAGGGACTCAAATCGCGAACGCGTGCGACTGCAGTGGCTGTTCGTCGACAACGTTCTCAGGCTCCACGACGATCGAGTCGTCCTGCAGTTCGTCTCAGACCAGCTACGTCGAAGACGTCAAAATCGCCAATGATGATGACTACAGCAGCTCGTTCAGCTACTCGGCGGGGAGCTGTTCGTCTTCCCAAACGGCCTGCGATTCCGGCAGTTCCTGCGGCGAAACCAGCTCGGTCTCCATTACATGCGAGAGGACACCGACAACGAGCATTGTGCCCTCAAATACGACGTCAGCTGGAAATGCGTCGACAAGGAATCGACATCGACATCGACTTCAAACTCGACATCGACATCGACGAGCCCCAACGAGTCCTGGACTCCTGCAGGAGCCAGCCTTGTCTGCCTGGCAACGACGGCGATCGCTGCCGTGCTCCAGATCTAAACTCGACCATCTCGACTGCGCCGAAGATCACCTGCCATGTGTGTGAAGGAAGGAGCTACCGACGGCGTCTTGCTGTACGTAGGGCGCGCCTGTCACCCCGTTCACATCGAGGACCGCTCCTGAGTCCCAGCCGTAGGCTGTCGCCCTGCCCCTCCGCTACGGGCGCCTGATCCGCTTGTCCCCATGCACTCCGCGGCGGAGTCCGCCGGCCAGGGGTCAATCTTCGACGAAGACTTGAGTCAAGATCAGGGCCTCCGAATATGGCATTTTTATTTAGTAGGTTGGGCGTTGCTGAATAAATTATCCCCTGACGCTCCTACCAATACAACAGTACATTATGGCATTGCCCCCAACGTACCACAATAAATAATGCCATTATGAAAAGCATGAAGTCTATTAACAAGACACCAGTTAGCTTATCATCTAGCTCAAATTGTCCACAGTCGTTGCATCCCAGTACGACCGATTCTGGCGGAGAAACAAAATCGTCTCAAGCGTGCGTGGCAGCAGGCCGTGTCGTTGATGACCAAACGTCACCCGAGCAATGCTGAAGAAGCGTTCCACCACGTTCGACGTGGGTGGGATGCTCTTCAGCTGTTCATACTTGACACGGTCCTGTGCAAGCCGCCGGCGCTTCCGAAGACGCTCCACGAACGACGCGGCTGGATCCTCCTCCATTTCACTCGCGGCCGCGTCGTCCGGTCTGGCAGCTTCGAAGGGCTTCAAAGCGGCCTTTTCAGCACGCGTCAGCCGCTGCGCCTTCCCGCGGAGAACGCGTACACACCCGGCCTCAAAATCTGGGCTGTGCACAATGTTGGCCCGAGGCCCTGCAAAATAAAAACCATTATACAATTGTTAGTGAAAATATTAAACACAAATTCAACAGTTATAAACTTACCAATGTAGCGCCCATATTGTGGCTTGACAGCGATCAGCTCGTCGAACCACTCGCGAACGTCCAGCAGGTCGACGTCGTGGCCTTGAAGGGCCTTCGAGACCGACTCGATGTCGCACAGCTCCTGGTACAATGCCCGCAGTCGCTTGTTCATCGCCGGCGGCGGCAGCAGGTCCATGAGGTCGTCGTCTTCGGCGTCAAGAAACTCGAGGAGCTGGAGGTAGCGCCGTACCATCTCGAACGTAGAGCTCCAGCGCGTGTCCTGGCGAATGACAGGCCGAAGTGGCGTTTTCAACCTATTTTGTAAAAAATTACAAAAGTACACAAATTGTGTTAGAGACATATTGACACACCACACATACACATTGGCGCTTACCGTAGTTTGGCAGATTGGGTGAGAGTACGCAATTTTACCATGAGCGCCTGCACAACAGCCAGGTCCTCCTCATGCGACGCCATGTCCGCCTGAACAGCAAGGTTCAGGCGGTGGCTTGCGCAACCAACAAGCGGCACACTCATAAGAGTTGCTAGCCGCCGGTTTACGGCGCCGTTGTTAGCTACGAGGAAGCGTCACTGCGCCAGCTGTACGCCGTAATCGCGCGGCAGCGTGGTCGCTAGAAACTCGAGATGGCCCTGCGCGGAGAGATCGTCGTCCTGCGCGTCCAGCAGCGGGGCCATGCTGAGTAGCGTTGTTTTGGGACAGCCGTTCACCTTATAGCACGCGAACACGGCGATGTAGTGCTCAGATGCGTGTGTCCAGCCGTCGAGCATGATGCCGAAGCGTGCTGGGAGCTCCGACGCAATCGAACGCTCGACGGCGACGACGACCCCGTCCATGCCAGCCCGCAGCGTTTCCTCCGAGATGGGGTCCAGGCTGGAGTAGCTGAATAACATCCATAAAGTAAAGTTGTTAGTTTCCGTAGTAATGTAAACACAATGACCTTATGCATATACGTACCGCCGAGCTTCTCGGCTCTCACAAAAAGGGAGTGGCAGGTTGCACATGACAATCCAAACCATCCAGCCGTGGAGGTTGAGCGCCGAGTGGCGGACGAAGTTCACGAGGGAGCCTGTCTCCGCCGTCGTAGCGTCGAGCATGACGGTCTCGTAGTCAGGGTGCTCCCCCCTGATATGTTGCATCAGGTTGGAGTACCCGTTCCTATGGGTTTGCTTCCGAACCGTGCCGCAACGGCAACGGAAATACTCGAGAATCACCTCGTCGTTCTCGTCGCGTCACTAAGTTGTTTGAGTTGCGCGTGAGTTGCGCTTTCTATGACGGCAATGTTTTTGGGACACCTTGAGGCGAGCCAGACCCAAAGGGCTTGCATCTTCTTTTTCGAGTTAAGTTGCTGAATCATTTGGGTTTTATTCAGAACCGGTCGTCCACCGACTACCATTCCGGTTTCTCAAGCCACTTTTAGGCAGGCGGTTTTTGTGGCGGTCCCTGAGATGTTTGTGGTGGGTTTTCTGCCACAAGTGGGCCGAGAGCCGAAGTTTCGTCTGGACCTGCGAAACTTTTTCCTATACATTTAAACAGGAAAATGCCTATTTATGGCGGGTTTGTGGCACCGAACCCGCCAAGTTTCTCCTTAGCCCGCGAAACTTTTCCGCGCCATAAACAGCCCGAATGTGGCACCAACATTCGCCACGAACAGCGGCGACCGCGGTTTTTTATTCGGTACCGGCCGTCCATACAAAACCCAGTTGTTCTTATAAACCAATCGTACCAGACCGGAACCGGTTTCTCCTGACCGCGGCATACGTGGCCGTCCGCTCCGCCATTAGTCAAGCCGCCTGCTACAGCTAGCTAGCAACCGTCGCGACCATGGGGCGCACCGTGCTGTACGCGTCGAGTCCGCGCGACTCGAGCATCCTCAACCTCGTCGTGTGCATCGCCGGCATCTACGTCTGCTACCTCAGCTACGGCATCTTCCAGGAGAAAATGTACGCACACCCCCACAGTCCTCATCGACTCTACCACCTGAAAGCACTGACATTCATGCTCTGTCGCCGGCAGCTTCACGTACCGGTCGCCGAGCGGCGGCAAGTTCACGGCCACGCTCTTCATGCTGTTCGTGCAGTGCGTGACCAACTCGCTGGTGGCGTACGCGGCCACGTTCGTGTGGAAGCCCGAGCGCGCGCGCATGCCGCTGGCGCCCTTCGCGCTGACCGCCGCCGCGTACCTGGGCGCCATGCTCTGCAGCAACGAGGCGCTCAAGCACGTGAGCTTCCCCACGCAGGCGCTGGGCAAGTCGTGCAAGATGATCCCGGTCATGCTCATGGGCGTGCTCATCCGCCGCAAGAAGTACACGCTGCGCGACTACGTCTGCGTGCTGGTCATCACCACGGGCATCGCCGTGTTCCAGCTGGGCAAGGCCTCGGCCAAGCACGCCGAGCGCGAGAACAGCACGTACGGCCTGCTGCTGCTCTTCTCGTCGCTCACGCTGGACGGCATCTCGGGCCCCAAGCAGGAGGAGATCGCGCACCAGCTGCGCCCCTCGGTGCACCAGCAGATGCTCAACACCAACCTCTGGGCCGTCATCTACACGGGCGTGGGCGCGCTCGTCACGGGCCAGGCGCTGGAGGGCTTCTTCTTCTGCATGGAGAACCCGGCCATCCTCAACTCGGTCTTCTACTTCTCCGTGTGCAGCGCGCTGGGCCAGAACTTCATTTATTTCACCATCCAGCAGTTCTCGGCGCTCACGTGCACGACCATCACCACCACGCGCAAGTTCTTCACCATCCTCTTCTCCGTCGTCTGGTACGGCCACGAGCTCAGCCTCATGTCGTGGGTCGGCGTCGCCATCGTCAACGTCGGCCTCGCCTGGGAGCTCTCGAGCAAGTACCAGAAGTACCAAGCGCAGAACGCCAAGCTCACGTAAAAAAGAAACGAGAGGCCGCGACGGCGGTGAGTCTTCTCCTCACTAGAATCTCATCAATGCACTACCTCGGTTATCTTGTTAAAGTTTTTGTCTTGGCGAGTCTATTCGGCGAGTGGAACAGTTTGTATGTGGCCATCAGCTCCACAGACTCGCGCTTTGGTAAAACACTCCTCAAATGACACGTACAAGAAGATTCTACAGTAGTGTCTACGTGGTGTTGGATGCTCGTTTCTTGCTGAAAATTGAAGAGCACGTAGCTGGAGTCTCGGGTGGTGCTTGTAGAACTTCCCTCCAGTTCTAACCCGGTCCGAGGTGTCTGCAGCATTGCTCCCGTTCACACGCAGTTCCCAGAACCAAAGCACCTCCGAGCTGGAGATGACGAGGTCGAGGGATCCCTCTCCATGTTGTGTAGGCCATTCTGGAGTCACAAGCACGTCTCGAGGCAGACATGAGGCTGCCGCCCGGAATAATTCGTGCTGGATCTGGCGTTCTCGAGAAACTTTTCCAGGGCCGTGTAGATTGATGCAAGTGACAACGAATTCGTTCAGCATGTTATTCGACAGCTTCAAGCAGCTAATTGGATCCGCTCGAGAGAAATGCAACCAGACTTTCTGGTGCATATTCGAACTGGAGCGAGTTGTTCGAATCTTCAAATAAAAAGCCGTGCGTCGTCAGCAGCTCCACAGTTTTTCGTCTCGTAGTTTCTTTCCCATCATACGGCGGCGCCCTTTTGCCGGAAGCAACATCATTCACCACTTCCTTCAGCGACTTTGTCATTTCATCCAAGTCGCTATGAGCGTTCACGACTTTCTGCAAGTTGCCAAAACTTGGGAAGCCGTGATAACTCGACTCAAAGTAGTCAATAAGCTTGGCAGAGCGCAGCACAGCTTCCGTGTCTTCAGCAGTGACGGAGCCAGCGCGTTTAGTACCAAACTGCTTGTGCAGAAATTGTAGTATTCCTCTGGCAATTCCAATGTGCCCAGAGCTGAGGACCCACACCAGGTCGCTCACTAGTGCGCCAATACTGCCACCGATCATTTGGTCCAGTTCCGGTCGTGATAATTGCAGGCTAGGCTTCGAACCTTCCGCCATCAGCCCAAACGTACTCTCTGTAGGTATAATTGAAGCTATAACACTTCGTTGTGGTGAACGGCAGGCGTGCGAGCAAAAGAGAACGAGCCGTGCTTTTCACGTACCCTTTCCAGAACAACGCATCCTCGTACGTCATTTGCGTTTCGTCAATCAGCACCACTGTACCCTTGTACGCACAGAAATCCTGGAAAGTGCAGTCATATATTTATTGTCTCTCGAAGAACTCAAAAAGTGGCTCATCCGATTCCATTTCGTTTGCTAAAATGCGGGCAACACGCGCACGTGGCTGGTGGCGGACAATGTGGTTGTAGAGAAGATCACACAGCGCGGACTTCCTTGACAGTGGCGGAGCGCAGACAAAAACCAGTGGGAGATACCTTCCTCCCTCCGCTGGAAACAACAGGCGGTAGAAAGCATCGACAGTCTCAGCTCGGTCCGTCCTGAACGTCGAAGGAACCCCACAGATTCTACATGGGGGAACTCAATGAGTGCATTGAACTTCTGCAGGCCCTTGAGCTTCTCCACTTTCAATCTCTTCCGTGGCTGGGGTCTTTCCACAATCAGAACTTTGTCAAGGTCGAGGCTCTCCACCGACGTTCGCGCGCTTAGAGGAAGCTTGTTGGATAAATACGCCTCTCGGTCGGCGAAAACCCGTAGTTCCCCAGGCCCGCACTGCTCCAACAGACCCTCGGGGTGGTGATACTGCTGGTGGATCGAGGCGCGTACGTCGTCAACACTGCTGATTGCACTCGACAAGCGCAGCGAGGTCTCCGTCGTCAACGAGCCGCGGGGGTCTGCTGCATCCACCAAAGCAAACCAAACGCGTCTCGCCATCTCTTCGGACAGGAATGACTATTTGTACCCACTGTTTAGATGAGTCGAAAGTTTTGGTCGGCTAGGTTCAGTGCTAGTTTCTCTCTATATCATTGTTGTACTGTTTGCTACTTACATACACGCCAGGCTTGCTCACGACGTCAACATCACACCTGGTCGAAGTTCAGGTTCCGGGCTCGCGGAGTATGGGCTCGTCCATTTTGCGATTTCGTGCGAGCGCGAGCTGGAGTTGCAGCCCGCTGGCCACTTCCAGTGCTGGGTGCTTGCAGGTTGGAGCTGCTCGAGTTGGGGGTGAGCGCTGGCTTTGTCGGTCGACGCACAGTGCCCAAGTCGAGATGCATTAGTCCAGTGTCGGTGTTCATCATGTCCAGCAGCAGGTTCTTGAGGTCCTCTCCGAGTACACTGAGGTCGTACTCGCCGTCTTCGTTTTCCAGCCACCGTGATACTTCCTTCCGGAGCGCTGCCAGCAGATTGGGGTAGTGCTTCGCCGCCATCCTGCGGAACCGCTCCTCTTCTAGCAGTCGGAGCGAGTTGCCGAACAAGCGGTCCTTCTGGCTTGCGCTTGCCTCGAACTCGGCGATCTTGGCCTTGAACTCGTTGATTTTGTTGAAGATCTTCATGATCTTCTGCAGGGACTGTAGCCGATTCTGCGCACTCTTCACGGCGCTTTTCACATCCGCCATACCAGCCACCACTTCGCGAAGCTTTTGTAGCTGGAGTGCTCCGAATGATGCCGAGTAGAACCAGTGGTATTCCATAAACGCTGGATCGAGCTTGGATAGGAAGGAGTCCTTGGTGTCTACCGGTTTATCAGCAACTGGTGGGACCTCCTCCTCTCCGTCATCGCTAGACGAACACGACGAAAACACAGCATACTTTTCGATGATTGAACGTCGTGCTTCGTGGTTTTCGTCCTTGCGGCCCAAGAAGAAGCTGACTCGCTGCTCCTCCGTATCGATCCCAAAGGCTGCGAAATCATCGTTCATCGAGTAAAACAAACTGCGCAACGATATTTCCACAGGCCCATCCAGCTCCTCCATCATCTTTTTTCCAGCCGCAAGAGTGTCAGTAAAACACTCACAGCTTTGAAGATCGCGCGCGATCTGCAGGGCCGAGGTGGAAGGCTGACCTTCGCCTTGAGCTCCATCGGCAGCTGAGTCACCAACAGAAACTTCGTGGGCCAGTATTGCACCTTCTTCCAGAGTTTTATGAAGGAACTCAAGTGCATTATTCCGCCCCGCGTGAACTTCCTCGAACCCCCTCAGCACTTTTGCGAGAGCTTCAAGTCCTCTCTTACTGATGTCAAGTTGACCACCTGTCTGAAGAATCCAAGCGCAAAGCTCTTCACACATATCTGTATCCCCATCTCCGTTCTTTAGAGAGCTGTCAGAATCCCGTAGCGAGTGAACAATCGACGCAATGTCATCTTGAGAAAGCTGTGACTTGTGAGCCACTGATCTGATACCCTTCAACGACTCCTCCAGTTCTGTAATCCGTTTTGCCTTCTCTTTCAGGAGTACGTTGAACAAAAGCTCCTCCTGCTGCATGGAGGAACTTGCGATATTGGCAGCCCCTGGATCGTCCAAAGTGTCCAAGAGCTGCTCAAGAACTGGCACAGAATCTGGGTTCTGCTGAAATTGCTTGCAAACGTCCAGATTTGCAGATGAAGAGCGAATCAAAACATCGTCGATGTTGCCCACTTCCTCACGTGAAACATGGCGGAAATCGTAGATCGAGCGAATTTGAAGCCCAACCGCTAGCCCCTGGATGCCTTCGACAACTCGAACGCGAGTGTTTATTCGGTGCAACAGCTCGTTAGCGAGACGTTTCTGCAGCGACAGCATGTACGTTTCATGTTCAAGCAGCGTTACACCAGCCACTGCCGGGAGTGACGCTACATCCACAGGATCAGGCACATGAAGTATCAATTCCATCCGGCTGACCACACGATATGCGTCATCAATCCGCTTCTGGAGTTTCTCTCGAGCACCCTCTAGACCTTTAAGCTCTTCAGAACACTTGTTCAGCAAAAGCTCGTTGATATCTTGAAATTTGCTGGCTTGATCTTCTTCATTCAATCCCAGTTCCTTCCAAATTTCTTGGCATCTCTGGAAGCACAAAACACGCGTTAGTTTGGTATATAACGCATACTCTAGAAATTATACTCACGTTCATCAGCCGAAAGGATTCCTCCTTCATCTCCATGCTCTTGGCTGACGCCTGAAAACGGCCAAATTCCATGCGCATCGCCTTCATCTCGTCTTCTCGTTCAGCCAGTTGAGTGAGCAGCAGCCTTTCGCGCTCTTCTAAAGCAGCGACCCTGGTGGGTGTCACTGCTAAATTGACAGACTTTTGCCCTTGAGAGGGATCACCGGACTCGACTGCATTATTGAAGCTGGTCACCATCTCGAAAGCGCACTGAACATCCTTTTCGTACTTCACTTCAAGCTCTTCCACCTTCTTCTCCATCTCAAATTTCATCGCTGCCAGATTTTGGTTCATGGTCTCTTCGACCTCCAGTCGATGCCGCAAGTCCTCTTCCTCGTCGAATACCATGTAAATCCGCCAGTGAGAATAAATCTCCACAATGAGCCTCCGAATCACATATTTCGCTCCGTCCAAGGTCGTAATCGAATCCAGTATCGTAGCCATTGATGCTCGTTGGCCCTGCCTCGCGCGCATCGCGTCTCGAATTTGGGATATGCTATCCTCACAGTCCTTCAAGCTTTGCTCGTTCTTTTCCATAAACTCTTGCTCACTCATTTCTCCGTTATGACAAGCCACCAGCCCCTTCGTGATATTCTGAAATAACTGTGCTCGCTTTCGAAGCTCTTTGTTCATAGAAGCCTCGAGGGCTTCTTTGTCGAAGGCAATCTGAGTAGCATATCCAACCAATAGCATGTAAATGTTAGTTGATCACACATCGCTTGATGGAATCAGCGTAATACTTTACATACATACCCGAAGCTGGTCTTGAATTAAAGACAAAACTTCGCGCGAGTACGCTGACGACAGCTCTTCCTTCGTAAATAGTGGCGACATAAACGAGATAGCCCCATCGTCTTCATCGATGAATGCAGCCATTTCTTTTTCTTCATCCTTGAGATAACTTGAAATGGAGTCCAGATCATATTCATCAAAGCGGACCTACAAACCAACAAAACGATTGCTTTAAGTCAGTGACAAGAACATGTGAAGCTGTCCAGAAGCGACATACCTTGATCTCAGTCCTGCGGGTTAAAACGTTCAGAGCGTTTGTCGTGGCATCTTCTGGAGCATTTCTTAGCTGCTCGATCTGCTCTTGCTTCGCCTTCCACTCTTGTCGGCAGCACGTCACCTGAACTTCCAGCTCCTGAGCCAGTGCCGCCTTTTGACGCTGCATCTCCTCCATTTCAATATCCATCAGCTCGAGTTTTTCCACTGCCTCCTCGACATTGCGCTCGATAGACCGTCGTTTTCCCGCTTCCTGATCGGCTTCAGGTGACGAGAGCCACGTCCGCATTCTTTCTATCATGTCAGACAATCCGTTCCTAAGCAACTCGTGGCGATGATACTGGGTCTCCATTTTGGTGGTTTTGGCGTTTATCGATTCACGCTGTCGCTTTTCCACATGTTGAATTTCTTGCATTTCAAACGCAAGGTTCATCACTTCCAACGTTCGGCATAGTTTTCCCAGTGGGTAAGGAGTCACAAAAGCAGCATCTGCGCTTGGCTTCTGCTCTTCCATAATTGCAACGGAGGACCCGCTATCGCTCATGAGATCCAGATATTCCTCTTGATGTCCAATGCTCCTTGTTTCGTCCGCATCCATGCTCGTCAAGGAAGCAGCACGCTTATATCCACTGTTTGGCACCAAGTCGTGTAGGTGAGCAGTGAGGCCATCAAGCAAGCGCCGCGTCTCAAACAAACGCTCATCACCAGACGACTCCAATCCTCCTGATGAGGCGAGTTGCTCAACTCTGCTCAAGTACGCCAGTACTTTCGGGTTCCCCATGCAGCTGTCTGTCAGTGTATCCACGTCCCCAGGAACTCCTTCGCCCAGACCTGCAAAGATCGCCTTCACGAGTTCGCGACATAGCAAGTGGTTGAAGGCCTTCAAACTCGCCAACTCCGCTGAACGGCTATCAATGTTCTTCACAGCCTTGTTCTGGATGTTCTTGGCGCGATTAGCGTACTGGAGAGTATTGAGGGTCTCATTTGCGTTGATGTCTGCCGGAGACACGCACGCACTATACACAACAAGAGGAATCGATAAGTTATTACGTCAATGATCAATCACATTGCGTGATGCAAATAGAGGCCTTACATGAAAAGGGTCCGGCTGTTTCCTCCAAGCGCGTCTTGGAGCAGCCGAGTCAGCTTCGACGACCTGTAAGGGACGTGCACGTGTGACGCAGCACGACGCTTATCGTCACCGAGCGCGTTGATCACATTGCCAAGAGCAAACAAGCCGACATTTATTTGAATGCCCTCCTTCATCCGCTCACCCTCCGCCAGTGTCTTTTTGAGCCGCTCGCTACCTGCAAGATCCACGAACGTGAGTTTCGAGACGATGACCGCATCCGCTTCCGAAGTCTCTGATCCCGCGTCTCCACCATTTGGCGACTCAAATCCCACCTTGGTGCGCCTCCTTACATTCGCCATCTCCTGGTTGTTCGGTACAGGAGGACCCTTCTTGGATTCCTGTTCCGAAACTCGCTGGACCATTTTCACGGTGTAGACTGCGTGTGATCGGCTAGAGCGCTCGTTCATCTGTGTACTGGCCGTGATTCGCTGCAGTGATCCTCTTCTCATCTGTTCCATCGCTTCTTGCCGGTTCGACACGCGAACTTCGGTCAGTCCCTGCACCCAGACGCCGTTCTTCTTGTTCTCTCTCAACTGCAGCGGCTCCGAGCGTCGATTCGCTCTCTGCGCGTCAGTATTCTCCAGCAAGTCGTGGATATCCTCCCCGTAGATCTCCAGGAACGACACCGAGAGCTGGAAGTTGCTGCCGGCCTCATTCAGCTTCGTGAACAGGTGGTGCAGGAACCTCGGGATCAGGCCTTCGTCGCTGTCGAGTGAGTCCGCAGCCTCCTCGTCGCTGCTGTCGTCGCTGGACGGAGACCGCGCGAACAAACTGTTGGCCATCGTGGACGTGGACGGCATGCTGTTGCCCATAGTGTGGGTCTTGCCCGACCCCGTCTGACCGTACGCGATGACCGTGACGTTGAAGCCCTGCAGGAAGGACGCCATCCAGGGACGCAGCGCCTCGTCATACAGCTCCGGTTGCTTGGTAGACTGCGGGAACACGTGATCAAACCTGCAGCATATGAAAAAAGTATCTTCTTAAGTAAAAACAACAATAAAAATATAGTATAAATTATGAAGGACCAATATGAATCTTACGTGAACTTCCTCTCGATGAGGTCGCCGGCGGTGGGCACGAGCCGGATCGCGTTGTCTTCGCCGCGCGGCCTCTCCACGCACGTGGCGGCGTTGCGCGCGAGCTCGCGCGGCAGCATGGGGCGGATCCGCACGGCCACCTGCACGCTGCCGTCCTTTCTGGGCCTGTTGGGCGCGGGCGGCTCCGACGGCAGCGGCCGCACGCGCGTCTCGCCCGCGCTGGAGGAGGAGCGCAGGTCGTCCGCGTCCGCGTCGTCGTCCGAGTCGCTCGCCTGCCGCAGCGACGCGGGCGCCGGCGGCGGCTTGAGGCTGCGGCGCTGCATGTCAGCGTGAGAGTGATTGTGCGCTTGATGGCGAGTGCGCAACGGATGCGACGCGGTTCAACTTGCTTTTATTATTGGATCGGATCGCGAGCTGATTGGCAAATTTGAAAGGTGGCGCGAAAAAATGTGCATTTTTCGCAGTCTGCCAATGGGTCAACCTATCCGAGACGGACATGACTGTGGTCAGGACATATAAGTGGTCAGTGCTGGCATACAAGTGAAGGTCAATTGGTGACCCGGGGGTTTCGCAGTTCGAAGCCTAATGAAGCATTATAGCTAATGAAGGGTAATGTACGCCGAAATAGTTTTAGATGAGGTTCGCCCAGTAGACAGCCTGTATTCACAAAAAATAAAACCAAATCAACCTGTACTAGATAAAAAGAAATTAAAATTGCGACGCTTGCTTACATCGTCGGATATCTCGTATAGGAATACATTTGCAATATCATCTTCTAGTGTGTCTGAAAGAGGAGGTCATACAATACGACCGGGTCGATAGTATCGAAGCCAATGGGGTCAGTAAAGTACTACTTCGAAGTACAATTTTTAGTGCTCTGAACATATTACATAATATGTAATATTATACAAGTACGACGTAGTGCTGTGATAATGCCCGTATAGTTATTGAAAGCTGTGGTTGGGCTCACGATCAGCATCATCAGGACGTATGCCCAACATTGAGCTCAACATTGTAGAATATAGTTGTCAGTAGCTAGCTATACGATGCATGCTACTACGACGAACAAGGTAGCATGGGCTGCATTCTTGCATTCTTTCGACAAAAAACGTAAAATTCGACTTTCTCGGGTTGCATACGATCTTGCCCTTCAGCGTGGCTCGACACCTTGTCTCTCCTTCCTTCGGCTTCTTCCAGGGCTACTGAAAGGGTGCGGCTTTATCCGAAGCCAATGGTATCTGCGCGAGGAGCCAATAGGAGCTCCAGGAAGCGAAGCTGAGCCGTTTGCGATCCGTTACACTTCCTGTTTTTGCAAGAGTATTGGTTTGAACAGCAAATACCGATATACCGCCTTCAAACTGTGAAACCCTTTTGGCTTCCGGAATTTTTTTCGTTTTTCATACAAATACAAGTGTATAAGGCGCCCTGAACGCGTTTGTGCATTTGTAACCCGGGCTTGGCTTTCTTTTGGTCTTTTGGTCTTTTGGCTTTCGCTCTGCTCGCCGAGCTCAACACACACGAAAGTTGCTGTTGAAAGCAGGTCAGGCTGCGCTGCACCCCCAGAGATGCGGTCTGGGGCTGTTTAGCCTTGGCTTGCGCCAGACATCCTGGCGCGGCTGTGTGTGCTCACATGAGTGTGGTCGCTGCGTTCGTGGGCACTTTCGCTTTCGTTGCTTGCCGCGCGCTCGCGCGCGTTGCAGCTAGCGATGGCCTCCAACGCCGGTGCCAACAGTGCCAACTCTGTCGACGGTTCCGCTGCTGCTGCCTCTGCAGTGGCTATTGTGGCTACTGCGACGACCACTTCCACTCCCACAGTCGGCAGCTACCTTCCCCCGGACGCTGTGGAGGCCAGGATCGCAGCTTTCATGTCCGCCCAGCCGACAATCGACCGGAAGGCTAGGAGGCAGCGGCATTGGACGCCATCATGTCGAACTATTGTGGTCATCCCGCGCTCGGCAAGGAAGACGAGGAAGCCTTCGCCCATGCTGCACATCAACTAGGCAAACTCATGGACGACCCCTCCACCTGGAGGGACAGCAGAAGGGTTGAGCTGATTGACGCCGCATGGATGTTCATCGCGCAGTGGGCCCCTCCTCGTGGGACCCCTCCTAGTGCGGCCGGTGCTGTTACGCCGCAACCCGCCAGTACAGCGCCATCGCCAGCAAAGAAGAAAACGGGCCGCCCTCCCAAGCCCGAGAACACTGGAGTACATGCTGCAGTGTGCGCGAATGCTGGTGCCCCCACCGACGGCCAAGGAAACCCCCACCTCTGTCGCGGCTCGGGTCGCGAATATGGGGTTTCCGATCAACGAAAAGACGTTCGGCAACAAGTGGCCAGAGGCGTGGAAGCTCTGGGTGAAGCTCCCGACAATGAAGTACACCGACCCCGACGAGGAGGACATAGCACAGGTACCGTTTTCGGTTGGGGTTTTCAGATGTCGGGATTCTTCTAACTCTTCTTGCTGAAGATCGATGGAGCTAACGCCTGTCTTCGACTGGGTGCCTATGCGCTCACGCTTGACGATCTCGTGGACGCGGTCACCCGCAAACGTCACGAAATGCTAGCCAAGGGGTTCACAAACTTCATCGTTCAACTCCTGATCGACAGGAGGTGGCCCTTCAGCTGCATCAAAGCGCTGGAGTCCCTGGTCAGGCTATTCGAGGCGGGGGTGGAGATCAAACACCTCAAATCCACGGCTGTGCACATGGAAGCGGTGAGTTTTTTTTCTTGAATATCGTGTATTTCTAACCCCGTGTTTTTTGTTGTAGTTGATTGTGGACGACGTATACTGCTTTAGTGGCAGCGGTAACTTCTCCAAAAATGCTACGACTCGCAACGCCGAGTTGAACACTACTGTTACAGGCAGTCACGGTACGTTGCTTTGGCGCTATCGTGATCAACATCATTTTCATATTTTCTTGTTATCTTGCTCAGCTGTATCGGATGCCAACGCTGGAGACAGCCGCCGACGTGGAAAAGTTCAAGGCCAAGATCCAACAACTTCGGGAAAAGGAGAGCCAACCTCGCGAAAAGAGGAAGCGCCCGGGGATCCTTTGGGTTTGAGGTTCCACACTTTCCCATTCTACACCGTTCTCATTCTCATTCTCCTCCTCAGCCCAATCTTATTTACTTAATATTTGATACGTTGAGCTCGCTTGGCACATGACGCATTTCTTAGTTATTCTGTGCAAGGAAAGTGCGTGCAGGCATTGCAGACTTCTGCCCCGAGCCGCCCGCGGACCCGTCGATCGAGCACAAGCTACCTTTCCTCGCTACCGCCGCCGCCGCAGGAAACTCGCGGCGCTCGAGGCGGCGCGGTAATTTTAGCTGCCGGGCGACGACGCGCTGCACATCGGACGGAGAGCTTGGTTCTGCCACCCGGTCCGTGCAGTCCGCGCCGATCGGAGCTCGTTGCGTCCGGAGCGGGTCGCGCGGTCGTCGAGTTGCTTTTCGCCCGTGCCTCAACTTGGCTTCCTTCTGTACTGCGATCTGCCAGTGTCGACGCGCTTCAACTTCACTCGTTCGCATCCAGGAATAAGCCAAACTGCAACGCCCCAACCGCAATAAATAGCTCGCTTGTCATTGCCGTCAATGGCCTCACACAAGACAGCACCTTAGTCAGCAGTTTCGCTTCGCCATCATCATGGAGGAGCTCCCTGTGAAGCCCCTTTCGATCCCCAAGAGCCCGGCCAAAAGCCCCAAACGGCCACCTCCGTCACCATTGGCGGCCCGTGTTCGCGTTGCCGTACGCGTGCGTCCGCCAGTGAGTCGCAGTGTTAATCCGGAAGAACAACCTAAGCTGTGCATTGCACAAGCAGAACCGGATGCAGCCACCGGACCGAGTAGTGACAACATGCTGCACTTCCAGCTCGAGAAAACCCAAAAGAGCTTCCGGTTCGACCACGTCTTCTCGAGCGACACAAAGCAAACCGGTACGCAGCCAGCCCCCTTGATGTAAACTATATTGTGACACTTACAGCTAACAATGTTGTGGACAGAGGTGTACAATGCAGCTCTGCAGCCGCTTCTGGCCTCCTTACTGCACGGATTCAACGTGACAGTGCTCGCCTACGGCCAAACCGGCTCAGGCAAAACACACACGATGGGAGGCGCAGCGATAACTGGCGATGGCGATGGCCTCATTCCGCACTTCCTTCGAGACCTCTTTGAGGCGCTGCGTAAGGAAGCGAGTATCAAGACAACGGCCAAAGTCTCGTTTCTGGAGATCTACTGCGACGAAATCCGCGACTTGTTGGTCGAAAGTGCGAGTGACACAGCACGGAATACTGCGCGGCAGAATTCGGCTACAAGGCTTACAATCCACGAAGACGACCAGGATGTGTGGGTGGAGGGACTGCTGCAGGTCAAAGTGAAGAACGTCGACGAGGCGGTGAATCTCCTGAAGGCAGGTCGACAACGACAGACTATTGGGGCTCACGCTCTCAACGACCATTCCAGCCGGTCGCACGCTGTCTACACCCTCGAAGTCTCACGAGTGTTCGCCGACGAGATCAAACGCGCTAAGTTGACATTTGTGGATCTAGCGGGGAGTGAACGCGTGAAGAAGACGCTGATGGAAGGTCAGGGCATGAAGGAGGGATCCCATATCAACAGTACGCCCGGCACTGAATGCTATCTAACATTGGGACCGCAAGGGGTTGTATCTGACTAATGGGTGCTGTGTTAGTTGGTCTGCTAGCGTTAGGGAACGTGATCAACGCGTTAGGCTCGAAACAACGGCGTCTGCAGCGTCGAAACAGCACTGGGGTCAGCGGTCGACGTGGCAGCATTTCGGGCTGTGAAGATATCACACCAATGGACTCAACTCACGTTCCATACCGGTCATCAAAGCTGACACGGCTGCTACGAGATGCACTCGGTGGGAACTCGGTGACTTTATTCATGTACGAAGCCACAACTACGTCGTTGCTGGCTCGCTTGAGTTACTAACTGTGTTTTGCATCTTTAGCGCGTGCATCTCTCCTGAGACAACGAACGGGAATGAAACTTTGTGTACACTCCAATATGCCAATCGCGCACGCTCAATTCAAAACAAGGCGCTGAAGAATGTGGAGGAGGCAGTGCCCCAAGATATCGTAGACGATGAGGCATCCATTCTGCTTGGAACCGAGAGTGAGCGTGAAATTTGCGCTCTACGTGAACAGGTGGCAGAGCTAAAAGCGCAGTTGGAACAGGCCGTTGCTGCCGCAAAAGCAGCAGAAAAAGCTCGAGCTTCTTTGATCGAGCCCACACCAAGCGAGATCAACTTAACAGACACCAACCCAGCAAAATCTGCTACCAGATCCTCTAAAGGCAAGAGGCGATTTCGAATTGCTCCTCTCGAGTTGGATATACAGGAGCTGGCAAATATCCGAGATTTAACTCCAAGATTGACATCTGAGCTGCGTGAAAGTGTGAAAGGCAGAAGCACGCGCAAGCTTCAGCAGGATAGTTTCCCCGTCTGCATTAGCACCTCAAAACAACCAGTACTAGTTGTGGACAAACAAAATCAGCAGGAAGAGCTGATCATACCCGCGCTACCGTGCCCGGACGCTACGGCAATCAACGTGACAAGTGTCAATGGAAAATATTCCTCTGAGTCACTAAAGCAAGTATCTTTTCGTGTGAATCAAAATGACAGCGCTCGAGCTGGAGACAAAAGCCCCCAACGCCGCGAACAACGCCGACCGATGACCGACCAGAGCACCCAGTATGAAAGTCCGTTATCGTTCCACCACGAGCGCAAGACGCCAATCGATTACGTGTTGCTTTCGCCAAGTCAAATCTACCTTGAAGTACATCATCAAAAGCAGAAGGCCCTCGCAGGTGCACCTTCGCCGTGGCCTCATCGCCGTCGCCTCGACACTCCTCGCAGTCAAACCAGACATCCGTCAATACAATTTCCCGAAGTCGGCAGTAATAACGACCTGTCTAACCAGCGGTCCACCAAGCCGCCCGATACACTTCACGATATTCTCCGACATACTCGAGAGTTGTTCGAGCATGGTTCAGAAGTGCTGGGTTCAGATAATAAGCCAGAGATTCGTGAGTCGGAGCATGACGAGAGCTTTCCGAGCCCCCCTTTATCGTTCGATGAGTTCCTGAATCAACTGGTAAATCTGTACAATCGACGAAGTCGTCAACAGCAACTTGTACATAGACTCGGGCAACGTCTTCGCCACCTCATGAGTTTACTCGGTACGGACGCAGAACCGCAGATGGTCGAGCTGTCAAAGTACACTCTAGTGCACCAGCTCCATACACTGCAAGAACATCTAGAAGCCTATGAACGCGTCGTTGCTGATAGACTCTGGAAGCGTTTGCAACATCGGGAATCAGCTGTCGAAAGCTACGCGGACAATTGGAACGACAAGTTGACTGAGGTTTTCCTCTCTGACGATCAGTATGAGGCCTGCACACCATGGCACGCACACCGTGGCGATCATGACTTTTTCCAGCATCACATTTTACCATTCGTTCTGAATGGTTGGATCTCGGTTACGCCTGGTGACCTCGAAAACGAGCAGCTCTGGCTTACCTTATGATAATCGTACCATTAGAAAACTGTAGAGTCGACTCCATCCAGTACAATGAACATGAATAAAATACTTTGCATGGGGAAGGTTACACCACAAAAGACTTCAACTCCTGTTTTCATGAAAAACTTCGGTTTTGAGCGTGAATGTTATCGAGACAGAAAGTTAGTAAATGGAGCCCACCGTCAAGAGTAACAAGGGCATACACCTTTGTCGTTTCGCGCCAGCAGTATTAATGCCTCCAGAATAGTATTCCCAGTTCCCAAGTGTAGCGTACGTGTTAGTATCGCATCACAAGGTGCACCTCGTTGTTTACTAGTGTGGGGCGTTTTGCTGTTAGTAGAATTTACTAGACACGAACTCACTGTTAGCTGTACGTTTGCTGACTGTAAGTGGACGAGTTAGTAGCAGGGGAATAGTTGTTGCGATATATTGCGGTTATAGTTGAGGTACTAGCTGTACTTTTCAGTATAGAATGTAGAAGAAGAGATTGCCCAAGCAGAACAGTAAAGGCTAGTCAAATATCAAAGTTCTGAGTAATATCCGCTCGTCTTGCTCGAAAATTGGTGTCGCTCGTTCGGCAATCACATGTTAGCAAAATTTACTAGACACTGCTACTGGTAACTAACTGTTATTAACATTCTGATCATCGCCTGGGTCGTTGCGATGACAGGCGTTTGCGCTGTCGAACCGACTAAAAGTTCAAGACCCGACATTTCTCCGCTCGTTCAAGGCGCTGCGCTTTCCGCTGATGTTTCCAGTACGCATAAGTTGCTAAGTGGTGCTGTCAACTCCGAAGCTGGCGCCTTAACACGACATGACGTCTCTACTACCTCGAATAATGAGGAAAGAGGAGTCATGTTTTCTTTGACAAGGCCGTTCAAGGATGCCAAGTTCTACACGACGAATTACGTAGCGGATTATGTCTGGAACATCCGCTTCACGGCCTAGATCCGCAAGAAGATGACACCAGAGAAACTATACTACAAGCTCAAAATCGCGAAGACGTCAGGACCAAGAGACCGGAAGTACCGCAAGTTCCTCGAGTACGTGGAGATTTACGAGGACCGATTCGGGCCCGCGTTCAACCCCTTGCTCAAGTATGGCCCAAGAGTTGAGGTAAAAGCTTCACCCTAGCTCGTGGCTAACTCCACCGTAAAAAATATAAAACAATTCCGGTGTTATTTCAATTCATAGATCTTGGATAGTGGTAAGGCTCATAGACTCTTGGAGTACAGTTCGTGCTTGACTGCTGCGCTCCGCTCCTCCAGACGCTTCGAGTTGGGCGGGTCCACGCGCATGGTGTAGTTATACCGGCGTCGGAAGTCCTTCTTCTCGGTCAGCGAGCGCAGCGCGAAGTAGTACTTGGCGTAGACCGTCGCGGAGATGTAGAGGTCCCACTGGATGTGGTGCAGGAAGAGCCGCTCGAGGCGGTTGATCGAGTGCAGCGAGAACTGCGGATAAATATTGCTGATCTCGACGTTCCACGAGCTCAGGTCCTGCCACACCTTGGAGGCCAGCAGCAGGCCGCAGACCACAATGGGCCTCCAGGTGGCCGCCAGCAACGGCACGTTGGCCTGCTCCATGAGCCTCTCAATGTAGATGAGGCACACGATCGTGCACTCGGCGCTGAGCTGCGCCTTGTTGAACAGGTTCTTGCAGAAGCGGAAGATCTCGTCCACGCTGGGCACGTGTCGCTTGGACGTGATCTTCTCCATCCTGTAGACCGTCAGCGGGTGCACTCTGGGCAGCCGCACGAACGTGTACTTGTACTGCGGCGTGACGAAGTGCTCCTCCCGGAAGGTCTCCTCCACGGGCAGGTCCACGAGTCTCGGGGACGAGATGCTGCTGGGGTTGGCGGCGTCCTCTCTGCTCTCGGTGTCCGCCGCCTCCACGTCAAAGGCGTCCGGCTCCTCCTCCTCTTCGTCATGGTCTTGTGTATGGGTGGGGGATCTGGACTCGTGGTTCGGTCGCTCGTCCGTGGTCGTGAGCGCCGAGACAGCGGCTGCAATGGCGTTGGAGATACCGGTATTGTTGGTGGCGCCATTGTTGCGCGGCTGCTGCTGCTCCCAGTGGCGCTTCTCGCAGCGCCGGATGTGCTGGTAGAGCACGACGCTCACACGTCGCAGGAAGTCGTCGTAGTTGGGCTGCGCGATGGACGAGACGGAGCTGGGCGGCGCCAGGCTCGTGCTGCCCACGACGCGGTCGTCCGGCTTGCGGTAGCGCAGCGAGCTCGTCTCGCTCAGCCGCGGCGTGAAGACCGTGTGCGTGGGCTGGAAGGCCGCCTGGAAGCGCACGCGCTTGCCGCCCTCGGCGTCGAGGCGCCCCACGCCCGGCGGCGTCTCGTCCTCCACGGAGCTCGGCAGCAGCGGCGAGAGCGACACACTGAGCGCGGCCTCCGTCATGCGGCTGGAGCTGCGAGTGTCCACCACCATGTACAGTCGCTGCTTGGGGGCAAATGGCCGACTGACTGACTCAGATACCGACCGGCAGATCTTGGTGGAGGGCCGGCCACTCGAAATTCGAACGCATACGTATTTATGCAGGTGGTCGCGTGGAGTGGACCACACCTTCAACGTGACCATACAAAAAGAAAGGTAAGAAGGTGGAAGGTGATTTCCTGACAGGGTGACAGACAGGGTGAGGGTGAAAGGGATATAGAAAATGACAGGTTTTGTAGAAAATTCTGTTAAAAAAACATTGTTTTTTTTGTTATGAATGTGCATTGGGAGAGCGGCATGTATTCTTCTCTGATGGCTCCGTATTCTTTTGGCTCAGTTGGTGCCACCAACTTGGTGGGCGCTGGCTGGGCGCTGGGCATGTCTCGTTTCCCTCGTCGCCAGTCCGGTGCGAGTGCAACCAGTCCCACTTTCCCTCGTCGAAACATCGAGCGAGATTCTGGTGCGTGCAATGGCTGGCATGGCTGCCGTGCTGCTGTATAACTCGACCAAGTTGTGTTCAAGGACTTCCGGGTCAGTTTTGTGGGCAGCCTTGTGACTGTACTGTGAAGATCCGATTATCTTACAGTTAAGTGGGAAATCCAAAGTCTTTAAACGCAATACAGTCATTTGTCTCAATAATAATAATAGAGGCTTTCAGAAGCACGGTATTTCTAAAAATACGTAGTGAAAAACACGTAGCGCTGATACGTGTTTTTGACTACGGGTTTTCCGTATCCTCGGCTCAACAAATTTTAGCTTTGAGCGCCGTCATTCGGCGAACACGTCGGCAGCGCCTACGCCCACGCGCCATCGCTGGGCCAACGTAGATGTACAGTTTAGTGAAGTAAAGTAAAATTTGTTCCGTTTTTTTAATTAATGTCTTCTTACTGTTGGCCATGTTTATTTCGTGCCTTCGATGAATCTGTTGGTGTTGCATCCACCATGAACACGTGTCTCGGTTGTCTGCAGCGTCTTCATATTTACCTGCGTTGGGTGTTGTAAGTTTCAATTTGTAAAGTTTTTTGTGGGTCCATGATGGTTTGGTCTACTCGCTTTCTGGCGTATGAGTTGGCACCGGAATAGGTAGCAACGAAATCGACGCCTCACCAAGTTCAAGAAATGGATGTGGTCTCTTCAAACTCCACGTAGGTTTGGAAGGCGCTGCTCGCCCCTTGCCTTGATTTAGGGCGGCGGAGGAGCCTACCGGCCGCCCACGCTGGTCCTTGGATGACAGTGGGCAGATAGGGTCTTGCCAGGCCGATAGCAGCAAATAACGGAGTACACACACAAGCTAAGGTCGCCAACGAGGAGCACTCGGCCTCTAACAGACGGCACATGCGCCCACGACCAACTATTTGTCATCCAGGCCCCCCCACCCACCCTAACGAAGAAGCTTAGGCATGCTGCTTCCTTACGTATATTTCGGTATGATTACCCCGTAGCGGACCCCCCTCTCACGGGTTTACGGGATCGAAAAGCACGTAGCGTCGCCCGTGCCAAAAATAGATCGGATCTCGACGTGTTTTTCGCTACGGGTTTTGCCAAAAACACGTGCTTCCTTATTAGAGGCTTTCAATAGCCCAGCCATGACAAATAGTAACCCGCTGAAACAGGTAGACTTACTTATTGCACAAACCCAGCGAATCCCACTGTTATATAACCCTTTGTTATGCAATTACCTTAGAGATTGTATATCAAGCCTGATTGCGCTATTGAGTCAAATTGCTGTACACGTAGGAACAACAACTTCTGATCACGTGTTTGAGACCACTTCGCTTTATTTTCTTACATGTTCTCTGAAATTTATTTTCAGAGCTAAGGGACGATCGGATTCCCGGTCTGAATTTGGATTTTCTCCATTTCCCGCAATACTCGGTTCAGGAAGCGTGATCAGAATAAACAGGTTTTAATACAAGTCAAAGCTAATATGCGTAACTTTATGATCTGTTTCTTTTAATAGCCTTTATAGACTTATAAATTACGTGCATGTTACCTGTGTCGTCGTCCCAGCAATATGCAAATAGCTTACAACTGCATTATGCGTAAGATATTTGAGATCATGTTGACCGAAGCTGCCTAGTGAGTTATTATACACGAGTTCAAAGGCTGGCTTCTACTGTGCGCAATAACTTGATGGTGATGTGGCAGAGGCCTCCAATGCCGGTACGATTATCGGTCTTGATCTTCTCGGGGTTCAACGAGTGAGCTGAACACTGCCACATCCCATCCAGCAGCAGAGCCGTCTCGTTCGACGCTTCCTAGAGCGCGGTGACTTACAGATCGGCCTCTCGAAGCAGTGGTGTTTCTAGTGAGGCAAGGTCGAAGTGGGGACTCATCGAGGGATAAGGTTGGAGCAGTCTCCGACACACGTTTGCGTGCGCTCACTGAATCGATAGGGAGGTGCCAGTACTAATTCATGCGGTCGTGTAGCTTAGACCCGGTTCACGTATCAAACTAAGTGGCATTCTATTACTACTTGCTTTTCACTTGTGATGCTGCTCTTTTTTACGTTTAGTTAAGCCTGTCTCGGCGTTGCATGGTATAGCTATCGTCTTTGGCTCCCCAGCTTCGGATCATGTGACAACTTAATTAAACTGCTGTACTGTGCCGTATGTGATGAACAGCGATTGGGGCGCCATTGGAAGATCAGAGGAAGCCGGTTATTCCGAAGCAAAGGGTCAACATTTCATTTATCACACGACCTATCAACTTTAAGTCCTTCTTCTTTGGATTCAAAGACTTGATTACTACATCTTCAAAGAGCACTCTAGGAGGAATCTCGACACAAACATAATTATTAAAATATGGCGTGCAGGCAGAAGTGTTGACAAAGAAGCTTGTAACTTTGGACAACTACGCTGTTAAATTAGAGTAATCAAATCACATATACTGCAAATTAGAAGAAAAAAAAGCTGGGTGATCGTTACACACTTATGCCGAGGAAATAGGAAACTGGAGCTCGTCAGTGTCGCAAGATGCTATGGATGGAGCGGCATCGAATGGGCATTTTGAAGCCGTGAAATGGCTGCATGTCAATCGTCACGAAGGCTGCACATTTCGTGCGATTGATTCCGCAGCTGAGAATGGCTCCCTCGACATAGTCGAGTGGTTGCATTTTACGCGAAATGCACCATGCAGCACGGATGCGATGGATAATGCTGCCAACGCGGGATTCAGCGAAATCGTCCAATGGCTGCATACCTAGTATGATGCAAAGTATCAGCTCAGTAAAAAGAGACGAACTTCTGAGTCATATAAAATATCTTGAGGATAGACGGCGAGCGTTGACATCAAGGAGTCGACTACCTGACCCGCCAGAAGAATCTCGATCTGTCACAGACCTATTATCCTCGATTGGAACGGGACTACGGGCGTATTTCGGCTCCAACGAAGAACGAAGACAAGCTCGTACACGTGTTATGTCCATGCAGCTAGCTCTTGGCCAACCGGCCATATTTTTTTACGATATCTCCCAGCTGCAGTTCAGCATACCGTGTGGCAAACTTGGCAGGAGATATGCCTGACCATTTACTGGAGGAAAACCAACACGTGATGCAGGAGTGCCTAAAATACACCACGGCAAAACTTGGTATGATTGCAACGAGTAATCCTGCTGCCTGCTCTCAATATTATAATTACGTTATGGAAATTGTCATTGACGTAATACTTAATTGGGACAGAGATAAACACTGTTCAAAACCAGGAGGAGGTCTTTTTGGTGTTACAGAGGCCTTTTACGCAGCGACAGAAACCCAAGGTTCAACTGGAAACCTGCATGGGTATATGTTGATACGGGTGGAAGGAATGCCTGCAACGGTAAAAGAATATTATCAATCATGCCAACTGGATGACGTGAAAAAGAGGCTCCTAGAGTATGTTGAATCAATTGCGAGCTCTAATTTCCCCGCCAATACCGAAGTATGCCCATCATGCCATGAAAGTAAACTTACACCGATGCCTCTTTCGATGGACGCGTTTCAACGTCCGCGGAAAAACCAAGAACGTCCAATTACAGCAAAGTGCACTGGTTGTCGACGAAACTTTGGAGAAAACGAAATAATCCGAGGGCAACTCACCGCATATGCCTTGGCAAACTCGTTGGATATTGAAGATTTCGGTGACACTGCGATAAAATATCATATCGCTAAACCTCAACCATTACCGCTACCAGATGACCATCGAGCAATTTCCAATTTATTGGTGAGTAGGGCACTAATCGAGTATCAAGCTCACCACTGGTACCATTGCCGGTCATGCTTTAAGTGCACCAGGCGTACACCAAAAGGAAATGTTTGCAGAATGTTTTTCCCAAAGGAAACAAGTCAAAGTACGCATTGGACTGAACAAGATACTATGCAATTAACCGCACTTGTCAACATGTCATGCACACCTCCATCCACCGTCGAGTTGGTCAGAAGTCGTGCGGGGTGCGTCTTCTCAGCAGCAGATCCTCCTTTAGAAGGCTTGCAAACAGCGGGACCGTGGCTTGAGTCGTAAAAAAAGAAAATGCTGGCTAGCTACGCCGTGCTAATAATCAGATTAGCCAAGGCTCAAATTGCATGGTCTCGCAGCTCAGCTGTTCCAGTTCCAAGTAGTTCCAAAAGATCGGGGATGGCTCCTGCGCTAGGGATTGCAGTTCTGTTGGCATCATTATCAAACGCAAGGTTGCCCAGTGTCCAAATTGAATAAAAACGCTAAGTGCCAGCTCCCGCGCGAAGAAATTTAGTGCATTTGTAGGGACTTTCGTGCACTGCACTAAACAGGTCTACCACGGAGTCAGCTGCGGTGGAACCAAGGTGACATCGGCACCCACTAAACTGTTTTACGAGCCACTTTGAGGGTTGCGTTGTGGAGCACCAGTCGCATCGTCGTGTGGCGCTCCCCAACTGTACCGACCATGTTAGACAACCGTTTTAGTGCAGCGTGACAACTCCTTCTGCACCCTGTCGACACTAGCGCCTGTCCTCCCTGGCGTAAGGGTTGACTTCATCTGAGTTTCGTTCTGGGTTCGTTTGAACCCTTGCTTTGGGTACACACGGTGCCTTCAAGGAGCTACATGAGTAGTCTAGCTGCTAGAAGATGCCAGGAGTAACTTCATTCAATCAATCAGTTCTCAATTCGACTCACAGGACTCAAGCGGCTTGGCAAGCGTATTATCCTATGTGGAGTACCAATCGTCACTGCTTTACTTTGTGTTATACTTTGCTTAGTGCAAAGTGTGGTGAGATTTGCCCTCCTGCGCAATTACGAAAAATAGTAGAATCAGTAGCCGAATGGTCATTCTGTATTCATTCGTTTCATTTCATCCCCCCCCACCTCACCCGTCTGCTTACTTCGATTCAGTATCGGATTTGGCCATCGATGCCATTGCCATCGACTTGGCCTTCGACTTGGCAGCAGCTTTTGCTTTTCAGTCCCTACAACTTTGTGGTGTAGTACCCCGCAGAAGAAGTGGGCGCACCGGGCGCCGGAGGAAGAAGGCGCCAGGGCACGAGTGATGGACCTCGACGCGGCTGATGGAACGCTACGCGGATGGATGGGCGCGACGCAGGGCCAAGCTCGACGGGAAAGTCGGCGTGGGTGATGGACCGTGAGACACGGTGCCAGAATCCAGTGCGACGCGTAATCATCCGACGGGTCGACCAGCGCGCCCGGTTCTGCAAAACGCGCCGACCCTAAACCCCGCCGAGCAAAACGTGCCCTAACCCCCGCCAACCAAAACGCGCCGAGGTAAGATCTTGATTGCGCCACGTAAGCAGGTTGAAGCACGGTAGTGCAAGCACGACAGAAGTAAGGATAGGCGCAGAACGGTAGGCTTAGCAAGCAGTAGTACAGAGTAGCCAGTAGCAAGGACATAGGATAGGGTAAGGACTTAGTCCCGAAATTTCTCTGAACCACAAAGACCTCCCGTCTTCTCCGAGGATCCAGGGGAACCACCAAGCGCCGGCAAGTAGAGCCGCCTCGATATCGTGGCCCCCCGTCGTTTGCTGGTTCGGGTGCTCACCCCCACAGACCCGTGCTGGAACAAAGGCACGTAAAACGTATACCGTTTAGGTGGGCGCCCGATAACGCGCTGCCTAGGCGAAAGACCGCACCGGCCTGATAACCGCCGTGCACAAGACCCCCCCCGTGTAGGCCCGATAACGCCACACAAGAAACGCCGGCCTGATAACGCCGCACGCCCGACGGGAACGCCGAGAAAACGCCGGCCCGATAACGCCGCACGCCCAAGGCTCGACGCCCTACGACAAGGAACAAGCGTCAACACAACCCCCCCCCCCCCAACTCCGAAGCCTGCGAAGACTTGGGCCTGTATTTCGAAGATACGCTACTCCAACCACCGGGAATAATTTGCTCGGCGCGACCGCTATCCAGACGCGCCAAGTTTGTGCGAGATCGCATTCGCGAGATTTCTGCGAGGGCGTTACTCCACAACTTGATGGCGGCTCCATGCCCTTCATTGCGTACCAGTACGGTGAAAATTCGTATTCCGTTTTGCAGATGCTGCAGTGGCGTTTGCCTTTTTGCTCGATTCTAACCACACATGGCTCACAGTAGACTTCACGCCCCTTTCGATGCGCTTCAATAAAGGCGCTGTGTAGCACAGTGATGATACTGGCACACAATGGACAACTGCAGGTCATGGACTTGTTCACCACCTTGTTCATAGCTTTTGGTTTTGCCTCGTCACAGCTGGCGGCCACGTCCGAAGCACCGACAACCTTTGAACCCGACTCCGTGCGCTTAGCAGGGAGAAGCTGAAGGGCACTGCACACCGCATTGCACTCGTGAGTGACAAAGAAAGCTGCCATTCCGGCGTCTGATAGATTACCACATCCAAACATTTCCTTTTGCTTTGAGTGTATCTGCGGATCCGTGAAAATGCAGCCCACCCCTTGAAGATCCACGACCATCAGCTGTCCATACGTCTTCTGCCACGTGAAATGGCTGAAAGCTTGGGCAGTCTCCGACAGATTCAATCCTTCATCACTAGTCCACCCGTTGCTATTGTTGTACTTTTTGTAGTCCCCATCGATGTACGGCTCAGCAGTAAACATCGCCATCGAAGCGGTCAAACCAGCGCGAAGTGGATCTTTGATCTCGTACCAGCACGTAAATATGAAGTCCACTGCATCCTCAACGTCTTCCGACAGCGAGAACTCGGTTGCTAGATGCTTAGCTACGATCTGCATTTCCACATCGTTTTGCAGGGATCGGGCGGACGTCCCAGCAATGCTAGCGGTCTTTCCAAAGTACACCTTCGCTACCAATTTTTTCTCCATGTTGCAGTCGTACATGGTGTGTCCGGTTCGCATTGCGCCCTTTGCGAAGCAAGTGCGAAGCACTCGGATCTTGGTTTCCTGCTGGGTGTGCTTTAAGTCCAGCTTCTTCCAGTCAACACGCTCGTTGGGCCTGAAATGAAGCGAGTGGCGCACGGCAGCAATTTCGGGCGAGTGGTTGACTTCACTCCAATCAATTGGCTTCATATCGGGGAAATAATAGTCGCTTTCGTTGGGAAGGGAAGCACGTCTTCTTCGTCTTCCTCGTCTTCCACCTTGAAGAGATTAGTTGTTCGTTTTCCAGTGGGTCCATAATGATGATAGCTCGACACACCGAGGGCGATCTTGGAGCTTGCGATGAGACTCCTCCCCTTGCTAGCGGAGAGCGACGAGCTGGCAGATGATCGAACAACACTTGCAAAGCGCACGACGTCGCCTGAAGTGGCCAGCGTGACCTTCCTAAATTCACGGTCAAATCCATCGCTGGTTCTCGTAGCGTAGAATTCTTCCTGTAGAATCGCCACCATCTTGGCCGTGAATGATGGCTGGATCTCAATGAAGGTGAAACCAATGCCGCGTTTCGCTCGATCTCGCATCTGAGCACAAATATCTGGACTCTGTTCAATCTGGTGTCGATAAGTCATATCATCAGTCGTGTCATGAAACCTGCTACAATGGCATGGTGCATCAGCCACGAGAACAAGACGCTTGGCTTCCGCTTGACCGAACATCTCCATCGCAGCAGCAAGCCCACCGGGAATGTCCTCAGGGCCATCACCACCACCAAAAGCTCCAAGCCCTGAAATAGATGTGCGCACTGCGGCCACGTTCGCTGACAACTCGTGGGTCTGTAGGCGTTTGTTGCCGTCGCAAAAGTCACGATATGTCACAAAAACCAACTCGAACATCAGCGTTGGGGTTGTCGGCATTCACACCATCGATGATCGAGATAATTGAAGACTTAGCCTGCTCGATCCATGGGCTCATCGATCCGGTACAATCCATGACGATCACGAGCTCCAGGGTATTCGCCATTGCGTACTTGTGCCGCATCTCTTTCTCGACCTTGGCGACCTTTTTCGTCATTTCACTGCGAATCTTGCTAAATCGCTGCGCATCCTTCAGCTCACGCTCCTTTGCTGCCAGCTCCCGGTCTTTAGCCGCCAATTTTTCGCGAAGAAGCTTGGTATCATCGTCGTGGGTAAACCTTAACCTATCGCCATACGCACACCAAGCGTTCCCTTGGTAAAAAGAGCACACCTTTTTCTTCTCCGACTGCTGCTCCAGTTGCTTCCGAAGTTTGGCGATTTCAGCTTGCGCAGCATCCGCCCGAATTGAACTCGCAGATTTCCGACGTGGCGAGCTTCTTCCCTTTTTTCTCGATGTTGGACTGGCCCCAGATCCGCCTTGAAGTTGTTTCCGTAAGGCAGCTTCCGCCAAATCGGCTCAAATAGAGCTTGCCGATTTCGGTCGTGCGGAACTTGTATCCGTCTCCGTGCCAGAATCTGGAGCGACTTTTACCGCCAGAACTTGCTCCCGCAGTCTTGCCACTTCTTGGTCAGCAGGAGTGGGGCTAGCGGTTACAACACTAGGAGATCTGTCTGCAGCATCCCTAGCGCGTAGTTGCGCGCGCAATCTGGCAATCTCTGCTTCTGCTTCCGCTGCTCGGACAGAGCTTGCCGACGGAATCCTCGGAGCTGCACTTGCCGCTTCCATCGCGCGCATTTGTTCGCGCAACCTGGCAATCTCTTCGTTTGCTTCCGCCGCGCGTATAGCGCTTGGGGAGTGCTTCGACGAGGAAGACGACATTTATGGGTAAGTCCTTAACCCCCCAGCGCGAGAAGCTGTATCAGACACGGTTAGACAAAAAGCTTAACACCTTGTCTCCGAACGGTACTCGCCTCAGACGCGTAAGTGTATGTCGTAAGTTACGACTTTCAGATTCACTTGATATTTGTATGGACCATGTGTTTCTCATCGGGATAGGTGTATAAATTGTCATCAGGTTTTCTCGCCAATGTTGTGAGTGATACGACATAGACATAGAGCAATCGCCGCTCAATGTCGTAACAGACCCCACTTGCTGTCAACAGATGGCTGAGGAGGTGCACTGTTCTGCAGCCCTGATCATAAATCACATGAAGGAAGGTACAGTGGCTCAACAAACTTTTATTCAACCACACGAAACTGACCACTGACTAACTGAAACGCAACCTACACGCTCACTGTCATTGCTGTCCTTGTCCACCATCGCTTCCTTCTTCGCGGGGAAGCTGCAGTTCCCACCGTGTCCTCTTGAGCTTGCCTGCGTTCTTGTCGGGCGTGCGCTACACGGCGCGCTTCCCCAAGTCTAGCCGGTCACCCTGAGCTGCCGCCAAAAGTGTCTAAAGTCAATTTCGTGTGCTGGGTGAAGGTCCTTCACTTATCCTTCACTGAAGGATATCTGTCTGGTCCAACTCCGGACGTACTGTCCGGACTCTGGACCAAACTGTCCAGGCTCTGGATCAAACTGGAATCTTTTACCCACCTGAAGCCATCCTCTGACCCGGTTCTGTGAACTTGTCGCAGAGACCTCTCGCACCTTATAGGTTGCGGTTGCTTGAAATAAACTTGATTAAAGTATGACAAAATCGTGTCTATACGTTTTTCTAGTATAACGCGCTCAATGTCGTAACTTACGACATAAAAAAACAGACATGTCGTAACTTACGACGTTCGGAGACAAGGTGTTAAGTTGTATTATACACGTTAAGGATTTTTCCACCTATTTTTGAATGGGGGCATACAAACTTGAAGTCAATTGAGGGTAGGTTTGTGTCCCATCCTTTCCCGATCAGTCTGCAGAGCCGTGCGTATTACTTGATCTTCGTATTTCCTAAAAATAAGGTGCTAGAGGTGTTCGTCAAATCAGTATTAGGGATTACAGGCGTTTTCGTACGCCACTCGTTTCGAGCTCACTTTAGGAAATTCGCCGCGGCCGCACAGACCTCATCCGGCCATCTTCCCCGTGTCGATACCAGCTTTCAAGGCCAAATGGGCACCCAGGAACCCCGCGGAAGTCGCCTTCGTCTCAAACAACCGAAGCCCACGAGGCACACCGCGAGCGTGTGGATGCCATTGCTGGATCCTAAGAAAGTCTGTAAGGTGCGTTGTTGATGTACTGTTAACGTTTGTTCAGGTTTCTAGAGATGTACGAACTAACTTGTATGGTTTGATAGCAGCGAAGATGAAGAAGGGACCGTATGCGGGCCGACGAAAGCACCACAGACGTGGATCCGATGCAAGGTTACATTCGTCTAGCTTGTATTGTACATGGTATGATTCTAACGTTATCGTGTATGTACCGAATGCTTAGATTATGCAGGTCCAGCGTGCCTCGCGATTGATGCCCCGGTGCTTCGTCCAGAGCAAATAGACGGCTGTGTAGATTGACCAAGCCCTGGAATCGAGTATCGCCGTCGAAGTCAGGCCATCGGGTACAATCTGCTACGATGCAGATGCGCTTTCAGATATTCTGACGTTGTGTGTGTGTGTTGAGGAATCGTTTAGGTTCTGATCATGGAGGAGCCACAAGACAGACCCGCAAATACATCAAGGAACCGCGAATGGCTCGGAAACGGAGCGACAGGGTTCGTTTAACGTGTACATACACGATACGGATGTGCTTTACTAACTACTATCATGTATGGTACAGGGGTGTCCAGTTTTCTGTTTGCTGGTGGGCTCATCTCGTTCTAGAATGAATGTGGGGTACGTCTCGCCTCCTACACGGACCACCAAGCAGCATGGCAGAAGCTACTCAAGTCAAGGGACGACTCCCAAGGTTCACGAAGCGGCATCCTCACGGTAACAGCGACAGAAGGACCACGAATTCATATGCAGTTAGATAAAACCTTGCTGATAATATACAAGTGGCATTTCCGGATGAAAATATGATGATGTTTCTAAAGGGTATATTTGTCGCTACTATGAGCGGTGTGTCACCACGGGCTGAGCATGGAAGCTTTCTTCATGCACATGCGACGTTGAAGGCTCCCATCTACCCTAGTCGTACATTGATAATCGACAAAGCTGCTTTCAATAGTACGTGGAAGTGTTCAAACTCCGTTTGTCTCGCTATCGCTAAGTTCTGGTATCGTGTCTCATACAATATACTATAGATTCAATCGTGTATAATACACGATATAGTCGTTTCATCAAAAACATATTGGAAGCGATCAGCGCTAAGTCCTTCGCACATTTGATGCCAGTAGTAATGGATTACGGTCGCGAGTGACAACACCCCTGAGCAAGTATGATAGGCGCTTAGGTACGTAGTTACAACAAGAGAGCATTTGGTTGGTGATGTATGTACGCTAAAGCTTCAAGCGATGTAGTCATCCTTTGTAACGAGGAAGCAGCATCGATGAGATGCAACGACGGGAGGAAGGCACCGTGACCCTCGCGGAATAACATAGGCGAAGGCTCGCGAACGAATCAGTGCAGGCGGTGGCTGGTAGCTACCGCGGTTCGGACCCTAACGCATTCGACGGAAGCGTCGCGTAGCAACGCAAGCGCGTACGATGAAACGCAATATAATCTGTGCTGCAGCTCTTCCGACTCTTTTATTGACTTGATTTCAATATATGTTCGCCATGCTAGCCACCATCTGACTTGTGTCTCTAAATTTCGACAAAAAAGTTATCTCACGACTGCCCTGTTTTTGCACGGTATGGACACGTTAGGCCCAGTAAGCTGTATCGAGTAGGCATGTTAAAAAACTTGATACACGTTAGACTAGAGATGCCAAGTCAGGGCTAGGGGCATGGACTGGCTTTGGTAGATACACGATTGGATTAGTATGGACTAAACTATAGGTGCCCAGCACGGGATAAAACAATAACATGTATAGGGTTTCGGTAAATAGGCGCATCCAGAACCTCTCGCGCTGGGGGGGTTAAATCGGTGGTTGGTGCTTCCTTGAAAAATGAGGAATGCGAAGTTTTGCCTGATGCCGAAAAACCAACGCGTGTCCGTTGGAAACCAATACGACGTGAGCCTTTTAACCGCACTAGCCCACCTCGTAAATAAAGCGGAAAAAGTCGTACTAAGTATACGTTTACTTGATATTATGCGGGCGAGGCTTGGCAGTCGAGTGTTGGTTAGGAAGGAAATCCGAAAGTGAATTAGAATGAGTTAGGCCAAGCTAACTATCATATCCTAGTCTCCGATACTTAAACATGAATCGTACCAACGCACACCTCCTACTTCCAAGTTTTATAGGCTGGAGATCAAAATGTAAATGTTGCAGATCGTATCCAGAAAGGCAACTTCAACTTGCCTTTCTCTCAGCCAATCAGAAGTGTCAAATCTTGGGGCTCCGCCAATCCGATCCCAGTATTCCACCACGTGTACCACAATTGCATACTATCGGCAACAACTTCACAGCAAGCACGTGCCTCGATACGGAGACACACAACTAGACTGCGAAGTGTACAATCGCAACACCCCCATTCAATTCGCAGTCTACCCGAGCATCTCAGTGATGTTACTGCGCTCGAGCAGATAGCGTAGATTCTTCTTCGGGCGTCCCTTGGTCAGGAAATCAGCGAGCTGGTTCTTGGACTGAACGTAGTCGAGCTCCACAACACCACTCGTGATCTTCTCGCGGATGAAGTGACAATGGATGTCGATGTGCTTGGTGCGAGCTTGGTAGCCGACATTCTTCCCCACATCATGACACCTTGGTCGGCCTCGTAGATCACCGTAGGTCCAGCCTGCTCCGCACCCAAATGCTTGAGCAGAAGTCGCATCCACACCACTCTCTTCACACATTCGCTGAGAGCCATGTACTCCGCCTCAGTCGAGCTCAGTGCGACCGTCTTCTGAAACGTCGAGCGCCAAACCACGGGAGCACCACACATCATCAGCATCATTCCGCTTACAGAGCGTCTGTCGTCGTGGTTGCCAGCCCAGTCGGCGTCCGAATACGCGACGAGCTCCGTGCCAAGCAATCCATCGTAAACGATTTCGAGATTCTTGGTCTTCAACAGGTACCGTACCACGCGGATACCAGCATCCCAGTGCTTCTCACCGGGGTTCTCGGGTCAAGTGGAGTCAGACACGACTTCGCATTCTCCTGGCCGAACTTCTTGATGATTGACGCGGTGTACGCCCGCTGGCAGATGCCCAGCGTCTTGGCCTCTATGTCGTAGTCGATCTCGATGCCAAGGATGAATCGAGCGCGTCCGAGGTCCTTGATGCGAAACTTGTCCGGGATGCCTGCCTTCACCGAGTCAATGATGGCCCGCTGGCGAGATGCAATCTGCATGTCATCGACGTAGAGACACACAACACACTCGTCGTCGCCAGCACCTCTCGTGTAGGCACACGGGTCGGCATCGGCAGCTCGAAATCCCATGCTCTTGAGATGCGCGTCGATCGTCCCGTTCCATACGCGAGACACTTGCTTGAGTCCATACAAACTCTGCAGTAGCCGGCAGACGATGTCATCTTCACCTTGAGCTTCAGCCAAATCCAGGAGTTCTCGAAGTCCTTCAGGCAACACCATGTAGATCTTGTTGAAAAAAAGATCTGTAGGATCTGCAGATTCTACAATCAGGCGAGAGCGCCGACCGAGGTAGCTGTAGCTTTCTAACCTCACTCTCCATTTTGCGTATCAAGACACAGACGGCCAGTTCTAACTTCACCTTCTAACAGGTTTTGAGCCCAAATGGACGCAGCCTCTGAAGCCGCGAGCTCGGGCAGAAGACGCCCGTGCCGGCGCCTAACGTCGCTCAAGCCAAGATCGGGATGGACGACGGCGATGAATTGGAGAGCCACGCTGCAGCTCGCGAAAGGGGCAGCGGTGTCGCTCCCGACGCCAAGAACGCTGGCGGTGGGGGGCAAGGGTGGCGGGCAAGACATGGAGATAATGGCGCAGCTGCGCGCCATGGCCACGCGGATGGATAAGCTGTAGGAGTCGAACGCCAAGCTGGAAAAGACGCTGGTGGCGAAGAAGAACGATTTGAGGGTCGACACGTTCATGACTCCCCCCGCAAGCCCGTTCGCCTCACGCATGGGGATGGACGCGCGCATGCACATCGACTCACTGGCGGGATCGCCAAGGCCACCGCCGATGATGACGCCGCCGCGAAGAGTGGAGCCGGTTCACCAGTACTTTACAGCACAACAGCAAGATCACGAGGTGCCACTTTCCCGGCTGCAGCACCTCTACGCTGCGCAGCAAGCACAGCAAGCAGGAGCAGCCCATGGCGTACCTCCAGTTCACCCACCACGCCAAGGTCAAGCCGGTCATGGACAAGGCCAAGGCGGACATGGACAGGACGGCATCGGCTACCTCGACGCGCGCCAAAAGAAACTGGCCATCAGGCCTTCAACGCCAAGGAGCGCTACGTGGGGCTCGGATCCGGATTCCTGGAGTGTGACAAGCGCTTCGAGAGGCAGATACTGCTCGCGCAGCCAGCCTGCGGGTTCACGTGGACGGAGTTCGTCAAGATCGACTCGCTCGGGAATTACCTGACGGGGACAGCTGAGAGATACTACAACCGGCAGGTGGAGACGTGGTGGTACCAGATGCCGACGCTGCAGTACGTCATGGGAAAGATGCTTGAGACCTTTAAGACCAACGTAACGCCCGCGCAGGCGATGCAGCTGTTCACGGCTCCGAAGGACCCGAAGAGGACGTGGCCAGAGCACTACATGTATTTGGTGGCAGTGTCAGAGGCGACCGGTGGAGGCGCGGACTATTTGGTGCTGAACAACGTTGTGCAGTATGCCTCGGCGGACCTGTGGATGGTGCTCATGGCCAAGGTCGACAGCGCGCGTACGGACTACTTGGCACACGCTGAGGAACTCGTCCACTTTGCTCAAGCATGGGAGATCGAGGCGAAGAAGAAGAACCTCGGCCAGGAGCTCGTCGGGGCCGTTAGTGAGCGTGGAAGGAAGGAAAGTCGCCGGTGTCATAAGTGCGGACAGGTTGGACACTTGAGGGCTGCATGCCTGGATAAGGGAGAACGAGGCCAGCCAGACCTCACAGTTGCAGTGAGTGATGCCTCCATTGAGCCTGGCAGAGATTGGATATTGGACAGTGGCTCCAGTCGCCACTTAGTGAACGACCAATCATGGCTCGAGGATTTAGTGCCGCACGTGGACTCGTGCACGCAGCCGAACGGAGACCCGCTCAACATCACGACGAAGGGCACGCTCACGTTGCGCGTCAAGGCGTGCGGAAAGGAGCAGACTCTGAAGCTCACGAACGTGTACTACGCGGCGAACTTAGCGCACAACTTGCTGTCTTACGGCACTCTGGACATGATGGGGTATACGCTGGCACACCGAGGTGGACAGCGTGTCTTAGCGGCCAAGGACGGAGGGCGAGTGGTGTTCGACGTCGACCTCCGGAAGAAGGTGCTGGCCGCCGGCCGAGGTCGTTATGGCTGCGCTGGAGGGAGAGGCTCACGGGGGCGACGAGGTGTCCCCGGACGTGTAGCAAGGAACGCTCGTGGAATTCCACAAGCGGCTGGGTCATTTGAACTACGACTCGGTGGAGCGGCTTGCACGGGGCCCGAGCGCTGGTATCGCGCTCACAGATCACAAGCGCGTGAACTGCCTGACTTGCGCAGGATGCAAACAGAGCAAAGGGAGGCAACCGCAGAAGGACAATGGTGCACACTCGCCCATAGACCGCATTGGTGGTGTGATATGCTCGGACCTGAAAGGGCCGATGACGCCTAGAGATCGGCTGGGAAACCGGTACTTGATCAACTTTGTTGATCACAAGAGCAACTACGTGAGGGTGTTCTAGGCGAGGACAAATGACCAGGCCTCAAAGAAGTTTGAACACTTCTTGGTGTTCTTCGAGAAGGAATTTGACTGTAAAATTCGCGGAGGATGGATTCGGGCGGGGAATACCAGAATGCAGACCTGTTCTGTAAGACCACTGGTGTTGCGAGGCAGCGGAGCGAAGCCAACAATCACGCCAGCAACGGGAAAGCAGAGCGCATGCATCGCACCGTGATGAACATGGCACGCTGTATGGTGTTTGCATGTGGGCTTCCTTTGAGCTTTTGGGGAGATGCAGTGCGGTACGCGGCCTATATACTCAATCGAGCCCCGACAAACGCAAACCCAGGACGTGCGTCGCCACTGAAGGTGCTGACGAAGCAGACACCTCAGCTCGGCAAGATAGTGGTCTTCGGGTCGCCGTGTACGGTCTACAGAGACCCCAGCAACAAGTACTTCTCGCAGAGGGACCAGCAAGGCATGATCATCGGCATCGGCGAGGAGGTAAAGGGATACAAAGTGTACTTGCCCAAGGACAAGAAGGTAATGACGTCGGAGCACGTGCGGAACATCGAAACCCTGAACAAGACACAGAACTTGCAAGTGCAGAGACTGTACCAGGACGAAGGCGAAGCTGAGGCTGAGGAGGAGTCTGGAGAACAGGGCAGCGGAGCTGTGGACCAAAGCAGCACTGGCAAGGAGAGCGGCACGAAAGGCCGCGGGAAGGGGCGCAAGAAGAGCTCCAGGAAGAAGAAATTTGGACGAGGGAGAAGCATGCGACTCGCTCAGTTGCGAGAGCTGCAGGATCTGAATCGGCCAAGGCCGAGCAGCAGGATAGGACTGCAGGAAATGTTGTGAATAACGTGCTGGAGCGCGACCCCAGGAACTATAACGAGGCCATGCGCAGCCGACTCAAAGCTGCCTGGTTAAAGGCCATCGTGAAGGAGATCATTGAGCTGGAGGCGAACGGAGTTTGGGAGGCGGTGCGATAGTCGAAGGGCGTGCGCGCCTTGCACTCGAAGTGGGTCTTCAAGACGAAGCTGGACGCAGAAGGGTTGATTGAGTGACTCAAGGCTCGACTTGTAGCCTGCGGCAACGAGCAGGAATTCGGCGTCAATTACATTCGCTGCTGTCATCGATATGACGAGCGTAAAGCTGATACTGGTACTTGCCAGGAAATGGGGCGTGCCCGCCAAGCACGGGGACGTGCCCGATGCCTACGTGAAGGCGGACAAGGAAGAAGAATTGCGGATTTACATCCGTGTGCCGCAAGTAATTAAGATCCCCGAGGAGATCTTGAAGGAACGCGTCGTGGAGACTGACGCTGAGGTAGTGCTAGAGCTCAAGAAGGCGCTGTACGGGCTGAAACAAGCCGGTCGACTCAGGAGCAAGCTGCTGCTCTTGAAGCTCGTGGAGATTGGCTTCCACCAGAGCCTCGTAGACATGTGCGTGTACAACAGATACAAAGCGGGGGTGCTAATTGTCGTGGGGGTCTACGTAGATGCCCTACTCGTGACGGGAACACAGCAGCATGCGGTGGATGTTTTCTTTGAAGAGCTGAAGTCGCTGGAGATCAAGGACTTGGGATGCGCTCGCTAGTTCCTTGGCATGAGGATCGGCGACAGCGATGAAAACGGGTACGACCTGGATCAGGAGGTAACCATCGATGTGTTGCTGCAGGCGTACGGGTTGGAAAAAGCGCATGCAGTGCGCGTACCTATTGCCGAAGACTGGAACGAAGCTCACGATGCGTCGACGGATCTGCTGCCCGTCGCCGGAGGAGTTGGGGATGTGACAGTGAAGGATTTCCAGTCTCTAGTCGGAGGTTTGCTCTGGATCAGTCGCTGCACCAGGCCGGACATTGCGTTTGCCGCTCACAAGGCGACGCGAAGGCCGCATGCACTAACAGTCTCAGATTGGAAGTTAGTTAAGCGCATCCTGCGCTATCTAGCTGGAACGAAGTCGCTGAAGCTGCGCATAAGAGGCGATGGTGGTGTGGACCAGCCGCTGCGCGTGGTTGGATACAGTGATGCAGACTATGCTGCTGACAAGGCCGACAGGAAGTCGACCACCGGAGGACTCGTAACTGTCGACGGTATGGCCATCAGCTGGGTCTGCAAAAAGTAGGACGGTGTCTCACTTTCCACGATGGAAGCTGAGTACACCGCCGCGTCCGTGGTGGCGCAGGAATTGCTTGGATTGCGGGGGCTTCTGGAGGAGATGAAGGTGATGCTGGATGTGCCGATGATGCTACGCGTGGACAATCAAGCCGCGCTGAAGCAGCTTGAAGGAGCGCAGACGTCAGGCAAGGCGAAGCACATTGACGTGCGTATCAAGTTTGTCGGGGACTACGTGCAGCGCGGCGTGCTGCAGGTCGAGTATTTGGAGACAAGGAAATGCCAGCTGACGTGCTGGCAAAGGCGGTGAGTGCGCCGAGAATGCTCGAGCTGCGGACTCGAGTCGGGCTACATTGAAGTTGTAGGAAACGCGCTGAAATCGTCGGCGAGGAGGAGTGTTAAAACGAAGATATGTAGGATCTGCAGATTCTACGATCAGGCGAGAGCGCCGACCAGTTCAGACGGAGGTAGTTGTAGCTTTCTAATCTCACTCTCCATTTTGCGTATCAAGACACAGACGGCCAGTTCTAACTTCACCTTCTAACAGATCTCCTCTCCGAGCTTTCCATACAAAAACGCGGTGTCGATGTCACATTGATCAAACTCCATTCCGTCGGCGCAACACTTCGCGAGTTTCGCACGGATAGAGTTCAGGTACACCACCGGCGAGTAGGTATCCTCGTAGTCGATCCCATGTCGCTGCGAGTAGCCCTTGGCAACGAGACGAGCCTTGTACCGAACGACTCTCCCCGTCTCATCGCGCTTTAACGCGAACACCCAGCGGCATCCAATCGCGTGCTGGTGTTGGCTTGGGCACCAACCTCAATGTCTTGTTCGCCATCAGCGACTTGAGTTCACTTGCGATCGTTGCCTTCTATTGGGCACGATCCTCACTCGTAATGGCCTCTTGGTACGACCTTGGCGCCTCTTCCGTTGCAGCCATCAGCATTCCTCCGTTGATGGCAAGCTGGTTGTCGTCCGACTTGGTGCGACCTTGGTCCACCTTCTGGCGCTTCGTCCTGATCTCGGATGGCGCAACGACTTGCTTCTTGTGAGCTCCGGGCTCCTCAGGATCGTTGGTCTCTTCAATATGACGAGCACGCGACCGAGTAATCATCGGATGGGTAGTGTACGGAACGATTGCTCCACCTGTCGTCACGTCATTCGGTGACATAGTCGGGCCGCCAACTTCAACTTCAGTCAAAACGTCGCGAACAGGCACCAGTGCAGGTACTCGTTCCGACCTTGGGTCCGTGGCAATCGGTTCTTCCTCGTCGTCGATCTCCAGGCGTGACATCAGGTGGTCAGGTTCAGTCGTCTCCATGAACTTCACACTGCGCACGATTTGCACCTTTCCCGTCGCCACGTTAAGAACGCGGTATCGCTACACAACATCTTCGTACCCCAGGAATCGTCACTTGAACGCCTTCGCATCCAGCTTCCGACGCTTCTCGTCGGCGATGTGAGCATACCCGAGTGCACCAAACAGCTTCATGTTCTTAAGTTGAGGCTTGGCTCGGTGCACGATCTCGTGGCGGTTACCGAATTCGGGATCCGATCCATGATCCACGCAGCCGTGTTGACGGATTCCGCCCACCACTTCTTGTCGATTCCTTCATGGCAGAGCATGCAGCGCGCCATCTCCACCAAGCTTCGGTTCATGCGCTCAGCCAGCCCATTCTGCTGAGGCGTGTACGGCACCGTCTTCTCATGCTTGATGCCACTGCGGTCGAGGCCGATGAGGGACGTGGACAAGTCGCGCAGGAGGTGTCGGACTTCGCGTTTACGGCTACGGGTGCAATGGCGAAGTCGGAGTGGCTTGTGGACTCGGTGACAGCTCGCACATGACCAGCGTCCGGGACAAGTTCGTGTCCACGAAGGAGCTGAAGACGCCGGTCCGCATCACGATCGCGGACGGCACGAAGATCGACGCAGTTGCAAAGGGCACCGTCGGATTGAAGTTGATGGACGGGACGTCTGTCACGTTGTCGGATGTTATGTACATCCCGGAAGTTGATGGGAGCCTCATCTCGGTGTCGAAGCTGGCCGAGAAGGACGTCGACGCTCAGTTCAGCAAGGATAAAGGTGTCTTCCGCTTTGGCGACGTGACGGTGATGGAGACCAAGCGCTGTGGAAATGTCTACAAGCTGAAGACAGTGGGGGACGAGATGTGTCGTGCGGCGACGACATCTCGTAAGGAGCCATGGGCCGTCGTGCACGCCCGTCTCGGCCACATCCCGTGCAAGTGCTACGAGCAGCTGTTGGGCGTGGCCGATGAGGTACGCAGGAGACGTGTCGACGGATAACGTGTGCGCTGGATGTTGCATGGGGAAGATACGCGCTGATGACTTCCCACGTCACCCTGACAACTTGGTCAAGAGCGCAAGTGTACTCGACTTGGTGCACACAGACGTCATGAGTCCGATGCAGACCAAGTCGCCTGGAGGCTGCACGTACGCAGTGACCTTCATCGATGACTACTCGAGACACGTGACGGTGTACTTCAAGAAGGCGAAATCGGAGGTGCTGTCGAAGTTCAAGATCCTCAAGGCAGAAATGGAGAACGCAACGGGCAAGACGATCAAGCGCCTGCGTTCGGACAATGGGGGCGAGTACACAGGCAAGGAGCTCAAGGCCTACTTCTTCTTGCGGCACTCTTGTTCCTTGTGCCCGAGCTTCTTGCAGTAGAAGCACTTCCCGGAGAACCCGCGCTTGCGGAACTCCTTCTTCGTTGCGAATGCCTTCTCCCGAATCGATGTCGAATCCTCCGAGACTTCAACAGCAGACAGAGCTTGAATCGCGTACGCCAACGTCATGTTCGGCGTGTTCTCGAGTAACGTACTGATCATCCGATACTCGTCCGTCAAACCGCCCTGCAGCAGCACGAGTTGGCGAGTCTCGTCCAGAGCTTCACCAATCGTCTCCATTTGTAGCACCAGTTCCTCGAACCGGTCCACATGCGTCGCGAACCGTGTCCCGGGCTCCATCTTGAAGTTGTGCAACTTCTTGGTCACGACGAGCCGATTCTTGATAGTGTTCCGGTTGAACTGCTCCTCAAACAGGCGCCACGATTCAGCAGCGGTTGTCGCTCCACGGATGTAGACTTGGTATGTGAGACTCACGTCCCCAGCGATCACACCATGGGCCTTCAGATCGTCGGTCTTCCATTGTACCGTTGAGCGGTCACTCAGCTGGTCGAACTCTGGCTTGACGATGTGAGCCAGCAGTCCCTTGCGCGACAGCTTCATCCGCAAGTTAAACTCCCAGTGGAAGTAGTTGTCTTCCACGAGCTTCACGGTGTCTGCGTAGCTTGGGCTCATCACCACTTGATATTATGCGGGCAAGGCTTGGTAGTCGAGTGTTGGTTAGGAAGGAAATCCGAAAGTGAATTAGAATGATTAGGCCAAACTAACTATCATATCCTAGTCTCCGATACTTAAACATGAATCGTACCAACGCACACCTTCTACTTCCAAGTTTTAGAGGCTTGGGATCAAAAAGTAGATGTTGCAGATCGTATCCAGAAAGGCAACTTCAACTTGCCTTTCTCTCAGCCAATCAGAAGTGTCAAATCTTGGGGCTCCGCCAATCCGATCCCAGTATTCCACCACGTGTACCACAATTGCATACTATCGGCAACAACTTCACAGCAAGCACGTGCCTCGATACGGAGACACACAACTAGACTGCGAAGTGTACAATCGCAACACGTCTATCAAGAGAAGTCGGCCGGAGGGCTGTTTCAACCCACCGCAAACTCCTTTGTGATCTTTAGAGAATGACCTTCGCTTCACATCGTCTCATCAACAACGTCCCGTTAAATGAAACTCCAAACCAGATACGGATCTTCATAAACGGAGGGAAAGTGGGCCGTTTACCTCGCGCTAGGTCGTTTTTGGTGAGATTTTTGGTGAGATTGGGTGAGGTGGTGTGGGGGGGGATACTAGACGTAGCACACGTTTTGCGTTTACCTTCTGACTTCCAGTATAAGACGCTGCAATGGTGTAGTTTAGCACCGGTGGGCAAATATCTGCGATTCCTTCACTACAAGCGGTGCATACCATGCATGTTGAGGGCGCAGAAGCATGGTGGTTAGCGCTGCATGTTCCCAGAATTTGTGCACTCCTACTTGTAACGACCATTTTCGGTTGATCCCAGAAACCAACCAACCGGTAAACGTCACAGCCCTCATGGGTGTTTCCTGCTAGTTGTCTTCCTGTTCATCATTTTTGAAACTTCCGAGTTTCCACCAAAACCCTCCCCACCTTCGCTGGCACCAGCTCAGCTCGCAATGCCCAAGATCGCTGATCTTGTCGTTCCCGAAGCCGGTCGCATCAGCGATGTCTTGCCCCGCGTCCGCTCGCTTTGTCGTGACGTGGAAGAGACCACGAGCGTGTGCGAACACCTCCATAGACGCCTAGTAGAGATATGCGACGAGCCCCTGAAGCGGGAGAAGAATGGAGACTTCCACCATCGCACGCTCTGGACAAGTTCGTCGCCGAAACCTCGCGGTTCTTCCGCTACATACACCGCTACCGATGCATAGGTATCGTCTACCGAGTGGTAGAGTACTGGACCATTGTGAACGACCTACTCCAGATCAATCAAGACGTGACGAAGGTGTTTGAGCTCTGCGGTATCAGCAGCAAAAGTTCCTGGAGAGACGAATGGGACGACGACGTGAGCTCGATGAAAGAGGTGATAGCCGCCACCGCTAGAGATAATGCCGCGGTTCTACGCGACATGCAGGACCCACGGGTCCAGAGAGAGGCTCTGTTGACACCGAAGTTCGAGATGGAGCAGCGAGCTGCGAGACACGACGAGAGGATCATCCTGTTGATGAAGTCGATCCAAGCGACCATCGCTCTCGCGTCCAAGACACCGGAGGCCCCCCTGCCACCATGTCCAGTGAAGTGGAGGTTGAACCCAAGCCATTCACCAGCGGATCCTATGGATCTGTACTGGGGCCCCGGCACAAAAGTGGTCGTAAAGCGCTTCCTCGTGAAGGACCAGGCGATCGACCAACGCGCGCAGCTCAAGATCGAAAAGGAGATGAACATTTGGTACCAGCTCAACCTCCTGAATGTCATCAAGATGTTCGGTGCGTCTCACGTGAGCTCGCCGCCGTTTATTGCGTATGAAGATGCAGTCAACGGAGACCTCGGGGTGTTTCTCATCCGGTTAACCCCTTGGTTCCCGACGTCGTAAGTTACGACTTTGCCGAATCTCAATGTCGTATAATACGACATAGCTCGATTAACAATAGCATTTGGCTCGAAACGAGATTGCTATACTTTAATCAAGTTTATTTTCGTCGGCAAAAGTATATGCAAGAGAGGTAAAAATCAGAAATGAACAAAAACACGGATATAGAGCTCTCATCAGAGATGGGTTGTGCATAAGCCGGGATTTGCGCGAGTGCCTACTTTCAAGCAAACACAACAGCGACCTTGAAGGGGAGAGTACGGCGTATGCGGCTGTCAAGAGCTCCCACGAACTCATAGAATAGCTTCTAAACGCCCATACACACAATAAACCAGTAAATGATAAAACCCATGGATGGAATGGCGCCTAAATAACTCTCCAAGGGCTATTGCTGCTATTTCCTCGAGTTTAGGTGCCGAATATACAGAGTAAGAATAACCGGAAGTAGACTATGTCTGCCGAGACTTCTAACACGAAGAAATATTTATTTGCAGCCTTATAACAACTGTACGGTGTAGCTGGTTTTGGCAGCGACAGTGTTGCAGTGTATTTCGCGCCACGTAAATGCCGGATTGGAAGCAAGGGCATGGAGTAGTGCGTAAATAACCTTGATCGTGCGTATATCCCACAATGACCTCTCCCAATAACTAAACTAAGATGACGAGAGTATCCTACTACTAACCAACTTAAGCACGACGTATACTTCGGCATCGCCGGGAACGACGGAGGTCTGGCTCGTACGCGTGTCATCAACTAGTCAATCCGACCATAACGCCTTATTTGTGCGTATAGAGATCCTCTTCGGCTGCTTTGACAGTCTCCGTGTACGAGGCGATTTCTATAGTACGCGAAGCCCGAGTGCCGCTACCGGTGCGGCCACCTCTAGAGCAGCATCAATATACCTGCTGCGACTTAGAATAACCGCGGTAGGCTCAAACTTTTTCTAGGAACGGTAAAACGAAGCAATTTCGGCATTGCTTCAGCGTTCCGGATTGATAAAAGCCGTCGGTGTAGGCCGTTGCCTCGGCAACAACACTCTATAGAAATGGGCGAGCTGTAGGGCAGATATCGTAAAGCTGACAAACAAAGCGAAGAAGTGAAGCTGCTTCTACGGTTATAGAACTGCTTTAGCACTGACATACAAAGTAAGTCAGCACTCCAAGTACACCTTTGTTGGTTGTAGCGATTACCCATTTTTCTTGAGTGGGATACGGTTCCCCATTACCTGACCTGTGCATAAGTGAGAGGGAAAATGCTCTGTTTGGCTATATATTGATGATTTGGTGATTACAACTTCGCAGTCATCTATCAATACCGCGAAATATGGATGTTTTGTGTAGTTCACCAATCAGGAAATGATAGTCAAAACAGTGGGCGGCGTATCTGTTGGACAATGGCTCGTGGTATCAAGCGCATCATAACGCCATAGCGAGCGCTGGAGTTCTTGACACTGTTGTTGCGTTACTGCGTACGGGGAACAATCGGCAGAAGGAGCATGCAATTTGCATCTTGGAGAACTTGCTGGTCAATGGTGAACGCAGACAGGCGGTATTAAATGCGGGAGCAATTCCTCCTGTTGTAGCGCTTCTCCATGAGGAAAACGAGATGGTAACGGATGGCGCGGTGCGTGTGCTGTCTTCATTGACCTCGAGTAGTAATGCGCGCTCTGCAACTGCACGGCGATTCCACCACGTGTCGAGCTCCTTTAAACTGGGAGCAACGAAACGAAAGCACAGGCTACATTTGTTTTAGGCAAACTCGACGTGTGAAGCCCCCAACACAAAAACGATATACTCAGCCGAGGGGCTAGCTTCGGACGAAGGAGTCATGAGCGCGAAAGCGGACGTTTGAGTCTGCGTTGCACAAACTTCGCGAAGACAATGGCCGCAGTACTAAACGAAGGCGCAATTCGTTACTGAAGGTCGTAAGTCGAGACGTGAACAAAGAAAACTAGCGGGCATTTGCATGTTTTTAGAGCTATTAGTTTCTTCGACCCTTCTACCTCCTCATTTACTGGCGCCATTGTTAATCACCGCGTGAACGAGGGGGGGCTCCACTACTGGCGATCATTTTCCTGTAAATTATTGAATTGGCTAGACGGTCTACTCTGTCGGTGCTGGTTCCCTCTGCATATAACGGGGCGGTGCCTTACTCAATGGTGGTCTTCACAGTAGAGTGTCTACTCCGGCAACAGTACTGTGGGACCAATGTTCTGGTGTTGGACGCTCACTTCACGTCCAATCTCCGCTTTAGCTGGCTCGTTAGTTTGGGCTAATTGGTATAGCAGCCTCGAAGCGTGTCCCGGTTGTTCACCTGACCCGGACCGAAGCTTGTCGACAAGAACTTCAACAATCCCAACGCATGCGATCACTTGCTTGATCGAGTCATTACTGCCAGAAGAGAGAAGACACAGAAAATAGACTAGTTCCTCCTCGTCTCGGTCGATTTCACAAGCTGGAAGAACTTGGCTAAAGCGCCACTGCTTACCACCCAGGTCACCACAGCAGCATCATTTCTACTCAGCCGTTTTAGTGCGCTCATACCTTCGAGCCTCTCATCCGAGTATGAATTGTTCGACCAGCATAGATATGAGATAAGCGACAAAGCGTTGCCATCCACAAGCGCTTTCTTCTGAACCTCGCTTCGAACATAAGACGGCAACATTTTCGCTCCAGACGCATTCGCTACTCCTGTTCCATTCCGAATTTTGTTGATGCAATATGTCATTATTCTCGTGAGTATCCCGTGTTGAATTCCCATGGGATCAGCAACAATTTGGTTCAACTCCTGCAATGCGTCCGAACATGTGACCCGCGTACTCAGCTGCTCAATGGCTCTGCTGTTGACCACCTCCTCCATTATCAAAGAACTCTGCTCCGCCAATTCAAGCAGCTTCCAGACTGTCAGGTAACCGCCATTCGTCCTGCCGATAAAGTCAACAAACGCTTGAACAACTCCACTCCTGACCATTGCTCGTAGGAATGCAAGGTTGTCGTCTGCAAGATACCCCAACCACCTACTTGGATCGGACACATCTTCCGCGAATCGAAGCTGTGTTACAACCGCCTGCACCGCTCCTCTATCCGCAACTGCTTGCTTGATCGAGTCTTTACCTTCTGCTAGGCATCTCAAAAGACGAACGTTGTTGTCAATCGATCTTCCAAGCTGGAGTTGATTTACGACGAGTGCAATCGCTTCACTGTTAACGATCGCATCCCTAACCATCCCGCCAATTTCGACCAACTGCATCAGACCAAGCGTAGGCGACAAAGATTGACTCACCGGACCAGAAGGCATAAAAGGCAACGAGCGCCAATTGATCAAGTCCAGATTTGTTTCATCACGAAGTTGATCGATAAAAAAATCGACAGCGCCTTCAGCCACAATGCGTGTTCTATAGAAATCATTGTTTTTTTGCAAACACACACAATCCCCTCAAGGCCGTTTCCCTCAGCTCTTCGTTATGCAACATCTCGGTGAGGTACCTGTTCACTCCACTATCCGCGACCTTTTTCTGGACGTCAATGTTGTCTTCCAGCAGTATTTGTAATGCTCGAAGGGGTCTAAGTCGGAGCGAAGTGGCTTCAGTTCTAAGAAGGACGATGAGATCCGAGACGGTCTTGCTGCTAGCGATAGCTTGCTTGACCATATCACTGTCATGTGCCAGACTCGACAACGTACACACTGCATCTGACTGCTCATCATCGTTTCCAGTCCAAACGATGTTTACAAGGTGGTCAATACCACCCCCGCTCACTATTGCCGCTTTATACTCGTCGCCAAGTACACCCAACAACTTCGTTGCATTTTGCCTTATGGTTGATTTGGTGGTAGACTTCAGCAGCGACACGAGATGAAGAATTACACCCGATAAGGCGAGAACAGACTTCGCATTTTCATTCTGTTGACAGAGGCAGCACAATATCTCCAATCCGTTGGCCATCTCGCTATCGGTAGCTTCTACTAGACACAGAACAAAGTGCATAGCGGTGGTATCATTTTCGATACTGCGATGGTAAATGTGGTTGTTTCGTCCAATCTCGCGCAGCAAGTCCACAGCATCGTAGATCCCCACACTTGGTACACGCGCAATAGCCGACCAATCGCACTGTTGGCCACCATCGCAAAACAAAAAGAGTCGTTGTTCCTTGCGAGTTGACGCAACGCTTTCAATGCGCCCACTTCCGGTCATTCGTCTGCGTATCAAGTTGATTCACATGGCCAGTAATGAGCCCGCTGTTCATCACCGACTGAGTGGCGGGTTCATTATTTTCAGCGAGGTGAGACAACAGTCCAGACCATTCGAAGATCAGATCGCTTTCGTCGTTCTGAATCCATTGTATGACTTGAGTGTTGACGCCGCAGTTCGCAACCATTTGCTGGATAGTCGGACTGCTTTTTGTGAGCTTTGTCAAAATTGACACTGCCTCCGAGTTGTTCACGTTTGTTGGAGACGATAGCTGTTGCACAAACTTCGTAAAAGCACCGGTGTTTGCAATCGCTTGGCCCACAGCTTCATTATGCTTTGCAAGTCCGCATAAAACCACCAAGGCATTTGATCGTTCTTGGCTTGACTCCGACGAAAGCTGCTTGACGATAACTCCACTATCCACGATAGCTTGCTGGATCCCATCGTTGTCTTCTGCCAGCATACAGAGCAACTTCACAGCGGTAGGTAAGACTGTCGTTGAATCGTTCTGAACTAATCCAATGAGCCGTCCGAGTGCACAACTGTCCAGATTAACGATTTCGCTTGGGTTGTCAAGTCGAGCTGGCTAAGACGCAAATGTGACTGCTGTAGTTGGAGAGTAGCACTCTCGCCTCTGCGATTCTCCCCAGCTTGAGCTTTACCGTCATGCTCGTCTTGAGCAAGCACTTCCAACTTCTCCAGTACGTGCTTCAGCGGAACCCGTTTTGATGGGTCGAAAGTAGTCATTGACACCACTAGCTCCCATACATCAGCATTAATCTCATCTGGCTTTTCCTGGATCTCCCCACTTATTAGATTCTCACGGACACTAGCATCGTCTAAGAACGCGAACGGCGGCTCGCCAATAGCTGCTTCGATCATGCACATCGCAAACGAGTACACGTCGAACGCAAACGTAGCCCGCTTTTTCAAGCACTCGGGCGCACGCCTCCTGACACCGACTCACTCGATGCAGTCTTCGACAATGTGGAGCACGTCCGCACCGAACTCAGACCGAAATCGGCGAGCATTGTGTGTCCATCAGCGCTCACCAAGATGTTGTTTAGCTTCAGATTGCTCCTTTTTTGTGGATATAATCCGGCCCGAGCGCCACCTGGTACAGCAATGGCCACATCTGGCGCTGGTTGCTGTCCGAGGGAGCTAGATACGTGCGCAGGTTCCCATTCGTCGCATCCTTGCACACAATAAAGGGAGGAGAGCTGATGTGGCAGGCACCAAATATCTTCGCGATGTTCGGATGGTTGAGTTGGTGCCAAATGTGTATCTCCTTATTAATTTTCCGCTGCGAACATTCATCCATCACCACGTCTGTCATGCCCAGCACCTCTGGTCTGCTTGAGCAAGCAAGCCAGAGCGATGTGGAGCAAAGGCTCGGGCTTGCTTGTACGTGGCCAGAGGCTTAACACGCATGTGATTGCTACCCGAGAGGGTCAGCAGTCACAGCGAACATGCATTTAGTCAAAAAGAAAAGAAATCAGAAACAGTGAACATGTATTTAGTAGGAAAGGCATGAAAGCAACACAAAGAGGTGAGGACAAACACATAGGTAAGAGACACAACAGAAATAAGCAAAGATCGCCCTGTGCTCATCTAGGAGCACAGCGAGGAATGCATGTTAGGCTAAGGATTCATTCGCAAGTACACCTCGTGTCCCGCACTTCGATCTCAACAACCAAGTATACACTTCCTCACCTGTCGACCAACACTCTTCACTTCAACCACCTTCACCCCGAAGCCGAACACGACAACGTCGTCCACCAGAAAGCACTTGACCACGACTTTCGTGCCGGGCCCCCACACACCGTGATGAACCGACCCAAATGACCCACGAGCGAACGGCGCCGTCTCGAATTTCACTTCATAGGATGGTAGGAACCACGGCGGAAGAAGTGCTTCTGTTACTTGAGCTGCATTGACGACTGTGGCTAAGGTCGACGTCATCATCCGTATGATATCCTCACCGTGTCGCTCTTGCTGCTCTTCCAGCTCATATCGCAGCGTCAACAGTGCTTCCACTTGGGCGCGGGGGGTCCTAGAGATCCCGAAGCACCACGGCATTATCCCTGGTTGTCGCAGCGAGGACTTCTTTGATCACAGCAACTCGTCGTCCCACAGATCTCTCCACGGCGTACTTGTAGCGACTCCGAGCGTCCCAAACAGCGCCGCTATAGTCTCGTTGACCTGAAGAAGCTCGGTCGTAATGGCCCAGTGCTCCACGATGCGGAACACCAACTTCTTCCCTGCATAGCGCTGCAGATAAGCCAAAAATGGTTGCCACAGTAGCCTTGAACTTGTCCAGTGCGTCTTGGGGTATTTGTTCTTATCCATTGTTTGAAGCTCGTTGAATATCTGCATCAGTCGACCGTGCAGGTGCTGGCACGCAGCTTTAGCTTTCCCCATCTTGTAGCACAGAGCTAAGATCGTTGACAGAACTTCCTCGACTGGATCAGCTCTAGCTAGGATGAGGCTCCGCACAGAAGCCATCGCAAAGGAGGACGCCGCCGTGGACTTGGGTGAATGCAGGGGGCAGTGAGGAGCAGGAGTACCGGGGGTGACTTGCAGCTTCGTGTACGTTTAAGGAAAGGGAGTCGTTTCTCTCTAAATATGCGAACCTAGCCTCGCAAGAGCGTTATATTACAAGCCTTCTGTAATATCACGCCAAGACCATCTTTAAAGATCGGTTAAACTTGAGAGATGAGCTGTTCTATGGAATGGATTCATGTTTGAAGAGAAATGAATGGAGCCACTCCATAGTCGACTGACGGAGATCCAGAAGAGCTCCACCATTAACGAGAGAGCGCGTCACGACCACCTTTGCTGCAGGCCCCACACTCCGTGGCGCAAAGATCCACAATTCACAATTTCACAAAGGTGCTTCGTGAGATGTCTACCGGGCAACCCAACTTTTTCTTTCATTTCGCAGTTAGGTACATAGATATCACTTAGTATTCTCCCCATGTACCGGGCAACTCAATCTACTTCCTCATCTACTTATTTGGTATATTTCGTCGATCTCCGATATAGTAGTATCGACTGTTCAAGATATGCAGTGCGGTCTCTGCCATTTCTCGATCAAGATGCTTTGACCTGGCCTTGAACTGTGCGATCAGCCCCAGTCCCCCAGCATAAGTCACTGCCATTCTGTTAGCTTCGTTTCTTTCGGAAAGAGCTCCCAGCGTCGACGCGGCTCTCGAGATCTGATCGTCGGTTCCGACTCCAAGAAGCTCAATGGACAGCTCGATACCGCCAGAAGCAGCAATTGCGTCCTGGATTGGTTGGTTCTTCTTCGCCAAAGTCCCTAACGCAGTCACCGCGTCTGACTTCTGCTCCTCTGTACCGGTGCGGACAAGATCCAGAAGGAGCTCAATCGCACCAGCTCGAGCTGTCGCTGTTTGTTTCCGTGGGTTACTCAAAGCGAGGTTACGTAGAGCCTTTGTCGCTGCTGCTTTCTGACCATTCGTTCCATTGGCAACGAGCTGTAAGTACAGCTCAATTCCCCCGGCTTGGTTGATTTCCCACTGACGTGAAGGTTTCCCCCATGCAATACGGCTCAACGATAAAAGCCCTTTCTCCTTCCGCTCATCCGTTCCATTATAGACAAATTGCATAAGAGTCGGGATGTCCATGGTTGTATCTGGTACAACAACCGACGATACACTTTGGGAAGACTGGCTAGCGGCTGTCGACGGAGGTGATGCATCACTGGCAGCACTTCTACGCTTATCTGACACAAGTGTACTAGTGCCAGCTTTGGAAGGTGCTTTTACGGTTTTCCTTGGTTGGTCCATTTCTTCAAACTCTTTCAACCGGCCAATCACGCTAGTGAGCGAAAGGCGTTTTGCAGGGTACGCATTCGTCATCGCAACCACCAACTCCCACTCGTTGTCGTTCAATTCCTCAGGCTGTTCCGGTATCAAACCATCTTTCAGGTTCTCACGGACAATGATGTCGTCCAAGAGAGCAAAAGGAGGCTCACCCATTGAGGCCTCGATGATGCACATTGCGAAGGAGTCGACATCGGAGGCGAAGGTCGGCCGTCTCGTTAGGCACTCAGGAGCGCTCCAACGCAGCGCACCTGTCACTAATTCACCTTTAGAGCGCGTGGAACAGGACCGCATAGTACTCAACCCAAAGTCTGCCAGCTTCGCCAAGCCATCCGCCCCCACAAGGATGTTGTTGAGCTTGAGATCGCCATGGACGACCCCCTTTTCGTGAATGTAGTCCCGCCCGAGAGCTGTTTGGTGCAGGAGACGCAACATCTCGCGCTTACTGCAGTTAACTCGGGATTAAGGCACCGAAACACGTAATCTACGGTACTGTATGTCGTAACTTACGACGAAAAAAGTAACTACGAGTTTGTATTGGCGCGCCCTGTCCGTAACAAGAGAAGTCCCATCAGACATATAAGATTGTAGAGATCTATGGGGGGAACTTACGGCTCTTGCTGCTGATACCGCAAAAAAACACCCCAATGCAAATCGTGTTTTTTATCATGGACATACTTTGGCCCAGACTGGCAGCTGGGCGGGGACGGAGGTCACCCACGCCAAATTCCCAAAGCTCCACGAGTGCTCTAGGAAATGGAACGGCCTGAAGGCTCCACGAAATATCATTAAGTGAAGTTGGGCTCGTTGGAAAGCCTAACGGCAAGGCTAGCTCTACGATGAGCCCAGACTTACCTATAGTTAAGGGGGCCTGTAACGGGGTTACACGAGAGTTACCCGAAGGGTTATGAAGTGGGTACACACTGTAGAACCTAAATCAGTAGGAGAATCAGTACATGGCTTCAGAGCCACTGATTATGCATATGACTAGGGTTCACTATGCTAGATAGTGAACCGGATACATTTACACCGTAGGCGGCTTTGCCGCAATAAAGGGAAATACATTCAGTTTGAGATTCACACAGCTAAGAGTTAAGGGTTGACTCTTGGAGTCCGTAAGGTGTACGGACTCGTACGTTCTGGTATTAGAACGGGCTATCTTAAGCTGAGACTCTGTGAGTCTGTTAAGCTTCCTCTGACGCAAAGCTACGGCAGCCCCGCTGCACTTGGTAGCACTCGTAGTCAATCCGACACCTGAGTCTGTATAGACTGGCCCTCTGTGGAGAATGGAGCAGTTCGCTCACTTGCCCCCGAACCAGCAGGATGCGCTTGCTGGGCCCGGAAGGCGTGACGCAACTTGCGCAGCAAGGCCCCGACGCGGTGAACGCGCGTCTCGAGGCGTTTTCAAGCAACGAGAATGCTCTGCTAGAGCACTTCCAGCAGAGGATGGCAACGGCCGCGGCGCCCCAAGCGCCCGCTTCGTCATCTGACGCGGAAACAAGACCCAAGCCGCTCATGTTGAGCGTGAAGACCTTCGAAGGCAAGGGGGGTGAAAGCTTGATGCTTTGGACCCGTGAAGTTGAGATGGCTATGAGCTCAGCTATACTCCGGACGGAGTCGCAGCGCGTGGCACTAGCTATCTCGAAGCTCGGTGGGCGAGCAAGAGAGTGGGCACTAACGTCCGGGACGTCGGTCGAGGTGGCCTTCCCGACGTGGCACCAGCTGAAACAGCAATTGTCCCGAGTGTTTGCTCCGCCTAACGAGGCGTATCGCGTGCGCTCACGCGTCCTGGCGACCAGGCAGAGCAAGACGGAGTTGATGGACTATGTCCAAGAGTTGAGAATTCTCATTGCTGGTATGTCTGCTGACCCGTTGCCGGAGGCAGTCACCGTTACGGTGTTCATGGAGGGTCTTCGCACTGGCGTTGCCAGGACGGAGGTGTTCCGAACCTATCTAAGCTCTTTTGAAGAGGCTGTGAGCGTCGCATTGAATGCGGAACACAACGTTAAGTCGTCACGGCTTGGGTGGAATGCGTCTTACGCTAGCGCGTCGAATGGTCCGGAACCCATGGACTTCAGCTATGCTGAAGACGAAGAAGCCGAGCTTCGTGCTGCTGAGCAGCGTCGCGGTATCCGCAGATGCTTCATCTGTTCTGACACCCGTCACCTTCGTGCTGGGTGTCCGCTGCGCCATCAGCGCCAGGCTTCGTCAAGCCGCTCTTCGAGTTCGAGCCAGGGCTCTGGTTTGTCTCGGGGAAACGAGAAGTCTCAGTAGGCGCGGGGCGGCCTACTGGGGAAGAACTAAGTTCTATTGAGCCTCGGCGAGATGGAGGACGCCAGGACTTAGCCCCGAAGAGAGCCGTACTCTCTAACACGGAACGTGTACGCAAGCCGGGCTTGCTAGTTGTCCAAGCTTGGGTGAAGGGCTTCCCCAAGCCATGGACGATTTTGATCGATTCGGGAGCGTCGGGTAACTACGCCCGGCGTTCTACGATGGACGGAAGTCAGCTTTACGCTGAGGCGCTGGTAGCGCGCGGAAGTGACAACGTCACTGTTCGTCTCGCGACGGGCACTCGTGTCACGGTGCCTAAGGTCCCTGTGGACCTGGGCGTGAAGTTTTTGGATTTTGATAGCGTGGAACGCTGTCTGGTCTTAGACCTCGATTCGAGATATGGTCTCATCCTTGGTATGGCGTGGCTGGAACGCCACGAGCCTTGGATCGATTGGAGGTCGAAGACCCTTGGTACTACGCACTTCTCTCCTGGCGGAGCATTGGCGAGTCATGAACCCACCTCTGCTAGGAAGCAGAAGCGCTTTTGGCGCGAGCACTGGACCGAGTCGGTCAATGTGCTGGACATCGGAGTTCCCGAGTTGGTGGACACTGAGTGTGTCGAGAACGAGCGTTCCGAGCGTGGCTCGCGGACGGCAGGTGGAGCGGCACGAATTACACTGAGCGGGCGTGCGTCTGAGGGCGATGCCCTGCTGCGTGCCGATGAAGGCGCGGTCGTCAGGAAGTCGAGTGAAGATGGGCGTTGCCCGGACCAAGGATGAGGAGCGGCACTAATTCCGCTGAGCGAGCGTGCGTCTGAGGGCGACGCCCTGCTGCGTGCCAGCGACGGCGCGGTCGGTATGGTGCCGAAGCACAAGGGGCTTTGCCCGGATGAAGATCGTGGAGTGGCACGTAATCCACTGAGTGGAGGCTGCGGATCGTGCAGCTCTTCGCTGAGTGTCGGTAAAGACACTGGAGCTCCCCCGGAGCTGAACGAGGTGGTGACACCTGGCGTCAAGACGCACGCGAAATCACGGAGGCCTTCAGGGCGGACAGTGTCCATGAAGAGGAGGCAGCGCCGCAAAGCGGTGGCTGCGAGACGCAAGACGTCTGCGATCTCACGAGTCGAGAAGGGCGTGTCGAGCGGCGAGGCTCCACGCGAGAGCGAGCAGCTCTATACACTCGTGAATGGAGTGATGGGCGACGTCGACGGAGGTATCAACCTCGACGACTTGCCCTCACTGTCTGCCCTCCTGGAGCTGGACGAGATGTCCTTGGCCGAGTTCGGCGAAGCCTTGAAGGCTGGAGACTTGGCCGAGGTAGTGGTCATACGACCCGAAGAAGACTTGAACTCGTCCTCGCTTCTGGATGAAGCTGTCCTGGAAGACACCAAGAAGGCGCTGAATGCGCGGAGCGGATCGGCGATCCTGAAGGACCCGTCGGATCCCTTGTATCAAGTGGTAAAGGATTATCAGGACGTGGTCTCGAAGGAGCCGCCCTCGGGGCTACCACCGGATCGAGGTGTTCGACACGAAATCGATCTCGTTCCGGGAACGAAGTACTGCGTGACGAGGCAGTGGCCCTTGCCGAAGGAGCAGTGTGACGTCATTGACGCGTTCTTCCGTGCGAAGCACGAGGCGGGCATGGTGCGTGAGAGTAAGTCTCCACACTCTACGCCGACGTTCTGTGTCAGAAAGCCGAATGGCAAGTGGCGTATCGTACATGCTTTCAACAAGCTGAATGCCGCTACCATCCCGGCACAGACGCCGATTCCTCGGAAGGATGTTCTTCAGAACAACATGACAGGATGTACGATGTACAGTGCGCTCGACTTGGTCGATGGATATTACCAATTGCTCATGAGGGCGAGCGACATTCCTCTCACCGCGGTGAGTACTCCGAGCGGCATGCTCTGGGAGTGGTTGGTGATGCCCCAAGGGCTTTCGAACGCGCCGACGACGTTTAATCGTCTTGTGACGCAGCTCTTCAGGCCCCATCGGGGCGTACGCGCAAACGTACTTCGATGACATTTTTTGTCCACAGTCGTGCGGAGCACGGAAAGACTGATATGGAGAACCATGTCGAGCACCTGCGTGGTGTGCTCGAATGCATGCGTCAAAACAAGTTGTACGCCAACATTGACAAATGCATCTTCGGAGCGGAAGAGATCCCCTTCTTAGGGTGCTTCATCGGGAAGCGTGGCCTGAGGGCCGACCCGGTCAAGGTCAAGGCCATTGTTGACTGGCCGGTTCTCAAGAACCAGAACGATCTTCGCAAGTGGCTTGGCTTGGCCAATTACTTGCGCAAGTACAGCGAGAATTACGCTGAGATGGCTCGGCCACTCTCCAATCTCCTGAAGAAGGATGCGGAGTGGTGTTGGGACACCGAGCATCAAGATGCGTTCGCGGCTATTAAGGACAGTCTCCTTCATGCGCCTATTCTGGCTTTGCAAGACCCCGCTCTTCCGTTTAGTGTCGTCTGTGACGCCTCGGACTTTGCCATCGGCTGTGCACTGCTGCAAGCAGACGCCGAGGGGCGCGAGCGCGTGGTGGCGTTCGAATCTCGCCAGCTGAAGGCTGCGGAGAAGAACTATCCTGTCCATGACAAAGAGCTACTTGCGATGAAGTATGCGCTCGTCAAGTTCAGGGTGCACCTGTTGGGCTCTCAGCCGTTCGTGATTTACACGGATCATGCGTCGTTACGCACTGCGACTCAGTCGCCTCACCTCTCGCAAAGGATGGCCCGTTGGCTGTCCTTCTTCGCGGAGTACAACTTCGAGGTGAAGTACAAGCCTGGCAGGCAGAATGTCCTTGCGGACGCGCTGTCGCGCAGACCGGATTATGAGCTGGCTCATGTAACGACCGTGACTTCGTCATTACCGGATTTGATCCGAACGGCTTATGCCAAGGACGACACCTGTGTCGCGTTGCTGAAGGCTCTGGGGAGCAAGGAGTTTCAAGACTCGGACATGGAATTGTCAGCGCGGCTACACCGCTATTCCCTCGATGGTGGCCTGTTGTTCTACAACACTGGCCCCGAGGATACGCCCCGCGTGGTCGTCCCTCATGATGAGGATCTGAAGTACCGCATCCTCTATGAGGCACACGACACGCCGCTGGCCGGCCATCTTGGCCGTGAGAAGACCTACAGCTCGGCGAGCACCCACTACTGGTGGCCGAAGCTGTACAAGTGGACGAGCACTTATGTGCGCACGTCCAGCGAGTGAAGTCGTCACCTCATGCTGCAGCGCCGTTGGCGAGTTTGCCTGTCCCTTCGGGCTGTTGGCAATCCATGAGTATGGACTTTGTGTTTGGCCTGCCGGCGGACGCGGCGGGCAAAACTGGAGTCGTGGTCTTCGTGGACCGACTGAGCAAGATGGCTCACATTGCGGCTGGGCCGGATACCATCGATGGTAAAGGTACAGCAACGCTGTTTTTGGACCGAGTGTTTCGACAACACGGACTCCCTGAGTCGATTGTCTCGGACCGAGACCCCCGCTTCACGGGCAGCTTCTGGAGCGCGGTCTTTGCGGTTCTTGGCACCAAGCTGGACATGTCCACGGCGGACCATCCGCAGACCGATGATCAGACAGAGCGCGTGAATCGCGTCGTCGAGGACGTGCTCCGCAGCATTTGCGCCGAGACGCCGAAGCGCTGGAGAGCCATACTGCTACTCGTTGAGTTTGCGTTGAACAACGCCGTGCACGCCTCGACAGGCTACACGTCGTTCTACGTGAACAGCTTATCTCATCCCCGCGTCCCGCTGACACCGCCACGTGGTGGCCTCGGGCTTGGTGGGGGAGGAGAAGCCGATTTAGCTGATCGGCTAGCCGATGTCAGCCCGGCTACAGTTCGTAAACATGTTGACGTTTTTTGTCGACGCGTCTGAGTGTCTTCCGACATGTTCGTGACACAATGGCTGAGAGCCAAGACAAGCAAAAGGAACATGCAGATGCCAGGGGCAGAGGCAATGTTGAAAGTTATGAGGTCGGGGACCTGGTGTTGCTTAATGCTAAGAACCTACCTACACATGCAGTGTCTGCCGTCTTCAAGACGAAGTTGCGCCCGCGCTTCATCGGACCTTTCAAGGTTGTGGCCAAGAAGGGGCTTGCGTACACGCTCAATCTTCCGAAGAAGATGCGGACGCACCCCGTCTTCTACATGGGCTTGCTCATGCCGTACCAGGACCCGACGCAGGTGCAGATGGAGGCACCGAGGGTGACGAGGTCACAGGCGCGGAGGTCGCGGTCGTCGAGGACGCGACCACCTACATGGGCACCGCAGGCACAGGCGGAAGAATCGGCGCCGGAGGTGCCGCGGGCACAGCGGGAGCCGCAGGCGCAGGAGGCGCGGCAGTCGGAGCCTGCATGCGGGCCAGGAGGTCGAGCTGACCCTGAAGCACAGCCCGCTGACGCTGTAGCTCCCCGAGCTCCCGGCCACGTTGCTCGTCGCGATCGCGATAGTATCGCGCCCAGTCCTCCAGGGCTCCCAGACCGCTCGAGGCATCTCGATCCATCGCGTCCGCTCGGCGAGCTCGTCGAGTTCGGTGGCAGTCCGGACCAGACGTGCATCGACGTTATGGATATGATCCCGAAGGCGACCCGCCTGCTGCCGCACCTCCAAGAGCTCACTTTGAGCCGCAAAGGACCCCACAGCGGCCTCCACCGGCCCGACTCGATGAGCATGGGAATCTACATTACCATGTGGAGCGCCTCCTGGCGAAGCGGCGGTGCCGGGGTCAAAACCAGTATCTGGTGAAATGGCGAGGGTACCCTCACTCCGAGAACTCATGGGAGTTTGAGGTGCCCCTCCGCCAAGACTGCCCAGACGTCGTGGACGCTTTTGATCAGCTTGATCGCCAGCGCCCCGAGGGCTCAAGGCCGGCACGCCGGCCGTCCCGCGCTTCCCGGCAATAAGCTGGGGAGCTGCTGGGTCAGCCACATTGCTCCGAGGCAGACCCTGAGCCACAGCGCTCACTCCCTCGCGGGAAGGAGCGAAGCGCGCAGCGTTAAACTGGGTCTGCGGCTGGGCGAGTGCCGAGAGGCTGCGCTTGGCTCGGACCTTCGCGAAATCGAAGCGGAGCTTGCGTTCAATGCGAACATCCACATCACTGAAGCTGGCTCGGAGAGCGTCCATGGAGCTGAGCTTTCGGTTGTGCTCGGCCCAAGACTCGAACTGAGCTTCGTACTCAATTGACTCATCCCCCGGACTAAGTACCACGGGGTACGTCCGCATGGCGGGCACGAAGTTTTGCTGGGCTTGCAGCCGCAGCCTCTCGCGATACTCCGCGACAGTCGTAGACTGTGGAGTGAGGAGCCGCTCTCGCAGAGACGTACGCAGTGCGAGCTCCTCCGGAGTACGGGCCGCGGGCCCAATGGCGTGCAGCGCGAGAGACTGCTGGAACGCCCGGCGACAAGCCTCCGCGGGGTCGCGAGGCCGGAAGCCGTAGTCGGCATTGCTGGGGTTCAGCAGAGGCTGCAGCTCGGGGCGCTGGGAGCGCATGGGAGCCATCTGGGCCGCAACCTGCTCGGACTGAGCTTCATCCAAAGGGTTGGAGATGACGGGGCCCAGGGGCACGCCCTCACCACGAAGTGGCGAATACCGTGACTCAGTGAGCGCGCGCAGCTCGTAGAGGCCGGAAGAGCGTTCAGGGAACGGGTTCGGAGATCGCAGCGGTGGTCGCGGCTCCTCCCTCGACGGCGCAGTGCGCTCTGCAGGTGGACGGCTCGGCGAGTGCACAGGAGACGTGTGCGCGGGGCGCTCTTGATCGCGACGGCTCGGAGAGTCAACTGGGGCGGCGAGCCTTCTTCACGGCGTGTCGACGGTGTGGGCGAAGCGTCGCCGCGCGCGTCGCGTGAGTGGGGACGCATCTCCTCGGTTCGGAGAACCCTCCATGAATTCGTCCACATCGCCCTCTTCACCAAAGAGATCCCAAGGATCCATGATCTGACGGGTTGGTGCTCGAGGAGAGCTGGGGCTTGCGTGCTGCGAGCTGCGCTTCAGGCGTTGCGCCGCGAAGTACTCGGACACCGAGAGTCTGCAAGGCGTCGAGGGTGTGCGCGCGGGCGCTGGCGTTCGCGGAGGTGCGGAAGCACGCAGTGCAGCAGCACTAGAGGAGCGAGGCTCCGAGGCGGATCTCGCGAGAGGCTGTCTGCGGTCGAAAAACCAAAAGGCTTTATGACTTGAAGTCATGTGAGGGCGCGTTGCGCCGAGAAGTTCTCAGAGAAGTCCACGCGATGTGGATTGACTCGTTTGAGCAGGAGGCTTGACGGAACAAGACCCGGAGGTTGACCGTTAAGCGTGAACACCCGTGTCCACGGTTTGGTGGGGAAGAGTGTAACGGGGTTACACGAGAGTTACCCGAAGGGTTATGAAGTGGGTACACACTGTAGAACCTAAATCAGTAGGAGAATCAGTACATGGCTTCAGAGCCACTGATTATGCATATGACTAGGGTTCACTATGCTAGATAGTGAACCGGATACATTTACACCGTAGGCGGCTTTGCCGCAATAAAGGGAAATACATTCAGTTTGAGATTCACATAGCTAAGAGTTAAGGGTTGACTCTTGGAGTCCGTAAGGTGTACGGACTCGTACGTTCTGGTATTAGAACGGGCTATCTTAAGCTGAGACTCTGTGAGTCTGTTAAGCTTCCTCTGACGCAAAGCTACGGCAGCCCCGCTGCAGGGCCCCAGGTTCGGTATGGGCGAATTTGTGAAATCCTGGAAATCGCTTTCACCTGTCCCCCTCCTCCGGCTTGTAACCCTAACCCGCATTGAGACACATAGATAACCATACCGGTACAACCCACACAGTTCGTGATACCGCAAAACACACTTAGCGCTACAGTCTTGCGGTATCAGCAAAACTTCTCGGGAACTTACGACATAAAAGTCGAAAACGACGCGAAGTACGCCGGAACTTACGACATTGAACGTAGATCGAGTGCATACTAATCCCAGATGGTGGATCAATAGGCCCGAAGACGATACGACGACGCCCTGATCCACGATAAAATTCCGCGCTCGGCGATCGAGAGTCAGGTTGCCCAACGCCTGCGCTGCGTGCATCTTTTGCTGATCGGCGTCATCTTGAAGAAGCGTAACCAAAGGGGGCATGGCCACTTAAGGATGATGCCCCGAAAACATTGGCTAACCGTTGAATAAGCCAACATTCGCGCGGAGTGCGTCTTCGCATCTTCAGATCCATCCTGAAGACGAGCAGCGAACAGCGGAAGTCCGATTTCGCCTGTGATTTGAACTTGATGCACCCGGCTAACAGTCAGATTAGCCAAAAGTCGAATTATGTGACCTTGTAGTTCGCTTGCTCCTGATCGAAGTAGCTTGATCAGGTCGGGTATGGCTTCCGCATCGACGATTGCATCTCTGTTCGCATCGCTGTCAAATGCAGCGTTGCCCAGTTCCCAGTCTGAATAAAGGCGGCGAGAACGCGACTCGGAGCTTACGAGAGATGGAATGGCGGCAATAACAACGTCCGACTTGCTGTTCTTGGAAGGCGACTCAACGCCCAGCACGATTGCTCCTTTTGTCCGACCCTGCCCGTTTGCAAGAGTGCGACCAGCGGAGCTATAGCCACATTGTGAGTGATCACATCGCAGTTCGTCTCATCCTCAGCCAAATTCCCAAGTGCGTGTGCTGCCAACATCTTCTGATCGTCATCTTCAGTCTTCAACTGCGTAACAATGCGTGGAACAGCTCCAGCGTTCTTGAGAGTCTCATGACCACCTGCTGCGGCAATACACGCACAGTAAAGCCACAGCCGGCAGTTTGTCTTCGTCCTCATCATCCGACAACCTTCTTGAAAGTGAACCGCATTCTTCCAGCGTAGTACCACGTACAGTGCCCTTGAGCTCGCTTAACGTCGTATCTTCTAAGCTGGAAGCCAACTTCGTTAATTTGTACAGACATCGGAGGGAGCATAGCTTCGTATAATGGCTGAGACCATTCTTCACCAGCTGAATAAAAGCAGGAACCCCATTCGCCTCGACTATTGTCTTGCGTTTTCCAGGGTACATGCACGCAAGCAAGAGAAACAACAGGGCTTGATCTTGCACCCGTGGACCCGCAATGAGATCAGGAACTGTAGTGTCATTGGAGACAGAAGGGGAGCTTGGTAGGGCAAGCGTAAAAGTAGGCTACGTTTGTCCTGCGGCATTGAGAGCTTCAGAAGTGGCTTTGGCAACAAAAGCTTTCAGCTTGCCAATCACCTCGTGGAAATGAAGTCGGTTCAAAGGATCCTCGTCAATTATGTCAAGCACCATTTCCCACGCTTTCTCGTTCATCTCGTCAGGCTTTTCTGGAGTAGCCCCATAGCCGCGAGTAGGGTCTACCAAGGGAAAAGGAACTTCACTCGTCACAGCTTCAATGATGCACATGGCGAATGAATACATTCTTGTAGAACGAGAGACTTGTGGGCTATAGAGCTGGATTGAGAATGAAATGAAATAGAGAACCTGAGGGCTTGGAGGCCCGAGCTACTTGCGCTACTGGATTTCTGCCCTGACTCTCACCGAGTGCTGCCGCTTGCACCAAGTCCGTATCTCACACCTCCCCTAAGAGACCGAGGCTCTCAAAAGCACTGCGCTCTTGCAGGTGCTACGTAGGTCAAGATTGCACAGACCACTAACACGCTCGGCGTCGCCTGCAACCGTAAGCTAGGAAACACCGATGTACTTTGTTCTGGTCAAAATCAAGAATGATCCGTGTTGTTGTGTAGGGGAAAGCTTCGCAAGCCTCAAAACCCCCGCAGACCTATTTTGACTATACTGGTCCCTGCTACGAGGGAGTGCACTCGTGCACGAGCAATTCCTAGAAGTCCGCGGACATCTCTCCGGAATTCTCCCTTGCAGTCACCGTCACTCACAACCACCACTTCAACTTAACTGCCGGACACACACTCCGCAAGTATGTTCCTGCAGCCATAGCGACCTGGCTCGCAGCTAAGTCTCGTATCCCCCGCAAGCGCAGCGACTCGGATCGTCACCCGAGCGCCATTATACCAAGCCGCACAGGCTTCGCTTGTGACCGAGTTGAGGAGTGGAGAGAGACTTGGTCAACAAGTCAGCGGGATTTTCGCCAGTCGGAACATACTCAATAGCCATGTGGCCCCTAGATCACGCGTCTTTGACCGCATGAAATCGTATGTCGCCTGCTTCTGAGCATTGGCAGATCCTTCACGCTTGATTCGGTGCCGGAACGCTGTCAATCTGCAGAGTGAGCTTGATCGGGGGCTGGTAGCCCTTGAGAATTTCGTCGAGTACGAGCTTCACCCACTCGGCCTGCTGAAGACCTTCATTGACCGCGATGAATTCTGCTGCGGTGCTCGATTGGTTGACCACAGTCTGCTTCGTCGATGCCCACGCGATGGGTGCGCCGTACAGGAAGGTCACGAAGCCGGACACCGATTTTCTGTCCTTCCGATCGTTCGCAAAGTCTGCATCCGTGACAATGTCTAATCCTTCGCACAAGGGGTTGATGATAAGCTGCGTAGCCTGAGTCCCGAAGAGGTATCGGAGGTGGTGCTTGCCAGCAAGCCATGCTATCTTCCTTGGTTGTGCGCAATGTCGGGACAGCTGATTCACCGCGAAGGCGATATCTGGCCTCGAGACCCGAGCCAGGTACAGCAAACTCCCCACCACTTGTCGGAACGGCATCCTTCTCATCTCTGATTCTTCTTCAGCACTGATTGGGTCAGGAATATGGTCCAGTCTCGTGTTGGGCACCATAGGAGTGCGCGGGGTCCATGGCAAAGCGGTGCAGGGTCTCGTTGATGTATGCCGCCTGTGAAAGTAGGATCTTGCCTGTGCTGCCGCATTCAATGCGGACGCCAAAGAAGTGCGTAGGCTCTCCCATGTCCTTCACCTTGTATTTCAGGTTGAGAGCTCTCATCAACCGCAGTACTACGACCTCGCTTTGGTGAGTCACTAGGAGATCGTCCACATACAGACACGCCAGCAAGATTCCGTTAGCAACGTGCATATAATACAGGCATTCGTCACCTGTCGTAGGCTTCAGTCCGTATGCCTTCAAGAAAGAGTCGATCTCGTGATTCCATTGACGATCCGCTTGCTTGAGTCCGTAGAGCGCCTTCTGGAGCAGCCACACCTTGTTCTCTTGACCGGGTTGCTCGAATCCCTTCACTTGGCGCACGTACACCTTTTCTTTCAGCAACGCTTTCAGGTATGCTGCTGGCACATCGCCTTGACGCATGTTCAGCTTGAACTTGGCCACTAACACGAAGAATACCCGTACACAGATCAGGTCGGCGACTGGAGCCCGTGTCGTGTGTCCACGTAGTCGAGTAGAAAGATCTGCTTGTCGCCTCTAACGCACACTCTGCCTTGTATTGCAAGATGGCTCCTGTCGGACCCGTCTTGATCCGGAACTGCACGGTATTATCAAGCACATGCGCACCTGGGGGCGGGTCCACGAGGACGAAAGTTGCATTGGACGCGAGGGCTTGAATTTCTTGGCAAATTGCTCGTTCCCAAAACGGCCACTGAGGTGATCACCGCGTTTCGGCAATCGGTAAAAAGGCTCGCGAATGATCTCGACTAGGTATAAAAATGCCGCATTTATCTCTCGGGCTGAGATTCGCTCCGAGCGTCTGCGCCGAGTCAGAACCGACGTGCCGTTAATTTTCGCGACCACATCTGGGGATAGACTTGTGTCTTGAAGTCGGTCGGCTGCCTCTGCTGCTTGGTGTAGCCGAGCGTTCGAGCTGGGAGCTTCGACAGAATTGTCGCTGGCTTCGTCTTCACTGGCCGGATCATCCTGCTCGTCCTCCAGCAGTATTTCATCGACCAGCATAGTGTCGAGCAACAGCACGTTCGTTGACTCCTTGATCGGGCGGCCTTCGCCGGGGATGTACACCCTGTAGTCGCGTATGGCGTCCGTAAATCCGACGAATGCGCCTAGCTTGCCGCGACCAGCGAAGCGGACCTTCTTTTGCCGAACTGGGTCTGGTGTTCTCACCGCCAGGGTCTGTCCAAAAATGGGAAGACCTGCCAGGGATGGTTTCGTCCCTAGTAGGCGCTCGTGCGGGGTCATGCCAGCACCGCGCTTGGGGATCCGGTTGCAAATGTACGCAGCATGACGCAACGCGTCTTCCCACAGGTAGTGCGGGAGACTACTGTCAATGAGCATGGCTGCAGCCATTTCGGTTAGCGTCCTGATGGCGCGTTCGGCGACACCATTCTGGCTGCTTCTGTACCGGGTCGTGTGCTGGTGCCGCAGACCTTCAGAAGCAACCAGCTTACGAAAGTCGGGGTTCATGAACTCTGAGTCGCCGTCCGTGCGCACCGTCTTAATGCTGTTGGCTGGAACGTTGACTTGTCTTTCGACGAACTTCAGGAACTCTTGTGCACGTTCACTAGCTTCGCTCTTGTGACGCAGACCGTAGACATTTATATAGTCTCTCCACACCGCAACCATGAAGAACTCATTGCCGTGATAGGACCTTTTGACCGGCCCGCTGAGGTCCATGTGGCACACACCTGCGGCGACTTCGTCACTGCTACTTCGTTGCTTGGGAGCTGGGGCTGTCGTCACTTTTGCGAGTGCGCATGCTTGACAGGCCGGTAAACCCTCGTGTTGCGATATGACCACTCCTCGAACGGCGGGGCTGGAGGTCAAGCGTTTGCAATCTGCTGCATTGAGGTGTCCCAAGCGCCTATGCCACGTCGATAGCGGCACGCTGGTGCGTAAAGCAGAAAGAAGAGCTTGTCCAGGCTCGCTGGGTCGTACCGCGGATGCCTGCGTGACCACCTCGTATACTCCATTATCCTCAAGGGCTCGGAAAAGACTTGTGCGCTTTTGGCCGCGCAATACCGACCAGGTATTGTTCTCGAACCGGACCACGTGATCTAAGTGGACCAATTGCGACACGGAGAGCAAGGTAACCGATAGCGTTTGGACGTGATACACGTTGTTGATGATGACATCCTTGCGCTCGAGCTGGGAACCGTGCTCGGCCATCACCGAGACTTTTAGTTTACCGACCGTTGTGGTGCGGATGACGCGTCCATCTGCCACCTTGACCTTCACGGGAGGGTCGAGTGCGCACAGGTGGGTCATGCCCTTTAGCTGGCCCGTCAAGTAGAACGACGCGCCCGAGTCAATGATGACCCGCGTCCACTTGACGCCGCTACTTCAGGCACTGTCTTCTTTCAACGCGGCGGCCGCACTTCCTTGTAAACGTGCCGCCGTGCCGACACGGTCCGGACAGTCACGAGCAATGTGGCCACTTTGGCGACAGTTGAAGCAGCGTACGCTGTTTGATGCTGCTGCATTGGCGCGATTCGCTTGCCTTGGGTTACGGGCACGATACGATGGTTTCCTCTTGTGCTCGACTACTGTTCTCGTCGTAGGGTGGCTCTGCCGCGGATACGCTTGTCCGCCTTCTTGCTTGATCCATTTAAAACTTCCTTGATCATGAGGTTTGGAGCTGGTGGCTGGCCTCAGAAGCAACTGACCGTCGCACTCGGCCATGTACGCTAAGTGATCGACCAGTCGCTGTAACTTGGTCACAGCGGAGGTTGTCGGAGGCAATCTTTCCACGAATGATTTTAACTCGTCCGAGTACTTGTAGTACGCCCTCTTGATGAAGGTGTGCATCGCATAACGCGCGTTGGCCTCGGTGGAGAGACCACCAGGGAGCGAATCCGCCATGTTGAGCAGCCGCTGCGCGTACACTTGATACGTTTCGCCTCGCGCCTTTTGTTCCATCATCAGCCAGTTTAGCAGCTCATGCTCTGGGAGTTTCGGCTTGTATTTCTCGACGAGTATTTCCCCAGACAGCTCGAGTGTCAGGCCAGGTTGAAATGCCCGCACCTCCGAAAACCAATCGGCCGCATCACCACAGAGTGACGAGGCAAATATGCTTCTGCATTGCACGTCGGTCCACCGGTGGCTGTCCAGAATCTGGGCATCTGTCAGTTGGTTGACAAACTTTCTCCACCAGAGCCGGACGCCTGAATCAAATCCGCCGACTGGTACAAACCCGGAAAATGCCTCGACAGTGATGTTCTTGCGGTTCGGCTTGCCTCCGACCGGCAAATCGCCGATGCCCGCGCACGACGGGACGACTGGTTCTCGAACGGGATCTGGATGGTCGGCGACGTCGAACATGACGGGGGCTCGCGCAGCAGACTGTATTCGAGGGCCGTTGCTGCGGAGCGGACTCGGAGCTTGGCGTGGGCTGAGGTGTCTACTGGGGTCCGTCGGCTGGGCCTGGGCGTGGTTTTGTGCAGAGTGGCCGATCGGCTCCTTCTGGCCAGCTGGAGCTGGGATGGGCAGGGAAGATCTGCTTTCAACAGATGGCCCAGCAATACGCGGGGAGGAATCGCCTTCCTGTTGACCTGCATTGCTCCCACGTGTCTGCCCACGTAGCCCATCTTGGCCGTCTTGGAGTGACCCACGAGTCTGCGTTGTGTCTCCGCTTCTCGCGCTTGGAGCGCCCTGGCGGGAGCGGCTTCTCGGCGGTGCACGTCGAGTAGACAGACTCTACCTTAGAGGTGTCACTGCCAGCGAGGCGGGCGTCACTAGGCGCCCTTGTTGGACCGGGGATTGGGGGTTCAGCAGTGCTGCGATTCTTGGGGAGCGTCGGGGCGGCGTCATAGCTTAGTGGGAGCTTCGACAAGACTCTTAATCTGTAGAACGAGAGATTTGTGGGCTATAGAGCTGGATTGAGAATGAAATGAAACAGAGAACCTGAGGGCTTGGAGGCCCGAGCTACTTGCGCTACTGGATTTCTGCCCTGACTCTCACCGAGTGCTGCCGCTTGCACCAAGTCCGTATCTCACAATTCTCCAAACATTCTGCGGTGCGCCATCGTAAATCGTCCTCTTTAGCTGCATCTGGAAGCTTCTTGGAGAAAGTGGAGCATCTGCGCACGGCGTCCAGCCCGAAATCCGCGAGCTTCGCCTGTCCATCAGCTCCAACGAGAATGTTGCTCAGCTTCAAGTGACCGTGGACGAGCCCTTTTTTATGAAGGTAGTCCAAGCCAAGTGCTGCATCGTGCAGCATCGTCCACATCTTCTTCTTATTGCTGTCCGAGCGTGCCCGAAAGCAGCCCAGAATTCCATCGGTCGTGTCTTCATAGACAATAAAATGCGGCGTGCTCACATGCGACCTGCCTAGCACCTTCATCACATTGGAGTGGTTCAACTGGAATAGCCTTCCCAACCCCCCCCCCCCCCTCCACCTGAACCTGCGCGGACTCGTCCATGACCAAATCGTCCACAGAGAAGAACTCCACCACCACACTCTCGCCAGACTCCGCCATCGCGCCCCGATGCACTCGCCCAAAGTGGCCTCCAGCGAATGGCTCGGCCTCCACCTCCATCTCATACAGAGGCAAGAACCACAAGGGCAACGTCACGTCCGCCCTCTTCACCCCTGCACTGATAACTCTCTCCATCAACGACTTGATCCGACGGATTGACGCCGCGTCGTTCCTCGCCGCCCTCCTCTCCGCCTCAAACTTCAACGTCCCCAAGGCCTCCACCTGAGCCCTCGAGCTCTGCAGACTGCGAATGCACACTGTACTTCTGTCCACTGCATTATTGAGAGCTTGAGTCTGCAATTGGCAGTCGAGCCGCCAGCTCGTGTCCCAATTGGTGGGCGCCCCCACGTCCAGCGCCTCGAACACTCGCGCCAATTGGTCGGTCACTTGCTTCAGGTTACTCGTCATTTTCTCATTCTCAACAACCCTGAAAATAAGGGGCTTGTTGTGATCCGTAGTAGTACGTTTGTTCAGGGATGTACGGGAAGTCCATGCCGTACACACCCGTGAGGAACTGCGCGGGCAATCAACTTGGAGATCCTAACATTAGCATCGGTCGGCAGTGCACCTGAAGCCGCTTGATCTGCTGGGAGTAGGCGGCGACGATGCAACTCATTCGAAGTATCGCGGCTGCAATATCATCAGGTGAGCAACTTTGCGCCAAAAGTCTGTGAGATCGGTGACAGCTCGTTCACGGAACGCCGTGCCGTGTTGACGGACGTTGGAGTAAGACACGTGCAGGGGTTCGTCGCCAACTGTACCAAAGTGCTGTAAGGTTGATCGAGCAATGAATGCTTTTTGACAACATATTTATTATAGACCAACGACAGTAGCGGCCAAAATAGCTTCAGCACCTGCACTTCTGCGACCGTGGACACCTCAGGCAGATGGAGCGGACCGTTCGATGTCTGCTTCGGCCTTCTGCACGCTTTCAAGCAGGCGCCGACATTGCAACGCAGTGGCTTGAAGGGTCTTCACGAGATCGCGCGTGTCGTCCCCGATCTTTGTCGGCGGTGGCGATGACACAGGCGCGGAGCTGAAGCTTCTTCCACAGTCGCTGCAGACGCCAAACTCGCAGCTGCAGTGCTGCTTTTCGCGGAATACCTTCTCCCTCTCGGCAAGAATCGTCATCAAGCGTACAACTTCTCCCATCTTGATGCGGTCTTGGAACTTGTGAGCGCACATGGCCTGGATGAGGCTCCACTCGTCGTCAGAGCAGACGCCGTCGGGGCGTGGAGGCATCTTTTTGTCATTTTCCACAGCCACGAGGAAATCGACGTCATTCAATTCATGGAACGGCTCGTGTCCCGTCAACGCCTCGTACACGCACATTCCTAAGGAATAAACGTCCGATTCGACCCGAGCGTTGGCGCCCGACTTGACCGCAGCATTGCCAAACTCAAGACACTCGGGGGCTTTCCACCTCATTGAAGATGACTGTTCCTGAGCGCTCATGTTGGAGCTCGCTCTCGCAAAGGCGTATTCGAAGTCGGACACAACGCCCGTGCCATCCGCCATCACCAGGAGGTTTGAGCACTTGAGATTCGCGTGTACAATTGGAACTGCCCGGCTGTGAAGGTAGGCAAGGCCGTGAGCAGCGTCCAAGAACAACTTCCACAAGAGATGGCGGTTCTTAGTGAGAAACTGCTTAAAGTTCCCCTTCTCAGCGTGGGCGAGAACCAACAGCCTCGGTGTCGAGATGTGACAAGCACCATACAATGGCAACACGTTCGGGTGGCGCAGGGGATACCACCGCTCCACTTCGTTCTTGAACCAGTCTCCCTTAACGCTGTTATCTTCGTCTGGATCGACGACCTTAACCGCCACCTTGGAGCCAGAGCTGAGCGTACCGAGGTGAAGACTGCGGGTCTCATTGCGCGCAAACGGACTCGTCTCGAAGCGAATGTCGGCACGGGAAACATACCACGAGGATAGGGACGGGGTCGTCGTGATGCCCTTGGCCCTCGCGACTTTGTTCAGCGTGTTGACGAGGAATTGATGTTCTTCCCGCGTTTGCTTGTTCTGACCGTACTTGATCTGGAATTTGATGTCGGCGAGTGTCGTCACCACCTCGGACCCCAGGATGGACGTCATATCGGCCGCAACATCTTGTCGGAGCGTCGCAAATGATGCCGTCACGAGCTCCTGAAGCGTCGCAAACTCTTCTTTGGCTTGCTTTTCAATGAGCTTCTCGCGCTGGATGACAGCTTGGATGCTGTTGGACACGTGCTCGTGACGGTCCGCTACTTCTTCCACGAAGTCGATCCCAATTTTCTCAATCAGGCGGTCGCGTTGGATGTAGAAGTCCATGATGCGCTCCTGGGCGCTCCAGTGGCTGGCGATGCGCGTGAGGATGTCCTTCTGCAGGTGGATCTCGAGAAACCCTCGAATGTCCGTCAAGAGGTCGATATACTTCTTGAGTGTTGCGGTGGCATTGATTTTGCCCCCGCTGGCCATGCGCTCGAGCTGGGGCAGCAGATCACCCACCGCCTCGATGAGGTCCTGGCACATCCCTCGACTCGCACGGAGCTGGTTCGCCAGCTTGGCCAGCGCGACCAGAAGCTCAGCGGCTTCGCCGATGATAGCGACTCCGGTTGCTGCTGCCACAACTTTGACGGTACTTTTGGCCACCTCTGACATTGTTTGCGGTAGAAGCTTGAGCGGAGCGGGGGATTGCGAGTAGCTGAGCAGAATTGAAAATGAATCAGTGGGGGGGGGGGGCTGCCGAGCACTGTGGATTCTTTTAACAAAGACTGATTCTCTGTCTGCAAACCCAAAAAGGACGTATTTCTGAACCGAAACCTCATATATGATGTGATCCGAACGGGTTGACTGTGAGGCAGCCTAGACTTCGTGTCTTGTGGACACGCGCCTCATACACAATCCAAAGGCACGATATGGAACTGAGTTGAAATGAAGCACTTTTGAATTCGCACCGATTTGTCATGGAACTCTCCGATGCTGAGCTTGAGCACCCCCACGAGGCGTTGTTTCACTACGCGCAAGTTGGTGATGCGAACCGAGTTCGCGCGATCTGTGGGTTGGGTCTGATCAAGGAGGTCGACTGGGAGAACGGCAACGGGGTCACGGCTCTTATGGCCGCGTCATTGAACGGGCACGTCCACGTTGTAGAGACTTTGGTCGGTGCAGGGGCTGACGTGCGGGTCCTAACGAACGGCTGCGACGCGCTGATAGCGGCAGCACAGGGAGGACACGCGGACGTTGCGCGATTCCTCTTGAGCAACGGAGCTGACACCCGAAACTGTACGCTCCGAGAAGGCAACTCGGCACTCCATCTCGCTGCCAGTCGAGGTTATGCCGAAATTGTGGAGCTGTTAATTCTTGCTGGTGCCGATGTATTGGCACACAACAAGGACGGCCTTACCGCCTTTCACGTAGCTTGCGGGACTGGCCAGGCTCGCGTGGTAGCTGCGATGGCGGAGACTCTCACTAGCAGGAACGAACTGGGGATCAAGGTCGCTATGTTGGAAAAAGCGCAGCCCGATGGTTCGACGCCAATCATGATAGCGTCGGGGCTCGGGCATTTAAGTGTGGTGGCGATACTCGCTGGGCATGGAGCCGATGCCCTCGCACTGAATCAGAACGGCTTTGATGCGTTCATGGCTGCGATTAACGGAAGACACTTGCAAGTTGTGGAGTTTCTGTTAGAAAACAACCTGGCAGACATCGACGCTGTTCGAGATGAACAGGGAAACTCAGCGCTTCATATCGCCGTCATGCTAGGGGAACCTCATTTCGTGGAGCTTTTAATCCGCGCCGGCGCCGATATTCTGGCCCAGAACAGTGGCGGGGTCACGGCGTTTTACGTCGCTTGCGCTAGAAACCAGGTCGGAATGGTCCGGAGGATGGTTGAGACCCTCTTCGTCATGAATGCGGACGAGTTGCTGGCTTTGATGGTGGCAAAAGCTCGAAATGACGGCGTCACGCCGGTCATCGCGGCTTCTGCGGGTGTCGATTACTCTCAGGTCCGAGAGAGCCACGACCCCACTGGTTTATCGTGTTCGGGGGGGAAACGACGCGCGGACGTTCTACAGTACCTATTGGGAATCGGTGCGGACGTGGGTAGTAGAAGCAATGATGGCATCACACCGCTTCTTCTTGCTTCCCAGTATGGGTGTCTGAAAGCTGTGAACGTTCTTCTCAGTAAGAAGGCAGAGTTGGAGTGCAAAGACTCCTTTGGACGCACAGCATTGTGGCACGCTGTGTACAAGGGGCACATCAACATCACCGCGACTCTGCTTCGATGCGGTGCGGATGTCAACACCAAGGATGCCCGAGAGGATTCACCACTGCACATCAGCACCGGCAATGGGAGGAGGGATATCGTCGAATTACTTCTTCGAACCGGTGCTTATGTCGACGCCCAGAACGTAATGGGCAGCACGCCACTGCTAATCGCTGCTTGTGAGGGCTACGTCGATATTGCCAAAATGCTACTGGCTTGTCATTCAAATCTTGAACATCAGCCACGAATGCCACAAGGCGGAACGGCGGTAGAAGCTGCAGCACAACACGGCCACCTGGAGATTGTACGACTGCTTGGGAGTTGTGGGGCTGAGCTTGATGTTCAAAGTAACACCAGCTATACTCCTCTCATCGCTGCGGCTGGGCATGGCCACGCTGACGTTTGCCAGTTCTTGATCAAGCGCAAAGTGAGACTGACGTCTCAGACTGTGGACGGGCACACCGCTTTGCATCTTGCCGTGGCCAGACGCAGCCAACCAGTAGTCGAAGTGCTTGTCAGAGCTGGCATGGATATCACCATCACGGACAACGAAGGGCTCACGGCGATACACTTGGCAGCTAGAAATGGCGACTTCGAAGTGGTTGAGTATCTCGAGGCGGCCCGAGGCGAGAATAATCTCCGCAACGAGGAAGAGCGGGGCTTGTGGCCCATTTCGTCACTTTACGTATTTTACGGACATGAATCATCGCGTGTGGCAACGAGCAATCCGCCATGGTACATCGATTGGTCAACAATTGCGGTGGAGCAGTCGATCGAAGCTGTAAACTGTCTTGCGGCCACCATCTTTAAAGGCACTTGGCACGGGTCAAACGTAACGATTATCAAGCCGATTGTCGGCAAGACCTTCTCCTTTACGATAAAAGATGCGCGAGGCCCCACAGATGATCGCTATATTCGACGCATGTTCGTGAACGAGGTTTGTCGATGGATTTCACTGAACCACCCGCATGTCGTTAGACTTTTCGGAGCGGGTCACAGGGGGCAGCCCTACTTTGTGGCTGAGCACACGAACAGCAATTTGCGCTCATACTTGAGCACGCACAAATACCGAGTCTGGCGCACGCTCTATCAAGTGGCACTGGGATTGGAGTACTTGCATGAACGCGGGTTTGTTCATGAGCGATTACATGGAGACGCCATCGCCATCGGAGACGACGGACTACCCAAGCTCAGAGGCTTCGGCTTCTTTCTGGTGAAGTCTGACGGATCGGGACGCGAACTGGAGGACCAGCAGCATTGGTTTTCGCCTGAAGTTTTTCTGGGAGGTAAATTATCAGCTGAAAATGACGTTTGGTCGCTGGGAATGTGTATCATTGAGGCCGTAAGCGGCGATTTACCCTACGCGAAAGAGGTTGCGGGGGGGTTGAATGTCCGCGACTTGGTGGGAAGCAAACAACTCCCAAAGCGGCACCCGTCCTTCAGAGACCAGGAATGGAGCTTAGTGACACGGATGTGCTGCCAACGGGGCGAGCGGTTAACGATGCCAGCCGTTATCCTAGAGTTGGAAGACTTGGCACGAAGAGAGAGTAAAAACGAAACCCGCAAGGCTCTATCCGCTCGAACATCTACAACAATTGGTGAATTGGAGGATCTTCTCGAGCGTGCCTACTTGTCATGCGAAGGAAACCATTCTGAAATGCCGATTGACCGCCCCCGGTTGGAGTTGCTACCACGCCTAAGTGAAATGATTGTTCGGCTAAGGGCGACGAACGCAGCAGCCTCAGCTTTATCTGGGTGTTCGACTCTCCTAACTCGTTTCATTGGGATTTCAAAGCAGCGCACTGTCGCGGACGAAGTTAGTGGCTACGCTGTCGGTCGGCAACTCGCGAATTCAGTGTTTGCTCTGCACTGCGAGCTTGATCGGCATCAGAGAGCGCAGGGCGTACCTGTAACCGGGTATTGGAAAGAAACGTGGCAGAACTCGTGGGTCGACCAGCAAAGCTTATTCGGAGAGGAGCTTCGTGAGGTGATGCTTCTGACAAGCTTACCACCGGAGAACCGAGAGGCTCAAGTTGAGAAGCTAATCTGCATGCTCTTCGAGCTCGTCAAACATGGTAGCAATTACGCTGCTATTCCCACTGAAGTCACCATAGCAGCTCGGAAGCAGATTCAGACTGTGCTTGGCGAAAAGATGCGTGACTGGTTTCTACCATGGTACGAGGTGCAATTGAACAGTACGCAATACTTCAAGAGAGGGGGGTTTGGAGAAGTCTACCACGGCGAATGGATGGGATCTAAGGTAGTGCTCAAGAAATTGCATCCCGAAAAGTTTGATGAATCGACATTCATCCGAGAAGTGGAGATCTGGTTCAAGTTGTCCCATCCGAACGTGCTGAAGCTCTTTGGTGCTTGCCACGTCGGGCAGCAATTCTTCGTGTCCGAGTGGGCGGGCCACGGCCAGTTGGACGCCTATCTGAGGGAGCATCGTAACCTCGTGTGGGAGAAGCTGCACGAGGTTGCGCTTGGGCTGCAGTATCTTCACGCAAACATGATCATCCACTGCGATCTGAAGTGCAACAACATACTGGTGGGTTTGGACGGCAAGGCAAAGGTGTCAGACTTTGGACTCAGCTCAATCTCGCGCGACACAGAGGTAGACACGGCACAGCAGACATTTGGGAACGTGAGGTGGGCAGCGCCTGAAGTGATGGGAGGGGCGGCTCCCTCGCGTGAGTCCGATATCTACTCGTTCGGCATGTGCATCATCGAGGCAATCTCAGGCAGACTGCCGTATTTTCACATACGCGATCTGGCAGAGATACGCCCACGTGTACTAAGAGGAAGATTTCACCATCAGCCGGAAGAATTCGAGAGCAAGGCCCACTGGGAGCTGGTGCTGAAGTGCTGCGAGTACGATAGCTCCAAGCGTGCTTCGCTGCCAGAAATTGCTGCGATGCTCTGGAAGTTTGCGGATGAAGAGCGACGGCGCATCAATTCCACTGCCGAAAAAAAGGTTGGAGACAGCATCCGGTGCACTGCGATTAAAGATCAAGTCGAACAACCTGACGAGCCTTCGGGGCTTGTTATTTCAAAAGCTAGCAATTGTGCCGACGATGGCACGAGTCATCGATGCGTCGAATCATCGGAGCTTGTTCAAGATCTCAACGGGAAGAACTCCATCGAGGGGACAGAGCTTGGTCCTATTGGCCTGAAGAGCAAGGAAACTGGCGGCAACAAGTGTGAGGGCGATTCAGGCGCCGAAAACCTTTTGGTACTCTCTCTCGCGAGTCTGCGAGGATCTTTTGACAATCAAGATGGTTGCGCTTACAGCAATGGTGTGCTCGACAAGGCTGCAACAGAAAGTCAGGGCGAATTGGTAGTTGAGGGCCTGTCGACACTGGCACTTTCAGAGGCAAGTGCGCGAGATGAATATGCACGCAGCGCCTAGCCTGAATCCGCAGCAACTTATTATGAAAACTTCTGCGTTTTCTGTGCGCCTGCAAATTATATCCGCCTATTCCATTCGCTGCGCTCACTGCACTGCGGATAATACATAACTAACGTGAAGCACTTGAGATCTTCGGGTTGCTCGCTAGGCGTTTATCTTACTCGTGTGTTGATATTAGAATTTACTAGTAGTTCTACTTGATTCTAGGCTAGCTACCTAACTGCAGCCACCGCCGCCGACGATCTGCAAGCACGCCGTGCTGGGGATGATCGCCAGCAAGTTGAACACGGCGCTGATGAGGAAGGCGCAGCCAAACGAGCCAAAGACCCACCACGTCGTGCTTTTGTCGCCCTGAGCTCCAAACCGGTGCAAGCGCTGGAGCTCCTGCTTCTGTCTGGGTAGGAAGATGAGCGCCACGATGCTGATCAGGCGAATGGAGTAGCACAGCCCAAGTCCGAACACCACTTGGCCGCTCTGCTCCTCCGTGTCGAACATGCTCGGGGTCTCGAACATGTAGCCAAGTCCGTTCGAGAACGTCGTGGCCAGCAGTCTCATGATGCTGCTCATGGACACGATCATACCCACGAAAGCCCCTTCGCCACCGACTGGGGCGATTTCAGCTGCAATGGCGACCTCCAGGATGACCAACGCACCGCGCGGGAAACCTCGGAGCGCTGTGATGAAGAGAAACGCTTGTTGGCTGCGCATATCGGGCTCCATGGCCGCCATGAAGAAGAAGATGACTTGGGGCAGCATCATGACGACCAGCAGGCTGATGGAGATGCACCAGCGCCACTTGCAGTTCAACGCGCAGAACTTCCACGCCGCAGCAGCCAGCACGTACATGACCTCCATCGTGATGTTGCTCGAGGACTCGGCCTTGTCCGTGAAGTTGCACCAGATCTCGAGCTGCGCGTGCGGGTACGTGAGCGTGAACTCGGACAGGAAGACGAAGATCATGAAGAAGCGGATCACGCGCGTCGACGCCTCCTTGGCCAGCGCAGACCGCAGTCGAGTCCAATGGATCCGCAGCGTCTTGAAGCAGCTCGTGGACGCGCGTCGGATCTCCTCCTGGATGAAGATGTGCGACTCGTCCGCGCCGTAGTTGGTCTCTCCATCGTCGATCGGCGGCGGGTCCGGGTCCTCGTAGAACAAGGAGATCAGCATGAACAGCGGCACGAGCGAGTAGAACATGAAGAAGAGCGCCGTCTCTCGGAACGAAACCAGCGGCGTGAGTCCGAACTCGGTGATGTTGAAGATGGCCATGTCGGACGCCAACTGACCCGCGAGATTGCCCATGAACTGGGTCAAGATCAACGACCCCAGCGCCTCCCCCCGTTGCTCAAGCGGCTCACGACGAGTCTGCGTGACAACGTAAATCTCTGCGATCACCAAGGCCAAGATGCTGCCGAAGCTGGCCAGCATGAAGAGCGCGATGTAGCCATCGATCAACGCCACGCGATGCTCCAGCGCCGCCTCCGTCGCCTCCTGATCGGTCAACGCGTTGTACTCGAGCGTGTAGTTGAGAATGGCCATGGCGAAGCACGCGACGAGGATCATCGCCCAGCCGGCGATAATGTACGCCTTCCGTCGAGAGCCCAACAGAGGCACAGAGTCCGAGAAGAAGCCCCACACGAAAGTGTACGACCACGGCAGCAGCATGAGTACGTCCGCTGCCTCGGCCTGATACGTCTCGAGCTCCAGCTCCGCCTGCAGCAGCGGCAAGAGGCCTCCTGTCAGACACGTGTGGAAAGCTCCTGCGAACAGCGTCGACACCAGCAGCCCAATGTGGCGGCACGAGATGTAGTCTATTGAGCCCTTCGTGACCGCGCCGTCCTCCGACGCCACCGAGCTGTTGACTGCGTTGATGGAGACTCCGTCGCCGCCGAGTCTCATGGTCTTGGAGCTGATCATGGCTCCGTCGTAGTCCACTACTGCACACGTGCTGTCGAGGGGGTCGTTCTGCCTAGAGCTGATGATGGGGATGTCGAATACGTTGTCCCCTCTCCTGGTACTGCCCGGGACTGTGGTCGCGTACGAGTCGTCCATCGCTGCAGTGTTCCTGACTTCATATTCAAAGCGTTCGCGGCGGTGGCGTCTAGGAGGAGGAGGTTGGTGTCTGCGTGGAGCTGCTGGGGCTTCAAGGCCCTTTTTACTATTCGGAGCTCTTCGGTGGTTGCTCTCCGGTCTGGCTCGAGTTCTGGCGGGCTTGGCACACGAGTCACCGTTGCTGCTCCCGCCGCTGCCGCTGCTGAACAGCGTCCGACGCACCATTCTACCTGCCACGCTACGCCGGACTCGCTCGGCAGACTGCGGCAGTCAAGTCGAAATGTGGGCAACCGAGACACCAGATGAGCCCAAGAGCTGCTTGCAGCTGGGCTCATGCGTTCGGACCAAGTGCTCGTCCGTAATCCCGTGGACTCATCGTTTCTACATCGAGCGACCGGCTTGCGATTTGAAGCCCCAGCGCCGGCCAATGTCCAGGCGGGTCACCCCTTCAGCTGTTGCGGCGGCAATTACACCAATCGAGGCTGGAAGGCGCCGTGAAACCAGTTGCCTGGCCTACGACGGTTTGAGGCGCGGCCCAGAAGCAGACCGAAGTCGTCCTGATGCCCATGCCGCATTACATCAGCGTTGAACTTGGCTTAGGTAGTCGTTCAAGTGACCGGCGAACCAACGCGAGGGGAATCGGCAAGGAAACCGAGTGCACCTGTATCACTGAAGTCGTCGATAGGTGTGGCGCCAAAGGTTCACAACGCAATGGCCCCTCCATGGCCGAAGTCGACTGGGGCTTTCCGGTCTCCGGCTCGCGTTCGTCTCTCGTTGATTCGGACCGTATCACGGGCATAAAGCCCGAATCCGATCTTTCAATCGCTCACGCGCGTCGTGAAGCACAAAGCACTCGGCTGTCGACGCCACGGTGTTTTCGTTGTGGACAAGATTACCCTCCTGACTCACTACAGTAAGCTGTAGAATTGCTAGAAGGTAACTTTGCCAGCGTTCTGACACAACACTCGGCTGTCTTTCAGTGTTGTATTCTGTGTGAGCTCAATAGTGTGTATTACTATCATACTTTCTGGTTGAGTTCGCTGGGGTCTCTCTAGGAAGTGACTGCCTCATTTGGTCAGTCAGTAGGTTGGTAGATACGCTGGCATCTCGGGTCGAGGATGTCCAGCGCTTATAAGTTAGGTAGGTTTCGTTGATACGGTATCGGCTACCGTTCTTCCAGCACGGCGTAGTTGAATCCGCGCTCCATCGACATGCTGGAGCTGGCGATGCTGCTATTGCTGTAGATGCTGGCCAGGTCCTCTCTCGTGCCCAGGAACGAGTTCTGGTCGCTGATGCTCACGTCGTCACCGATGTCGCTGACTCGGCGCTCGCGCTCCAGCATCGCGCGCAGTCTGTCGGCCACCTGCCCAGCCGTAGGCCGCAGCGTCGGCTCCAACGTCAGACACTCGTGCATGAGCATTGCAACCCCGCGCGGGCACCGATCCGACAGCGACGGGTTGATGGCTCCAGTGCGCAGCAGCTCCAGCACGGCGCTCTCGGGCAGTGGCTTGCCGTTTGACAGCGTGACTTCGGAGAAGGGCAGCTCGTGGCTGTCCAGCTCCGACAGGATCACGCCGAACGAGTACACGTCCACGGCCGTGGAGTACTGCGCGTCTCCGGACAGGACTTCGGGCGCGATCCAGCGGTTGGTGCCGATCGAGCCGGTCATGGCGAACTGCTCGACGGGGTCCTCCTCGGCATCCTCTCCTTCCGATGAGTGAGCGATGCCGTACCGACTGACGCCGAAGTCCGCCACCTTGGCCGTGTACGTCGAGTCCAGCAGCACGTTGCGCGACTTGAGGTCGCGGTGGAGCACGGGCTTGGGCTGGCGCGAGTGCAAGTAGGCCAAGGCTTCGGCGATGTCCAGCGCCATGGCCAGCTTCCTCGAGCCCCACGCGCGCGCTCGGACGTCGCTGCGCGTGCGCGAAAGGTATTGGCGCAGGTCGCCGCCGCTCATGAACTCGAGCACCATCTGCAGGTCCGACGCGTTGCCCGACGAGCCACCGCTGGACTCGAGCTTGGACGGCGTGGACCAGGCCACGCCGTAGAACGCGACGATCTTGGGGTGGTTCAACGTGGCCAGGAAGCGGATCTCGGCCACGAAGCGCTTCATGGCGTTGCGCGCCGGGGACCCCTTGGACTTGGACTTGGAGCGCGTCCTCGTGTTGGACGCGGTGGTGGCCACGGTGTTGCCCGCGCTCAGGCGACTGTGGCGACTGTTCTTCCTCCACGACTTGGTCCGGGGCAGCGACGGCTGCATGGGGGGCGACAGCTTCTTCACCACCACAGTGTCGCCCATGTACGTGGCGAGCCAAACGGTTCCGTAGGCCCCAGCGCCCAGCGGACGAATGGGCGCGATGTTCTCGGCGTCGATGCGCCAGGACGCCAGCGCTTCCTCGTCCTCCTTGGTCAGCGTAGCGCCCGCAGCGAGGGCTCCTTTCCGTCTCGACGACGTCGGGTAGGGCGGGGGGAGTGCTGCCGGCCCCGCCTCCAGGTCTGCGCCGCCTTCCGCCTGCTTCTTCTTCTGCCGCTTGCAGCAGAAGAACATGACGACGGCGAACGCCAAGAGCAGGATCAACGGGATGCTGATGCTCAGCCACAGCTCCAGATTCTTGTCGTCCGCCGATTCCATTGACGACGCCGTCAGCGAACCGGCACCACTGTCGGTGCCGGTGCCGCTGGAGACCGCCGATCCGGAGGACCCGGAAGAGCTCGACGACGTCATGTCCAGCACGTCCGTCGTCTGCGCTTCGGCCTCACCTCCTTCCAGCCATCTATGCATCGCTCGGGTAGTTCGTGTATGGGCAGGTGGGTGGATGGGTGGATGGGTGGACGGGGGTATGTAGATGACGCGGTGGACACGGTGGTGGACAGGTAGAGTAGCTGGGGCTGGTAGTACAGTACACGGGTGAACCTGTTTCTTATTTGCCGTCTTATTCGCGCGTGGTTTCAGTTGTTTGCCGGTTTGTGCGGTCGTTGGCCTCCGTCGACCAGCGGCCCAAAGCCCAAGTGCCTTGCAGCCTTCGCTTGCTCGCTGCGCTCCACGTTTTCTCGCCAGTGTATGTACGGCTCGAGCAGAGACCGACTTGGGCCGAGCGACATGTGCACCGTAGGGATTCGCGGGGGAGCATGAGATTGGCCATGTTACATACGGACAAAAAGGGGATCGCGGCATTGCACGGTTCCAAATTAGAGGAACTTGTCTTCTGTCATGGAACTGAGATACAGCTTTCATTCGAATATATGGTACTTACAATTTATGAATGCACAGAGTCTTTTTGTGGCATATTGCCTACTATGCGGCATACTTCAGGATCGGCCGATTTTTTCGTGCCGACAACCTGCACAACGGTCTTTGACAACCGAGCGGGCCCGAATGTGGAGGCGCGGCGGTCTCGCGTGAGCCCGTGTTGGCACTTTGCGCGTTCTTACCGTCGATCTCGCCCACGAAGCGCACATTGTCACATGCGCCGCTCGGGTTGCTTACGTCTGGCTCCGAGGTGACGGAGAACTTAAAGATTTAGTCGCTTCTTCTGCATTTGAGGCGGTTCAACTCGCAGGTTTCCTGCGGATTGCGGTCGCGTGGATTCTGCCGCTCCACTCGTGGCTCGCACTGGAGAGAGCCCTACGACAGGAGTGGTCCGGAACGGATGCAAATATTTTTTCGGACGACAACCCCACACATCGTAAGGTGATTGATTCCGGTCATTACTAGTGTATTAATACATGCATCCTTGGTGGACAGCGAGTGGATGGATCGTGGACGGAGAAGACTGGGGGGTAATACACTACAAGCATCTACCATCTTACACGCCCACATGGTTGCAGCTATGGAGCGCTGGAAGGAAGAGCGAGTTCACACAACCCGCTGGAACTCTCTTGGCCACCCTAGCTCGAACAGTGAAGCGAGCACACATCGTGCAATGCATCGCAATAGTCGGACTTCAATAGGCGAAGAAGCGAGGAGGAAAAGACAGCGTTGCCGTCAATTTCGCAGCGCGTAGAGAGATTTCAGCTTAACTGAGAACGATCCATTCACGGTCGCCGTCAATTTCGCAGCGCGTAGAGAGATTTCAGCTTAACTGAGAACGATCCATTCACGGTCGCCGTCCACGCTGCTTGGACGGACACGTTGCCATAGAGTTCTTTTCGTCGTTGTCATCGAGTGAACCGCAGGTCGACAAAATGACGGGGAAGTGGTAACAACATTTGCACGCGTCTTTGTGGAGGGCTCTCTGAGTGGAAAAACTGAGCGCGCAAGGATCGTGCTCTCTCTCTCGGTGGGGAAGGAAGGAGTGCACAGCGACAGCAGAGCTCAACGTCGAGCTGTCGCTGTCACGCTGTACAGCGAAGTGATCACACTCTTTGCAGAACGAAGCTCTCTTGTCCTCCTTCACCGACCGAAAACGTGTTGTCGCCGAGTCCAAAGCCGTGGAGGCGGTACGGCTCCTGTTGCTGCACGAGAACTCCAAAGCACGGCACGATTCGTATCGGATACGTCCTCCCCTCCTGGAAAATTTTATTGTCCCTTGTTTTCAAGTTTGATCGGCCGCCTCACCTCCCTCGAGCCAACCGGTAGTTTGTCGGTGTATTGCGAGTGGAGTCATTTCGCTGGTGGGCAAAAGTTAACCTACGAATTGCGATACGCCGTCGCGCCAAGTGCCTGCAACGTTCCTCGCCCTGATATCTCAAGTCCTGTGGTTCAAGTTCGCGCGCGTCTGGCAGTCAGACTGACGGAACATGGGGGAAGTTGGTGACTCAAAGTGCTCTGCAACGCGGGATTCCCGCACTTGTGACAAGAAGAAGTGTGCAAGATAAAGGTGGGCGTGCAGACGAAGGACCAGATCGAAGCGTGGGTGGAGCTCCGAAAGTATCCAGTCATCGGCGGAGGAGGAGATCGCTGCGTTCATTCTCCAAGCTGCCACTCAAGTGACAAGGCCAGCTCCAGCCCATTCTGCTGACAAACAATTATCCATGGACAGCGCGTTGCTTCCGCGCAGTAACTCGGCCGATGAGGAGACGATCTCCATTGTGGCGTACGGAACGGAGCCACCACACCCTGAAGTTCCCCGATCGGCGAGCGATAACCGGAATTCGTGGAGAGGTTCCCCTTCCAACATCCAGACAAACTACCAGCCTCCTGACTGGGCCTCGGACGATGGTGCGGTCGTTGACGGCAGTGCCAGACGCATCGCTGTCAATTCAGGGACTGATACGAACACCAGTGCAGACTCGGCGTCGACATCAACTCCACCTCTTCCTGGTGGCAACAGCTTCCGGAGTAACTCGAGCGCAAAACCGGATCCGACAGCATCCACAAAGTCACCGGAGGTGGCAACAACGCCACCAACAAACGCGACCATGCGCCCACTGACGCTCTACGGCAAGGACATCCTCCACATTTTCCCCTTTGGCTCGACAGCGCACGACCCCGTAAAATGGTCGGATACCCTCGGAGCTGTCGATACCGAGGACGACTACTCAATTCGAGACCCGCACTTCGACCTCACCAACGGAAAAATCATCAAGCTCTTCTCACTGTCCAACCCCAACGGTAAGCTGATGAAGGGATCGCGAATTGACCAAGACTTTTACTGAAATTTCGATCATGTTATGAATTTTAGAGCAGGGAATGCTGTCATACGAAGGTTTCCGCTGCGGTCTGGAGGCTATGGGCATCGCTTGTGACAGTGATCGGCAGTTCCAGGCGTTCGTGGATGTGGTGGACGAGAACAAAAGCGGCGACATCTCGTACGAAGAGTTTCTGTGCGCCATCCAGGAGATCAAGCTCGCTCAGCTGTTCAACGACCCGTTCATCAGCACGATGCCGACTCTGCAGGCGAGTCCGAAGTCGCCTGTATCGCTCGGCTCGATCGAGTACTCGCCGGACCGCATTCGAAGCGTCTGCCCGATCAACCAGGTCAAGAGCTTCATCTACTCGAGCAAACCGAACTGGGCTGCGGTTCGCTGGATCAACGTGAAAGGGATTAACACGCTGTTGATTCGCCGCCTCTCCGTCCGCTATCGACTGCACCCGCTCGCGATCGAAGACACACTGGGGCCGGACGTTAAGCGGCCGAAGTACGTGAAATTCGACGAGCATTCGTTCCTCATCCTCCAGACGCTGCACCCGCGCAACATGGCGCTCGTCAAGAGCTACCAGCAAATGTTCCGCGCCTCGCAGTTCGTGTTGCCGGAGGACGACGATCCCTTCGATAAAATGAGCGCCGGCGAGCTCGAGTTGCGACTGAAAGAGCTAAACGTTGGACACGTCATGTCTCCACCGCAGCAGCTCAGTCTGTACGTCATGGAGGGGGTTCTCATCAGCGTTCAGGGGGAGAATACGCTCTGGTCGGCTCTAAAGCGACGGCTGCATGTGTCGTACTCCAAGGTCCGTCAGCACAGCACAGCGTTCCTCATGTACACGATCATGGACGTGTGCGTGAACGAGCTATCACCAATCTCCCAGACGTTTGGTGCTAAGTTACTCATGCTCGAGCGCCTGATGATGCTGCAACCGCGATATTTCGACTTGGGTCGCATCGCCGCCTGCTCCAAGCAAATCAAGGGGCTTCAGGTGCACTGCCGACCGATGCGTGAAGTTATCTCGAAGCTCATTTCGTCTGACGACTATCAAGGCGAGACGCTGCAGTACTTTGCTGACGTCCAGGAACACCTGACGACCATCGAGGAGGAGTGCGAACGCAACCTCGACCGCTGCAACGGCCTCGTGGACGAGTTCAACAACGCGCGCGCCTCGCAGCAGAACGACGTGAGCTACATCTTGGCGCTCATCGCCGCGATCTTCCTGCCGGCGCAGTTCCTCACGGGTGTCTACGGCATGAACTTCCCGTACATCCCCGAGCAAACGTACTACTACGGTTATTTCATCTGGTGGGCGATCATGCTGGTCGTCGCGGGGCTCATCGTACTGTTTTTCAAGTACAAAAGGTGGCTGTAAGAGGGAATACATACAACTTGATGAATATCTCAAGTCGAGGCTGTTCTACACAGCCTGGCTCTGTTGGAAGATGCTGTTCTGTGCAGTGGCTACAGAAGCATACACTAAAGCCGGTCTTGGACCAAGACCAAGGGATCAGGAGTCCTGGTCACATGAATGCACTCTAGGAGGTAAAACTTAGTAATGCTACTTGTAACGAAAGTGCAATCTGAATGTTCAAAATAATCGACGAGCTATTGGTTCTGCTTCTGGTTCAGCTATGGCCGCCGCACTCTCTGCAGGTGACGCCCGCGCTTGCTGGTGGCAGAGTTAACGTCGGGCGTAGGCGCTGGGGTGGCGATTGCATTGCGCACCACAGCGCACCAGGGTCCATGCTCGCAAGAAAGAGAAACAGCAGTGGTTCACCCGTCAGCTACTTGAAGAGCTGACTGCAATGAACTGAGTGTCCTTGGAGACTAAAAGTTAACTGGGTAAGCCAAGAACCCGTGTTGTCTGGATGGTTGTGTTGATCCCCACACTGCAAACAAAGCCGCGAGCCAATAACTACCCACCGACGAACAAGTTGGGCAAGCGAGTGCCACGAAAGCCGCTTCAGCAATCACCTCGTGAAGCTGAATTCGTCTCGTCAGGTTTTTCAGGAGAAGTCCAATAAACGAGAGAAGGATCTATCGAGGTAAGTGGAACTTCACCGTCGATGATCGAAGAAGTGCTACCGTCGGTCATTTCTCCAAACATTCCGGAGCGCGCCACCTTACTTAAATCGTCCTCCATAGCTGCACCTGGGAACTTCTTCGAGAGCATCGAGTATCTGCGCATAGCGTCCAGCCCAAAATCCGCGAGCTTCGCTTGTCCACTTGCTCCAACGAGAATATTGCTCGGCGTTGGACAAACACTTTCTTGTGGAGGTAGTCCAAACCAAGTGCTGCATCGTGCAACATTGCCCACATCTTCCTTTTATTGTCGGCTGAACGCGCCAGAAAGCAGCCCAGATTGCCGTTGGTCGTGTCTTCATAGACGACGAAAGGCGGCGTGCTCCCATACGACCTGCCCAGCCGGTCCACCACTACTTTTAAACAGACACAGGCCGGCAACGTCACGTCCCCTCTATTCACTTCTGCACGAACTCTCTCCATCAACGAATTGATCCGACCTATTGGCGCCCCGACTACTACGGTCCGCGCGTTTGACCTTTTTCGTATGACGCCGCTGGTCGCGAGGGTGCTGATACGGAGGTGCGCTTCAGCTACGCCGACAAGATTCTACACGACTAATTCATCAATTAAAACTTTTATATCGCGGTTTGGTAGAGTCTACCTACTCGGCCCCACTTACCCGAGACTTCTTTGACGAGTTCGGTGATTCTGTCTGTCCGGCTTCATTCGAGCGTCTTTTCTTCGAAATTGGCCCGACTTCGACAACCAAAATGAGCTTTCCGGCGCCGGATTCCCTCGTACCACCGCCAGTAGCCTTTGCCTCCATCAGCTCCTGGAACCGTTGCACCTCGCCACTGCGCGAAATTCGGTAAAAGTCCGCGTGTTGCAAGCCAACGTGCTCCAAATACTTAGATGCCGACATCTTGGAGACGTCTGGCTTGGGTGGGGGAGTCACCTGGCCAGTAGGCACGTTTGATTCAGCGCACGATTGCGCATCAGATTCCACGCCAGCCGTGCGCTCGGTTACAGACTTCTTAGCCTTGGTTATGTGGTGTTCAGACTCAGTGTAGTCGGTTGTCGATTGCTTAAGCTCCGTGCATTTGGTCGTCTCCTTACATTCAGCCGTCTCCTCACATTCGGTCGTTGCCTTCTTCGTGAAGTATTTATCTTGCAGTTTTTGGACCGTCACCAAATGGATGCCTGTCAGCTTCGGCACACGCGCTAGAATTCGTCTCAGCTCATCCAAAACCAAGGATCCACGATCCTTGCATTCGCCGGAAAGAATCATCTCCTTATCCACACCGATTGTGCAACGGGGTTACATGGAATAGTGACCCTGTCACTATTCCAAAATGGCTACATCGGTCACTCCCCTGGATAGTGACTCAAGTGGCCTCAGAGCCAACAGATACATTTTGTATGACACAAACTATAGGGAACTTAGGATTTGTATGCAGCCCAAATCTGTACCAACCTATAAATACATTCAGTCTTAGATCTACCGCTTTTCAAGTCAAGTCGTCCTCTTCAGACCAGGGACACGTGAACGGCTGTTCACTTGGAGTTTGTATACTCCTGCTTCCTCTGTTAAGAAGTGCTGTGTGCCCCGTCACACTTGTTAGCACTTGTAGTCAATCCTACGCCTACGCGGGTAGATTGGACTACTTGAATTCTCTGTGGTCTCATCGAGTGAGCCAAGATGGATCGTACGGAGTTTCCCCATCTGAACGACTCGCAGTACGAGTCCGTTCGTAAGATGGCAGGCATCTTTGGGACAGATGCCCTGCGTAGCTTAGCGGTGGCGACGCCGGCTGAGCAGGTTGAGCGTATCAACGCGTTCGACACCTACGAGCGAGGGCTCATCGCCCACGTTCAAGGGCTGCAGGCCACTGCGGCCGCACCGAAGCCGGTGCAACTGAAGCCCCTGCGGCTGAAGGTTCACCCCTTCGAAGGGAAGGAAGGAGAAAACCTTCACTTCTGGGCTCGAGAGGTTGAGCTCGCGATGGACGCGGCTCTCGTCTCGGACGAGCGACTCCGTGTCGCCTTTGCGCTCTCCAACCTTAGTGGTCGCGCTAAGAGCTGGGCGTATACGCGCGAAGCGACGACGCCTGGATGCTTCGCATCATAGTCCCAGCTGTGCGAGCAGCTGGGGGCCGCGTTTCTTCCGGCGAACTACGAGTACCGCCAGCGTTCGCGCTTCCTCGCCTGCAAACAAGGAAGGCGCGAGCTGCATGAGTACATCCAGGAGATGCGAGTGCTCACTGCCTCTTTGGTGGGGAACCCCCTGCCTGAACACATCAAGCTGACCGTGTTCTTGGACGGTCTGCGTGTCGGTCCTGCCCGCACGCAACTGTTTCGTGTGCAAGCAAACACAATGGAGGAGGCGATTCAAATCGCCCTCCAGGAGGAGTACAGCCACAAGCAGGCTCGTACTCCCGCCACGGTATGGCAGAGCAACCCTGCCTCTGGCGGTGCGCCTAATGGTAACTCCGGCAATGGAGCGATCAACGGGCCGGTTCCCATGGATCTGGGCATGGCCGAGCCGAGCGACATTCGCTGCTACGGCTGTGGCAAGCTTGGGCACATGAAACGTGCTTGTCCCGCGGGAGGACTGAAGAAGAAGTTCTCTTCGAAGCCCTTTGAGTAGTGGGCCTACCTTGGCTCACTACTACGGCTTACACGTATGCGCACGTGTATGAGGAAGCGTGGGTTTCTTTTACTTGAGTTAAGTATACTCGAGATCCACGAGTATACTTTAAACAAGATAAAGACTCCAAGTAGCGGATTTTGGTAAAAGATGAGAACTGCTATTTTTGTTTTATGTTTCTGACTTCCTCTAAATGTAATATTCTAAACTAGGAATCTGCCAACGGCTGGTTGGCAGGATTCTGCTAACATGCAAGTCACTCATTGGCTGCTTTCAGCCAATAGGAATCCTAAATGTGTATGGACCACCCGTCGTGGTGGTCGAAAAATGTATGTAGCCATTGGTGTACCTTACACCAAGGTCGAGGAAGTGTTCAAACCTCTAACAGACATCGCATCTGTTAGAGTAACAAGTGACTGTAGCCACTTGTGCGTGTAACCTCGTTACACTTTGGCTCTAAGGGTCGCTGGCAGAAGCCGCGCCCCAGGAACCAGGGGAACGCCGGACACCAGTAGGGGCGGGGCGCCCTACTGGGGAAACACTAAGTCTTCATGAGGGGCGTGCGGGTGGCGCACGCCATGGGGACGTAGCCCCTGAGAGTCTCTGTACTCTCGAAGCGGAGAAGGGCAGCGGTGGGCTGCTTGTGGTGCACGCGAGTGTACCGGGATACGATCATCCCTTGAGAATCTTGATCGACTCTGGGGCGTCCAAGAACTTTGTGCGCCGCCAGACTGTCGCACGCAATCGCGACAAGTACGCCGATGCGCTACGAGGCAGCAAAGGCAACGGGCTGGTCTCGGTAAGACTGGCCGACGGTACGGTGGTAGAAGTACTTCGGGTCCACATGGACCTCACTGTCAAGTTCGAGGACTTCGACAGCACGGAGCCGTTCTTGGTCCTAGACATGGACAAGTACGACTTGATCCTTGGTATGCCGTGGCTGGAGAAACACGAGCCTTGGATCGACTGGCGCGGCAAGGCCATCGGGGCCAGCCGTCCCCCACGCTCTGACCGAGCTTTGGTGAGTCATGTTCCCACCTCTGGCAGCAGCTGGGGCGCCCGCGAGGGCCGCCAGGGCGCAGCAGCATCTAATGAGTTCTTGGGGTCCGTCGAGACTGACGACGACTCCGACCGGGCCGGACAAGGCCTGAGAGTGGAGGTGCCGGACAGCACCTACCAGGTGGGTAACGTAGGTCCACACGCGGGTAACGAAGTACCGCAGGCAGCAAGGGCTGCTGGAGAAGGCACCGCTGGCGTTGGCGTGGGTAACCAAGTTCCACGCGAGGTCACTCAGACCGTAATTGATGAGGAAGGTACTCCAGGCGCTTCCGATGTGGGTAACATAGTTCCACAGGAGGTCACGCAGACCATAACTGATGCGGGAGTCGCTGGAAGCGCTCCTGGTGTGGGTAACCAAGTTCCACACGGCGAGGTGGGTAACATAGTTCCACCCAGCAAGGCGGGTAACCAAGTTCCGCTCAAGGACAAGGCGGGTAATGTAGTTCCGCACGAGATCGAGAAGATCGGTGGTGCCGTCAAGGCGACGCCACGAGACGAAGACACCCGAGGGTCACGTCGTAAGCCGGGCCTAGTCGTGTGGCCGACGACGCCAGTCGCCAGCGACTCCGAGCCTCCAGCCAAGGCTCCAGCCGCCGAAGAGTGTTATCACATCTTCGACGGCGTGACCGGTCGTCGGGTCAAGACAGGAGCTGTCGAGCTTACAGCTCTGCCCGAGGTTTCAGAGTTGCTGAACCTTGAGGAGCTCGCCATGGAAGACTTCTTGGCCGAGCTAAAGGCCGGGGAGATCGCAGAGTTGGTTCTCCTCCGACCGGAGTCCACGTCGGCCGAGTTGAACTCGTCCTCGTTCATGGACCAGGCAGTCCTGGAGAAGTTCCAGAGACAGCGCGCGTCGCGCATGGGCTCTGAGATTCTTAAGAACCCCCGGGACCCGGTGTACCCCTTGGTGAAGGAGTTCGAGGACGTGGTGTCCAAGGATCCACCGTCCAATCTCCCTCCGGACAGGGGAATCAGGCACGAGATCGATCTCGTGCCGGGCACGAAGTACTGTGTCACGAGGCAATGGCCTCTTCCCCGGGATCAGTGTGAAGTCATTGATGCCTTCTTTGCCGCCAAGGCGAAGGCATGCATGGTGCGGGAGTCGAAGTCCCCGCACTCGACGCCTACCTTCTGTGTTCGCAAACCGAACGGAAAGTGGCGTCTGGTTCATGCTTATAACAAGATGAACTGCGCGACAGTGCCTGCGCAGACACCGATCCCGCGCAAGGACGTGTTGCTCAACAACATGGCCGGCTGCACGCTGTATAGCGCGCTGGACCGTGTGGACGGATATTACCAGATCCTGATGCGCGAGAGCGACATCCCACTCACGGCTGTGAGCACGCCGAGCGGTATGCTCTGGGAGTGGCTGGTCATGCCTCAGGGGCTTTCTAACGCCCTGGCAACGTTCAATCGCTTGGTCACACAACTGTTCCGACCATTGCGTGCGTTCACACAGACGTACTTTGACGACATCTTTGTCTACAGCCGTGCCGAGGCAGGCCAGACGGCCATGGAGGTGCATCTCCAGCACCTTCGACGTGTGTTCGAAGTCATGCGGGCGAACAAGTTGTACGCCAACATCGACAAGTGTGTGTTTGCAGCTGAGGAGATCAAGGTCCTGGGCTGCTTCGTCAGCAGCGCCGGGGTCCGGGCGGACCCGGAGAAGGTGAAAACCATCGCGGCTTGGCCGCCACCTCGGTCGCAGAAGGACCTAGGACAGTGGTTGGGCCTCGCCAACTACCTGCACAAGTATAGTGCAGGCTACGCCGAGCTGGCACGGCCCTTGTCGGATCTCCTGAAGAAGGATGTCGACTGGCGCTGGGAGCGTCGCCATCAAGATGCTTTTAACGACATCAAAGCGAGCTTACAGCGCGCGCCAGCCCTGGTATTGCCGGACGAGACGAAGCCTTTCAGCGTAGTCTGTGATGCGTCTGACTACGCAATTGACTGTGCGCTATTGCAGGCCAACGATGAAGGCCGCGAACGGGTCATCTCGTCCCAGTCCAGGCAGCTCAAGGCAGCCGAACGGAACTATCCAGTCCACGACAAGGAGCTACTTGCCATGAAGTACGCTCTTGTCAAGTTCCGAGTGCACCTCCTGGGCTCGACACCCTTTGTCGTTTATACAGACCACGCGTCCTTGCGGACTGCCGTCAACACACAGCATCTCTCACAGCGGATGGCGCGTTGGCTGTCATTCTTCGCGGAATACAACTTCCGTGTCGAGTACAAGCCGGGCAAGTTGAACGTGCTTGCCGACGCGCTGTCGCGCCGACCCGACTACAAGCTTGCTCATATTAGTCGGGTCACGACGGATCTGTATGATCGCATCAGGCTGGGGTACCGAGACGATGCCAGTCTCGGACGTCTTGTGCGGTACTTGGCCGCTGGCTCGGAAGCCAAGGCTGAGTGGCTCACGCCCCGACAACGTGCAAGGCTGCACCGCTATGAGTGGGCTGACGGTTTGCTCCACTATAGGGTCGAGCCAGAGGATCATCCCCGTATTGTCGTGCCCAACGACGAGGATCTCAAGTACGACATCCTGATGGAGGCGCACGACGCTCCATCCAGTGGCCATCTCGGCCGTGAGAAGACGTACGCGTCTGTCTCGCAGATGTTTTGGTGGCGTCACATGTACAAGTGGGTCGCCACCTACGTCCGTACGTGCGAGACGTGCCAGCGGGTGAAGCCTGCCGGTCACGCCTCGGCACCATTGCAGAGCCTGCAGGTCCCAGCGGACTGCTGGAAGTCGATGAGTCTCGACTTTGTCTTCGGACTTCCGGCCGCTGACCGTAGCAACACTGGTGTTGTTGCCTTCGTGTGCCGTCTGAGCAAGATGGTCCACTTTGCTCCAGTTCGTGACACCGTCACTGGCGACGATGTCGCTCGCCTGTTCATGGACTGTGTCTTCCGACACCACGGTCTGCCCGAGACCATTGTCTCTGATCGAGACCCGCGGTTCGCCGCTACGTTCTGGCAGACGCTGTTTCGCCTTCTCGGCACGCGACTGTCGATGTCGACGGCGGACCACCCGCAGACGGATGGCCAGACGGGGCGCGTCAATCGCGTGCTCGAAGACACGCTCCGCAGTATCTGCGCGGAGATGCCCCGCTCTTGGGCTGATCGCTTGCCCATGGTTGAGTTCGCACTCAACAATGCGGTACATGCATCGACGGGCCTTACGCCCTTTTACCTGAACGGGTTGCGCCACCCTCAGGTGCCGCTCACATTACGAGGCAGTACCGGGGCTTCGGTCCTAAGTGGGGGAGAGGCTTGGAAAACCTTTTCCTCCCAAGTCTCAGACGTGAGTCCAGCCACCTTGCGGAAGCAACTGTCCTCGTTTGCCGAAGACAGGCTGAACATAATCAACAGGGTGCAAGACACCATGGCGCAAGCCCAAGATAAACAGAAGGAGTACTCTGACCGAAATGGAAGAGGAAACATGAACGTGTTTAAGGTTGGGGATTTAGTTCTCCTATATACTAGAAACCTACCGCTAAACACTGTTAGCTCGGTCGAGAGCAACAAGCTGAAGCACCGCTTCATTGGACCCTTCACGGTCCTCAGCCGGCATGGCGCAGCGTACACCATAGACTTGCCCAAGTCGATGACGACTCTCACGACGTTTTACGTGGATCGTCTTAAGAGGAACCATGACCCTCTGGCTCTGGCTGCCCCGCAGGAAGCGGTGGGTGGCCCGGTGGAGAAGAGCGCAGCTCCTCGAAGCGCGGCGTCGGGTCGCGGTAAGGCGCCTGATACGCGCGCTGGTCGTAAGACGGCGCGGCGTACATCGGAGCAGAATACGCAGGGGCCCCGTACGAGCCCTGGCCAAACTGGGCCTGATACGAGTGGGGCTGCTGCTGCTCCGGATACGGCACGTGGCCATGAAGCTCGGCCCGAAGGCCAGCGAGCTGGTTTCGCAGCGAGTCGTAAGACGACAGGTCGGCTCGACGATCCACACGGCCATGGAGACTGCGAGTTTCTTGATAGAGCGAGGCAACATCCTCACGGAGCTGCTCCACGGCACCAGGCTGACCAGCACGAGCGGCAGCCTCACCACCAAGGCCGACGCCAAGCGCGATCTCGAGGACGTACACACGGTCCCGGAGTAGACGAATCTCCTCTTGCTGCAGGGCCACCACCTGACTCGGGGCCCCAACATACGGCTGCGTCGCCTCAGGCTCGTAGCCATGGCCGTGCGAGGCCACCGCCGGCCCTCCTTGATCGTAATGGGCAGATCCACTACCACGTGGAACGAGCCGTCCGGGAGCGGCGGCTCCATGGCAAGCGCCAGCTGCTCGTGAAGTGGAGGGGTTACCCTGAGTCGGATAACTCGTGGGAGCCCGTTGAGCAGCTCCAGGCAGACTACCCGAAGGCTGTTGCGATATAGGACGAGAAGCAGCGGCAGCTTCGTAAGTAGTCCTTGGCTTCTTGGCCGGTACCCGGGGCACGGTAGCAGACGTAGCCGCACCACGCCCACGCTCTTCACGAGCTTTGGCTCTCGCCTCTTGCTTCAGCTCGTCCATCTTCGAGTGAAGCTTGCGCTTGCTCACGTGTTGAGCGAACTCGATGCGGAGCTCGCGCACCTCCAGGATTGCGGACAGAGTGCGATCCTCACGGAGTTCTTTGAACTCTTAGTCGTAATACCCTTTGCACTGGACGTAGCGCCAGAAGAGGTCTTCCACCTCGCTCCAGGTCATGTTGTCATTCGGCTTGGCCCAGTGGAAACCCCACACAGGATGGAGTCCACCCTTGTCCTCCGGCTTCTTGCGAAGCGTGGTGAACTCCTTCAGTGTGAGCTTGTGTGGTGCTAGTAGCACACACCGGGCGACTTAAACGTCGCCAAGAAAGAGTGGCTCTTTCTCAACAAGAGCACACTCATAGGAACCCCTCAAGGTGTACCCGCCGATAAGGCCACGAGGAGCCGAGAGCTTCTCCAACAGCGCTGGCGCACCAGTGCCAGGCTCGGGCGGGAAGTAGCCCTGCGGGTACGTGGCATCCCCGCCTGAAGAAGACTCGATGGCAGTCGTGGCAGTCGGCTGCCTGGCATACGCACCCGAGCTAGCAGCGTGGTATTGCTGCTGCTGCTCGTCGAGGTTGTTGGAGAGCTCCTTGGGATCGTGGACGGCACCCTCCTCGTCCTCAGACTCCGAGTCGATGAACAGCTTGGAGGTGGAGCCGCGAGGCGACCTGGAAGCTGAACGCTTCTTCGCCTTGGCCTCGGCGGCCTTCGCAGCGGCAGCCGCTTTCGACGCTTGGGCACGCTCACGACCTTGTGCCAGCGTCAGATGCTTGGATGCCAGCACCTCCTTGGGCTTGGAGCCCGCGTCGCTCGGCGACTTCTCGGCCACGACCCCAGCGTCGACCATGGCGACTTCGTCGTGCGACTGCTTGCTGTCGCCTGAGTCGGACTCGGCGTCCTCCGCCTCCTTCTCTGACGAGGCCTTTGCATCGGCCGAGGCGTTGGTCATGTCGCCTTCCGCCAGCTCCGTGCCTTCGGCAGCGTGCGTGCTGCCCTCCGAGACGTTCTCGTCGTCGGGTGAACTCTCACCGGAGTACTGGACCATCGTGCAGTCAAAGACGGCGGCTTCCCAGTCGCGAGTCGGGCTTTTATGGCCCCGAGGACTCTCCTCCTTGCCTTGCGCGGCGTCAGGAGACTTGCTCCGAGCCCCGGCCTGACGGCCACTCTCCGGCGTGCTGCTACGAGAGCGCACCACCTCCTCGGCCGCCTTCGTGGCCTCCATCAGCGCGGACGACTCGTCCTTGGCCTTGGCCGCCCTGGTCTTCGGCCCTACGGCCCGCGGTTTCGGAGGTGCTTTCTCACTGCGCGCACTGCGCTTTGGAGGCATGCTTCCGGTCGACGTGGAGACCCTGCGGCTTGCTCGGCGATGCGCCAGTTGCTCTGTGAGGCCCGGGAGCCGAGGCGCCAAAGCTCGCGCCGTTGTCGATGGATTTCGACTTTGCGAGTGAAATGTGAGTCGCCGGCGTAACCTCGCTCTGATTGGTCGATAAGATCGAATCTAAGTGGGGGAGGATGTAACGGGGTTACATGGAATAGTGACCCTGTCACTATTCCGGGATGGCTACATCGGTCACTCCCTGGATAGTGACCCAAGCGACCTCAGAGCCAACAGATACATTTTGTATGACACAGACTATAGGGAACTTAGGATTTGTATGCAGCCCAAATCTGTACCAACCTATAAATACATTCAGTCTTAGATCTACCGCTTTTCAAGTCAAGTCGTCCCCTTCAGACCAGGGACACGTGAACGGCTGTTCACTTGGAGTTTGTATACTCCTGCTTCCTCTGTTAAGAAGTGCTGTGTGCCCCGTCACAGATTGCCTTCTTGCTTCCACCAGAGAGATGCGTTTCGGCAATCTGCATGCCCGAAAGTACCTCGTGAGTCTTACATTCATCGGCGAGGGAGATTTTGTCGTCTTCTTCGTTTGAAAGAACCTCGAAATCGATCCTTTCAGCATCGGCGGTACGCTTCACGTTCGCAAACATGGCACCTCTGCGCTGCCACTCTTGCAGAAACTCGCCCGGCCACTCCGTGTTCGGGATCGACAAAAATAGGATAATCGTATCATGCTTCAGCTGATTCGGAAGCTCTTTGACGCATTCGGGGTTCTTTTCAACGCCCAGCTCAAAGAGCAGCCTGCCCAAAAATTCTGGGAACTTCACTCCATAAAAGCCGCCTCGGTGGCTTGCCAAGACGACTGCCGCTGCCACCAACGCTTCCAGTGATATGCCACTGTGAGACCTCGCCGGGATATTACTTGTGTCGCATGGCATGTTGATCTGCTGCCACTCTTCGTGCACTGGAAATCGCAGTGGGCGAAGTACCTTTGCTGCCTTTCCACCTTCAGCAGGAATGCACTCGTCGACCATCAGTGCCAGGTGCAGCAAAATATCTTCCTCAGGGAGCGGCAGTTTGCAACGAGCATCCCATTTTGCCATCCTTTTGCCTGCAGGTGTTCCTTCTTCATTCTCGATCTGCTTGAATAACCCTTCTGTCGCGCCACTTAGATACAGCGTGAAAGGTGCCGTCTCGCGAAAGCGTCCGTAGTGGCCAACGATCAGATTTACACGGCCGTCTACCTCTTTGTAACTAGTACACAAGAGCATGCAGAACTGCCCCAACTCAAACTCACCAGTTGCTGACAACTGCTTCAAAGCACGAAACTGGCCCGCCAACGTCTTCGCCATGTCGGTCAAATACTCAAGTTGATCTGTCCCACTCGATTCAAACGGGTGATCCTTCATGTACAGCTGGGCTCGATACGAGAAGAGAGGCCTGCTGTGCTTGAGAATCCACAGCCACGGCGCGTCCACGTTCGCACTGGTGGCAAAAGCGGGGAATGACGGAACCACCACACACCACGGAGTCTCGCCCCTCGACGACGAATCAACCCTAGAATCGCGCCTTGTGGTCGCGAGATCGCGCGCTGTGCCGTTGGTGGCGGTGGCCACCACCACAATCCGAAAGGAACGGAACACATTCCTCATCATTCGTGCTCTTTTCCATCTCGCATTCTTTTCAGCGTCCTTCAGATTGCCGACACGAGGAAATTCGTCAAGGAAGAAGACGAAAGTCTTGTCTGTCTTCTTACGGCGGTTGCTGAGCGCGGTTTTCACGTCGCTCCGTGAGGCTTCCAAACCAGAATACTCCTCCAGCCCGCCCAGCGCTGCGATGATGAATCCGTAGATGAACAGCCTTTCCGATTCTTCAAAATCACCAACCGAGCCTTCACAAAGCTTAAATTTCTGCGTCATGTCTTTATCGATGTACGCTCTGAATGCCGCCGACCGTTGGTCGAAGGATCCGTACACAGACTGTTGTCGGTCTTTCCCCCTGGGCCGTGCACAACATGTGGAAGACGTCACACCCTGGAGGTTGAATGCCATTTGTGTCTTCCCAGTGCCCGACGAGTTCTGCGTCCGCCTGCAGCATCTTGATCGTTGTCATCAGCTGCTTTACTCCGTCCAAGTCTTTGAGACGCTCCGCTACTGCAGTGTACAGAGGTAACTCGTCCGATAGACGACGTTGTGGAAAGCTTCACCCACACGCGATCGTTGCCAGATCCTGCCGTGTCTGACGATAAACCCACAGAGTTGAGCCGTGCCTCCGCATTATCCAGTTGCGTCATGTACTCGGTGACGTCCACGCCGCCCTCAACCTTGTCCGCCACCCATTTGCCATTATCCTTCTCCTCTTGGAAGAGCTCCATCGTGGAAGCAGGAAGCTGGTACTGCTGCTTCTCTCTGATCACTTCCTTAAGCTCGCCGACCGACATGTTCTGGTCGATTTTCACAGGGAACGTGCCCGCCTTACCAACCACATTGCAGAAGACAGTCGCTGTAGGAAGCAGCACCAGCACGTGAGCATTGCCTGATCCTGCAACGTCTCCTGCCGATAACCCCCAGTTTCTCCATGTGATCCGTGATGCACAAGCCGGCCTCCACGTCGTTCGTTGTCACCCAGTTGCCACCATCCTTTTCCGCCAAGAAGAGCTGCAGTCTGGAGGCAGGAATCTGGTTGTTGGGCGCTGACGCGGTGGCGTCGAACACGATTCGCAGTGTCGAGATCTTCAACTGAGTTGCAGTACCCGCCGTGGGCTATTGAAGATCAGACACCGACTCGCAGCATCATCTGAGCCAATGTCTAGGGGCATCATGTGAGATGCGAGAGACTACCAGCTTGGCAGCAGAGTCAGGGCACCAAGGACGCTCTTGGGTACATGTAGCAGAGCGCAGGCACGCTGCAGCTCGTTTCGATTTTTCCTAGTTTCGCTAAGCCCTGCTCAATCACTTTTCATTGCTCCTCTTCGGGCACAAGTCCTCTCTCCTACCCTACTTCGCTTCGCTCGCCGCCGCCTTCCTCGCCAACGACCTTCCAACACTGGTAAAACTGGATGCGATGGATCTCGCTCCGTAATTCCTCCACCGACACGTTCTCGTCCATAAACACACTGAGCGGGCTTTCCGCGATACCCGCGACGCCGCACTTGACTTTCATCTTCCCTCCCGTTGGCAGATTCTGGAATGAGAACTTAATGATGACGCGGTGTCACAAGCTGATTGATTGGTTACAATCCAGTTCAATTCAGCCAATCCGGGTGTGAGTGTACATTGTGGGTTCTACTCAAAATTTCCTCCGGCCATACAAACTCCCATATGACTTGCTTAAGTACGACTGTAATCGCCCCGAAGGGTCGCTCCAGACATCTAGGTGATTGACGAATGACTTGGCGTTTGTAAAGCAGCGATTCGCCCAACCGGCCCCAATTGGCAATTATGCCGGAATTCACAATACCAGGTACATGTACACTTCAAAGTGATCAACAAAAAGTAAGCCGTCTCCACGTGTCTCTCAAGCGCGCAGCAAATCAACTTCAACTTTAAGTTGTCTTCAACATGGGGCAAGTTTGATTGGGAACCTTGTGCCGCGTTTAATAGTACGTTCATTATGATATTTACTGCTAGAGAACTTCTATCAACACCCACTTCCCCCTACGATACCCATGCACGAGGTGCTGGGTGAGATCGCCAGCGCGTTGAAGACGGTGCTGACGATGAACGAGCACACGAGGCAGCCGAGGATCCACCAGGCCGTCCGCTTGTCGTCCTTGGTGCCGAAGCGATGCAGTCGCTGCAGATGCCGCTTTTGCTTGGGCAGGAAGACGAGCGCGATCAGGCCGAGGATCTGGATGATGTGTGACAGCACAAAGGCGAACGCCACCTGCATCCGGTCCGGGTCCGTCCTGCCGTTGGCTGCGGCTTGGTCGTTGAACATGAAGCCGATGACGTTCGAGAACGTGTTGGCCATGAGCCGCATGCTCGAGGCGATTGACACGATTATACCAACGAAGGCGCCTTCCCCACCCACCGGCGCGATCTCAATGGCGATGGCCAACTCGAGGATCACCATCGAGCTGCGGAGGAAGCCTGTGAGCGCCGACACCACCGCGTAGATGGTGATGTTCCTCGCTCCGGGGTTGAGCGTGGCCATGAGGTAGAAGACGAACTGCGGCGTCAAGGTGATGATCACGAAGCTGCCGAAGACGCTCCAGCGCCAGTCGAAGTTGAGGAAGCAGTACTTCCACAGAATAGCCGGCAGCAGCGAGAACACCTCCATCCACGTGCGGCTGATGGATTCGTATCGTGGGTTCATGCCACACCACTCCTCCAGTCGATTCGTCGGGTACGTGAGCGAAAACTCCGCGAGGAAGATAAAGCCGATCAAGAAGTTCGTCACGCGAGACGTCGACTCCCTGCCCAAAGCACTGCGCAGGCGCTTCCAGTGTCCACGCGTAGCGAGCTTCAAACGTTGGTAGAAATTAGCCGCAGTCATGTACGCTCGCTGGAGCTCGGACGCTGACGTCTCCAGGTTGCCGACCGTGACGCGGTTGTAGCGGTCACGCGCGATGTTGATCGGAGGCGGGTCGGCCTTCTCGAAGAAGCAGGTGCAGAGTGCTATCAGGGGCACGATCGTGTAGAACACGCAGAACAGCATAGTCTGGCGGATGGTCACCTTGGGCGTGGACTCGACCTTGGTGATGTCGAAGATGGCGTAGTCGGAGATCAATTGACCGACCAACTCGCCGACAAATTGAGTCGTTAGCAGCGTGCCGAGTGCAGTTCCTCGTACAGTCATGCGCTCGCGTCGAGACTGAGCGATGACGTAGGTTTCCCCGATCACCAGTGCTACAATGCAGCCGAAGTTCGCGAGCATGAGGAAAAGCATGTACAAGTTCATGAGCGAGTCGGCATGCTTGAGGATATCTGCTGTGGTGACGTCGTTTTCCTCCGCTCGGTACGAAATGAACTGGTCCAGTAGAGCCATGCCGAAACACGCCAGCATAGTCAGCATCCACGCGAGAATAATGTACGCCTTGCGTCTGGACTCGAGAATAGGCACTGCGTCCGCTATGAAGCCCCAGAGGAAGCTGTAAGACCACGGAAGCATGACCAGCACGGAGACCGCGTCCGTTTGGTACGGCTGCATCCTCAGTTCGTGCTCGAGAAGCGGCATTACGCCGCGCTTGAGGCACATCATCAACAGACCAGCAAACCCCGTGGACACTAGCAGTCCGATATGCCATCGAGAGACCAAATTCACCTCAAACTTCCTGGACAGTGCTGGGAACGGCAGCATTCTTCCTCCTCCACCTCCTCCTTCGTTCTCTGCTTCCGCCTTCCTCCATCCAGGGCTGTCAATGCCCGACTCTGCTCCATTCATTATCACCACCGAGCTCATAAGCGGGTTGTCCACGCGACTGAGGATCGGGATCGCCGAGACCTGCGCATTGTCGATCCGTAGTCCGCGCTCGAAGCCACTGCGGTTGAAACTTTGATCGAACCCGCTGCGGTTCAGACTGTGCTCGAACGCGCTCCGGTTCAGGGCTGGCAGTCCTCGACTCTGGTTGAACCCTGTGTTGTCATTGTCGCTCTCGATGCTGTCTGCGTCCTCGCTGTACCTCGAGAAGTGGAGGCGAGCCATCGCAGACGCGTAGCGCGTTGGGGGCCTTGGCCGACGAGTTCCGTTCTGCCTGCCCTCCTCTCAAATGCGCGGGGCACATGCACAGGATTTGACTATGGAACCAGCCTCGATCTCGAGACATGGGAGACCCTGGGAAGAGCGAAGGTTACATCCAGACCGATGGCGCGCAGGAAAGCTCTGTCGATGTGCTGGATGGCCCATTTCTGCTGGAGCTCCACATCGCAAGAGCGAGGAGCCAGCCGTCGCGACTCCGAAGTAATCGCGCTGGGGACTAAGCTTCCGGCGTGGTATCGAAGAGCTCCAAGACAACTGACAGACGGCGGACTGCAAGTCGGTGGTCGACTCAATTTGATTCACCGCTGCTACATGTAATAGAGAGAGGCACCGCAGCAAACTCGGCATTTTTAATAAATACTATCCACAGCACTTACACTTCACAATAGTTCTTCCTCGAGGAGGGTGGGGGAAGCCGGTGGGGCTGAGGGCGACACCGGCGGAGCCGACGGTGCTAAGGCGAAGGCAGCGACGCCTCTGGGCGAGAACGACGGGGCGGACGCACCCGCCAATGGGACCAGCAGCACGGGTGCAGAGCTCTCGTCCTCTTCTGGGGGAGGCGCCGAGGCGTCCACGTCCAGCAGCTGCAGGTATCCCGTGCGCACATTGGAGAAGTCCTCGACGCCTGCGAGCAGCAATTGCTCGCGCTCAATGAGCTCCGATCTCATGGCCTGCCAGCCGAATAGACTCAACTGTGGCGCCACGGGAACCGCCATGGGTACAGATCCGTCCGTAGGCGCAGCACCATCCTCCCCTCCTTCCTGCGTGCTGCCAGCCTGTCCACTGCTATTTGATCCACTCGACGATGATGAATCGTTGTTCATCCTGCGCCGCTTGCGGGCGAACTGCACGGCCGCCACAACGACCGCCACTGCTGCAATAGCACCGACGACCTCCAGTAGGATATTGGTCAGCGGCTGTCCTCCGTGTCCGTCCGCTGCATTGGATCCGCCGTAAGTGTTGGCGTGTTGGCTATCAAAGTCCTTGTTCACCACCGTGCCATTGCAGACTGTCTGGCCGACCGTGCTCTTCCAGATCGGAGCTTCACACACTGCGATGCACACGCAGCCCTCTTCCCCATAGCAGAACTTGGTCAACGAGCCGTTGATGCGGCCCTGCATCACATCTTGGAACACCGAGTCCTTGCACTGCTTGCACTTCTTGTCTCCGTAGGGGCAATAGTCCACCTTATCAGCGGGGAACTGGACCTTCTGGTCGTCGCACTGCTTGCCGTCGTTGGACGGCTCCTGGTACCGGAAGTCCAGCGCCTTGACGTACGTCGCCGGGTTCTTCTGCACGCAGCGGCCGTACTGGTTCACCATGCACGTGACGTCCTCCCCCACGTCGATGTTGAGGCAGTCGCGGCAGCTCCGCGGCTCCGTGCAGCCGTCGCTGCGCACGGGGTTGTAGCGGCAGCGGTCGCTGGACGCCCAGTTGGTCGGCTGGGGGGTCACGGCCTCGATGTGCACGTCGTCGTCGCTGCAGCTGGCGTCGGAGCCCACCGAGCCCGCGGTTGAGCTGCCGCTGGAGTCGCCTACACTCACCAGTCGCAGCAGCGACGAGCTGGAGCTGGAGGCCGTCGAACTGTGCTGGAACTTTGAGGATTTTGACACATTTTCGAGGCTGATTGTGGAGGCTGCAGAGGAGCCCGAGGAGGAACGAGCCATACTGGGCGGTGCAGGGGGATACGGGGAAGACGTTGGTGGCGGCGGCGGCGGCGGAGGGGCCCTGGAGTCCGCGCAATCGCTCGCCGAAGACGACGCCTCGACGGTCATATACACTGCGGGTGTGTTGTTTGAGGCGAATTCGCGAGTGACATGAAAAACGATGGAAGGCTTCCGAACTCTCCGGCTGGGCGCAGTAACGCATACCAGCTGGCTGTGTCGTGACACACAGAATGGGGTGAACAGGCGGTGTTATGGCGAGAAGGATGCCAGATATTATACCATGTTGAATCGGATACAGGAGCAAAGATGTGGGCGTCAACTTGACGTGACATCGATGGCTAACGACTGCTCAATAGTGAAACCGAGTGTTGCGTGAGTTTCGGCCAATTGTAAGTTTTGTCATCCTGCCTCCAGTGTAGGTAAGTGTTTTCATCAACAAGATGTTTATGAAGGTCGGCATCACACCTTCTACGAGCCCTGGGGAGAGCCGGGCTCCTGGGCTCTTGGGTGAACCCAAAAAGTCGCGAGCTCGGGCTCCTGGGCTCTTGAGTTCAATAGGTTAAGTGAAAGGAGCCCTTCAGATCTGTGAGCCCTCGTTAAGGGCTCCCCCTCACCTGTGTTAAATATCTCGCTGATGATTGGCCGTCATTGAAGTATCTCCAGGTTCTAACCTGAAAAGGCATAGGAAAGAGGGCTTCTCCTTGAGGGGAAGGAAGGACTATCGGCGACGCTGGGGTGGCCTCGGAGCGGCTGTACACATATGAGCGGCGCGAGATCTTCTAGTGTGGCGATCTTTGAGCTCGATCTTCTAGCGTGGCGCATCGATCACGCGAAGTTGCTCGCCTTAAGTCTAGGTAAAATTGGCCAATCAGTTATTACTATGAAGCGCCCGTCATAGATTTGAAGCTAAATTTGGGGAGCCCTGGAGGGGAGCCAATGGGGAGCCGGAACCAGGGCTCCTTGATCTCGTACTTACCATGAGGGAGCCCATTTTGTGCGACTTTTGGCTCTCGTTTTAAGGGGAGCCCACTGTTGAAGTAGACGGGCTCGGGCTCGTAGAAGGTGTGGTCGGCATCGTGGCGGTGGATTGCTGGAGGTACAATAATGACCCGAGTTCTCTGGAGTCTGGAGACTTGGTTTTGAAAAAAAAAAAACTGTTTACGAGGGGGGGTCGGCAACTCTGTTGCGGAGAACTATCCGATAGAAGCAGCTCGCGAGTTTTGCCAGCTCGAGCTCTCCGCAGCATCGGCAAATGAGGCTCGGTTAGACAGCAGTGGACATCGCAACTTGCAGCCTGCAAGCGGCGAACTACGTCCACTCAACGATCTTCTGCTCGACAAGCGATCTTGCTCACATGTATCAAGTGTGATTCGTGCACCTGTCGGCCACCACGCAATAGCGTCGCCGCGCCACGCAGCGGCTTGGTCGAGGACACACCAAGTGATTGCAGCGGTCGCCTCGCCGTGGAGGCACGTGCGCCTTGCAATCATTGCAAGGGTGACCCTTGAAGGGTCTGGTCCAAGGCAAACGGATCGAATTCAGGCCGCTGGCCTCAAGGACGTTGAAGTCAACGGCAACGGTTTTGCGTACCGCGTGCATGCTCGTCTTGAGTCAACCACCGCCATTCCTCTTTTGGAGCCGTACGAAAACGTGGTCACCCATGGCCGTCCGCAGACTCATCGTGACTTTCAGTCTTGCTGTTCGACCACTTGCAATGCGAAGTCTGAGGTCCCATGTTGTGTGGGATTGCAGCCTGTGCGCTACACCAGCACAAGAGGAACCTTCCTGTGCATGCCATACCGAAGTGATCCGGGCACAGCGGAGGAGCAAAATGAAAATCGGGTAAATCATGCCGAGGGGTATCCAGTAAAATGGTCGGCGCATGCCTCGGCGCACTCGCCAAAGTACCAGCTCAAGCCCAAGACTACAGTATCCTACTGCCAAGATGAAAGACGCGTTGTTGCCGCGTAGCAATTCCGCGGATAGCGAGACGATCGCCATTGTAGCACAGGACGTCAGCTCCGAGTCCCGGTCTAACAACACGTTGAGACCTTCGGCGTCCGACATCCCCACGACCTATCAGCCCCTCGACTGGAGCTCGGACGACGGTGCTCGGGTGGACGGCAGTGCACGGCGCATTGCCATCAACTTAGCCAGCGACAATAATGCCCCTACCACCGCAGACTCCGAATCAACTCCACCTCTCCTTGGAAGCACTGGGGGCGGCAACAGCTTCCGCAGCAATTCCGGAGCGAACCAGGACGCAACTTCATCAGGGAAATCAACGGAGACGCCGTCCACTCCACCAGCCAACACAACGGTGCACCCCCTCACGTTGTACGGCAAGGACATCCTCCACATCTTCCCATTCGGCGCTACCGATTCTGCCGCAGACGCTGTCAAATGGTCGGACACCCTCGGGGCAGTGGACGCTGAAGACGATTTTTCCATCCGAGACCCGCACTTCGACCTTACCAACACGAAAATCACCAAACTCTTCTCACTCTCCAAGCCAAACGGTACGTGAAAATGGTGTTTTGTGGGGTATTTACCTCTTCATTACTGACATAATTGCTACAGATCAGGGAAAGCTGTCGTACGAGGGGTTCCGCTGTGGCTTGGAGGCTATGGGCATCGCTTGTGACAGTGACAGACAGTTCCAAGCTTTCGTGGACGTGGTGGACGAAGACAAGAGCGGCGACATCTCGTACGACGAGTTCGTGTGCGCCATCCAGGAGATCAAGCTCGCTCAGCTCTTCAACGATTCGTTCTTGCACTCGATGCCAGCTCTGTATGACAGCCTGAAGTCTCCGGTAAAACTCGGCTCGATTGAGTATTCCCCAGACCGGATTCGCAGCGTGTATCCCATCAACGAGGTGAAGAGCTTCATCTACTCGACCAAACCGAACTGGGCGTCAGTCCGCTGGATCAATGTCGAAGGGGTCAACACGCTCCTCATGCGTCGTCTCTCCGTCCGCTATCGACTGCACCCACTGGCAATTGAAGACACGTTGGGCTCCGCCTTCAAGCGGCCGAAGTACGTCAAGTACGACGAGCACTCGTTCCTCATCCTCCAGATCCTGCACCCTCGCCACAAGTCCGTGGTCAAGACGTACCAGAACATGTACCGCGCCTCGCAGTTCGTGCTGCCCGAAGACGACTCGCCCTTCGACAATATGAGTCAATCCGAGCTCGAAACAAGACTCAAGGAGCTGGATACCGGCCACGTGATGACTCTGCCGGAGCAGCTCAGTCTGTACGTCATGGAGGGGGTCCTCATCAGCGTCCAGGGATCGGGGGATACGCTGTGGCCGGCGTTGAAGCAGCGGCTGCATGCGTCGTACTCGAAAGTCCGCCAGCACAGCACCGCGTTCCTCGTGTACACCATCATGGACGTCTGTGTGCACGAGTTGTCGCCCATCTCGCAGACTTTCGGCGCCAAGTTGATCATGCTTGAGCGGTTGATGTCCCTGGATCAGCGGTACTTCGACTCTACTCGCATCGCCGCCTGCTCCAAGCAGATCAAGGGGCTTCAGACGCACTGCAAGCCGCTGCGCGAGGTCATCTCCAAGCTCATCGCGTCGAACGACTACCAAGGCGAGACGCTGCAGTACTTCACCGACGTGCAGGAGGACCTCGCGTCCACTGAAGAGGAGTGCGAGCACAACCTGGATCGCTGCAAGAGCCTCGTGGACGACTTCAACAACGCCCGATCCGCGCAGCAGAACGACGTGAGCTACATTTTGGCGCTCATTGCAGCGATCTTCTTGCCTGCGCAGTTCCTCACGGGCGTGTACGGCATGAACTTCCCGTACATCCCCGAGACGACGTATCATTACGGATACTTCATCTGGTGGGCGGTCATGATCGTGGTTGCGGGGCTCATTGTGTTGTTTTTCAAGTACAAAAGGTGGTTGTAAGCAAAAACACAACACGAATGCTGGGACTGTAGCATGTTTTACAGTTGGAACGTGACGCATCCCAGGCCCCCCACAAATTCACGCGTTTGCTCTCAAAGTTAAAGCTCTGCAGTTTCTTCCGCCCAAGCCATGAGCGGGCAAGTTCCTGAAGACGTGGCGTCAATTGAGCGAGTGCTTTCGAGCATCCCACAGCTCTGCAGTCAAATGAACGAAATGCAGGCGTCGTGCGAGCGCCTGTACGGCAGACTGCAAACCCTTTTCACCCGAATTCTCTCGACTGGAGCGCAGCGCAATCCTCTAGCGAACCTCTGGCCAAGTACGCTGAGCTATTGACCCGGTATCTACGCTTCCTCAACTGCCACCGCACGAAAGACTTCATCCATCGCGTTATCGCGCACCAAACTGTGGTCGACGAGCTACGCCAGCTCTATAAGGACGTGTCGGTGCTGTTCCGAGGGACTGGCATCCCAGCGTCAACGGTTTGGGAGGGACAATTGATGAAAGATAGTGCAGAGCTCTGTGTCTTTTCAGCTGGCACCGCTGCCGTCGCCCATGAGCTCCAAGAACCACGAGCTCAGGTCGAAGCTTGGCTGACCCTGAAGTTTGATTTGAGGTAGAGCGGCGGAATGACCACCACCGCGAGGAGTCGATGGAACTAATGCTCTCGGCGTCGAAGACTGTCGCGGCGATATCCACGATAACGCCGGGTGCACTTCCCCCCTGGTTCCTTCTGGCGACAGAAGTCACCATTGAGGCGAAATCATTCGGTCGTGGACCCCTCGGCTCCGTCTTTCGTGGGGTGTTATCGTCTACTCCAGTGGTAGTGAAGTTTTTTCGCACTGATGATGTGGTAGCTGACGTAGGGATGCTACTGAAGCTGGAGAAGGAGCTGAATTTGCTGTACGAGATGAACCACCCGAACCTCGTGAAGATACTCGGTGCCTGTCATGTGAGCTTGCCACCGTTCATTGTGTACGAAGATATTCCAAGTGGCAACCTCAGCTCGTTTCTCGCTCGCTCGGACGATAACAAGCAGCAGATGTGGGGGAAGCTCCACCAGGCTGCCATCGGATTGGAGTACATCCACAAGAGAGGCTTGGTGCACGGCGATCTCAAGCTGAGTAACATACTGGTGAGTCGGAGTGGCCAGGTCAAGCTGACGGATTTTGGCTTGAATGTGTTGCGGGCATTCTACTCCTCTAGCCAAACTACATTGCGTTGGAGCTCTCCGGAGTGTTTGAAGCGACGACCGACGTTCGCGTCGGATGTCTATTCGTTGGCAATGTGCATCGTTGAGGCTGTTACTGGCGAGCCTCCTTTCGCCTTCCTGGGTGACGATGATTTCCGTGACTTGCTGAGGAATGGTGGGGTCATTGATAAGCCAAATGAAATGGCCGACCACGTGTGGAAAGTGGTTGAGGCGATGCTCAAAGCGGATCCTTCAGAGAGGTCTCAGCTCCAGGGGGTCATTGATAAGCTGGAATTCCTTGCTGATGTTGAAACACTGGCACGTGAAGATCTGTCGGATGCAATGGGGTCTTCCGCGACTGGTGCGCTGGAGGATACGTGCCAATCTGAAGGAAATCAGCAGAAGCGCAGCACGGAAACTGTACGCGAGACTCAAGCGCCGAAGAAAAAAACGGATGCGCCACAAGTGATTGATTGGCCCAGCGAAGAAGGAGGAGACTACGTCTCGCGATGTTTGAGAAATATATTGTGGCGTTTCGTTCATCGGAACTTGACCTTCACCCTTCATGCAGGGGTAAAATTTATGTTGACCATACAACCCAATTTCAATTCAACGTGCTCAGTTCCCGCCAAAATCAGAAGAAGGCACGACGATGTCGACGCCCAAGCGAGCGCGAGTCGACAAGGCGGCCCAGGCAGCGGATGATGAGCCGGAGAACACTCCCCCTTCAAGCAACAACTCACCTGGCGGCATGGACGACGTGGTCGCGCTGCTGAAGGCCACGCTCAAGCAGCAGCAGCAGCCGGCGGACGACCTCCGAAAGTCCCTGGACCGAGAGAAGGCGCGCGCCGAGAAGCTGGAGATCGAGGGCAAGGAGCTGCGCGCCAAGCTGGAGGAGGACCGAGCCAGCCACGAGGCCAAGCTAGAAGACGTGCGCGGTGGTGCAGCCCTCGACGTGTTCGAGGCCAAGGCGGAGTGCGCCAAGCTACAGGAGCAGCTGAAGACCAAGCAACAACTGGAAGCCGAGCTGGCAGCCAAGACTGTCCAGCTCAACACCTTCGTGTTGCTGCTGCAGGACAAAGACCGACAAATTAGCACCCTTGACAAGGACAAGCAGGAAAAAGACCGGCAGATTAACTGGTTCCGGGGCGCCCACTCGAAAGCTCTCTCCGCCATCGACACGGGGATGCAAGCGTTCGAGAGGGTCACCAATTTCCTCCCCGCAGTTGGCGCCACGAAGCAGCTCATCGACATAGACCTGAAGGCTGGCGCCCAGGACGGTCTGATGGCGCTGACAAGCATCGACACGACAAGACGCAAGCGGTGCACTTCATCTCGGGCACTCGCGACGGACTGAGTCAGATTTTCAAGGCGAGCAGCTTCAAGGAGAAGAGCTTCTGCACCACCAAGCGGCCTATCGAGCGAGTACTAAAGGGCATCGAGGCTGGCAACGAGCTGATCCAGAACGCGAAGGAGGGTCGCTTCATAGAGGTAGGTGCCTCTCAGCGGCGATTAAAACGGCCCCGGTGCTAATATATGTATTTTGATGTGCTTAGAAGGGTAATGTCCGCATTAACGCTTCGTTCACCATGAGTTGTTTTGGCTGGCAACAACCTGTCGCGAAAGGGCTGGTGACTTGCGATATGTTCTGGTCGATCGTGGATATCGTGATGCTGTCACCCGAAGACCCAGATCCGTGTGAGTCTCTTTCTGTAGACCTGGGAAATATGATGCTGGTCGCTGCAGATGAGAAGCAGAACTTCGAAAGGAAGGCCACAGTGGTCCCTCGACTCCTCGGAGAGCAAGGCTTCAAACGCATAGCGCCCAAGTAATTTGCGTGTTTATTGTGTCTGCGTTGTGAAAATTTACAAGTAGCATTAATTTTAATAAAAAAGATACGAGTTGATCTTGCCAGCCACTGCTCAACCAAGGTGTTCACAACAGCTTTTCTCTCAATTAAACTGGCAACGGCCTCACATCTTTGTGCTAAGGTCATCTTTCACCTTCACATCTGCTCCACGCTCGATCCCAATACCGAGCGCATCACTGTAGTGCCGTCCGTTTACTGTAATCGCAGGCGCTCATACGTGCATCTACAGCCAGAAGAAGCTCGAACACGTTCGGATTTCCTTGTGCCGCTGCAATCAGCACAGGAGAGGCTCCCTAATTATTTCTCGAGTCAGTGACAGCACCATTCGTGAGAAGGGAGCGGCACGTCTGGGTGCAATTATGCCCCGCCAGCGTAGTGCAGTGCAGTGCTGTGTATTCATTGGCGGACTTGACATTTATCTTCACCTTCTGCAGCAAAAGCACCACGATATCGTTGCGTCCGGCATCTGCAGCTTCCATCAGCGGTGCCCACCCACGGTTGCCCACCTCGTTGACCCTTGTTGATGAATCCGAAAGTTCGTCTGCAACTGCGAGGGCCCCAAATGAAGAAGCAAAATGCAGCGCCGTCTTACCACCCAACGATATCGCTGCGACGTCTACATGTGCACCGAGCAGCAGCTCGACAATCTCCGGTGAATCACATTTTATCGCTCCCATGGCAGGTGTGACGCCGTTGTCGTCAGCGGTATCAATCTCGGCTCCGTACGATAACGACAATTGGCAAGTCTTGAAGTGGTCACCTCTCACCGCAAGATGCAACGGTATACTCCCAGCAAATGTATGTGCCTGGATATTAGCGTTCCGACCGAGAAGTTGTCCAATAACCGCGTCGTGACCAGCCTGGGAAGTGACCATGAGCGCCGCTATTCCTGCACCATCAACTGCGTCGAGACGCTTAACATGATCCAGCAACAATTTCACGATTTTCGTGGCACCGTTCTCCACAGCGGCTTGGCGTCAGCGAGGGAATCATACTGCAGAAGCAATTTGATGGCCTTCCAGCAACAGCTTTCGTCAGTACGCTCACAACTGCGTTAAAATCGGCTCCATCACCGATTAAAGCCCGGCAGACATCGAGATGTCAACTTTCAGCCGCCAAGCGTAGAGCTGCATTCCCTCCGACCGCTCTTTCATCAACGCGAGCTCCGTTCTTGAAGAGCACCCGCATAACGCTACTATGTCCCTCTTGACGATCATCATCGGCGTGAACCCATCTTTATCAGCTATTAAGACGCGGGTACACTGGCCTCCCTTCAGCAGAGACCTCACAATTGACGATCACCGGTTTCCTAGCTGCTTCGAGCAGCGCCTACGGTAGTTAGCCGCAACGCTATACTTCAGTCCGATTCGGCTCCTCGAAGAACAAGGGCAAATGAAATCGAGTTATGGCAGGAAAGCTTTCGACTCTAGAGAATCTCATTTGAAGCTGAAAACCCAACTGTCTAACTGCCATGTGCACTGTTCAACGAGGATGACAAGCGCTAGAACAGCGAGTTCGTGTGCACCATCCAGGAAATCTCGCCCAACTCTTTCCACCCGTTCAACCACATGACGCTGACTCAACACGACAGGTTGAAGTCTGCTGCAACGTCGGCTTGTTCAAGTACTTACCCGTCACAGGCCCTGGTTTGCACACTGGTCTGGGAAAGTGTTTGAGATTCTCCCCTTCGGGATTTCTCACTACTCGAATTTGAAGGGAAAGACCAAATAATGCAGGCACGGGAGTTCTCGCGGGGTGACCTGAACGCTCTTGCGCGAGAGATGCAGGAAGCCCAGCGCTTCCGACCTGGCGCGGCTCAAAGTCGCCAAAATGAAGTTTTTGGTGCGCGGACGAACCTCCTGTGCCGATGATGACGCCACTTCCAAGACCCCCAGCTCGGGCGCCACTGCAGCACCCCAGTTTGTTCAAAGGGCGACATTTCACGTTGATCCCTCGCAGTCCCGACCTCCTTACGAGCGATGTCAAAGTCATGGCCGCTCACGATCACCCCAGCGATCGTCGAGCAGGTTCTCGCACCGACCCCGGTCTCGATCCAGATCGCGGTCCCCGCTGGATGAAGGTTATTCAACGTCGCGTCGCCGTTCTCGTCACCATCCGTACACCAGTAACAGCCTCAACGATGCACATTGCCAACGAATAGACATCCGACGCGAACGTCGGTCGTCGCTTCAAACACTCCGGAGAGCTCCAACGCAATGTAGTTTGGCTAGAGGAGTAGAATGCCCGCAACACATTCAAGCCAAAGTCCATCAGCTTGACCTGGCCACTCCGACTCACCAGTATGTTACTCAGCTTGAGATCGCCGTGCACCAAGCCTTTCTTGTGGATATAGTCCAATCCGATGGCAGCCTGGTGGAGCTTCCCCCACATCTGCCGCTTGTTGTCTTCAGACCGAGCAAGAAACGAACTGAGATTGCCGCTTGGAATATCTTCGTACACAATGAACGGTGGCAAGCTCACATGACAGGCACCGAGTATCTTCACTAGGTTCGGGTGGTTTATCTCGTACAGCAAATTCAGCTCCTTCCCCAGCTTCTGTAGCATCCCTACGTCAGCTACCACATCATCAGTGCGAAAAAACTTCACTACCACTGGAGTAGACGATAACACCCCACGAAAGACGGAGCCGAGGGGTCCACGACCGAATAATTGCGCCTCAATGGTGACTTCTGTCGCCGGAAGGAACCAGGGGGGAAGTGCACCCGGCGTTATCGTGGATATCGCCGCGACAGTCTTCGACGCCGAGAGCATTAGCTCCATCGACTCCTCGCGGTGGTGGTCACTCCGCCGCTCCACCTCAAACTTCAGGGTCAGCCAAGCTTCGACCTGAGCTCGTGGTTCTTGGAGCTCATGGAGGACGGCAGAGGTGTCGCTAGTCATAACAGAGAGTACTCTGGAATCTTTTTCAACCGGGTCCTGCCAGTCTGTGTGCGGCTCGATACCCATCGAGTTGAACAGCACCGACACGTCTTCGTTCAGCCGGCGTAGCTCGCCCACCAGAGTTTGGTGCGCAATAACTCGATGGACGAAGCCTTTCGCTCGGTGGCAAACGAGGAAGCGCTGGTACAGGGACAATATCTTCGCGTACCTGACAAGTGACTCGCGGGTGGCAAGCGGTCGCTGCTGCGCTGATAGAATTTCCTTGAAAAGAGACTGCAGTCTGCCGTACAAGCGCTCGCATGACGTCTGGAATTCGTTCATTTGGCTACAAAGCTGTCGGACACGCGAAAGCGCTCGCTCGATCGACGCCACGTCCCTCTTAGCAATTTCCTTAGGACACTTCACCCGCTGGGCTTGGGCTTGCAGGGCTTCAGCCGAAAGTACACTCTCCTTTGTCGACTGGTTCTGTGTAGATTCACGGCGTAGGGTCTGCTCGGACTTTGCTCGCTGAGGTTCTTGGAGCGCCGCCTGGCCTCGAGAGGCCTCTCGTGGGCGTGCCTCTCGCCCCGAGCGCCGAGGAGAGCGCGGCGACTGGGATCGCGACCGAGATCGAGATCGTCGACGCTGGCGAGACCGCGATCTGTTCGCGATATGGCGCGTGAGCCTCCTTTCGCCTTCTTGCGTGACGATGATGTCCGTGACTTGCTGAGGAATGGTGGGGTCATTGATAAGCCAAATGAAATGGCCGACCACGTGTGGAAAGTGGTTGAGCTAATGCTCAAAGCGGATCCTTCAGAGAGGTCTCAGCTCCAGGGGGTCATTGATAAGCTGGAATTCCTTGCTGATGTTGAAACACTGGAACGTGAAGATCTGTGGGACGCAATGAGGACTCCGTTGACCGATGTGATGAAGGATATTTCTCGAGCTGAGGGGGTTCAGCAGAAGCGTAGCGCGGAACCTGTACACGAAGCTCGAGTGCCGAAGAAACGAATGCGATGCAAGAAATCTAAGGAGTAATTACCTGACCAAGGGGTCTAAACACTACGAAACAGTTTTGGCGTCGAGCCCCGTGGCAAAAGTATCTGCATTGTTGGTGTAAAGAAAGAAAGAAAGAAAGAAAAATATTGAATGCTTTGAAATGAAACTCGGCGCTTGAGTGCTTGCTGTCTTGACGATTCTGCTACCCTACACTTCGCGCGTATTACTTCAGTTCGTCGTCGGCGTGCCACTATTTTTTTAGTGTCTCGCAGCCTGTCAGCATGTTTGTTCACAGAACCTTGCACCGTGGAAGATTGAGTAAAAGTGACGACCTTCGACTACCGGTCTTCAGCATGACATCCAACGACGTCACTCGAATTTCGGTAACAGCAATCGAATGGCGGCCGTACGTTCCAGCTGAGCTGCTAGCATCAGAGGTGTAAGCCCTCGCTTATCCTTCGCCTTGGCATCGGCTCCACGCTCGAGTAGAATTCTCAAGATATCGAGTGCATTACTCTCGACAGCATAGTGTAGCGCCGTCCGTTTTTCGTGATCGCTCGCGTTAAGGCTAGCGCCTTCCTCCAGAAGAAGCTCGAAAACGTGCGTACTCCTGCACGTTGCTGCAACCAAAAGAGGACGAACTCCATCAGTATTTTCCGCGTCAATGGCACCACTTGTGAGAAGGGCTCGGCACGTCTCGGTGCATCCAATACGGGTGATATTTATGAGCTGTTACTTTAGCACTATTCGGCTGTTGCCCACCTACAGCCCCTGTTCACCTGTCATGAGCCCTGTTCTGCTGTTGCTTTCTGTTTAACCTGCTACTTTCTTCATGGATTTCTCCTGAGATGTGTGTGGACTGTGGATTACACTCCCCAGACCCCAGCAATAAATCTTACTCCGAGTTGAGGGGGCAGGCCCATTCGCAGGAATGCTCGGCAATGGTTGGAAATTCCGGGCGGCCCTAATTTGCGAGTACAGTAGGGTTTTCTTCGGCTACGTGCCCTTGCAATCGCCTGCTACATGAATTTACTTAAGTACAGCGCTATTATTTTACTTCTATATCCTACGGATCCTCAATAGCAAAGAGCAGTCCATTTGCAAGTTACTAGCTATGGGAGTAGCCGACGTACGTTTGACCGAAGTGCTTTGGATGAAGCGGTTTTGAATTATCGAAGCGAATCGCAGCTTGAGCCCGCAACTGGCGTTTAATCTAAAATACTACGTAGTATTTGTTGGAAAACAACAGCAGACCAGGGTCCTTGACAGGCCAGTAGGAGCTGTACGGTACCAACAGCTCGACAGTGCTGGAACAACAGGTATTAATTATTATCCATCCAATACCTGCAGCGTAGTGCAGTGCAGTGTCCATCCGCACATTTGACATTCACCACCTCCGGGTATCCGAATTTCGCAGCTACCAGCAATGGCGTCATACCACAGCTTGTTGCCACGTTGACCATTTCCGATTTATCCGATAGTTTGTCGGCAATTTCAATAGCTCCTGACTCAGCTGCCAAATGCAGCACCGTCCACTACCGCTGCGATGTCAGCATTGGCACCAAGCAGAAACTCCACAATCTCTGGTAAAATCGCTTCCATAATAGGAGTGGTGCCATCGTGAGCAGCAGCGTTGATCTGGGCTCCGTGCGATAGCAACAACTGGCATGCCTTCAAATGACCGCCTGCCACTGCGAGATGCAGTGCCGTTCTGCCATGGCTTTCTCGTTCCTCGGTGTTTGCGCCCCGACCGAGAAGTTGTTTAATAACCGCGTCATGGCCAGCCTGGCAAGCTGCCATGAGCGCCGTGGATCCAGCATTGTCAGCTTCGTCGAGACAGTTCACATGATCCACCAACAACTTGACGCAGTTCGCAGCACCCTTCTGCGCAGCGAAATACAGCGGGGTTTTCGAATCTTTCGCTTTCGCTTCAGCATTGGCGCCATGTTGCAAAAGCAGTTTGATGATTCTCAGATTCCCCGTTTGGGCAGCGTCCATCAGCGCGTCCAAGCCAGCCTCATTGACTGCGTTCACATCAGCTTCTTCACTGATTAAAATCCGACAAGCTTCGAGATGTCCATTACGAGCCGCCAGGTGAAGCGCTGTGTTTCCATCGGCCGCTGTCTCACCAGCGCGTGCTCCGTTCTCAAAAAGCACCTGCATAACGCTACCATGCCCCGCCTGAGCGGCGATCATCAAGGGCGTGAAACCATTCGTATCAGCCATATCAACGCTGACACAATCCCCTCCATCCAGCAGCGCTTTCACAGTAGCGAGATCGCCCGTTGCTGCGCCAAAGTGCAGCGCTGTCTGTCCCCTGTCCGATGCTGCATCAATACTAGCCTCTTCCAGTGTTAAGAGCTCAATTATGCATGCGTGTTCGTTTCGGGGTGCGTCCATTAGCGGCGTGATCCCTTTGTCGTCAACCGCGTTGAGATCTGCTCCTCCTTCGATCAGCATCTTTACAAGCTGGTCTCTTCCAGCCCTAGCGGCAAAGTGCAGAGCGGTCCTTCCCTCTTTTTGTTCGAGCTTGGATATCCGCCCCGTCCAGTAATTGACCAGCAATAGCGACACCACTTCGTTTGGCAGCAAGCATCAACGGTGTCATACCGTTTTCATCTATGATATTGCTGCTGGCGCCATTGTTTAGTAGTGTCCTGACTGCTTCGGCTTGCCCCGATCTTGCTGCGGTAAAAAGGCTTTCGCCCAAGTATTGGACCACGTGTACCGGATCAAGAGATTCTTCCAATGATTTCTGGCTTGTGAGAAGATTGACAATCTCCGCATCTCCTCGCCGCGCTGCCAGCATTAACCGCGTCCAACCGTCCTCATCTCGACGAGCGACATCCGCTCGATTCTTAACTGCGCGCTTTGCGTCTCGCAATTTGCCCGTCCTAGCTGCTTCGAGCAGCGCTGCAGTAGTTGCCGCGCTATGCGTCATTCGGACTCAGCACCTTGAAGAAGAAATGAAAGCTTTCGACTCCAGAGAAAATCGTTTGAAAATGAAAACCCAACTGTCATGTGTACGGGTCAAGAACTACTTGAACTGTTCAACGATGATCACAGAAGCTAAAACAACGAGATCGTGTGCGCCATCCAGGAGATTTCGCCCAACTCTTCAACGACCCGTTCATTCGCACTATGACGACAGTTAAGAGTCTGCTGTAAAATTGCGGCTCGATCGAGTACTTGCCAGACCGGATTCGGCGAATTGAAGACACAGTTGGAACCGTTGGGCGCCGCCTCCCAGACACACGTGATAGTTGGGAAAGTGTTTGAGATTCCCTTCCGGGTTTCTCACTTCTCAAATTTGAAGGAAAGCCCAAGGAGACACGAATAATGCAAACTCGCCAGAATCCACGGGCTTTCTCGCGGAAGCTGATAATGCATCCCAAATATGTGCCCAAATCGCCCCAAATGTCCCAAATAATGAATTGTCTCTGTAACATTTAGGTACATATTTGGGGCCACTGCTTTCTCGTAAAACTATCCCAAATATGTACCAAAACGGAGTTGACTGATTATGGTCTATAGTCTATGGGCGAGGGCGAGTGGACGCGAGCGCGAGCCTCACTCGATGCATTCACTAATCGCCAACACCCGCCGATTTGGCGGGGGCGTGTCTGTGCGAGCGAGCGAACGCGAGCGCTGCAACCCGATATTTTTTTTCTAGACACCGCGCCTGGCCGAGACGAGGAACTTAGCGTAAGGGACAAGGGGGTCGGGCAGGCCGCGCAGCGGCGCCCCCCGAGCGAAGCGAGAGAGGGGCGGGCCCCCCGCAGACCCGTCGCTAAGTCCGCAGACGAGAGCCAACGCGCGAGTGTCCGCCCTGTGCTGCTGTTTCATACTGAAGGTTATTCTGTCCTAAATATGTACCAAAACGTTCCCATGGTCTTAAATCATTTGGGAAAAACTTTGGGATTTGGGTCGTTTTCGGGGTGCATTATCCAATACCAATGGCAGCACCACTCGCCAGAAGGGAGCGACTGTCTGGACGCATCCGTGACGTGCAGCATAGTGCAGTGCCGTATATCCACTTGTGGATTTGACATTCACCTTGGCATTCTTTCGCAGCAAAAGCGCCAGTATATCGCTGTGCCCGGCATCTGCAGCTTCCATCAGCGGCGTCCAGCCTCGGTTATCTGCCTTGTTGACCCTGTCTGGCGGGTCCGATAGTTTGTCTGCAACTGCGAGAGCCCCTGATGCAGCAGCCCAATGTAGCGCCGTTTTACCGTCCTCTGACACTGCTGCGGCGTCGGCATTTGCGCCAAGCAGCAACTCGACAATCTCCGGTAAATCACGTTTAGTCGCCTCCATGATAGGAGTGACGCCCTCCTGATCAGCAGCATCAATCTGAGCTCCGAACGATAGCAACAACTGGCAAGCGTTTAAATTACCACCTCTCACCGCAAGATGCAGCGCCGTGCTACCACCAGTTGCATGTGCCTGGATATTTGCATTCCGATGGATGAGTTGTTCAGCAACAGCGTCATGACCAGCCTGACAAGCTACCATGAGTGCCGTGAATCCTCCATCATCAGCTGCGTCAACACATTTCACGTGATCGAGCAACAATTTCACCATGTTCCTTGCACCGATTTCCGCGGCGAAGTGTAGCGGCGTTTTCGGATCGTTCACCTTTGCTTCAGCGTTAACACCATGCTGCAGAAGTAGTTTGACGATCCTCAGATGTCCCTTTTGAGCAGCTTCCATCAATGCACTAAGGCCAGCGCCATTTTCTGCGTTGACATCGGCATCCCCACCGTGTAAAACTTGAAAGTGCCCTCATAACGCTATCATTCCCCTCCTGAGCAGCGGCCATCAGCGGGGTAAAGCCATTATTATCAGCCATATAGACGCTGACGCAGCCACCTCCAGCCAGCAGGAGTTTGGCGGTAGCCAGATCACCACTCGCAGCGGCAACGTGTAGCGCCGTTTGCCCGTTCTTCGCTGCAAAATCGATGCCAGCCCCTTGTAGTATTAAGAGTCGAACAATACGAGCGTGCTCGTTTCGAGTTGCTTCCATCAACGGGGTGACCCCTTTGACGTCTCCGACATTGAATTTCGCTCCTTCCCCGAGCAGCTTCTCAACCATCTGGAGCCTTCCTCCCAGGGCAGCCAAGTGCAAAGCGGTTTTCCCCTTTCTCGTTCGAGCGTCGATATCTGCATCCAGCTCCATTAAATGTGTTGCAGTAATGACGTGGCCTTGCCTCGCAGCATGCATCAGCAGTGTCACTCCATTTTCGTCGCTGGTATCTTTGTCTGCTCCGTAGCTCAATAATGCGCTGGCCACTTCCACTTGTCCGTAGGATACAGCGGTGAGCAGGGCATCGCCCAAGTACGTGCTCAAGCGCCATGGTTCGCGTGAACTGCTCTCTTCGGATTTTTTGTGCCACGCGAGGAGATCGACAATCTCCACATCGCCTCGCCGTGCTGCCAACATCAACGGTGTCGATCCGTTCTCATCTCTACACGCGACATCCGCCCGATTCTTGACAGCGCGCTTCGCGTCACGTAGTTTCCCCGTTCTAGCTGCTTCTAGCAGGTCTGAGTTAGCCGCCACATTATACGTCATGCCGAACAACAGGTTCGGTCCTTAATTAAATAAAGAACAAGCTCAAGTGAAATGGAGGGGTTGCGAAGAAGAAATGAAAGCTGTCGACTTGATGGCGAGGCTGAAAAGCGTTGGAACAACCGTCCAACTGTCAACTGTCACGTGTACTTGGATTGGATTCCTGTCGCTAAAACTTGCAGCTTTTTCTGGCGGAGGTACAATACCACCGAGTTTACTTGCTCGCTTAGAACTGAATCCAAAAAAGTGTCAAACACGCAGTGCATGATTTCGAACGCTTGTGCTAATTTGTTTATTGCTCGAGTTTTTCATGTTTCTCGGTGATACGACGCTATCCACGACACTACCACATCAAAAAGTTTCTATCACATCGATTCCGCCTCGCGTCCGCATTAAATACTAAAACCAATTGCCTGCATCTCCACTCACTCAAAGCTCGGCCATATCAACATCGTCGCCGTCAATCGAGTCCATATCCTCAAAGTCCGGGGCGGACGGTGCTGCCATGGCTCGAACCGTGATGGCCACAGGTGCAGTTGCCACAGCCGTCGCGTACGGGATCATAACCGGCGGAGCTGTCGGTAACTCCGCATCTGCCATGGGGGCGGAGGGCACCGCCCCAATCAGCTGCACGTTGTTATTCTTCACAGGTTCCAACGCTGGGTCCTCGATCCCGTCCGCTTGCATCTGCTCCTTGTGGATCAACACTTCCCTCATCGCCGTCCAGCCGAACAAGTTCAACAGTAGCCCAGACCCCGACTCCGCTCTCATAACGGGTGTTGCAGTTGCAATGGGAGACGCTCCGTCCGCTGGGGTGACTACCGGGTCGCCATCATTACTGCCTCGTCGGTTATGGTGTTGCCTGTTGCAGTTGCCGTTGCCGATTTCCTGGTCGCTGCCGCCGTTGGATGCAAAACCTTCGCCTCGTTTCCGGATACGGTAGATGACGAACACGGATGCGACAATGAAGCACATGGCCCCTAAAATGGCAGCGATGGACCCCACCTGACTCACGGCAACATTTGCGTCTTGCGTGCTCATGGCGTTGATCATGCAACTTTTATCCGGCCGGTGGTGGTTTATCTCCAGCGCCTCGCAGATGGCAACACAGACGCACTCATTCTGCCCCAAACAGTAGCGCGACCGCGAGTTGTCCGAGTTGTGGTAGATGATCTCGGCGAACGCCGTGGCGCGGCACAGCAGACACTGCGCGTCGTCGGGTTCGCAGTACGTGGCGTTGCCGGCGGGGAAGTCGAACTGCTGGTTCTCGCCCTGCCGACTCTCGGCCGTCGGCTCCGAGCCGTTGCCGGTCGTGCCGTTGTAGCCGGCGGTCACGAACTCGGCCGCCAGGTCGTTCGACGGCTCGCCGAGGCGGAAGTCCAGCGCCGGGTCGTACTTAAAGTTGGGCACGCACTGCCCCATGGGGTTCACGAAGCAGCCGTCGGGCTCCGTCGTGATGTTAAAGTTGAGGCAGTCGTAGCACGAGCGCTGCATCTGGCACGGGTGCCGGTCGTCCGTCGGGTAGTACATGCACGTGCCGTGGGTGCGGCGGTAGTTGAGCTCCTCCTGGCGGCGCTTGAAGCCGTCGTCGCTGTCTCCGTTGTTGAGCCCTGGGGGTCCACCGCTGTCCTCTTGGTCCGCTGTTGACGCCAGGTTCACGGAGCTCTGCGACGACGAAGGGAACGTGATGTCCTCGGCGTTCGACGTCGACGACATGGGTGGGGCCAGTTATCTTATCCGGCCGGAATCGGCAGGTAGAGTGCTAAACGGCGGTCTCCCTTGGCTGTTGCAAGAGTGCTAAAATCAAATCTCCCCCTGTCGCTTTAAGGTAAGTGCTTCTCGTCAGGCTCGCTCTCTGCCCTGCGTGCTCTCGGCAGCCGTCTGCTGGGCGTCGATGGCTCTTTGGGCGCTGGTATTCCTTCGTCCGCCCCTGGCAAATGGAGAGTGGCGTCCGGGAGGGGCTCCTTCTGACTCGAACCGTTTTTTTCGAGCCAGACACTTTGAGTATACCCTGATCGGTATTTTCCACCAATCACGACTCCCGGATCAATTAGATCTTTTTAACGGTGGCGGACTGCCCGGCAAATGAGAGGAAGGACGCACCAAAGACTGGAAATTGCCAGGGCGACTAACGTCTCAAGACGCCAGATAAGCGCTGCTCGGCAAGGCGTCCGTTGGGTGCAGCGGCAACAACTTGCCGAATGATCCGACCTTCGAGAACCCGTTTGCCGCCTGGCGTGCGTAGAAGCGCGGGCTGGAAAGCGGCCTTCGAAGTGCGCCATGCTGGCCGTGCACGAGACGGGGGGAGGCCGGGTGCAACTCAACTCTTGAGTTGCTTTTGCTGTTTGCCGAAATCCAAAAGTGAACCAAAAAGTATCTTTTTGTCCCGCTGTTGAAATATCTCCACTACTTCCTCTGACTAGTCGGCGACTTGTTGCTATTGCAGCATAACGTTGCAGTGCGCTACAATATATCAAGGGTATTCGTGGCCTGTTGAAACTGTGCGGACGCTGACGTAGCAGCCCAGTCGCGAGGCGAAACCACCGGGGCGATGGAGCCCTTCGCATGAGGAGCGTCGCCTGCTCATTGCAGCTCTCGACGCCAGCCCGCCGCCGTAGGGCACTCAAGATGCCAGCGACGTCGACTGCACCTTCTCGGTCGGGTCTTCGCCGTCGGGTGCAGCAGATTTCACCTCACCCGGCACGATTCGCCACCAACACCGACAAGCAACAAGGAACGTGCTCGTACTACCCGCCGGATGAAGGAGGCTGTCGCGCTCCTCGCACCTGCTACGACTGTCTCAATGCTGAACTGGATCAGGAACCAGAAGGCTGCATGATCAACGAAGTAGCCAAGTGCGTCTCCGTCACCGGCAACTACGATTTCTCTCTAGATTTCCGCGTGGCGTCAGCAGCTCCGGTGGGTGGTGATATTAGCAACATCACTTTCAGCGCCAATTCCAGCACCAATAGCAGCGAAGTGACCCTGCCGCCTTCTCGAGCACTGACGACTCACGTCTTCGAGCTGGAATTTCCAGCCGTGAACACAACGTACTGCGAAGCTAACGACGCGCGCTTCAACGAGGACGTGCTCGCTGACGCTGGGTTCATCTACGGAACGGGTGGCTGTGTGTTTGTTGGCGTGTGTCAAGTGCCGGGTTGGGCCTACGTCGTCGGAGGCAGCGACTGCACTGGAGCTGCAGCGGCGGAATACAATGGACCGAGCCAGGATCGGGGCGACAAGCATGACGGCAACCCACCGGGGTATTTAGTGTTTTGGTGCGTGGCGATCGCCATTTTGCTCACGTTGGTGGCCACTCTGTCCATGGTGGTCACGATTCACCACCATCACAACAAACGGAGGCTCGAGGAATTGCAGCGCAGGAGAACGATCGTCGTGAGCGAACCCGTCGCCAGCTCGTCCCGCTGTATGACGCCAAAGTCCACCAAAAGCGGCGCCCGGCTTTTGAACTTGTTCGGCTGGGAGGCCATGCGCGCCGACCTCATCGAGAAGGAGCGCCAGGAGAGGCTGGGCGGGGCCATCAGCGAGAACAGCTTATCCGGTGTATCTCCGTCGACAAACTACCTTCAACTTGTAGGCGCCCAGCCTTCCGCGCCTGTCATGTCGCCCATCGCTTCCTCCGCCCCACAGTTTACAGACTGCTAGCATAACATAGCACAGCATTATCTAACCACAAAGAAACCATGTCAAACATAGAGCCTCCTCTGCGAACCAACCTCAAGTTCACCGTCTCGTGTCTTGGCAAAACTGTTGATAGATTTTTTATAAACATGCTGCTCAAAGCCGGACAATATCTTACAATTCCCGGCGCGGCGGGTGCTCACTGGGGGACATGGGGCGGTACCCGTCGCCTTCTTCGACGATCGCAGCCGGCGGCGTCGTGCTGGTCCTGGCCAGCGTGGGTTTGTTTGCCGCGCTGCCACCCGCCAGCTGGGCCTGCTCGCTGGTCACCAGCTTCTCGCGCATGTCGGCCCAGCCCGACAGACTCAACTGCGGCAAGTGAGCCGACGCGGCGGGGCGTCGGGCCTCCCTTAGAGCCGCGCGGGCGGCATTGCGCGCCTCCCGGTCCACTGCATCTTGTCTCTGGCGACGGGCCAGTTGCCGCTTGGTGACGACTGTGGCCACGATGAAGAGCGCGATGGTGCCGGCGATGAGTCCCGCCACCAGCCGGAACTGGGAGCCGTTCAGCGCCGGGATGCACCAGTTGTTGACGATGGTGTCGTCCCGGTCGGGCAACTCGCACGAGGCGATGCAAATGCACCCGTTGGTGCCGACACAAGTGGCGGTGGAGTCCATGTACGCTCCGGCGTTGTAGTCGCTGGTCCAGTTGGCTCGACAGGCTGAGCACACGGCGTCGTCCGAGGAGCAGTACGTGAAGTTGGCCATGGGGTATCCCCCCACACTCGATAACATGTACGAGTTCATACACTCGCCATAGGGACTCACGGCGCACTGCAAACAAAATAATAAACGGTTAACACTATCCTAAACGTTTAGGCTAGTGTTAACACTTGCGGCAAAACTCACGTCTTGGCCCGGGATGGCAACGTTCAGGCAGTCCGAGCACGAGCGCGGGCGCGAGCAGATGCCGCCCGCGTACCACGTGCACGAGTCGCCGCTGTCTGAGGCCACGGTCTTGGGGGCGCTCGTGAACACGATGGAGCCGGCGTCGTCGCCCACGCCGCTGCTGTTGCTATTGCCGCTGCCGCTCGCGCTACTGCTCATTGTTGCGGTGGGCGGGCGGAATCGGAAATGGGATTATGGCCGACCAGGAAACATGGAGCGCGGACCCCATCGCGGACGCAACATCCGATGCGTGATTATCTAAACTCTGCGATGAAAAACCGGATTTTGATGCGGTTTTATAAATGTATATATCAGAATTTATTTAGAAAACAAAGGTTTACCGCTATAAAAGGGTAGCTTACACACATACATTACGCTGGTGTATTATTATTTATACTTTAGTAAAAGGATATGAGAGGGGTAGATGTGCAGTGCAAAATCTGAACAGGGTACCCGCAAACGGGTACCCACGTGGATCAACTTCAACTCGAGCCACTTCATTGGCCGTCCCAGGAGAATCTCAGCTGCTGTGGGCAACAGATCGCAGCCCAAGAGGACTGCTGTCTCCTTGTCATCATTGCCGGATGCAGCCTCTCGATGCTGGCATTTCAGACATGCAGTAACCGGTCGTCGACTAGAACTCGAGTCGAAGCAGACGTGGAGTGCTCGCCGGTTCAGCTTCATGTGATCAAGATGTGACTCGAAAGTGTGAGATGTCGGTGCATGCCCTAGCAAACTCAGATAAACGAACACTAAAATGATTGCTTTACCGCAGGTCACCAACGAGTTTCCTGCAAGAGATCGTGAGCTCGGTCTCAGTTTCGTCGCGCAGCAGATGAACCCCAACGTGTTTGCCAGCGCTGCAAGAGACTGTAGGTGCCCGCGCAAATCCAGGAGTAGGTCGATCAACTGGCACAAGGGGGTAGTGGAAACGATAGTTTCATTGCTTCATGACGTGGGGCTAATCGCCACACCGTTTGACAGTGTTATCGTCGATAACTTATCGAAAATGTCATACGTAAATGCTATGGGCCCAGGTGATGTCTGAGCCAATAGGTGCTTGTGGATAAAAACCGACAGAATTGTGGCGTTTTTAGCGTAATTCTAGGCCTCCACACATTTATGCACCTCGATTTATCGTAAATCTAGCGGGTGGTCACTATAAATACAGCAAATCTCGCCTCATATTGCCAAAATCATTGCAAAGCACAATATTTATATACATATATCGCAATCGTCTGGCAGCGCGCAGTTGTCGACGCCCGACCCGAACGCCGTGCAGTACTTGTACGTGCACCACCATCGTCGACTCGGTGTACTGAAGACAGGAAGAAGGATCAGCAACACAGGTTCTGTCTACCGACATCTCGTACTACAGGGGCTGCGAGTGCGACGAGACTGCCGCGTGAAATCGTGAAATACTCAGTTACGAGGACGGGATAAGTGTTGTGACCTGTCAGGAACGGGGTGAACCTCGTTTGTCGGTCGAGATGAGGCTGGCAGGTTAGCGAGAGTGTGTGCGGATCTCCTCGCGCGCCAAAAGGGGTCCGAAGAGTATCGCTTTCTGCTTACCATGACCTTTAGCCAAACACCTGGGTGGCGCTCTTACTGCATCAAGGTCCGGTCCGCAGGAACATGAAGCCGGGGATGCATTACTTAACCTGGCACCACAACTGACGCGAAAACGACAGTTTACATTTGCTCCATAGCTCAGCAGGCGCTTGGAGAACTCTCCCGTCGCTGCCGTCCTTCACAGAACCGCTAATCATCATTACAAAGAGATTGGAATTGATTCTCTTGGGAGGTGGGCTGGACCTAAGTCGAAAACTATCTAGCCCTTTGGTAGATTTATGTAGATCTGCCATTTCTGAATTTCGATTGAGATGGCGAGTGCTGCTGCAACCCAAGAGCTGCTGGAAGCTGTCAAGACGGGGCGACAGCGCGACGTAAAATGCGCTTTGCAGCGTGGGGCGGATATCGATTTCAGTCCTTCCGAGGGTTTGGCACCAATGAAGCTGTGCGCCAGCCTGGGCGACGTGGATATTCTCAAGCTGCTCGTGGGGCACAAAACGTTGGAGGGTTTCGACACCGAGCCCACCGCAGCGCAGTACTTCAGTGATGTTCTCCTCACAGCAGCTTCTTACGGCCGCCTCGAAGCGGTTCGCACCCTACTCGACTCTGAAGCTGATGTAAACGTCAAGTGCCAAGAGGGAGGAGCTACGCCTCTGATGCTTGCCGCTCAACGCGGATACGATGACGTGCTCGAGTTTTTGCTGAGCAGAGGCGCCGATATCGACGCGCAGACAGAAGATGGAACCTCAGCTTTGCAGTTCGCGGTACGAAATGGCAGATTGCGAGCTGTTAAAGTGCTGCTGGATGCTGACGCCAATGTTTGGGCAACGGATTCGAACGGGACGACCATGCTGATGGAGCCGGCTGAAGCGAAGCACGACGAGTTTGTAGCAGGGGTGGGAAATATTCGAATTAATTATGCATGTTTGTCTCAGGAACAGAAAAATAAATCATTCGAATTATTCACATTTACACCAAGAATTAATCCATGGTACTGCAAGTAGCAGGGTGACGTGCACAAATATGTATGCATTCCACAGCGCGCCGTTGTACTTGAGCATCATGACGTCCTCGAGCGTTTCGTAGTCCATCTTCTTCCTCAAGTCCGAGTACACGAGTTTTGCAGAGGAGAAAAACCGCTCGCAAACGTTTGACGTTGGCGGTATGTACGAGACATCGACGTACGAAGCATTCTTCTTCGTAGTCTTGCGCCTCTTGTACGCAGCGCTAACAAACGACTGCTTCTCCTTCTCCTCCTCCGCCACCACGCTTGCTCTCTTGAAAGGAGCACACGCAGCCCGTTCCCGCGCATCTAGCCCTTCTCCCCGCTGCAACTTGACAAGCCCTGTTTCCAGTTGCGGGGTGACAACATGAGACGACGTCGTGGACAGATCCTTCTTCATGCACGGGTAGCGCTTGATAGCAATCCGAAGAGATCTCGCGCGGCTGCGAGTGTCAACTCCTCCTTCCGCAGCTCTCGGGTGGCCTCCTCCAAGTTGGCAAGCTGGGCTAGCAGCTCTTCAGCCTGCGCGAACTCGTGCGGGATGAAGAGCAGGTCCACGATCCGAATCTTCTCCAGGTCCTTGAACTCCAGCATCTTCACGTGGGGGTGCAGCGCTACAAAGCGCTCCAGCATCTCATATGTGCTCGACCAGCGCGTAACGTTGTTGAGCTTGGGGTGCAACTTGCTAATCTTCTTCAGAACCGCCCTGCCCTTCACGGTTGCCAGCTTCTTCATGAACTTGTGCACCTTCTCGACCATCGTCTCGTGCGCCTCCAAGAAGGCCCTCACCGCTAAATTAAATCTATGACTTGCACAGCCGATTAACGGGAGGGTCCCTTCGTTCCGGGGTATACATTGATTCGTTGAGCAATTATCACCCACCAGGAATGACACTCGAGACCACGGACATTCATAAACGGAAAGAGTGTCCGCAATGAAGTCATAGTGGGCCTGTGAACCCATGTCAGACTCGTCGTCTAGTGGACAAAAGGCAAGCAGGATGTAGCGACGACTTTTGCAGCGACGCTCGTCTGCATCAGCCCCACAGGTCGAATCCCGGTACACCGCAAACAGAGCAACGTAATGGCGGCACGAAGCTGTCCACCCGTCCATAACGAGCCCTAACATCTTGGGAAAAAGCGACTGTATCTTGATGCGAATGCTGTTTGCTGCGAAATGGATGTAGAGCTTGAGCGTCTTGGCGGAGATAGAAGAAAGTGTAGTGTTCTGCCGAGTCAGTTTTTTCTCGCAGAAAGAAAGCGGCATGTTCTCCGCCACGATCCAGCGCAACCAGTCGTGAAGGTCATGCTCCCGAGGACTCACAGGCTTGAGGATGAACGCTGTACCGCTGCGAACAGCAGCAAGCGTTATGTCGATGTAGTCTCAGCTGTGCTTGACTTTGACGTGCGATGTCAGGTTTGTGTAGCCTGAGCCAGACTTCTTGATGATCTCGGGGCAGTGTTGGCACTGGTGACGCGCGTCGCCTTGACGGGGGTCGCCCAAGGGCTTGAAGAATGCTGAGGCGATCTCCTTGTTTGTGATCGACATGGTAGATTGAGCAATGAGACTGGGTAAGTGGCGCTGGCTATTGCAGCACCAACGACTGTCAACCAGCCACTTCTCCCCAATTCGATTTTGAATTGGGGATCAAAAAATTAATTAATTAAATTACAAAATCCACATCTATCTACATCTTTATTTCAAACTTCCCATCCCTGGTTTGTAGAGATGTTCCTTGCAAGCTTGGGATGCTCGCAACGTCAATGACACGAACAAAGACAGCAGGACGGCGCTACATTTTGCAGCTGCCAACGGCGATGTGGGGATAGTGATGTGGCTGCTGAGTAGGGGGGCTAGCACGACATCGTGCGATAGCAACAAGTTCACACCACTACTGCTAGCCGCTAAAGCTGGGCATGCTCGAGTTGTACGAGAACTTTGTCTACACGGGGCGCGCAAAAATGCGGTAACGAACGGCAAGCTGACAGCGCTGCACTTCGCGGCTCGCAATGGCCACCTGGAAGCTTGTCGCGAGCTCCTCGACCATGGAGCCAACATGAACGCGGTGAGCGGAAATGGCTTCACCGCTCTGATGGAAGCGATTCGAGCACGGCATTCATTTGTCGTGGAGTTGCTCTTGGAACGCAAGGCACAACTGGGTCCTGTCAGCACAGGTACTGGGTCGATGAAGACGCCGCTGCACAATGCCGCTCAGAGTGGAGGGTATGATATATTTTTACGGGTACTGGAAAGCAGCTCGTGTGTATATGCGGTTGATGCAGACGGTATGACGCCTCTGATGGAGGCTGCGAGGGCGGGAGATGCATATCTTGTCAAAGATCTGTGGTATCGGGACGCAAAGGTGAACGCCAAGACCAATGATGGCAATACTGCGCTCCATTTTGCAGCAGCAGCAGGGCATGTGGTTACCTGTCAGGCACTAGTCGAATGCGGGGCCAAAATTGACGAAGAAAACCAAGAGGGGGAAGCACCAGTGGTAGCCGCAATGCGCGATGTCGTCCGATGTCTCCTACAAGATGCCAAAGGTTATGCACCTGCTGTAAGCGATGGACAGACTGCACTGCATTTCGCCGTTGAGAATAACGCGCCAGATCTGGTCGAGTTGCTGCTGGAGAACGGTGCGGATGTTCGTGCTGTGAATAAGCAAGGCCTCTCTGCACTCGCTGTCGCTGTCAGAGAGGAGAAGATCGAGATTAGTGAGCTGTTGCTGGAAGCTCTGAGAGCTGCTAAAAAGTGAATGAACGTAAGTTGAAGTGGTCCGTTAATGTCTTCTGAATGTCGTCTGTAAGTCTCAGGGTGATGGGCGGCTGTTTGACACGCTCAACGAGCCAATCAGAGGTCGAGCGTGAAAAAAGCGCTTTTTTGGAATCAGAGCCAGCAGATACTTCAGAGTCCAAGTCACTTTGCATCAACAATGGCGTCAACTGCATCGCAGTCGTCGGACAGCTCGCCTTCCTCGTCTTCCGAGGCGGAAATCGCCGTCCCAACGCCCGCGCCGACTTCGGCCGCCGTCTACACCAAAGCCAGCGAGAATGTATGCATGTGGAAGCAGCAGAGCTCGGACGCCTGCGACTCGCCTCGCTCGTGCTACGACTGCCTGAACACGTCGCCCAGTAACGGCGTCCAGTGCGTCATCAGCAGCGCCGGACTGTGCACCACCATGGCCGAATATGTGTGGCAGGAGGACTACCGCCTCAACAGCAGCGCCGCCGCACCGCACTACTTCCCGTCCACCAACACCACGTACTGCGAGGACAGCGACTCGGTGTGCGAGGCCTGCGCGGCCGACCAGTTCATCAAGTCGGCGTCGGGCACGACGGACCCGTCGCAGTTCTGCGTTGGCGCAGGCGACTGCGTGTGCGTGGGCTTCTGCGAGTCGCCCGTGTACAGCTCCAAGGTCTCGAGCGAGTACTGCGCCACGCTGAGCGCCACGACGACCGTGAGCGTCATGGGCGTCTCGGTGGACGACATCATCACCATCGTCATCTTGTGCTTCACCATTCCCGTGATCGCTTATCTGTGGTGGGTGCGTCGCCTCCGCAAGCGCCGGCAAGCGTGCGAGGAAGCCTGCCGCAACCGGCCGCCCGTGAACGGCCCACTGCTGCCGCTCGTGGGCTGGAAGAAGTACTGCGCCGAACTCGTGGCGAACCAGACGGCGATCGTGGGGGCTGCTGGAGCGGGTGAGGCGGTAGCGACCCCCACAGCTGCAGCGACGGAGGCGGCTAATGCAGCCAACGTTGCTGCGCCGCTCACCAACCTGCAGGTGGCGACGCTGTCGATCGAGTTCGAGGATCCGCAGCACCCGCTTACGGCCGTGACGAGCACGGGAAGGCGCCGATCTAGCATCGACAACACCAACGTGGTAAGACCGCGGCCGAGTCAGCCCGTCAGCATTGCCGAGGGTGAGGAGGACGAGGACGAGGAAATGGACGCGCGCTCGACGCCGTATGCAGAGTTGGGGGACCGCACAGCCTAGGTGCAGTAGGTGGAGCTTAATATGAGTGCGTAGCTGTGAACGAGTTGCATGTGTGGTGGGGAGCGATTGGTGGCAAAACACGCGCACGGTCCGCTTGGCGGAAGCTTTCGGATGGCATTCAGCGCCAGGCCTTGAAGTGCGCTTCAACGTGGTCCGATTTCGCACCAAAGCTTCCCGCAGGGGCAGACTCAACAAGGGCGGACCCCGACGTCTTCGTGAGCTGGGGCCGACGGACGAGAATCGGATCGAGCTCGATTGGATGGATCCTCTAGACTTCGAGAGCTCTGCCTTGTGTGGATCGATATCTGAATAGCTTTGGCGATTTCAAGCTCCTGGAGGCAATCACGCATGGTGGAGCTTCGCTGGTCTGCTTTACCTTCAATGCTGCACGGGAATCAACGTTCGTGTCGTCACCCCATAACCTCCTGCGCGTCGACCACGTACATTGTTCCAATCCAGCAATGAGGAGCTCACGTCGTCTCCGTTTGGATCGACCGTGAGAGGCAACCGCCGGTTGTGTGGTTGCAGTCCCAAAGCTTACGGCTGGATGCGTCCACCGTCATCCCCGCGTTCGTGGCCGATCGTCCAATCCGGTGTGCGGCCCGCAGGCGATTCGTCCGAGATCGATTTTCATAATCGCTCGGTAGGTGAAGTCTCACTTGTGCGACGAGTGGCTGGCTACTCTTCATTCATTGCTGGAAAGTCCCCGTAAATGACGGATCGGAACGCGAGCGCGTCGGCGTCGGCCGACACCATCAGTGCTTCGAGCTGCAGCTGGAAGACGACGACGGCCCAGGACGGTGACTGCTTCCTGGAGCCGCGGACTTGCAGTGAGTGTCTAGCGGATACCCCCACCACCGGAGAGGTAGTCTTGCTGATCAAATGGCCCGACAGACGATGGCATCCAGCTAACCAACGCCGCTGTGCTCGGACAGACCTGCGTGCTGACTGACCAGGGCATTTGCTTAGGCTTGAAGGAATATGAAGAAACGTTGTCAAGTGCTGGGGGCACCTACTACGTGGCGGGGAACGAGACGTACTGCACTGCCAGCAACGGATCTTCATCGTCTTCCAGCACAACCGACTGCGTCCTGCTTGACAGCTGCGAGTCTTCGTCGTGGCTTAGCTACGCGCGGAAACGTCTGCCTCTGATCATCCTCGCTGTCGGCGGAGGCACACCCGAAGGCTGCAGCTTCGCGACAGACACCGTCAACGCTATTACCGGTGCTGAGTCAGAGTCCAATGATTCTAGCTCTGGTTCGCCGGCCGCCTCAAGCAGCAAGGACACCCTTGCCAGCGAAGACAAGTGCACATGGTACCAGAACACGACGCTGTGCAGCACACCGCGGACCTGCTACGACTGCCTCAACACGGTGGCAGACAGTGGCGACGCGTGCACGATCACGCCCGACGGATACTGCGCCACACTGGCGACGAGCTACAACTACAAGCTGGACTTCCGCAGCCCAAGCAGCAGCGGGGCCGCCAACGGGTACTTCTACCCGTCCACCAACACGACATACTGCGAGCCCAGTGACCGAGCGTGCACAAACTGCGGCCTCTCTAGTGCTACCAGCAACTCGGCGTCCTACTGCGTCGGCTCGGACGGCTGCATCTGCGTGGCGTTCTGCCAGTCTGCGAGCTGGCAAGCGACTGTGCTGGCCGACAAGTGCGCGGCTTCGACGTCCTCGACTTCCTCGAACCTCTACGGCTCCGAGTTGCCGTGGAAAACCTTCTGCGTCTGCCTCAGTCTGGCGGTGGCGGTGGTGCTGGGCGTGATTCTCGGCGTCTGGCGCGTGCGGCGGGCGGTTTTAGCCCGGAGGAGGGAGTCCATGCGCTGTCGACGGTCCGAGACGCGGCGCTCGACGCTGGAGCTGGAGCTGCCGGCCTGGAAGGCGCTGCGCGAGGAGCTCATAGACAGCAAGGTGGACCCTGTGGGCGAAGGCCGCGGCCGCCTCCGACCAATGGCAAGTTGAAGTTGCCGGTTTGAGTTTCTGTATTTTAGACTTGGTTTGAGTATAGACGGACAGCGTAATCAATTGCGAAAGAAAAGAGACCCTGAAGGGATGCTGGCCAATGACAAAGCGACAGTCCGCGAGAGCAGGTAATGTATCGCCTATGCACTTGGGATTCACTGTTGCTCTCTGACAAAACCAGACCGGGATTGACTGCAATAGTCCACGAGGATTCGACTGGAGAGCATAAACCGGTAGGGCATCACGCTTTGCGTACCAAAGAATGTGCAGATGGTGACGTATGTGTCTGGAGTCAGTTTACATCCATAACCTCCGGTTCGAGATCAAGTGACACATCAAGTGATACAACCGCGGGCCGAGGGTGAGGGTGAGGGCAGCACGCAAGCCCAAGGTTAGACACAAGCCATCCCTTTCGATCCGCCAGTCGCGCGTGGCAAGCAGGCAGCACGCAGGGCAGCTCCGCTCCCGCTCCCGCATTCGCAAGCTTCCTCCCTCAAGACTCCCAAGTCCAGCCTCGACCGTTACAAGACCCCCTCAGTTCTTATTCGCGCGGCTGACTGGCGACTAGCAAATTAATGGAGACCACAGAGCCCTCCGCCGCCACCGGTGTCAGCGTCAACGACACCTCCAGCTCCAGCACCAGCACCCGCAGCGGCTCCGACACCGTCGACGTGAGCATCCAGAGCTCCGCCGCAGACGACAGCAATGCCACGGACGTGGGCGACTCGGACAAGAGCGTGAGCTCCAACGCCGGCGACTCGTGCACGTGGTATGACGACGGTGAGTGCTCGCGGCCGCGCACGTGCTCGGACTGCCTCAACGTGCTGCTGTCCAACGACGCGTGCGCCGTGGACCCGAACGGCGCGTGCGTGAGCATGAGCACGTACGAGAGCTACCTGGCCAACCGCTACTACTACACGCCGCTGCAGCGCTACTTCCCGTCCAGCAAGTACACGTACTGCAGCGCCAACGACTCGGTCTGCTCCACGTGCATCCAGCAGTGGAACGCCAACTTCGAGAGCACGGGCAGCGCCGGCATGTCCTCGTACTGCACGGGCACGGACGGCTGCGTGTGCATCGCGGACTGCGAGGTGCCCGACTGGCAGGACACGGTCATCAACGACCAGTGCTCGGCGAGCGGCAGTGGAGACGGAGCCGACTCCGGGTCGTCCATGGCCACGCGCATCACGATCTCAATATTCGTAGGCGTTGCGGTGGCGGTGCTGCTAGCCTTCGCCACGTGGGGAGTGCGCCGATTCGTCAGTCGCTGGCACAATGAGCCTGGTGGTAAGTTAGTGGTGGTTGCAATGTAGAGGTCGACACGCGCAGAAGCTCACTATTTCTTGTTGATATGATGCAGTCATTCGCCGCGAAACCCGCACGAGGCCGCGGCCGCCACCGACAGGACCGCAGCTGACGCTGACTGGGTGGAAGTCGCTGCGCCAGAACCTCATCGACACAGAGAACGGCTTTGTGAACGCCAACGACGCAGTGGCGCTGCAGCGTTATATCGGTACCAACGCGAGCACCAGCAACAGCTCCTTCGCCCCCGCGACAGTCGAATCTGGGCCGGAGATCAGGCTCGAGCAGGGGGAGGGATTCCGTCCAGCGTCGCCCGGCGAGTTGGAACGACGCGCGCACGAGACTGCGCAGCAAGAGAGAACTCCCCTCTAGCTGCTGAAGCTCACCCAATATTATCAAGCCAGCCATCCAGCCAGCATCAAGGAAGACAGCTCGACTCGTCCAGCAACCGCGACGTCGTGCTGCCAGGAAGCAGTTATTGGGACGGAGAGGAGCTGGCCTCCCGTCTTAACCCGAATTGTAAATATGATAACTTGTAAACACGCCGCGTAACCCAGCAGAGTTGTTAATCCGCGGCAGTAGATCTCCGGAGCCCAGCATTCCCAGACGGACACGAAGCACAACGTCTATCGCAGAACCCTACAGATGATTGCCATTTTGCGCAGATTCGGCTGGATTCTTGCCGCAAGTCAAGGTTTGGAGCCGCTCCGCACCAGCATCTGCTGTTTGGCTGCATTTGGCCCGAGGTATGGACGAAGATCAATTAGCGGTGCAGACTGTATCGCCAGCACTCTGGCAGTAGCTCCTCGCTAGACCAATTCGAGCTCCCTACACATACTATGAACGCGTCGCACTCGTCTTCAGGCTCAAGCTCGTCCGTGGGTGACAATGTTGGTGACACGCCCACGCCCGTTACCAAGACTGTCAGCTCAAACACCGCGAATTCCTGCACTTGGTACGCGGACTCGAGCTGCAAGCGGCCACGCACATGCTACGACTGCTTGAACGTCAAGGTCTCCAGTGGGGAGTGCGCCGTCATGCCCAACGGCATGTGCGTGAATCTGGACGAGTACGCGCACTTCTTGAGCACACAGGAGGAGTTCGGCATCTACTACAAATATTACCCGTCCAGCGAGTACAAGTACTGCAGCGCCGACGACGCGGCGTGTTCAGCGTGCAGGTCGACGTGGATATCCGACTACAAGTCGGCAGGAACGATCGAAACACCGTCGTATTGCACAGGACTCGACGGCTGCTTGTGTCTGGCTCGGTGTGAGCTGCCAGATTGGTCTTCGTCGATCGTGACAGACCAGTGCAGCTCAAGCGGCAGCATCGGTACGAATAGTAGCCGAACCTCGACAGCGTCTCGAATTGGCTTCGCGCTCGCTATAGGGATCGCGATGGGCGTTTTGCTTGGACTGTGGGGCATCAAGCTGCTGCTCCGAGGGCGAGGCAATTGTCGAGGACGCGGATCTTACGTCCCCGGTACGTTGTGGCATTTTGCACTCGCTCTTGATAATCGGGAACTCATTATTCTTTGTGTCATTCATTGCTGCAGCTATACGTGAGACTTGGGCGGTGCCGCGTCGGTCGCCTAAAGGCCCGCAGCTTGAGTTGACTGCTTGGAAGGAGCTGCGTGAGAAGCTCATTGCCGTCGAGCAGGAGGCCTTTGGAATCCGAACTGAGGCGTCTACAGTAGAGTCGCAGTCGGATGTGGCGGCGGCAAGTACAGCAGACGCATTGGAGGAAGGAGAAGTCTACCGCGCAATGTCGCCGAGCCAGACAGCACGGCAGCCTATCGATGCGCCTCGGTTGCAGTCTTAGTGGTCGCTCGCTTCAGAAATGGCGTTCAGGTATCCTGCGACTTCAACTAGTGCTAGGCGCACGCAGCACCAGTATTCAGCGGCGACGAATATGCTTAAACGTTTAAACTGCTTGAATGACCCCTCGCAAAATTTGAGGTGTTGAGAAGTGGTGTTTGAAGTGTACACTGTCAACAGGACAGAATGGCGCACAATAAAAGCAAAGCCGTGATTCAATTTACTGTGGCGATGAAGCTGCTCTAGGTTAGAAGCGACGAGTGGAGTCCACGAAGAAAATCGAGCTTGGTAAGCTTAGAAGTTGCCGCAAATTGCTTTCTCGATTGACGCTATATCAATAACAAGCGGCTCCATTCATGGGAAGAGCTTGGACATTGATCGCCAGGATGACCACGTGCACGAACGGCAGCGGAGCGTTCGAATCCTAAAGGTCATTACTACCTTAGCGCGTTGATGAGCGGACATCACCACTACATTGCTCCCTACACGCACTCCAGTAGGTATTTTGCCCGGATTCCTTGGACGTGGAGCAGTTCATCCCATCTTTTGCTGTGAAAGGTGTCCATTCATTACGTTTGTTGCAGCACATGACATACATGCAGCTCAAGCGCCAGTACAAGGCACAGTAATCTGGCCTTTGCACGAACAATTCCCGATTGAAACCTTTTCGTGTGCATGTACCAATAACGCCAGGAAAGTATGGTCTGTTGGTACGCCCAAGATCGATTCACCTGGCATCTCCTCTTCCGCCTTGGAACACTCCTCCGCCACAACATTTGCTTCCTGGCTGTATCGAGACCAAACGTCACCGTTTCATCCGTTTAAACCGATAGATTAAACCCGTTTCAGCTCTGCGTGTTTCTGCAAGCTGAAGATGCGCCCAAAAGAGACAAGCGCAGCCCATCTTCTGCTTTGCGCTCATATCGGAGCCAGTCGAAGCACAACAAGGGGTCGCAGCACCACAAAACAAGTGCGCCCCAGTGTACCTCGGTGCGACGGCCACGCATCGAGCTTCCTGCGACGGAATGCCGCCGCCAAAGTAGAATTTGCAGCGCCGGATCAAGATGTCCGCGAACTCCAGCTCGTCCTCGGGTGATTCGGAGACTGTGACCAAGACGACCAGCTCGAACACGAGCGATTCCTGCACCTGGTATGCTGGCGAGAGCTGCTCGCAGCCTCGGACAGGCTACGACTGCCTCAATGTGTTGCTCTCGACGGACGAGTGCGCCATCGACCCCAATGGCGCCTGCGTCAGCATGTCCGTCTACGAGGAGTACCTGGCCGATCGAGCGTACTACGAGCCTCTGTCCTGGTACTTCCCGGCCTCCAACTACACGTACTGCAGTGCGAACGACTCGGTGTGCTCGACGTGCATCGCCGAGTGGACTACCAACTACGAGACGACGGGGAGTGCCGGCACCAAGACGTACTGCACGGGATCGGACGGCTGCGTGTGCGTCGCAGCGGCGGAGGTGCCGGATTGGGAGACGACGGTCATCGCAAACCAGTGCGATGGCTCGAGCGCTAGTGCCGACAGTTCACAAGAGTTCTCGTCGGGTACGCGGATCTGCATCATCTTGGCCATGTGCATCGGCGGCGTCATGATTTTCTCCATTTTCGCGGTGCGGAGGTGCATCCGGTTAGCTTCGTTTCGGGCTTCAAGTGCGTCATGCAACAATCGATATGTTCTTGGTAATTGGGGATTGGAAATTCTAACTGTGTGTTGCGGTTTTGCAGGATCTGGCTCAGTGCTTCGTACTCCGCCGGGACCCCAACTCAGCTTGGCCGGTTGGAAGTCGCTGCGCGCGAAGCTTATCGAGACGGAACATGGTTTCGTCAGGGGAGACACAACCAGGCTGGACACGACAACTCGCAGTGCCGAGGCATTGGCGGAGGCGCCTGCTATCACTGTCGAGGTGTGCACCGTTGCTCCTCGGCGGCCAGAGTCGCCTCCACCATACGAGGCCCAGTACATGATGGCTCCGATGTAAACTCCTCCTGGCGTGAACAAGTGAAGACCCAGAACAGACCAGACAAGCAGAAGCACGTCGCGAATATTTCTTATTGCTATGAGACCAGTTGAAGTGCTCACACGTCACAGCCTTGGCACTTCGTAGGAATGGTGCCAACATGAGTGCGGGCGATGATGCCAACAAGACGTTGAAGTGTGGACCTGGTACTTGCTATTAACGTTACTATAAATTAATACGCAACATCAGGAAAAAGTCGAGGGAGAGTGATGCTCTCCATCAGTGCAATCCACACGAGCCTTCGAAGACGATTAGGACACAGAGAAATTGGAGGTGTAAGTCATCAGCGTTCCTAGTGTTATCAAAAACTTTTTCGGTAGCGCTGGTTGCTTCTATAAACTGGCAGTTTGCCTACGGGAGGCAAGGCGGACTACGAGCCCGCGACGTTTGCCATGTTCTTAATACTCACCCTTTTAGCTCGAGAATTGAGCGCGGAGGTCATCGTCGATGGCTCATCGTACTGCATTCTGGGTGGCCTGTGCACGAAGTGTCAATTTGTACCGATGCCCTCGAAGACTGAGTAGCACTCATGCCATGAACAGGGAAATCCCGCCACTGCATCCGACTTGTAGCAAAACAAAAGTACTGTACTGCCGAGCAAAAAATATGTACTGCAGCGTCCCTGCTAAAGAAATCATGTCATGTACTTCGAAGTATTACCAGCAGAGCACTGGCGGAGTCCTGACCGTAACACAAACAACGTAGTGAGTGATGGTCTGCTCCTACGTTTGGCTCGAGCAAGATCTAACGATGCATGCACGTTGCTTCAAGCTAGTTGCTTGAGACAGTTCACACAGGACCTTCAGTTGCATAGGATGAGCAGTTGCAAACACTGTTCATGATGAACTCTGTTTGCATATACCTACTACATGTACATGTACCAGCACAGACCAGCTTCACCCTGCACGCAAGTGCACCCACGTCTACATACCGCTAAGCATCTCCGATCGACAGGTAACTCAAAGTAAAATTTCCAGCAAACAGCAAACAACCAAGATGTCCACGAACTCCACCTCAACAGCGGGTGACTCGAGGACTGTGACCAAGACGACCAGCTCAAATGCTGGCGATTCTTGCACATGGTACGCCGGCGAGAGCTGCTCGCAGCCTCGGACGGGCTACGACTGCCTCAATGTGTTGCTCTCGACGGACGAGTGTGCCATCGACCCCAATGGCGCCTGCGTCAGCGTTTCCGTCTACAAGGAGTCCGAGCCTCCGTCGGGGTACTTCCCGGCATCCAACTACTCGTACTGCAGTGCGAACGACTCAGTGTGCTCGACTTGCCTCTCGGAGTGGACAACCGACTACGAGACAACAGGAAGTACCGGCACCAAGACGTACTGCACGGGGTCAGACGGCTGTGTGTGCGTTGCAGCGGTGGAGGTGCCGAATTGGGAGCAGACGGTCATCGCAAACAAGTGCGATGGGTCAAGCACCAGTGCCGACAATTTTCAAGATTTTTCACCTGGAACGCAGATCGGTATCATCTTGGCCCTGTGCATCGGCGGTGTTGTGTTGTTATCTGTCTTTGTGGTGCGGAGACACAGCCGGCGAGGTAAGTTGTGCATATCTTATTGATACGATGCGAAAAGGATAACAAAGCCTCATCTTAGCTCCCGTGGACCACGGGCCGTGGTATTTTCCAGAATCTGAATCGGCACACCATGCTCCTTCGAAACCTCAACTGAGCTTGGCTGGCTGGAAGTCACTGCGCGAGAAGCTCATCGAGGCCGAGCACGAGCTCGTCGAGGGAGACACAGTCAGACTGGACGTGCCAACTCGCAGCCCTGAATTACTGGTAGAAGGCCCCACCGCCACTCTTTAGGCGCGCACAAGTTGTGAACACACTATGACAGTTGAAGTGCTCACACGTCGCAGACGCTAGTTCGATTAAGTGCGAGCTACGTTGAAGCTGCGGCACCACCAGACCACGATGAAGATGCGCGGTGCCGTCGGAGATGTACCACCGCCAATCGAAGAAAAAGTCTCTAACGTGGTAAATCCCCCGCCATGGCTTCCTCCTGGGGGTCCAACGGTAGTTCCAGCGCTGCAGCGGAGGTGACGACCCCCACCAACGTCTCCACCAGCGGAGACTCGTGCACGTGGTACGCGGGTGCGAGCTGTGAGCAGTCCCGGACGTGCTACGACTGTCTAAACGTCGGCGTCGTGGGCGACACGGTAGGCACACTTTAAACACTAACCTAACCGGGTTAACACTAGCCTAAATTTTTACTAAAATTGTATTCATGCAGTGTGCAGTTGGCAACATCGGCCAATGTTTAAGCACTTCGGACCGAGTGGATGGAGAATCGTACTACCTGGCAGCCGGTTCTACCTACTGTGAGGCGTCGGACAAGAACTGTTCTACCTGTCGTGCTCGATGGCTGGAGGAGTACGCGGCAAGCGGAGAAGTCAAGTCATCGCCCGTGTGTTCCGGAGAGAATGGCTGCATTTGTCTTGCCGTCTGTGAACGGGAGGCGAAGAACTCGCTGGTGATTCAAGACGAGTGTCCAGCCTACGAGAGGGCCAAAGTCGGGAGCATCATGCTGGTGATTGCCATGGGCTTCGCCTCGTTCATTGTCTTCTCCATGCTCACCTATTGTATCAAGAAGCTGTTGAAGTGCACCCTGCCATGTAAGTTATGAAAAGTTTAAGTGAAGGTTATGATAGTGCTAACCATGGCTATTTTTCAGGGTTCGAGTTGTATCCGACGGATCCGTCTGTTGTGGGAAGTCGACGTCCGCCGAGGTCGCCCCGTGGCCCGCAGTTGGCGTTGTCAGGGTGGAAGTCGATGCGAGAGAAACTGATTGAGACAGAGCACGGAAACGGAACGCCGGGGGCTGGGTCAGCAGGGGTGATGAGGATTCAATTATCGGCGGCGGAGGGGATGGCGGTGATTGTAGAGGAAGGTGAAGGCTTTCGCCCTGCTTCACCCAGCGAGCAATATCGTTCTCTACACCCCGAAGAGGTCGCGCCCGCATTGGCGATGTTGCGTTAGATGTTGTTCAGTTCTCCCTGACAGGTGATGTAGTGTTCAAGTCGTTCTTGAGCTTTTAATCCACATTTTTTTTGCGTATTCTAACTTGAGTTGTTTAAAGAATCATATCCTTTTCAACTTTTAGCTGGCACAGCTACCCAACCCTCCTCAACGTTTTAGGCTATGCATATCGATTTCTCCAGCTCACTTCTGGCTAGAATGAATACACGCTTCCATTCATCAACATCTCCCACCTCAGTGTCAACGCAATTAAACCAGAGTGAACTGGATCCCGAAAAATCAATTAGCATTTTCAGCTTTTTTTCAAGCTAGTTCTCTACAGTATTCAGCTTAGCAATTGCAAGAGCCTAGTACTGGTTCAAACGCGGAATGTTGCCTCAGTCAATAGACATCTTTTGCTCTCGTATTTAAGTTGACGGGGGTTCTCGAGATTTTCTGTTTCCCTTTCCCATTGCTCAAGATGGCGAAGAAGAAGACAGGCAACATGAAGAGCAAAATGACGGCGCCGATGAATTCGGGGTCGGTACAAGGAGAGGAAGGGTCTCGCCGCTAGTGGATGGAAGCAACGCATCGGACCCGCACCTCCTTCCTGCCAGTGCCGCAAAGCTGACGCAGTCGTTGATCGGACTGAGTGACGAGCAGCGCCAAGTTCTTGAAAAGGAACTCAATTTAACGGACGAAGATACGCTTCTGGTCCTTCGCATCAATCCGAATTGGCAAGGTCAAGTTGCTGCCGCAACAGTTTGTGACGCGATCGATACATTTGGAATGAGGAACAACGAACGCCGCGACGCCGGAGAAGGTTGCCACAGCGAGATTTTCCACTTCGAGCATTATCAAGATCTTGGACCGTGCAAGACTGCAATCCACGCGGCTCACCCTGAAGCATTTGCATACTCGCTTAGTGCGGTCACTGCCATTGTGGCCGCCGGCCTTGTCGGAGGCAATCTTCCTATCGAGCGAGCCACTGGCATATGGAGTTGTCGTCAACAAGATCGCTATTCGTCAGGATGATGCACAAATTTTCGATTTCTTCTACTTGTAGCTTTCATAGTAACAAGTAATTCAGGTTTGGGGGCAGGAAATTCTGCAGAGCGCAGGCTAAATCGATGCCGACGATTGTATTGCCACCGCTGACGGTCGAGCTGGCGATGGAGGTGGAGCAGGGAGCACGGGCACACCAGGGGACAGCGGGCGGTAGCCGTCACCTTCCTCTACAGTTACCATAGGAGCATCGTCTGGAGCGTCAGTGAGATGGTGGCCGACAAACTCTTTGTCGCTGATGTTGCGTTCATCGGCGATGAGCCCATTGCGCATCTCTTTCCACGCCGACAGCTCCAGAGTGAGACCCGTCGTGGGCTGCCTGCGCACTGCGATGCTTTGTGTGATCATGTTGTGCCAGCGAGCTTCCCTTCCTGAATTTCATGAATATCACGACAAAAGTTAGCACTCAAACCATAAATGAAACCCCATCAGACCACTTACGACGAGCGCGGAACATGTTGAAGAGCTGCAACAGCGCCGACAGCGCGAGTAAAATGCCAATCACGACGATAGCTGCAATGCCAATGGGTGAGAGGCTGGATCCAGTACTCTCGTCCGTGGCCGACGAAGCTTCACAGCCTTCTGCCACCACGATAGACCTCCAGTTCGGCGATTCGCAAAACGCCACACAAACGCAGTCGCTCTCGCCAACACAATACGCCGACAGGTTTGCTTTCCCAGAATACGCGTCCAAGACCTTGTCACTCAGGCATTTCGTGCACGTAGCGTCGTCATACTCGCAGTACGTCGTATTCGTCGACGGAAAATAGTGCGCTGCACTGTCGGAATACACCCTCCGATAGTCCAGAGTGTAGTCGTATTCATCGATCGTCGTGCAGTATCCTCCCGGTGTGATGGTGCACTTGCGTCCGCTGTAAAGCGCCGTGTTCAGACAGTCGTAGCATGTCCGCGGGGTCTGACACAGCGTCGAGTTCTGGTACCACTTACACTCGTCGTCCGCAGCGTAGGCGTCCTTGGTGGCTGGCACCGTCAAACTGCTGGACGCTGAAGCGTCAGCGCCCGCAGAGGTAGACGACGAATTGGCCGCCAATGGGCAAGTCGTCGTCTCGTTGTTCTCCTTTAGATACGCTGCGAGTCTCGCGAGCGTATCGTTCCACCAGGACTCGGACTCGCACACGGCGACGCAGACGCAGTCGTCGGTGCCCGTGCAATACACGGACGGGTTGTTGTTCCCAACAGTGAAGGTGGTTTCTTGACAAGAATTGCACACCGAGTCGTTAGGCTCGCAGTAGGTGGTGTTGACCTCTGGGAAGTAATTGTAGTGGATCGGATACGTGAACGCCGACTGCGCACGTCGGTAGTCCTCCGTGTAGTCATAAGCCGAGATGTTCTCACACAGGCCGTACGGCGTCAACACGCATTCCTACATGGAGGCAAAAGTGTATCAATTTCTTAGTTAGAAGGGATTTATTTTACTGTCAGACTCGATGGAAAGAGAGAAAATAAGAAATGCACATACTTGCCCGTTGCTCAGCGCCGTGTTGAGGCAGTCGTAGCAGGAGCGAGGCTGGATGTAGCACGAGTCGCCCGTCGTCACCTGCTCCCAGGCGCAGTCCGAGGCGGCCACAGCGCTGCTGCTGCTGCCGGCGGAGACGACGGCAGCCGAAGAGCTTGAGCCCGAGGACGTGGACGACAGCGAGCTCGACATGCTGCGGGGGTGGGTTGTGTCGGTGCTGGAGAGCACCCGCGGGAGCGAGCGAAGACCAGCTCCGTCGCTCCTCTCTGGACACTGTGTGGTTTACTCTTGGAACTCTTTATACTGATTGACCTGCGGTGTATAATAAAACAGAAATTACTTGAATTAAGCTCTCTCGATAGTTTGCTTATATGAGCATTAGAAGGATCTGTGATATTGATATTGTATAGTGTGATGGATGAGGAAAAGTCCCACCGTTGATTTGCAGCGTAGCCTGCGCAGCGCTTCAACTTGCGGTACAAACGGTGGATTCCGACGCGCTTCATTTCAGCCCAATGGAGCTGGCACCTCTCTCCATCGGTCGAGAAGGCCCCGACGCTGTGGTATGCACAGTGAAGTGTGAAAGGAGGCTTCTGCCTGAGATCATGAAGCAAGTGGCGATATCTCTCATGGCTGGTCATTACAATGACACCACGTTAAGTCCGAACGGTTTTTGAAGCGCTCCGTTGCTGGCCCCTGTGCGTGCGGAGACCTACGCCGGTCCAACCACGCGATCGTCTCATCGAACAAGCACTCTTCCTTGAATTCACCGAAAGAGTTTAGTTTAAGCAGCTTCGACTCGTCTTCGACTGTTTTGCGCGCTACAGTACTCACGCTCTAGTCTGTACAGTGCATGCACTCGTCACGATTTTGGGAGAGCATTGGACGTATCTGTGCACTTCATGCCTGTTGTTGCCGTTGTGCGCCCGAGGTGAACGACACCTCATGGTTGTCAACGATAAGCAAGCATTCTTGGCAAATCCAAGTCGATCTCGAGTCATGCGAAGCTCAAGCGATTGTGGTAGACATCTCCGCGCGCGAATGAGATTTCGGGGCTGCAATGGATTCGTCAATGCTTCAATACGAGTCCCCGTGCAACCTGCTCCGTTGAGGTGCCCACTTCACTTGCGTTGCTTCGCCGCGAACCAAGTGTCATCGAAGCATTCGCGTCCAGCGGAGCGACGAGACAAGGGCACACTGTATAACATGGACTGACGCCAGGCAAAGTCACGGCGTGGCAGTCCACCCCGGAGCTTAGCAAAGAACAGTGTTGCCGTCAATGAATCTCATGGTCTCCGCAAGCTTTGTCCATTGACGACAACCGGCTCGTGGGGCTGGACAGGGAGGTACGGGCATTGCCGTGGTGCAGACACAAGGCGCTCATTTCGATGAGCTTTTCTCATGATACCAACTACGACGGCTTTCACGTACATTAGCGCTTTTGCGTCGCACCAACCACTTCGCAATTTACTCACTTGTCCTCTCAATCGTCCACTCTCCAAACAATGAAGTCGCCGACGTCGCTTGCGCTGTTTACCGCGGCCGTCACGCTTGCTGTCGCCAATGCCGAGTACTTCACCGGTGACGGTACGGCCTACACGCTTGGCGATACCTCCTCCAGCAACTGTAACATGATGTCATCGCTCGGTTTCGCCACCACCGACTACGCCGCGCTGAACAACGACCAGTGGAGCGGACTGCAGAACTGCGGCCGCTGTGCCGAGGTGAGCTGCGACGATGACCGCTGCGTCGACAAGACCAAGTCGGTCGTGGTGCAGATCCTCGACCGTTGTCCCGAGTGCAAGCACGGCGACCTGGACCTGTCGCCGTCGGTGTTCAAGACGCTGACGGGCTCGGACCCGTCGCGCTACACGATCAAGTGGAAGTTCGTGGACTGCCCCGTGACGGGCAACGTCAACTACTGTCTGAAGGGTGGCAGCAACAACTACTGGACGGCCATCCAGCCGACGAACGTGGCGACCGGCATCAAGAGCCTGCAGATCAACGGCAAGGCTACCAAGATGCTGGACGGAGCGTACTACTACCTGCTCGACGGTGCTGGTTCTGCGGTGGCGGACCTTTCTAAGGTCACCGTATCATTGACGGACATCAACGGCGTATCGATGAAGGACACGGTGAGCTTGAGTGCCGGTTCGTGCACGAAGGGTACCAAGCAATTTCCAACTTCGGGTGGTTCGTCTCAGTCAACGGTTGCACCAGCGTCGAATACGTCTACCCCCACATCCCCACCGGCAACAGTTCCAACGCGGACACCCGTGCCGACGCAGACCCCAAGGCCTCAAACGCAGTATCCAGGCGTGACTCCTCAAGCTCCATCTTCGACTGCACCGACGCCGACTGCCACTACTGCATCGCCGATCCAGCAAGATCCTCAACAACAGCAGGAGCAGCAGCAGTACCAGTGGGGTGGATACGGAACCTACTAACCTTACTACAGAAGGGTAGATGCTTCTCCAACATGCGACCAACTTCAATCATGGTTCAAACGCGGAAGACCATCTCAGTCAATGCTCCTCAATACTTCGGGGTACAATACATGTACATACAGTACATGCATTACCTGGTGTTTCTATCATGTACATACACTTTATTCTCAGTCAACCTGTGTGCACTGCATACCGTGCAGTCTTCCCTGAGCAAGTTGTCTTATCTTACCAGAGAGCTCTTACAAGTATGTAAGTTGTCGCGTGACCTCAACTCAGTCTCACGACACACAGCAAAGCATGAACCCAAGCTCCGACTTAAAACTTTTAAGTTAAAGAGAGTGGTTGCTGCACTCGTCTACTGGAGTCATCTTTTGAATTGTCCGCACCAATAACCTAACCACACTTCTGACCTCCATCCGAACTTCGTATACGCGGTATACTTTCGACTTTCAACCATGTGCAACCGAAGCAAAGCATAGGTCTGCAATGTTCGGCGCGTGGGCCGGAAGGTATGCCTAAGTAGGAGTTTCTATCTAATCCAGATACCTCGCCTGGCCGAGCCGAGGACTTAGCGTAAGGCTCGAGGGGTTGGGGCAGGTCGCGTAGCGGCGCCCCTCGAAGTGCCGTTGCTAAGTCCACAGGCGAGAGCCAACGTGAGAGTGTCCTACCCTCTTTAACATCAAGTAACAAATGCTTAGTCGCTTTGGTGGTCGGCATTGGGCCTTCTCGAACATTCTTCATCTTACCGGTCTATACATGGAGTATACAACTTGCTTCAGTTTTGGTCGGTTCTTGACGATCGTGGTCGGGCGCAAACGGGTACAATAGTCTCGTCACAGCCTAGTTTTCCATATGGTGGACGGGTGCAGCACAAGTGCCTAAGTTAAAAGTCGTTTAAAAATTGAAGTTTGCACCGCTGTTGTGCGCCAGCACAGCGACACTGCACCACATCGTCGCATTGCACGAACACTATGCTGCGGCGTTGATCGTGGCTTTGAGGCTGCGTCTTGCCTCCGGACGGCACCATCTTCCTGGGCCAGGGCGAAATGCACCAACGCGTGCAGGAATTCATATGCTCCGACCAAAGTTTAGCTTGAGTGTCGGCATTGCATCGCCTGGAGGAGTTTTATCGATTGCCAACTGGTTTGGTAGAGCTTGATGCTGTTCTTCGTCAAGTGCTGGGACATTGGCCACGTAGCGTAAAGGCCGGCCACACCGCTCCACAAACAGTGAAATGTATGGCGGTGCTGATCCCTATGGCGTGGATGCCTCCCGCACTTATCGGCCGGGGGACAAGGGCAAGAGTTCATTCTGACTTTTTCCATCTGCGGGACGCTTTGCTGCGTCGCTGTGGATCAAGTATGAAGCTGTACGCGGCATTCACCTTGCTGGCCACTGCGGCCACGCTGGTGGCGGCTAAAACCAGCGACAACGTCGCGCAGCACAGCAGCGGCAGTGGCGACTCGTTCAACTCGACCGTCGGCTATGATCATACGTCGATTCCGACTGTACTACCGACGGCGACGCCTACTCCCGTTACGACAGCCCCTCCTCCGACCAAGCAACAGTCGATCTCGTCTAGTGGCAAGGACGACACGCAGCAGCACTCGTCCCTGGGTAGCGGGAGCGGAGAGTCTCATCAAGCTTCGAGCTCCGGTCAAGGTGACGATAAGACTCCATTGCCAACGGTGGTGCCTACAGCTGTCCCCACTCCCATTGAGCAGCAGTCGAGTCCGTCGAGCGGTAGTGACGCTAACCACGCGTCTCAGCAGGGTAGCTCGACCAGCGAACAGGCATCAGGGAAGAACTCGAACGCTGGAAGTGCCGACGACAAGAAGACGGAGCTTCCGACGACTCCCCCCACTGTGACGGACTTGCCTTCGACCACGGCGCCGCCGTCCACGCCGCCGTCCACGCCGCCGTCCACGCCGCTGCCAGGCTCATCGAGCAGCCATGACGAGGGTCAGAAGGGGTCGAACTCGGGTAGTGGAAGTGAACAGGACAAGTCGAGCTCGAGTCACGGAAGCCTTGAAGGAGAAGAGACCCCGTTGCCGACTCCGACCGGTGCGCCGGCAACGACAGCGCCGTCAACTACGGCACCCGCGACTAGCCCTCCGACCGAAAAGCCCTTGGGATCGTCGAGTAGCGGCCAGGCCACGCAACAGAGCTCAGCCTCTGCGAGTGGCAACGGCAAGACTCCAGCTTCGCATGAGTCGTCGAAATCTGGGAGTGAACAGGATGAGACACAGCCACCGACGATGCCTCCTACTGATGCTCCGACGATTCCTCCCACGGTGAAGCAGTCGGGGTCGGAGAGTGGCAATAAAGACAAGCAGACGTCTCCACACTCGAGCTCGGCAAGCGGAAAGGATGGCGAACAGAACTCGCAGAAGCACTCCGCGTCAGGAAGTGGCCACGATGAGGACTTCAAGGTGTCTCAAGCGAACTCGCAGCACAGCTCTTCTTCTGGAAGTCGCCACGATGAGACCAGTCCGACTTCTCATGAATCTTCGGGCTCTGGAAGCGTTGAGATTCCGATGGTGACGCCTACGATTCCTCCTGTCACTACTCCTGCAACAACAGCTCCTGGTACATCGGCCCCTTCAACCTCGCAGCACTCCAGCAACTCGAAAAGCAGCGACGCTTCTCAGGCATCTCACCAGGACTCAAGCTCAGGGAGTGCTGCTGATAAGAAGACGCAGTCGCCAACAGTGACGCCTACTCCAACGAACACCCCGGCGACGACAGCACCTCCGACCACTAACCACCCGAGCTCGTCCAGTGGCAGTAATGCCAGCCCTACGGCTCAACAAGTCTCCAAATCCTCCAGCGGAAGCGAAGACAACAAGCCCGTGACCTCAAAGTCTTTCAGTGGAAGCGACGACGCCAACCGCTCGAGCTCTGGAAGTGCGCATGGCGAGAAAACCTCCGTACCGACAATGCCGCCGACCGTTTCTCCCGTGACGAAGACCCCTTCTACTAAGCGCCATTCGAACTCATCGAGTGGCGATGACAAGCCTCAAACGAACCAGTTGAGCTCAGCCTCGGCTAGCGGCAGCGATGAGACGCACCAGCAGTCGTTCAGTTCGGGAAGCGTCGATGGCAAGAAGACCCCCTCCCCAACGATGCCCCCAGTCGTATCGAAGACTCATTCGCCGACTACGCCCCCAGTCGCAACGAAGACTCCTTTACCTACGATGCCCCCAACCATAACGAAGGAGCCGTCAACGATGCCTCCGATCGTAACGAAGGCCCCCGTGACGACGACTCCTTCGACTAAGCAGCAGTCAGAGTCGGCGAGCAGCAGTGGCTCTACCAAGACGTCCTCGGAGGGGTCAACTTCCGCAAGTGGAAGTAATGGAACTCATCAGTCCTCGAGCCCTGGAAACAGCGACGAAAAGACCTCGTCACCGACAATGCCCCCTATTGTTCATCGCGCGACGAAAGCTCCTACGACGACCGCGCCGGCGAAGAAGCAGCACTCGGACTCGTCAAGCGGAAGTGATTCTACTCAGCACTCGGATTCGTCGAGTCAAAGCGGTTCTACTGAACAGGACTCGGGCACTTCAAGTGGAAGCAATGATAGCCACCAGAAGGCGAATTCTGGTAGCTCCGAAAGCAAAAAGGACGAGGCACCGACCATGCCTCCTACGGTGCCCCCAGCGACGAAAGCTCCTGCAACCAAGGCCCCTTCAACGACCGCCCCAACCAAGCAGAGCTCGGACTCGTCGGATGGAAGTGAGACAACGGAAGCTCCCGTGACAGAGACCCCAGAGACGAACGCCCCGACCAAGCAGCGTTCGGACTCGTCGGTTGACAGTGAGGCATCCCAAAAGGTCTCGCGTGTTTTCCATTCTTCGGTCCCAGACGCCGACACCGTGGGTGCTGAACAGGACTCGACGAATTTAAAACCGAAGAGCGAGGTCACCCAGAAAGAGGAAACCAGGAATGGTAACGCCGCGAACTGCGCGATGTGATAAGCTAAGATTCTTAGCCTAAGAATCATGTTCTTAAAAAAATCTCCAAAGTAACACAAACTTGTTCATTATTTAACGGAAATTACCGAATATTACCCCGGGCACTTTTTATTAGTTTCTCATTTTCAAAACAAATATGCTAAATTATGGATATTACCCAGTATTTCATACATAAACATACTTTCGACAATAAATTCATAAATATATACTTGATCTTTGTATGGAAGTAACATTGTAACCCAGGGATACACCTTGGGTTACGTTTTAGAGGGTACTATACGGGTAAGGAGTATTATTCGGGAATTTACGTTATTAGAAGCCCATAGTGAACTGTAGAAACTACATTTCTCTAATATTACAGCATGGCCGCCGGTTATGGATGGGTCAGCTTGTTATTTGATTCGAATCAAACTGATTAATGACCGTTTTTATCAGTTTGAAATTGTCTAAAGGGTTTTCTAACCATTAGAATTTCGCGTAAATTGAAGTTGATGGGACCCTGAACATGGCATGCTGACTGCCGGCTTGCGCATTGCTACATGTATCGAGCTGAAGGGGAATCGCCCAAATAACGCTGCGGTACTGTTAGCTGCGGCACGGATGCTGTTAAATATCTTGTTCAGCACGGTAATACTTTCAATTCAGTCTTCATGTGCCATGTTCAACAAAAGGATGACGTCAGGTTGCTAGGGCGTGTAGTACGCGAAATGATGTGCGGTTGTCCGAGCGTGTATAAGAAGTGACATGTACGAGCATGTGTACTATCTGGAGTAATTCGCCGCAATAAAGAAGTTCATCAGGAATGCCACCGCAAAAAAAAACGAATCTTACTATATAAAAGCGTATGTAATCGTAAAAAAGCGTATCTGACGTTTTTATTGGTTTGGAACGTAATTTTCTGAAAATGACCATTCCATACCACCGGTACTTAATTCGTAATTTATTTGTAGCAGACTTATTTCAGATTATCCGGATTTTATGCTGATAGAATCTGGAGTTGTCTTCCGATTTGCATAAAATTCGAATAATCCAATATAATCTGGAAATAAATTACGGATAAAGTACGGCCATGTAGACTTAAGCTTTTAGAGAGAATTCTAAGGCTACAGTACTACGGTAAACAAAGCATCTTCCGGTGGAGACGGACACTACGTACGGCATACCGACCGCAAACTATCCTTGCGTTAGGATTCGCTTTGGAAGTGTGTGGTTTTGGGGCGGTGGAGACTAGCCAGGATCCCAGATGGACCACACAAGGAACCGTCGCTAGAGAAAAATGATGAGGATAGGAAATAGGTAAACGTTGGCGGCGTGAAGGTGGCCACAAGTGATACCTGTTGTGCCTCAATCGTTCTTGTATCTTCGCTCCAGCAACGATTTGGAGCAACAATACGCTCACATTTATTTCAGTTCCTGAATTGGCTCCTACTGCTGGCACGGCACAAAGGAAGAGCTTTTCCCAAAAGGAGTAGCGATTTGACCCATCTGTCTCAAAAGGAGTCGTTGTTGCAAAACGAGTAGTTGGGGTGCACCACATACAGAACTCCCCGCCTTAGCCAAAAAGGTGGGACCAATAAATCTTGCAAGGTTAAGAGAATTGCAAAGGAGACTAAATATACTGATTTATTACAACATTGCGGCGCATTGCTATTGTGCAAGCTTCCCGCACTCGACACTTTCCCTCCCGTTTTCAGTTAAATCAGTATATGGTGAATTTATGCACGGATGTGCATGGATGCTGACAACAGTGATTTGTACTATCTGTGCGAGGTACCAAACTTTATGCAGGCGAGGGTAAGCAGGGGAGTTCTGTACCATCCACATTCCTGATGCAGACCACGCAGGTGCACCACGCCATCCCCAAGGACATTAAGCCGCTGGCTCAGCTGCCCCCCCCCCCACAGGTGACAAGTTCCTGGCCAAGAGCTTGGCTGAGCTTACGGAGTACCTATTGTGGCTGCTTCGCGGCTCCCGCCTCCGTACACAAGTCGCTGGGCAAGTCGTTAATATACGAAACCCAGAAGAGCTGAGACTCACCACGCTCTCTCTTGATCGAGACGCGAACCTCCCAGCCACACACATCACCGGGAATACTCCTGTCGTCGACCGAGGAGATGACAGTTGTCTCTCCCTCGTCATTCGAGACGGCCCCTTTGGGCTTGGTTTTTTTGGCGTGGCTGCAAGTGTACGTCTTCATTGTTCCACTGCTTTTAACACAACAGCGTGTATTGGCATTGTACGTGTAGTCCTGCATGAAATAGGTCGCGTCTGTGCCGGAGCTGAAGCGCATGCCCTCCTTCAATTCAGACGTGCCGTGTTCAGCGTTTAAGTCCATGAGCGCGCGAGCCGATGTCATTGCGATGGTGGGACGGGTCTAGAGCAGGGAGCTGGTTGTGATAGCACTACGAGAAAGATGGAGAATGCCAGCTAAAACCCACGCCAATGTCATACCGCAAATAGCACATACTCTATCCTAAGATCGCCAAGAATGGTATGTGGTGCACCCCGGCTGCTCGTTTTGCAACAACGACTCATTTTGAGACAGATGGGTCAAATCGCTACTCCTTTTGGGAAAAGCTCCACAAAGGAAACCCGAGCGTCGTCGCATCGAAGACGCAGCATACGAATACGTCGATCGTATGTAATCGAGCCATACGATTATTTTGATTGTTTTGCCCCCCTCCCCGCGAACGAGATTTCAAGCTGTCAATGCATGGACGCTACACGAACCTATTCACATGTCAACGCCGTGCCCCTTCACTTCGTGTGGAGATGCCAACTCGGTGTTGGCAACACCCCTGTGACGGGTTTGTCTTTGGCCCTCCCACGGCGACGGCGAGGTGAATTATGACAACTACAATACTTGTTGCTGTACATATACAAACTACGCCACAAGTCTTGTGGTCTCCTGGGGGAAAGTCTCCTTCGACTTTTCGTGAAAAGCAGGCCTTTCGCAGCGAGAACCATGCCCATCAATAAATTCAACATTGGCGACTTTGTCCACTGTAATACTCTGCGCGGTAACCGGCTTGTGGACCAAAACAGGGACTTGGTGACGGGCTGCACACGTGGTTCGACTCGGCAATCGGCAATCGTAGCACGACGCTACCATTCTCGATACCCAGAGGGTCACAAGGCACTGGTGTCTAGACGAGTTCCTTCGTCGAGATCGCGCAGGACGAAGCACAGGGAAGCGATGGGTCCAACGGAGTCGAAGCGTCCTTCATTCATTCCAGCTTTTGCCTCGCAACGACCACTTCGCAGTTGACTCGCTTGCACCTCAATTGTCATGAAGTCGCCGACGTCGTTCACGCTGTTCACCGCGGCCGTCACGCTTGCCGTCGCCAATGCCGAGTACTTCACCGGTGACGGTACGGCTTACACGCTTGCCGACACCACCAACGGCAACTGTAACATGATGTCGTCGCTCGGTTTCGCCACCACCGACTACGCCGCGCTGAACAACGACCAGTGGAGCGGACTGCAGAACTGCGGCCGCTGTGCCGAGGTGAGCTGCGACGATGACCGCTGCGCCGACAAGACCAAGTCGGTCGTGGTGCAGATTCTCGACCGTTGCCCCGAGTGCAAGCACGGCGACCTGGACCTGTCGCCATCGGTGTTCAAGACGCTGACGGGCTCGGACCCGTCGCGCTACACGATCAAGTGGAAGTTCGTGGACTGCCCCGTGACGGGCAACGTCAACTACTGTCTGAAGGGTGGCAGCAACAACTTCTGGACGGCCATCCAGCCGACGAACGTGGCGACCGGCATCAAGAGCCTGCAGATCAACGGCAAGGCTACCAAGATGCTGGACGGAGCGTACTACTACCTGCTTGACGGCTCGGGCAAGGCCTCGACCGACCTGTCGAAGGTGACTGTGTCGATGACCGACATCAACGGTGTGGCCATGAAGGACACGGTGAACCTGAGTGCGGGTTCGTGCACGAAGGGCACCAAGCAGTTCCCCAAATCGAGTGGCGCGCCCCCGGCGAAGACCGGAGCGCCGAAGACTAACACGACGGTGCCGACCACCGCTCCTAAGGTCACGCCGGTGCCGGTGACGGTGGCCCCCAAGGCGCCGGTCACGCCTGCCCCAGTGACCGAGAGCCCTGCCACGCAGACCCCTCCGTCCACGCCTACCGTCACGACCGCCCCTGTTGCTACGCCGTCGCCTGTGGAGCAGACGACGGACGCGCCTGCTACTGACGCCCCTGCCGACACGCCGGCACCTATTGAGCAGTCGGAGACCGAAGCTCCTGTTGCTGACACTCCGGCGCCGATTGAGCAGTCGGAGACCGATGCCCCTGTCGCCGACACGCCGGCTCCGATTGACCAGGGTGAGGTGCCCCCCACCGGCCCGATCTCGGAGGACTCCTCGTGGGTCGACGTGCTTGACTGCGACAAGAAGCCCGGCCAGACTGCTGAGCAGGGCTCTTCGGCCGGCAACGACGAGACCCAGCAGAACTCGAACGCCGGAGACGAAACCCAGCAGCAGCAACAGTCGGGTGTCGGTGGCGAGAACTCGGCCGACTCCCCGGACGTTCCGGCCACGGTTGCCCCCGTCGAGGAGGGCAGCGACGCGCAGACGCCTTACCAGCAGTCGAGCGGCGAGGGCAACATCGAGTACTCGACGTCCGAGCCGACGGTCGCCCCCGCTTCGTCTTCGGCTTCGCAGCAGTCGGGATCCACCAGCGTGGGTGGTGAGGCCGAGAACCCCTCGCAGGACGCCAACTCGGTGGACGCGGACAACGCGAGCCAGTCGTACGAGCAGAACTCGGCCCCCGGCAGCGCGGACGACACGCTGCACGGTTCCGACGTTGCCGGCAGCGAGGACCAGAACACCCCCGTCACGGAGGCTCCCTCCAGCCCCAAGGACTGCCCTATGTAAGCAAAGCGTCAAGCAACGTGTAGATAGTGTAGAGCGTACCTTTTGAGTTTTTATCCTCGGCCCGAAGAGGCAATGTATGGTTCAACCATTTCCAGGATACACACGTACTGTAGCGCCGATAAATGTCGTCAACGTCTTTCAAACAAGCACACATGTTCGTCACGTGTCCATTACGATAACGAGAAGTAACGAGTTGATCAACGGTCAAAGTGAGCTCTTCGAGGTCCTGTATCGGAATAGGGCCTGCATTGAGGAGACCATTTCGACGACTGTCAGCACCCGTCGGCATGGCTTGCACAGTGCAACCTATCCGTGAGCTTTCATAGTTTTGTTCTTTTAGCTAAAATCAAAAGACAATGCGGCTGCGCTCTCAACAACAGGAGAACAGCACACGTTACAGTACTGTGCACTGTACCAGATACTTCATGTAGCGTTTCGCTGCTAACCAGCTCCCAGCCAGCCAGCTACGTGCACGACGGCGGCCGAGTTGGATTTGCGATCTTTTCCTGTCGTCGCCAAGCAGATGGAGGACACCGTTGCCGCTCGGATGGGGTGGTCTTGTGGCTGCTCTGAGCTGTCCACCTGGCACCTCCTCTCCGCCTGCGGCCACCTCGGGCAATCACGTCAATCTCGTGCCGCACGATTCGTGCGGCAGTGGCGACCTCCAGCTGTTCGAGGGTGGACATGCTTGCGCGTCCCTCCCTTACAAGGATTCAGAGTCGAGAAAGAGATCGAAGAGCAGCTCCTCTCGCAAAGGCGAAGGCGCTGGCTGACATGTGACCTGGGTGCCCTAAGAAACGGGCCACCACATGGACAGTCGTGACTAGCGCATGGCATGGACTTGCCGCCGTGGGTACAAAATGAACTCGGTGCCGCGAGTCGAACGACCCCACCGACAACCGCGCCGAAAGCAAAGGGTTTTCCGGAGATTCCTCGCTGAGCTTCAGTTACCGGAATGCCAGCCCCCAATATATATGAAGCCGCGAGCTCTTTTCGCCGAGAAAGAGAAGCCTCAAGCGAAGACGTTTTCGGTACGAAGCATCGCGCGGTGGGGACCGCTTTCTGTCCCGACCGTCGACAGCCACCGCGGCTCCGCAACACCAGCTGGGCTCGGCCTGTCCAGCCGGGCAGCGCAGCCTGCCCGCGACGATCCAGGCGCCGTATGATCTCTTCCTCACACTTTAGACAGGCACAGAGGTTCAGCTCGGCCTGCTCTCTGTCGAGCGAGCGGTACCAAGAGGCAGGCTTTCGAGTTGTGCTCACCACTACCGCATTTGCCGTCCGTCGAGCAATTGCAAAACTCGACATCGGACGGACCCTAAAGTCCCATTCGCGTCGGCGTCGGACCATCACATCGACTTGAAAGTATTCTTCCCTCTAGTATGAAGAGCTTCACGATTCTCGCGACGGCGTCGGCATTGGCGGTGGCCAATGCCGACGAATACTTCACCGGCGACGCCACCGCCTACACTTTGGGGCAGACAAGTGCCGGCAATTGCAACATGATGTCAGCTTTGGACTTCGCTACGACGGACTACGCCGCGCTCAATGACAAGCAATGGGACGGACTCCAGAACTGCGGCCGCTGTGCCGAAGTGTCGTGCGACGACGACCGCTGTGCCGACAGGTCCACGTCGGTGGTTGTGCAGATCTTGGATCGCTGCCCCGAGTGCGCGTACGGCGATCTGGACCTGTCACCGTCGGTGTTCACTACTCTGACGGGCTCGACGCCGTCTCGGTACACCATCAAGTGGAAGTTCGTGGACTGCCCCGTGTCGGGGAACGTCAACTACTGCCTCAAGGGCGGCAGCAACAACTACTGGACGGCGGTGCAGCCGACCAACTTCGCCACGGGCGTCAAGAGTCTGCAGATCAACGGCCAGGACACGACCATGCTCGGCTCGGCCTACTACTACCTGCTTGATGGCGCTAGTCAAACCCAGACGGACCTCACCAGTGTGACCGTTTCCATGACGGACGTGAACGGCAACTCAATCGAGGACACGGTGTCGCTCACGGCTGACTCGTGCACGGAAGGCTCCAACCAGTTCCCCTCGGGCGGATCGCCTGTCCAGCAGAGTACGCCGACTTACGCCAAACCGGCGGCCACGACTGCGGCTCCGACGAAGGCACCGACTCAAGCGCCTACACAGGCACCGACATCGGCACCGACACCGTCACCCACGCCGACACCCACGCCGACGCCTACGCAGACGCCTTCACCCACCACGGTGCGTCCTGCTACTGATTCTCCTGCCACTACTGCCCCGTCCTATCAACAGCAAGAGATCTTACCCACTCCTGTTCCTGTGTCTACCACCGCGACGCCCACCACGGCCCCATCAACTACTGTTCCGACTGCCCCACCGACTACCGCTCCGGTAACAACCACTCCTGAATCTGCTATTACTCAGGACTCGGAGACTGCCAGCGGAAGCGATGCCATCCAGAAGACCACTCAGCAGCTTTTCAACGTGACGGGAACGGTCGAGCCTGAGGCCACGGCTGCCCCTACGAAGTCGACCAAGTCGTCCAAGACGTCAAGCAATACCCCCACGACTTCAACTGACGATGACTACACTCAACAGCAGACGCAGCAGAAGGTGGGTGTGCCCGCGGCGACCACGGCTGCTCCGTCGACGGGCACCGAGCAGCAGACCACTGACAGCCAGGGCGACGATGACGAGGCCCAGCAGGCCAACACCAAGTCTGGCGAGACGTCGAGCGGCACTGACCCGGTAATCATCATTCTGTCTTCAATGGGCGCTATCGGCCTCGTGGCCCTTATCGTCGTTGTGGTGGTCGCCAAGAGGAAGAACATCCAGGAGCAAAAGGCTCGCGACTTCGAGGCCCCCTCCATGGTGAGCGTGCAGTCCTTCGACGTGCAGAACACTCCTTCCGACCGGAGACAGGCGTTCGGCATCCTCTAGGTTTGTCGACAACCCATAGTCTTGGTGTGAAGAAGAAGCTATGACTTCCATCAGTTTTTTATTCGTGAAGAATCAAGTTCAGTCCCTAGGTAATGCAGTGAGTTGTGTTTGGTTGTGCGCGCTGTCGTAATAAGAAGAACTAGAATCAAAACCATATTGGAGCGACGCTTTTGTGCCAAAGTGGAGACGTTGCACATGAACCATCACAAGTGGATGGACAGCAAATCCGCCCAAAGGATAACATTGCTACGTTGACAAATTACTAGCGCGGAACAAGTGAGTGTGTATCTGCTGCTTGCGTTGCTTTGCTACACAAGCTGAAAGGAATGGGTGTCCTTCAAGGACCCCTTACCTACATGCACATTACAACAGAAATCTAAAGCGATGACTTCAACGAAATCTGCGCATATACATGTGTATATTTGGACATGATAAGTTACAGATTCATTGTAATTTAACCTTCTGATTAGCCGAAGTGCTTCACTGTCGTTTTGGTTAGCGCTGTAAGTTGTTTTAGACTCCTCGTCTTTTCTTCTGTGACTTTAGCAGCGTTCGAGTACTCTATTAAAATAGATTTATTGGCGAGAAATACTCGATGAATTTCTAATTCCAGGCTGTGAAGGCGCCATTGCAGGAACAGCAACTCGCTTTATGGCACGTAGAACATCGAAGTTCGATGCTCGATTCGAACAGAGCCCAATTCCGAGCCCCACGCGCAGTCCACCCCCACTTGGCCCTTAGCTAGCGCCGATGCAACAAGACGCTTTACCAGCGCGAGATTTGTTCTGCGCATCGCTCGATCATCGAGACGAAAGGCAGCACACTCCAATCCTAAAGTAATCTGTGTGAGTGTGACGCCGAGCAAGGAAAAAAGTTGATTTCACTATGAGCCGCCGATTGACTCGCCATCCTGGAAAATGGTTGTTCGAAGACAAATGTTGCCGTTCACCTTTGCGCGCATTTTGCGTTCGCACAGCGTTACATCGCGGAGGCACATCCCTGGTCGTTCCTTGAGCTGTTCCTTGAGCTGGTCTGGCAAACGCCGCGCCGCCCTGCCCTCCTTTCCACTCGGGGCTGGCCATCTTGTCGCCCTTGCTCGCCGCTCTCACTTTCCAATCCGCCTTCCTATCGACACGATGGTCAACGTCCTGCAGTACTCCGCGCTTCTGGCTCTGGGCGTCTCCGCCGCTTCCGCCGGCCAGCAGACCTACTTCCAGGGCGACGGCACGCCCTACGACCTCAGCGGCGTGAACATGGGCAACTGCGCCTTCATGTCGTCGTGGAGCCAAGCGGCCACCAACTACGTGGCCGTGAACCAGGCGCAATGGGACGGACTGACCCACTGCGGCCAGTGCATCGAGGCTACGTGCATCGACCCCAAGTGCAAGAACAAGAACTCGGCCGTGATCCTGCAAGTCGTGGACCGCTGCCCCGAGTGCCGGTACGGCGACTTGGACATGTCCCCCAGCGCGCTCACCAAGATCGTGGGCCACAACCCGGGCCGCATCAAAATCGGCTGGAAGTACGTGGACTGCCCCAATCCGGGCAACATCAAGGTGTGCCTCAAGCAGGGCAGCAACCCGTGGTGGGTCGCCGTGCAGCCCACGAACACGCGCATCGGCGTCAAGAGCGTGGCGATCAACGGCAAGCCGGCCAAGCTGCTGGATGGCGCCTACTTCTACTACATCGAGAGCGGCGACGAGGTGCCCTTCAACAAACTCAAGGTGGACATCACCTCCGTCGAGGGCGACAGGGTCTCGGGCACCTACTCCATGTCGATCGGCCAGTGCGTCGACACCAAGCAGCAGTTCTAAGAACAACGTTATTTGAGCTTCAAGTACGGTTGCGTGCCTGTAGACGAACGTGGCGTGGGCCTACCTAGAAACTATGACGTGAATATCAATCAACCGTTTCGTTTTACTGTCCGACAAACGTGATACCCTTCAACAAACGCGTTAGGGTACTGTATTGCATGTAAATGTAGCATCTACACAAGTAAGCTTACAGTATCAAGTCTCTATGTGCATCTGCAGAGTTGATTTAGTAAGAGGGATGACCATTGTGTTGACCACATCTGAAGGTGCATTAGGATTTCTCGCTTATGACCAAACGCCCATTCGTCTGCAGGATCAACAATATCCAGCGTTGGTGCTGTGTATGCCGTTCAGCTGCCAGCCGGACAAGCCGTCGACGCCGTCATGCGAAAGTCAGGAGTCGACTCCAAGTGAGTCCCAACATCCAACAGCAGGACAGCTGCAGGATGATCAAGCTCGCCATCCTCTTCGTCCTGGGCGGCCAGATGCCTTCGCAGCGAGAAGCTGGGCGCTCGTTTCCAGACGCCAACATTGCGCGCGTGAACCTGTGAACTGAACTTCAGCCTAAACGTCCCACTGCTTGACCGACGTGACAACCGGACGATAACCAGCTGGGACGATCGCCATCGTGCCATCATCTTGCAGTCGACGGCCCAGCTCCTACAGCTTGGTCCGCCCACTTGGATATTTATCAGCAGAGACCACAAACAACGACCAATTTAGCAGCAGAGACCACAAACGATGTGATTGGTTAATAATAAGTAGGCCTGCCAAGGAGCCGACAGCCATCCATGAAAGCCGACTGTGATCGCACACAACGCAATTCAAGATCTGACAAGCACTCCAACGACCCAACCAAGCTACCATATCCACGCCTTCTACCCCAGCTAAGATTACCATCCTAAGCGGCCTATGAAACGGTTGTCCGCTGCTTCATGACTGCTGATGAAGTCGCGATGGCTCTGGCGGGCGTTGATGCCGTGCCAGAGTCCAAGTGGTTTAGGTCGACGGCTACCGAGAAGCGCCGTGAAGCTGTACTGAATTTGTCTGATAACATCAATGCTAACCCACCTATTTACCGCCTTGCCTGCGAGCGTTTGGTGGATTTTGTGTCGCGCCTGCACCATGCGTGGGCTGTCGACAAGAAGTGGACTATCGTCGAAGTCCAGGAAGGCTGCCCGCCCGAGGAGCTGCACCGCGATTTCCAGCCCACCGAGACCACGGCAGCCATCAAGAGACACGAGTGGGTGCAGTCATCGGTCATGGTCTCCCTTCACGAGGGAACGAAGCTACTGGTGGTGCCGGAGGCTTTCGGCGGGAGTGCTGTTCGTTTTAATACTGTGGAGTTAGAGCTCCGCGCAGGCGACATGGTGCTATACCGTGGGGATCTGCCCCCCGTGAGCGCGGACCGCAACGTGCACGTCGTGGCGCGTCTTCTGGTCGACGGCATCGAGCATACCGGTGCTGCGGAATCGGTTGCGTGGGGATTCTACCGCTGCAACTACTGCTTCAAGCGCTGCGAGTCTAAGCGTGTGCTCTCAAACCATGAGCGCTACTGCGACAGCAACCCGAACAAGGAGGAGATCGCTCGGAAGCGCAAGGCCAATAACGACAAGGGGGCCTACTGCGCCAAGTGTAAACACCACTTCGGCAAGAAGAACGCCTACGATGTCCACAAATGCTACGCTTAAAAAGTAGTGTAGGTGTTTATTTTAAATTAAAATAAAGTCTACACAACTTGGAGCCTTATTACTTTCTTCTTCTCTTATAATACTAATTATTATTATTATAACTATTATAATTAAAAACTAAACCTTAAAACATGTATGACGCGTTTGTAGGGGATTTATGACCTACGCTAGGGAAATTCCGCATTATTTCTTATAGATTTCACTGACCTTAGAAATATGTTATTATTTTCACGCTGTTAATGTAAGACAGCTGCATTATAAGTTTTATACTACATATGACCGACTATACAACTGTTCCATCCAACTAAACAAGTGAATGCAACTACAATAGGCTATTTTACTTATGCGTCCGTGAACTTATCACGGATCTTTATGGTACTCTCATGGATCCGCATGACGACTCATGGATCCTTCACGTTGATCATGGATCCAAGTAGGTTATCATGGATTGTCTACGGCAAGATCATGGATCTAGGTTAATTCTAGTATATATATATGTTGGCTACTTTTTTTTTATCGGTAATCCTTTATTTTCTAGAGCTACAGAAATTTTTCGACAATAGTCGTCATGGATCATTCAGGTGTTTTCATGGATCCCCATGAGAAATCAGGGAATTGTTAGTATTCAGTCATACATTCACGTGAAATCTCGTGGATATTATAGAGTGCAATCGCCGTAGATCGTTGGATCTGTCGCCCGGCTTGTAGATACAATGGAGAAGGCTTCACAGCGCTTGTCAGCGACAAAGTATCGTGGAGAGGCAATCGGATGTTGACAGCCGAGAAAACATCGTAGAGTTTTGGCACCAAGACGCCTGGTGAAAATAGTGGCGTGTGTCGTACATCGGCAACGGAGCGTCTTTTAGCTTAGATCGTGAGAATATTACAGCTTGGATGTGCCGACATGGCACTTGCAGCTGCTCAGATACCACACAACGTGTACAGGTACCTTTGTCCATATCTATCTCAGCCACACTTGTGTTTCCACAGACATTCCGCTCGTCAAAAGCATCAAACACGTAGAATAGAGGTTCCTTTGGCGGCAAAACGTTTTGCTTGGCAACGTTTTTCTTCGCTGCGTCTAGTAGCTTTTTAGCATGGGGGGTCACATCAAACTTCGCCATGTGCCATTTTCTGAGCAAGTTCAATCGTTTCTGGCAAACACTAACCGCACGAGTACAAAACGCCATCAGCGAGCTGAGTACCAAATTTTCACGTACACGAGTCCAGAGTAGGCCATTGTTGTCACCTTCGATGCCGCTAGTAGTGCGCACCCCGAATAGTGGTAGTGGATCCCCATGCTTAGAACAGTGCCCCAAGATTCATTCAGCCACGACAATTCCGCGGGCGTTGGCTGCATGTTACCAACCACGCACCAGTCGGTGGGATGGATGCGACGAAGGTACTCGTGTACGTGTTCTTCTACCACCTTGTCACCCGCACACTTAACAATGCCAGTTGGGTATCTTTTACGTAAGCGATCAATCGCTGCATCGTATGCCTCCGCAGTCTCCGTGGATTGCAACTCGAAAATGTCGTCATTCAAATGCTCTTGATTCAGCTTCAAAGACTTAAATCGGTCCATGGTGTTGAAGCGAATGTGCAACGAGCAGAACTTGAGATGAACCTGTAGACCGAGTTGGGCGAGGAGCACTTCGGCGCCAAGCTGTTTACCTCAATCACAAAAGGTAGGTCGGTCGTGCAAGTGTAACCCAGCCGCTACACAGTTGCAGAAGAACCAGGCGAAATTGTCCACAGTCTCCTTGTGTATATACGCCACGGCAACAGGAACATTCTTCTTTTCTCCATCCTTTCCAATGAGGGTCAAACATATTCCATTGTAGCCCGGGTCCTTCATATGGGTTCCATCACACTCCCATACTGGAAGGAGGCTATCTTGTAGCTGGACAGCGCTTCCAATCGACAAAAAACTCCTAAAAATTCTGCCTTCCGCGTCTAGTTGAAGGCACACTCTTGATCCAGTGTTTTTGGCTGCAAACTGGGTGAGAAAACTAGGTTGTTTACCGAATTCGTCGACGGGATCCTTCTTTTGGCTAGCCTTCGCCTTCCGCATGGCACGGTACACTAGGGAAGAATGCGCAGAGAGGTCGAAGCCGTCGATTTGTTTAATACTGTTCACTACTCGTGCCTTCGATGTGTTGTGTCCTTCCACGATGACGGCCTTGAACCCTGGTAATTCCACAATATCTTCAAGCATGAACTTCGGTACACTACAGCAGCACTGACCATGTTGAAGATCGAGCTTGCCAATATACCAGGAACCTTCAGGAACGCCGGACAGCTTGGTCTTGGGCTTCTTGCGCTGTGTATCGTTTGGGGTAGCTGAAGAACCTCGCTTCTCTGTCAACGTAATAGAACACGTACAGTTGCTATCAATGCAATACCAACGTTTCTGACAACCCGTGCCTTTGTTGCGCTCAACTCCAATGTTGTTATTCAAAGCATAACGTCTGATGAATCCCCCGGCTTCGGGTAAATCAGGGAAGTGTGCGTGCAGAACTGGTTCGTCGAGACCATGAAGACGCAGCAGATCGAGCCTTGACCTTGGCGCGCTCATGGTTGCAGCCCGGTCCGTTTTCGCGACTAACATCAACACCGGCAAGTCTCTATTACCTCAAAAAAATTAACCAATCACATCGTTTGTGGTCTCTGCTGCTAAATTGGTCGTTGTTTGTGGTCTCTGCTGATAAATATCCCCGCCCACTTCCCGCCCGAATCACGCGTCAAGTGCGGTTCCCACAGGCAGCTTGTGCCTGCCCACGTGTCGGCGCCGCCGACATGCTGATCGACCCGAGCAGACGCTGGCGACTCGAGGCTCCACGTGGTTTCACCGAAGTTGGCGCGCGTTAAACGCGCAGCAAGCTCCGCGTCCGCCTGCCACTGCAGAGGCGTCGGGCTCGCTGCACTGCACTGCGTGGAGACACTACAGTAGGTATCCGCCCACCTGCTCAAGTCCCTTGCTGGCTCGAGAGCGAGCCGCGCGCAAGGGCCGGCGAGCTTGAAGCCGTCCGTTTAATCCAAAGAAACGATGACGCATCGGTCGATTGTGCTGCTCGTGAACCAGGAACTTTGCTGTCCGTCTGGTGCACATCGGGCAGATCTTGTCCCGCCAGCCCCCCCCTCTGGCCAAGAGCCTGCTGTTCGCGCCCGATGTCAACGTCCTGCTCTGGCCCACCGAGCTGCTCACTTTCCATTCCGCCGAGCAAAGCGCACCACCAATTGAGACCATCCAGCCACAGCTCACAGTCTTTCCAACCATGGTCGCAGCTCTCCGATTCACAACAGCTCTGTTGGGCGCTGTTGCAACATTCGCCGCTGCAGCCGACGAGTACTTCGAGGGCGATGGCACGAGCTACACGCTCGGACAGACGAGCAGCGGCAACTGCAACTTCATGTCGGCCATCCCGACGGCCTCCACCAACTACGTCGCGCTCAACCAGGCGCAATGGGACAACCTCGGCGGCTGCGGACGCTGCATTGAAGTGTCCTGCATCGACGAGCAGTGCACCGCCAAGAACAAGACGGCGGTGGTGCAGGTGCTCGACCGCTGCCCGGAGTGCGCGCACGGCGCGCTGGACCTGTCGCCGACCGTGTACAAGGAGATCACGGGCCTGGATCCGAACCGCCTCACGGTGCGCTGGCGCTTCGTCGACTGCCCCGACCCGGGCACCCTGCAGGTGTGTCTGAAGGAGGGCAGCAACCCCAACTGGATCGCCGTGCAGCCGACGAACAGCCTGGTGGGCGTCAAGAGCGTCACGGTGAACGGCGCGGCCACGAAGATGCTGGACGGCGCCTACTACTACGTCGCGACCACGTCGAACGCCGATCTATCGGCGGTGAAGGTGGCCGTCACGTCCATCAACGGGGACGTCATCTCTGGCTCGTTCGCCCTCACGGCCGGCAAGTGTACCGACACCAACAAGCAGTTCGGCAGCGGAAGCGGCGACGACACCACGCAGCAACACACGCCTGCGACGTATGCTCCGTCACCGACGACGGCTGCCCCGAAGGCCACCACCGCTGCCCCGGAGCCTGCCACAGAAGCACCGGCTGCTACTACCGCTACGCCGTCGACTACCGCGCCGACACAGACTAACGGCAGCGAGGCATCGGACGAGGGTTCTTCCGACGAGACCGACCAGAGCTCGCAGTCGGAGGACACCAACCAGTACGAACAGAGCTCGCAGAACGATGACAGCACGCAGGATGAAGCTTCTTCGGCTGCCATGACCACGGCTCCGGTCGCTGAATCCACCCCACCGGCCACACCGGCATCGACACCGGCAACGCCGGCATCAACCCCTGCCGTACCCGAATCTACCGACGCGCCGACACAGTCCACCGACACGTCCAAGTGTAAGGTGCGAACCCGTCGCCACCGCAACTAAGCATTCGTCTGTGCGCCCCCAGTATCATCCGTTCTTGTCGAGCGTTGCGTTTTCGCTGGAAGATGCGTCGTGTATTCGTAGTCCTCGTCCGTTTGAAGGGGCTCTATTATCTAATAGACTCTGGTCCACCTTACAACTTCCTCGTGTACGCTATTAGATAGAGGTTCCTACCGCTCGGGCCACCGCCACGACTCGTGGCACGAGCTGGAGTTGACCTGACTGACCAGACGATGCCAAATGAGACTGACGTCGGTCCCAGCTGTCGAGAGCTGAATGCGGCGCTCGTGCCTCTAGCGACGCACACCTGCGCGCCCAGTGCTCTGAGCATCGCCATCTGCGGCGTCGGAGCTGCGTGCGTCTGCGGTCTGATGCCGGCTGCACCTCGTCCCCTCCAAAGCAAGGCAAGGCGAGGCAAGGCAAAGCAACACCGCACCGAGACCCCGCGCGGCTCACTCGATGAGCACGACGACCCCGTCGCTATCAGTTTCGCTGGCGCCGACGCCGCGCTAGCCACAAGTGCAGTGAATCACTGAGTGATCACTCGGCACTCGACGCCGCGAATCATCCGTCAAGATGGCGGCGTTCCGGCATGAAACCTTCAGGCGCCCCCAGCTGTCGCCCAAGAACAGGCCGGAGGGTGCTCGACACTTCGCTCTCGGATCCAGGAAGAGCAAGCACGCCAAATGGGCGGCAGTTCACGTGGCCAGCCGTTGCCGCGTCGGATACTGTAGATATCCTGGTCTCACCCCACTCACGGACCCCGGCAACGCTTCCCACCATGCGCCCACTTTCCAATTGTCATTCACCCCAGACAATGGTCTTCCGCACCCTTGCAGCTCTAGGAGTCGTCGCCGCTGTCGCCGGCGTGTCGGCCGAGTACTATGAAGGTGACGGCACGAGCTACACGCTGGGCGACGTCAGTGACGGCAACTGCAACTTCATGTCGGCCATCCCGACGGCGTCCACCAACTACGCAGCGCTGAACAACGATCAATGGGACGGCCTGGCCAACTGCGGCCGCTGCGCCGAGGTGTCCTGCGTTGACGACCAATGCACGGACCAGAGCGCCACCGCCATCGTGCAGATCTTGGACCGCTGCCCCGAATGCAGCTCCGGCGACCTCGACTTGTCCCCGACAGTGTTCAAGAACATCACCGGCTCGGACCCGAGTCGGCTCACGATCCGTTGGAGATTCGTCGAATGCCCCAATCCCGGCACCATCAAGGTCTGCCTCAAGACCGGCAGTAACGGCTACTACGTGGCCGTGCAGCCGACCAACACGCTTGTCGGCGTGCAGACCGTGACGATCAACGGCGAGTCGACCTCGATGGTGGACAGCACCTACTACTACCTTATCACCAGTACCAGCGACGTCGACCTGACCTCGGTTAAGGTGTCAATCACGTCCATCGAGGGCGAGACTGTGGAAGGCACGTACTCGCTGACGGCCGGCGAGTGCGTGGACACCAACCAGCAGTTCACCGCGAGCAGCAGCAGCCAGACGAGCAGCCAAACCAGCCAGACTTCCACTTCAACGTCGACATCGACCAGCACCTCGGCTCCTGCGTCGACGAAGGCCACGCCCACTTCGACTACGGCGACACCTACTACTACTTCGGCTGCGATAACGCAGGGAAGCAGCGCCGCTGATGAGGCCTCGTACGCGGAGGAAACGACCAGTGCCCCGACCAGCACCACTGCCGCCCCTGTTTCGACAACTACCACCCCGGCGTCAACCACCGTTACGCCGGTATCTACTACTTCGACACCGGTGTCGACAACAGCAGCGCCTGCTTCAACAACGGTCACGCCGGCATCGACCACAGCTACGCCAAGTGTCACAACTGCGACCCCGATATCGACGACAGCGCCTACTACAAGTTCTCCGAAATGCCGTGTGAGGAGCCGACGTGACTAACTGCTTGGAGCTGCTCGTAGTTGTTCGGATACAGATTTTGCCCACGTAGTGATAAAAGCGTTCTATGAGTGAATACACCACACCATTCCAGCACCGTAATTTTGGCTAGTTTTATTTTATGAATTCCCCGCGGAGATATTTCAAATCCAGCTTTGACGATAAAAAAGCAACGACGATCTCAGAAGAGTTATTGTGCCAATTTTTCTAGCGTGGAGGCATGATCAAACCCCAACGGATCCTCACCCGTGGTGAATACACTATTGGAGACCAGGCTAAAGCGTGGGGATGCGTAGTTCGAAGTTGGGGGGGGGGGGGGGCAAGCTAATGTCTGCGCGCGGACGTTGGTTTCAGAATTCCATAGTGAATGATTCGAGCTGGCAGACACGGACGGATGTAGTAGCTACTGATTTATTGAATCGGTTATGGCGGGAATCTCGAATGCTCCGCAGGCGAATGCAGAGAGTGCGTGAATGTTCAATCCATGAGTGCGGCGCTCCGTCCCGCGCGCCTGACTGCAGCAGCAGCTAGTGATAGTAGCTCCGGCAGTAGCGGCGGCGACATCGACAACCGTGTTGCGGCGACGACCGCTTCATGGTGGAGCGATCGTCGAGATCATGTGGAGCTTGCTGTCGATCTGGCAGCAGTCGTTGTAGACGCGGAGCTTTGTCGGCACGACCGTCACGATTGAGCCCGGTGGTGGTAGCATCGGGTTGTCCTTCTTCATGCCATACAGTGAAAGCGTGATGAGGTATTTATTTGCTTCAAATGTGTTCTCGCGCTGCGCATCTTGGTAGACCTGCACCGCAATGATGTGTGAGAGCCGTGTAGTTACAGGACGTTTAATGCTTGAGCGGGTCGACGATGTAGCGCAGCGGTACCTTTTGCTGGTCGGCCAGTAGTTCGGGCGCTCGCTGGTCGCCCAGATAGACGCACAGGAAGCGCGCTCTGTGGGTGTTGTCCTCGGCGGCCCTCGAGAGTCGCGCCTGGATCCGCACCGATCCGCGGATCTGGGGATCGGTCATGTCGTTGCTGGCAATAAACGCCCGCAAATCTCAACCATGACATGCACGCAACAACGTCAGCACCAGACTGGCAGTTCGCAGCGGCAAGTGTACCTTCGATGTTGTCGATGACGCGCGGTTTGTGCATCTCGAGGTACTTCTTCAACTTCTTGACGGGCGAGACATACTCACGCTGCGCCGGGTCGCTCGACGCGCGCTCGTGTTTCTGCTTTTCAGGGGGCGCTACAGCCGAAGACAGCTCCGGCACTGTCAAGATTGGCATCGGTATCGCCATCGACGGCGAACGGCTGCCGAGAGCCGTCACCATCGTCGGCGTTGACACTGTGGCTGCGACCACAGCCGCAGACGTGAGTGTAGTGGCCGACGTCACTGGCTCGTCGGCGTGCTGGGACTTGGCGTGCTTCTTGGGCAGCATCGACTGGATAGGCGAGGTCGTGGACGCTACTTGAGATATGGAGTCCCGCAGCGCTGCTTCACGGCGCGGTGCCGATCGTAGCGATCGCTTGGGCAGTGCCGTTGCGCATGAAAGCCGATGCGCATTGAAGCCGTTAGGGTCGTGATTGGTGCAAAATGCCAATAGTAGGCGGCCATATATGGTTGACTCGTTGAAGTTGTCGTTGTCAGTGAAAAGCGCTGCCGGTGAAGCGCCAACGCTCATCAGCGGTCGAACGCTCGCGAACTTTACCATCTGCCTCGAACACACCACCAAGGAAACGCAGTTTGCACCATTTGATCTGCTCGTCGTAGACGGGATCTCCATGATGAACAAAACGCAGTGGCTGAAGCTCGACCGCCTGTTGCGTCGCTACATGCACGTCGCCTGCGTGCCGTTCGGCGGCGTGCACATCGTGCTCGTCGGCGACTGCAGATGCCGCCGGTAAGGGCGGGTCCAATCTACTTGGACCCCATGTACAAGGCACGGCCGAGCACCGTCAACGTCCAGGGCTTCGAGTTGTGGCGCCAGGTTACAACCATCGTCGTGCTGGACGAATCGGTCCGCTTTCGCGAGGATCCCGAATGGGGAGAAGGCTACCGAAACGCGCGCGTAGGGCACTGGACCCGAATTCGTGGCAATGATCAACGTCCGCGTGTGCAACCACGAGCTGCACGAAGGCGATTTCCTCGCCGACAGCGCCGGCGTGTTGTCTGCGTTCGTGACACCCGAGAACGCCACTCGGCTCGCAATCAACAACGCCTTCATGAAGGCGACCGCGTCGGTCCTGCCACGCGGAGTCTATCCGACACGCGTGGTCGCAAACTTCAAAGGTGCGCTGAATGCGCTTAGCGTGAGCGACCTGCGGTAAGTCTTGAGTCTTCCCGACAATCGCTTTGGACGGATGGCCCCGTACCTTGATCTCATGGACGGCATGCCAATCCAGGTGACCCAGAACGTCGCGACGGCGAATGGCATCGCGAAAGGCACGCTCGGCAGACTCGAGTATGTCCACTTCCCGGCCGACACCGAGTTCCGGCTCGCCCGTGATGCTGCAACGTTGATGATCGTGCGCCTGCCAAGCCGCGCACCTGAGTACGCCGTGATCCGCGTGCCACGCCTGCAGGCCGGCCGGGCTGCGACCCGGAGTTGTTTCCTGTCTTCTTCAACACGAAGGCCTATGCGAAGACCACAATCAGGCTCGCGCCAGCGCCCGACGGCCAGCCGCGCGCCGTCACCGTGAGACCGCAGCAATTCCCTTCGTGTGCGCGGTCGGGTCGACCGTGTACAAGGTCCAAGCCGAAACGCTGCGGTCGATGGTCGTCGTGGACTGGAAGTCGTCGATGGCCGTGATTAACAAGCCGCAACAGACTTATCTACTTGTCTCGAGGGTTACAACACACAATGGACTACTAGCTCTACAACCCATGACGGCGAAGCTGGCAGCGTGGTCCAGGCCACCGGCGCACGCGATACAGGAAGAAGAGCGGCTAAGTGGTCTCAGCGATGCCACGTTGGCGGGTTTCCACCTGCCAGTGACCGCCAACGTGGCAGACCGGGGCCCCAATCCAAGCAGCCATCCAACCCCCAGCGAAAAACAATGAACCAGGTTGCTTTGAAAGTCACTAACATCGATAATCAACACGTTAGCGACCACCTTGCAAGTGCATGCACATTGCACACGCACCTCTGGACTTTACTCGTGAAGCTTCGTCACTCGCTCAATGAATGCATTGGCGCGCCGTACGCATCTTGACTAGCTGCAGCACTCAAGACTTGCGCTAAAACTGCTGTTGCCGTCCCCGACGGCGATTGCGTAGCGCGTGCGAGCGCGCTCGATCCTCTGCTGTCGCCGTCGTTCTGCAAGTGACCCACCACCCGCAACATCCCCGTCTGATGTCGCCCGAACGTCGCCTGAATGGCTACCGAACGTCGCCCGAAGGTCGCACGATCAAAACGCGCCGCCTTTGGTAGACCCCCTACCGTAGTTCTTCGAACTACGAATTATTTCGACACGATCCCATCTACGAAAAGATTCGCGACTCGTGAACTTTCGTTGGATTTGAGTTACTGGTCTCCGGAATTAGCACGATCTCATACAAGTGGCCAAACCAACATGCTTCCCCGAAATGGTCTTCTTGGAGCTTGTCATGCGTTAAATGCGCAGTGCTGGAAATATCGCCATGAGATCATGCACTCAAAATAAAGGTAAGGACCTGACACTGCAGTCTCGGTGGGGGACCGCCATTCATCCGATTCAACGTCCATGACCTGATCTCTTCTTATGCTAGTCGAGGAAACCAAGACCCCACCACCCACCAACTATGGTGGGCCTTCACACCTCGACGATGACCAGCTCGGGGCTCTTGCTATGCCACTTCTCACTTCGACTTCGACCTCCAAAGCCACAAGTTCAGTTCAACACTCATGATCAGCACGTCGGTCTTCCGCGCTCTGCTCACTCTGTCGGCCACCGCAGCGGCAATGACCTCGGCCGAGTTCTTCGAAGGGGACGGCACCGCCTACACGCTCTCTCAAGTCAGCAGCGGCAACTGCAACTTGATGTCTGCCAACAGCATTGCGCCCGCCAACTACGCCGCGCTGAACCAAGTACAGTGGAATAACTTGGGGAACTGCGGCCAATGCGCTCAAGTCTCCTGCATCGACTCGAGATGCACCAACCCGACAGCGTCCGCCATCGTCCAGATCGTGGATCGCTGTCCCGAGTGCAAATACGGCGACTTGGACCTCTCCCCCACCGTCTTCAAGACCATCACGGGCTCGGATCCAAGCCGCCTGAAAATCCGCTGGCAGTACGTGGACTGCCCGAACCCAGACACCCTCAAGATCTGCCTGAAGGACGGCAGCAACGGCTACTGGACCGCAGTGCAGCCAACGAACAGCATTGTCGGCATCCAGAGCGTCAGTATTAATGGCCAAGCCACGACCAAGTTGGACGGAGCCTTCTACTACGTTGCGACGAGCTCGACGGGGGCCAACCTCAACGCGGTGAACGTGGCAGTGACCTCAGTCAACTCTCAGGTCATTCAAGGCACGTACTCGCTCACTGCAGGCCAATGTGTCGACACATACCAGCAATTCGCAAGCTCCTCCGTTGCAGCACCCGCACCGACCCCCAAGTGCAACGTCCGCCGCAGCCGCAACTGAATTTTGGGCCACACTCTGTTCCTCCGATTCACTAACGCTTAGAGAAGACCGCAAAGTTACCATTACAGTGCACGATTAAAAGGGGCCGTACCTTGGCACCCAATTGTACATTTCAAAGCTAGACCTAACAAAATAAAATGAATGGGATAATGCACCATTTGATGCCTGGGTGAAGGAAACTCAATTCTACCAAACAAGCCGCTCGAATATTACTGCATTGAGCCATTCTTCCTGCTACACAACAACACTGCAAAAACAAGGTTAGAAGAAAAAAAATTAGCCAGCAAATTTCACGAAAGCGTCGACTCACTTGCTGTTGGTTGTTCCGGTCGGTTGTGCACTAGTAGCCCCACTTGCTGGTGTCTGCTGTTGCTGCTCTGCGTTCGTCGGTTGCTCGCACGTGACGTAGCTGCGCTTGAGCGTGAGTCCGTTCCGTCGAATGAACTTGGTGACCCAGTTCTCCGAGGCCTTGAACGTCGAATCCGAGCGCTGGAACATGTGCTGCGCCGTCTTGGCGATCCACTTTCTGGTGACGCGGTCCTTCTTGGCTCGCTCCTGGATCACCACCACCAGCAGCTTCTCCTCCGAGTCCTCCAGGTACGGCTTGCGTCCTCCTCCGCTGATACGCTTCTTGCTGCCCGAGTCGCCCAGGATCTTGTCCCGGTTCTTCCACCACTTGCGGAAGGAGGACGCACTGACGTCCCAGTTCAGCGCCCCAAAGTGTTTCTCCGCTCGAGATGGGACCCCCTTGCCTGGACCCATTATCCAGTGGATGGCCTCCTTCTTCATGCTCAGTGGGATACTCTTGCGCTTCACGGGCGGGGGCGACGCACCCGGGTGGACAACTGCAGGCGGTGCCTGCGCTTGGACCGTTGATGACGCATCGGAAGTGGACCCAATTGCCTCCGCAGCTGCCGATAACGGCATCAAGTCGACGACACTACTGTCTGATTTCATGGGCTTGGTCTCGACAGTCGCAGTCGCCGGCGCGCCAGTATTAGGGCGGGGTCCGGCCGCTTGGGAGTGGGCGGGCGCTTGGGCCTGGTTGACGGCGTATTGCTGCTGGAGCTGCATCAGCAGGTGCTGCGTGGCCGGGTCCAGCATCCCGTCGGGCCCCGTGGCGGCATTCACGAGCACCAGCACCTCCTCGGCCGACGGCGCCTTCATCATCTCTTCCTGGCGCGCTGGTAGCGGAGGGGGGCCGATTAGTAGACCGTCCGAGAAACCGATTAGAAGCCCGCTGAACTTGCGGTTTGTATGAACTACAGTTAGCAGTCGTCTATGTACGAATGGGTGTGCGCCACACTACATCCTATTTTGAAAAGCTGCAATGTCCCATTCCTCAAAAAGATACTCAAGTGAGCTATCTACGGTATCTGAGCGACTATGGCTCTCAAGCGCGTGTACACGACGCTACTGGCGCTGGTCCTCGCTATCGCTGTGATCAACGTGCTGGACTTGGGCCCGTCGTCGGTTGTGGCGGCAGAGAAGCCGACGGCGCGTGCCAGCCACATCCTGGTGCCGACCGAGGAGGAGTGCGACGAGATCTTGAAGGAGCTGCAGGCGGCCGACGACCTGGAGGCCACGTTCGCGCGGCTGGCGAAGGAGCGCAGCAAGTGTCCGTCCAGTCGCAAGGGAGGGGACCTGGGGTCCTTCGGTCGCGGCCAGATGGTGCCCGAGTTCGACAAGGTGGCGTTCGAGAAGCCCGTGGGGGACGTCCACAAGGTCAAGACGCAGGTGGGTACAGTACTGAGGGGATTGCGGGCAGAGGAAGAGCTTGGTGGCTGATTTTTTAGTGTTATTTGTTTACAGTTTGGATGGCACTTGGTGCTGATCACGGACCGCTCGGGGGTGGACGACGCGCTCGACGACTTGGACGACCAGGATCGAGATCTGTAAGGACGAGTGAGTGCAGGCACCGAACGAGTTGTGCTGTACTAGTGCTACCCTGCTAGCAACAAAGCAGGGAACGGAGGTACATGGAAAAAGAAAGAAAAAAAATGTTGCTGAAGAACGAACGCGTGCTGTACTCTCTTTGATGATAATGTGTACGTAAGATTCAGTAAAACGGGGGATAAAATAAAAAGAAAAGCAAATATGGTTGATCCCAGCACGGCGTTGGAGCTGCGCTGGGGCTTCCTCGCGCCTTGGTGTACCCACCTGCAGGGCCAAATCAGATACGTGGACGTGTCGTACGACCGAGGAGTCTGGGCCGCCAGCAGGCATCGACTCTACGCTGTGGCGCCCTCTCAGATTGACAGGGAAAACGACAAGCTCGCGTTCTCAAGATTCCGGGAAGCTGTTGCGTTGTTGGGGGCGGTGGCCCACGTCGACGTGGCCGCTCTGAATTTTCTACTGGACAAGTATTGCCAAGCCACAAAAGAAAACCCTGAGGCTGTCCAGTTGGAAAACACGTCTTTTGGTTTCGTGATGAGGGCAAGTCGCCTGCAGCCTGGGAATACCCTCGCGAAAGACCTCACGCTGCTCTGTGGAACAGACCAGCAGCGACTTCAGAGCGACGAGTATACTGCAGCGCTGGGGAAAATCGCAGCTATGGATAAAACCCTTAAAATGGGAGAACCAGGAGTGGAAATCGAAATTCCAGTTCGTATCAACGTTGCTGCCGGAGAAGACGGTGATCGTGTGAAGGAGCTTTCAGAGCTTGCAGCCGTGGAAAAGGCGGTAGCGGAGATGTGGAGGGATTGGTATGCTAGACACCCGGAGAAGAGGGCGGTGAGATCTGGCCAACTTCGCGCTAAATTTGTCGTAGAGCCGATGATCGCAGACGTCGCTAACGCGCCGATGGAGTCTGAAGCGATACAGACCGTGGAGCGAGTTCTTGAGCAAAATGTGTGGTTTTCACGGTTGTCGCTGTATCCGCCAGGTAGACTTCAGATTTCAGCGGATGAGACGAACGCTGCGAGCATGTTTGGAAAGCTGATGAGGCGCGTGTTTGACTCGACGCGGCAATCTCTCGAGCTGGCAAACGCTAACTACCGCCTACGCGCGGACCAAGCTTCAGTTCTCCGGCAGTTTGGGAAACTGACAGTGAAAATGAGGATGAGACGCTCGATTGTGAGGCGTTTAACGCTCTTTGCTCAGCGATGGTGCTGACACAAACTACGACCGATTTGACACTGCTGTTGGAGATGGATCCATACGACTCCGACCAGAGTGTCCACTGGTGGAGGTGGTTGGCCTACGTGCTTTTTTCACGTCGAGCGCGCTCTTGTTCAGCAATCACGCACCTGACGTTGGATTCAATCGGCCACTTGAGTATGGAGGATGCAGTGGAATTCACCGCAATGCTGTCGTCGGATCACCCCGAAGAAAAGCTGGCTTGTATCCCTCGCGGCGCTGTTGATGAGCGCGATGCAACTTTAAGGGGAGGGGCCCCGATTATATGGGACTTCGATGAGAGAGGATAGCCTTTTCCGACGGCTGAACTGCTGAAATTTGAGTCTCCGATCAAGTTTGTGCGGACGTCTAGTGACGACGGACAAAGCGAGTGGGTAAACGTCCTGGTTCCCGGCTGTGGTGAGTGCCAAGTCAAGCGCAGCGATTTAACGTTCGATTGCGATAGCTCTGCTGGTGCTTTGGGAGGTGAAATTACGGCACTTTCCGTACGATTCAACACCCTGACGAAAGAAGCCGACGGCCTACCGTGCTTTATGGCGGCTGTTGGTAGTTCGCTGACGTCCTTGTCGCTTTACGGACCAAGGGATCTGCTTGGCGATGACTTGTTTTGTGGATACTGTCCCAACCTTCTCGACTTGACTATCCACGGAAGTATAATAGATGCTCAGCTCGATTTCCGCCAGTTTCGTAAGGTGAACAGCGAGCTTCCTTCGATCATCTGCAACTGGCACGATGTTGCGCCACTGTCAACAACCTTATCAGATGCAGACAGCCCGCTAACGAGATGTCTGTATCGACTGCGTGTCTGTTTGGCAAACCGCTTTCGGACTGGTACCATTCCTCATGGATATGATCCTGGGAATTATGAATCGGACCTGGATGCTCTTTTGGAGATGCTGGAGGTGAACAATTCTCTGGAGTATTTGGAGGTAATTATCCCAGCAAAACAACAGGCTTACATCAGTAAGTTTGAGGAGTTCCACGAGAAACCGATCGAAAGAGCCCGTGCACTCCCACTGGAGATGAAGTTGACGTTCCTTAGCGTGGTGGAACGTGCGACCTACCAAGGAGAGAAAGTGTGATGCATCGGCTTCTGTTTCCGCGCTGTGTAAACTGGACCACCTGATGCTATCCAACATCTTCGCATTTACTGCCCCTCCTGTTCTCAGACAAGTGATATGCCGTTCGGTTTGCGAGTCCGGAGTTTGGGTGGCTCTAGATTGGAGATCTAGTGATGGAGAGGAGTCGGCTGCGGATGAAGGCAACCCAAGTGATGGAGAGGAGTCGGATGCGAATGAAGGCAGCCCAAGTGACGAAGACGAGCAAAGTGATGAAGATGACGAAGGTGATGGGGATGCTTAGTCAAATGAAAGCGCGTCTGCGCCATGGGGTGCTGGGACTCGTTATGGTAGCGAAAAGGCACAACTAGCCACGACGCGCCAATACGTCATACTTATATATACTTACAATTTTTTTTTTCGAACAATCGTTTCTTAAAAAATAATGTATTTTGTCTGTGCAATGACAATGCGATGCGGCCGAGCGGAACCCACTTCACACCAGCGTGACGATTAACATCTTTTCAAAGAAGCTGTATATCTGCCAAGTGGCAATTTCGAATACAACATCTAGCAACAACGACGTACAGAACCAGCTATCACAATATTTTCCAAACGTGGAAGTCCACTGAAGAAAGCCTGTAGCTCGCATCTAATTAAGTATTTCTCTTGGTTAATCGATAGCATAGCACACCTAGTTACGGATATGGACCGTGAACGAACAATTTCAAACTAGCTACTCCTTCGCGCAAACTACCACCAGTCGTCTGCAAAGGCAACCGATGGTGAAGAATTGCAGGGCCAGAGGCATGCGTTGTTTGTTGCCCAGCGTTCTTTTTGCAGGAGCTTGATATCTTGTTCTGTGATCTTGATCAAGTTTTGCTTCGTCAGATCCTTCGTTTTGGTAATGTGCTCGGGATTTTTTTGCGGAAAAATTACGCTTCTTAAAACATCAGTTTTTAGCTGGAGGTCTATTTTCTGGTGGCGGCCTACGACGTTTTACCGGAGTGCTGAACCACAACGTGTACCCGCAAGGCAGCGGTTTCCTATCGACGGACATGAGCTCTGTGGGCGAGGCCCGTGGTAAAAAAAAAGGTAGGTTTGCAGCTGGAAGCTTTTCGTCGGACGATTTCGCGCTGGTGTTGGCGTCAGTCTGAGCTTTAACGTTTCTACTGCGTCGGCAGCTCCCCCCCCGAATGTCGTGTCAAAGATATTCCTTTCACCAAGGATGCATCCACCAACATAAGATGCTCTTATCAAATAAAACATCTCTCGAAGTTACGCATTTGTCGTAAAAAAATGTTACTTTTCAGAATGTTTCTATTTCAATAGAAACACGAAAACAAATGGCCGATCTGAGCGCGGACGTGGAGCTGCACTGGGGCTTCCTCGCGCCTTGGTGCGCCCACCTACAGGGCCGACTCCGGTACCTAGACGTGTGGTACGACCGCGGGGTCTGGGCCGCCAGCAAGCATCGGCTCTGCGTGAAGCCACCCGTGCAGGATACCGAGGGATCCACCGCATTCACGAAATTTCGCGAGGTTCTCGCGTTGTTGGCAGCGGTGGCTCATGTCGACCCCAACGCGCTAACTTTTCTTCTGAACAAGTACTGCGAAGCCGAAACAGAAAATCAGGCGACTTTTAAGGTACAGAGCCCTTTTCGCTGGGAGTTTTACTCTAGAAACCCGGAGGAGCGGGCTGTCAAGTCTGGGGAACTTCGCTGTAAATTCGTGCTGGAGCCCATGATGGCAGACATCAGTGATGCGGGCATCGACTCTCAAATGGTTCAAGTTTTGGAGCGAGCGGTGAGGAAAACGTGTGGTTTTCTCGGCTGACACTGTATCCATGAGTGAGTTTGCACGTTGCGGGGAGCGAGTGGGATGGTAGGAGCGCGTTTGGAAAGCTGATGAGGCGTGTGTTTGACTCGACGCGTCGAACTCTCGAGCTCGGGAACGCTGACTATTACTTGCAAGTTGGGAGTGCAGATCGAGATTCAGACTTCCGTCAGTTTGGGAAGCTGACGCTGGAGTGCGATGACGAGGTGCTTGGGCGCTCGGAGTTTGAAGCTATGTGCTCAGCGATGGTGGTGGCGCAAACAACGAAGGCATTGACGCTGTTGTTGGAGGTCGACCCAGTCGATCAAGGTGTGAGTGGTCATTGGTGGAAGTGGTTGGCCTACGCGCTTTTTTCACGTCGAGTTCGCTCTTGCTCATCAATTACACACCTTACGTTGGACTCGGTCGGGCGCCTGAGCACTCAGGACGCCGAGATATTTACGGCTATGCTATCGTTGGATCACCCCGAAGAAGCCCTGTTCAGCATTCCTCTTGGGCTTGTGGAGGAGTGCGATGCGATCTTAAGGGAACGAGCTCCAATTCAGTGGAAATTTGATGATGCAGGACGAACCCTTGGTGACTATCGGCCTTTTGAATGCGTGTCTCCGATCAAACACGTACGGACATTCAGTGACGACGGTCAAAGCGAGTGGGTCAACGCACTTGTTCCAGGCTACGGTCGCTGCCAAGTCAAGCGAAGCGATTTGACGTTCGACTGTGATAGTTCCGCGGTTTGTTTGGGAGCCGAAATCACGTCACTTTCGATTCGATTCACGTTGGACAGCGAGATTGTGGATGGCCTGCCGCAGTTGATGGCGGCCGTTGGTAGCTCGTTGACATCTTTGTCGCTTGACGGGCCGAGAGAGCTGCTTGGCGACGCTTTATTTCTTGGATGTTGCCCCAACCTTCTCGAGTTGTCCCTCCGCGGATACATGGTGGAGACCCAGCTCAATTTCCACGAGTATCAGAAAAGCAACAACGGGCTTCCTTCGATTATCTGCAATTGGCACGATGTTGTGCCACTTTCAACAGCACTAATGGAGGCAGAAAACCCTCTAACCCGGTGCCTACGTCAACTGCGTGTATCGTTGGCAAGCCCGTATCTGAATGGTGCAATTCCTCACGGATAATATCATATTATGATCCTGCGAATTATGAATCCGACCTGAACGCACCTTTGGAGATGCTGGAGGTCAACAATTCTCTAGAGTATTTGGAGGTGATCATCCCAACAATGCACCGGACTTTCATAAGTAAGTTTGAACAGCACGACAAAACGCCGACCGATAGAGCCGACGAACTTTCATTGGAAACAAAGTTGGCGTTCCTTAGCGTAGTTGAACGTTGCAAGTCGATGAGGCCTACCAAGGAGAGGTGTGATGCGCCAGTTACTTCTTCCGCGCTGTGCAAGCTGGATCAACTCGCTTTATCCAAGATCTTCGCATTTAGTGTCCCTCCAGTTCTCAGGCAAGTAGTATGCCGCTCGGTTCGCAAGTTTGAAATACCCCCGGAACTAAGTAGCGGAGGCTTGGGAAATTCTGGAAGAAGGCCCAAGTGATGGGATAGTGGCTGCTTGCACCGGGTCAGCCGAACCGACATAGGGCAAAAAAACGCGCTCCTCAATCATGAGCTGTGTTTCGAGTACATATGGAGATTTGACTTAACATCATCCTGTACATACTGTAGTGCCCTGCACCCCCCCCAGTTATCTGTCAATACGGTACAGTACGTAACTTACTATAATACTTTGTGGGGCGTCAAACGAGGCAGCATGCGCCGGCAGGACGCGATGCCGTCCGCGCCGCGAAGGCCGTGTTCAAGTGACAGCGCCGACGCTGGCGATCCTGTATCGGCGTGTCGCCGGAGCTCGTCGTCTGTGAAGTGTAGTGTCGGCGTCAGTCAGACTACGTATCCTCGTAGGGGACGCCATAACTACCATCCTTATCGCCGCTGTGATCAACATCGTCAACGGGGATCTGTGCTGTGCAGACAGCAACGAGACCGGGCTGAATCTGGAAGTAGCGACTGCAGCTACGTCGCTGAATCCGTCAGTTCGAGCAGCGAGCTACAGGACAGCCGCGCATCATCAGATTCCGAGACCGAGGAACTCCTCGATGAAAGTGCAATTGGCGTGCTAAGTAAAACGGTCAGTGTGCCTCGAGTCGACAAGTATGCTTTTGGTAGCTGGGCAAAATGTGAGGAGTACTTGCATCAGTACTGGAAAGACACATTTCAGGTTCGTGTGATAGGTGCTGCTAATATATTGCTGACAAGCTCATTGCGTTGTAGCTTTTTTCAACTAGATCAACGACTTCATCGGATAAACCCAACATGCAAATAGCAGCGAATCAATCGTCGACGGCAGCTTTTATCCCAGATACGTCGGAGGCGTGTAGCAAAACGTACAATTGTACACAGTGGATCGCCGCGAAAATGGGCAGGGAATTCAGGAAAGCGCCCTAATCAGTACTCACGTCGCATCAACTGTAAAGCAAAGGTACAATTGTATAAGGCTAAGCTAGATTGTGTCACACCTTCTAACAAAATATGTTACTATTGATACTATGTAGATAACAGCTTGCGCAAAGTCGCTTGCTCCAGAGGTGTGGCAAGTGCACATTACTCGCCAATGCGTCGAGCATAACCACCCCGTTGGAGCGGACTACTACAAACTGTACCACGAGGTGCGACGTGTACAAGATGAAGCTCTCCTTGCAGACGTCGAAAAACTTCGCAAGGCCGGCTCAAACAGAAAACGAATTCTTGAGTATATTTTGGAGCACTCGTCGGCTGAACCCACCATGAAGGATGTCCATAACCTCATTGCGAGATTAGAGAAGAAGGCTCTTAGCGCTGATACACTGGAAGATCGTATCGTGGACTACTTAAAAGGATTCTCGAAGGACGGGAATATTGCGAAGGTATTTCTCACTGACGTAAGTAAATGTTGCAATTACTGGTCGTTGAAAGTATAATGTTGAACTAACGATAGATATATTTTCTAGGGAGTCGCCGAAGTTATCACACTGCAGACAGCTCACATGCGCGCAATGTTCCAGCACTTCCCTGAGGTGTTGCTGATTGATGCTACGCATGACACTAACAAGTCCAATTACAAATTGTTCTCTTTCACAGTCCATGACGCCTACGGAAAGGGTCAACACGTTCAGGTAAAGTTCGTTGAATGTGAAATATCTTCTGGCTTTTTGCTAAATATTTTTATTGTTCGTACAAACAGCACAGCTTGATTGAGAACGAGCGGAAGGAGACGTTGCGTGTGGCAATTCAACAGTTCAAAGAAGCGTGCCCGAAGTTCAATTCCATTGCGTGCATCATGGTTGATAAAGATTTCACGGAGATCGCTGTTCTAGAGGAAGAATTTCCTGGGGCCCGAATTTTACTTTGTCATTTTCATGTGGTTCAATGCCTCCATCGCGAGGTGGCAAAGACAGAGTACAATTTTGATGGGTGGACGAAGAACGAATTGAAGCAGCTCTCTCGTTTGCTGGTGAGTGCCTCTACTCAGAGCATGTTTGATAAAGTTCTCGATACAATGAGAGCCGTTATTCGATGCAGCAAAAAGCGCGAGCAGTGGTTCGCAATGCTGGAATCCAACTGGCTATCGTGTGTGAAGATGTGGAGCTCCGGACACCGCGGGAATATCCCTCATGTGGCGAATCACACTAATAACCGGTGAGTACTTTGTACTGCGAGACGCAACTTGTAATTTGAAGCGGAGATATCACGTAAGCTTATCCTATTTTTCTGAACGTGTTTCGCAGTTTGGAGTCGAGCTGGCAGAAACTCAAGACATTGGTGAACCGATCCACCGCCCTTGACGATTGTATTGTGGCTTTAATCTTCTGGCAAGGAGAGATTGGCGGTCCAAATTGTGCCGTATTGGTGTGCGTGTAAATGCCAACTATGACGACGAAATGAGGGCATTGGCGCAGATATTATCTCCGCATGCGATGGAACTAGTGAAGCAGCAATACGATTTTGGCGTCAAAGCATCTACTAGGTATCATTACTACCCGTTGGGCCCGTACATATTTATCCAGTACGACCCAGTCGATGATGCCGCCGAAGACATCCCGACGAATACGCCATAAACCCAAGTTCGTGGACATGCTCGTGTGTATTTCACGTTACTCGCCGCCTCCCGTGTCGTCATATTGTGTACTACCGGCGCATGACAGACCAAAAACCGCTACTGCCTAAGAGCATCATCGACAAACGCTGGATTCTCGAAAACTTTTACACAATCGCAACAACTCCAGTCGATGAAGTTGATAACTCTTTCGAGATTGCCACTGTTGCGTTGACCAAGCAGCCAAGGGCAAAGAGTGAATCAGAGAAGAACAACGAACTACTCTCGGTAGCTAATCAAATTGCGGATGTCGCAGCCCAGTGGGGAACCCGGGAGCACTCAACAGTTGTCCTAAAACAACTGCAATTTTTACGCTACTTGAAGGCGGGGTCGTGTCCGGACGTGGTTGCAAACTTAACAACCTCATCCCGACTATCATTAAGTGAAACTGGGAATGGGTTAGAGCAATGTGTGCCGAATGCAAAGGATACAGCACACGTTGTTGCTCCGGGTGACTCATCGTCTGATCAGACGGAACGACTTGAAATTGCACCGACTGAGTCGGTTTGCGGTACTTTGGTGAGAACGTCGATTGCAAATGAAGAAGTGGAGGAAGATGCATTAAATTCCGAGTATGTAAGCGTTGGTGCGGAGGGTATTGACGCTGGTGCGAGTACAATGGAAGAAGATGCAAAGTATCGTGTGGATAATGAAAGTGGCATGCTGGATCGGGGATATTGGGGTAGGAAACACAGTGCAAGCATGAGCGATATTTCGGAGGATCAGCTTGAGTTCTCAGTGGCATCCAGAGCTATCGGAGAGTTTCTTAACGAATACGAGAGGAGTTGGATTTTATGGATGAAGACAGCCCAAGCGATGAAGACGAGCAAGAGGATGATGAAAGCGATTAGGAGGAGGCAGCCACCAGACTGCTTCGGAATTAGGTTCAAACACCATTATTGAAGTGCGACTTCCTGCTAGTGATTCAGTGTTTCGAGCCTGCGGCCTGCAGTGGGCTTTGTAACGTGTATACAGCATTACTGTACAGTACATGTTATTCATCACCCATGTTGAGTTATCGCGGGAAAACAAATCGGATATTTGATTGACCACATGGTTTCCTATCGGGCTACACAGGGCATTGGGCAACACGGAACCAGCACTGATTACCACGGGTCGTATTGTACTCGTCAACTCTTGTTCGTACAAACCAAAGACTATTTGCTTCACCCGTATATGCCAGTGACAAAGTTCCTCTAACGTCGTCTACATGCTAGTTTTCTTCACTTCATGTAACATGCAGTAAAGAAAGCTAGCCGTTCCAAAGTACTGGAAGGTACAGTAGAGTACATTAACCTATATTTTTTAAACGGATCAACTGTTCTGGCTCTACATGTATTAGTATGTTGTTTCAATACTAATCGAAAAAACGGAGGGCTCCTGTTGTCTGTAGCGACTTACCCAAGTGGTGCGTTAACTTCCGTGCATTGCTTTGTTCTTCGCGTGGATTCACCGTCAGCTAAAGCTTTCATGCGTTCACTTCTTCAGTATTTGTGCCATAGTGATGCTATGTTTTTTCTTCTTTGTATTGTGGGTTCTACTCAACATTTCCGAACCGGCCGATTGCAATCGCCCGAGCCAAATCGCTCCCCAAACGCCCCGGCCACTTGGATTGTCTATTGGAACTCGATTAAGTACGATTTACATGTACTTGAATTTGTATTGGTCGATTTTCGAAATCGGCCCGATTTGGAAATTTTCAACGGAATTGACAATATCACCCTTGTGTTGAGTAGATACTGATCAACGTCATTGCTGACATTTTGGCATTGATAAGAGCGGAGGCTCCGACAGGGTCAACGCAGAATAATCGTTCGTTTTTGGGATGGGCTACAACATGACGGGACGCCATGTCGCAGCTCTCCACCAGCAGAGAATGCAACGAGTCCTGTTCATTAGATCGTCACTTTTCAATCGGCTCTTCATCTCTCAAAAGCCCCCGCCCAATCAATCGCAGCGATGCGTCTCACCCAAGTCTTGGTGGTGATCGCGGCCGTCGTCTCAGTTACCAGTGGGCTCTCTTGACAACCACGGACACAAAGCTGACCAAGGTGGACTTTGACGCTGGCCCGAGCCAACGGCTTCTGAGAGTACACCACACGACCAAAGCAGCTGAGGATGAATACGAAGACCGCATCCTAGAAATCGGTGAGCTCAAGAGCCTAAAGGCGCGCAAGGCGTCCCTTGAAGGCTACGCTAAGCAACTGGGCATTGAGAAGGAGCTGAAGATCTTCAAAACGCACGTGTTCTACAACGACCTTTCTCATGTCGATTTCGCGCAGACAGCGGCATTCAAGAAGTATCAAGCGTACCAGGACTTTTTGCGCGATCTTGACAGGGCTGCGCAAGCGAAGAAGACTAAGAAGCAGGGTTGCTGCATCTCTTAGCGACCAAAGCCGCTACAATCGAGATTTTACTGAAATAGTACGTAAGTCTGCACAATCCGAAAGCCCGAGTTTGCTGTTATGGTAGTAGCCATGATTACTCCGGTTACGGAGCAGTTTAACTTGCACTACCAGATGTAAGTTTTTTTTAGCATCATTAGTTTTGCTCTGAGGTGTTGACAGCTTACCCCATTTATTCATCAGCCGGAAACGGACCCTCAAGAATTGAGTATGACCCTGCTGTACTAATCGTCGTATCTGGTGTAAAGGCTGTCAATATCCAGCCACAAACTTCTTGCAGGCGTCGCCAGAGGTCAATCCAGGAGGAAAGGATTCTATTTGGTTATGAATAAGCGGCGTCCATTTCTTCATCCCCAAAACGCACCCCAAAACCCCAAAAATCCCCAAAAGTCAAACCTCAGATTTAGGAACCATGAACCTAACTTTTACTAAGACCCATTTTATATCTAGCTTAGAGTAACCAGCCGCACTGCGCTTGGCTGGGCGCCCCTTCGGCGCCCCCGCTGTTCGCTTCGCTCGTGATAAAAAGATTCTCTCACCTGGCGAGTGCAGTGCTCGGCTCGCTGGAATGCTCGTCGCTGGGCCCGCCTCCGCAAATACCGCGCGGCCCTTCTTCGCGGGCACCCCGCGCGGGTTTGCTGCGGCAACGCTCCTCGCAGCCACTCACCTCCGTTGGTTGGGCGCTATCGCGCCTCTGGAATATTACACCAAAAATTTAGCCTAATATTTAGTTACCCCAATACTAAGAGTTACTTATTTTTGGGACAGTTTGGGGGGTATTTAATTGAGATTTTGGGGAGCAACAAGCAGTTTTAATTGAAAGTCCCCAAAATTTGTTGGGGGATTTTGGAAGTGAGTATTGCATACAACCGAAGGGGTAGGTTAATTGATTTTTGCGACATGAAAGTATCCGTCCGGCGTATAGTGTATATTTCCCCTCTCTCGCCACCCATTTCGAAATCAGCGGCGAATGGTGCACGACCTGCGGGTGAAAGCGGTGGCGCGCGCGCCGCGCCGGAGCGCCGTCCGCCAGGCAGCGCGCGGGGCTAGCGGCGACGACGGCAGTGATTCTTCCTACTGCCCCCCAGCAGACATCGGCAGTGAAGAAGAGTGGGAAGACTCAGCGAGCTCGGCGAGCAGCCACGCGTCGCAGCCAAAAAAAGGCCGGACTGAAGCCTTAGGGCATCCGCGCACTCCGCGCGGTGCTGACGAAGAGGAGCCAGAGGTCGCCCCCCCCCCTCTAACGAAACGCGAGTTTGGCTCGTGGGGGGAGTTGAAGGACTATCTCTCCGAATATTCGACAGCAAGCTACCAGGTATGCTGACAGAACACAAGAACGACTGATGCAAAGCTCATTTACTCATTTTATTTTGTTGTTTAGAGCTTCCGCGTCCGCACTAACAACAAGGTGTCTGCGCGAAACAAGAAGATCAAGGAGTCGGCGTCGACAAAGCCGTTGGTGCCAGAAGAGTGGGTGTTTTACGGGAAGACCTTTGTCTGCACGCATGCAGGGAAGTACAAGGCTCGTGGTCAAGGCAAGCGGAAGCGCCAGCAGTCGAGGGCGCTGGAATGTGAGGCACAGGTGGGTTAGTTGGGTATATTTGGGCACGATTGTCCCGAGTTGGGTGCATCTGGGCACTTAATTGTATCTCAGTTGGGGTGGGTTGGTACTCATTGGTGCATGTATGATATCTTGTAGATAAATACTTGCGTCCAAGTCGTGGACAACGACGCCGAGGTTCCTGAGTTAGATATTCGGTTTACTACATGACGACTGTACCATAACCACGGGTTAGGTGAGCACACGTTCCGCCAGTACCCACGCAATAGGAACGCGTTGGAGCCGGAGGTGCTTGCCACAGTGGACACGCTCCGTAAGGCTGGTGCCTCGAATCCAGCAGTACATTCACGAGAACTCCGTATGCACCCCCACCAACCAGGACGTGCACAACCTCATGAGACGACTGAAAAAGCGTGAACACACCACCTCTACCAGCGCAAAGCGGCTCGAGCAGTTGGTGCAAGAATTCTCGGAAGAAAGTGGCAATGTTGCAGGAAGTTTTGTTGACTCCGTACAAAATAAGGTATGAGCTTGTTTGGGGATGTATTGATTGAACATGTGTTAATCTAACCTATCCGTTGTTTTTGCTTGTAGAATATCGCTACCTGCATTACCCTCCAAACGGCGCACATGCGTCAATTATTTAACTTTTCTCTGAAGTATTGATGGTTGATGCCACCCATGGAACCAATTCCTCCAAGTACAAGGTCTTCTCGATTATGGCTCACGACGTATTCGGCAAAGGGCAGTTCGTTCAGCATGCCGTGGTGCAAAACGAGCGGCTGCCGACGTTGCTAACAGCGCTAGAGGAGTTCAAGCGCAACAATCCGGCCTGGACTCGGATTCGGTGTGTCCTTATCGACAAGGATTTTACCGAGATCTCAGTGCTGAAGATGGTTTATCACGACGCGGTGCTGCTACTTTGCCAGTTTCACGTCATCAAGTATCTCCGAGAGGAGATTGCTTCAGCAGAATATGGATTCAACGCGTGGCAGAAGCAGCAGCTACAAGGCTTGGTACAGCTTCTCGTCTACGCGAAGACGGAGCGAGAGTACAAGAGACTGCGGGACTATATGCATTACATCATGGGAATTGGTCGTCGAAGTGCGTCTGGTCGTACCGAGTTGGGTCCGGGTAGTTCTGAGTTGGGCGCTGGTAATGCTGAGTTGGGCGCTGGTGATGCTGAGTTGGAGTCTGATGGTGCTGAATTGGACGCGCAACTGGGTGCTGGCAGTGCGGAGTCGGGTGCCGATGCAGAAAGCAATGATGATGATCCGCAGCATCCCTTTGAGGCGTACTTCGTGAAAAACTGGGACAAGTGTCGGAGTATGTGGTGTGCTTTCGAGCATCAGAACGCAGTCACGCTCGGTAACGACACAAAGAACCGGATTGAGGCATTGTGGAAGCAACTCAAAGATCTGGTGGACTCATTCATGGAAGTTGATGAGTGTATTGTTTCGATTATGTACTACCAAGCCCAGGAGGAGAAGAAGTTCATGGACAGCTTGTTCAAGCTTTCCGTTGTGCACGACCCCAAGTATGATCGCGAAATGCAGTTGCTTTCGAACTTGATCAGCTCGCATGCGTGTGAGCTCATCTATGAGCAGTATGTGTTTGCGACTACACGAGACAAGTACAAGTACAAAGGGGCGGTCCCGGGTGTCTTTTTGGTGCAATACGTATCGGGCGAAGAGGACGCGCTCGATGAACCAACGAGTAAATACTTGGTGATGAAGTGTGACTTGACGTGCTCGTGCATGTTCATGACGTCACGGCTGCTCCCATGCCGCCATGTCTTCTATCTTGGGACGGCTCTCGGCTTTGAGAGCATCATTCCTGCCCAACTGCTACACCCGAGGTGGTTGCTGACGACGCTGCGCTCAAGCACCGACGCACCCCAGTTGCCTGGGGCACCTTTTGCTGTTTCTAGTGTTCTGCCGGAGCTAGGGCAAGTTGGGACTCGAATCGAAAGTTCCGGGAGGCTAATGCAGTCGCCTCTACCATTAGCGAGCATCTGAGCGGCCTGGGTATGCGGGAGTACAGGACGGCGATGAACGTTCTTCAAGATGTGACCAAGCTTTTCAAGCACGGTGAATATACGGCAATATCCAGGATGGCGGAGTGGCTAAACCTGCAGATGCTCTGCAATCTACGGAGCTACCGGCTGAGCACCACATTGCGCAAGATCTTTACGTGTCTTCCTCCGCTAGTGTGCAGACCACCCAGTTGGGTATGGATGGATCACAGCTGGGTACGGATAGATCGCAACTGGGGTCAGATGGGTCACAGCCGGGGTCAGATGGATTCCAGTTGGTCTCTGAAGAAAATCCGACAAACCCAGACGGCCTCGACACCTCCGAAGAAGTCAATTCTAGCCAAGCCGAGAGCACCTTACCTGTGGCGGTTGCACCTCCACTTCAAGCCAAGAAGAAACAACAACATGCAGTGGCTCTTCGCGAAGCAACAGGTGACTTTGGGCTTGAAAGCCCACCCAAACCTCGAGGACGACCCAAGCATAAGACACGAGCAGTAAAGTCAAAGAGAAGCGAGAATGCTGCCACGGTAGAAGTGGATGCCAACATGCACGAAAATGGCCTCAGCCTGATTTCAGCGTACGAGCTACTGGAAGACAACCCGACGTTCAACTCGACTCATGAAAAACTACTGCAATTCAAGTTGTTTGTTTTCGTGGGCAAGCAGAAACCTCCTATTGCTCATGAAATTACAAAGCTACCCACGAACAAGCCGTTGATGATACCAGAAGAGATTGTGCGCATGTTCTCCAAGGACCGGATCAAGAAGTGCATGGCGAAGGTATCGGCCTACCAGCGGAAGCATCCCGGTGTTCGCGAACTTGACATCGCGCTTGAGATCCTCGGTGTTGGGGTGTTTGCTAATTCTACTATCGCACTCATGAAGAAATGGCACCGGGCGTGTGACGTCCTGAAGCATATCGAGAAGACGTTGAAATGGATGAAGCAGCTAGAAGTTTCTCGCCTCGCCAATCCGAGCTTTGCTGTTGAAGAAGACCCTGAGCTTCCGGAAAAGCTGAAAGCCATTGGAATTCTATCTACCGAGGTACACTCATTATCTCTGTTATTTTCCATGGTTATTTACTGACTATTGTGGTGAATTGTTTTTACATGCAGACTCAAGTACTCGACCTCACTGCTAAGGAATGCATTACGGACGAAGTGATGAGAACGGTGATGCTCAAGAAGTTCGGTCCTGATCCCAACATCGTCATTTTCGACGCTTCGGCGCTGGGCGTTGTCGTGGACGGCAGTGTCGGTGCCGACACTGCGAGCATTCTGCGGGCGATGAGGGGGCTATCAACGGAGATTGTGCTCTTTCCGGTGAACTGCAACAACACCGACTGGCGCTCAATCATGATAAACCTCGCCAAAGGCAAGGTTTCCATCTACGATTGTAGCTCTTCTTCGTACCTGCTTGGTGTTCGTGCTGTGGCGCAGACGCTAATACCCCTTCTACCAAGTACCGTTGAAATGAGTTTGCGCGTGCAAACATACGAGTCGGGCCTCGGGGTGCACACAGATAGCTACAACTGTGGTATCTATGTATTGATTGCTTTCAAGATCTTTTGCGGAGCTGAACCGCTGGGCCACCTTGACAAGAAGACGCTGCAGTGCCTGCGATACCGCTACCTACGTATGTGCTTGCAAGATTAAGGTAGCAGGAGCTAACAGATGATAACAACTTTGGAATCAATGTATTGTGGTTTTCAAATATTTTGCCGCCCGATTTGGCGTGTTATCTCGGAGTCCGATTTATATAAAATGGAGCTCCTACATGATCGGTTAGTCCAATTGAGCTATATCTGGCCTGAGTTAGTAGCATAAGGCTCAGAAGGGAGGCATTCCAAGCTGGCCAATGGCCAGCTTGTGAGGTGAGGAGGTATGGCCACTGGCCATACCTCCTCACCTCTCATGACGCATTAGAACTGCAAGACATTGGGGACAATAGTACACTGTATATAGCCACATCATAGCACTATGGCCAGCTAAATCACCTGTGTGATCATCTACGGCCGCTACAACATCGATCTGAGAGGGCCCCAGACATGTTTTCGCGGTGGTCCCTTTTGCCGGCGAAAAGCGGCATTTCTGGCCCCTGCTTCGCAACTCGCAGCCCCCAGACGCAAATCGGGCCAGATATAGTTTGCTTCCCTCAGCCTCTCCTGCTAAATCGGAGCCCTCCAGCAAATCGGGCCCGATATATCGGATCTTGGACCACCCGATTTGCCAAAACGGATGAAAGCCACAATATTTGTTCGTGCTACTCAAGATACTTGCTGGTCTCTGAGGTTCGTGCATTCCAACTTGTGCTAAGGCTGCTCGCGAGTCTATGAGGTTGAAGAAGAACAACTTGTGCTCTCACACTCCAAGTGACATCTAGATTTCAGCTTCAAGTCTCTAAGTGCGATTCAAGCATGTAAGTGCGTTTTAAGCAGGTAAGTTCGTCTCTGTAAGTTCGAGTTGTTTGCAGGACGCGCGCCGTGTCATCAAGCTGCGTCCATCGTCGTCCATTCGTAGCGATCGGCAAGCACCTCCTTCCGGCTATACAGCTCAGGTGTATACCTATCGGCACTGGTTCTATCGAGTTGGGGTTCAGATGGGTGCTACATGGGTGCTACTAGGGTATGGTTGGTGCCTTGTTGGTCATGGCTGGTCACGACTGGGTGCTCGTAGCATGTCACACATTTTTCAGTTGGTTGCAGCAACGGGTGCCGGGGATTTTAGGGGACTTTGGGTACGTTTTGGGGATGAAGAAAATTCTCCCGAATAAGCTAAAGAATCCTGAAAGTTTTGTAGGTTTGCGGATCTACAGGTCCGTATGCTCTCCACTTTATCGAGTTTGTAGATTTAATTCTACATATATGTATACTAGCTACCATTCCCCCACGTCTTCGCGTGCTACGAGGTTGATGGGGTTCTGAGGTGCCCCTTGCTCTACATGGCACCACTCGTCAACGATGAGACCGACGACTTCTCCGCGACTAGTCATCAAGCCTTCTTGGCTACGATGCTAGCGCGCGACTATCAGAAGCGCCTGGACCAGATTCTCTTCCTGGTGGGAGATAATTGCGGCGTCAACCGCCGCCTCGGTACGCTGATGGGCGTCCCGCTTGTCGGGTGTGCAAGCCACCGACTCAACCGAGCCGTCGCCGCCCGGCTGAGCGAATGCGCTGAAGATGTCGACATGGTACAGGCGCTGATGGTAAAGCTGGGGACCCTCCACCATTCTGCAAAACTCCGGTTAGTATTTGTACATTTCCTGTTAGTTTTGTTATTTAGTGTGATTTAACTGAAATTGACACTTTGGTGCTTGCAGGTTCAAGACCGACCTTCGACAATTCTCGTATTTACGGAAGTTACATATGGGATTTCCTGTTAAAACGTAGGCGGATTGGCTTATGATTTCCGGAATTGGTGTATTCCCACCCCTTGGAGGACGACACATTGACTGAGGTCCACTATAGGGGCAGTTAGGATCGCATCCTTACGGGAAGGCGTAAGCGGCGGTAGCCAACGATAAGCGCTACGATGATTGGCCAAAATCACTTCAAGAACTAACGCTTCGTGCGAAGATGGCTGATGGAAGCTCGCAGGACGCTGTCGCGGAGGTGAAGGCAATGCGCGACGCATGCATCTCCAAAGAGACGAGAAAGAAGTACACCAGCAATATCAACGGCATCAAGAAGCGGATCAGAGAAGTGTATGCGCTGACGCTGGAGGATCGCAATACAGCTAAATTTTTCGATGCCGATGATGATCTAAACCTCACAGAGTTCACTCCAGCTTGCTTCGAGCAAATTTTGGTGTACAAACGAAGTACAGCCAAATCGGCGACTCTAAGCGGCTACCGCAGCGCGATAAAGGATCTGTATCGATTGAAACGAGTAGCGCTGCCTGTGGAATACGGAGATGACATGAAGCAGTTTTTTTCTAGGTGCAAGCGACTCGAGGCCGAGCAAAACCAGTCTAGCTCTCCTAAACGCTCGGGCAAGCAGCCGCTGACTTTTTCGTTGTACAAGGAGCTGTGTTGGTCTACTCTTGAGCGCAACGATGGGGGGTTCTCGCATCTCTTTTTAACTACTCAGTGGAATCTCATGTGTCGATCGGTATCTGTTCAAACCCTCCAGACGCACCACTTTTGGCCAAAGATGACGCTGGTGGGGCGATATTTTTTAAGACCAAGACCAATCAGGAAGGTGCTGGCCCACGTGACCCCCGTCATCTTTACGCAAACCCGTTTTCGCCATCTACGTGTTGGGTGACAGCGTTGGCGATTTATTGGGCATATAATCCGCGCGCGCAACCAGGGCCACTATTTCCGGGCTCTGACCCAAAGCTTCGCTTCGGCAAGACATTAGGAAATCTCCTGAAAAAAGATGGAGTGGCTAAAACCTACGGCACGCAGTCGGTGAGGAAAGGTGTGGCAACATTTGCCTGCGGAGGAAGTACTGGTGGTCCGTCCATTGTAAGTGTTTGTCTTCGGTGTGGGTGGTCTATGGGTGGAGTGCAAGACAGATACTTTCGATATGAAGCTGCGGGCGATCAATTTTTAGGGCGTGTTGTTGCTGGGCTTCCTGTGAATGACTCCAAGTTCGCCATCCTACCACCGCACTTCCGCAATAACTCGGACGACGAGATAAAGTCGTGTCTTGCAGCGATGTTTCCAGGACTCGTCGACGAATTGAACCTAAGTGATACTTTGAGGCTGTGTCTTGCTTCGCTTGTCCAGCACGCTGATTTTTTAGTGAACCACTTGTCTACCAACCACCCCCTTCTGTCGACGTTTGTGTTCACAAACCCTACCGTTCTCAATAATCTGCGTTCGAAACTGGAGGTCGGAGAGTCAAGATGGATGGAGCCGTAGGGATACCGCCTCATATTGAGCTGTACAAGAAGCTCGACAAACAGCAACAGTCTATAGATGCTCTCCCCGAAATGCTTGAACAGCGAATGGAAAAGGTGCTCGAGGAAAAAGGTGTTGCCGCGGGTAATATTACTCGGGAACTTTTACGCCAAGAAATTAAAGCGCTCTTGCTGGAGGTGGGGCTTCGTCGCACTAGGTCTACAGAACCAACACCAGCCTCTTCTGGTCCAACGCACACCTACTACTCATGGGGTGGTAAGTTTCATAGGCTGCCGAAAGAATTTGAATTTCCCAGTATCGATCCACTTGGCGCGTGGATATTTTGGTGGTTTGGCGATGCGAGACGTGGCTATCCTCCGTACAAAGCTATTTCCTCGGACGATCTCGACACGCCAAAGAAGAAAGCGACTTTGGCGGAGTGGTCTATCATGATGAGGCACATAAGTAACGCAGTTGAAGCACAAACAGGCATGTCACTACCTCCAATTCGCGACGAACCTCACGCCATCGAGCTGTTCAACATTGGCTATCACAAACTTCAATTAAAGCCGAGTAAGCGTAAGCGCAGAACCAATCAGCTCAAGCTTACCCGGTGCTGATATTAATTCGCGAAGCTGAAGGCACAGGCACGCGGTCGCTTCCATTCAAGCGGCGGAAGCGTCAAGTCGCTGTGGAGAATAGCCCAGCTCATGGTCCACTCGAACCTTCAGCAGTCACGCTCCAGTCGGCGACGCCATCAGCAACATCGACGCCGCCCGCGACATCAACGCCGGCAGCAGCAACACCTTCGTCGCCAACACAAGCTTCAGATGTCGCCCCGCCGTCAGCTTTGACACCTGCAGCAACGGCGACTCCAGCGGCATCGACGACTCCAGCGGCAACGGCGACTCCAGCGTCGACATCTTCGCGACGAGGTGCGACGACACCACAAGTGATAGCGACCCCGCCAGCAACAGCGACATCACTTGTGGCAGCGACGCTGTCAGCTTCGCTACCAGCAACAGCGACGTTCACGCGGAGCGCACGCCCTCACGGGCCTTCACGAAGTCGGCAGCACACCAAGCCACGACAAAACACGCGTGAAAGATGAATTAGTACACAATACACAGCGCGCTAATAGCTTACATACGTCCAACACTTACGAGGACACAAAAGCTCTGTTCAGCTTCCCAGCATATTGCTTTGCTTTGTGATCCGTCGATAGCAGACAATTCTCAATTTTAACCAATAAGAGCGAACTCTCTAAGCGTCGGCGTCCAGGACTTACGTTTTCCCAAGTCAATTCAATCATCCGCCAGCAAACCCACTGGAGTTCGACCTTTGCGATGATTAACCGCTGCTTCGAGCTTCTACCATTCATCGACGCGGAGGACGACGAGTTGGCCGAGCTCCTTCCCCCGGCGGCGTCCAAGCGGCGGCTTCGGGACCTGCTCGGCGAGCTGAAGGACGTGGAGTCCGTGTCGAAGGCTCTCCAAGGCGCTGACGCAAACCTCCTCGACGTTCGCGTCTGGTTCGACGGGCTCATTGCCGCGAAGCCCTCGTACGCCCGTTATCTCGGTACGTTTTTTGTCTATTATGCGTTATTGGTACATTTACTAATATTAATTTGTTTGTATTGTATTGTAGCACCGCGAGCTGACATCGTCCACAGCCCCGACTTCGAGGCGGGCTGCGTCAAGGTGCTCAAAGGGCAAGCCAAGCGGCTGACCCGGGTGGAGAAGGCGGCGCTGGAGCGCTTCTTGGCGGCTCCACCAGCGGGCGAGGGCGAATAAGAAGAGACGGATGAGGAGGCCAGCATCTCCTTCGTGGAGCGGCTGCAAAAGCGTCGGCGCCTGGAAGAGCATCAACCATGTTACGAATTGCTGGCGTCCATTCCTCCCACGTCCAACGTGGTCGAGCGATTTTTTAGCATCGCTCGGGCCACGTTTGGGCTGCAGCGCCACGCACTGCAGCCGTACACGCTGGAGATGCTGCTGTTCCTGCGGCAGAATGCCGATTATTGGGACGCGCGCACTGTTGAGAGCGCGGAGTAAATGATAGGTGTGTAACCCATCAATACACTGACATTGCACCAATAATCTATTTTGCTGTGTGAAGTATGTCGATATTCTATTGCGGGTTTGTTTAGTTTGATGTTCAATTATCTATTCTCCCTTCTTGCTTGCAATAGATAACAATGCAATATTCGGCAACCCTGCTCATCGGACTCGGAGCCTCAGACGGATGCTAACATTAGCACCAAATCGTCAGAAGAAATGCTCCCAGCTACCAACGTGCCGCAGCACAGGCCCCTCCCACCAAGATTTTATTCCTCGACGGAATCCGTGGACTCGCAGCCATGCTCGTGGTGGTTCAACACTCAGGCGAGTTCGTGCCGGAGCTTCATCTCGGATCCGTGGCAGTCGACGCGTTCTTCATCTTGTCGTCGTTCCTGCTGACGTGGCTGTTCATGAAGAAGAGCATGAAGCTACTGGCTCAAGGTGCCGGCGTTCGTGCGTGGACCTTTACACTGGCTGACTACTTCCAGAAGCGGTTCTTCCGCGTCTACCCGCTGTTCGCCATCACGGCGTTCGTACTGTGGCGGTTGCCGCCTGAAGACCAGCAACGCTACATTATCGTTGGCAACCCGAGCGAGGTGAGCCTGCTCAAGATGCTCACGTTCGACTTCCCTCAGCGCTACTTCGTGTTCTGGACGGTGTCCATCGCAGCTGGCGGCTCAACGCATCTCTCGATTTCTTGCTGCTCGAGAGAAGAGCGGTTCGGGTGGCCTGGTGAGATTCACGAGGAGAAGATCAGCATGAGAGCTACCGCTGAGATGAAGTAGAAAATATGTGAGCTGGGCATTTCAATATGAATGTGATGTAATGAAGTAAAGCGGCGTATTTTTTACTCCAAAGTGCTGCACAACCAGCAAAAATTCTGGTTCGCAGAACTATTTGATACTTAGAGATCATCTCGAATCTAGCCTCAGCTTTTTAACGTATACTACGAGACAAGCTACTACCAGTAGTATTAACTTGCTCTGCTTTGCTACCATCGCTCGGAATTAAGCATCCCCTTCGCTTTCATCACTCTGCTCATCTTCACTACTGGACATCTCCTCTTGGATATTCCACAGGTCTTCCGATTCAAGGGCGCCACATACCGAGTGACATACAACTTGTCTAAGAACTGAAGGGCAGTAAATGCGAATATCTTGGATAAAGCGAAGTGATCCAGCTTGCACAGCGCGGAGTTTGAAGTCGGTACATCGCATTTCCTTTCCTTGACGGGTCGCAAGGACTGGCGACGTTCCACCACGCTAAGAGACTTTGTCTCCATGAGAAGTGTTAGGGGCCCTATCGATCGGATTCTTGCCGTACGGAGTAAACTTGCTAGTAGTAAGTGACATTATTTGGCCTCGGCCGTTAAAATCCTGGTGGTGGTCTTACTGTTTTTTTCTTCCTTCTACAGCTTCCTCTTTCTTGTTCTTGACGGTGTCTCGTTCTGCTGGCGAACCCTGATCTTCACGCGAGGGCTCTTCTCGATACTCACAAAGGTTCCATCTGAGCCATTTCAGACGCATCGGGGGATCGATCATTTCAACATTTTTTGTGAGCGCACTTGCTTCAATCCTTTTCATTTTGATTGGGCAAAACGGCACCCAGTTTTGTCCCAATCATCGTACTTATATCTCAAGTACGATTTGAGGAAAAAGAAAAATCCGGCACTTCATTCACTTGTGTCGAGCATTCGTAAGACAGTTAGACGACAAATCAAATTTAGCCATGTGATTGGTTAATATTATGCGTGGTGTTGTCCGTGTATGCCCTTGGCCGGGCCGTCTGCGCCGCCGTCGTGGCATGCACCAGCAACGGATAGCCGTGCTGACGAGCAGAATCGGCAGCATGAACGTGTATTTGTTTCGTTTTCGATTTCGTAGTAATGTGAAGTGCATCACAGTTATTTGGCCTAACTAGCGACCTACTAAATGCCAGGTCCATCAAATGAAAGTGCGTATTATACATATTTTATGAGGTCCGAGGAGCTCTTCCATGAAGCCGCGTAGTCGGCGTAAGTAGGGAGATGCCCTTCGGAGGACACGACGCGGTTGGTACACGGAGAACTGAATTGTGCTTGAGCGTGCATTGAATAGCAAACGACTAGAATGTACACTCGAGCACTCTCTAGAAACTTGTCAACAAAGCCGAAATGGAAACACTACGTAGATTCAAGCTTAACAGACAGCAATAGACTGGCGCGGTTATAAGCGCTCTAGAATCGCTGCCTCTTATGCTACGTAATTAACCACGTTATTGAAGGAAGGCTTGCTCGCATCATGATACGTACATTGCAACCTGACAGTACGAAAACTCCTACAATATTTCCCTCGTGGCACTATTCGTTACCATCCAGGCACTGAAAAGCTCTGGACGTGGCATTTTAAGAGCAACAGATCAGAACAGCCTTAGCGCTAAGGCTTCACGCAAGGCCTGGCGCGGCCGCCGTGGCTGCAGCCAGAATATCATCCTGTTGTCGACGGACCTACGCGCCATGCAACTGCGTCGTCTTGGCGAACAAAGGTGCCACCAGCACAGCCTGCATCCGCACCGCTGCCGTGGTTGAGTTGGCCCGAGCATGCACATGTAGCTCTGCACGTCAAGTAGAGCTTTTGACCAATAATATGGCGCAAACTGGTGTCCGACAAACTGTCTTACGTTTTGAGTGACAAAATACAATGTAGCCACTGGTATACTAAAATCAAGATGTAATCAAAATGCGTTGATTGCAAAACGTAAGACGCTGTCTTACGGTATGCTCTCTAGGGACCAGTATCGTCTTACGAAAGAGCATGAATCGGCGTTGTCGAGAAAGAACTGCAGCAACACCAGGAGCCACCCGCGACGATGGAGCAGAGGAAATACTTCCGGTTCACCGAGGGAGCGGAGCGCCCGGATCCCCCGGGCACTACAGACACAGTGAAGCATCCTGACGGCGCCGATGTTGTGGATTTCCTGGACGCGGTGTTCGCTACTAAAAACCTCAGTGATTCGATTCTTCGGGGGCTGCGCCCGTCCACCCTCAAAGTTTATGCGAACGAGAAGGCGGAGGTGCCTTTGCGCCGCAGCGACAAGCTGGCTGCTTCTGGAAAGAGCGAGGACGACCCGATCATTGTGCAACTTCCTCGGGTTTGGTACGAGTTGAGGGATGCAGACGCTGGCGCTTCGTTTGCGAATACCGTCGCCTCTTCGGTCCGTCTTACGGAGAACGACAGTGTTGAAACTCTGCTGAAGGCGGTCTACGGCGCGAATGGAGGAACTCTCGCCCATACTGCTCCAAATCAGCTCGTGGCTTACGAGAGCCTAACATGTTTCGCCAAGAATCAACCTTTGGATATGGCATCGGCGATTGGCTCGTGTGGCAGGCTTGAGAACGCTCCTGTCGTCGTGATAGTACCGAAGCGCGGAAAGCGGCAATCCGAAGGTGGGAATATCGAAGAGGCCGCCAAGAGACAGAAAATGGGTGTGAACAAGAAAAACCTGGCTTTCGTCAAACCTTACCAGTCAACTGCGGCTCGATTGAAAGATACTGACGAGGTGACTCAAGTGGTGGAAGCGGTTGCCACTGTTCAGCAAAGCCCTGAGGAGCAGATCCCGTTTATTGTTTTGGAATCATCGTCTGGAATGGGTAAAACGCAAATGGCGTTCAATCTGATGGCTCGTGATGACATCGACGTTTTTTATATCGTCTGTGATGTTGTTGATGTGAATGTGCAGTATGTGTACACTGCATTTCGAACCCGATCAATCGTTTTCGGTCAATGTGTGTCAAAGGACACGGAAGACAAAAAAAAGATGAAGTCTGGAGACGTATCCGAGATCGAAGCGACAGGTGAGTTGCAGACGTACGCATTGATTTGCGCGTTACTTACTGGATCGGAAACAATGGCTGAGACGGCGACACGTGGGGAGGTGGAAGAGACGCTGATTGCCTGGAAGAAGCGAGCGCCCGGTAAGCAGTGCGCGATTTTCCTGGACGAGTTTCCTAGAGAAGAGCCGAGTCGAATCATCCAGTTTCGGTTTATGCGGAATGTCTTCCGCTCATTTCGACTTCCAGTCATTTTGAGCTCAACGAATGGGACCGCACGAAACCTGATCAACTATGGACAGCAGTCGAGAGGTAGAGATGACAAGACCTTGTGGTGTGTCGTGCTGACCAAGTTTCCACGGTTTCAAGATCCGTTTCTTGATCTACTGCGGCCTGATTTGCGATTGATTATCGAACACAGCCGACCTCTTTTTGCGAGAAAGGCATGAAGCCCAATGACTCTGCGGCGTTCGATGAAACCGCTGATTTGGTCGGATTGATGGACAGAATGGCTGCAGTGTTGGGCAATGAGATCGCAAGGGTCAAATTGCACACGCTTGAATTTCGCTGTGGCCAACTTCGGCTATTTCTTGCGAAGAACTACGTCTACGAAGACTGCAACGAACTAATCGACAAACTACGCTCGACTAAAAGAGGACGATCAGTTCCAGCTAAGTATTCCGCCGGGTGGAAAAGCTACCCTTCGTAGACGGCCTAAAGCAAGCTACGATATGCCGAGTACGAGACGAGATGACTCCAGTCGCGGTGATCTCGTAAAAAACGACGAAGACTATCCGTGGATATGCCAGACCAAACTTCCTGACTTGAACGACGACCCACTGCTATACTTTTGGCTGATGGGCGGCAAAGATGTGGGTGAACATCAGGCACTACGCGCGCTACAAGACGAAGAAGGTTATCCCATTTCGTTCAACTGCGCACTCAATCTATTGGAGCAAGGACACGTGAAACTCAATTTCGGCAACACTTTCCAAACTGGAAACAGCGGAATGCGGTTGGAAGCTTTGACGGCTGGTGCAATCGTGTCGGCCAGCCATCGAAATGGCTTTGCCGGTATCGGCTTCATGGACTTCTTTCGTTCATTGCTGTACGAGTTTGATATGCAGCAGGATATCGATCTTCCCGTAAAGTTCAGCGATGAAGTGGCGACTCTACTCTCGACGCTTACGGTACCATATCTCGCGCCCCCTAACCAGACACTCCCCGACTTCCTGAGAGGCGAAGCTGAATGTGGGAGATATATATCGAACTGTAAATAAGGACATGTACGATGCCAGTTTGTTAGACGGGAGAGTTTCGGTGGAGTGCAAGGACTACCGAAGCCGACCAATTTCAAGCGATGACATGAAAGGCATCCTAATCCGAGTTCGGGACTTAGCGCAACGTGAGCCAACCATCGTTCGCCTGGTTGTTACGACTAAGCTCCAGGGATCATACTTCACGACGAAGAAAAACACGTTCATGAAGGCTTTGGCGAGTGGAGTGAACGGGATACCGGAGGAGCTGCACCATGCGCACTTCTATCGCATTGGAATACACGATGGCGAAACGATGATCGATGATGAGGGGAACGTGCGGCGGAACGATTTAGAATCGATCAGTGGCATGGAAAATAAATGCCGCAGCAAGGATTGCCCATAATCGTGCACGCGCGTGGAAAAGGTGATTATCTTCGTGGAGCGTTGGAAGACGGACGACGAACTACCTCCTGAACTACAGTCGTGAGCGCACGCTCACCACCTCAGTGTCGCGTCGAAGGAGCTACCCAGCTTGGCGAAGCGGAATAAGGCTGTGTCAGAAGCTTTGCCACCTGGTGCGACCTCAGTAAGGTTTCGTTCTAACTTGCTCAATACACAATAAGCGTTGGATACCAAGACAAGGGTTAGTGGTGAGCTTTGCGGACAATCAGCAACTCATTCTATAGTAATAGTGCCCAATTCTATTGGTAGTGGCACGTGCTGCGCCGTTTGATTCTGCAGGTCAATCCTTGCAATGATCAAGGAGACAAGAACTTTGGGTAACTTTTTATTGTCCATACGTAAGTTTCCCTCCGTCATCGCACGTGCAGCTTACTTGGACTTCTTGTCGCCGAGACGCTCGACGCAGAGCAGCACGTGCCAGCCGAACTGGGTCTGCACCTTGGTGAGCTTGCCCACCTCCTCCTCGAACACGACCTTGTCGAACTGGGGCACCATCTCGCCGCGGCCGAACATGCCGAGGTCTCCGCCCTTCTTGCCCGACGGACACGTGCTGTGCTTGGCCGCCAGCTCCGAGAGCTTGGCCTTCTTGTCCTCGGCGGCGTCGATCTCCTTGAACAGCTGGTCGGCCTCAGCCTCCGACTTGACGAGGATGTGGAACGCGTGCGCGCGCGGGCCGCCCTTGCTGCCCCTGGCGCCCAGAGCCATGATGCCGATGAGGATGATGGGCCCCAGGAAGGGCATGACCTTCATGAGCGTCTCCTTGAGGCCGCGGAACTGGTCCGGCTCCTCGGTGCCGTCCAGGCGGCGCGAGATGAGCACGAGGTGCCAGCCGAACTGGGTCTGCACCTTGTGCACGACGCCGATCTCGCCCTCGAACGCCACCTTGTCGAAGGCCGGCACCATCTGGCCGCGGCCGAAGGTGCCGAGGTCGCCGCCCTTGCGGCTGGACGGACACTTGCTGTGCTCCTTGGCGAGCTGCGCGAACTTGAGGAAGAGGTTGGAGGCCTCGCCCAGCTGCGCGTTCAGGGCGTCGGCCTCGGCCTCCGTGTCCACGAGGATGTGGCTGGCGTGCGCCTTGATGGGCACGGGGGCGGCGGCGGGGGCATCCTGCGCGAAGGTGAAGGTGGTGGAGGCCACGACGCACAGCAGCAGCGTCGTCAGGAACGCCAGCAGCTTGGGCGCCATGGTGGAAACTAAGGGATCGCTTGGGGGCTTGAGGCTTGAGGGGGGAGTGACTGACGTGTTGACTTGAACTATCGGATTTCCTTATAAAAACTTCTCCATCAAGGTTTATGATTGGTCAGATTTGGGTGTATGTCATATAAACGGGGTATTAATTACTGAAGTTATTCGGTATGAGCGGGATGTTGCAAGAATGTGTCATGCGTTGGTGATTGAGAACACATCCAAATATTGTAAGAAGGTGACAGTAGTTGGTGCAACCTTGAGAAGTCATATGTGATGTTGCAGGAAGGTTGGATGCGTTGGCGCAACATTGAGAACACACGGCGATGTTGCAGGAAGGTTGGGTTACGCGGAGGTTACGCGGTACTTAAGGTGGTTGGAAGCGATTTCTAAATCAAATTTAGAAACGTACCCATCTGGTACGACTTTCGGTGATCGATTCCGAAAATCCGCGATCTTCGGCATCTGTCGTACCAGATGGGTACATACTAACATAAAGTACATAAATTACTGTCCAAGATATATTCCAATAAAAACTGACTCAAATAAAAACTCTTCACTTCGAGATGCGCTACCCACACTACATGGACGTTCGATGGGGTTTCCTCGCGCTTTGGCGCGCCCACCTCAAGGGCCGGCTCCGGTACCAAGACGTGCGGAACAAACAGCGTGCATGGACTGTCACCAACCGCCGCCTCTGCGTGACGCTACCGTCGGAAGATGAGTCGGATATCGACGCGCATGAGGCCATAATCACGAAAGTGCGGGAAGCTCTCGCGTTGCTGGCGGTGGTGGCGCAGGTTGACACCACCGCTCTGGGTTTCGTACTCAGCAACTACTGTGAAGTAGTTGACGACAGCTCAGAGACTTCTTTCCAGTTCGAAAGCGACAGCCCAGAGACTGCTTTCCAGTTAGAAACCCCCTTTCGACTCGAGATCGGGACGAATCCTATCAGCAACGGGAACGTTCCTCGGGACGACCTCATTCTGCTTTGTGGACCGGGTCAACATGAAAATGCAAGCCACGAGTATAGCGCGGCACTGCAGCAGATTGCAGAGCTGGGCAAAAGCCTGAAGCTGGGGGAACCAGGGGTCGAAGTAGAAATTCCCGTCCGAGTCGACTTTTCTTCCGGAGGCGGGGGTGCTCAGTTGAATGAGCTTCTAGAGGTCGTGGCTGCAGAAAAGATGATCAAGGAGATGTGGAGGGATTTCTACAGTAATACCCCCGGAGAGCTGACTGTTGAGCCAGGAAAGCTTCGCTGTAAATTCGTGCTGGAGCCGATGCTTGCGGATATCGTCGATGCACCAATTGAGCCTGAGCTGGTAAAAATCGTGGAACAGTTTGTGGAGGGAAACGTGTGGTTTTCTCGGCTCGAGCTGTTCTTACAATTCGATCCGGAAATTAAGGCAGGTCGGTGGATTGCGAGGACTCTGTTGGGAAAGCTACTGAGATCTGTGTTTGACTCGACACGTCGATCATTCGATGTCGCAAATGGCCACTACCACTTCAGATTAGATGATGGAAACTTTCACCAGTTCCGGGAACCTGAAGTGGCGTATGATTCTGGCAATCCGGAACCTTCAACAGTTGAAGCGTTGTGTGCTGCGATGGTGCTGACACAAACAACGCATGCTTTAGCTCTGGAGCTAGACTTTCAGCCGGATGATGAAGCTGGAAGTCGTTTTTGGTGGCGGTGGTTGGCCTACGCACTTTTTTCACGTCGAGCTCGCTCGTTTTCATCGATTAAGCATCTCAAATTGGATTTTGTCGGTCGCTTGAGCGTGGAGGATGCGGAGCTATTTACTGCGATAGTATTGTCGGACCACCCCGAAGAAGAGCTCTTTGGTAGTCGTCGTGGTCGTGTCGAGGAGTACTAAGAGCAAGGGCGCCAATTCAGTGGAAATTTAACGAAGCAGGACAACCACTTCGGAACTATCGGCCTCTCACATCTGTGTCTCCGATCAAATATGTACGAACGTTCAGCGACGACGGAGTGAGCAAGTGGGTTGACGTACTAGTTCCCGGCTATGGTCGCTGCCAAGTCAAGCGAAGCGACTTGACTTTTGATTGTGATAGTTCTGTTTTGAGTACTGCTGCTTCGGGAGCTGGAATTACGTCACTTTCGATTGGATTCAGGGCTAGCAGACGGTCTACCCCAGTTTATGGCTGTCATAGGTAGCTCATTGACATCTTTGTCGCTCCATGGACACAGGGATCCGCTTGGAGACGATTTGTGGCTTGGATACTGTCCAAATCTGCTCGATTTATCCATCCGTGGATATGTGTTGGAGGCCCAGTTTGATTTTCGCGAGTATCGGAAGACTCACAGTGAACTTCCCTCGGTCATCTGCAACTGGCATGATGTTACGCCGCTGTCCAGAGCCCTGATGGATGCAGCTACTCCATTGACGAAGTGTCTGCATCGATTGCGTGCCCGTTTGACATACTCTAGAGCTATCCCTCATGGCTACGATCCTGCGAATTATGAATCGGACCTTGATACTCTTTTGGAAATGCTAAAGGTGAACAAATCTCTGGAGTATTTGGAGGTGATCGTCCCAGCTGAATATCGGGCTTACACCAGTAAGTTTGCGCAGTACGACAAGAAACCGATCGATAGGGCGCTGGAACTCCCATTGGAGACGAAGTTGGCCTTTCAAAAAATCGAACGACTTCTCCGATGAATGAGCTTGTAGAGTGGTAGCGGGGATGGGAACGATAGACACTCTGGATCGGGCAAACTGCAATCTAAACTAGTGTTGAAGTTGGTGATCAGCGAAGAATGCCACAGAGCGTGCTGTACAGGGCAACATAAGTTTTGCTTGGCTTGTGCTGTAGTTGCAGATACCGTTCAGCTCGCGGGTGCTAGGAGCCTGCTTCTGCAGCAACAACCGCAAAGAAAATAGCAATGCGTGAAGAGAACATTATAGTTCGGTGTTTCCTATTTAGGCTCTTCACTAGACCCGTCACGTCGGTACATGTGTACATCATCTACATGGACAAAGGATGCAAGATAGCAAAAGCTACTATGAGATTTATTGCTGTGGGACCTACGTGTATCAAACTGAGTTCGTTGTGTTGCTGCGACGCATCATTAATACTTTTAATGAAATGTTGCGTTGACGGATGATCCACTGAAGGGAACACTTTCGCCACTAATGCCATGTCCGTGGGTCATTTATACTTTAGTAGATTCGAGTCGAATCATTCGACAAAGCACTATCCGAGAAGCTCAAATACTGAACTACTGTCACTACTACTTTATCAAATCGTCATCCGCCTGGCAAACCAGCCTAGCACATCCGAAGAGACGAGCCAATGCGAGCAATGTTCATTATTCAACGATGGGAGCGTTATCTGCAATCTGTGAGAGCTCCATTCGGATCGTCTACATCTCTCGGATTTCCGCCTGAAATCGCCAAACTGCCCACATCTCGTCAAAGTTTTCCAGAAAAGCCATACGCGCATACGGAACGACAGACCTCTTCCCGGAGAACTGGAGGGACCGTAAATGCGAAGATGTTCGACAGAGTGGGGCGATCCAGTTTGAACACTGCGGAAGTAGCAGTCGGCGCATCATATTTCATCACCTTGGTCGGGCGCAGAGGCTTCTCGGTTCCACCACGCTTAGGAATGTCAACTTCGTCTCCAGTGGAAGTTCCAGCGCCCTATCGATCGGTTTCTTGCCGAACTGAGCAAACTTGTTGATGCACTCCCGATGTGTTGTTGGGACGATCACCTCCAGATACGCCAGAGAACAGTTAACCTCCAGCATCTCCAATAGCGCATCCAGGTCCGATTCATAGCTCGCAGGATCATACCCACGAGGAATAGCACCATCCTGATAGCTGTTCGCCAAACGGAGACGCAGTCGGTGCAGACACTTCGTAAATGGACTGGGCATCCATCAAAGCTACTGAAAGCGGCACAATATCCTGCCAATTGCAGATGATCGAGGGAAGTTCACTGTGAATCTTACGATACTTACGGAAATCAAGCTGACCTTCCACTAAAGTTCCGAGGATGGACAACTCGAGCAGGTTGGGACAGCTCTCGAGAAACATATCATCACCAAGCCGCCTCCTCGTTCCATGGAGCGTCAAAACACCAACGAACTACCGATGGCTGTCATAAATCGCGGCAGACCATCTGTAACTTCAACGTCGGACGTGAATCGAATCGAAAGTGCCGTAATTTTTGCTGGTAACGTATCCATAGAGCTGGCGCTACCAAATATCAGATCACTTCGCTTGACTTGACAACGGCCACAGCCTGGAACCAGTACTCGCTATGTCCGTTGTTGTTGGGAGCCGATGATGGCACATGTCAGCGATCCCGTTGAGTCTGAGATGGCCGAGGTCGCGCAGCACGCAGTGGAAAACAACGTGTGGTTTTCGCGGATTAGTCTTGCTTTACGGTTTGACTCGCAGGATATTCGGAGTGGGTGGGGTGCGAGGTCCTCGTTTGGGAAACTAATGAGAAGTCTGTTTGACTCGACCCGTCGAACACTTGACGACGCGAACACTTTCTACCGCTTGCAAACAGGCAGTGAAAGCCTCTATCAGCTTGGAAAGATTTATGTGGAGTCTGATGACGAGGAGCTGGAACGATGGGGAGTCAAGGCAATGCTCTCGTCGCTCGTGCGGACACAAACAAGAGAATTAAAGCTGATGTTGGAGCAGGACCCGATCGACCAAAACGTGAGCGGGCATTGGTGAAAGTGGCTGGCCTATGCGCTGTTTTCACGTAGAGCCCATTCTTCTTCGGCAATTACCCACGTTACGCTGGAGGCGGTCGGTCGCTTGAGTGTGGAGGATATCCAGGGTTTTATTGCAGTAATCGCATCCGATCACCCCGAGGAAGAATTATTCAGCAGCCATCGTGGGGTTGTCGATGATCGCAATGCGACCTTGGAAGAAGGAGCTCCAATGCATTGGGAATTTGGTGAAGCACAACGGTCTGTTCGTACATACCGACCTCTCATATCTGGTTCAGATACGAACGTTCAGTGATGATGGAGTGAGCGAGTGGGTAAACGTACTGGTCCCTGGCTACGGTCGCTGCCAGGTCAAGCGCAGCGACTTGAACTTCGATGGCGATGGTTCTACAGACACCATGGGAGTAGGAATTACGTCACTTTCGATTCGATTAAACCCCAATTGCGAGATAGCAGGGGATTTATCCCAATTTATGGCAGCTGTCGGTGGTTCGCTGACGTCCTTGTCGCTGCATGGATCACAGGAAATTCTTGGCGATAATCTGTAAATTAGCTCCTGTCGAAACCTTCTTGAGTTGTTCGTACACGGAAACGTGCTGGGAGCTCAGTTTGATTTCCGTGAATATCGCAAGTGTAACAGCGCAACTGGTACGATGTTGTGCCACTTTCAGCAGCGCTGAAGGATGTAGGTAGCCAGTTAGAAAAGTGTCTACACCGACTGCGTATCTGTTTGGCAAACCCCTTTGTGTGCATTCCGCATGGATATGATCCTGGTAATTATGAGGCCGACCTGATTGCACTTTTGGATATGCTTGAGGTCAACCGCTCTCTTGAGTATTTAGGTGATCACCGAAGAACACATCGAACATTCATAGACAGGTTCGCTCAGTACGACAAGGAGCCGATCAGTAAGGCGCTAAAGCTCCCGCTCGAGGCGAAGATAGCGTTCCTAAGTGTTGTGGGACCCTGCGGGACTTTGAGGCCTACAAAAAAGAGGAAGAGTTCCGCACCAACTTTAAGTGCCGCGCTATGCAAGTTGGACCGCTCGCTTCATCGGACATATTAGAAGTCACCGCTCCCCCAGTTCTCAGACGCGTTGTGTGTCGTCCGCTACGCGAGTTCGAAGACGCTCGGGAAATAGCTGGGGATTTTCAGACGAAAGTTCCAATGAATAATGTAGCTGAGTAAACTGGGCGGCACCACGCAGAGACCGCACAAGCATATTAAATACGACGAAGGTGATTAATACAGTGAATTGGTGGAAACCAAGAGGGCAATGCAGCCCTGATGGGCTCCAGTCGGCACAACCTGGTCTTAATAGTACAATTTCTCAAGGGTATGGTCCTGCGAATTATAAATCAGACCTAGATGCACTCGAGGCAATGCTAGAAGTCAACCGCTCTTTGGGGTATCTGGAGATAGTTGCTCCCGATACAACTTACATCGGTAAGTTTGCCCGGCACGACAAGAAACCACAGAATCGAGCGCTGGATCCCCAGCTGGAGACGAAGTTGACGTTTCTAAGCGTGATGAGACGCTGCTAGTCGATGAGACCAACAAGCAGAGGTCCGAAAATACAGTACTATATTGAATTGAGTACGAGATCAGCAAGGAGAAATAATAAAAATTGCCGCAATATAAATATACTGCTCTTCAATTTGAGGCATTTCTACAGAAGAAATAAACCACTTTCTGTGCGTCATATGATTACAGAGTCGTTTAGAAACACTTTTTGGGGTGTTGCTTTAGAAAACTTTGCATGGTGGATGCTTAAACAACCTACCGGTAGTAATACGTGAGGGAGATATATCTGGATCTTGCTATATATCGTAAATCTGGTGTAGTGGATTCCAGGGTTTCACCTTGGTATCACCGCAGTTAAGGGCTCGATAGCATGTCGCGGCGGTGACCCACGCGAGCCACAGGTAATGGGTTCACCGCATCATGACCAGTCAAGCTTCACACAGACACACTTCATAGTGTGTGCACCTGATTTGAGGTTACAGACTAAGCATTTTGTATGATCAACTGCTTCGCGGACCCACTTCGCTTTTTCTCCTACAATTGCCTCAAAGGCGTAATCACTATATCAAAACATTGAGCTCAAGTCCCTAGTGGATTGCCATCCGCTGCCGTTCCCTGATGTGATGTGTTCGGCGGGATTCACTATATCTGGACGTCATTGATGCTCTGACTTGCGTACATATTGGTTTCTAAAGATGTTGATTGCCCATTATGGCTTTTACTACACCTTTTCATATTAATTGTCAATAATGGGTACAATACTGTATTGTATTGGAATCGTTGATCTCCAATAATACAAATTAGTATGGCAAAATGCAATTATTTATTGGATCGCAATTATTAAAGTCACACCTCTATAAATGACACCCAGTTCGCTCGGTCTAATACGCTGTTTCAGTTAAAGAATTGATCAGATAACGAAATGGCTACACTTCTAATGGCTACATTTTCATTTGTTAGGTGCACAGTACAAGGGCTTTCTTTACCTGGTACCCCTCCAGCATTTTCGTACTCTTGTTTTGTTTCGTCTTCACACAGACAGAACTTAACCAATAACGGTAGGCGCGGTATTGTATGTTCCTACTCCTTCTTCTCATTGGTATTAGCATAATCGCATCCCCACAGGTTGTACGTGAGTTTCAATACAGTTAGGTTATGGGAATATTTGTTGTCCTGATATCCTGCCACCATGCCTGCAGTTTTATCTATCTACTGCATAGCCCCTAGTTGTCTCGACATTATAATATTTTAGTTTTTCGTAAAATATATATGTACGCTGCGCCGATTGTAAAAAACTGTGGCTAGCTGACTTATCAGTATTTACAAGCTTGCAGTTACTGCAAACTCTTTGTTCCAACTTAGCACCCCAAATACAATTTCTCTCTTTGCTCGATTTGTTGTGGCGGGAGTAGTGGTAGCAATGGCATACGTGGGAGGAGGCAGGCAAGTGATTGAGAAAAATATATGAGTTTGGATCTATTACTACGGCGTCCATTTAGACGGTTGAGGCGCCAACAATGGCGACCATTTAGAGAATAAAGAGGTTTTTGATCAGTTATAGAACACCTATAGTGAAATCCATATAATCCCGTTTGCAGTCGAGGAATCCTAACCAGATAGGGAACACATAGTCAGTTAGAGGGGTTCATTTAGGGAGGTGTCACTGTATTTCGGACCTCTGCCAACAAGTAGAGCGAAAGGTGGTGGTACAAGGACTTCTACCTCCGAACTGTGATCGCCTCGCTATCAAAATCGTTTTTGATGCGCCAGCTAAATTTCTCGCTAAAGTGAAACGAGATGTAGCAGGGATTTTGGAAAGCTCTAAACGACAGCGCTGGTAACGAGTTAAGCATGTATGAAGGCAATCTAATGCAAATACGATGCATCATGTTTGCATTACACTACCCTGAAATGCTCAGTTCCGAATTAAATGTTTCTCTTCCTCTCTTTTTTAGTGAGTGCTATTATTCTTATTATTATTATTTGGGGGGGGGGCTCACTTTGACAGGTTTCTAACATGTAAAAGGTTCATCAATTTAGAAACGCCAAAATCGAAGTTCTCCCTGAAAGGTACCATGGTGGAGAAACTCTGAGCCTGTGGGGCTTCCTCGCGCCTTGGTGCGCCCTCCTGAAGGGCCGCCTCCGATACCAAGACATGTGGTACGAGGAACACGGATGGGTCATCTCCAAGCACCGCCTGTACGTGGCGTTACCGGCGGAATACGACCCCGTTCTATTCACCAAAGTGCGGGAAGCTCTCGCGTTGTTGGCGGCAGTGGCTCGCGACGACTCGAGCGCCCTGGAGTTTGTACTGGAAAACTATTGCCAAGTTTTCAAGGAGAACTGAGAGACGTTCGAGTTGATCACTCGGAACTTTAGGGAGCTCGGCAATATCCCGGGGCACGACCTCGTTCAGCTTTGCGGCCCGGAACAACACGAAAATCCGAGCGACGACTTTGTTGCGGCGTTGCAACGTATTGCAGAGCAGGATAAAAGTGGGAAATCGGGGGAGCCAGGGGTGGAAATTGAAATTCCAGTTCGGATCGATTTGATTGTTGATGAATGGGGAAGCTCAAATGAATCAGCTTCCTGAGGTCGCAGCGGCCGAGAAGACGATCAAGGAACTGTGGGGGAGTTCTACAGTACACACCCGGAGGAGCGAGCTGTTCGATCTGGCGAGATGCGCTGTAAGTTTGTGTTGGAGCCGATGGTTGCATGCTTCTGCGATCCGCTCGAGTCGCAAATGGTCGATGTCCTGGAACGGGCTGTGGAGAACGTGCGGTATTCCCATCTCACGCTGTTTCGACGCTTCGACTCACAGCTTGCAGCGAGTGGTGGATGGAATGCTAGACACTTGTTGGGGAAGGTCATGAGGTGTGTGTGCGACTCGACGCGCCGAACTCTAGACCTCGCGAACACAAACTACCACTTGCGAGCTCATAACAATGCGGATCTGGACTCAAGTCATTACCAGTTTTGAAAACTCTCTGTGGGGTGGTACGACGGCGAGCTCGCGTTTTGGGAGTTCGAGGCTGTGTGTTCAGCGATGGTGCTGACACAAAGAACAAACTACTTGATGCTGAGGTTAGAGGTTATACCGAGCGAGCGAGACGCAAGCAGCCACTGGTGGAAGTGACTGGCTTATGCCTTCTTTTCACGTCGAGCTCGCTCTCGTTCAGCGATAACGCACCTTTCTTTTCACAGTATTGGTCGCTTAAGCACGGAGGACGCAGAGACGTTTGCTGCTGTGCTGGCGTCAAGTCACCCTGAGGAAGCGCTGCTCAACAGCCCTCGTGGCGTTGCTGATGAACGTGACGCGACTCTAAGACAACGGGCTCCAATGCAGTGGCAGTTTGATGCAGATGGACGAGCGATTCGTAGCCGTCGAGTTCTCTCCTCGAGCTACCCTATCAAGTACTGTACGTGCGGACTTTCAGTGACGACGGACATAGTGAGTGGGTTAATGTACTGAGTGAAGGGAGCACTCGTTGATCCTGCACGGGTTGCTCCTTGTAGTGGTGCCTCGCACCTGGTGTATTGCAGAATGAGTTAGGTTGGATGATGCTAGGATGTCTGTGCTAGGCTAATATGCATCGGTAGTTTCGTGTTGTGTAGCTGGAGGGGTCGTTGTGGTCGTCGCAGGCCGTTATCGTCGCCACTGCAATCATCGCAGGTGGCGCCAGCTCTTGCGATCTCCAACAGTCCTCCTCGACCAAGATGATCCGAGTCTACAGCTTCTCGTTGTGCGGGTTGATAAGCTTGATCATGGCCAGGTTGCGCCCGTGTAGGGTTGCGCCGAGGGGCTTCGTGAAAATGTCGGCCTTCATCTCAGTCGTAGGGCAATAGGTCACGCTGACCTCCTTCTTGCGAATGGCGTCGCGTATGAAGTGAAATTGTATGTTGATGTGCTTCATGCGTGCAGTCGTCACGTCGTTCTCCATGTTCTTGATCGCGCTCTGGTTGTCGATGTACAAGTCGATATTATCATCTTTGCCGTGCAGCTCAAGTTCATTCAGGAGCTGCTTCACCCACAAGCAGTCCTGCACTGCCGTCGCCCCAGCGATGTACTCAGCCTCGGTTATAGAGAGGGCGACCGTAGATTGTTTCTTGCTGTACCACGAAATGGGCATGGCGTTGATGGTGAGCAGTCCTCCTGAAGTCGACTTTGCGTCCTTGCCCCCGGCCCAATCTGCATCGCTGAAGATGGCTGCCTCAATAGTGTGTCGGGGTGCGTGCGGCCGGGGAAAGTGCAACCTCAACTCGCGCGAGCCGCGCAAGTAGCGCAGGATACGTTTGACTGCAGTCCAATGAGTCGACGTAGGCGTTGAGACGAAACGCGCCAGGAAGTTCACAGGCATCGTGATGTCTGGTCGAGTGCAGTTGCTAATCCATAGTAGTGACCCAATGGTCTCCCGCATGATGCTAGTGTCGTAGAAGGGCTCGCTGTCCTCTCCGTTCAGGTCCCGAGTTGACTCCATCGGCGTAGTCACGGGGCGGCTATTCTCCATGCCGCACTTCGCCAGCAAACCGTCAATATTGGCTGTCTGGTGGAGGTAGATGCCGCAGTCGCTCTGCTCAATGTTAATTCCCAAGCACTTCTTGGCTGGACCCATGTCCTTGATCTGAAATTGGTCGGCGAGCTTCTGCATCGTCCAGTCGGAATCGCCCTCACGCTGGCTGACGACCACCACATCATCGACGTAGAGGCCCAGTACAGTTAGCTTGCCTTCATGCCAACGAAAATACAAGCACGGGTCGAGTTGGCTCCTCCTGAAGCCAAGTTCCAGTAAGTAGCGGTGTATAGTGTTGTTCCACAACTTGCCGCTCTGTTTAAGGCCGTAGAGACTCTTTCGCAGCAGTAGGCATTTGCCCTTGGGTAATTGGAGTCTGACAGGGGCGCGCATGTAGATGGGTCGATCGAGGTCTGCTCGCAGGTATGCGTTAGGAACATCTCCTTGTCGAATGACGGCATGCCACTGAGATGCGGGCCACAATGAACCGCAGGCTCGCGATCTTGAGCACGGGCGCAAAGGTCTCTGCGAAGGCAATGCCAAACTTTTGAGTGAAGCCGCGCGCTACCAGCCGCGCTTTCAACCGTTCCAATTCGCCATTGTTGTCAAACTTGAGCTTGAACACCCATTTTGCACTTATCAGATTTCCATCAGTAGGAATGTCCACAATTTCCCAGGTAGCGTTCTTCGATATTGCTCGAAGCTCTTCTTCGATTGCCTGCCACCACTCCTGCCAATACGGGCTGTTCATTGCCTCCTCCACAGTTACTGGCTCCTTGATCCCGTCACGCTCTAGTAGTACCGCAAAGGCAGTACCCTCCTTGAGTACGATAGTGAGCAGGACAGATGCCGGAGTGGCGAACTCTTCGAGAAAAGATTGGGGCAGCCGAAAGTCATCGCGTGGTAGTGCTCGGGTACCTCGATTCAGGCCAAAGATGCGCTGGATGGCACGCGACGTAAGTTGATGCTGCTCTGCAGGGCTACCAGCCCGTGCTTCCTCACCATTAGCGTCATGTGGGGTGTTGGTTTCGTACTGTTGATCGCCAGCATCCTCCTCCTCGCCGCTATTGTCTGCGTCGATGGCGTCCATGTATCGCCCCACGGCTCGCGAGTCCAGACGGTCAACGTTCCGGATGTGTGTTGTAGAAATAACACGTTTGGTTCGCGGGATGAGAACACGGTACGCTTTCTTCTTGAAGTCGATGCCAATAACAACTCCTCTTTCAGCGCGCTTTTTCGCTGATCGCTTCGTTGCATGAGCGATGTGGCTCGTACACTTCGAGCCGAATTTGAGGATGTGCGAGACACTGGGTCGTTTTCCGGAGAGGGCCTCAATGGGAGACGCATGGTCGGCGTTCGCTCGAGTCGGCAGATAGTTGCGAATGTAGCTCGCATACAGAACAGCATCGCCCCAAAATCGCTGTGGCAATGCCGAGGCCCAGAGCATCGCTCGGGCGGAATCCATGACAGTCCGGTGAAAACGCTCTGCTTTTCCGTTTGATGATGACATGCCCGCCTCCGTTTCTTGGTGGAGAATACCCCGGTTGCGGAGGAAGCGGCCGAGTCTGGTGCTGCCAAATTCACCACCACCGTCTGAGCGAATCATCTTCACCTCGGTGTCGTATTGTCGCTCAAATTCGCTAACAAAGTCCACCAAATGCCCTTCCGCGTCGCTCTTTTTGCGGAGCAAGTAGACGCGATTGTAGTTCGTAGCGTGATCTACAATGGTCAAAAAGTGTTTGTGACCGAGCCGATCCGGGGTCATGTCCGTCTTCAGGTCAACGCACAAGGTAGCGCCCGGTTCGTCCGTTGGGGCAGATGTAGAAGTATCCTGCTTGTTCTTCGCGCGTCGAGCTTGTTTCGCTTCAGCGCAGTTCATGCAGAAATCCACCTTCCGATTAGAGGCAACCATGCCTTCAACGAGGTTTTTGTCAATCATGCGTACCAGATCCTGGTAGTTCACGTGCCCCAGGCGTTCATGCCACTGCTGAAGCGTAGAGGTCGTCATTGCAGCGAAGGAGGCCGCGCCTTGCTCGATTCCAACAGACCAAAGCCCAGTCGAGGCTGAATTACCCACTTCGGCAACAATCTTACCCGTCTTGTTCGTAATTGTACACTGCTCCTCACCAAACGTGCAGGTGTAGCCTCGAGCAGTGAGTTGAGCCACTGAAATCAGGTTGCGGTCAATACCTTTTGCGAAGTACACGTTTTCTAGCAGGACAGTACGAGGCACTCCTTCTGCCATCGTCGTGATGACAGTCTTTCCCTTCTCAGTAGCGGCGACAAGATCTCCATTCGCCACTCGCACCGACAGGAATGCTGGCTCTATCGCGAAAAGTTGGTCACGGTCGATGCAAAGGTGGTGAGTTGCTCCCGAATCCACTGTCCAAACATTTCCTCTCGTGGCAGAAGCGCCGCGCTCGGCACCGTCGGCAGCGACCCAGACATAGCCTTCATCATCAGAATCTCTGGATGTGTCGTCATCATCAGCAGCGGCTACGTTCGCACTTCCTCTGGTGGTTAGTTGTTTTGCCTGTTCCACGAGTGGACACGTGAAAATCTTGTGACCAGGCTTCCCGCACACATGGCAATGTATTTCACCACGATGACCAGCGGCGGCAAAGGCTTGGCCGTTATTTTGCTGCTGCGGACGTCGATCCGAGTTGACGTTGTTGTTTCGCTGGTTACGCCAATGCTGATCATCATTGTGGCGATTTCCGCTGCGGTGGCCATGTGAATTTGGGTTCCGGCGGTCAGAATGACGGTTTTTGCGTTTATCTCGCTTCGCACCACATCTGCGCCCGTCACCTTTCAGCTTGTATAGCAGTCGCTTCATGCGATCGGTTTCCGCAACGTAATCGCTTGCGTCGTCGGGCACTGAAGACAACAGCGTGGGCGCTAACTCGGGGCATGCATTGTTTCCGAACAACTCCATGACCATCTTGGTCTGATCTCGTGGATGAAATTCTCGAAGCCAGCTCCTAACCCAGGGTAAACCTCGTTTCCCTTGAAGTTCGAGCAGCGTACGTCCTTGATTTGAGGCTTGTTCGGTGATGGAGGTGCGGTTTCCATGCTAGTATCCGACATGGAGGGTGCACGGGGCGCTCGCGCCGCGAGCTGCTTCTTCAGTTCTGCCAGCTCGGACTGCAGTCGAAGGATGAGCTGGAGCTGGTCGTGCTGCTCCATTGTCTCTTGGTCCGAAGGGTCGAAGTGCAGGTCGTCTGGCAGTCCTAGGCGAGTATTCCTTCCGTCTTGGTGGTCTTCGTCAGCCTCGTTAGCACCTCGTGCCTCTGAGTATTCTTCAAGGTCTTCGTGGTCGCCTCGCGAGTCTTCGAAGTCTTCACTGGTCGCTGCAGAAGGCGAGCCAGTTGGGCTCATAACCTGAAGGGAGCACTCGTTGATCCTGCACAGGTTGCTCCTTGTAGTGGTGCCTCGCACCTGGTGTATTGCAGAATGAGTTAGGTTGGATGATGCTAGGATGTCTGTGCTAGGCTAATATGTATCGGTAGTTTCGTGTTGTGTAGCTGGAGGGGTCGTTGCGGTCGTCGCAGGCCGTTATCGTCGCCACTGCACTCATCGCAGGTGGCGCCAGCTCTTGCGATCTCCAACACTGAGTTCCCGGGTATGATCGGTGCCAAGTCAAGCGTAGCGACCAGGCATTCGATTGCGATACTGCGTCAAGGGCTGGAATTACTTCCCTTTCGATTCATTTTACCTTGGATACTGAGATAGCAGATGGGCTGCCGCTGTTATTGACCCCCATCGGTGCCTCACTGACATCATTGTCGCTCAGTGGACGAAGGGAGTTGGTCGGAGATGGCTTGTTTCTTGGCTGTTGCCCCAATCTTCTCGAGCTGTCCCTCCGCGGGAACGTTGTGGAAGCCCAGCTCGATTTTCGCGAGTATCGGAAGTTAAATGCCGAACTTCCTTGCAATTGGCATGATGTTGTATCGCTTTCAAAGGCATTGACGGACGCGGGCAGTCCGCTAGCGAAATGTCTGCACCGACTGCGTATTCGTTTGGAAAAACCCCGTTTTCGTCGCGTAAATCATCCTGTAGAACATGACTTGGATGCACTGCTGGAAATGCTCGAGGTCAACGTTTCTCTGGAGTATTTGGATGTGATCATCCCCACAACTCATCGGGGTTACATCACTAAATTTGCTCTGCACAACAAGAGACCGATCTGTAGGTCGCTTTTGTTTCCAATCAAGTCGAAGTTGGCGTTCCTAAGCGTGGTGGAACGTTCCAAGTCTCTGAGATCGACCAAGGAGAGGAAACGTGTTGTGCCAGCTTCTAGTTCGGCGCTGTCCAAGCTGGATCACCTGATCATATCCAATATCTTCGCATTGGCCGCTCGACCAGTCCTTAGACGAGTGATATGTCGCTTAGAACGCGAGTTTGGAGCCGCCCAGGAATTAAATGACGAGGAAGCAGATGCTTAAGGTCTTCCAAGCGAGTGTGACCGCGTGTTGAAGAACCCTCTGGTATAGTCAAAGGTCCAGAATTTGCAACTCACTCTATTTATTGGGCTCCTAATTGCCTCGAGTGCCCTCCTCATCAATGACACGAGGATTATCCGACAACTCTTCTTCGGGCTGATCCGACAACAGCAGTATATCTTCTTCCGTTCTCCATAGCCAAGCTGCCAAATCCAATATTTTAAGCAATAAGATGCGTGATCGTGAACACCATTATTCTCGATGTTCCGAAAGCTTTGTTACTCAGTGAAGTAAGTAGTTCATGAGTCATGTCAGGGTTTGCAAGGGGTAATCTGTGAAATGCGCAATATTTTCTTCACTTGCCGCAAGTGCAAGAAATGGGCCCGCTTAAAGTTCCTAGCACAACGTAAAATTACGATACTAGAAAGAAATAAGGGCTTCCATCGCTTATTATCCTCGCTGTCTCCGTTGTCATCGCTTAGTTTCACGATTTGCGTCGTTGAGATCACTTAAATCGATTTCATCACGTGGTGGCCATCTGAATACGACAGCACCTCTCTGCTGCTTCGCGATAGCGGTCTTGGGTGAACTCTAAGCTCGCGCACGGGACAGCACACTACTTGTCTGAGAGCTGGAGGGGCGGAAAACGCGAAGATATTCGATAGAGCCAGGGGATCCAGCTTGCTAAGTGCGCGATTCGAAGCCGACACATCACATTTTATCTCCTTGGAAGCCCTCGTAAACTTGCACCAGTCAACCACACTCAGGAACGCCAACTTCGTCACTAGCGGGAGTTCCAGCGCTCTACTGATCGGTTTCTTGTTATGGACTTCAAACTTACGGATGTAACTCCGATGGACTGTTGGGACGATCACCTCCAAATACTCCAAATGGTTGTTAACCGCAAGCATCTCCAATAGGGCGTCTAGGTCTGATTCATAATGTGCAGGATTATACCCTCGAGGGATAGTGCCTTCCAGATAGGGGCTTGCCAAACGGACGCGCAGTTTGTGTAGGCATTGCGCTAGCAGATTATCTGCGTCCATCAAGGCTGCTGAAAGTATCGCTACGTCTTGCCAATTGTAGACGATCGCTGGAAGCTCGCCGATTTCCTTACGGTACTGGCGGAAATCAAGCTTAGCCTCCACCACACTGCCGAGCAGGGACAAGTCGAGGTGATTTGGACAGCATCCAAGAAACAAGTCATCTCCGACCAGCTCCCTTCGTCCACGGATCGACAAGAATGTCAGTGACCTCCCAATGGCAGCCATCAATTGCGGCAAACCATCAGCAATCTCAGTATTCAACGTGAATCGAATCTGTCCCGAGTCGAAACGGCTCGGACCGTTCCAACTCTGCGTGGGCGACGATGAGTGCCTGAGGTCGTCCACCTGCTGTGGCCGCGGGCGAGAAGTAGTGGGCCGTGGGCCGGGTTGTCTCGAAGGTGGAGACCCGTGGGCCGCTACCCAGAGGTATCTTAGAGGGATGATGTGCCTCGCAGTGTCGTGGCGGGACTTCGGGGACGGATGGCATGTTGGGCGGCTTTGAGGGCCGTCAAGGTGAACGGATCAAGTCTTTGGGAGGGGTGAGCGGGAACGGAGTCACCCGAAGGCACTGAAACGCAAGGATCTGCAGAGGTAGAGAGGAAGAGTTAGGAGTAGAAGGAAGGTCAGTCGTGAATTTTGCTTAAAAGGACCACACAGGTCGTAAGTAACACTTATTGCATTTTGCTTAGTGATCTCCTTGCTATTTGTGCCCCATAAACCTATAAGCACAGGCAGCACTTACTACTCCAATACAGCGGCGGCCGGCCCCAAACCGGTCCGACAAAGCGACTCGCGACACGTGGTGGAGAAGCAGGGTAGTGTTGCCGACTGTGGAGTGAACAGTACTGAGAGCCTGTGCCCGGAAGTGAACAGAGTCAAGAGCCGAGCGTCTGGACCTGGTGACTGGACGTGTGACCCCCCTCCTCGTGTTTAAAGTGTGCCAGGGAAGGACCCAGGAGTCCGCACACGAGTACACGCCGCGCGGGAAAAGCGGCGTCGAGGAGCAGTGAGAGGAGCGATCCAGGCCGGTAGGACAAGGGAACGGTAACGTAGACACAAGAGCCAAGTGTGGACGGTCAAGAGCAAGAGGTTAAGTGAACAAGGAACGGTAGACTGAGAAGAGAAGATGCAAGGAGGACAAGGTGGAAGAGGCGGTAACGCTAAGGAAGTAGCACGCCGCCGGGCTGAACAAGAAGAAAGAGCGCGTGCAGAGCGCGCCGAGGCAGAGCGTGCCGCGCGGGCCGAAGCAGAGCGTGCCGCTCGAACAGAAGCAAGTGCTTTCACAAAGAGCTTGATTTGATGTTTGCCAGTGGAGAGACCCCCCTAGGCGCTCTAGATCAGCTGTCCAGGATGTATGAAGACGACAGCGAGACGAAGAAGCTGCTGCCGGAGATTGGACAAGTTCGCAATCGCAAAGCGGGTTGGAAAAAAGATCAAGTTAAAGGGAAGTGGAAGCAGCTTTCCTCGCACGATGAACTGTTTGAGTGGGCAGCGTCGAGACTATGTAGCAGTAAGGAAGAATTTGATGCTGTGGAAGAACGCGAGCTCGTCGTCCTTGATGTATTTCAGTCCAACGAGGCACAAGAGACCAAAGAGACTACGTACGGGATGGATCTCAGTTGCAAACGCCTTCTGCAGAACTTCAAGACTGCTGATGATGATGGAGATCCTGTTTCGCTCTCGTGTGATGGGACGTATCGCTTGACGGACGCTGGGTGGACTTTGATCAACATCGGCGTTGTGGGCGTCGTGTATGACGCTAAGGAGCGGCAGCACCATCAACGCTTTTATCCTGGTGTCTTTGGCTTTGTTCGCACGGTGTGCGAACCAGCGTATGAGGCTCTGTTCGATGCTGTGATGCGCTGCGTGAGAGAGTTTCTCGGGTTGGAGCTAAATTTTAGACCTCCCTTATACTGGCACCTGCCGGGATGTGTCGGATTAGCTATATTTCGGCACTTTTGTTTTGTTTATTTCGGCACAGTGCCAGTTTAAGGAAATAAAGTATGCAGTTTACTACAATTTCTGTAGCATATCGAACTGTTTAGCCTGGAAGATGCCTTCAAGGGCTAGAGAAGTCAACGAAGTGCGCCAGACGTTCAGTTCACACTTCAATACGGAAAAATCGGATTCGACGGACGCCGTATTCGCGAATACGGTTGCCAATCCGCAGCAGAACTGGCGGAGATGTGAAAATGTCTTTGGAGCAGCACCGTTTTGCACTGAATCCCAGGCGTCGTTGAAGCTGGTCTCATACAATTATTCCTCCAGGGCTGTGCGAACCATCTCATCAAACTGGTTGGCCTGACACAGCTCTCGATGCTCCCGTTCAGCGGCTTCAATTTTTGCCTCACTCCAAAACAAAGCCAATTGATCGCGGCGAGGATTCAAAATATCTTCTGCAAACTGGCGAGGAGGGACTGTGACAAGCTCAGCTGGCATTACTGGCGGAGCCGGAGATGCGGCAGCGTCATTGTTGCTGTCTCGCTCAGCTTGTACATGCTCCATACCTTCAATTAGATGCAGTACAAACTTGCCAAGCTGCCTCAGAATCGAATTTTTGTCGGCATCTGCAACTCTATTCATGTGATTCTTGACGAACGTCCCCTGGTCTTGAATAAACTCGAGCAAGTGTTGCTCTTTGAGCCAGTACTTCGTAGAAATCGTGTCATTAGCGCTAGATTGGAATTTAGAGCTAGGTACGCGTTCAACAGTTTCCGAAGGCGATCTACAAGGAGCTCAATCTCTGCCATTTGCTGCGAGAGCAGGACATCCTTCCCCTGTATCTTGACAAACGTGACGTTCATCACCACCGTTATCCCACAAACAACAGCTGCATTGACCCACCATGATGGCGCTGGTGCCGCAGACACGTTTTCATCAAGGTGTTCTTCGAGGCGAAAATGGTTTTTTAATATCCACGGCAATGCGTTTCCCATGTACAGCCACCGATTAGTTAGGTTTTTGGCGGCACCTCCCATTTCAGTAATCAGCGTTTTTTGGCGGCGAAGGTGAACAATTAAATCCTTTGTATTCTTCACAAAGTCTCCATTCCCAACAATGGCAAAACCGGCTTTCATGACCAGGTCCATCTGATGAGCAGCACACCACACTCTCAGCACCGAGTGGGTGGCCTCTTTCTCTAAAAGAGTGACCACCCACCATGACGGCCTGTCATAGTGTTCTCTCAATCCGATGAAATACCAACCAATTTCTGTCTCCGGTTAGCGAACAAAATATCGAGTACTCGAACAATCAGGTGAACTTGGACCACAGCAGTGTGGCGGTCAAACATAGGGACCGCGAGCAACTGTAGGTTGACTAGCACGCCGTTAACGGCAACACGAACACGCTGATCCATGAAAGAGCGATCGGTGTGGGTTGTGATGTCGCAAGCAAATGCAAACCCCCACATATTGGGGTCTGCGATGAGGTTGCTGATGCGTTGAAACGAATAGGCAACTAGAATACGAGCATAAGTGCCTGCCATAGCGTCGGTCATACCGTAAAGCTTCGAGTTCCCTGTGGCATTGTAGTGCTGCTGAATTACTGCTGCCGTCTGCCGAAACGACAACCCAACCGAGAGATGTTTGACCGAAAGAGTAAACCGCAGAGGCGTCTTAATTTCCACTGTGTAGACCCCATCCACTACCGAGCCGAAAGCACGAAGAGCGCTCGCAACAGTCATATCATCATCTTCATCTTCAGCATTGAAAAATACCTTTCCAATCAGCTCAGTCACAATCAACTCTGGAAAAGAAAACCGCAACACAGCACTCTCTGTGTCAAAATGAGCTACCACTTGGTTGCTTCGAGAAGTGAGATCAGCAAAAAATACAGCCTTCTCTGCGTCCCTGAGACCTGTGTATTCTCCCCACTTAGCTGAGTGCGCGGAAGAATTGTGCTCGATGTAGTTCTGGGGTCGGAAAGGAGCCTTGTAGTACTTGATATTTTGAGTACGCTTTCGTTTGCCCTTGGGTGCTTCCTCTCTACCAAAATATCGGCAAAACAGGCAGCGGACCGAGCAAGCCGCTCCCCCAGCGTCGCACGTTACGACCTCGAGTCCGTACTGCAGCTTGTGAGCGTCTTGGAACGGGGTTTTACGCGAGGGGGGGGGCTTCTTAGAGACGCTTGGCTTTAGCTTCTCCATCGTTCACTGCTTGAATTCTGCGATTTTGAACGGTCGCTTATTTCGGCACTCGAAAAAACTTCAAATAGGCACCTTGCCATATATAAACTTCAAGTGCCGGAATAAAGGAAGTCTGTGCTAAAGCCAGCCGTCGGCGCTGCAGACCATGCCGCTTTTATTACATCATCGTATAAGAAAGCGTGGCCGGGTATGGAGATCGTCACGTGCTGGTCTCATGTAACGGGGTTACATGGAATAGTGACCCTGTCACTATTCAGGAATGGCTACATCGGTCACTCCCCTGGATAGTGACCCATGTGGCCTCAGAGCCAACAGATACATTTTGTATGACACAAACTATAGGGAACTTAGGATTTGTATGAAGGCCAAATCTGTACCAACCTATAAATACATTCAGTCTTAGATCTACCGCTTTTCAAGTCAAGTCGTCCCCTTCAGACCAGGGACACGTGAACGGCTGTTCACTTGGAGTTTGTATACTCCTGCTTCCTCTGTTAAGAAGTGCTGTGTGCCCCGTCACACTTGGTAGCACTTGTAGTCAATCCTACGCCTACGCGGGTAGATTGGACTACCTGAATTCTTTGTGGTCGCATCGAGTGAGCCAAGATGGATCGGACGGAGTTTCCTCATCTGAGCGACTCGCAGTACGAGTCCGTTCGGAAGATGGCAGGCATCTTTGGGACAGATGCCCTGTGTAGCTTAGCGGCGGCGACGCCGGCTGAGCAGGTTGAGCGTATCAACGCATTCGACACCTACGAGCGAGGGCTCATCGCCCACGTTCAAGGGCTGCAGGCCACTGCGGCCGCGCCGAAGCCGGTGCAACCGAAGCTCCTGCGGCTGAAGGTTCACCCCTTCGAAGGGAAGGAAGGAGAAAACCTTCACTTCTGGGTTCGAGAGGTTGAGCTCGCGATGGACGCGGCTCTCGTCTCGGACGAGCGACTCCGTGTCGCCTTTGCGCTCTCCAACCTTAGTGGTCGCGCTAAGAGTTGGGCGTATACGCGCGAAGCGACGACGCCTGGATGCTTCGCATCATGGTCCCAGCTGTGCGAGCAGCTGCGGGCCGCGTTTCTTCCGGCGAACTACGAGTACCGCCAGCGTTCGCGCTTCCTCGCCTGCAAACAAGGAAGGTGCGAGCTGCATGAGTACATCCAGGAGATGCGAGTGCTCACTGCCTCTTTGGTGGGGAACCCCCTGCCTGAGCACATCAAGGTGACCGTGTTCATGGACGGTCTGCGTGTCGGTCCTGCCCGCACGCAACTGTTCCGTGTGCAAGCAAACACTATGGAGGAGGCGATTCAGATCGCTCTCCAGGAGGAGTACAGCCACAAGCAGGCTCATACCCCCGCCACGGTATGGCAGAGCAACCCTGCCTCTGGCGGTGCGCCTAATGGTAACTCCGGCAATGGAGCGATCAACGGGCCGGTTCCCATGGATCTGGGCATGGCCGAGCAGAGCGACATTCGCTGCTACGGCTGTGTCAAGCTTGGGCACATGAAACGTGCTTGTCCCGCGGGAGGACTGAAAAAGAAGTTCTCTTCGAAGCCCTTTGGCTCTAGGGGTCGCTGGCAGAAGCCGCGCCCCAGGAACCAGGGGAACGCCGGACACCGGTAGGGGCGGGGCGCCCTACTGGGGAAACACTAAGTCTTCATGAGGGGTGTGCGGGTGGCGCACGCCATGGGGACTTAGCCCCTGAGAGTCTCTGTACTCTCGAAGCGGAGAAGGGCAGCGGTGGGCTGCTTGTGGTGCACGCGAGTGTACCGGGATACGATCATCCCTTGAGAATCTTGATCGACTCTGGGGCGTCCAAGAACTTCGCGCGCCGCCAGACTGTCGCACGCAATCGCGACAAGTACGCCGATGCGCTACGAGGCAGCAAAGGCAACGGGCTGGTCTCGGTAAGACTGGCCGACGGTACGGTGGTAGAAGTACCTCGGGTCCACATGGACCTCACTGTCAAGTTCGAGGACTTCGACAGCACGGAGCCGTTCTTGGTCCTAGACATGGACAAGTACGACTTGATCCTTGGCATGCCGTGGCTGGAGAAACACGAGCCTTGGATCGACTGGCGCGGCAAGGCCATCGGGGCCAGCCGTCCCTCACGCTCTGACAGAGCTTTGGTGAGTCATGTTCCCACCTCTGGCAGCAGCTGGGGCGCCCGCGACGGCCGCCAGGGCGCAGCAGCGTCTAATGAGTTCTTGGGTCCGTCGAGACTTACGACGACTCCGACCGGGCCGGACAAGGCCTGAGAGTGGAGGTGCCGGACAGAACCTACCAGGTGGGTAACGTAGGTCCACACGCGGGTAGCGAAGTACCGCAGGCAGCAAGGGCTGCTGGAGAAGGCGCCGCTGGCGTTGGCGTGGGTAACCAAGTTCCACGCGAGGTCACTCAGACCGTAACTGATGAGGAAGGCACTGCAGGTGCTTCCGATGTGGGTAACATAGTTCCACAGGAGGTCACTCAGACCATAACTGATGCGGGAGTCGCTGGAAGCGCTCCTGATGTGGGTAACCAAGTTCCACACGGCGAGGTGGGTAACATAGTTCCACCCAGCAAGGCGGGTAACCAAGTTCCGCTCAAGAACAAGGCGGGTAACGTAGTTCCGCACGAGATCGAGAAGATCGGTGGTGCCGTCAAGGCGGCGCCACACCCGAGGGTCACGTCGTAAGCCGGGCCTAGTCGTGTGGCCGACGACGCCAGTCGCCAGCGACTCCGAGCCTCCAGCCAAGGCTCCAGCCGCCGAAGAGTGTTATCACATCTTCGACGGCGTGACCGGTCGTCGGGTCAAGACAGGAGCTGTCGAGCTTACAGCTCTGCCCGAGGTTTCAGAGTTGCGGAACCTTGAGGAGCTCGCCATGGAGGACTTCTTGGCCGAGCTAAAGGCCGGGGAGATCGCAGAGTTGGTTCTCCTCCGACCGGAGTCCACGTCGGCCGAGTTGAACTCGTCCTCGGTCATGGACCAGGAAGTCCTGGAGGAGTTCCAGAGACAGCGCGCGTCGCGCATGGGCTCTGAGATTCTTAAGAACCCCCGGGACCCGGTGTACCCCTTGGTGAAGGAGTTCGAGGACGTGGTGTCCAAGGATCCACCGTCCAATCTCCCTCCGGACAGGGGAATCAGGCACGAGATCGATCTCGTGCCGGGCACGAAGTACTGTGTCACGAGGCAATGGCCTCTTCCCCGGGAGCAGTGTGAAGTCATTGATGCCTTCTTTGCCGCCAAGGCGAAGGCAGGCATGGTGCGGGAGTCGAAGTCCCCGCACTCGACGCCTACCTTCTGTGTTCGCAAACCGAACGGAAAGTGGCGTCTGGTTCATGCTTATAACAAGCTGAACAGCGCGACAGTGCCTGCGCAGACACCGATCCCGCGCAAGACGTGTTGCTCAACAACATGGCCGGCTGCACGCTGTATAGCGCGCTGGACCTGGTGGACGGATACTACCAGATCCTGATGCGCGAGAGCGACATCCCACTCACGGCTGTGAGCACGCCGAGCGGTATGCTCTGGGAGTGGCTGGTCATGCCTCAGGGGCTTTCTAACGCCCCGGCAACGTTCAATCGCTTGGTCACACAACTGTTCCGACCTTTGCGTGCGTTCACACAGACCTACTTTGACGACATCTTCGTCCACAGCCGTGCCGAGGCAGGCCAGACGGCCATGATGGTGCATCTCCAGCACCTTCGACGTGTGTTCGAAGTCATGCGGGCGAACAAGCTGTACGCCAACATCGACAAGTGTGTGTTCGCAGCTGAGGAGATCAAGGTCCTGGGCTGCTTCGTCAGCAGCGCCGGGGTCCGGGCGGACCCGGAGAAGGTGAAAACCATCGCGGCTTGGCCGCCACCTGGGCCTCGCGCAACCACTTGCGCAAGTATAGTGCAGGCTACGCCGAGCTGGCACGGCCCTTGTCGGATCTCCTGAAGAAGGATGTAGACTGGCGCTGGGAGCGTCGCCATCAAGATTCTTTTGACGACATCAAAGCGAGCTTACAGCGCGCGCCAGTCCTGGCATTGCCGGACGAGACGAAGCCTTTCAGCGTAGTCTGTGATGCGTCTGACTACGCAATTGGCTGTGCGCTATTGCAGGCCGACGATGAAGACCGCGAACGGGTCATCTCGTTCCAGTCCAGGCAGCTCAAGGCAGCCGAACGGAACTATCCAGTCCACGACAAGGAGCTACTTGCCATGAAGTACGCTCTTGTCAAGTTCCGAGTGCACCTCCTGGGCTCGACGCCCTTTGTCGTTTATACAGACCACGCGTCCTTGCGGACTGCCGTCAACACGCCGCATCTCTCACAGCAGATGGCGCGTTGGCTGTCTTTCGTCGCGGAATACAACTTCCGTGTCGAGTACAAGCCGGGCAAGTTGAACGTGCTTGCCGACGCGCTGTCGCGCCGACCCGACTACGAGCTTGCTCATATTAGTCGGGTCACGACGGATCTGTATGATCGCATCAGGCTGGGGTACCGAGACGATGCCAGTCTCGGACCTCTTGTGCGGTACTTGGCCGCTGGCTCGGAAGCCAAGGCCGAGTGGCTCACGCCCCGACAACGTGCAAGGCTGCACCGCTATGAGTGGGCTGACGGTTTGCTCCACTATAGGGTCGAGCCAGAGGATCCTCCCCGTATTGTCGTGCCCAACGACGAGGATCTCAAGTACGACATCCTGATGGAGGCGCACGACGCTCCATCCAGTGGCCATCTCGGCCGTGAGAAGACGTACGCGTCTGTCTCGCAGATGTTTTGGTGGCGTCACATGTACAAGTGGGTCGCCACCTACGTCCGTACGTGCGAGACGTGCCAGCGGGTGAAGCCTGCCGGTCACGCCTCGGCACCATTGCAGAGCCTGCAGGTCCCAGCGGACTGCTGGAAGTCGATGAGTCTCGACTTTGTCTTCGGACTTCCGGCCGATGAGCGTGGCAACACTGGTGTTGTTGCCTTCGTGTGCCGTCTGAGCAAGATGGTCCACTTTGCTCCAGTTCGTGACACCGTCACTGGCGACGATATCGCTCGCCTGTTCATGGACTGTGTCTTCCGACACCACGGTCTGCCCGAGACCATTATCTCTGATCGAGACCCGCGGTTCACCGCTACGTTCTGGCAGACGCTGTTTCGCCTTCTCGGCACACGACTGTCGATGTCGACGGCGGACCACCCGCAGACGGATGGCCAGACAGAGCGCGTCAATCGCGTGCTCGGGGACACGCTCCGCAGTATCTGCGCGGAGATGCCCCGCTCTTGGGCTGATCGCTTGCCCATGGTTGAGTTCGCACTCAACAATGCGGTACATGCATCGACGGGCTTTACGCCCTTTTACCTGAACGGGTTGCGCAACCCTCAGGTGCCGCTCACATTACGAGGCAGTACCGGGGCTTCGGTCCTAAGTGGGGGAGAGGCTCGGAAAACCTTTTCCTCCCAAGTCTCGGACGTGAGTCCAGCCGCCTTGCGGAAGCAACTGTCCTCGTTTGCCGAAGACAGGCTGAACATAATCAGCAGGGTGCGAGACACCATGGCGCAAGCCCAAGATAAACAGAAGGAGTACTCTGACCGAAATGGAAGAGGAAACATGAACGTGTTTAAGGTTGGGGATTTATTTCTCCTAGATACTAGAAACCTACCGCTAAACACTGTTAGCTCGGTCGAGAGCAACAAGCTGAAGCACCGCTTCATTGGACCCTTCACGGTCCTCAGCCGGCATGGCGCGGCGTACACTATAGACTTGCCCAAGTCGATGACGACTCACCCGACGTTTTACGTGGGTCGTCTTAAGAGGTACCATGACCCTCTGGCTCTGGCTGCCCCGCAGGAAGCGGTGGGTGGCCCGGTGGAGAAGAGTGGTGCTCCTCGAAGCGCGGCGTCGGGTCGCGGTAAGGCGCCTGATACGCGCGCTGGTCGTAAGACGGCGCGGCGTACATCGGAGCAGAATACGCAGGGGCCCCGTACGAGCCCTGGCCAAACTGGGCCTGATACGAGTGGGGCTGCTGCTGCTCCGGATACGGCACGTGGCCATGAAGCTCGGCCCGAAGGCCAGCGAGCTGGTTTCGCAGCGAGTCGTAAGACGACAGGTCGGCTCGACGATCCACACGGCCATGGAGACTGCGAGTTTCTTGATAGAGCGAGGCAACATCCTCACGGAGCTGCTCCACGGCACCAGGCTGACCAGCACGAGCGGCAGCCTCACCACCAAGGCCGACGCCAAGCGCGATCTCGAGGACGTACACACGGTCCCGGAGAAGACAAATCTCCTCTTGCTGCAGGGCCACCACCTGACTCGGGGCCCCAGCATACAGCTGCGCCGCCTCAGGCTCGTAGCCATGGCCGTGCGAGGCCACCGCCGGCCCTCCTTGATCGTAATGGGCAGATCCACTACCACGTGGAACGAGTCGTCCGGGAGCGGCGGCTCCATGGCAAGCGCCAGCTGCTCGTGAAGTGGAGGGGTTACCCTGAGTCGGATAACTCGTGGGAGCCCGTTGAGCAGCTCCAGGTAGACTGCCCGAAGGCTGTTGCGATATGGGACGAGAAGCAGCGGCAGCTTCGTAAGTAGTCCTTGGCTTCTTGGCCGATACCCGGGGCACGGTAGCAGACGTAGTCGCACCGCGCCCACGCTCTTCACGAGCTTTGGCTCTCGCCTCTTGCTTCAGCTCGTCCATCTTCGAGTGGAGCATGCGCTTGCTCACGAGTAGAGCGAACTCGATGCGGAGCTCGCGCAAGTCCAGGATAGCGGACAGAGTGCGATCCTCACGGAGTTCTTTGAACTCTTGGTCGGAATACCCTTTGCGCTAGATGTAGCGCCAGAAGCGGTCTTCCACCTCGTTCCAGGTCATGTTCTCATTCGGCTTGAACCAGTGGTAACCCCACACAGGATGGAGTCCACCCTTGTCCTCCGGCTTCTTGCGAAGCGTGGTGAACTCCTTCAGTGTGAGCTTGTGTGGTGCTAGTAGCACACACCGGGCGACTTCAACGTCGCCAAGAAAGAGTGGCTCTTTCTCAACGAGAGCACGCTCATAGGAACCCCTCGAGGTGTACCCGCCGATAAGGCCAAGAGGAGCCGAGAGCTTCTCCAGCAGCGCTGGCGCACAGGCTCGGGCGGGAAGTAGCCCTGCGGATACGTGTCGCTCCCGCCTGACGAAGACTCGACAGCAGTCGCGGCAGCCGACTGCCTGGCGTGTGCCCCCGAACGAGCAGCGTGGTATTGCTCCTGCTGCTCGTCGAGGTCGTTGGAGAGCTCCTTGGGCTCATGGACGGCACCCTCCTCGTCCTCAGAGTCCGAGTCGCTGAACAGCTTGGAGCTGGAGCCGCGAGGCGACCTGGAAACGGGACGCTTCTTCGCCCTGGCCTCTTCGGTCTTCGCAGCGGCAGCCGCCTTCGACGCTTGGGCACGCTCACGACCTTGTGCCAGCGTCAGATGCTTGGGTGGCGACACCGCCTTGGGCTCGGAGCCCGCGTCGCTTGACGACTTCTCGGCCATGTCCTCCGTGTCGGCCATGACGACGTCGTCTTCTTCCGCCTGCTTGCTGTCACCGACGCCGGCGCTGGACTCGACGTCCTCAGCCTCCTTCTCGGACGGAGCCTTCGGGAAGGGCGGAGAGCTGGGCGCGCTGCTCGCCGCCAGTGCTTCGTCTTTGGCAGCGTTGTCGCTGCCCTCGGGTGAGCTCTCACCGGAATGCACAACCAGCGTGCAGTTCTCGATGTTGGCCGACCAGTCGAAGGCCGGCTTGGCCTGCTCCGACTGGGGCCGAGAGCTCCCCTCACCACTTGGCGTGGCCTCGGGAGTCTTGCTCCGACTCCGAGACCGGCACCCGCCCTCCGGCGTGCTGCTACGGGAGCGCACCGCCTCCTAGGCCGCCTTCGTGGCCTCCATCAGCGCGGACGACTCGTCCTTGGCCTTGGCCGCCCTGGTCTTCGGCCCTACAGCCCGCGGTTTCGGAGGTGCTTTCGCACTGCGCGCACTGCGCTTTGGAGGCATGCTTCCGGTCGACGTGGAGACCCTGCGGCTGGCTCGGCGATGCGCCAGTTGCTCTGTGAGGCCCGGGAGCCGAGGCGCCAGAGCTCGCGCCGTTGTCGATGGATTTCGACTTTGCGAGTGAAATGTGAGTCGCCGGCGTAACGTCGCTCTGATTGGTCGATAAGATCGAATCTAAGTGGGGGAGGATGTAACGGGGTTACATGGAATAGTGACCCTGTCACTATTCAGGAATGGCTACATCGGTCACTCCCCTGGATAGTGACCCATGTGGCCTCAGAGCCAACAGATACATTTTGTATGACACAAACTATAGGGAACTTAGGATTTGTATGCAGGCCAAATCTGTACCAACCTATAAATACATTCAGTCTTAGATCTACCGCTTTTCAAGTCAAGTCGTCCCCTTCAGACCAGGGACACGTGAACGGCTGTTCACTTGGAGTTTGTATACTCCTGCTTCCTCTGTTAAGAAGTGATGTGTGCCCCGTCACACCTCATGTCAGTCGCCAATGCCTCTCTGCAGACAAGAAGAAGTATGTCGTGACGAAGAAGTTCCTGTTGAAGACAGTGAAAGCAGATATCAACAAGATGCACAAAAGCACCACGCGCAAGCACTTCACCGCTCTTTCAAGAGCGTTGGTCCAACAATGGCGAGCCAAAGGAGAAAACAAGTATGCCGATTGGTTTACAGAGACCTACCTAAAGGCTCCTTTCGATTCTTGGTTTGTGGGGGCCTCGAAGCAGCCTGGATCATTGGCGCAGCAGCAAGGTGTTAAGTCCTACCACAAAAGTATCAAGGCCCACATGGGCATATTTCTTCGTGCAGCGATGGTGTACTTTTTGGAGTTTTCGATGGTGCAAATCCTGCACTTCAGCTGTGCGCATCGAGCTCCCACGAGCATTCGGTCTTTCGCCGAAGCGCCGCTGCTCCATAACCAGTTGAGGAAGGCGCAACTGATTGCTACGGACCCGACAAAGTTTTTTACCAACAGCACACAACGCCAACAAACCTTCTACATAAATCGGAAGGTGAACTTTGATCAGCCAGTAACCGATACATTGGCGAAGAGATATGGATGTTGTTATACGTGTTATTACTGGCACATTCTATTTCATGAAACGGACTCAAACGTGATTGTAGCTATGACAAAGCACAGGACCACTCACTCTATCGTGTTCGAGCGAACAAAAAAGTTATGTTTGCCAAGTTAGAAGCTTTTCCTGTGGTAAGGACCGGCATGATTGAGCAGTTCTGGCGGAAGTACACCTGTGATTGTAAATCCTACATCGCGTCGGGCTGGGTTTGCTCGGATGTACTAGCGGCTGCGGCTATAAACAAGCACATAAACCTGGACGAGATCCGTGCAGGAATCCCGCATCGTCGTCGCCCCGGTCGCCCCAGAGAAGAGCTGAGCTGTCTGATTCGCGATAATGTTGGCGCTACCGACGATGACAACGCAGTTGTATCGGGGCCAGCAGGCCGCTTGAAACGTCAGCTGACAAAGTACCCAACCGAAGCGATCGGATACAAAGCGTTACATCGTTTCGCGACGTCGGAAGCCGACGCCCCAGAGCAGTCGCAGCTCAGCTACTTTTGCGGCATGGTTACCTCTGTCCAGGCTGAAGAGGACCCAATCACATGGAATATCAGCTTCTCAGATGGCAACACACATGACGTCACCATTGACGAGATCGTGGCTGATCTAACAATGGCTACGAGTCGCCTGATCTGATGGTACGTTAACCGTTCTTTTCAATCTCTGAAGTCTATATTAACAAACTGTGTTGGTTTTGTAAGACAGATGATTTGAAAAAGCGGTGGTAAGAGGTTTTGATGAGTTGATGAACAACGTGTTCCTGTTTCGCGTTCGCTAACTAACTGCCTTTTGTAAATATGTAGATCGTTAAGTGTGAAGGTGTTTCGCGACCGGCGGCAATCGCTCTAACTCGCAGCGCATGCGTCACAGCCGTTACCAAGGACACCCAGTATATCACAGCAAGTTTTGCGTTTGAATATGTCCCACCGTGCCAGAAAAGGTTCATTCATCAGGAGATAAGCAAGAAATATAGGTTTACGGTGGTCTTAAGTGTTGTCTTGGTTTGATTTCACTTTCAGCATCCGATTTCGTGCAGGTTCAATCAGTGTCCCCTGTTGCCAACATCTAATGCAAAAGTGACTGACTGAAAATGTATTCGGTCTTGGTTTGGTTTCACTTTCAGCATCCGATTTCATGCAGGTTCAATCAGTGTCCCCTGTTGCCAATATCTAATGCAAAAGTGACTGACTGAAAATGTATTCGGGCACATGTTGTAAGTTGTGGATCGGTCACTTTTGCCAGTTGAAATGGTCAGTCTCACCACTCGAAACTCACACTATGAAAAAGTAACCAAAGCCGAATTCAATGTGCTAGCCAGCTTTAAAATTGACTCGGTTACTTTTGCATATTCAATCGGCTACTTTTGTCACCAATACTTCAAGCAAAAGTAGCGGACTGAAAATGCTTCTGAGTGTCTTGATACATTTTAAGTCGGTCACTTTTGAATGGTTACACTGGTCACTAGTAACCAGTGTAACCATTCAAAAGTATCCGATCGAACATATAGTTTTGGAAGTGACCGATTCTAAATTCAAAAGTAACCGATTCTAAATTTCCACCCGACCATAAAGGAACGAGCTCCGATGCAATGGATATTCAATGAAGCAGGACAACCGCTTCGTAACCACCAGCCGTTGATATGCGTTTCCCCGATCGAGCACGTTCGAACATTCAGTGACGATGGCGAGAGCGAGTGGGTCAATGTACTGGTTCCCGGCTACGGTCGCTGCCGGGTGCAACTTTTCGATTTAGTTTTCGATTGCGATAGCTCCCGCGATACTTTATCATCGGAAATCACGTCACTTCCGATTCAATTCTCGTTCGAACCTGCGATCGGAGATGGTCTACCCCAGTTGATGGCAGTCATTGGAAGCCCATTGACGTCACTGTCGCTGCGCGGGCGTCGAGATGTGCTTGGCGATGCCTTGTTTCTGTGATGCTGTCCCAACCTCCTCGAGCTGTCACTCCAAGGAAGCGTGGTGGAAGCCCAGCTTGATTTTCGCGAGTATCGTAAGCACAACAACGAACTTCCGTCGATCATCTGCAATTGGCATAACGTTGTGCCGCTTTCAGCAGCTCTGATGGTCACAGATAGCCCACTAGTGAAGTGTATGCATCGGCTGCGCATCCGTTTGGCATACCGCTACCATGTTCGTACTCTTCCTCAGGGCTATGATCCAGCAAATTATAGATCTGACCTGGAGTCAACCGTTCTCTCGAGTATGTGGAGGTGGTCGTCCCGACAATGCATGAAGCTTACATTACGAAGTTCGCGAAGCACCAGAACAAACAGATCGAACGAGCGCGTCAACTCCCACTAGAGACGAAGTTGGCGTTCCTTAGCGTTCTTGACTGCTGCAAGTCCCTGAGGCCTACCAAGGAAAGGAAGCGTGGAGATGCACCGGCCTCTACATCCGCGATGTGCAAGCTAGACCTCCTGATGCTTTCCAATATCTTAGCGTTTACTGCTCCACCAGTGTTCAGACGAGTGATATGTCGCTCAGTCAGCGAATTTGGAGTGGGCGATGCGGCCGGGGCTGGAGGTGATCATGACAGTGATGAAGAGGAGAACAATTTAGAGGAAGAGCAAAGCGATGAAGGCGAGCAAAGTGGTGAAAGCGAAGAAGAAACCCAGGATGACAAAAGTGACGAAGAAGAGCAAGATCATGAAAGCGACGCGGGGTATCTTAATTTTTAAGTCTCAGCAGGTGCTATCGGTGGATTTGTCATGTAGTTCAAAAGGCTACGAATGTACGCCTATGTTGACTTTATGAGCTCGAATACGTGAACCACCCTCTCAGCATAGTTCGGTAGTGCATGGGGGAATAGTGTTTGTCGTGTAGTACTGCAATTGCAATCGCTGCCACCACAATGATTCCTTGGTGAAACAAAATTATCGAGACCCTGGGTCAATTGCCCGAAAAAGTATCTTCTCTATTCGGCTTTCCGATTGGGCTGTCCATAATTCGTAGCCTAAGCAACATCAGAAACGTGAACCGATCGAACGCTAGACAGCTTACGCTTCCAGCCCTTAGTGTATTGCATATCAAATTAAACACATGAACGCTAACTCCTCACGTTCATCGCGACGGCAGTAAGGTTACCAACCCTGGCTCCCACAACGAGAATCCGCCGTGTTAAGACGCCAATTCGACGTCAATTTCGTCGTGGATACCTATAATGTGGGCTATTTTGTAAGACTTCTCGAATGAAACATACCAGCCGCCATGGTTCACTTGTGGAGCAGTTTTGCAGCAAAAGTCTACCACCACATGCTTGGTATCAGCGGTACCTATTCCTTGCCCCCTCCTGCCAACTCTCGGTGGTTGGCAGAAGTCGTCATCCTCCCCCACGAGCAGCTTCCAGTACACAACACGTTTCATATCGCACATCACCAGACCCACGTATTGCTTGTCGTGCATACTACCCCATTCCGGACTGACATCGACCTTTTCCTTCGGCGTACACGAGATCACAGCTCGAAATAGCTCCATCAGGGTTCGACGGTCTCGAGTAACACTAGTGTGGATTTCCGACGCGATCGACTGAAGCTTTGATGTGCTCATGAGCCTTACACATCCTCGAACAAAGTCGATATGCGTAATATCTGCAACTAGCCGCGGTCCTGGGCTAGCTTGGCTCGAATACAACCAGATCTTGAGGTGAAGCTTAGATAGCGAGCAAAGCTGCGGAGAGCTTGATAAAGCTCAGAAGTATCACAAATTGAAGGCGATGACCCCACCATAACGCCAGAAGCGACGTCGTCCAGCACTCTTTTCACTGTCTCGCCCGATAGTTTCTCCGTTTTGATCATATTATCAACGGCTTCGACGGTCGGTATTTCACGGCACGTACGGCAGATGTACTCAATCAGCTTCTTCGACTGGAGAGCTCGAAGTACGTCTTCTTCTTCGGAAATCTCCTCATCACGCAAAAACCTCAACATCGCGTGAGCAATTCCAGCATGACCGGAGCCCAGCTGCAAGATGAAGTCGCACACACCTTTACCGAGGCTGCAGCTACATGCCATGTCCTCCAGTTCTGCAAGTGAAAGTCTCAGGCCGGGCTTCGATAGTGAAGAGTTCAATGTGATACACCCTTCACGTGGAATCTTTAGCGGGCTTCTCCATTTACGACTCCAGGAAACGACCTCTTCACATCCATACGAGCAGAACATGACGAAGCGTGTCCGATACCGCTGCCGTAACGCATATTTGACGATTCCAATCCAAAAATCACGGTCTTCATACGTAATTTGGGCTTCATCAATTAGCATCACTGTCTCGGAGCCGTTCTCACAGAACTGTTCCAGGTCGCGCTTGTACAACCGGCTGAAGTACTTGGAGATTGTCTCCCCCAGCTTCATTCTGTCCGCTTGGAGGAAAGCAACTCGTACCTTGGGTATATAGTTGTTCATCAGATGGAGCATGGCCGTCTTGCCAGACATCGGTGGCGCGCTGACGAGGAGCAGCGGCAGGTAGCTCGTCTCTTCAGCAGGAAAGAGAAGGTAGTACAAGCGCTTGACGGTGTCCGCTCGATAACTTCTGCAGTCGGAAGGAACTCCATCCCTACTTCCGCAAGAATACTCGATCATGGCACCAACTCTCCTGAGTTCATTGTCCTCATTTAGCGCCACGCTGAACCGCTCTTTCGCCACCTCCACGACGAGAGGAGATTCCATCGATTCGCCATAGTCCCCGATGTCTTCATCTCCCCGAAACGGGTCCTTCTTGGCAAGATACGCCTCTCGATTCTCGTAAACCATAAGAAGAACTGACGGCACTTGGGCCAAGTGGTTTTTACCCTCTGGTTGCTCGTGGTTGTACATTCCTTGGACAGCTTGGCTTACTTCGGCGATGCACTCGGCATCCTCGGGTAAAGTCACCAGCTGCGTACTCATATCTGTGAACGCGCGGCAAGTCCTCTCATCGACCAGTTGGACCCAGACCTCCCGCTTCTTGCGCGGGCGTGGCTCGTCCGGCCTCGACATTCTCTTCTTGGGGAAGAACGGAGAAAAGGTTGTCTGGCGTTTTTGAGGTGGTCAAAAAAAGTCAGGTAATGGCCATCTCATGCATGCACTGGTTGAGGAAGCGACGAAGTGCTTATAGCCCAGCCCAAGCAGGATTATTTCGGGATGTTGCCCCCCCCCCACGTAATCGGTTCGTGTAATGATTGATGTTAACAACGTTCTAGATTAATGAAAGTCTATGGCCATCAAGCTTTCATGTACGGCTCGCCTAGGCCCGTGATGGAGGCTGGCTGACTTTTGAAAGATTAAATTTCATTTGAGTAGTAGCCGGGCGGATGCTGCGGCTGCGAAGCAGGCGCAGGAGATGCCCATGGCTCGTACGTTGCCTTATCGACTTCGAAGTAGGTACCTTAATCAAATGTTGATGATGTCGTCCTTTACCTTCTCATGTAATATCGAACGAGCATTATTGTGCTGGAGGTCTGCGTACTGCATGATCAGCGAAAGCGCGAGGCCAAGTTGAGTAAATTCGTTTTTTTCAGGTTGCGCTTCCTCCAATACTCACAAAATCGTCCCTAATGCTGTTTTGAGGTGAGATTTCCTTGCATTCTTTCGCTCGAATAACCTGAGTAAGCGCACCCGATAAAATGACTTTAATTCGCAGTTCGAAGAACTGTGTTAGGCGGCCCAGGCGAGTTTGTCATCGAACGACATTCTAGCAGCAGTAACGTGTAAAACACCGCATCTGCTGCAGAATACAAGAGCTTTCACGATATAGTAGCCGCGAAATCTAATAACTGCATTGTCTCTCAAGCCATCGAGGCTCTGATGACGTATTGATGAAGTTGTCCGACTTCCGAGGCGCAGTACAGTATCTTGGGATGTTATCCACCACGTTAGCCGATATGACACTGGAGCCATTTGTTTCATTTGGTTGATATCGTCATTTCCGCTAAAATACGATGCTTTAGTCTTCCTCACTTCTCAAACTGCGGGAAAATGGTGGTGATCTATTGTGTGATGGTTGGAGGGACCGGAAACACGTTCGTGGTGCAGGTGGACGAGACCGCTAGAGTGAGAGACTTGCAGCGCGCGATCAAGGCAGCGAAGCCAGTGGGGATCACGTGCGATGCCAACCAGCTGCAGCTTTTCCTGGCGAAGAGAAAAGGACTCGAAGAGGACGAACAGAAGTGCAGCGATGAGGCACAATGGCTGACGCAACGTGAAGTGGTGGGAGGAACAGTAGTGAGGGACACTAGCGACTTTGATCGCCTGTGGTACTCGGACGTCCAGTTACAAGTTGCCGGACTGGGTAGCGGAGATTTCGGCGAAGTGAATCAAGCGGACATAATTGTTGGACTTGGCCACGTTCACGTGCTGGTGGTGGCTCCGGGGTCTAGTGAACTGGAAGTTACCGCAAATTTGCCCCGACTCGGCGTGCCGTTTGCCACGAGAGACCTGAACTTCTTGCTCACCCACGACGCTGCAAAGTATCATTTCTTAATGTCAGCCGCTTTGACTCGGGACGAAGCCCTTGTGATTCTTGCATTCGCCCGATCAGCGATCAAGTCTGCGACGCGAGATGCCATTGCAGTGCGTCAAGGGTTTACTCTGGATGGACCGCTCAAGTTGCGCGAAGGTCAAGCCAAATCTGCGCTGTACTACGCCTATTCCAGATCCGGCGGTGTTTTGGCTGCGAAAGTGTATATTGCGATGCACAGACCGACATTTCAGAGAGAAGTTGACGTCAATCACGCGCTGGGAGCACACCCGATTATCGTCCAGTTCTTGACGTCATTCTCCGTGGCAAACACTGAAGGCGAGCAGCGGCACGTTATTGTGATGCCGTTCTTTGCTCGGACTGCTGCTGACCTGTTTGCGCTACGTTCCCCGGTCCAGCTTCGTGCTTTGGCCACCATTGCTCGCGACTGCGCTAGTGCTCTTGGCCATATTCACTCCAAGAACTATTCCTTTGCGGACTTGAATCCAGCCAATATCATGCTGCATAGTGGCGAAGAAGGTGGAGCCACGCTGGTTGATTTCGGCGGAGCAGTAAAGCTCGGTGACCCCCTTGTCGAGATCACGGATCAGTTTTGTTTGGATGTGGGTACGTCGCAAGGCTCGGAGCTGCTTGACTGGACATGCTTGGGCACGACGCTGGCTCAACTGGCGGGTATCGACATTACCCAGTTCTTCTCGAGACAAGACCTTGTCACATTTCTGAATGGTGAGCTTCACTCAGTGAACACGCGCGTTGGAGAACTCATCACCTGCTGCGTCGTGGAACCACGTCGGAGTCGCATTGACGCAGCCATAGCGCTTTTGCTCAACTCCTTGGTCCCCACGTCAAATCAGCACCCTGCTGTTCCTGTGTCCACAGCCAGGGATGTCCACCACCGCGAAGATCATAAGTCGCAGCCATCACCCTATGGAACGGAGCGAGGAGTTCGTGTGCTCCATCTTCGCGGCTATCTCAGATGGATCAGGAACATCAATCTGCAAATTTGGCCCCACCCACTTTCATCAGTTTTTTAGTCACGGAGTGTATATACGATGTTCATCTATTCCATCCGAAGGCAAGTAAGTATGTTTTTGCGTTATCTCCTTCTTATGTAGCCATTTGTCTAGGTTAATGTAAACATGGGTGGACTGCGTCAAAGTCCAACAGTTTACTGGTAGAAGTTTTGCAGGCGAATTCGCTGAATGGGTGTCCAAGATGAATGCTTTACCCACTTCCTAGCTCGCAGGTACCCGTGACTGTCTCGGATGGAATAGGAACGTCAATCACCATGCTAATGGTTTCGATAGTGCAAGGGTAGTATGGTACAGCTTAACTGAGCTCGAGCTGCTATTTGAACCGCGGGCGATTGCTATTATCCTGTTGCCAGTAAGCTGCAGACGAAAGTGACCATAAGTGAATAAAACAACAAGTTGGTTCAGCTTGGGAATTTGATTTGACTACGTTTCTGAAAAATGGTATCGCAAAATGGCGTAACGTCGCCCGAGGTACACGCAGCTCTTCTTTGACGAAATCATCTGCGTGAGGCTGCTCATACGACCATACAGCTCTTCTAGCTGTTCTCCCAGGATAACTACTCTGTCTCTCCTTCTCCCCCTGAGTGCTCTCGCTGACGCGCTGTAGCACACTCATCACAAACACGAACAGGTGTCGTACCCGGAGGTACAACTTCTTGTCCAGCAGAATGTGCGCCACAGACCGCGTGCCCACATTTACGACAATGATGGATCTGTCTCCTGAGCTTGTGCAACTTGCACTGGCACACTTTACAGAAGATTCTGAACAATGGCTTGAGGGCTGCGTCAATGCTACTCCAACTCGGGTCCACGACGCAGCTGATGATGAGTTCTCGAACGAGCCTTTTCACTGAGTTAGCCTCATCATCCACGCGAGCGACAAAGTCTTGTACCTTGCGAATCGAGGAGATGTCGATACCCGCCAGCTGAGCCAGCGTTGTGCCCAAACATGTCCAGTCAAGCCGCTCCGAGCCTCGTGAAATATCCACGTCCAAGCAAAATTGACGAGTGGTCTCGAGAATGGGATCACCGAGTCTTACCGCACCGCCGAAATCAACCAGCGTGGCTCCACCTTGTTCGCCACAATGAAGCATGATATTGGCTGGCTTCACATCCACAAAGCAATACTTCTTGGAGTGAATATGGCGAATAGCGCTGAAACAGTCGCGTGCAATGGCGACCAGCGCGCTAAAAGCAATAGGAGAATGTTGCGTCAGCAAGTCAGCAGCACTCCGAGCAAAGAACGGCATCACAATAACGTGCCGCTGCTCGCCTTCAGTGTTTTGCCACGGAGAATGACTTCACGAACTGGACGATATTCGGGTGTGCTCCCAGCGCGTGGTTGACATCAACCCGTGGACTTTCGCAGCCAAAACACCGCCAGATTCGGAATAGGCATAGTAAAACGTGGACGTCGCTTGACCTTGGGTCCCCATGAGCGGGCCATCCAGCAATATTCCATGACGAATCCCAATGGCATTCCGCGTCGCAGCACATACCAAACGGAAACATGGTGACGATCGCGTGTGCGATCCCCGGAGAGACTGGAAACGCGTTCTTGGTGCAAGTGGACGAGACCGCCACCACGGAAGACTTGCAGCGCGTGATCAAGGCAGCGAAGCCAGTGAGGATCAGGTGCGATCAGGAGGACGTGGAGGTTTACCTGGCGAGGAGAAAAAAAAGGAAGGAGGAAGGAGCGGGCGATGGCCAGGAGGAAGTGCTACGGCTTGGAGAGGAGGAAGAGAAGGAAGGCGACAAGATGGAATGGGTGACGCAACGTGAACTGCGAGCAGGAGAGGTGAAGAACGCTAGTGGCTTTGAACCCATATTGCCGGGCACCTTGTTACAACATGTTGGACTGGGAAGTGAGAATCTCGGCGAAGTAAGTGACGATGTCAGACGTGTTGGGCGTGCACCTGTTCATGTACTGGTGGTGGTTCCTGAGGTGGACATCCGATTAAATCTGGCCCGGCTCGGTGTGACGGTTACAACGAGACAGCTGAGTTTCTTGCACGCCCACGACGAACAAGCGTTCAACTTGTTAAGGTCAACCGCTTTGACACGGATCGGAGCCAATACGCTTCTTAGAGCTGCCCGATCAGGGGTCAAAGGAAGAATTCTCCGTCGTACTTAATCGGAAATAACGCCAAATGGCTACACAGGCGTGGCCTTGAAAAACCGATGTCGGAAGTATTTTTGTACCCTCACTTCGGACATCGGGTTTTCTATCTGAATTAAAGGGGGATTATATTTGGGTGGTCATTTTTTTTGTGGATCGGCTGAACACCATGCAACAAGGTTGAGGACGACCTCGCAATTTCGTCGTTGAGAACAACCCAAGTTGCCTAGGTAGATAATATACTGTATTACGTCGGTACTTACTACCAATGTTTAATTACATAACATAAAATAAATATATTGCATCTAAAAAGAAATACTTATAGTTTAGATAAACAAGGTTAGGATGGCCGGTCCTGCCAAGTGCCACGAAGAAATCACCGTGGCTACTTGCCAGCAACCCCTTCATATTTTTTTATAGCAAAGATAGGTCAGGTACGGATAAAATATGCTTAAATATTCACTAATGATTCACTACACTCTATTTTTTTTTCTTCGCTAATGATTCACTACGCCCCACTTCAACTTGACGTGTGCACCACACCAAACATCCCGCACATCAACCGACGTACGTCACTCTTCAACAACCTCCTTCCCCGCAAGCCTCAACACAGCAAGCCCAGCCCGTCCATGGCGTCCTTCCCGGCCAGCAAGTACTCCCGCTACAAGCGCGCCACGGCCTTCTTCCTGGACTGGCTGCTGCGCGCGCGGGGCCGTGGCCGACACGCGGGCACGCGCGTGGAGCTGGAGACGCTGGACGACGTGGTGCAGGAGATCGCTCTCCACCCGCAGACGCTCACGCCCAAGCTGCTGCAGGAGCTGCCCAAGGCGCTGGGCGCGTGCCAGTGCGCCATCACGCTGAGGGAGCACGTGGCCGCCTTCTTCGACGACCAGGAGCAGGGCCACGCGCACTTCCTGGGACGGCTCAAGCGCTGGCTGGACGCGCTGCAGTCGCTGGAGGCGGCAGAGCAGCAGCAGCACCAGCCGCCGCTGGGGCTTGAAGCCGAGATCCGCAGGTTCCAGAGCTATTATCAAGTTCTGCAGGTGGACGAGGACTACTTCCCCGACGAGGAGAGCTTGGAGCAGGACCGCGACGCGTCCAAGAAAGCTCAAGAACGAGCGCAGACGCATCTTCGACGAGGTTTTCGAGCAGGATCTGCAGCTGGAGGTCGAGTGCTACTTCACGGAGCTGGAGGAGCTGGTCCAAGGCGTCTATGACGTCTACGACCAGGTCAAGAACCAGCAGCGCACCATGATGGAGGCCACGGTCGTGGGCACGCTGGCGCTGAGGATGACCAAGGAGCTGACGGCCAAGCTGCAGCTGCGCTACCCGGCGCTCAAGCTGGCCGAGGACCTGTTGGGGGTGCTGGTGAGCTACCCGTCGGCCAGTCTGGCCACTGAGATTACGGAAGCTGTGGCGAAGGTGAGAGGGGGTTCGACCGAGAAGGTACGTTCAAGTTCGTGCCCGGCACGCTGCTGCACGACTTCACGAACGTCTGGACCACGCTGATGATCTTCACGGGCGTCTTCCCGCCGCTGAAGCTCGCGACGCTCATCGGGCTCCCGGATGGATACTTTGGCGAGAATTACGGAGAAGAGCGCACCCCTGAATACGTGCGCGCAGACAGCAACCACTACGTGGTGCTGCTGACTCAGCAACTCCCGCACTTCTACAACATGATCCTAGTAAAGAGGCTGGCTATGGGGCGAGGACTGGGTGAGCAGAAGGGGTTGGTCGTGGACCTGATAAACCTGTTGGAGGAGTACTTCGAGACGCGTCGAGTCTCGATCCCATTGGTGTTTCTCTGTATTTGCTGGATGCAGTCGGTTGCAGCACTACAGGGAGACGCCGGGCTGAGTCGCAACATGAGTCTGACCATCACACACACGGAGCATTTGATCAAAGTCGTGGATGCCGCGTTGATCACGCACCCGCTGCCAGTTTCAGTCAAGAGGGGCTCGTACCACGCCATTCTGACGGACTTTCGGAAGGGGTACGTCGCATCCCTCCGCACCAACCTGCTAGCTCGTGCGAACCCGCTGTTTGCAGGGTCCCAGATGATGTCGAACCACCTCGAGTATCTGGTCGTGACCTGCGGACACTTCTCGTCAATGTGCGGCGCGTTCTGCCAGCTCTACAACGCCTTTGTGCAGCAAGGACTGTTGGAGAGGATCCCATTCTTTGGCGATATTCTGGATATCTACGCCGACATGATCTTCGCCCCGTCACCTCGATCGGCTGCGGTGCACGGGTCTTACAATCGTGTCTACCTTCTCACCTCGCGGTATTCCGGCTCCTACATCAACTCGATGTACGATGGGTCTCCATCCGTGGGTAAGCGGTCTGTTGGTGCGTGGAAGGATCGAGCAGATCCAAACATGCTGTCGCTGACCTACCGGTTCATGCACGATGACGTTCTTGAAGGGCTGCTCGTCCAAGACGATGCTTCAAAAAGCTGCAGACGTCTGCACGAAGGAGATGTTCGAGACCCGCATTTTATCTCGGAACCTGATGGCACTCGATGACGACATAAAGGAGGTTTTCAAGGAGATTTGTGAAGTATTGGGTCGACAGGAGATTCTAGATGGGTACATCGAGAAAGGAATGCGCGGTGAAGTACGGGCCAATCGTGCGTTGGAGTACACTGTTATGGTCCCGCTGCTGGCGCTGATGGATGCGCTACGCCCTGACGGTTCGTTGGATTCGAGCTTGGTGCCGGCTGAAATCCGATCGACGGTGGAGTTTGTCATCGATGGCGAGTTTGTCAGCGAATCGTGCAGGAGAGTTGCGCGTGTGATCGAAGCCAAATTTGCGACACCAGCTCAGATCTGTGAGCAGAAGTACTTCACGTTTCCGGCCGAGCCAGACTTTGTGAACCAGCAGTATGGGACGGTACCGTTCAAGGCCAAGACTGAGAATGAAAATCGTGACAAAGTGTTCTCCGATCTGATGGAGCTGATGAAATCCAACGATGGTCCACTTGACGGACGTGATCTGGAGTATCTGAAGTCGGAGATTAAAAAAGACCCCCAGCTTTTGGGTATGTTCGCACTGAGCACGGGCCCGAGCTCCTACACCGACTACGATGATTTGAGCACGCTACTTCACCAGGCAGCGGCTGGCCCTGCGCACGACCCTGAGCTGGTGGAATGGATGATTCAAATGGGAGCACTCTTCAACCAGCCACTGCACTGTCGGAAGGAGCCGCGACAAAGAGATCTAAGTGTCCTCGGAGCCTTTTGCCGAATACCATGGCTGTTCACAGTGCAGCCATTGCGGGCTACGAGAACATTGTTCGGATCATTCTTGAAGCGGACAACTTTGTGGACTTGAACACGGTCACGTTTCACACGAAGGAGACTCTGGGGCATTTGGCCGTCAAGAATGGACACAAGAGCGTGTACTATTGCCTGGTGCCCTTTGGCAGTGATGTCCGCATCAAAGATGGCGAAGGCCGGCGTGTGTGGGAGCTCACAACCGATCGAAGTTGGTCTCAAGATATTGCGCAAACCGCGGCACTAATTGAACAAAGCTGTCGACTTGGTCAAGGCCGGCGCGAAGACCCCACGGTACTTCAGCAAGCTATGAGGGTGAATGCGGAACGCATGCGCAAGTTGGTGTTTGCCCAGCGCGGCGAAGAGCGGCAGCGCGCAGGGGAGAGTTTGGAGGCGGAGATTTCGGCTGAGTCCAAGAGAAAAAGACGACGAAAGGCAAGAAAGGAGGCAAGGCCCAGGGCAAATCCAATGGACATGGTGAATCGTCTGCGCGGTCGTCGACAAAATCTGCGGTCGACACATCAGCAATGGCAGGTGTGATCGTTGCTTTGCTGGGGGCGCCAAGCTCGGCAACCAAGAACGCAAAAGGCTCGTCTAAGAAGTCAGCTGGGCGAGATGTCATCCTCCAACAGTCAATTCAGAAAACGACGGCTGCGTTTGGTCGCTTGAGAAACCCCACTGTTCCCGCTACGGACAAATTACAAGCCGTGCAGCGCATATGCAGAGTGATCCACAAGCTGGACAACGCCACTGAGGTGCAGTGGGACCCGGACAAGATGATCGGAACGGGTGTACAATTGAGGATGGACGTGTCATTTGAAGCGTTGCAAGTCATCCACATGATCCAGAAGTTCTATCGCGGTGACCGCGGAGCCAACGCAGACCCCGATTGCCCCTGTACAAGAGCTCTGTGCCACGACGCTTGACTTCGTCAGGTTCGTTGTACGCACAGCGACGATCAGTCTCTCTGTCGACAGGAAGGCTCAAGCCTTAGAGGCTTTGGGTGCACTGGAGACGCGGTTGTTGGAGACCCCATTTAATGAGCGAAACCCGTCAGAGTTTCGGGAGCTGGTGCAAACGTATTCCAAGGAACGTGAGGCAATGGGCTTAGAACGGACTTCAAGCCCTGACTCGCTTCGCCGCTTGGAATGGTACCTGCAGAACACGGTGGCGAATTCCAAGTTGCAGATGGCTTTCGACAAAATGGCGGGACGATCCTTTTACTTCAAGCTTGCGTTTGACTCTCAGACGAGTACTGGACAAATCGCGCAGGTTCGGAGTGCTATCGACGCCGTTCCAGCACTGAACGATGTGGCCTTCTTCGGGAAAAATGACTGGTCCGTTGTGTACGGTGGCAACAGTAAGGATGGCGTGGTCAGAGTCCGCACCATGGTGGCTGAGGTACCCAAGCGCACTGGGGTTCAGATTGATGACCAGAACTCGCAACTCGGTACCCCCGCGATTCACATCGGGCAGTTCCAGTTTTCGGCGGCTGGACCACTTGGCAGCGCAGCGGCGGCATGAATTGCTGGGGTGGTGGTGTATCACGCTAAGTGAGGAGGGAACACTTTGGAGTATCTGCCTTGCATTCATTGCATATCTGTGTCGTAACTGCACCGAAGCTGAATGGGGGAGGCTTGCTGAAGCTATTGGCTCGCAAAGATTAAACATTTTAACAGTTTTTCACGTTTTACCAATGTTTGGGTTGGGGTATAATGACGACGACGCCATGGCCCGCTTAATTTTGAACACGGGGGGGGATGGTTGTAGCAACGATAACACGAAGATCGTTCATCACCAGCGTTCGTGCCAGAACGCCTTCTTGATAGAAGAAGCAGACTCACAAGTTTCGCGAGGATCGACGTGATTGCTTTTAGCGGTAACTTTCTGCAAGGTGGAGCCCAGTTCTTGGCCGTCCATCAGGAGCTCGCTGAGCGAGCTCTTCGATCCGCTGGTACTCGTTCATTTCGGAATTCGCCGTGAAGCGCCATGCTGCTGCCGTCCGGAACACTCGCGATCAAGGTTCACGGCATGGATGCGTCGTTCGTGGAGAAGGAGGAGCTGGTCGGCAAGAAGCTGGCCGTTCGCTTCGCCATGAGCGCTTGACGAAGTTGAAGAAGGATGGCGCCGCCATCGACGAAAACGTGAAGCTCAGCGTCAAGCGCGAAACGGTCGACAGCAAGCTCACCATCGAGGTGCTGCAGGAGAGGCGTAAGGAGGCGCTCGTGGGCACGGCGCAGCTGCTCACCGAGTTCCTCAAGAGCAACCGTGAGCAAAACATGACGTTCTCATTCGGTCCCAAGGGTATCAACACGGTGCTGCTCTACTTTCGCGTGAACTGGGAGCCCAGCGACACGGCTTTAACCGAAAAAGTGGACGTACACCGCCCGTGGCTCACACGCGCGTCCTACTACTACGACACGGCCAAGCGCGTGCACTACTAGACTACGAGCTTCCGCTTCGATGTGGCCCCGTATGCGTGCGTTGGTGAGAACATGGTCAACACGGCCGTGGTAAAGGTGAGCGGCATGTCGCTGCTCGAGATCGACGAGGCCTGGGTGGGCCCGAGTCTCAACGTCCTGGACAACAAGGTGGATGCCGGCATCTCCAAGATACTCACGGTGCTCTACTCGGGGCGGCAGTACGACGTCGCCGTTGAAATGGCCACCAAGACCAAAAACTTCGTGACCGAGAAGGTCTCGACCGCCTTTTCGGTCGGCTACACAACGATTGCCAGCGTGGCTGACTACACCAGAGACACGTTTATTGCGTGACCTACTCGGTGCCGAGCTATGTTCACCTGATCGGCCCCAAGATTGTGGCTTGAACGGAGGAACACGGCAGGCTCGCTCATGTCAAGCGCCACCACAAGCAAGCAGAACAAAGATCTACATTTGCCGCGGGTCGACACTGTCGACAGACCCTTCTTCTTGGTAGCTAAGTTGTTGCTTATTTGCTCACAACGTAATGAAATACGATGGCCTGCTTAGAACACCATTGTGACTCGATCTGATAGAAGTTACCTGCTTCGGGAAAAGTGCTGTGCAGTGGCAACAGCATGGACGTCTTGGCATTTGAGCACTTCGTCATAGAGCAGTTATTCAGTTCGTCCCAACCCTGTGTTTTGTTCTGCTTGAGTCGCTGCACATTTTACAACTCCTGTACCAGAAACCGAGTCAACTCCTTCACGTGTGGTAAATGGAACCTGCTTTCCAGATATACCGCACCGTTTCATCTTGTCCTGCGTGTCTTGGCACACTAGCACAATCCCAGCAGCCTTATTCCACTCGAGACTGTCCTTCATCTGTATTTCGCTCCAAATTTGAAGCTGCCAAAGTTAGCTGAGCTGCATGTCGACATCTTGTCCGATTGGTTTCCCCGTCGCCACTTTCAATTCGGCTGTCTCGCGAGTACTTTAGCCAAACCATGGACGACCCAGCAAAACCTGACAAGAAGTCGACAGACGATGTGAAGAGAACAGGGACGTGGGCGGCTCAGTATCTTGCAGAGAAGCAGCAACAAAACAGTACCGGTACTCGCAGCTGGAAGTCGGTCCTCCATCCTTCCGTGATTCAAGCGGTGCTAGCAGTGAGCGGGCGATGCCTGATCGCCCCCATCTTGCTGATCATTGTCTGCGGCATTACCGGCTACTTCTCCAGCGCCACCTTCTTCATCGAGGCCAAAGACAGCTACTTCGCCTACAGTCAACTGGACCCGGTGATGCATGGGGGGTGCACGGGCTGCGTCTGCTCGTGCCGAAAGGTGCTGATCCAGCTGAGCGCTTTCGGAACTGACGCGATTCTGAGCAAGCCAGCGTATGAAGACCTCCAAGCCATCGCGACCGAAGCTGTGGCTAACAACGACTACAGCAGATTGACCCCCGCGGCGCTGGCTTTGGCTGATCAGCTTGACTCGGACGGGGCTGTGTGTTCTACCGGGACGAATGACTGGGGCACGCCCAATGTGGTTCTAGCCAGCGGGCCGGATGGAATTCTGAGTGTGATCAACACTTTGGGGCTGTCGCTCCCTCCTCAGATGAGGCGCGAGCTTGAAGTCGCTGTCGAGAGGAAGAACGAGTGTGTGTCGCGATGGAACATCGGCGTTTTGCTGCGTCTTCACAAGTTCCAGACAGTCAAGGGGAGTTCCGAGTACGCATCCGTTCCGGTGGCTGACATCAACACGTTCCCACACTACACGGATTGTCGCCCAGACATCCAAAACGAGGGAATTATCGGCGAAAAGCTTGCGTACGCTACGGATGGAGAAGATCTGCTCGCTGTTGTTCCGGATATTCTCAAGCTCTTCCCGTACGAGTTCACTGGGAGCAGCCTCCCTGCTATCTCGCGCTACATCAAGACCAAGGCTACCGTCTACGGATACACAACCGTCACGCAACCGCTTTTTCGGTCGTACTATGCGGGGTGTCGCGTCCGAACTGTGAATACTACGGGAGTATACGTTGAAGATACATGTACGCTGTTGGAGCACTGGCGTTCGTACGGCCTCACTCTACAAGCTCCCGATGATCTGCCCGTTTGCTCGACTGGCGACGTATGTGTTCGCAACCAATACAATTCCGAGTGGGAGTACACGAACGACCTGAGCTCCACAGACCCCACACGACTCGAGCAAATTATCAGCGTCTTTCGAAGTCGATACGCCGATACAGTGGAGCTGAGTGTGTTACCCTGCATGCTCGTTGCGCAAATTTTGCTCATGGGGGTCATCAGTCTGTACCAAGTGATGTCGCACAAGAAATCCGTGATTCTCGCGCAGATTTGGGCCTATCGGTGCCAGAATGGACGCATGCAGCCGATTTACCTCGCTCAGGTCACGTATCACCTCGCGTTCAACTCCAACATGTACTACCTGGGACTATCCACTGGAACTTTGTCTTCCGCTTCGGTGCTCAATCTCTCGCTCTGTTTTTTCGCGTTCGCCTATTCGACCGTAAACTTGATTAAGGCTCGCAGCGGTGAACAAGTTCTGGACCGGGACTTCAGACTCCCGTGGGAAGTCATTCTCCTCACAGCCACGGTGTGCGTCGGCGCTGTGATTTTTTCGTACCGAATCACTTCGTTGGCATTTATCGGCGACAAGAACGGCCAGCTCCTGCGACGAACGTCCGTCCTCGGTGCCAAGTACTGCGGCCTGCAGGATTCCTGCTATGTGTTCACCTACAATTTGGTATTCGTGGTTGCTGCCGCGTCCCTTGCTCTCGGATTGCTCGCAGCAATTATCACTTTTCTGCTCAAACTGTACAAGAAGCGCAATCCTGGAGCAAAGATGTACCACTACCGCGTCAGCAACGCTGGTTTGCCTGGAGCAGGGGAGCAGCTTGCGAAACAACGGCTCACGTCATTCGAGGAAAATTGCCTTGGGGTTCCGTTCACTCGACTGTTCAAAGACTGCGACGACTTCGCATACACCATGCACATAGACAAACGATGCTCGACGGTTGAGGCGGTGCTGCTCACGGGCTATCTGTTCTATGGAGAGAACCTCTACCAGGCTAGTTCTGTGGTGTTGCTTCTGATTGCTCGACTCTTGCCACGCAAGGTAATTCGCACGTTCAATCAGCTCTTCATACGCTGGTACATCGAACCCGAACTTGGCACAATTTCGTACCCAATGTCGTGCCCTTGGTACATAGCTAGTGCCGAAAACTACAAGCTCTCTGATGCGATTCCTCTGGCATAGTTTGGAAGCTTGACTTGCGATATAGTACGAGGTTGTCATTATAAAATATTTTCCTCTACGGTTGAGGCGGCACGATCGTGAAAGCTATATTTTCCACAGTATTAGGCATCAGAGTTTGGGGTTTCTAGCAATTCATGTATTTCGTATCTGAAATCTGAGAAGCAAAGCGTGCTTGTTTTCAGGGGCGGATCTTCAGTCAAAATGGGGGGTGCATGCCCCCCCCCCCATTTTTCTGAGATTTCGACCCAATTTTGCCGATTTCAGCCGTGTTTTGCTCGAAATTGGCCGAATTCTGACCATTCTCCCAGCCTTGCCCCCCCCCATGTTTTTTCCTGCCACCCCATTTTTCAAGTCCAAGATCCGCCCCTGCTTTTTTTACATCCGCCCAGTAGTACAAGTATTATTATGAGTAAAAAGTCTATTATATTTTTATTTTGGGGTGCAGAAGCCGCTCACGCACGGCCATCGAATTCGTCGATAACATCTCGCAGCCATGCCAGGTCCACTTTCACCTCCTCGCTTTCGTGTCCGGCCAACGACGTCGGGATGGCTCCTCCGCGGTAGAGCGTTTCAACAGGAATGCTGAAGTATCCAGGTTCCTTCCTGGTCAGGTCAAACTCATCTTCATAGAAGGTGTTCTCGTCAATGCGCTGGAAGATCATGACCCGCCGCTCTTCTCCGAAGATTCTGATCCCGATGGCGACTTGAACCGCAGTGGCTGGGATCATGTAGCTCTGCAGCTTCTTCTCTAAGTGCGACCACGATTCTGTATATGCTGCGTGCACTACGACGTTCGGAAGATCGCGACGTAGTGCATGGCGAGGCTCTAAAGCAGCATCAGCATTCTGGAGCCGATTTCCGAATCGCAGCGTTGGGGACGGAGACGTCAACATCGTCTCAGACAGCTCTTCATCGTCTCCAATGCGGACAACTTCACTTCGGATTTCGTTGATAATTTCACTGACAGCGAGGGTTTGAACCGCAGTCGGGAAATAATACAGCACGGCGCGGCCAGTCTCCACGGTTAATGGCTCGTAGTCCCAGTAGCGGAAATCGTCGTCGTCTTGGTGGTCCTCGATCCACGCGCGGAAGTCGTCACGGCAAATTTCCTCGAACAAAACCACGGGACGGCAGGCCTTGACGTCGTCACCCCTTTCGTCTGCTTCATCGCGCTGGTAAAGTTCTTCTCGGACGCGATTAAGGTGCTCGATGTCAGCGTCGCCCATCTTGAGTGTGTGCTTCTGTGCTCGACGTGATAATTAAAAACTGAGCCTGCGTGTCTTCCTGCTTCCTATCTTGGTGACTAGCTGCAAAGAATCGATATCGCGTGAGCACAAAGACTAACGTTATTAGACTGCAGAGCACAGGAAACAAAGTTCAGCCCGAATCTAATTTCACCCCGCTGCACAATTCAACATGCCGGGTAACTAAGCATATCAAGTACAGGTAAGTACTCGAAGTGGGGAGTACAATGATCCATTGCCAAATAGCACAAAATACGTGTGCATGTTGCACGCACCAGATTTCTGGGCTTTTACTCGAAATCTCGTCAATGGAGCGACCTGGTGTCGTCACGCCGCGTCCTTCCAGTAGTAGGTCTATTGGCATGTAGCGATCCTGTCTTGATAGCCGTACGGCATGGCACTGCTTAAAGTGCATGGTTAACCGAACGGGGCAAGGCAAAGCTTGCCGGCCCGCAGGGCGGACCAAGCAGCCCCCTCCCGGTCTCATACCGACCGGTGCAGCAAAGTGCGCACTTCAACATGGTCACCATCGTCTGCGACATGTGTGCACCAATGTCACGTGATTGGTCGAAAATGCTTGTGGTGCCAGAAAGTCGTCACCCTTTTCTTCCTCGAGACAGCTCGCTTCCTGCGGCAATCATTCCAGCACAACCAACCCACCAATCAGCGCGTTTTCCTCGCCTCCAAAATGAAACAGTTCCCTTCTTGTAACCCAAGGGAGAAAGCGGCGAAGAAGCTTGTGCCTTCGGCCGCGCTCCGACGCGTCGTACGCCGCTCCCAGGGCGTCTCCAGCCCCCGTTCACGCCGCATCAGCACCGCAAGACTCCGCTCTACCCGCTGCTCGCGTTGGCCGCGTCGCCCGCGCGCTTTTAGCGGCTGCAGGAGCTCGAGAAGAAGAAAACGGACAATTTGTAACGTTGAAGCCGGTAAAACCTAGCTTTTAGCGTCTAATTCGTCGCCTTTACACCATGGAGGCGGTGCGCAAGCGCCCGCAGCGCGCTAAAGCCGCCAAGAAGCAGCCCAAGGATGCGCAGAGCGACAACGAGGACGTGCAGGCGGCCATCGCGGAGCTGGACGCCATCCAGGAGCCTGTGGCCTCGGACAGCGAGATCCGCCGCAATGAGGAGGACCTTATGGCCCTATTGCAGGGCGGCTGTGAGGGCTCTAAGGAGCAGGAGCTGCTGGTCGCTGAAGGCGCAGGCTCGCATCCTCCTCATAGAGACGGAGACCAGGCTGAAGGGGAGAGTAAAGACACAGGAAGCGCGCTGGGGACGGACTCTGCAGCTGCTCAGGAGACGGCAACGCCGCCGTTGATTCCAGTGCTGGATGGAGCCATCTCCGCCCCCTCAGCTCCGCTTTTTGACGACGAAGAGAGTGACGGAGGGTGGGTGGCCCCTCCGCCGCGGTTGCCGCTGCAGCCGAAGCCTAGTGCCCCACCTCCGCCACTACCAGTTCGACCGTCGATGCCCCGTGCTTTCCATGAAATTACAGTGCCGGCAGGGATTGACGTTGCTGCTCCGTCGGCGCCGCCTGACTTTGAAGATGATGTGGAAGTGGCGGAGCACTCGAGCACAACTCCGTCGGCGCCGTCGCTGTCGCCGACGACGTCGAAGAAACTGCACAAAGTGGTGGCATCGCCGCGGAACCCGGAGAAGTTGGGCCCAGTGGCGAGGATGCCGCTGCAGAGAGCAACAGAAACGTCGGTGGAAGGCGCCACTGCGGCGGTGATGAGTTCGTTCGCCAAGTCCCACTTGTCCGAGAAAAAAGCTGGGATGCATAACATTTATCCGTCGATGCCGCGTGAAGCGTCGAAAGCAGCCGAGTCGACTACCCAGTCAAAGGAAGCAGAAGCAGACGGAGCAGAGACTAGTTACGAACAGCTTTTGAAGAAGAAGCACATTCGGGTGAAGCTGGAGCCGTTCATCAACTACGAGATGAACCTGATGCGAGCCGAGACGTCCCAAAAGCGCCAGGAGATGAAGATGCGGCATATTGAGACCAACAAGGGCGAACTGTACGCGCGGGTAGAACGCTACTTATTTTCTGAGTACATTTTGCACAATGCTGCGTCGACGATGGACGAGTACAAGCAGAAAATTGATCTCCTGGTCAAGAAAGGTAAGGATCTCGTATACGCATCTGCTATTTTTCGATTACTCAAACATTTGTTCCTGTTGATGTTTGAGACAGTGTGGACGCTCGAAAAGAAACGAGTTTCTTCATCGAAGCGATGCGGTGATAACGTGGAAATTGAGCAGCAAATGGAATTTCAGACGGCAAAGCTGGAGTCTGTCCAACTCGAAAAGCTGAAAGCTCACCTGGACAAGCTGCGGCAACTACGCACGGTCGAGGCTTCAATGCATTCGTTTGACCGCGCCATTGCGTTCTTTCACGTGGAGCAGTATTTGAACAGCGTGCTGCAGGAGCCGAATCTGGTGGCATTTCTCAACAAGATGAGCTCTTCTTGTGGCGGCACCAGTGGTATTGATGACTTGGATCTCGTACCGGAGGGTGCTAACTTTTACGAAGCGCTGCCCCAAGGATCATCTCTTGCGTCATCGGTGGATCACTTAAAGTACTGTTTGGACGTGCTGATCTTCTTTGAGAAGAAAGTGACGCTAGGGGAAGAGGGGGTATTTGGTCGAGTACCGCAGTCATTTTACCGTGGAGAGCTGGTCTGGCACAGCAATCACGCAAAGATGCATTACAGTGCGGCTGGCGGTGGGGGGATGGAGCGAAAGATCAAATGCTACGCCTGCGGCAGCTTGAATTCTCCCATGAAAGCTAACCAATGGTGTAAATTGTGCGAAAGCTGCGATGTGGTACTTTATCTCCCTCCATCATCGGTCTCCACAAAATCAAATGAATGGTTTACGAGCGTTTTGCGCTTCAGGCAATCCCTGCAAAAGTGGATTTCGACATGTCTGCAGAGCCTCTTGCGAGCGAAGTCGTTGCAAAATATGCCGTATTTACTGATGCACGTGATGTACTTGCCTCGGATCTCAACGGACGAGCGATCGTGGTTTCTAAGGTTTCTCCAGTTCCCGCGTGCGATGGTCCGGACAGATGGGTCTCTGAGGAATGAGTGGAGCGAAGATTTAGTCGATCACTACATCGCCATGTTACATTTGGTGTTCCATCCTGAAAAGTTGCGGCGGACGTCGATGATTGTGTCTAGCGCACCGCCGAATGGCTCAAAGACTCTAAAAAGTGCGGAGGTTGGAGTGGCCGATGGAAAAGGTTTGGTCTCTCCCGAGTGGGTGCTGTTGGAGAACCCAGAAATGCTGGATCGCTATTTTCTATCTGATGAAGATTTCGTGGCGGTGCTGAACCAATTCCCCAACACGTTTGCTTTCGAGCAATTATTCCGGTGCACCTCAGACGTAAAGAAGTGTTTCAGCCGAGCGCTAACTTTGGTGCTGGAGCTCACGCACAGCTTACGCGCGTTTCAGGAATTCGAAAAGTTACCTACACGAATCGCGCAACTTCTTGGACAATTGCTGGCTGATGCGTCGGAGCTGCCCGGATCAGGTCGACCAAACGACTCGGGAATGAAGGATGCTGTATTTTACCCGACGCTGTTTGATCAGTTGTTTCTAACAAGTTTGCATGGGCTCATGGCGGCCGACTGCAACCGGGTGGCGTGGAAGAGTTTGCACTTGTTTCCTTTTGGCTCGTTGTCTGATCTGGCGAAGTGGGACGTATTAGCTCTGCTACTATTCAACCTCCACAGTCTGCCACTGGAAGCAAAAACAGCATCGGGATGGATGCAGTTTATCGGCAAGCCAAGTTCACAGGACGTAGACACTGGAGCGTTGGCGCGTCAGCATTTGTATGACTTGATTGAGTCCGATACGGAGAGCGCGATGTATCTACTGAATGCTGTGGCCAGTTTGGCTGCATCGTGCCGTCCGTCGTCCGAGAAGAATCGCGCTACCGAACGGAATGACCTGGTGTCCGTTGCTGTGCATGAATTGTTTATGGCCGGCTACACTGTGGAAGCTTGTCAACACGCGCTAGGCGAAAATGGTGAGCGGGCAGCAGGACCTCTCAGTACCATTTGTTTGGCGCACCCATGGGTTTTGTCGCTTTTGATCACACTTTTGTTCAAGTATCACGAGTGCGCTGCAACCTGGATTCACGTGTTCGAAACGTTTCCAATCAATCGTTGGATGCCGACGGCTCAGGATTTGCTGAATCTACAAGAATGGCTACTTCTCGAGGACACTTCAGCACCACGAAGTGCTCTAGCTCGATTCCTTTTGGACCATATCAATTGGGAGTATGATGTAAAGCATCAGCGATTGTTTACTGACGCTATGCTACATCGCCAAGTGGCCCTTATGGTCGCCGAGGCGTTAGTGCTGTACAAGACGCGAAAGGAGCGAGCAAGCGACCCTGAGTCAGCTATTGTCTTGTCTGGAGGAGGCTCTCCGCAGAAGCTGGAGGTAACTTCAATCGCCAAGTCGATTCGCCGGGCATTATGGCTGGGTGAAGCGGTGGATTTCGAGAAGTGGTGCTGGACACTCATGCTGAAATTGCGATTTTACTCACCCAAGACGCGCGAACCATTGCTACCGCTTATCGATCTTCGCCACGACCGGTCACGTGAAGCTTTGACGCTGCGCCGTTGGTTTGCTGGGGCATCAGTGCTGCGAGTTCTGCCTTCTCGCAAAGTGTTCCCGTTTTACGCGTCGCTAGAGGAAGAGGTAACTCACTTTGGCCACAGTGATAACCCAAAGCGAAGCGCGCCAGAAACTGGATTTGGAGGAAGCACTGGAGCTCCAATTCAACAAGAGACTCGTATGCTTTTGACCCCGCAAAACTCCAAAGGAGTGGCTGGAGGGGATATCGACTCGACAGTTGCAGCCACTGCTGCTCCTCGAACGGAGCCTATTGTGGCGTATGTAATCTGTCAGATGACGACTTTCGTGTTTAGCGACCGTCTTGACCGCTGGGAGCCTTTGCTAGTCCTCCTGAAGAGCGAGTTCTTCCCTGCTGCGATTAAAGTCCTCGAGAACTTGTTCCCGATTCTGTCGCGTCTGGATAAGAAGAATGATTTCCCAAGTAGCTCGTGCGTGTCTGCGTCAGCACCGCAAGCCGAAAGCGAGAATGAGTCCAAGACAGCGACATCAAACAGCGAGGATGATGCGGAGGCAGCTCTATCTTCTGAGGAAATTGAAACTGAAGAAGAAGGGCAAACTCAACATGGTGGCGTTTTCATGGATATTGACAACGAGTTGGAGATATGCATGGCAGCGATGCAAGCTTTATCGACCGACGAGTTGCTAAGCCTGCTGAACTCTCTGCATGAGTTTTCGTACATCAACACAGACGAACTCCATCGCATGCAAGAAGTTCTCAACAAGGGCTACATTGGTGGGTGGGAGAGCACAGCAAAAGGCCGTATATTGGCGAAGCTTCGCTTTGTGCGAGAGTGCAGTCGGTACTTGCACCCTGTTGTACTACCCGCGCTCATCAACGAGTGTTTCCCTCAATCGAGTCCTGTATCGGTGACAACTTCAGCATTGTTTCACGGAGCGATGTCATGGATTTCGTCGGCGTTAGGCGGTGAAAACAGTACGGGGGCATTGTCTCCGTCGGCAGCATCATCGACGAGTGCCGCTCTATCGATTCGTAACTCTTCGTTGACGTCAACGTCGTCGTTGGGAATGATCGCAGGAAGTGACTATTCTGTCTCGGCTAAAGCAGTGTGTGCTCTGATCAGACGCTCTTTTGAGTACTCTGTCGACGATATGTCTCTTGCTGAGTCGATGCGGTTCTGGATGAAGTCCTTGTTACAAGTACCTTTTTGGTATGAAAACGCGGCGTTCCGGCACGTACTGGATGTCATGCTGCACTGCAGTATGGAAAGCGCCCATGAAGCAAAAGCCCATGCCGATGCGAGTGAACAACGGGGTCCTCCATCTAATATTTTGTTCGAGTTGGTCGGCTTAGTGGAAGCTGCATTCGACTCTTTCTGTCACCGTGTCGCCCGCAAAGAGCAGGATGCGGCACAGCCGGAGCAGCAGTTCCTCGAGAACGAACCGATTGTTGTGATGAGCTTCTTACCAGCAGTGGCCGCCTCGGCGACTTTCGCCTCAATTTTTGGTGGCTCATACAATGTGGCACAGTACGTTAGCGGGTGTCCGTATCTCGCTCTCTGGTGTCTACTAATTGAAACGCGGAAGGAGGTTCCGTTGTTCCTTACGATGGGGCAACTTATGGTAAAATATGAGCCGAAAACGATGAAAAAGCTCGAGAAATTGAAGAAAACGGAAGGTCGGCTTGCTACAGCACTTAGTGCAGTTCGAGAAGGAAAAACGTTAGACGATCAAGCAGAGGAAACGATCTACGAAGCTTCAAACTCGACATCGCGTCTAGGCAACCCCTTGGCATTTGGTCATACCAGCCTGGATTCGCTATCCCAGTACAAGATTTACCGCTGGTGCAACTATTGTCTCGATCTCCCTGAGTCGGAGCCCACGCAGATTATCTACTGGCAAGTGTTTTTCGCACTGTACTTCGCAACGGCCGGTGGATCGCACGTATTCGGCCACCATTTCCTCGATCGATCGGGCAGTCGCAGCACAAAACGTGTTCATCTGAGGAAACATCTACAGACAAAATTGCGGAAACTGGTAAACTTTTGCTCCAACCAGGCACGAGTTGTACTTACAGCTACAGGAACGGCTGGACGCACGTCGAGCGGTACTGGATCAGGTGGAGAGCTGAAAGAGCGTCAGTACTCTCATTTCGTCGCACTATCGCAACTTTACGCAGCGATGGACGCGTGGATGGAGGAGAAGGACCCGAACCAATGGCTTAAGGAGGAAGAATTGTCGGGCTTGCCACGGCATTACGAGGTAGAACGACTGAAGGACGTTCTACGGCTGAGTGACGAGTTGCTGAATTCCCACTCGGATCAGATGAACTGGTCAGACTTGCCGCTGTGGACGAATTGGTGTGGATTTGATTTTACCGTGAGACGTACGAAGCCGCAAGTGACTATTAGTGATGAGAGCGAGGAGTCCGCTAGCTCTTCAGTACCATCCTTGTCGACCCCACTTGCTACAGCTGGAGAAGAAGATGATTTTGCGTTTGTGGAGGAAGCATCGGAACTAGCTAGACGACATAGCAGCTTTGGTGGACTTGCTGGGCTGGCTAGCCTCAGCATTCGACCTTTGCCGTTACTATCGGATCTATGTGGACCCTCAAGCTTGACACAGCTACCGACGGTAGCGTTTACTGTTTCGCCAGAGCGATGTGTCATCACCCCATCTCTTCCGCTTAATAAGGCGGGTTTGAAAGCAGTGGCCATGAAATTCTCGGAGAACCTGTCTGTTCTTGTGGCACTGGACTCTGAAATGATTGACAGTGTTTCTCAGCTGTATATCAGCAAGGCGAGAACGGTGACGCAAAGTATGCCGTGCCCTGAAGGCGCCAGCTGCCGCAGTCCTGCAGCGTTCCGGTTCGAGTTTTTGGAGTGGATGATGGATTCAAGAATGGATGATGCAATCCAGTCGATTCGTGCGCAGGGTGAGCGCTGTGATATGCAGTCCATGTTGATCAAAAATGTGGCGTTATCATTAGGTGAGCATGATGAGGGCAGTACAGGTACCACTTCGGCGATGCTAATGGGAGCGGAGCAGTTTTTACAGCTCGATGGAGATGGATTTATGCTGTCGCTTCAGATTCTGCTCATTGACCAAGTTGTCCGAACGCTGGGTGTTGAGCATGAGAAGCTTCAGCGTGTGAAGAAGACGCTAGAAGACGAGCCCCCGACTGAAAAGCCCGCACATGATGAAGTACTTCAGAATGCGGAAAAAGCGACCGATGAAGTTATCGAAGATGTAACGCTCACACCTATCCAGAAGGCCGAGCAGGAAGTGGAGCGCCTACATAACAAGGGGCTTGAGTGGTTCCGTTTGCTCACTGAGCTGGACACAAAGCTTTCCCGCATGGTGCCACCGCTACGTGAAGCTTTGTGGCGTTCTATCAAACAGTTGGGACTGAATTTCGTGTGCGTGGACGAACGTGAGACGTGCACACTTCTTCAACTCATGCTGGAAGACCCATCTCGCATCAATTTGCTGAGCGACTGCTTCTTCCCTGCTGCTGCACCTACACGATTCGTTGAAATGTTCGCAAAGCTGATGAGTGCTAGTAGTTCTGCCAAGCTCTCGGGTGAAGAGAAGCTCACGCTGCTTCGTCGTTTTGATTTCCGCGTGTGGTTGCAAACAAAAAGCCCGCAAACACCAACCAAACTTGATCGCGAAACCGTTCTGTGTATGATTCTGGGCGATATTGGTCATCAGTTCCCTGCAGATCGTAGTCTGGTTGAAAGAGGTCGAAAGACTCAAGACAAGGATGCGTCACGACATTTGGACGAAGTTCTTCGTGTGTACGCTAAGGTTCTACAACTCATTTGCTCTGCTCATCTAGAAGACCATGTCGAGAAGATGGTGCACGCGCTGGTTGGTGTTCACGATGACTATCGGTTCCAAGCAGGCAATGGAGAAGCGAGTTCATCTGACGATGATGGATCAAACTCCTCAGGTTTGGCGGCGCTGCCCCGTCCAGTAGACGCTGTTGTGTGGGAGGCTCTCGTTGGAATCCCAGTTGCTGCCTGGAAAGAGCTGCCATTTACGCAGGTTGAGTCGCTTGTGACGTTCCTCAGTCAACACATGACATCGCTGCGATGGCAAGGTGGGCTGTCTGGTGGAGGCGCCACGAAACCAGGAGGCACCTCTGAGCTTCTACGTGGAAGAGAAACGCAGAGTTCGTCATCTGCTTCATCATCGAAGTATCCTATCGTATACTGGCAGCGACTTGGAGTCCTCAAGAGTTTCCTGGACTTGTTTACGCTCTGCTGTCGTGTAGCCCCAGAGCAGCAGCAGTGGGAGCTGATCACAGCGTTTTTCGAGCCTTTGCTCTCCACGCTATACCAACCAGCCACTAACTCGGAAGGCTCAGCTATCAGTGCACCGTGGTCGGATCAAGACACCCTGTCGACGGGGACAACAATTTGCTCGTGCTTTGTGGCTACCTGCTCTGAGTATCTGAAGAATCAGTCGTCGGGTGCATCACAGCCCCGGACCACAGTGATCATCGGTGATGATGCGGTGTTGACACAGACGGCCAAGCTTTCACAGATTTGGTCTTTCTATTTGACGGTGCTTGTCCCGCATGCGCCAACTCATATCTGCAAGCACTTCCACCAGTTTGTGACGCGGTTAGCGTGGGAGCACTGGTGCCTCACACTGGAAATCGTGCATCAAATGCGCGAGCTCGTTCAGACGGAAAAACAACAACTCACCGGCGTTGCAACTGGGGCGAGTGGCCAAATCGTCCCTCCAACGCACTCATCGTTGTCGCCGTACCCATTCGTATCCTGGCTCGTACGTGACGTATTGTGCCGGACAACTTGGAAATCGACCGACGCGTGGCTGGGGGCTCAGAGTGAGGCTGTGTGCTCCTCATTTTTGCTGGAGTTTGCGAAGCTGTGCTTGGAATTGGTGCTGGATATGCCCCACTTCCAGGTTCAGTCTGGTCATGCAGCATCAACTAATGTGCTTCCGCCGTACTTCGTCAACTTCATCAAGCAGCAGTCTGCGTTTTGGGCAAAATGGAAAATGACCATGGGCGACTTGGAGACGCTACAGCGATTTACGCTGGAGGCGCTACTGGAGCCTCTAGGAAGTCGGGGGCCAACAAGAGGAGGGTCAAGCCTGGCTTCGAGTGGGCCATTCCCAGCGTCACCAAGTGCCGCGATGATGCAGGATGCGTTCACAAGGTTGCAGTTGGTATTTCGGTTATTTGGCCAGATCACGACACTCCACCACGACGTGCTTCCTAAACCAGCAAGCCTGGAGCGGGTAAACCTCTTCCTGAAGCTGCTGTTTGGTGTGTTTGAGGTCAATGATCGTGGTTGCCTTGATGGCAATCGCTACAACTCCGACCACGCCGCGTGGCTGATGGTTCTGTACGGGTCGAGTTGTACGGCGTTATATGAGAAGTTGGATGAGTTGGTGCACTTCTACAAGCCCGAAGGTGGCAAAGAGAATGGTACTGAAGCTTTCAAGAGCAGTGATGATTCTGACTCCAACGAAGGCGTTTCGGAAGAAAATTTGACGGCCACGATAGAAGGAGTGCTGCGATTTTGCAACCTGTCTCTCGTGGAAGTGTTCTTCAAGCAGTTGCAAGGCAGTCCGAAGTCTGGCGGTGGTAATTCATCGTCGGGTTCTTCGGGAAGTGGTTCGCTAAACTGGAACAAGTGCGGCAACGTGGTGTTCGTGGAGATCGACGCCCTTGTCCGTGACTTCGCATCCAGTCAGAAGGCACTTCAACTGCGCAACTACCGGGGTCATCAAACCTCGGATCGCACCTCCGACAAGGAAGAGGATGCGAATGGTACGATCGTTTCAGCGACCCAGTCCCCAGCAGAAGCCATTGGTACCCCTCTTGGAAAGGTGCTGTGGAGCTTCTTGGCCTTCCGAGGTGGTGAGCTGGCTTGTCTAGCTGCGTGCGGACGTGCCCTGGCTTCCGTTCACGTGATGAGTCAAGTCGCCGAGAAAAGCATTGAAAAGTGGATCATCGAGGAGCGTCGTGGAATGTGGGACGCTTTGGCGTTGCGTCTGCAGGTGCCTGAATTGAGTGGCGACGAGTTCGAGACGGCGTGTTTGGAGCAAGGCAAACTGCTCACCCTGCAGGTTCTCTTCCTGCAGCAACTGCGCCGTGCACCCGTTCTAACGGAGTCATTAAGTCTCGCGCTGCTGACGAAGCTGATGGGCTGGATGGAGCGAGCTCGAGTGGGAAGCAGCTCCTTCGCGCAGATGAAGTTGCTGTTCCTGGCTGCTGAAGTGACCAATTGTGTGTGCAAGCCGCTCGCCGAGGTGCTGCCTTCGACGTTGAAGAAGCAGATGCTGCGTCAATTGTGTGACCTGTTACTTGAGCTTGGGCACGCACGCCGCAACAATGGGATCATGAAGGCTATTGGTCTGGGTGGGTCGTTGCAATACGGCGTGGAGTTCCACGTCTCCTGTTTGGCTGCGGGGATATTCCTGCGGTTGCAGACGCGGAATGGAGCACCGCTGAGAACGGACGACCGTAATCCATTCAAGATGACTCGAACCACGGAGAAGCACCTGCGCTCTCTAGAGACGATGCTGCAGAGCAAGGATGCGTTCCAGCTCGGACGCCGTGCTGACGCCTTGGTGGACTTCGCTCGAGATCCCCGTCGGAGCCTCGCTGATCAAGACGAGTTCTTCGTGACGCTCTTCTCGAGCATGTATCCGGCTCAAGGGTGGCTGCTGGCCAAGTGCTTGGCGTAACACGAAGAGATGGATAGAAAAATTAGGGTAGTAATTATTTGAACTGAAGAGCGAGAGGATTTGACTGGATTGCACTAGTGATAACTAAAACCGCAGTCTTTAACGTGACGCTTGCTTCGCACGGTACCTCTGTATAGCACTTTGATCACTGTGCCACGCAGAATGACTTATAAATGCCCCAGGAGTGCTGAACTGTTGTCCGCAGCCTTGATAAGGACACTCCAGTTCTTCTTCTGATGATGACGCCCGGAAGCCTCTTCCAACACCTTGTCCAAGCCCCCACTAGCTAGAGTAAATCCTGGAAGAACTGTACCGCCATGGAGGTCTCTCCACGTATTACTGTCAACGCATCGAACTCCTTCGTCGTCGCGCTTGTATTCGTACATGAGTTTGTTCTCAGGATCGATGAGCCAGCCCAATTCCACGCCGTGAGGGAAATACTCGCGTCGCATCTTGTGGTCGAGCGCTCTGAGGTTTGAATTGGGGCCTGCGAGAGTGTCAATCTCCACCACGAACGTCGGAGCAAAAGGCTCTCCATCACGGGTCCATTCCGTCGGCTGGTTTGTATGCAGACGATTGCGAGGGACATAAGCCACGTCGGGGACTCGCAGCGTCGTCCCATCTAAAACGACGTTCCCTAGCGCATTCATAACTCGCCCATTCCAACCGCTCCATTCCAGCAGCTTGTGGCAGATGTACGGTCGAACCACGCAGCGTCCGTAGACATCCAAGCGAAATGGCACGAACCTTCCTTCGTCAAGGAAAAATCCACGCTGCTCACCGAGATTTGGATGAGTAATTGGCCCGTGGTGCTTCACGTGTTCATTCATCTGCTCGAGAGACACACCGAGGTAGTCCTTGACGTGACACAGCGTCTTCTTCGACTCCAAGTCACGCACAAGTCGCGCAAATGCGTCTTCGCCGTCGGTCATCGCTCTTTTGTACTAGTGCACAAGACTCAATAAGTGTTGTCAATCCTCCTCATATCAATCACACACACGAATCGAAGAATTCAAAGTAAGGTAAACGATATATGAATTACACAGCTAATACATAGGCTCGCACTAGACCTAGCAGCCGTGACCGCCAGCGATACGCATGCAGGAGGTCGAGGGGTTTAACGTCAGCGCCGTGATAGTCAACGTGTACACGAACAGCGCAACCCCGAAGGTGACAATAGCAGCGCTGGCACACTTCGTGTACCCGCCGTAGCTCCGCAGCTGCTGCGTATCGAGCTTCTGCCTCGGCAGGAAGAAGAGTCCGATGAAAGCCAACGCGTTGATGCCGTAGTTGAGCAGCAGCGCTATGAGCACGTCAAATCTCGCGTCCGGGGTGTCCATCGCGACCTCGGCGATGTTGTAGAAGTTGGTACCGTCGAACAGACCCACAGAGTTGGTCTGCACGAAGATGCTGACCAAGAAGTACATGGACAGCATGAGCCCCACCATGGCGCCCTCCGAGCCTTCCTGCATGATCTCCGTGAGCGGCACCATGCTCGCAAGCCAGCCGATCCCAGCCGAGACGCTGGTGAACAGCGTCATGAGACGGTAGAAGTACCGGTCCCGGATAATATCCTGGGTGACGCAGATCGCGACGATCATCTGCGGGATGACGAGTAGAACCGTCGACATGGAGTAGAACGAGCGCCACGGGCGGTTCATGAAGTAGTATCGCCACACCACGACGGTCCCCAGCATGGCGCCGTAGTACATGACTTGCTGCACGAACGAGTTGTCGCCAGTGGCCCCGGCCCAGACGCTCACCACAACGGACGGCCCGCTGAACGCGATGCCGCTGAACAGCGTGAAGAAGCACATGAAGACCAATATACTCCACACGGCCTTCTGCTGCATGATCCGCCACAGAATCTGGCCTCGAGTCTTCATAGGCGTCGACAGGGAATAATACTTCTCCTGCCACGCCTTCCACACCAAAGGTATCGAGAGAGCGATGACCAGACCGGACGCGAGCAACGGCGTGCAGTGGTGCGTTGTAATGAGCGACACAACGTACGCACAGGCGTCTGTGAAGATGTACACGAGACAGCGGAAGATGAGGTACGTGGCCTGAATAGCTCCACGCTGACCGAGAGGTTCACGCTGCGATAACTCGAGCACGCGCGTGTGCACGCACACATAGGCGATGATGTTCCCAACACTAGCCAACGTCGCGAACGTGATGATCGCGGCAGCCAAGCCCAAGCCCGCTGTTCCCTGATCCAGAGTTTCAATGTACCCGTCCAGTCCAGAGAGAGCGAACAGACTCACCACGGTGATCGATAGTCCGATAAGCAGGTAACCTTTGCGTCGGAAGCCGAAGATCGGGTAGCAGTCGGACAGCAAACCAATAAAGAAGCAGAAGACTTGCGGGATCGCTGTCAGTCGCTGCGCCGCCGCCAGTTCCGCCGTCTTGAGACCGAAATGCTCCTTCAGCATTGGCTGGATGACACTGTTCAGACACTCGATGGAGAACGTCGACGCGAAGGTGGCAGCCACGAGTCCGGCGCACTCGAGCGAGAAGAAATCCACGGCGCCGCCTTTGCGCAGACTTCCGTAGATCTCGGCGTTATACAGCGGCTGGCCTGCACCATTCTCCACGACGGAACTGTCGTCGTTGCTGGTCACTGAAGCGATTGGCCGCTCGATCGACTGGGCCTCGCTGAAAGGCCCCAAGGACGGCGACTTGAAGGCCCTCGGGTCCAGCTTGAGCTCGAACGAGGAGGGAAACATGGCCGTCTCGCGACCCAGACGTCCCGACAAGTCGATCACCACGACTTCCTCCACAGTGGCCAAGGGTGGGGGGATAAGTCTCGCCTTCAGCTGGAATTCGACAAGTGGACTGTGGTTAAAAGCCCCTTGGTTGCCTTCTGGAAGTCCGCACCATCCCGCTTGAGCGCCTGGCGCAAGAATTTCTTGGGTGGAGCACAGTATGCGGGGTTTCGTGTCCAGCTGCATATGATATGAACAGAAGTTTGTCTTATCTCTATAGTTTTAGAGCTCAAAAGTACGCATCCAGCTGGTTCATCAAGCCAAGATGATTGACTTTTGGAACGAGTGAAGCGCAGATAAATGCACCGCAGCGGGTGAGACGTGATGGACCGACTCACCAGACTGTGGGGGGAAACAACCGGATATACTGTGAGCGACTCGCTATAGAGCTCGTCACTCGATGAGGAAGAAGGCGTTGCTGACATTTTACTTCCGTTCCAGCATATGACCGACTGCGAGGAAGCCAGCCAGAGCAAGCTTATATGGACAGTCATTTCGTACATATTATTGGAAGCATCGAGCCCCCCCCCCCCCGGCGAGTGTAGGTAGACGTACAAGTACATGCCCAAGAATGGCCGCAATCGCTTCGATAGCCATCAGTCTCGTCGCAACTGTTTGATGTCGAACGAAGCGATACTTGTTGAAGTGCACGTAAGTTACAGTGTTGCGGCGATCGGCAAACCAAGCTCCACGAACCCTTCACGAAAGCAGAAGCACCACAGATTTCCACTAGGTACGAGCTTTTTTGCCGCACTCCTGGATGCGATTTGTATTGTTATTATTGTGCTTTGCAGATAAAATGTCGCCCCGTTTTATGGCCTAGATCGAGGAAGGCCGGTCCACAAATCAGGGTACAAAACAGAGGCGGTAGCTCGATTTACTTAGATCGACCTCGAATTGCGCTTTTGAAAACGCAAAAGGGATCGATTTACCGTAGATCGACCTCGTTCTGCCCAGATCCACCAGGAGATCGACCTCGAGCCCTGATTTGGATTGTCGTAGCTCGAGTTATTAGCCGGCCTAAATAGATCGATCTGTCCCTTTCTTTGACCTCGTTTTATTAAATCGACCTCGACTTAATGATAAATCGAGGAGAGCTCCAAGTCAAAACGACAAAACGTTTGCAAAGTACAATACTAGTTATTTATTCGCTAATGAAATTGGTACAGCAACCATCACGTTACAGTGACACCTCCCTGAACCCCTCTAACTGACTATGTGTTCCCTATCTGGTTAGGATTCCTCGACTGCAAACGGGATTATATGGATTTCACTATAGGTGTTCTATAACTGATCAAAAACCTCTTTATTCTCTAAATGATCGCCATTGTTGGCGCCTCAACCCTCTAAATGGACGCCGTAGTAATAGATCCAAACTCATATATTTTTCTCAATCACTTGCCTGCCTCCTCCCACGTATGCCATTGCTACCACTACTCCCGCCACAACAAATCGAGCGAAGAGAGAAATTTTATTTGGGATGCTAAGTTGGAACAAAGAGTTTACAGTAACTGCAAGCTTGTAAATACTGATAAATAAGCTAGCCACAGTATTTTACAATCAGCGCAGCGTACATATATATTTTACGAAAAACTAAAATATTATGATGTCGAGACAACTAGGGGCTATGCAGTACTGCAGGCATGGTGGCAGGTCGGGACAACAAATATTCCCATAACCTCACTGTATTGAAACTCAGTGTGAAGACGAAACAAAACAAGACTACGAAAATGCTGGAGGGGTTGTATTGTGGTGCACAATTTATGCGAAAATGTAGCCATTAGAAGTGTAGCCATTTCTTTATCTGATCAATTCTTTAACTGAAACAGCGATTAGACCGAGCGAACTGGGTGTCATTTATAGAGGTGTGACTGTATTTATTTCATCGTATGACCTTTTATCTTGCTGTTTGTACACTCCACAATGTAATTTTCAGCAATTTCCTATTAAAATAATTCATTTCACACTTGTGAGATTTTGCAGCAGGTATTAATTTTTCAACATGTTAAAAATCGATATAAATATAACTTTGGGCTTCGCATTGCGAAGAGATATCGTACAATTGGTCAAGGAGGAAAACTTATGAAAGGATACTTCTTCATCCGAGCTGTCTACCCCGGTTGGACAAAGCTTACAGGTACTGTATCTCTGGTGTGCATGCATCGCAGTGCGGTGCATGATGCAGGTCGACCTATCGTGCGGTCCTTCGTTCACGGACCATTCGTCGACACTAAACGTTCAACGTTGAACTGCAATCGAAAGCGTAACCAAGCGTTTGAATGCAAAGGGAGGCGCCTCGACTGGGACGTGTAGGTCGAGTGCGCACGCGACGTTCGCTACAGTAGTCTCCGACTGGCGAACCGACCAGAGCTCGCTGTCCGTTGGTTGAAGCGTTGGCGCAAGTGCCGCCCATCCTAATCGGGCCGCGGTGATGAGTAAGTGCACATGCACTCGGAAAATTGCAACTGTCACCCAAGCCAGCGTGACCCGTCGATTCTATTGACTCTACATGTATTAACTCTGCTAACGTTGCAGAGTATTACGCTGGATCGTCCAAAGTCAACGTTTACCCTGTTGCAGTTCCACGCGCTTGAATGGTCGTTGGGTAGTCCCCAGTACCAGCCAAAGGCTACACCAACCTAACACCTCACTCTTCATTCCTCCTCCTACCAAGCACAAGCCTCCCATTCAACCAAGTCCAAGCCCACCAAAGCATGGCGACCAGCTACGCCGAAGTAGCGTCGCCCAAGCCGGTGACGGCCTTCGACGAGGCCAACAAGGCCGCGGCTCGGCTCATCAAGCCCAAGACGATCCTGTACACGAGCGCGCTGCTGTCGTGGCTGCAGCCCTTCCAGAGCGGCTGGTCCACGGCGCAGATGAACCTGTCGCAGTACAACGACACGGACGAGTGCAACGCGCGCCCCGTGGCCGAGGACACGTGCCTCATGTTCCCGGGCCACTCCAAGCTCGAGTGGACGTTCGCCGTCAACGCGTGGATCTTCGGGGCCATGGTCGGCTCGCTGAGCTGCGGCCACTTCAGCGACAAGTTCGGCCGCAAGAAGGCGCTCATGGGCAACTGCGTCTTCATGCTGCTCGGCGGCGTCATCCAGGCCTCGGTGTCGAACGTTTGGTTGTTCGCTCTGGGCCGCCTCATCGCCGGCCTCTCGTCGGGTACAGCCACGGCCACGATCGGCGGCTACATCAACGAGCTGTCGCCGCCGCACATGCGCAACACGCTGGGTCTGGGCCTTCAGATCTTCACGACGCTCGGCATCTTAGTGCCCGCGATCTGCTTCTTCTTCGCCAACACCAGCAGCGGCTGGCGCTACCTGGCCGCCTTCCCGTGCGTCTTGGCGTTGATCTACCTGTTGCTGGCCCCCTCAATGGCGATCGAGAGTCCGGCGTGGCTGCTCACCAAGGGCCGAAGGGAGGAGGCGAAGCAGGTGATCGCTAATCTGTATGGCGAGGAGCACGTGGCCACTGCGCTGTCGTGGCTCGAGGTGAGCAAGCCCCACGCGGAGGAGGGCAATTCTACCTCCAAGGAGTCCATGTTCGCCCCGCGCTACCGCATGCAGCTCCTCGGCGGGCTGCTGCTCTCGTGCTCCCAGCAGTTGTCCGGTATCAACGCCGTGTTCTACTACTCCGGTAGTATCTTCTCCGACGCTGGCATCTCGGACTCGCGCATCGGTACGCTGATCATCAACTTCATCAACATCTTCCCGGCCTTCTTCACTGGCGTCTTGGCCAACCGCTTCGGGGCTCGGAACATGATCCTGTGGGGGCTGGCGGGCATGGTGGTGATGGCCGTGGGCATGACGGTGGCCTTCATTGTGGACGTACCGGCGCTCTCGATCGTCTTCACGGCGCTGTACGTGATCGCGTTCGGCGTGACGCTGGGGCCGCTGGTGTGGGTCATGACGGCCGACATATTCCCGGACTCGATCCGCGCGAGCGCGTCGTCGCTCTGCATCGGCGTCAACTGGCTCTGCAACCTCATCGTGGGCGTGGCCTACCCGTACATCTCGGACGCGCTCGACGACTACGCCTACGTGCCGTTCGTGGTGCTGCTGGCGATCTTCTACCTGCTGGGCCTCAAGCTCGTGCCGGAGACGTCGGGCAAGTCGGCCGAGGAGATCCTGGCTGAGTACGACTCGCGCCGCGAGAGGGCTGCGAACTAGTGAATGCGTGCGTGTCTGCTCTATTTTTCCCGATCATTCGCACCTGCATAGAGGCCTTCGTTTCGTTAAAAAATACAAATCAACAGTTTGGCCATGTTCTAAGTTCGTGTCGAGCTTGAGTCTCTTATTGAAATCGCGGAATCGAGTCAGTGCTTGTTGCTTATGGTTGTGGTTCGAGAGCAGCGGACGGGAGTGGGAAAACGATAATTTCTCCTTACATTTCGCCGCTGTGTTTGCATTCTTCACCTTCTTCGTCGCCTCAAACGCTATCGCCGATCACCGGTTGTATCGATCCCAACTTATTGCAGGGATTTCCTCATCTGCGGCGACGCTATCCTGGTCGTTTGATGACCGAGCTCACCGTGATCCCCCCAAACAGCAACAATACACCTGGGTCTTTCGCACTGGAAGTGCCACTTGACTTCCGGAAGTAGAACGAGCTGGTGAGCGCAAAGTTCGTTGCGTTTGGGATATGGTGTGGATCATTTGACAGCTTCGAGGCAGGAAATTCGTCGTTGAAGCAGCTTAAGGCCGGGTTTTCGCACTTAAACGTCGTTAACTGCGTTCGTAGGATCGCCTCCAGTTATTTATCGCGCAGTAACTAAACAGGCTTTTCGTGCACACCCAGTTCAAATAACATGCCACGAAATGAAGAAGCAGCAGCGGCGTCCCGCAATCAGTAAATGACTTTATCCCTGGCGTCGGGGGTGACTGCGTTCAAACGCTGCATCAGCAGCAACTTCACGAATGTGGTCGGCTCTGCCATTGTGCCTTCCCTGTGGGTCGGTTGGGTTTGGTACCCAGTGGCAGATACCGTGGTCCGTTGCCTCGAGGACTCTCCGCAGATAAATACATTGTCCTTCTTCGCAATAGTTTCTTTGATCAACGTTAGCCGTCGATCAACGAAGGTTTTGTCCACTCACGGGCAACTCCGTCAAATACGCGGAAGCGCTGTTCAATTACGTCCGCAAACTTGGTCAGCTCGTGGACAGCGATGCTAGGTCCCTCTTCCCGATTCCTCTGGGTTCCGTTACCAAGCGGCGCAGTTCCTGTGAGATTCACTTCTTCAGATGCAATGTGCAGCTCCTCAGATCCCAGAGCGGCATGACCAGAACGGGGTGCCATTCGCTCTTGCTGAGTACGCCAAGCCAGTCGTCGGTTGGACTTGTAAAGCAGACCATGTGAAAGCCCACGGGACTGTATTGTGGTGGCCCGTCGTACAAGTGAATCAGTCCGTCCTTCGCTTCGTTCTCGATGATATCGCCCATCGACAACCAGTTCGTTGTTTGGGCAATCTTGTGACCCCTCTCCACACTACCACCTCCGTCATTGTGGAATGCGTGCTGAATGAGGCGGCGATGATCGTGGTCTTCTGGTTCTCGACGCTGAAGCGCAGGAAGAAGTACGCGAAGAACATGGACTTGCCGATGCCTGCGCCAAACAATTAGGAAGAGCTTGTCATCAGAAACAGATATTCTTTTTTACAAACTCACAGACTCACCTGGCGTCCCCGTGGTCGTCACCGCTAGGGCGTCTTGCTTGAGCAAGCGAATGACCAGCTCATAATATACACAGGATAGCACTCGCGCTCGAAGAAGATTGAGTCGTTCCAGGAGTCCGCGCATCCGTTGTAAACCTTTGGGCGGTAACCATCGTCTTGCTGCCTTTCGGTTTGGCAGGAGGTTCCGGTGACAACGCCGATGCTTCGTCAAGCCGCTGGCGCTTGGACGGGTTTATTGACACCATTGACTCTGTCTACGAGCGAAGCCTCCGTCGACTTGGTCCAAAAGTTTTTGTCGCTCACCTCACGATGGGGTACAAATGTCTTCTGTGCACCATTGAAAGCTGTCAACTATCTCCCCGCCGTCAACCAAGGCACGCAGTTAGCTGCATCATACTGATTCCCATACTTACCACGCTACGCACCTCACTTTTGACATCTCTCCGGTCGACTTGTAGCCTCCTCGACTTATCCCCGATCGAGTCGAAGCGCACAACTCGAATGCGTATACTGTACTGTAGTACCGTGTACAGGATAACATACAGGATACGGTATCCTGGATACCGCATAACAGCGATAAGAGTCGTGTTTGAAGAGCACAACGTAACGACGCGCGCAACGCTACACCTTGCAAGCTGATCTCTTCAACAAGAAGGCTCACCCTCGCTCGGCTTCATGACACCATGGCTGCTCCATTGCGCTCGCAGCTAGATTCATGCTGTCAATTGCACCAAGATGCTCGTCCACGCAAGTATCAGCGCCCCCATGTCGCTGCCGCGCCAGTCAACGAGTACATGTACTCGCCAGCTGTTCATCATTCATTGCCCGCGTGCCCATTCATCCACCCCGAAATCCACGACGGTCTCCGCTATCAAGACTCTTGATTCAAGAGCCCGAGCCCGCCGTGACAGCGTCTGGATGTGCACCTCCAGCCGACGACCACTGCCGTCACTTCCTGGGCCATTTTGTGTGAGCAGTCAGCAGCATCGCAGCGCTGACTGTCGCCCCGCGAGCCGAGTCAGCCAGCCAGCCAGTGCCTCTGCCTAGACTCTACGCGTTACGTACGCTGGGGATCCGATCTCCATAGCCCGGGCCTCCAGTGGAACCGACAGCGCACGCCTCTCCTGGCTGGCAGTCACGACGGCAGCACAGACAAGAGCGAGAGAGGAGGCCACTTCATCACGCTCCTCGTCGACGAGTGGCCGCGCCGTGCTGAGCTGGTGCTGGCTCCCTTCATTTCGTGATTGGATCGGCATCGCTAGTCGCGCGTTGTGTGTTTGGCGGTAAGGGAGGACTGAAGGAATTCAGCGCCATGTACGACCCGGACAACATGTACGACGCCAAGTCGGTGAACGGCATGGTGCCGCAGCCGCCGATGGACTTCAGCACGTTCGAGTCGCCCATGGACTTCAACGCGAGCGGCGCGTCGTTCGACGACCAGGGCGGGCGCTTCGTGGCGGGCGAGCAGTTCTACAACCACGAGATGTACGGCAGTCTGCGCAAGGGCGGCGCCGTGGACTTTTTGTCCATGGAGTGTCTGGGCCTCGTGGCCGCCATCTTCACGTCCATGCTGTCGTACCAGGCGCTGGTCGTGCTGGTGCAGCCCATGTACAACACGCAGCTTGGACTCAGCTCGACCGAGATCGTGGCGGTGGAGCGCCTCATCCAGATGCCCATGGCGCTGAGTTTCCTCGTCGGTCTGCTGTCCGACTGCTACCCGATCATGGGGCTGCGGCGCAAGGGCTACATGATCTTCGGCTGCATCCTGAACGCCGTTGCGGTCTTTGCTATCGCCGGCGTGAGCGCTTCACTTGGTGATGACTCGACGGCGAGTAGCGGGATGGTTATCTTCGCGCTCGTGCTGGTGGCGCTGGCCAGCATCGGCTGCATCATCACGTACGTCTGCGTGCACACGCGCGTGATCGAGTACTCGCAGCGCGAGTCGCTCCGCGACCGCGGCGCCATCCAGGCGTCGTACTTGATCTTCCGCCGATTCGTGTCCATCTTCACGTCGGTTCTGTCGTTCCTGGCGCTGGGCACGGGCTCGGAGCCCAACATGTCGGTGTCGGCGGCCATGATCGTGCTGGGCGTGCTCTCGATCCTGCCGCTGCCGCTGGTCATACGCTTCTGGAACGAGGAAGTGTACTCGCTCAACACGTCCATGAAGATCCGCAGCCAGATCCTGTGGAAGATCATGCAGCAGAAGGCCGTTTGGCACGTCCTCGCCTTCATCTGGTTCTTCACGCTGTTCCTCGGCATCAAGTTCAGCGACTCGACGCGCGTCATCAGCACGTGGGCGGGCGCCAGCGGCGACAACTCGCTGCTGGTCAAGACCATCCAGGACGTCGTCATGATCGGCATCATGCTCGTGTGGCGCTACCTGTTCATCAACCGGCTGTGGCCCATCTTCTTCGCGCTCGCGCCGGCCTTCCAGATCCTGCCCAACCTCTTCGTGTCGCTCATGGTGGCGCTGGACGTGGCGCGCGACCGCTACTTCTACCGCGTCTTCTACTCGCTCACCTACGTCTCCGATGGCATCGGGTTGCTCAACACCATTGTGCCCGTGACTGAGATCGTCCAGGAGGGCTCAGAGGGCGCACTAGTAGGCCTGACCCTCACGCTGCAGCGCTGCGTCAACATCTTCGTGGACACCAACGCCTACGGAGTGTTCCAGGGCTCCAACTACTACGACACGGCAGCTGTGGCCGCTGATACATCGGACGCCCGCTGGGACGTGCTGCTGTCGCTGTTCCTCAACTTTGCACTCAATGCACTGGCGTGGGTGGGGCTCTTCTTCCTGCCCTCACAGAAGCTGGACGCCCAGCAGCTACGCATGTACGGCGGCTTCACCAAGTTCGGGGGCTTCGGCATCCTCGCCTTCTGCCTCGTGCTTTTCATCTACTCCTTCGTGGTGACCCCCATGGCGTTAATACCGTCCACCTCGTGCCTGACCATCGTCGGTGGCTCCGGCTGCTAGCAGACGCAGTATTTATGAAGGACGGGTATGCAATGAATGAATGAAATGTCAGAAGATGGAAAAGCTCGTCTTTCAGGTGGTCATCTTATACGACCGCGAGCCCGTTGGCAAGTGGCAGAGCGACGCTGGTCATTGTAAAATTTTTATACGCCTTTTGTTTGGACGAGAGTGAAGCGCGGTGAGTCAATGCTACGTGGTCCATTGAGTCTCCAGTTGCTCACGTTGTATTACGGTATCATGTGTTCTTGTTGTTCGCGCCCAGGTTGCGGCTTACGCAGGCACGTTTCTTGGGTTGTCGTTCATTGCCGCGAATGCACAGCTGGCTGTAGCTAGTCAACTAGTTGTGGCAATGTGGCAGAGCGAGCCTACTGGGGCCTGGTATATCTGTCAGATAAGACGTGCAGCTGGACCAAAGCCGCAGCACCGCAAGTTAAAGCAAGAGACTTCAATACAGCGCCGAGGATCGCCATCTTCACTTGTCAACTTGCAGCGACGAACACTCGCTCCACCCCGCCAGTTACACTGGAGGACGAAGTACTTGTCGTGGATTTATCCGTCGGCTGCGGCGCACGACCATGAATTTGCTGTCTTCGAGGGGGCTCAAGATGGATTTCAAGAACATGCAGTCGCCCTCGTTCGACCTCGCGAGTGGCCGTGGGGGTGACATGATCCCTCTGCAACCAATGTCTGCCATATCCGCTGTGCGCGACGCCGAAACTTCAGTCGTCGAGATCTGCGCAGGCCAACCTCTCTACAACGCCGAGATCTACGGCAGCCTTCGAACTGGTGGCGCGGTCAAGTTCTTCTCCAAATACTGCCTCGGACTCGTAGCTGCAACGTTCTCGTCGACATTTACGGTCGAGTGCCTCAACAGCGCGGTCCAACCTCTACTCAAGCAGCATTTCGGCCTCAACCCGGCTCAACTGGCTGCTTCTCAGCGTCTCACGTCGATGCCCTTGGTGCTGAGTTTCCTGTTCGGATTATTGACCGACTGCTACCCGATCATGGGGCTGCGACGCAAGGCGTACACGCTCCTCGGTTTAGCTACAACCGTCGTGAGCATTTGGGTTCTAGCTGGGTTTAACGCCTACATGAACACACTAGCACAAGGGGCTGCTGGTACTGGGCTCGCCTTCATCGTGATCTCGTTCGCGTCGCTTGCTATCCTCGGGAACATCGTGTCGTACGTGAGCATCCACACGCGCGTGATCGAGCTGGCTCAGCGAGAGCCTTTGGGGCTTCGCGGATCAATCCTGGCGACATATTTGATCTTCCGGTGCGCGGTGTACATTGTCACGGACGCGTGCGTCTTCGCGGTGCAAAGCTCGGGGGCAACGGCCACGACAGCTTTCGTGGTATATGGCTTCATCATCGCCCTGCCGCTTCCTATCATCTACAAGTTTTGGGAGGAGAAGTACTACTCGCTGTCGACGACCGTGAAGACGCGAGGGCAGATCCTGTGGAAGATCATGCAGCAGAAGGCCGTGTGGAGCGTGCTGGTGTTCCTGTGCTTCTTCACGCTCTTCAACCAGATCACGTTCAGCGGTCCGGCCATGGTCATCACCACGTGGGCCGGAGCGAAAGAAGACAGTATTTTCTTGCAGCAGCTCAATTACTACGGCGCGACAATAGTGACGATGCTGGTGTGGCGCTATTACTTCATGAACCGCCCGTGGCGCAGCTTCTTCGCCGCTTGCCCGGGATTTCTCATCGTTCCTCAGCTGATCGTGGCAATTCTCGTAAGCCAAGATATTCTCCGAGACCGGATATTCTATCGAATCATGACGCTCTTCGGAAGTGTTGCGGCCGCTATCGGCTGGCTCGGTAGCGTTGTTCCGTTGACGGAGATCATCCAGGAAGGCTCGGAAGGTGCCATGGTCGGTCTCACGCTGTCGCTCTACTTCCTGGTCGGCATCTTCGTGCAAACCAACTCGGTCGGTCTGTTTAGCGGAACCAACTTCTACGACGTCGCCGCTGTCGCAGCCGATACTCCTGAGGCGCGTGGGGACGTTCTCAAGGCGCTCATGCTCAACTACGGCATCAACGCGTTGGCGTTCTTCGGCCTCATCTTTTTACCGCGTCAGAAGCTTGACACGCAGCAGCTCCGCAGCTACGGCGGGTACACCAAGTGCGCCAGCGCTGCCATCGTCACCTTCTCTGCGATCCTGTTCTTGTACTCGATTGCGGTTTCCATCATGACGTTCATCCCGGGGACTGCTTGCATTCGTATCACCGGTGGCTCTGGCTGCTAAGGTATGCCACCTATTAGTCTAGTGTCGCAATTCCGTGTTTAATTTATTTGTCGTGGTTACAGTCATTTAGTCCAGCTAACGACTCTTTCGCTTGCAAGTTACTACGTAAAAAGGTTGCTGTAATTTGCGCGCGTCGATCAAGCAGAACTTTCACCATCAATCAGTGTTGAGTACGCTGAACACCGAGAAGGGAGTCCCATTAAAAAACGATGCGCCTTTTGCACTTATTGAAACATTATTTATTTATTTAAGCAATGTTTAACTTTTAAGTATTTTATTAAAAAATGCCATATTGGTATATATTTTTAATTACTATGTTAATACATTGTGAAAACAATATTAAAAATTCACATCGTAATCAATAAGCTATTTATATTTCATTAAAATATGATAAAATAATTGTGTTGGAATATTATTTTATATAAATATAAATATATAAATTGCAACTTTCAGAAGTCCTGACTGATTAGCAAACTCCTGACCAAATTGCAAATTCCAAGTCAAACTCCTGATCAAATTGCAATTCCCCCCCCCCCCAAAGAAATATGCACAACACGGAGTGAGGTCGAAAATTCAATTTTCGCCTGCCCAGAGGAATCGGGTAGCAGTCTGCCGCGCCATGAGCTGGACATTTTTTTGCGAATGGGCTCCAATGTGACGCCTCAGCTCGTTGTGCCCAGGTTGCGGCTTACGCTGGCAGCTTTTTTAGCTTGTCGTTTGCAATTGCGAACTTTACAGCTGGCTGCAGCTTGAGCGAATCAACCGGGTGCTAGTGTATCAGTCAGATAAGACACCACTATGGTTTCGTGCAGCTGGCCTGCACCACCAGCACCGCAAGCGGAGAGGAAGACCAACCGCTGAAGTTGGACGCACCTCATTAGTCAACTTGCAGCGACGGACTCTCACTCCGAGTCACTGGAGACCTCCAACCACCCTGGAGGACGAAGTGCTCGTTGTCGACTAATCGGGGCGGCTGCAGCGCACGATCATGGATTTGTTGACTTCGACGGGGCTCAAGATGGATTTCAAGAACATGCAGTCGCCCTCGATGAACCTCACGAGTGGGCGTGGGGGTGATATGATCCCTCTGCAACCGCTCTCAGCAGCTATGTCTCCCGTACGTGATGACGAGGCTTCAGTCGTCGAGGTCTGCGCTGGCCAGCCTCTCTACAACGCCGAGATCTACGGCAGTCTTCGGGCGGGCGGTGCGGTCAAGTTCTTCTCCGAGTATTGCCTCGGTCTGGTCGCTGCCACGTTCTCGTCGACATTCGCGGTTGAGTGCCTTATCACCGCGATCCAGCCTCTGCTCCAGCAGCACTTCGGCCTCACACCAGCTCAACTGGCAGCTTCTCAGCGTCTCTCGTCGATGCCTTTGGTGCTGAGCTTCCTGTTCGGACTGCTAACCGACTGCTACCCGATCATAGGGCTGCGACGCAAGGCGTACACGCTCATCGGCCTGGTGACCACCACCATCAGTATTTGGGTCCTAGCTGGACTCAACGCGTACATGGACTCGCTGGCACAAGGGGATGCTAGTACCGGTCTGGCGGTTGCTGTGATCGCGTTTGCTTCGCTGGTCAGCCTCGGAAACATCGTGACGTATGTCAGTATTCACACGCGCGTGATCGAGCTGGCTCAAAGGGAGCCTTTGGGGCTGCGGGGATCAATTCTGGCGACGTATTTGATCTTCAGAAGCGTCGTGTACATTATCACGGACGCGTGCGTCTTCGCGGTTCAGAGCTCTGCGACCGCAGGCACTTCTCATCAAACGACAGCCCTCGTGGTATACGGCTTCATCATCGCTCTGCCGCTTCCGATCATCTACAAGTTTTGGGAGGAGAAGTACTACTCGCTGTCGACGACCGTGAAAACTCGAGGCCAGATCCTGTGGAAGATCATGCAGCAAAAGGCCGTGTGGAGCGTGCTGGTGTTCCAATGCTTCTTCACGCTCTTCAACCAGATCTCGTTCGGAGGACCGTCGACGATTATCAGTGTGTGGGCTGGAGCGAGCGGAGACAATGTGTTCATGCAGCAAGCGATGCACTACGGAATCGTGGCGATAACGGTGCTCGTGTGGCGCTACTACTTCATGAACCGCCCGTGGCGCAGCTTCTTCGCTGGTTCTCCGGGACTCCTGATCGTGCCACAGATGATTGTCGCGATCCTGGTAAGCCAAGACATTCTTCGCGACCGCGCGTTCTATCGGTTTATGGCCTTGTTTAACAGCATATCCTTCGGTATCGGCTGGCTTGGAAGTGTGGTTCCATTGACGGAGATCATCCAGGAAGGCTCGGAGGGTGCCATGGTCGGCCTTACCTTGTCACTCTACTTCCTCGTCGGCATCTTCGTGCAAACCAACTCGGTCGGACTTTTCGAGGGAAGCAACTTTTACGACGTCGCTGCGGTCTCAGCTGACACTCCAGAGGCGCGTGGGGACGTTCTCAAGGCACTGATGTTCAACTACGGCATCAACGCGTTGGCGTTCTTCGGCCTCATTTTCTTACCGCGTCAGAAGCTTGACACGCAGCAGCTCCGTAGCTACGGCGGGTACACCAAGTGTGCCAACGCTGCCATCGTCACCTTCTCTACGATTCTGTTCTTATACTCGTTTGCGGTTTCCATCATGACGTTCATCCCGGGGACTGCTTGCATTCGTATCACCGGTGGCTCTGGGTGCTAAGGTATGTCCACCCAGTTTAGTGTTGTAAAAAATATGATAAGTTATTGGTCAACTTGTTTCTGGCTGATTTACTTATACGACGGGCCACCACAATATAGTCTCAAATCGTCTGCTTACAAGCCCAAGCACGGATGAAGTCTTCGTTGATCGACGGCTAACGTTGATCAAAGAAACTATTGCGAAGATGGACAATGTTCTGCATATGCGCAGAGTTCTCGCGGCAACGGACCGCTGGATCTGTCACTGGGTGCTAAACCCAACCGACCCACAGGGAAGACACACAATGGCAGAGCCGACCACATTCGTGAAGTTGCTGCTGATGCAGCGTTTGAACGCAGTCACCCCCGACGCCAGGGATAAAGTCATTTACTGCTTGCGGGATGCAGCGCCTGCTACTTCATTTCGTGGCATGCTATTTGAACTGGGTGTGCACGAAAAGCTTCTGGATGTATAGTTACCGCACCGCAGGTAACGGGAGGCGATCAAGCGCAGTTGAAGACGTTCAAGTGCGAATACCCGGCTTCGAGCTGCTTCAACGACGAATTTTCCGCCTCGAAGTTGTCAAATGACCCGTGCCATATCCCAAGCGCAACAAACTTAGCGCAAACTTAGCGTTCAGCAGCTCGTTCTACTACGTGAAGTCAAGCGGCACTGCGGGTGGTGCAGTGTTGCTGTTTTTGATCACGATGAACTCGGTCCACCCTGCAAATGGAGCAGAACTAGCGAAGGCTTTGAAGCTGCTGGGGCTGTTGAAGACAGTAAAAGAGGACCCACAGCGTGTTGCGCTCATTTTCGTGGTCCTGAAAGAGAACATCCAGAGCTTTGGGCCCCAAGAGATCTCACTGGATGCGTTAAACGGTGAGGATAACGTGGACAAGCTCCACCAAATGGGGAACAGGTCGAGGAAATCCTTGCGAGAGTTTGGAATCGCCACAATCGGTGACTTGCGAACGCTTTTGGCGACGGAGGAGGCGAAGGATACGAACGCAGTGGTGAAGCTTTCATTTGCAACTCTCCGTCGACGCCTGACCACGCACGACGAGAACCAACAATGGTCTGTGTGTTCGACTCCATTCCGCAGTTTGTATGGGGGCCTGAGCTGGACGCCAAGTACTTGCGTAGCAGTGATTCCGACACATTAGGGTGGAGCAACTGGGATGGGTACGTTGGTTCAGCAGCGCAGTAGTGTGGGTCGGTCTATCCCAATTGTGATTGTTATACGCAAGCCGAGTCAATATACAAGTTCACCTTGAACCTATCCAGTCTCCCACCTCCTTACTGTGTGCGTCGCCCCTCTTGCTGTGGCAGAAGGCTCCACTGACCCCGTCGTCTTCGCATGCGCACCGCGACGAACCCAAGCACTCCGAGAGCGACCACCGCTGACAGCAACACTGGCGAATAGAGCGCCGGAGCAGCTCCATTCTGTGCCTCCTCCTTCGCCGTGGCAATCGCCTCTTCCTCCGCAGTTTCGTTGGCGCCTTCCGTCTTCTGGCTGGAGGAGACCTTGACGGGCTCCTCCGTGTCCTCCGTCACAGTCTCCGCCTGCACCACTGCCTCTACAGCCGCCTGCTCCGTCTTGACGGTCTCCTCAGCCACCGCAGTCGACGCATTGGCCGCAGCGTCCGCCGGCTGCTCACACACGATCCCCTCCCAGAGCTTGGGGTCTGACTTGAACGAGGCATCTCCCGGGTGCGAGACGCCCTCGGACCAGCGCACCACCGGGTTCTTGCGGTACACGAACTCGCAGCACGGGTCGCCCAGCTCCTGGCCGTTGGTCTGGCCGTCGCCGTCCGAGTCCTTCATGCAGAAGTCCCGCGTCCAGTGGAAGTCGGCGTCGATCATGTCCATGCCGAACTCGTTCATGGGGCCGGCCAGCACCGGGTCCAGATGCCCCAGCGCCGTCACGCCCGGCACCTTGTCGCCGTTGGGCACGCGCATCGCGTACATGGAGTAGCCGGACGCTGGGGGCGCCGCGAGCGCGGAGATTGCCAGACCGAGCAACGCGCGCATCCTGTCGATATCTGAGCCGATTGTTGAATGCCATCGGGCACGGCACGCCTGGATACGTGGCGGGGCATATAGACACGTCCTATTCACGTGAACTTGTCGTTGATGCCCAGGAACAGACGCTGAGCCAACTACAGTAATAGCCACCAAATACGAATCGTGTATTGGCACGCCCCATCGTGCACTGCACTGCAGTCCATTAGCTGCAGCGTTCCCGTGGTGCTCGTTAAAAACAAGTACATTACGTACAACTAAGCTTCGTTCGTATCGCCAGCCGCCCGAGACCCAGCAGCTCCTCTTCTCTCCTCTCTACACTTGGGCTCCTTCCTAGCTGTGGCTGTGGATGCCAACTGTATCTACATGGGCGCTCCTCTTCGCTGCCGGAAGATCGGCAGGTTGCGGGTTGACCGACGTCCAGTCCGCACCACCGCGAAGTAGACGACCACCGCCGTCAGCGCCACGGCCGAGAGCATCACCGACGACTGCAGCGCCGGAGCGCCCGCAGTCAGCTCCTGCTGCTGTTGCTGCTCCGCCGCCAGCACGACCGTCTCCTCCTCCTCCTCCTTCTTCTGCTGCTCTTCGGTCTTCTCATCTACTGTCTCCGGCTCTGCCGCCTCCGTCGCTTCCGGCTTTGTCTCCTCCGCAGCTTCAGCTTCAGCCTCTGTAGCCTTCTCCTCTGTGGCCTCTGGCTCTGCTGCCGCCCCGCAGACGACGTCCGCCCACAGCGCCGGGTCCGCCTTGAGCTCGGGGTCGCCCGGGTGGGAGACGCCCTGCGTCCAGCGCAGCTGCTCGTTCTTGCGGAACTCGAACTCGCAGCACGGGTCGCCCAGCTCCTGGCCGTTGGTCTGGCCGTCGCCGTCCGAGTCCTTCTCGCAGAAGTCCTTGGTCCACTGGAACATGGCGGCCACGAAGTCCATGCCGAAGTCGTTGTTGGGGCCGCCGCTCTCCTTCTCGTGGCCCAGCGCCTGCACCCCCGGGACGTTGCCCCCGTTCGGGATCTTCTTCTGGAACATCTTGTACGCCCCCGCCTCCTGCGCGCAGCCCAGACACAGCACGGCGCACACGGCGGCCGAGCGCCCCCACGTCGAGCGCAGCACGCCCATGGCTCGGACCTCTCCCCTGACCTTCCCCTGCTGCAGCTCGGCTGAGCCGTGAGCTTGTGTACGGTTTCAACGCAAACTAGACCCTGTATAATGCACTCTCTGAACCCAAATCGGATTGACCAGGTTCACCTGTGTTTTTCGATATCTATTATTGAAGTTGAAGGACCATCACTCTTGACTTTATATAGGGGCCGCGTTCTGATCGGCGCCTGCGCCAAATAGAGCCGCGTACTGCCGCGCTTGCTCACGAACGGTATGAACGGCGCGGGATGGTGCACACGTTGACGCGCGCCAGACAAGTCGGCGCTATTATAGGGGCATCCCCGTATCTGCGAATAGATGGTAGCAGCCGGCTGGAACAAACAGAGAGAGCTCACGTCACATCCCCCTGTGTGGCCTCTTTTGGTTTGCTGTTGACTCACTTGCATTCTTGCAGCACGGCGGCCACACTGGAGGAGGAAGAAGTCTTCGTCGTCGACTTGACTGGGCGCTTGCGTCGCTCCACGATCAAAATCATGTCGTCAGGGGACCTCAAGCTGGACGACCTCAAGCTCGACTTCAGCACGATCGAGTCGCCGCATCACAAGACCAGAGACACCGACGTTCTGTCGCCGCAAGGGGCCTGGAACACCCGCGATACGGCCGTCGAAAACGAACCGGACGAGCCGCTGTACAACACGCAGATCTATGGCGGACTGCGCAAAGGCGACACGGTCAAGTTCTTCTCCATCCAATGCATCGGGTTGGTAGCTGCCACCTTCTCGTCGACCTTTGCGGTCGAGTGCCTCAACAGCGAGGTCCAGCCTCTGCTCAAGGAGCACTTCGGGCTGAACCCTGCTCAACTGGCTGCTTCCCAGCGTCTCACGTCGATGCCTCAGGTGCTTTGCTTCCTGATCGGACTGCTGACCGACTGCTACCCGATCCTGGGGCTGCGACGTAAGGCGTACATCCTCATCGGTTTAGCGATGACCGTCGTGAGTATGTGGTGTCTTGCGGGAATGGACGCGTACATCGAGACGCTAGAGCCTGGGACTGCTAGTACCGGACTGGCCGCGATGGTGATCGCATTTGCGACGATAGCTAGCCTCGGAAACATCGTGGCGTACGTCAGTATCCAATCTCGTGTGATTGAGCTCGCCCAAAGAGAACCTTTGGGGCTTCGGGGGACGATCCTGGCCGCGTACTTAATCTTCAGAAGCGTCGTGTTCATCATTACGGACGCGTGCGTATACGCTGTTCAGAGTACTGCGACTCCAGGGGAAACGCACCATACGACGACTCTCATCGTATTTGGCTTTATTATCGCGGCGCCGATTCCTCTGATCTGCAAGTTTTGGGAGGAGAAATGCTACTCGCTCTCGACGACCGTAATGACTCGAGGCCAGATCCTGTGGAAGATCATGCAGCAGAAGGCTGTGTGGAGTGTGCTGGTGTTCCAGTGCTTCTTCACGCTCTTCAACATGATCAGTTTCAGCGGACCGTCCTTAATTATCAGTGTGTGGGCTGGAGCGAGTGGAGACAATGTGTTCATGCAGCAAGCGATGCACTACGGGATGGTGATCGTTACCGTGCTGGTGTGGCGCTACTACTTCATGAACCGCGCGTGGCGCGGCTTCTACGCTGGTTGCCCAGGGCTGCTTATCGTCTCCCAGTTGATTGTGACGATTCTCGTGAGCCAAGATATCCTCCGTGACCGCGTGTTCTATCGGATCATGACATTGTTCAGCAGCGCTTCAGCCGCTATCGGCTGGCTCAGTAGCGTGGTCCCGCTGACGGAGATCATCCAGGAAGGCTCGGAGGGTGCCATGGTCGGCCTTACCCTGTCGCTCTATTTCCTCGTCGGCATTTTCGTACAAACCAACTCGGTCGGTCTGTTCGAGGGAAGCAACTTCTACAACATCGCCGAGGTTGCATCAGACTCTCCAGAAGGGCGCGAAGATGTTCTCGTGGCGCTCATTCTCAACTATTGCATCAACGCGTTGGCGTTTTTCGGACTCTTCTTCTTACCACGTCAGAAGCTTGACACGCAGCAGCTCCGCAGTTACGGCGGGTACACCAAGTGTGCCAGCGCTGCCATTGTGGTCTTCTCCGCCGTTCTCTTCCTCTACTCATTCGCCGTTACGATCATGACTTTCATCCCTGGAGCTGCTTGCATTCGTGTCATGGGTGGCTCTGGCTGCTAAGATGCTATCATCCGTAGATATAGTTGTGAGCTCGGTAATTTATCTGGACTATCCTGAAACAAAACCGTAAAACACTTTCTTGATTAGAGAATTAATAACTGATCTAGCATCCCTGACCTCCAGCGATAGGCATACAGGAGGTCGACGGGATCAACGTAAGCGCGGTGACAGTCAACGAATAGACGAATAGTATCAGAGCGAAGGCGACGATGGCAGCGCTGGTGCACTTTGTGTATCCACCGTAGCTTCTTAGCTGCTGGGTATAGAGCTTTTGCCGAGGCAGGAAGGGAATTCCAAAGAAAGCCAAAGTGTTGATGCCGTAGTTGAGCAGCATCGCTCGGAGTACATCCGATCTTGCGTCCGCGGTGTCCATTGTGACTTCTGCGATGTTGTAGAAGTTGGAGCCATCGAACAGACCAGAGGTGTTCGTCTGCACGAATGTACAGACCAGAGAGTGGACCGACACAATGAGCCCCACCATGGCCCCCTCCGAGCCTTCCTGGAGAATTTCTGTGAGCGGGACCATATTGCTCAGCAAGTTGATGCCGATCGAGGCGCTGTTGAAGAGCGTCATGATGCGGTAGAAGTACCGGTCTCGGAGAATATCTTGCGTTACGCAGATCGCCACGATCATCTGCGGGATGACGAGAAATACGACGGCCATGGAGTAGAACGAGCGCCACGGTCGGTTCATGAAGTAGTATCGCCAAACCACCACCGTTATCAACATCGTGCCGTAGTACATCACTTGCTGCAAGAACGCGTTGTCGGCACTCGCGCCCGCCCAAACGCTGATGACGAAAGCCGGCCCGTTGAACTTGATATCCGTGAAGAACGTGAAGATGCACAAGAATGCCATTATGCTCCACGCTGCCTTCTGCTGCATGATCTTCCACAATATCTGGGCCCGAGCAGACACCGGTGTCGACAACGAGTAGCATTTCTCCTGCCACGACTTCCAGATCAGCGGGATCAAGGCTGCAATCACAAGCGCGAATATAAGCAGCGCCGTGCAGTGGTGAGACGTAAAGCTGAAGATAATGGTCGCACATGCGTCCGTGAGGATGTACACGCCGTACTGGAAGGCCAAGTAGTTCGCTTGAATAGCTCCACGCATGCCCAGCGGTTCGCGCTGCGACAGCTCCATCACTCGAGTGTGGACACACACGTAGGCCAGCGCGTTTCCAGTACTCGCCAGCGTCGCAAACACGATGATCGCAATAGCCAAGCCTGATTCTGCAGTTGGATCGTCTAATGCCTCCACGTACCCGTCCAAAATGGCGAGAACCAACAAGCTCATGACAGTCGTCCCCAAACCGATCAGCAAGTAACCCAGTCGTCGTAGTCCGAAGATCGGGTAGCTGTCCGATAGTAAACCGAAGAAGAAGCACAGCGTCATGGGGAATGTCGTAAGTCGTTTTGAGGCCGCCAGCTCGCGCGTCTTGAGTCCAAACTGCACCGTTAGCATGGGCTCGATCGCGCACGTGAGGCTTTCAATCGCAAATGTCGTCGCAAACGTGGCCGCCACGAGGCCGATGCAGTCCTTGGAGAAAAACCTGACGGCGCCTCCTTTGCGCAGACTCCCGTAGACCTCCGCATTGTAGAGCAATTCACCAGCCACGACGGAACGTTCAATATCACGAGACACTGGAGTCTTGTGCCCCGGGGCTGAGCCTGGTTTGGTGAAATCAGCGGATATCGAGGGCGACTGGTGTTGATCGCTTAGGCCCTTCGACGAGAGCAGCTTCATGATCCCGCTACGCTTCCCTGTCAGGCACTCGTCAAGCTGGAGGTGGAGTGTCGTTCGGCGCAATTTCACAAGTGAAGTGTTTCGGCGTGGTTTCGGGGATCCACGCCACCCAAACGTATGTCGTGTCGGCCGAATCTTGTGATGTGAGCCCTCAATGAACCAAAGTGAAATTGCTGGTGAGCTCGCCTATTCTACAGCAGGTGGTTCTACAGCGTCACCTGCAGACGCGAGCTCACCATACGTCGTTGTCTATGAGCAGAAGAGGCATTCAGCTCGCAATGTGTTCTGCAAGTTAATCTGGTGAACGAGCAACTCGATTGTGAAGACGACCGGAAGTTGCGGCTCGCAACGTCGGACGTTGGGTGTGAACAATGGGACCACAGAGAGGTACGTCTACGGCCGAGTGTTAACGGACAAGGTTTTGCGAGCCATATCAAACAACCGTACATCTGTAGCTCGCGTACGCATGCGCAATGACCGTGAGTTTGAGCTACATTCCGTACGTTCCATCCCAGCATATGATGGACTCTGGCAAGGAAAACAAAGTTTGCTTTGCTTTCTGTCGTCCGCTCTCGCAATAGTCGTAGGTACACAATATGTATTAATAGGTCCCGCCCAAGAGGCCCTGTTGGTCGGGGCCTACATACCATATAACTATTGCAGCGCTAAGGATACGAGTGAGGCTATAGTACATGAAGTAATAGTTAGGCTATGGTACATGAAGTAATAGCGATCCCAGCTAATGGCCTAGATTGACAACCTCCTCCATCACCCTGACGCCGTCGGCCTGTCCTCGGCTCAGAAGTGATTTCGTATCTCGACCCTTCGTTCTCGTACATGTCTTAGTTGATGCCAGGCTAACCTCACTACCAGTTCTCTATTTGCCAAGAAGGACTCGCTCGGCTTTGGCACTTTGAAAAATTTCAAATCAATCAACGACCAGGATCACCCGTCGGCCAGACAGCCATGAACCGCTCCAAGGACAAGGACGACAAGGAGCGCTATCTCACCTACTCCATCACCGTCAAGCATGGCGACATGGATAAGGGCACCCAGGACGGAGTAGTGACAAAGAAGATGCCCAAGTTCACGGATGGAGGCACCAAGGAGTTCCTTGAGTGGGTCTACCACTTTAACCAGCTCGCCAAGATGAAGGAATGGAGCGCTGAAGACAAGTTTCGCAATGCTCGGGTCCTGCTCGAAGGAGACCTTCTCGATCAGCTCGACCAGCAACTAATCGCCGGAGACGACGACGTGCGCATGGACGACAAGGAGTTCAACAGCGCACTGTACAAGGCATCGGTGGTCGTGATGCCTGTTTTCCACTACATCGGGGGTCAAACGAAGTTTCATTAATGGGAGCTTATGCGATGACCATCAGCTCAGTCCGATAAGGGACGAGGAGAGGCGGGTCTTGCTTGCTTGTTTGCTGGTCTTGATTCGAAGTGAGGGGAGAACGCCTGGTGATGGAAAATAACCGTTCTAAACGTTTTTCAAATAAAGTTTCATTAACCATGAGGTTCAGAACCCCGTTTAAAAATAGACGTTTGCAACGCAGCACCTTCGGCACTGCGGACGGCAGTCTGCGGTTGGCATGCAAGCTGGACATAGTTGAAAGGATCGAGCCGCTACACCTGCTCTGCAACCATTTCTGTCTCCGGACCCATTACGCTCTCTGGGTATTCGCGAACGCGCGCTACATCGATCCATGTCGACGTCGTCGCGGCCAGGTTGATGTAGATGTAGGCCAGCTTCTCAACTTTGTCCTTCGTCAGCCGGTTGCGCTTTTTGCTGTGAATAAAGTCAAATATGCTCCAAGCGCGTTCGCTTGCTGCAGAAGAAGTCGGAACAGCGAACACCAGTCTCGCGAGGTCGTAGACTTTAGGATGGCTTTTTTCGAAGAATTGCGAATTGTCCTCCCACCAGTGACGCGGTGCTGCAGCATACTGAGCCTTCTCCTGTGCCGACCACCCCTTCGTCAAGGCTCCAAACGCGTACAGAGCTGCCGTGAACGCTGTCGAAGACGTGCTACCAAGCAAATGGGCTCGTTCGGCAAACGCAACTGCTGCTGCAACGCTTTCGTTCATGTCATTCTCCATGAAGTCACTTGTGTCAGTGGATGGATCCAGTAGAAACGCGATTTTTATGGCGTCCGTCTTCACAAACTTCCATCTCGACTCAATATGAGTTTTAATGGAAGTAAGTAGACCGGTTGGGATCACGCGGTTGCTGGTTTCATAGATACTGTGTGTTCTCAGGCGTCGAAACAACGAGTACACTCTTGATGTTGCACACTTATCGGACTCCAATTCTCGCAACATCTCCACAATCGGGTCGATCAGCTTTACAGCGTGCTCAAAGCGTTCCCAGAAATCCGGATCATCAATAATTGCAATCACCTTGTCAAGTGACGTTCGATTGGCAGCAGTGACTTGGTAACGCGACAGGAGCTCAGCGTTATCCGACGCATCGAATAATTTCTTGATAGCCACCATATTTGTCATTACGCTACGGAGGCAGGCATGAAGTGTGTACCAGCGGGTTTGAATCGGTAGAACGAGAGCACGGCGCCGATCCGTGCTTGGGAGGGTTGTGGCTTGGTGAAGCGACCGAAACTGATCTAGCAAATCATCATGCGCCTGAATAACAGTTGACTGGAGATTGCGAAATTCGTCTAGAAGCGCGTGATGGTCTCGAACGAAACTTCGTGATAGCGACAGCCTCCTTCCGGATAGCTGTGAAGAACGAGAGCTTGAACACATCCTGGATCAACAGATTAATGGTGTGGGCAGCATATCCACCAGCGAAAATGGGTAGCTTGGCTTTCAAATGCGCCCATGCGTTCACCATGTTGCTCGCATTGTCCGTCATAACACTTGCAATGACAGCCCCCGTCTCGGTGTGGACTTCGTTTATTACCCGCTCCAACTCTTTCGCCATGTAAGCCCCGGTATGCTGAGAGGTACCCGTCGGTAGTGATGACCAAAACAGAGCTGGCATACCAGGGGCGACGACCATACAGTTGACGATGCTTGCGTTGTTGGTGTCGCTCCATGCGTCAGTAACAACAGAGACCACACGCTGCTGCTTAATCAGCTGAATCACATACTTTCTGCATTCATCGCGCATTCGTTGCCGCATGACTCCGGCGATCTTGTGTCGGGACGGGATTATCAGTCCAGGCGCGAGTAACTGCATGAACTGGCAGAAGAATGGAGACTCCACGAGAACAAACGATAGCGCACATCCAAACATCATTTGAGCAAACGCGAAATCGAATTGCTCTTGAGTAACCGAAGGTAGAACATTTCCACCAACTGGCAAGTCCGTTCGAGTAGTTGCTAGCGGAGGAGCACCAGTGCTAGTCGTAACCGGAGCCGACCGCTGCTGCTTCCTAGCTGCGTCAGCTCTCGCGAACTCACTCCATTGCTCACGTATGCGTGGCGGCGCTGCGTTACAGTCGACCAAATGCGGGACCATGAACCGAACTGGTTGGCCCGTGTTAATGCGGCTGTGGCAGTATCTGCACTCCGCAGCCACTTTCCTGCCATCGCCCTTTGGTTTCTTCACGAAGTGTTCCCATACAGGATGCGCGGGGCGGCCAGGCTTGAGAGACGGAGAGCGATGCGATGAAACCCCCGGCGAGGGCGACGTACGCTGCTGCCCCGCGGAGATGGCTTGAGGCGAGTCCCGCGACTCCGACTTCGACTTTTGTTGGATAGTAGGCGACTCCGAGATACGACGTTGCCGCTCCGCGGCTGCGGCAGACCCCCACACAGCCGGAAACACCGGTGATGGTTGACTCGCTCTACCTTGTTCAGGAGATGGAGAGCTTAGCGCGACTGGAAACCTCGGTGAAGCGTGACTGCAATGGCGCTGGGCCGAAGGAGGAGGTGACTGCTACTCCATTTGGACTTGGGAAGGCTTCGCGGAAGTGCTAGCAGCAATGCCTAAGCGAGTGGCTTGACTTCTGACATTGGGTTCAACAGATAAAGATGCGACTCGATGTCGCCCCCAGATTGCCAGAACACGAGCAACGTTCGCCGAGCAGCGCTGAATAGGTGTTCTATTATGGTAGGGTCTTATAAAAGTATGGTGCGATTGTGCTAGCTGGGTTCTAAACCTCTACAAATGTTTAGACAATTTGACAACGTTGTGTAAGTTTTCAACCCTTCAGGTTCTTTACCATCATTAAGAACGCCACGTGGGTGGCCTCGGACCCGGGCGCGGTGAGCATTATCACCGAGTCCTCCATGATGACGCCCACGACGCTGTACGCCACGGCGGTGCGCTCGGAGCCGGGTCCGCGTCGCGAGGGCGTCACGACGGCGCTCCTGGCCAACAGTCCGCATACCTTAATGAACAACAGGAGCTGCAGCACGGAGAAGCCGCTGGGCTACGGCACCAACGTCTCGATGCAGCGCAGGCATTCGATCTTGCGCATGAGCGCCAGCAAGACTTCCAGCGGCCATGGGTTGAGGAAAAGCGCGTCCGTGGAGTTCGTTCTGGACCACGCGCATCAGCAGGCGGCCCAGAGCATCCACGCGAGCACTTCGTCTATCGGCCGAGAGCCGCAGTACGAAGCATCAACATTTATGTTGTGGAGAAGGAATCGAATAATCTGACTATGGTTGGCGGTCAGGGTTACCGGTATAATACCGGTGTGTACCGGTATATCGAAAGTACTATTTTGAAGTGGAAAACACAATTCCCTGGTTCTACCATGGAATACAGCGGACACGCAGAGAAGATTCAAGAAGAATTGTGGGAGATAAGGAAGCTCCGCAGCGCATCCCTCGCCGACTACAACAAGCGCTTTCGCACGTTGGTGAGGATGGAACAGGTGGTGACCGAACTGCATGGCGGCACACCTCTCGCTGAAGACGCGTTGTGCCGACTCTACAAGCGCGGCTTGCCATTTGAGTGGCAGAGCAAGTATGACTCGAGCGGCCAGTCGTATCTCAGCATTGCAACACTAGTCCCCTACTTCGAGCGCATCGAACAAGAAGAGCAACGACTACAAAGCAGAAATTACAGTCGCGACAACAACAGCAATAACCGTCCAGGAGGTAACCGTGGACAAGGCCGTGGACGTGGAAGGCGTGGTGGCTTCGGCGGAAACAACAGCCACCAGAACAACTCGCGCAACCAGCAGCAGCGCAACCAGCACCGTGGCAACGGTGGCAACAACAGCGGCGGAAACAAGTACTGCACATTCCACCGCACCTCGTCGCACTCCACGCAAGAGTGCCGCGCACTCCGTGGCCAGAACCAACAAAATGAGCACCAGCAAGCCGACCACCAACGCAGTTTCAGCTCCAGAGGACGCGGTGGTCGTGGTGCAGGAAGCCGTCCCAGCCAGACGTTTGTCGAACGACGCAGCCAGCGTGACGCAAGTTCAAGCGATGAAGAATACATGTTTGTCGGGCTACAAGACGAAGTTAAACGCTCGCAGCCCCCAATGCGCGCGATGATTAAGCTGGAACATGGGAAGGAGCACTACAAAGCTCTACTGGACAGTGGATGCTCCCGTAGTCTCGTGAGTGCTGAGTTCGCAGAGATTGCGCAGAGCAAAAGTGGCTTGGACAGCTCCGAAGTCTCGTACAAGTTAGTGCAAGGTTCGGCCACCAGCACTGGGTCGCTAGTAGTCCGCTTTCGAATTCCCAAGTTGAAGCGTGACACCATCATTAATCACCGCTTTGAGGTCCTGCCCTCGCCACGCGACGACATGGTCATTGGCCGGGATCTCATGACAGCTTTGGGTATCGTTCTCGACTTCAAGAACGGTCGTGTGATCTGGGATGGAAGTGAAATGCCTATCAAGGTTGGTGGAAAGCTTGCAATTCCCCGTCAGTCAACAGCCACAGACGACAACTTCGATGATTCTGCAGATGAAGTGCTTTTGGGCGAAGATGAAACCATTTCTCCAGCTGATTTGATGCCTAAGTACGTGGATGACGCGCTGAAACATTGCTACCTGAAGCTACTCGAAGAGTATGTTGATCTCTACAATGGGCGCCCCGCCTCGCCGATTATGTTCTGCCTTTGCGTGCCGATTTTGAGCCGACGCACGCGAAACCGTACACGATCCCCAGGAGTCTGGAAGACGCTGCGCGCAGAGAGATACAACGCTTGCTGGAGTTTGATGTGATTGAGCAGATCTACGGGTCGGAGAGCGCGTCGCCGGCGTTTTTCCTGCGGAAGCCCAACGGATCGCTGCGTTTGCTCGTGGATCTCCGAGCTTTGAATCGTTATCTACGCCGCTCTCCCTATTACGTTCCCAAGATCCGAGAGATTCTACTGCGGTTAGACAAAGCGAAGTGTATGTCAACGCTCGACGCAAACATGGGATATTTCGCGCGCAGACTAGCGCGTGAGAGTCGAGCTGCAACGGCTTTCTGTCTCCCATTTGGGAAGTTCCAGTTCAAGCGATTGCCGATGGGCATTTCGACCGCGCCGGATTAGTATCAAGCGTGCATGGAGCGCATCCTCGGAGACTTGCCGTTCGTGATCGTGTATTTGGACGACGTGCTGATATTCTCTGAGAACGAGAAAGACCACCTGGAGCACCTGAGAATCGTGTTCGACCGCCTTAGGCAGTATGATGTCACTCTCAACGCTCGCAAATGCCACATTCTGCGAAGCGAAGTCGACTATTTGGGCTTCACAATTACTACTACAGGCATCCAACCACAAGCAAAGAAGGTTGAAGCTATCCAGCAGATCGCAGAGCCAAGAAACAAGAAAGAGCTCCGTCGCTTTCTCGGTATGATCTCGTACTACCGAGAGATGGTGCCTAATAAGTCCGCCTTGACAGCTCGTTTGAATCGTTTGACGTCAAAGAAGGTGCCGTTCACGTGGACTCCGGAAGATTCAGCAGCCTTCGCCGAAATTAAGAGTGCTCTCGCGCGCAATGTATGGCTAGCCTTCCCGGACTACTCGCGCAAGTTCCACATTTTCGCTGATGCCAGCGGCCACCAGATCGGCGGTGTAATTGTACAAGGAAAGCGGATTCTCGCGTGTTTCTCCCGGTCAATGACGGACACGCAGCGCAGATACTCGACGATGGAGTGGGAGCTACTGTCCGTCGTGGAAATCCTTCGGGAGTACCGAACAATGCTTTTGGGATTTCCGCTGGTGATTCACACCGACCATAAGAACCTACTCTACCCTAAGGAGACCTCACTTCGCGTGAAGCGCTGGAAACTTCTACTGGAGGAATATCGGCTCGCGGTTGAATACGTTCCCAGAGTGCAGAATGTCGGTGCGGACGCCTTTTCTCGACTTCGTGCAGCAGGCTACTGAAGACGAGCTTTGTGCAGTTGAAAAAGAAGAAATCGCCATTGACGGCGCTGTGATGAAGCGCCACCAGCTTGATGATCCCACTTGCAAGGCTATCATCGCCAGACTCGAAGCCAAGGAAGCTGACCCAGACTACGCTCTAAGACCTGCGCTGGGTACTGTACTGCTTCACTACCAGAAACGTGTTCTCGTCCCTCAGTCACTGCGCAAAGATCTGATTGAGCTCTATCACGACTACGTCCTGCATCCAGGAGGAGAGAAGCAGTATCAGACGATGTCTTCCACCTTCTTTTGGCCTGGAATGGAGAAAGCAGTGCACGACTTCGTAAAAGCCTGCGTCCCGTGTAAGCGCGCAAAACTGCACGGTGGTAAGCAGCTCTATGGCCGAATTCCGCCAACTCCGTCGACGAACAATGACCGTCCATTCGACATCGTGCATGTGGATTTAGTGGGGCCGCTACCTGGAGATCACTATTGCCTTACGGCGATCGAGCAGCAATTTCGTTGGCTAGAAGTCATCATCCAGCAAGGCAAGACGTCAAAAGTGACCGCCATCAGCTTTGAGCGCGTGTGGCTTTGTCGCTACCCTCGTCCGAGACAAGTTGTGCATGATCTCGGTCCCGAGTTCACTGGGGACGAGTTTCAGCAGCTTCTGTCATCGCTCGCCATAAAGGACAAGCCGATCACCGCCAAAAACCCGCAAGCGAACGCAATCTGTGAAAGAGTGCATTTCGAGATCATGAACATCCTCCGCGTGAGACCTGATCTGATGGACCAGTTAAAAGTTGCTTTGGACTACGCAGCCTACGCTATCAAAGCGAGCTACCACTCGGTCCTCCGCGCGTCGCCAGCTCAGCTACTCTTCGGAGAAGATATGATCACGCGTCAACTCCATTTCGCTAACTGGAGTTTCCTGTCCAAGCAGCGCTTCCTGTCTATCCTGCAAGACAACGAACGAGAAAATATGAAGCGGCTGCAGCACTTCTACAAGGTAGGCGACCAAGTCATGCTGAGGATTCCGGCTCGCGAGCGAAAAAAGACGGATCCAGTCTCAAAAGGCCCGTACATCATCAAGGAAGTCTACGACAACGGCACGGTGCGCCTCGACACTGGCAGCACCGAGTATCGTGCCAACATTCGCCGCATCTTCCCGTGCTGAAGCGGCATGTTCATCATCCTGGCATGGGGGAGAATGACAACCTCCTCCATCACCCTGACGCCGTCGGCCTGTCCTCGGCTCAGAAGTGATTTCGTATCTAGGTTCACTCGACCCTTCACATGGGTTCGTTCTCGTACATGTCTTAGTTGATGCCAGGCTAACCTCAATACCAGTTCTCTATTTGCCAAGAAGGACTCACTCGGCTTTGGCAAGATTGTCGCCACGGCGACAATCTAGGCTCTGTACTGTACAAATTTAGGAACCACTCGAAGTCTGAAAAGATAGGATGGGATGTGTGAAAGACCGTCACTGGCGATGTAAGCAGGCCTGTATCAACGCCAACGACATCACAAGAACCAAAAGGAACATCATGGACATCTACGTGTTGTTTCATGCAGTAATAATTCGAGCTTTGAACGACGAAACATCCTGCTGAAGGAAGGGCCTGACCCCTTGTGGATAGTACTTGGCATTGCGCGTGCAGGAATCCCCAGCCGATTGACTCTGAAGCTCAACGCCAAACTCCAGTTTTGCGGCGGTGAAACAACACTTTGATACGCATTTAACGTTAGTTAGAAAACTGAAACTCGTGCGATAGATGTATTATAGGCAAAAAGTTAACCCACGAAGTGAGATACGCTACATGGTGTACATGCATCACAAGTTGTGATTCATAATGCATGCTCACGACATTGTTTACCTGTGATCTATCATCACGTGTGATTCAAGTGACAGAAGTGCGATCCTAGTGTAGACGAATGGTTCTGGTGACTCAATCTGATCCATGTCAACGCGGTACGTGCACTCGCACAAGAAACATGCGCGATTACGAGCAAAATCAAATGCCAGGTTGAAGCGTAACACGATCATTATCGTGCTGAGGATCCAAGTTGTACCTACCTCATTGGCTCCTAGATCGTGCAAGTTTTGTATCTAGCCTGATCGCATCTTCCAAGTAAACGCTTAAGCCCTAAATCAACGCCCAAGACTCGCCAAGCTTTGACTCTGAACAGCGCCTTGCTGCCGCGGCACGATCTGTCTGATGAAGATGTGATCTCCATTGTGGCTTACGGGTCGACACCGCCACCATCAGAAGCTGACCACCCAACCAATGACAACCGAAACTCCTGGAGAGGCTCGCCATCGAACATTCAAACGCGCTATCAAAGCGTTGCGTAAATAAAATTACAATAAAACTATTGATAAAATTGGGGTCAAAAATTACAATTAGAAAATTGGCTGCAATGATTTTATTGTATTGTACAAGACAGTTGACTTGATAACTGTATGTGCGTGGGTAGCTAATCAAATGGTCCATACAGACCCCTATACAAACCACAAGAATACAATTCAATGCCTACATTGTACAATTAAAATTGTAGCGTGACGGCAAATCTCAATCAATTCTTCAATGTAAATTGACGCAACGCTGCTCCTGACTGGGCTTCGGACGTTGGAGCCATCCTCGACGGTAGTGCGAGACGAGTTGCTGTCGAGCGAACGGATAGTGAAGACAGCGGTGACTCGGCAGCTGCAGCTGTACCCTCGCTACGCGGAGGAAACAGCTTTCGGGGCAATTCTGCAGCTTTGCAAACCCCAGCAGCTTCGACAAGGTCGATCGAGCTGTCAAGCACCCCGCCAGCGGACACGACGGTGCACCCCCTCACACTTTATGGCAAGGACATCATTCACATTGCTCCCGTGGGCTCTTCTGCGAGTGCTGTTGACGCCACCAACGCCGTGAAATGGTCCGACACGCTCGGTGCCATCGATACCGAGGACGACTACTCGATCCGGGACCCTCACTTCGATCTCTCGACCAGTAAAATCACCAAGCTCTTCACGCTGTCCAACCCCGACGGTACGAACTGCACTCAGCAACAGTAGATACTTACTTGTACTTACCCATCCTGGCTTTGTGCTTTGTAAACTGACCTGTCCGTTGTCCCTCAACGCAGTAAGGAGCATGTTGTCGTACGAGGGGTTTCGATGCGGACTGGAGGCTATGGGCATCGCTTGTGACAGTGGGACGAAGATGAGAGTGGAGATATCTCGCTGGACGAGTTCCAGCGTGCGATCCAGGAGATCAAACTGGCGCAGCTCTTCAACGAGTCGTTCTTGCGCTCGATGCCAGTTCTGTTCGCGAGTCTCAAGTCTTCCGTGAGACTTGGATCAATTGAGTACTCGCCCGACCGTATTCGCAGCGTGTATCCGATTAGCCAAGTCCAGAGCTTCATCTACTCGACGAAGCCGAGCTGGGCTACTGTCCGCTGGATCAACGTCGAAGGGATCAACACGCTCCTCATGCGTCGTCTTTCCGTTCACTATTGCCTCCACCCCCTTGCGATCGGGTGATATTTATGAGCTGTTACTTTAGCACTATTCGGCTGTTGCCCAGTGGGCAATGCCCACCTACAGCCCCTGTTCACCTGTCATGAGCCCTGTTCTGCTGTAGCTTTCTGTTTAACCTGCTACTTTCTTCATGGATTTCTCCTGAGGTGTGTGTGGACTGTGGAGTACAGTAGGGTTTTCTTCGGCTACGTGCCATTGCAATCGCTCACTACCTTCTGCTACATGAATTTACTTAAGTACAGCGCTATTGTTTTACTTCTGTATCCTACGGATCCTCAATAGCAAAGAGCAGTCCATTTGTAAGTTACTAGCTATGGGAGTAGCCGATGTACGTTTGACTGAAGTGCTTTGGATGAAGCGGTTTTGAATTATCGAAGCGAATCGCAGCTTGAGCCCGCAACTGGCGTTTAATCTAAAATACTACGTAGTATTTGTTGGAGAACAACAGCAGACCAGGGTCCTTGACAGGTCAGTAGGAGCTGTACGGTACCAACAGCTCGACAGTGCTGGAACAACAGGTATTAATTATTTTCCCTTGCGATCGAAGACACGCTCCAGACGGACATCAAGCGCCCGAAATACGCCAAGTCCGACGAGCACTCGTTCCTCATTCTCCAGACACAGCACCCTCGAAACGTTTCCACTGTGAAGACCTATCAGCGCATGTACCGCGCTGCGCAGTTTGTGCTACCCGAGGATAGCTCGCCTTTCGATTCCATGAGCAAGGCTGAACTGGAGTCACGGCTCAAAGAACTCGAGGTTGGACGCGTGAATCAGAGGTCCGCCAATACCATAAAAAATTGTATTGCCAGCAGCATGACTCCATAATAAAGATTTCAATATAGCGGCAAGCAATAGTAAATATTGCCGTAATTTATATTGTATTGTTAGTTATTTATCCATGTTCTTCTAACTCTCGCTCTTCTACTACTACTTCCCGTAGGCACGCCTATCTCGATAAAATCTCTGCGATCCACAGGCCAAAACACGCCGAGCTCCTCCTCTTCAAAACGCGCAATGGCATCTTGTGGTAAATCTGACGCTGGCTGCCAAGTAGGACGGGGGTATCCAACCCAGCTCACAAAGTAGTAGTCGTTGCCATCCAGATCAGTCTTTTTTGCATAAATAAACTCAAGGGTGTATACATTTGGCCCTTCAATGTCGGAGCTGTCACTCTCTGACGAAGTTGAGTCGCTCACAACAGCATTCGTAGGGGCACTTGGCGCACCGACGCTAGCTTGTTGGAGACCATTGTTTTTGGAGATGTTGAAATGAGACGCTAGGCCGCCCAAGAATGGCGGCTGGGCTTCTCTACGAGTCTGCTCCTGACCGGTAATTATATCGACGCTAGTGTAGTGTGGAGGACCCCATTGTTGACATCGGTGGTGCCTTGTGATGCCATCAAACATAGATTTGTGGTGGGCCGCAGAACCGCACTTTTTTCATATTTATTGTCAATAATTGGGTCAATATCATATTGTATTGGTAGCTGGGATGTCCAATAATAAAGATTTTTATTGCAAAACCCAATTATTTATTGAATTGAAATATTTTTTTCTGACCTCTGCGCGTGATGACCCCGCCGGAGCAGCTCAGCCTGTACGTGATGGAGGGCGTGCTCATCAGCGTCCAAGGAGCCAACACGCTCTGGTCGGCGCTGAAGCAGCGTCTGCATGTGTCGTACTCCAAGGCTCGCCAGCACAGTACAGCGTTCCTCATGTACACGATCATGGACGTCTGCGTGAATGAGCTGTCGCCGATCTCGCACATGTTCGGCGCCAAGCTCCTCATGCTCGAGCGCCTGCTGTCTCTGGATCCCCGGTACTTTGACATGCGCCGCATCGCAGGCTGCTCCAAGCAGATCGAGGGGCTTCAGATGCACTGCACGCCGATGCGCGACGTCATCTCCAAGCTGGTCGCGTCCGGCGACTACCAGGGCGAGACGCTGCAGTACCTCGTGGACGTGCAGGACCACCTCACCACCATCGAAGAGGAGTGCGAGGCCAACCTCGACCGTTGTGCAGTCTCGTGGGAGAGTTCAACGCTGCCCGCGAGGCTCGACAGACGACGTGACGTACATCCTGGCGCTCGTGGCAGCCATTTTCCTGCCGGGCCAGTTCCTCACGGGCATGTACGGCATGAACTTCAAGTACATCCCCGAGCAGAGGTACTACTACGGCTACTTCGTCTGGTGGGCCGTCATGATCCTCATCGCGGATCTCATCGTGCTCTTCTTCAAGCTCAAAAAGTGGCCGTAGCTTACAGCAGCAAAAGGCAACTTCAACAGTCAAAAATGATAATGCATCCATATCACATTCGACGGGGAAGTATCTTGAAGGACCATCACTCTTGTCCGCACTATTTGCGCTTGCCGCCAGTACCGGAAGAGCCGCGCGCCCGACGCCTCATGGGGATCCGCAGCACGCGGCCGCTGCCGCTGGCGCACGCGGAGCTGGCGCTGGCTCCGTTCTTCAAGCGGCGCTTCCGCTCCTGGCACCTGGAGCACGTGCGGCTGGCGCTGCAGCGCTACCGGCTGCTCACGTTGCGCTGCTGCGTGGACGCGCTCCAGCTCAGTGCGATCCTAGGCATCAAGGAGAAGAAGCTCGTGGACGACGTCATGCGCCTCTTCCTGCCGCGCACGCCGACGCGCGTGCAGTGCATGGTGGACGCCATGGAGGTGCTCATCGCGCTCGTGCTCGTGTGCCAAGCCCCCGGCATGCTGCAGCGCTTCGAACGTAAGGCCCCCTCCAACATTTTATGTATTTGACAGCATTTTTTCTTATGGTATCTACTTATTTATTTTATGTACTGTGGCCAGTGATCTTTGATATTGTAGACTTGGAGGCGAAAGGGGCGATCTCGACGACAGATTTGATCATGTGTGAGTCGACTGAGCAAGTTGTGGTGTTTTACTGTTATACTTTCGTGGTGTCCATGTTTTTAATTTAAAGTTGTGGGGCTTCCTTCCTGTTGTTGCAGTATGTGGGGCGGTGGGACGAGCTATTATGAAGCTGTTCGAGTACAAGGTTGAGCCGGAGCAGCATGCTGCCATGGCGTATGTTACAGAGGTGTTGGATGGGCTTGGCGTGGGTAGGAGTGGCTCGATCGGGAAGGAAGCTCTTTGCAAGTTCATGGTATCCGACCGCTTTGCTGTTCATTACGCCAAGCAGTGTACTGGCGAAGGTGTGTACTTTGCCGTCTTGCGTAAGCTTGCTTTCGTATTTGCTGGGAGGAGTGCTGATGTGTTATTGAACGTTGCGTGAGACAGATAAACCGAAGCTCTATATTATGATGGAGAAAGACGCAGAGTTTCTGGGGGCGATTGAGTTCAGCAACGAGCAGCACATGCAATCGGCATCACTGAGAACTGTTCGGGACATGCTTTACGCGCAAGTGCATCGAGTTCCAGAAGACTTTTTATTTTTGTGCCAAGGGCGAGAGGTGGATAAAGTGTGGGAAGTGGATCGTCGGGCATGGTCTATTGTGCCATTCGCTTTGCGAGGTTCGCCTGGTCTGCGAACGGACATTTTGGCGAAGAACCGCAAGCTGGAACGACCTAGTGTCGCGAACCCTTTCGAGTTTCGCTACATGGGCAACCTCATCACGCGTTACAAGAAGTACGTTCACGAGATTAAGCCCGTTTACAGACATCGGACCTTTCAACTGCGCAAAAACGCCCCGAGAAAGCGCCTCGAGCCAACTGTACAGTGGCGTGTAGCTACTACCTGGAGTGGAGAGTGGATATATCAGCAGCAGCGGATTAAGGCAAAATCAAAGGCTCAAATTTTGAAGTGCCTGCGAACTGAAGCTCGGCCTCAGCAAGGGGTGCTTTTGGTGAAGTCTCACTTCGGGGAAATACTGTCACCTTGTTCTATGACCAATTCAGAAGGCGAAGGGGAGGAATTGAGCAATTCTGCTTCGTCGGCTCCACTTGATACGGCATCTACACCTCAAAAACCTGAGCAGCGAATGCAACGAATATCCGCCATGAGTTTGCGCGACCGCAAGCGTGAAGATAAAGCTCGCCGAGAAAAGTTACAGTGGAAAGCAAGACTCATCGCAATGGAAGCCCAGCACCAGATGGAACAAAAACTCGATGTTGCTGGTGACAAGACACTTCTGCGTGTCAAATCGACTAATGAAGCTCCTGAGAGTACCCAGAACTCAAGCATTAAAACTGTGTTGGTTCAGATCGAGGAAGATAACGTTCTGCCGTCACGACTTGTTCAGCGTGAGCCAAGAAAGCGACCGAGGCCGAAGAAACTGGAGTGGTCAACGTACCGATGGGATGTTCCTGGGAGATTTTTGACTGCGTTGCCGCCCAGCCGCAAAAAACTAAAAGTGTCGAAGATCAGTGACGACATCTCGCTTACCACACCGGCAGGAACTTCGACTAAACGGCAACTTGGCTTAGGACGGTTTCTCAGTTCCACTCACATTTTTCTGGAAGACAATCAAGTAGAGGTATTTCCCGTGTTGGTTATTCGGCCTCTTGAGGAGCAGGTTTGCGTGAACCAACGTGTTGCCGATGTGGATGGTGATGTTGTGATGCCATCCATTCCATCGTCGGAAGATGTCAACACTATGGAAGTCGAGAGAAATTCATTGTTCGCAAGCAAAACCTATCTGACGGAGTTTGAATATGATATCAGTGCGACAGAAAGTAACTTTGAGTTACTCTACCAGCACGTTGCCAGCGGAATCCTTCAAGATGCAGTTTGGCTGAATCGACGGGACATTTTAGGGCGCACAATGCTTCATGATGCAGCTGAATTCGGACATTCAAGTGTTATGGAGCTTCTACTGAAAGCGCGCGTCATTGTGGACGTGAAGGATAGCAGAGGCGATACCCCACTTCATCATGCCGCTCGTCACGGACGCTTGAAGGAGGTGAGCATGCTTTTGAAGGAGCATGCTACGCCGTGGATATTGAACGTCGAGAGGAAGTCGCCACTCTATTGTGCACTAGAAACGGCTGCCAGGAGATTGTCCAGAGCGGGTTCTCAGTCCGAGGCAACATCCTCCGACCTTCTCTTGGATTCAAAGTCTGGGGTTGACCGGAAGAACTTCTTTCAGGCCCATCGCACATATCCACAGCTGCGGCAAGTGATTGATCTGCTGTGGGACAAATATACGTTGGAGCATCTTGTCAAGAACGATGGCTATGACCGTACAAATTGTTTAGAACTCGAGAAACAGGTGTATGGAGATATGTTCGAGGCTTGTCACGATGGAAACTTGTTGCGAGTTCAGCGGCTAGTCGATCTGGAGAAACGGCCTGTGCTACGATACATCAACGACCAATTGGCGGTCTTACAGCGGACAGCACTACACGAAGCGACGGAGCAAGGTCACACAGCCACAGTCGATTTATTGTTGAAGCTTGGTGCCGATGGATACTTACGGGATCAGCGCCTACAGGCTCCGTTACATCTTGCTGCATACAGAGGGAGCGACAACATCGTGAAGTGCCTGATCTCGAAGTTCCCGCAAACGGCAGCATATCAAGACGTTGCTGGGTGCACACCGCTTCATTTAGCAATTCAACAAAAACACTGGAGTATTGCAGCAATCCTGGTTTCCTTGATGCAGTCTAGAAGGGACACTATTTATCATGACTCCGTCAATTTTGAAGGCAAAAGAGCTGATTGTTTGGATCTCCAGGATATTCGGGGTTACACCGCACTACATTATGCTTGCATGCACGGAAATCTGGAAGTGTGCACCGCGTTGGTAAACGCAGGCGCTGCTCGCTCTGTGTCGCGATGTGAGTATCGCATTCCGAGTTGGGCCTCTCATATGCTGGGTTTGTGGTGGAAAGGAGACTTGAAACGTGTCAGGAATAGGAGGGGTCTGCTGGAGGCGCCTGACCAACGCGAAACTATTGATATTGAAGCACCCGTCGAGCTGCTGCTGAAGGGTTGGAAACAGGACTTTTCAAATTATCAAGAACGATTATCTGTGCTTGATCTTCTCTTAAGTCACGACCACGCCGAGGATTTTCAACACGAGCGCCTGACCTTAGTGAAAATAGCCCCCAGTCCACTGTTTCATCTTGCGGCTGAGCTGGCAGAACAAAACATTAGTGTTGCAGTGGAGATTTGTCGCCGCCTCCACAAACAGCAAGTTATGATCAATATGCCTCACCCTCGAACACAAGAAACAGTTCTTCTGCAGGAATGCAAACGAATTTGCGCATCATGCAGCGGTGGTTCTAAAGTAGACGACTCACGGATGGATGACAAGACAGACCAGTTGGCGCTCATACGGTGTTTGTTGGAGCTTGGGGCAAATGTTGATCTAGCGAATGAATCTAACGGCGAATCACCAGTCGGGTGTGCAGCGTGGTATGGCCACTTAGCTCTCCTTGACTTGCTTTTGGAAGCTGAGGCTAATAAGAATGGTTTTCTTCGGCGATGCTCGTTCTCACCGCTGCATTTTGCTGCGCTGGGGAACAACCTTGCTTGTGCAAAGTTGCTGATTGGGCGGTCTGCCACAGTCAACGTTGAAATGCCTCCGACGAACGCTGAAACACCGCTTTATTTTGCTATCCGTTCCAAGAACGAGCAAATGGTCGATCTGCTTTTACGCAGCAATGCCGACCCTCGTTCACTATGCACAGTGCAACATGGTCAGACATCGTTCGGAGTCGTACTCTCACTTGAAACAACGATAGCTGGGGGGAACGCTAGCCAACTCGTTGATCATGAATATGAAGCTGTTGGCACTGCAGCTATGGTGGTGTCGCCCTTGACGTTTGGATTGCTTGTCGCGCAGTCTCTAAAAACGTTTTGTGTACCAGAAGAAGCCAACTACACTGTGGAGCGCTCGCAAAAGTACACCGAGTGGAAAGAAATGGAGCGGATATGCTTAACACTTGCCAAGAGGTTGCTAGAAGACAACGGTGGAAGCAAGGGCGCTGTCATTCGTGATGACGTTCAATTAGCAAGTGCATTGGGGTTTTGGGAGCTCGTGCAATTACTACTCTCCCAACAAATCCCGCTCTCCAGTGCGCCCAGCTCTTTTGGTATGAATGCTCTACACTTAGCGGCTGCAGCGGGTCAAACCAACGTTGTAACAGCGTTGGTCGCAGGAGGAATGGACGTCAACTGTGTCACGAGAAGTGACTCTGGGAAACCAAAGAAAACAACTAACCGTAGAGTGTGGTATGAGTGGATCGGATGCGGCCACAGAGGGGCTTTATTTTACGCTTTGATTCATGGACACACTCAAACGGCAGCAAAGCTTTTAGTCTTGGGTGCGGACGCTGAGCAGACTATGCCTCACACAGGGAAGAAAGTTACATGGCGAAACACTAAAGGACAAGATGCAGAAAAAGTGGCCGAACGGATCGTAGTGCGCTTTGTAGTTAGCGAGGCTATGCCGAACGTAGCGAGAACGAAGCAACTTGAAAGGAAGGTCGGCACACCACGGCTGGATGGAGGAGATCTGCAAGTTGATGAGGCCTCAGTAAATCTGATTCACTTGATCGAGTGCAGTATCAATCAGAGAGTGCCCCTACTCCATCTGGTTGTTGCCCTTGGACACCTCGCAGTGGCACGAACTCTTGTGGAAGCTGGCATGAGCATTTTTTCAAGTTATGCCTCGCCCTCAACAGCTCAATTTGGGATGCCGGGTTGGAAGTCGGCAGCTGAAACGCCGATTCATATTGCGATTGCCTGTGGCCACCTGGAGATCGTGGAGTATTTTGCAACTATCGTCCATAACCACTTTCCTGGGTGTTTTGTCCGCGAGGGGAAAGTCTTCAAGAGCCTTCTGGTTACTGCTTGCGAGGCACACCAAAGTGAGATATTACGCTTTCTCTTACGTCATGATGGCGGGGGTGGTGGTTTTACTCTCGAGGGTGGCAAAGAAGAATTTCAGAGCGCTCTGTGTACTTGTGCAGCTGCTCAATTTGTTGAGGGTTTCAAGTTGCTCGTCGATCATGGTGCACGGCCTGACGTGTCCACTCTAGTGAGTGTACTAAAAGGAATCATAAGCCCATCAAAACATCGAATGTCTAGTCCGTTGGTGAACGGGGTTGAGGTGTTGGAAATCGAGGGGCGTGGCAGCCGTGCATCGTTTCCTGGTGAAAGGTATCAACATGATTTAAGGACGCACTCGCTCGAAGTAGCCATCATGCTGCTACAAGAAATTCTCTCTTCGGAAGGCGTTCGTGAAATTGGAGATTTTCTTGGGGCAAGCCCTATCTTCGAGTTGGTGCAGAAGATTCTAGTTATTTGCTCGCGCTACCAGCTTTGGTTCGTGTTGGAAAGAATTTTCGTGCAGCATGAGGCATATTTTGTTGATGTGGCGAGCGTTTGGAAGCCGGTTCTCGTTCGAGCGGCGAGTTCCTGCTTTGTACTACACAGAGCAGCAATGTACAACCAATCGCAACTGGTCGCATTCTTGCTGCATTTGGGTGTTCCAGCTAATCTGCAACTTCGCCAAGCCCGTTTTATGAAGATTCCGATATGGTACGCTGCCTCGAGAGGTTCTCTTCAAGCCTTTGTTTATTTGGCGTTGCATTCAACATCGTTTGTTGAGGATCTGGTATCGTGTCAGCGTCTAAATAGTTTGCCGCTGGTATTCCGGTCTATTGACGAGTCCCGAAGTACCTTGTCTAACAGCGACACTTCGTGCAAATGGCAAAACCTTGGCGTGTTTGGGTGCATTGACGTTCCAAGGAAGCACACCAACGGATATTTAGTCCAAAAGTTTATCAATTACGGGATACAAATATCTCGCGGGCACGTTGACAACTCGTTGCTGCATCATGCCTGCCGACGGGGTGAAGTCATTGCAGTTCAAGCTCTCGTAGAAGGCGGGAGTTATCTAACTTCGGTTAACCGGGAAGGAGAGAGTCCACTGGAGGTAGCTAGTGGAAGAAAGGATGCGTTTGGCGTCTCGGTCGTACGCTATCTACTCACTGTGGTTGAGCAGAATAAAACTCCAGCCATGGCAAACTTCACCGATCGCGCTTTGGTCAAGTGCTTTGCTCAGAAATGGCCATGCAACCTGCGTATTGCACAGGCACTCCTGGACGGTGGTGCAAATCCACGCTTCTCTTACGAGGCCAGTGAAGATCAAGCTAAAGCATGTGGTATTGACCAGATCTCTGCAATGCTGTATGCAATGCAATCAGCTCAGTTCGCCGGTGTAAAGCTTCTGTTGGATCACGGATCAGCCATCACTGTACCCCTTTCCGAAGCCTTTTTGACTGCGTTTTTGATGAAGCCGGAGCATACCACTCGTCTCCATTGGAAGCGTTTCTCAAGGTTCGTCAAACACAGTGGCGGAAAAGAGCGACTGCTTGACGTTGAAAGTATCATGACGACGCTTTTGAAGAGAAGCGTGTTCCCAAGTGCGATGAACTCAGATCTCCTGCATCAGATGCTCACTTCTGCCGCTGCGATTGCAGCTACAATTGCTCAGGAGGTTGAACTGGACAAGCGATTTTGGAATGTCGTCTACAAGATTCTTGAAAAGTATCCCAAAGAAGTTGGTAGTCGAAAGGCTGAGTGGAACCAGAAAGCAGCACTCCACTATGCAGTCGCCAGTCTGGAAATACCCACAGTGATCAAGCTGCTTGAGCTGCGAGGATTCGACTTACTGGCTGAAGATGAAAACAAGCAGACACCTCTCCATTTAGCTGCTGCAGGTGGGGACGAGATAGTCTGTCGTCTTTTGCTGACGAAGTTGCAATCAAACACGGGGAAAGCTACGACCATAGACGTACCTGACATCCGCGGACGAACACCCCTGCACCTTGCCGTTATCAACGGACATGAGACTGCTGCAAATATGCTGTTGGCTGCCGGAGCTTCCCTCGAAATACGTTGTTGCGATGGTTTAACCGCGTTGTTATATGCGGCCAAGTGCAATCGGTTGGCCATCTTGATTGCTCTGCATTCCCAATTACAACCGAAGTCACGAGGGGCTCTTCTCACAGCAAACGGAGAAGCAGGTATCTTTGTCGCTGCCCGGCACGGAGCCTTTCCTGTTATTCGGTGGTTTATTAATCTGTACGAAGAAAATACTTGTGCGCTTGGCCATATCACGAGCAACACTACGCCCCGTGCAGATGGAGCAGGTTTGATTTTTACGGTGCAGTGTAGCTTGGGACGCACACTTCTGCACTACTTGGCAATCTACGGGGACGATGAAACGCTGGACATGCTACTGAAAGCTGCGGCTCATGTGAACCGAAATGATTCCGAACCTGGTGATCCAACGGTACAAGATATTGTGAACGCGCGGGATAAGTTTGGATATACGCCGTTGATGTACGCATTTGCGTTCGGCAGGCTACTGGTGGTTCGTATGCTCTGTGACGTCGGTGCCGATCCTTACGTAAGCGTTGATCACTCCGGTGACCCCAGTGCCCATCCGTACACTATCGGGTTTGATATTGCTGATCTTCTTCAGTGGTTTGCACTCCCTGGATGGTATTCATGCGCATGTAAGTCCCTGCCGCCTGATGAAAAACCTAAGCTCGTACGTACCCCTTCGATCGAGGAAGACTACCTGCGGAACTCAAGCTACAACTATAGAAAGAAGCGGAGACCTCCTGTAGAATGGCGATGTAAATGGAAACGACTTCCAGCAGCAAGATTATTGAAATCTGAGCCGCGAAGACGAGGGAAAGAATTAATACGGACATCGATACGCTCGTGGAGGTTCCCTCAGAAATCTATCTTCGACTACGCATGCGAGACTGGCGTTGCCCCGATTACAGACTTTCTGGTGAGCTTGCACCTACCTCAGCTATTCCGCAGTCTCACGTACCAAGCGCAACGCCGCAACTTTATCCAGGCTGTGCGATGGAATCGAATCAAGATCGTCCAGACTTTGATTAAGTCTGCAACCCCCGGTAATGCAGCTATTGAATCCACGACAGGAAATCATTTCTTGGATTTCTTGGAGGCCGGGATTGAGTGTGCTGTCTCGCGTGGACTGGAAGATATGGCCATTTACTTGGTAAACCAGTGGCAAGGACTCAAAGAAAATGGTGGCGAAAGCGCTACCCCCAGTGCCTTCGCGTTCCAATTCGCATCGGCCTTCCAGGTCGCATGTATTCGCGGTCTACCGAATCTTTTGGAGCAAATGATTGAGCGTGGAGGAGAGGAGATAGTGGAGTTCCACTTGAACGAAGGTCCAGCACTCACCTACGCGTTTGCATTTGGTCATACAGAAGTCGCGACCTTGCTACTGCGGAATGGAGCAGATCCCAGTATTCCGACTGCCACGTACTCTGTGCCTTCCGTGCGCAAATGGGTGGAGTTTGGGTCCCCTAAGAATGTTCGCGTGTCTTGGCAACCAAAGGCAGTTGGCGACAATGCCATAGCGAAACGTCCTCCATTTATCGGGCCCCTTGATACCTATGATATACCCACGCAGCGGCTACCTATCGAAGACCTCTGTCGAATGCTTGCGGATTTGAGCTGTGATGGCGTTCGTAACCCGCATCCGAGTGGTGCCAAATCAGTACATCCAGAACCTGTGAAGAGCAAGATCATCATGACAGAGCAAGTGGCCAACGCTGAGAAAAAAGACAGCGACGAAGCAGAGGTGAACGTTGATAAGCATAATGAAGATATTCGTCCAGGCGAGTTACCGGATGCTGCAGTATCTGGTGAAACTATGGATGACGGTGGCATCAATTCTATGGAGCTGGAAAACAATGACGAGGGCAAGATCCGACAAACAATGGACGAGTTGTGCGACACACTAAGCGGCAATCTCGCAGCTACCAGCAAGACGAGCGGCGAGGGTGAAGGCCAGGCTCAGGAGGATACCGAACCTGCGGAAGCCAATTCTATTTCTATTGATCACCCGGAGCTGAATAACGAGGTCAAAGCAGAGGAGTAAAACGTTTGGCTGGCTTGCTTCGAGCTCATAGGTAGGTACGGATATCCCGATATACGCAGATCAGAAGTTAACCTTGCCAATATTCCAGCTGCCTGTAAGTTGTCAAACTGCTTGGTTGAAGCCGTTAGGAGCAAAGTTCATGGTGGGACGAGGACACTCGCAACCAAAGCAAACGTTTTCCTCATTCACAGTTTTGCCGGGGCGAAGACGCCAACGACCTCAAGCCGACGAAAAACGAGAATGGCGTATACTATCGTGCTCCCCCCTTTGCTGCAACGTACGACGGTGGCGCGTTTCAACCGCATCCCCTTGGCGAGAGTGAGCAAGTTAGTGGCCCGGTGCAACGAATACCCCCTTGAAGTGGAAGCTGGTGGTCACCCGGTTGTTGTCTTTGGGTCGATAGATTTTCGACGCGTGGCTCGACCAAGACGACGAGATGATTGATCGCTGGGACTACGAGCCGCTGACACCCGACACTGGCCGAGTTATCGTCCACGACATGGCGATAGGGCTCCATGCCATAGTCCACGGACAAGTGCTTCGCGCGCTTTGGAACCAAGTGGCAAGCGCCGCTGGAGACCAAGCCGTCGACTTGGATTGTCTCGCCTCGTTTGCGGTTCACTACGGCAATGAAGACATTGATCCGCTGTCAAGCGACGACATCGCTTCGCTATGGGATCGTTCGTTTCAGACCCGACGGAGCTCTGAAGCCTGTCGCCTCTGCCTTCCCCACCCTGGTGATCTGCATGGCCTTCACCGAGGCGTGAGCGCACCTAGTAGCCAGGGCGCGAAACTGTATGGCAACGACCCCGCTTCGAGTTGTGTTTGGGCTGAAGCTGTCGAGCAATTGGCGCAGGATCATTTGCCTCCAGCGCATGCGTGATGGCGAGATCAAGGAGACGACGGTGGACTTACGCAAGAGATTGCCCGACCAGAACCCCACGGCCTTCCCATTGAGAAGTTGTATGCTCAGCGTGTGGTTCCAAGTAGTTGGCTGGGCACGAAGACGACGAGGTCGCGATTGACCTGAGCTGGTAGGCGGAACTCGCGTGATGGATGGGCGATTGGAGGAAATATTCTGTGCTAAGTGGGTCCACACAGAGCAAAGCTGCGGTACTTACTTATGACGGGCAAGCAAGACCAAGCAAGCACTGTGTAGGAAGCGTGTACACTATAGACTAAGACGGAAGTAACAAGATCAAGTGCTTGCTCAATAAGTTCTGAGATTACTGAAAAGGTCTACACATATCCACCCTCTTCTATACATTTGAGCAACACCGCGTCACTACTGCGGCGCCGCTGTGGGCAGCAGCATGTTCCCAGAAGTTGAAATCTTAAATACCTTGCCAGAATCGAGATCAGTCACCGTCATCGGAGGCGCCGGCGTACTTGTACTGGGTGTCTTGGCCACAGTCCGATCCGGCGACGACCTTGTACCTGACGCAGCAAACCCGTTGCCGACCTTCGAGTATCCCAGCTTCAGCCGGCGTCGGTGCGCGTTACGAAGCTTCAGTAGCACTGGGTGGCTGCACAGCTCCAGCACTTCGCACACACTCGTAACCAGGTCCTCCGGCGAGAGGAGCGCCAACGCGCGTCCCACCGTTGCGCTCACTTGTTCAGCGCTGTGACTCACCGCTTCACCACAGGCGGCCAGAGCCAGCACATCGTCCTCCGCCGCACTACAAAGCGCTAGCGCTACGCAGAACATGCCTTCGAGTCCCAGTAGCAAACACACGTCCCAGCAGCACAGCAATGTGTCAAAGCGCAGCTGCGAGTGCGACGCCGTCAGCGTCACGTCCGAAAAGAGAGTCGGAAACCACTTGTACGCCAGGAGACACACAGGCAGCCCAGCACTGTCCAGTGCAGCGTGGAAGTTGGGCAGATGTAGTCGTGCCACTTCCTGCAGAACGTCACCCACTTCGACAAGCGAGCGGAATAGGTCGAAGTGGTCGCGACCGGTGCCTTCACAGCAAATACCGAACACATGCGGTAGAATACGAGCCACAATGCCACGTAGAAATCTAAAGGCTTCAACCTCATCGTTCTCCAGCACCTCCAGCAAAATGAAGGCGAGTCCGTTCATCCCTTGCATGTAGAAACTTGGGGAAGAAGGAGGAGACGAAGTTGAGGAGGGTGAGACTGGATCCTCATCAGTTCGCACATCCAGCGAACAACTCGACAAGAACCCATGCAAAACGTGCCCCAGACGCTCCAGTCTGATAGCGCGCTCACTCTCATCCAGCTTTGGTGCACCCGCCGACCCAGCTAACCACTTCGCCGTACGCGGGATATCTTTCTGCACTTGGAGATCGTCTCTGCGGTAGATGCATACAAAAAGACGTTAGGAGTATCTTCACACCTTGCGAATCAATATACATGTACCACACGTACTCTTCAGCGAGTGACGTGTTGATCAGCTGCTGAAAAAGCTTCTTGTTCTCTTCGTCACTGCGTGCAGGTATCAGCGCCCAGCGGAAGATTTGTCTCCAGTACTTCGAGCGCAAGGTAGTGTTTTTTTGCATCAGCTGGAGAGCTTCAATAAACCGCCCACTCGACTGCAGCACTCGCAGCATTTCCGAGAGCTCTCTGTCCGGTAAATAAGCTCCCGATTGGGTCGCACTTGCCCAGTCTTTATCGGACGGGAATGACGGCGTGGGGTCCATCGGGCTCAGCTCTTCCTCCACATCTTCATCGCTCAAGTCGGAATCATCATCAAAATCGACCGCACCGTTGCCCTCCTCCATGCCTTCAAACGCTTGGTCCAGATGGCGCATATTCATCGAACTCTGCAGTTGCAGCGCATCCAGGTCAAAAGATCCACGGGCCAAGGCTCCTCCCGGTACTAACCCTTCCGCTATCGTGATCGCTCGCTGTATTGCATCCGTCCACGCTCTCCGGTCCGCCTCCGACCGAGCTTGGAACAACATGGAGTGCGACTGCACCGTCACGATGAAGCAGAATTTGCGATCTGACACCAGCTCGTGCACGGGCTTCACGCAGCTGCCACTGCTCAGCAGCAGCACCCGCTTCGTCTTACTGCCGCTGCTACTGCTCTTCTTGCTGTTTCCAATCGCCACCGGAGTCTTCATCTTGAGCTGACACGTCAATAAATCCCCCGATAAATCCACCACCTGCTCCTTCCAGTCCATCCGCGACGACTTCCGGTACCTGGCCAGCGACTTCAACTGCGTCAACGGACTCGTGTACAGCTTGGCGCGCAGCACGCCGCACTTGGCCGGACTTCTCAGGAACCTCAGCGATACTGGCAACGGACCTGTGGACTCCAGCAGCAACTTCCTCACCTCAACTGACGTGAGCGTCTGCAGTGAAACACCATTGGCACTGACCAATAAGGACCCTCTAGGCACGTGCACGCCCGCGACTGTCAAATTCTGCGACGTCTTGACACAACACTCGTGGATCCACTCGTACACGGAGCTCAAGAGCGCCATGTCCGCTCTCTGGGGCATCCTCACGTCAAGGAAATCACTCTCCAAGTTGCCCTCGGACGCCCTCGAGTCGCTGCCTCTGCTCCAGCCCATGGGGCTCAGCGGCCGCCGAGGGATCGACAGCTTCAACGCGGCCGAGCGGATCGCGCCCATCCACTGGCGGACGTCGTCCGCCTGGCGCGCGCTCAGCACCAACTTGGTTGCACTCGTTGCAGCGTCGTCTGCAGCCTCTCCCGCGCCGCTCTGAGACGATACTGGGCGCGCAGTGATTGTGACCTGAAAGGCGTTGTGGCGGCCCACCAAAGGGAAGGGCAGCGTCTTGACGGCTGCGCCACGGACGTCCAGCTCGCGTCGCAGCATCATGCCGCTGCTGTTGAGGCTGCTGATGCTCCGGCTGCGCTCGGGAGACGACGTGGACGACGTGGTGGACGCCCCCGACGACGCGCGCCGGGAGCGGGACTGCAGCAGTTCCTTCTTGCTCACGTCCGACGCGTACTCGCGCAGCGTGCCGCACTCGGACAGCACGAAGTAGCGCTTGTGCCAGCCGCGCAGCAGCTTGCTGCGTCCTTCGCGCGTCCACAGAACGCCCTCCATGGGCGAGGCGACGCACAGTAGCTGCTGGGGTAGTCTACCCTAGTGTAGTTGTAATGTGGCGGCGTGGTAAGAAAGCGACTTGACGCTTGTATGAGATGATTATGCACCAATCCGAGACGGTGCAATCGTTAAAATCGGTGATTGGTGGATTATGCCGCTGCAATATGGACCAATGGCCGCGTTCTGATAATGCCGAGCCACTCGTTGGTGGACATTCGCTCAATTGACCCGCTGGCGCTCGGACGGCCGCCACTCGCCCGCGCTCTCGAGCCTCCACCCGCCGCCACGATGGAGAACGCCGCCTCTCGCTTCGGCCAGCACCTGGCGCACACCGGTACGCTACTGATTGCGCCCTTTTGCGCTGCGAGCGCCGCTCTGTAGCCACCACAACGACCATTTCTTACTTAAATATTGACGTATTATTTCTTTAATATTGCAGAGAAGAAGTTCCGCGACCGCGCGCTCAAGAAGCTGACGGTGTACCTGGCCAAGAAGACGGACTGGAATGACCTCGAGTGGGACAAGCTCTGGAAGGCGCTGTTCTACTGCATGTGGATGAGCGACAAGCGCCCCGTGCAGGAGGAGCTGTCCTCGAACCTGGCGGCGCTCGTGCACAAGGTGCCCACGGCCGAGGCGGCGCTCGAGTTCGTGCACTCGTTCTTCCGCACCATGCACCGCGAGTGGCACGGGCTGGACGGACTGCGGCTGGACAAGTTCTACTCGCTCGTGCGCAAGTTCGTGCGCGAGACCGTGGCGCTGCTGCGCGTGCAGGAGTGGGACGAGGACCTGCTGCAGACCTTCGTGACCATTCTGTCCGAGGAGGTGGTGAGCCAGCTGCCCAACGGCCTGCGCATGCACCTGGCAGACCTGTACCTGACCGAGATCTACAACGCCGCGGGCAAGGACGTGACCACCGAGGCCTTCATCACGCTCATGGAGCCCTTCTTCACGCTGCTGAGCGGCGAGTACGACAAGACGGTCTTCAAGCGCGTGCGCGAGCTCGTGTTCGAGGACATGCTGACTAAGTTCAAGTTCGGCCCGCAGCCAGAGAAGGAGCAGGAGGACGAGAAGGAGGAGACGGACGAGGAGGACGCTGAGGAGGAGGAGGACAAGGTGTTTGAGCAGGTCGATGTGGCGCAGGTGCAGCACCGCATCTTCGCTATTGCCTCAGCGGACGACACGGCGGAGCGCAACCGCTCGGCGCTGTACACGCTGTACAAGAAGTTCTTCACGGTCACGCACGTGGACTCGTTCCAGGCTGCGCAGGAGGAGGCTGCTAACCCCACGAAGAAGGCGAAGAAGCAGAAGAAGCAGAAGAAGCAGAAGAAGGAGACTAAGCCTGCTGCGATCGAAAAGAAGGAGGAGACCCCGAAGGCGGAGGAAGAGGCCGGTGAGACGAAGAAGTCCAAGAAGTCCAAGAAGCGCAAGGCGAAGAAGGAGGCCGAGGTTGAGGCCGAGACTGTGAAGAAGACTGAGATCAAAGCTAAGGAGGCTGAAGTAGTGAAGGAGGAGCTGGTGAAGACCTCGGCCAAGAAGAAAAACAAGAAGCAGAAGGTGGCGGCCGAGACGAAGGCTGAGGATGTTGATATGAAGTCAGCTGAGCCTGTTAAGAGCACGGAGAAGAAGCAGAAGAAGCAGAAACAGGACGAGAAGAAGCCGAAGCAGGAGAAGAAGCCCGTGGAGAAGGCGCCTGTTGAGCCCGTGAAGGAGAAATCTCCGGCCAAGGAGCCGGCTAAGCCCAAGCAGGAGAAGGTTGTGGAGAAGAAGAAGGACAGCTACACGACTGTGACCAAGAGCGGCAAGAAGTTCAAGCGTTGCGGATCGTGCGGTGGCTTCGGCAAGGGTCTGGTGCCCAAGGACAAGCTTCTGTGCGGCCACTGCGAGCGCACGCAGAAGACACAGAAGAAGAAGGCAGCGTCGGCTTCGAAGAAGCGGAAAGCGGAGTCCCAGGCCCAGGCCGCACGGGAGGACCAGGAGAAGGCCGAGTCGAGCAAGAAGGTGACGTTTGGCAAGAGCAAGGCGCTGCGGCACGAGGTGTCGATCAAGCGGCTCAAGGCTTCGGCCAAGCGTGACGCCGTGCCGAAGGATACTGAGGACATTAAGGGCGTGCTGAAGGTGAAGTCGCCGACGCCCGTCTCGAAGAAGGCCAAGAAGACCAAGCTGACCAAGGGACGCAAGACGGCTTCGGATTTCTTCTAAGCAAAGGCACAACATGCAGCATTCAGTGCTGCGCATCTCATAGAACGACAGGGGCACGCAGCCCTCCCGTATTGGGCAACATGAAAGTATTTTGCATTGTTCATATCAGATTTTGTTACCGTAAATCACGGCGAAGATGCAACGTCGTAAAAAGAAGCTTTCAAGTCAAAATGTAAAAAGTCAATTGACTCGTAAAAAGCTGTAAAAAGTTCATACAATACTAAAATTTGTAGTAATTTGGCGGTAATGTTGCAACTTCGCGCATGTTCGCCGTTATTTACGGTAGTCATCTGCTGTGGACGGCAGTATTGTGAATTCCGCCAAATTTGCCGAATCGGGTCGGTCTGTCCAACCGACCAATACAAACATCAAGTCATTTGCCGAATCACCGGCCAACAAACATATGGTTCTGTGCACCCAATCCGTACTTAGTAGGGAGTCAAGGGGGGCATAGCCGGGCGACCATAGTCAACCCAAGTGCTTTGGCGATTCGCCGGCGGTTTGCCACGGTCGATTCAATCCGCCCCGCTCGGAAAATTAGAGTAGAACTCACAATACCGCATTTCGCATGTAGAGGAACACACCCCATGTCATAGGTTAGGTTAATTACTGCACTCGAGCCTAAAAACAATGTAAAACCCAAAAACTGGGTCACGCGATCATTTCGTACACAAAATTGGCGAGATGGTTGGTCATGCGGATGGCGCGGAGCGATCTCCTCTAACAATTCTAGGCGCCATCTGCAACTATGTTGCACAGGAACCACACCACTTAACCATTATCTACAGCGTTGCTTCTTCTACTACCATCGCTGCAGCAGCCGTGTTGTGCGCTCTCTCGAGCTTGCGCGTTGTGGTTTAACCTCGTGCTCCCCATATCCCGCACTCAAGCGCGCCTCAACTGGGCCCACACCAGGACTATCACTCTGACGAGGCGTATGCCTCCAAGCGCGCGGGGAGGGGGCAGCGCGACATTTGCGAGCGGTGCGCAGCTCTTCCCCTCTACCTTGGTGGCTCAATGTGCATGCAAAAATGCGCAAAATACCCAAATTAGGGGTATCTCTCTACATGCGATCCCACGGACTTTTCTCTCGCATCTCTGATTGGTCTAAATAAAGGTGTATCTCTTAAACCGCTGTAGCGCTCTACATGCGAAATGCGGTAGTGCAGCCGCCACGGACCCTCTCAACATACAGGACCACGCACAAAATGACTTGGTGGTGTCGGTTATCTGTACACGGCCCAGATTCGCGGAGATCTAGTCGCACAGCATCAATTACGGCCGCCATGGCCGCCGTCTCGCAATCACTACACCTTTTCTAGACCTAATGCAAGCTAAACAAAAATCGCACTTGCGGTTTAATGTATGAAGGTGGTGTCGCGAGTGCCCTGGATGGGACGGTCAAGCGTTGTATGGAAGCTAGAACTGTTAGGCAGTGGCACAAATAGCGAGAAACAGAGCTAATGTGCAAAAGCAATCAATTTGTTCTCTCCAGTGCAGATTCACGACTGACCCTTCTTCCTTACTGCGTACGGAGCCTGACAGTTCGTGCTTCCTTCTTCTTTCGGCTCTCTGTCGGCTCACGCGCCGACTTCAACCCGTCACCGGCTCACCTGACTCTCATCTCACCCCTTCGTCCTTGGCTCTCCTCACAGCTCACGTCCCGAGCCACGCGGTGCTCGTGACCTCCGTCCTGCCCTTCGCGTCACCGCTCACCCATCGCTTGTGTCACTGCTTCCATCGCAGCCGAGCGCGCCACCTAACCGACGCGTCGCCAGTCAGCGCCCCTCCGAAATGGATGACTGCCCGCTCACCGCATCGTCCAACAGCGGATCCTCGAGAAGTCGATCGCTGGTCAAACGGTCGTCCGTGTAGTAGGAACGGTGGTGACAGTTCCTACTCGGGACAGTGGTCGGATATACATTAAGGAGGGTCGACAAAAGCTCTAGGCTAGGAAACCAGCCTCGGAGGCCCACACAGAGGGGCGACGAGAAGCGTACGCTGGGCAGCCCTACAAAGGGGCTCCAAAAATGGTGTTCCGTACATCATTACGCTTTTTCCTATAACTTCTATCCATGCATTTTGGAGGAGTTTCCATAAGTCAGTAAATACTACTGAGATTTGCAGATTTGGATTTGTTCCAGGAAAACTACTGATCAGTACTTTTCCGACGAGTTAGTATTCGGCTATAGTATTACTAATAGTACTGCACTACTAACATTAACCCGAGCACGTGAGACTGCTGCGTTGCAGTGCGTGCTCTTGGCCTCCATGTTGGCGCTAGCCGTGACGGTGTTCCTCTGGTCGTCGCTGGCCTTCACTACCTCGACAGTGTGTAGCTGTGTGACTAGCACCTGCTCGTACGAGTACGTGTGCCTGACGAACCACACCAAGCAAGGCCTATTAATAGCGGGGGGATATTGTAATCTTGACATGTATCGGTGGTAATGTTATTTTTACATTCTGCATCTAATAGAACGTGAAAAAAACACAATGTATTCGCTCTCGTTGAGAGTTTCGATACTCATATGTGTTCTGGACTGAGTTCTCATTTTACCGCAAATAGAGCTAATTAAAATGCACTCGGACTCTCCCCTGAAAAGTAGACAGAATAACAACCCGCAGTACAACAAATTGCCTTAAAACAGACAGCAAATGCTGGATCGCACATCAGGCGGTGGACGTTCATAGAAACCTTCCGCGCAATTTTAACTAGACGAGCATTTTAGCTAAGCGAGTTGCAATACCGCCACGTGCAGTTAGCTCCTACTGTTGGGGTGTGCGTTAGAACCCCGCGTTTTACTGCTATAGTTTTAGAGTTGTAATACATCGGTGTAATTATCGTGCCCTATGACTATTTCGAACCTGTAATACGAATGAGCTCTGAATGCCTCTGATAGCCACTAACCTGTTTCTAGAACTGCTTCGGTGGTACAGAGTCTACAGCGAATGCTGCAATTAAATGAGGGGCTACAGCGGAGAGCAGTCCTCTGTCAATGCCGCCTCTATTTAATTCTTACAACTCTAGAACTTCGTATTATAATTCAAATGACCCAACAGGACATCATATTTTCAACTGCTCTTTGTGTTGGGCGATGACCGATTTGACGAATTGAAAATCTGTGTAACAGTTTGGCCTATCCTAAATCCCACTACAAGGGCAATGTTTTTTGCAGCTGTACCCTTGAGAAAGCCATAGAAATATTTGGGACTGCGGGAGAACTATGCCCCAGTACAGCCTCCATTACATAGTAAATAATTTGTGAACTGAAGCACTGCTTCAACTGCGAAGCTGCAATATACGCACTGATGTTCACGAGTAGATGCAGTGCTCACTCCAAGTGCGACCGGCGTTAAGAGTGAAAAATAAAAAAATATACGCACTTATACACGTACTATTGCTATATTGTAATTTCTGTAGTGATTTAGACAACACAGCACGACTGATAATGACTTGTTTAGAAATATGTTCGAAAATAGTAATCCAGAAGCAGTTGTGCAGAATACTATTTTCCAATCCCAACACACAATCTCAGTAGTATTTACTGACTTATGGAAATTCCTCATGCATTTCGTCCCAATCAATCCCGCCGCGGATGGATAAAATCTGTCCAGCATATCCATTTAATTTGTCCCTGTCATGCATTTTCGATGTCCCTCGACGGCACCAACGATTATCCTCGGTCATACAATTTTTTTCTCTTCATTTCATCTTGTATCACATGCATCTTTATCTCCGAAATGACGATGAAATCGGCTGGCTGATACAAATTACGTTCAAGGGAAAGACCGACAATACAGACTCCACCCACAAACTGAAATGCACTTACAGCTAATACCCTTCCCAACGCGTTCGATTATGCACATCTTGTAGCAGAGGTCCCCGTACTTTCTGCAATTTATACTGAATGTATCTATAGAGACCGTGAAGCCTGCAATGTCCGATTCCTTGCACTCAATGCATTCCCTCTAAGAGCTTGGAAGGTCCACCCTTTTCACTTTGTAGGCGGAATCTGTATACATTGATTAAGTTGAGTACAAACACTTACGACTCTTGCACAGGAAACAAGCATATACAGTGTACATTGTACACACCGTACACGAGACAAGCTTCAACTTGTGGTGCTTGCGTACCCGCGACAGTAGCGCTAGAGGCAAGTGAGCGGTACAGACGGGGCTGCAAGTAAAGGTAAACATCCATGCTATTACCGTTAAGGTAAAATGCCAAACCTGGCACGGTGGGCGTCGGTCGGCGGATGAAGCGGAAGTGGCAAGACTTTTTACTAATGACATATCTCTATTTCGTCAATCTTGCTGATTATTGGTTAATCTCTTTTTGGATCAGTTTCTGGCAGGCTTTTGGATGGCTGATATAATTTTCCAGAGGTCTAATTAAAACATAGAGGGCATTTGGATTCAATGCCCACAAGTCACACATTGCACGAGCGCCAAGATGGAGGAGGAGAAGGAGAGCTACAACCAAGAGGACGTGGATCGGGCGCTGGCACGTATCGCCGCCGGAGACAAGAAGGCTGCGGTGGCGAGGTCCGCGCCTGTGCCCCTGCGCACCCTCTTCCGGCTCGCCAAAAATGCTGCTGATGGTGGCAGCACTGGGCCGTTGCGGCCAGGTGCAAAGCCCTTTATGCCGGCGGAGCTGGAGCATGATCTGGCTGAGTGGATTGCTGCCATGCAGTAATCATGCCCATCGCCCGGCGGGACATCATTGCGAAGGCGAGCGCGATGCTCGCAGCTGCTACTGGGTGGGTCATGTTCACCGGCTCTACACCTACCGTGATGATGTCCGGCGGCTGGTGTCGCCGTTTTCTCCAGCGCCACCCCATCCTCACCAACAGGATCGCGCAGTGCATTGTGGGCGTGCGCAACGCCGTGGACGAGAGCGGCGTGTCCACGCTGTTCTACATCAATGCCGCGCGTATCTTCAACATGGACGAGAATTCGTTCATGCAAAAGACCGCGCGGCGGAAAGTGGTCGCTGTGCGCGGCCCAGCCAACGTCTGGCGCAAGGAGATGAAGCCAAGCGTCCACATGACTGTGGTGGGTGCGGTAAGTGCTAGCGGCACTACGATACCCCCTCTGATTGTTGTACCAGGCGTGAGATTTTTCAAGGAGGACATAGCGGCACTACATGTAAAGGGAGCGGCAATTTGGGGGCTCCGAAAGGCTTCAGTAACACGAAGATCTTTGTGCAATGACTGACCTTCTTCGGAGAGAGCATCGCCCACCTCCCGAAGCCAGTGGCGCTAATCGTGGACAACAGTGCGACGCATATTGCTCCAGGTAAGCGGTGGTGATCTATCCTTTGTAAACATAAGTTTCTATCCCTATCGGTTTGAGCGGGGTATTGTGATGCAGAGGCGGCTGAAATCTGTGTCGAGTACGGCATCATGCTCGTTGCATTGCCGGCAAATGTGACACACCCCTTCCATCCCCTGGACCTCGTCTTGTTCAAGCCATTCAAGGACTGTGTCTATGACCTAATGCTAGAGCGGCTTTGCAACGTCAGCGATGATGTAGACTCCCGAATGGGGGGGGGCACCCAGAAAAGACCCTAGCCGGAGGTAATACACCGAGATCTACACTCCAACCGGGGTGGCGTGTATCCTTGTGAACAATCCCTGTGGGTTCGTTTGTCTTCGTAACCAGGGGTCTTCAACCGTGGATGAGTTGTCTTGATTCTTGTGGGTCGCTAGGTAGCAGGGCAGAACGTAACCTTCCTGGACGTCGCCTCTGGCAGCCTCAGATAACCAAACAATACAAACCGATACAGAGTTATATACAAACACGTAGCCCTTCCTTATTCTTTTGGACCGTGAAAGGGGCGGTCACTACTCTGTCAACTCCAGCCGGACTCCGGGATACTGGTCAATCCCGGTCGGCTTTAGCTCACACGCACCACCCTCGAGTACTGAGGGAAACTAACACAATCAATTACCTCCTATCACGCAATAGCTCTTAAATCAATACTTCCTACCCGGGGCTACTCCCCCTGTTCCCCCATGCGATGGAAGAGCGTGCGCTTCAACCCCAAGGTCGAGGTGTTCACGTTCATGTCGCGGCAGATGCGCTTCAATACGGAGGTCGAAGCCTTCACGTTTACGTCATGGCGGGAAACGGAGACCGCGGTGTCTAAATGCATGCTGTGGTAGGTTATTATGCTAAATACACTAGGTTAATATATGTATCAATTTTCGATTCGCTGAGCGGGTCGCAACCAGCCAGGCGGAAAAAGTAACGCGCATGCAAAAACAAACGTCAAACCTTCGCTACCACCGCCACAGTGCGCGACGTACTGAGTCCACCAGCGTCACGACCGGATCTGTTGTAAATGTACTTGTGCTGCGGGTTATTGCTAAAGAGGCATTAAGCTCAGGTTACGTGTAATACTTAGGATGCGCTTAATACTAATGTTGCTGTATGTTGCACTAGATTGCAGGAAAGCGCGAAGTCGAGCAGACGCCAGAAAAAAAAAACGCCCTGGCGCCGTTTGAGCTCAGCTCTGCAGTGACGGTACCCTCCACCAGCAAGAAGCAACGCGGTCACGCGCGGACTCAAGCGCGCGGCGGTGGCGAAGATTTTGCATCCGTGCTGCTGCGCTCTGGTGATGACCCTCCGGAGGCAAAGCCGTAATACAGCCCTGTCGTCAGGGCGTTTCCGTCGACCAGTAACCGCTGCAAAAGGCTCTCCTCGCAGCACCCGGCTCCCATATCTGTCAACTTCGAGATGATAGAGCTATTGTGCGCGAACCGTAAGTGCTGGGATGCTCGCATACAAATGGACATAGGAATTGACGTAGTGATTAGACGGGACCTTAAGGCCAATAAAATACCTAGTGAACAGTTCGTTAGCGGCATCGGTTTCACGCCCTGTCCTAAATGTGATGACTTCGACCTCCGTATTGAAGCGCCTCTACCGCGACATGAACGTGAACGCTTCGACCTTGGGGCTGCGGTGTACATGCCGCGACATGATCGTGAACTCCTCGACCTTGGGGTTGAAGCGCACGCGCTTCCATCGCATGGGGGAACAGGGGCTTGTTGTCGGCGGACCATGGAATCGGCCGAAAAGGCTTACCGTGTTTGGTTGACGGAATAACTTGCGCGAGCCCGGTCAGTAGGTCGACCGTACATCTCCTTTTGACCTTCTGGTCCGCCGAGTGAGTAATCTGCTGCCCCCCTCGCGCTCTTCGCGGTTGCGCTTGATCTTTTTTTCTGCTAGTGCTGTTCACGTTTGTTCATTTGTTCTTTCCGCGTTCGCGCGGCTATTGTACTAGCCCCGGCATTGAGTAGAAATCGGCCGTCAGTTGGCCATATCGCACTTCTTATGGGTCAATAAAATATACAGCGCGCGTTTGTTTGGCACTTGCGGTAGTTGCAACGCGCATGCGCCGGTGTACCTTTCCACAAAGTCACTGTGTTTTACGACGGTCGTCGGTCTGGAAGTTATGTGGATTTTAGATCCAGAGTTTCTTCGGAGGCACGACTCGACCTAAACTTACGGTAGTACTTAATACGTAACATGCCTTAAATTACTTCGAACTTACGTTTGCAAATTTATCGAACCCAAAATAGCTGTGAAACCGAATATACCTGTGATCTCAGTGGGAATTGGCGAAGTAGAAGCCCAAAGTGCTGCAACTGCCTCTTAAACTCCATCATGAGTGGTACGTGGATTTGGGTGTTTACAACAATGTACTTTAACTACCTGTTATATTAAATAACCGGAATACAACGAAAAAAGCCGGTGATGTTGCTTGTGGCGGCGGCACGGGTAACATTACAACCCATCACCCAGAAAAGTTACTCGAAGCGGATAGTTAAATTAAATACTATTAAATAACCCAAGGGTGATAGAACGAATAATCCGTACTTCTCTGGTCCACCTTACTATCGCCATTGATGTTTAATGTAATCCACATAGTTCGATCTAAGCCAATCAGACATCAGTAAATTTGATTATCGCGAGGATTTCAACATAACAGGTGCTTAAACCTTGATTTGTAGGAAACGCATTGCGCACTATACAAGCGCTTAGAGGTCCTCAACCATTGCTCACGTGCTGTAAGTTATTTCCGAAATCCAATCTGAAAGTCGCAGCTAATATCGCTCAATATTCAGATAACTACGAAAAAAAACTCACTGGGTCCAAAATCTTGTTGCGAAAAGTCAAGTCATCTTCTTCTACGCGAGCAACGATTGGCTTAGAAATGGATGTTTGGTAGCAGTAAAAATAAGCTTTCGTTTGGTGGTAATTTGTTTTTACCGAAAACGAAGTAGAAATAGTGAAGTTATTTTAGTTTTCATGAAATGACGATAGTACGGTGGACCAGAGAAGTACACGAAACGCAGACCCGAGACCTCCAAGTTGGAGGCTCTAACCCATTCTCGCAAAACCACTGCAGCAGTTTGACGTCGACGCGACCAACAGCGCTACGAATTGGAGCTGTCGAACGCAGCCTGATCTCGAATTGCTGGACCCAGTCTAGAATGGCGATGTTGCCTTTAGTACATGCAATCCGCCCAATGACGTAGTGGAAGAGGCGGTCTGACCACAACAATTTGTCGGTAGCCTTAAGGGAACAGTATATATATTTGTAAAATACACAAAAAATGGGCATGTAGGATCAGTGGTCACACCTTTTCGCTAGTGGTGGAGGTAGCAATCTGTTTAGAGGTCACACTGTATCCGCAAATACCGCAATGCTGCCGGTTACTGGTCGATCAGAAGGCATTTCGTTAATGCTGCGAACAGCAGCTGCGTTGCCTTTGTATTGATTTCGCATCCGCCACTGATTGTTTAAACGATGGCTCATGTTGGTGTGGTGTAGGGAACATCAAGTTTTGTGTCACACTCCAAGGCCGCAGTGGAACAACGTACCAGGAGCCAAGTTCTACTCGGCGGGATGACCGTCCGCCGAGCTCAGTGGGCAAGAATGCGCTGATGGACCGCTGAACTCGGCTGATGGTGTCAGAAACTCAAGGCACACCGGCCCCGACCTGGTGACACGTGGCAGACCCAGTGATGAAGACCCAGCCGAGTTCAGGAAGGCACTGGACACGCTCAGCCGAGATCATGTGGAGTTCAAGCCGCCGAGCTCGGCTAAACGGCACCACGTGCCATCCAGATACGGCAATCGGGTCCAATTGAGTCCGGGAGTCGCCCAGTCGAGTCCTAGGGTCGCTCCGCCGAGTTCGCCAGGTTATCCGGACACGCCGTATCCGGCTCAGCCGAGTTCAAGGGGTTATCCGGACAGGTTATCCGGCTTAGCCGAGTTCAAGCGTCGCCGAGCTCGGTGAAGAGTCGGCCGAGATCCAAAACCGCCCACTTTCATTTGGTATTTGTATAGGAGCTTAGGAATAGTGGAGGCGCCCCTTCAGGGCGCCCGACAGAGATAACAAACAACAGAGCAGAATTTTCTAGGTCCACAACACGTGCACGCGCTTCCAGTAAGTCCCTGCACGGGCCGGATTATGTCTGCTGTCAGCACCCGAGAGGCATAGCTTGTAGGGTGCTGACTGGTAGCGCCAAGAGATTAAGGTCGGCCCGGGTTGGGCGCGTGTCTCGCCAAGCGCGAAGGAAAAGTCTCGCCACCGCTGCGAGCCGGTGTTCCCGTACGTCCCGGGCACTGATTGCTGAGTCGAGAAGCCTTTGCTCTCGGCGACCCGTAAAAGCCCGCGAGGGCCGTCGTCCGTCCTTTGGCGGAGGGCACGGGATTTCTAATCCCGGAGTCAGGTAATTCAGCTGGTTTCCGTGATTGACTGGCTTGGGGTACTTGGTCTCGACGAGGACGAGACATCACTGTCCCGGAAGGGCTGAACCGCTGGGGGACATCTCAGCGCAGGCCAACAAGGGCCGACTAGCTCGGCTGTTGTTGTGTTTGTAGCTAGGGTGCCACATCTGACGATTTTGTGCGTGCCACTACACCACAACTGGTGCCGCGACCCGGGAGCAGGGTGGTTTGTTTTCGTTGGTACCAAGTCAAGCAAGTTTCGAGTACTGAGCAAGATGGTCAAGGGGAGATCTTTGCCGAGCTGGGCCAGCCCAGCGACGGCTGGGGGTTCGCTTCACACGAAGCCGAACTCAGCTGGCGGAAG